CTGGCCGCCAAATATGGCATTCCGATTCCCGCAGATTTCAATGGGCCAAATTGGACGCAGCCTAAAATGTCTGAACTGGTTGAGTTGATCCGATCAGCCGATGCCACGAGTCGGGCAGCTCAACCCGGACAGCCGCAACAGGCTCAAGCTCAACAACAACTTCAGCATCAACAGCAGCAGCAGCAGCAACATGTCATCAACCCTATGGCGCTTCAGATGGCAGCAAACAAAGCTCAACCTGGATCCCAAGGTCAATTCGGCGTCCAGATGCAAGTGCCTCAGGGTCAGAACCCAGCGCAGCAGGGTATCAACCTACAGATGATTCAGCAGATGAATCATCTGCAAGGCTTGCATAATGCGCAAGGGATGCAAGGGATCAACTTGCAAGCTCTTCAGGGGTTGCAACAAAGCATGCAGGGGCAGTCGCAGGCTCAACAAGCGCAGAGGCTACAAGCTATGCAGGCTTCCCAGGCTATGCAGGGGATGATGCCAAACACAGGCAATGGAAGTTATGGAAATATGCCAATGGGGATGAATGTTGGCATTGGCATGCCTGCTGTAAATGCGAATGTGTCGATGAATATCGGCATGAACGGTCAGCGGCAGAATATGGGGATGATGGGTGGCCAGCAGGGCGGCCAAGGGCAATACTTCCAACATCAATAGTCTTCGTTTATCAAGCTGTCAGCATCGAGTCATGATCCGTCTGGCATCTGTGACACAATCGTTGTATTCATGCATTTACGACATCTACGGACATTTGCTCCTACCGGGAATGGAGACCCTAGTGATATCGGTGCTAAGCAGGAATGAAGACTCGGAGAAGGGTTGGCGACTTGATCCCCAGTCTGTCCCCGTTCGCCAATTCTAACATGACATTCAAGGCCAGCTCAGCAAGGTCGTCCATCGTCTGGCTCGTGGGCGTAGGCCCAGCAGTGCTCTCTTTGATTTCCAACAACTGAAAATGACGATATTCTTCCATTCATGAGAGGGGCATCAAGTGAGAGACGATCGATATAGACTGCACGACATGATGCCAGTGAGAACTGCCCCAGAAACGGCATAAAGCGGGGTATGTTGGATGCAATCGACCACTCAAAGATGTTCGGGGCTGTCATTGGGTCTGGGTCGTGTGTGAATTGACTATATCCTCCAGTATCACCCCGGGTGGACACTCATAGAATTCCATGAAACCTTTCAGCTGAATCGGCTCAATTCTACCTGCTTCATCAGCAAACTGTATTGTGAGTGTGTCCTCTGCAACGGTCTTCGTTTTGGAGGATCTCTGAGTCCTTCTTGGGTCGAATAGATCGTCATGACCATTAGTCTCGCTGGCAAACGTCCCTATGGCTTGGAACCCCATGTTTTCTGGAGCGTTGGGTAAGATAATGACTGTGTAGTCTGGGGTTTTCGGCATCGTGTTCGTCTTCTCTTCAGCATCCGTATAGGTTGCAAAGGCATTTTCAGAGTCATCTGGGTAAGTCAACTCTGGTTGTCGATCGATCATCCTCCCGGAGCCAAGACAGCTGCCCAGGAACTTGGTCAAGCTGGAGCGGGTGGTCATCGTGATGTGGGTTTCCGCTTGGAAATGTGAGTCTCTGCTTGGCGGTTGTGAATGCAGTTGGGTCAATTTGGAATCGCGATGGGAATGTGAAGTAAGTGTACAGTCGAAGACTTGTGGGTATGATGGATCATCGAGAGGTGAGCTTTATAGAACCCGGGCATTAGCCTGTTGGATGCTTCGTCACTCGGGCGAGCTGGAGATCCGGGTAGATTCCTTCCTCGCGTCGCCGCATAGCCCGCCCAAGCCGAGGTGAAACTCCTTTCTAAGAACTTTCGCGTCAAAGGATGAGCAGCGACGGCGATCAGAGAAGAGTTTCACAACGGTCAAGTACGACTCCTCGGGTTTTAGACAGCAATCAGCTTCCTCTACAGCATGTACCGATATACATAGGCCGAGTCACCATGCTATTCTATCTGTCAGTTGGAAGTTTGATACAGCTAGGATCAAAATGTGAGAGAAAATATAGAACATGGAATGTGAAATGGTTCTGGCTTCGCATGAAATGCTGGAATCAAATTGTTGAGCGGAAGGGGGAATGCTTTGAGTGTGAAGGTGTGACAGGGCAGAAATGGTGCAGGGACTTATGAGAGGTGGAACGATCCACCTCCGTCAAGCATGGCTCGATGCAGCTGCGTCGACAAGACTTCTTTGCTCGAGTAGTCTGGAAGCTTGAAGTACTTTGGAGATACACATGGATCAGCTTCTCCTAGTAGAATGAGGAGAGAAGTGCTCACGTTGGCACACGTCATGACCGAGGGGAGATAATCGTCCGCTCGGAATGGGTGCTCGTGTGGCTTTCGAACCACGGTGAATTGAGGCTGCAAGCCATGGAAGCCTCCAATGGGTAACTTGGGTGCGCCAGTGATGCTTTGAAGCTGATCAGCCGACGCGTGTGCGTCCATGCAGTCTGACTCACAATTGCAGGAATTGCCTTCGCTCTTCTTTGCTGAATTCCGACATTGCTTCTATCAAGTTATGCACTGACCGGCTGTCGAGATTATAACCATGGTCGGCCTTAATGGCGTGAGTGATGGCTTGAAGCGGGATCAGCAGATGTAGCAAGCACGGGAGTTAAAATCCTGGCTCACTCTCTTTCGACCAATCTTCCTCCATGTTGCCAAAAAGTAGCATAAGCTCGTCAGGTGAGAAGATCTTCATGTCGGCAATCGAGAAGATGGACGAGAATCCTGAAAAGGGTTAGCGCGGTTCAGATGGTTGTTTACTTCACTTGCCTTGCGCGAAGGCTTGAGCTTGACGTTGCACGCCCGAGCCAAGTATGACGTCGAGGACGCGTTCCAGGTATTCTTCGAGATTATGGTCGTCTACATCGATGTGTGCACCACCCGGCTGCAGAGATGCGTCAGCCAGCGCCGATCTCATGTGCGCGTGAAACCCACCTTGAGCTCAATGTCACTGTACCCAGGCATGGTGAAGTCCAATGACAAATCTGCCAGTCTCGCGCCTCCAACGGTCAAAGTCGCCAATTTGTTCCTGCGCGCACCGGGAGGAAGTTTCAGAGCTTCGATTTCCTTGCGTGCGCTGAGGTAAGATTGGAGGCGTTCCAGCGACAAAGCCAGAGGAGCATCCACGAGCTGCTCTTGCGTCAGTCTAATCTCAAAAACCACTGCTGGAGACCCGCGGCCGCTCACCTTGAGTGTTTTGATAGTCTTCTTCACCTCTCTGCCTAAGATCAAGCGGAGAAACACAGGATTGAGGTTGACGTCAATGATCCGCGAGTCGAAAAGAGCTCGACCGACAAACAATCCGAGGACCTTGAACCATGCGAGCCGAGATCTATGTGATGTCAGCTGGGAGGATTTGGCGCGTCACCACTGTTGTCCAACTCACCCTGGCTGGGTCGACGTCTCGTCTTGGCTGATGGGAGCTGGGAATAAACCATTTTGATGTTTCACATACAGTCCAGGCGAGTTTTCATCCTCATCCCGCCATAGACCGAGAGATCGCTTGGCGAATTCCTTGGAAGTCATGGCGTAGAACTCCAGAGTCGGGCCCAGACCGGTTCCGACCTCGTCAAAATACTGGAATTCCAACAAAGGGCTCCCACTGCCGTATAGCTCGAGCACTTTAGCACACGAGACGAGGATCTGAGATCTCGAGATACGAAGTTTTTGTCGCGGCGTTCTGCTGAATGAAGACATATCGTCTCGTCGACTGGACGTAGAGGCGTGATTCTGGTTGGCAGAGACAAATCGTCCGATTAGTCGGTGGTAACCGAACGCGGTCGAGGCCAAAAACAAATATCGCGTTTCGAACGGGAAGAGGAATGCAAAGTGCTTTGGCAGTTCCACGGCCCATTCCGGTAGGCAGTTGCTTGCAATGATCATCACTTCCTCGAGCTGCCGAGTGAGTTTCGCTGTCAACTTGTTGTTCACGAAGTGATGCGCGTCCAAAATATCGGGTCTCGGTGCGACCAAAGTGGCATCCACAGTGAGGTTGTGGATGAGTCGAAGCAATCTTAGGATCTTGAATGCTGGGGTCGAAGGGTCCAAAATCCCTGGCATCGTGCTGATTGCGGACGCAGGTGACGGGGCGTCTATTGCATCGTTGGCTTCCGGCCGAGGTCCGTCGACTTTCCGGAACTTGACAACAACGGGAGGGCCATGAATATTCACTCCATTGGCACCACGCTGATACTTGTGCGCCGCACCATAGATCGTATCATTGAGGGATAGCTTATTACCATCCAGCGTGAACTCTAGGTGGAAGTCACTTGGCAGCGTCTTGACGGCCCCCGCGTAAGAAGCAGTTCGAGGAGTTGCGGCACCTGACGGACCTGGAGCTGGTGCCGTAGAGCTCGAGGGACCAGCCCCTTGATGAGGGTTGGGTGTGGCAATTCGAGTTCCTTCCGGCGTCTTCGCCTCGACCTGAGAGCCATCTAGTGTACAGATCAGTCTACAGTCCGCATGCGCATTGAAAGAACTCACCGGCAGCGACTGACATGTTGACCACCTTCTCTGGTTGGGGTCCCATGTCATCCTCCAAATCGTCCTCGTATACTTCCTCGGCATACTCTTCATCAGAATAATCATCCTCGTCCTCGTCAAAATCCAGGCTCATCGGCATGGTAGGCAAGACCGTCGGCTCCGGTGCGGAGCTTGACAAAGCCGGTGCGGGACCAGATGTCGTTTCGGCAGGCGCAGAAGCAGTACCAGAGCCTCCTAGCCCTTGACCACTGAGCCTGGCGCTTCGACGTCGAGGTGGCACCTCCGATGAGTCTGATCGATTGGCCCCTGCCGCGGAAGTCGCTGGAGGGTTTGTAGCTAGGCGTGATGACTCCGGGGCTGAGGACGCAAGTGCGCTGAAAAGACTGGGAAAGCCGAGATCATCGGTCTGACCGCCCGAACCGCCTGCTTCGCCTCCAGCTGGTCGAGAAGCATTATTCAAGGCGGATATGATTCTGGAAGCAGCGGCTGAGACAGATCCTGCTCCACCTACGCCTGCAGCTCCTCGAGGAACGGGCACGCCCGAGTTATACGCAGCGAACATATTTGATAGGGTCGAGCCTGAGAGGTAGCTGCCGCCATTCGCGATCCGCGGCTGTAAGTAATCGTTTAGAGCGGAGAATTGGGCAATGGCCTGGATGCTCAAAATGATGAGAGACACTTGTTTAGGAACATTCGAGTCTTCATCGGCCTGAAGTCGTACTTTCATCATGCGGGAACATGCTGCAGCTGGGCGAGAATTGTCGATGGACCCATTGAAAGCCGTTTCCACTTCAAAGTTTTCCAATCGACCCAAGCTTTCGTGCAAGAGCTTGACGAGGACAGCAAGCGGGGGAGGTGAGGAAATTGAAGTATCTGAAAAGACATCAAAAAACATGGCTCGTCGGTCGTGAGAGGGGACTGCCCCCTCAATGTCTGCAAAGTCGAGCAAGCCATCAACAAGGCCGCCCTTGAGCAGCTCAAAACTTGACAGGGCTTCGCCAGAGCCAGAGAGCTTGCAAGCCAACACCTTGAGTCCGTCGCGTAGATCGCCATCTGAAGAACCGGGACGGCATAGCCCTTCAATCAAAGTCCTGAGCTCCTCGAGGACGGCAGAGGCCGCATTCTTGGAATCTCCGTCAGCATCGAAAATCTTCTTGGCGAGAATGACGCGAGCTCGCATGATGTTGGCATCTTCAGGATCCACCGTCGTCCCACTTGCACGGCGAGTGGGATTTTGTCGAGGGGTCTCCGCGTTTAGATCAAAGGTGAAATTGGTGAATCCGTCCGGCATGGTGGTCTCGCTGAGAATGGGCTTCGAGTCTGTGACGGGCATCGACCACCCTATCGGCCGAGAGGACGAGCCGATGGGTGCCTGGACAGGCGAGGGTGTGGAAGGCTCCCCTGGCTCCTTCTTCACCGTGAAGGATGATTCTGCAGCGGCTGCCTTTGGCTTCTCCGTAGTGACATTCTTCAATTGTGTTGCTGCCAGTTGTTCAATTTCGTAAACCACACCTTCACGCTGGAAAGAAACTTGATAGATACCGGGCATCTTTATCGCCAATAACTCGACCAATTGAAGTGCGTTGAGAACGGCGACAGGGTTGTCCTGAGATGAGATGATAGCGCAAAGGAAGCTGGCCATAGGAACCCGCTTCAGCGTATCGAGCAGATCGTCCTCCTTGGCGAACGAGATAGCCTTGATCAACCCAACTAGGACTTTGGACCTGACTCGAGTCGCCACACTTGCAGCATAGACATCGACCAGGACAGGCACAAGGAGGCGATTGAATCGACCAATGAGGAGGGGTTGAGAGTTGAGGAGCTCGACCCGTTGAGAAAGTTGTGCTTCCGCCTCCATCCTAGCACTGTGCACGATATCATGAACACTGGTTGCGGTTGTTGGCGTTGATTGAGGGGCCTCAGAGCCGGGTAGAGGGATACCGGTGACGGCCGGAGTCGAAGGACCGGTCGATCCAGGGGTAAATGGGCCGTCCGCACGACGGTTGCTGCGACGTGAAGGCTTCTCTGAGGATTGTGGTGGTTTACGACCCTTTTTGATCTGGGACAGAGCCCTTTCTGTGTATCCTTTTGGATCAAAAACGCCCGTTGACGGCGTGGGAGGCAATAGTTCGCAGACCAAAGCGAGACACTCTTCGACTTGGTCTTTAGGCCGATGTGCAAGGTTTTGCAGTACTGCCATGTCTGCCACTCCACCCGCTAGTCCTTGGCCCTCTGAACCTTGACCTTGGCTCTCGCCCTCGTTGGTTGAGGGTAGGACTCCAGTCAAAATTTGATAAAGAGTGTTTGTGATTCCCGCCTCGAGGAAGGCAATCGTCACTTTGGCTGATCTTCGAGCGGAAGACGTGAGGGCACGGAGGAGATGAGAGAATGTAGAAGGTGTCAGGAGTGGAGACCCGCCGGAAGGCATGAGAAGCGCATTGATGGCGACCACCACATCGAGCGTCAAGAGACCTTCAAGATTTTCGGCAGAATGTCGATATGACTCCAAGGTCCTGACCACTGCGAGTGTTGCTTGCTCGACCAATCGCTGATCGCCTTGAGTGAGAGTGTCACGCAAGATCGGGAAGACGCCTTTGATCTGTTCAAAGTGGTCCTTAGAGATGTTTCGGCAGCAGTTTGCGGCTGCTGTGACGGCTGTCCGTTGTACGTTGGTGGAGAAGAAGTCGAGGAACTGTAGCAGAGCTCCGAGACCACCTTCTCGGACGATGGCGGCTGGGTAATCGGCGGAAATCTTCTCCATGGTCTATGCAGAAAGTCAGACCGCATGTCGGGGCTTTCGGCACTCACGCTCAAAGTCTGTTCAGCCAGCTCAATGTCCTCAATATTCGTGAGCTTGGAGCAGAGAGCTGGGACAGCTCCGAGCTCGACCAAGAGATGTCCAGTTCCGGGCATAGCTTCCAGCAGATGCGCCAAACATCTGCACGCTACAAGCTGGCACTCATTCTCCTCCGCGTTCATCATACCTCCACCAGAGCTCATGGCGAGTATGGCCGCAAGCTGGGCGTCCTCGTCAAAGGCATCCGGTACGGCAGATTCGTCTTCATCCTCCGATTTCGGGTCGATATTTGGGTGGCCCTTGAGAATGGCGATAAATTCTGTCGCAAAGCCACTGACGGAGAACGAAGAGCCCAGGGTGTCCTCATTGCTGACCAAGAGAAGTTCACTGCACTCTCGGAGGGCGGCAAGGCGTTTGGTGATAGACCGACTGCGGAGCTGGGCACGGAGCCTCTTCAGACGAGACGACAGGCCAGAAATGATACTTCCTAGCGATCCAAAGTTTCCTCCAAAGATGGCAGCAGCTGTCGCTTCATCCAGATGGAGACCAGCATCGCCGAGTCCTGCCAGTGCGCCGAGGACGCCACCTCCCAATCGACCTGCGCCAGAATTCGATGGTCCGGCTGGGGGAGGCTCATCGCTGTCCTCCTCATCTTCTGCTTCATCATCCTCGTCACTGATGGAGCTCGAGCCGGGCATGTGTTCATCTCCGTCGTTTTCGTCACCCATCATCTCACCGCCTGACTCGGGCTCATCCATCCAGTGGGACTCATCGTCATCCATTGGATCGTCGATATGTAATCGAGCGGCTGCGTTCAGAGGGTCAAGACTGTATCGTCAAGCTCAGCATCGGAAATACTCACCGGAGCTCTTCCTCGTTCCTTCTGCTGAGCTGGTGGAGGGTCCTGCCCTTTTCTGTCTGGGGCTGATGGCGGCCGTCAGAATGCACATCAGAGGGTTCACTCACTTTGATTTCTTTGGCATTCCTGCGCTCGTATTCTTTTTTGCAGAAGCCCTAGGGCCTGTCTTCACCTTGCCCTTGCCGTTATGTGTTGAGGGTCCGTCGTCCGACACTGATGGCTTCTGCCGTAAACGATACCTCGGAGAATCTGCAGTCGTCGATGTACGACGGTGTTTCGCCGGACGAGAGGAATCGCTCTCGTCTAATGTTCGTGAGGTGGATGGAGGAGATCGATTTGCTCGCTTCTTTCCTTTCGGATCGTTGGAAGGTGTGGCTTCCGGAGCGGTGATAGCGCTTGCTCTTCTACTACAGTGGAGAGAGGCGGGTTAGGTTTTTGTCCCACTGACAACCGTCACCCGGCAAGCAGAGTCATATAAGTGGATGAGATTGGATCTCAGACCTCCTTTCATGAGGTGAATCTGGGTCAAGGCCAGGAAAGCGAGGAGAAGGGAGGATGATGGGTGGGACTCACCCTTTTCTAGTTATAGCTGAGCTCGATGCCTCTGGTTGAGTGATCTCGGGCAGAGAGAACCTGGCCGATCGTCTTCGTTTCAGGGAGTGGTTTTCAAGCGTCTCTACAGGCGAGATAGCTGCGGGGTCACCTGACTCGATCTGCCTCTGCTTAGCTCTGGTGAGACGGGGTGTGGAATGGGGAGCCGAAAGATGGATGTGCTGATTGCTCTGAGCTGTGGAAGGTGTTGTGCCTATCACTCTGGATGATTCTGTTGTCGTTTGCGCGCTGGAAGGAGCTGGGTCTGAATTCGTTGTCAAGATGGATGTTGTATGATCAAGAAATTGTCCTTCGTCCCGCTGCATTGGTGATCTCTCGCCTTGCTATGAGTCGCCGGCTTCGAGAGGTCGTACGAGGAGCAGAATGCAGTCGAAAAGAGAGACTGAAGCGGAACAAGTGATTCAAAAACGCTGCAGACTTGCCACCATGTCTGCCATGGCTGGCTGGAATGAAGGATGGGAAGGAGGGGTTAATGATAAGCTGGCGAGAGAGAGAGGAGGCGAATGCTAAGGAGAGGGCTGAGGGGGAACGTTGAAAGAGATCGAGAACGAAATAATGGCAAGACCTTCTCTGGTGACCTGAGGATCTGCTCAGCCTGCTGGATGCCTTGGTATGACAGCAGGGTCCACGATGTGTGATGTCGAATGTCAAACGATGATCTGACTCTATGAAGGGCCAAGTCTTTCGCGGCCATTGCGTAGCGGGCGTCTGTCGCTCCGATTTGGTAATGGATGAGGAGGGATTAGAAAAAGACAGTGTCATCATTAGAAAAGTGGGGAAAATCCCTAATCGGTCTTAGTGTGGCAATTAGGATCAACCCTTTGTTTCAGGTTCCTCTGCGCCGGGCACCAAAATTTCCCCGGTGTTCGAAGAATTCTGTATCTCGACTCGACCGCAGACTGGGGCAATCATCGGTATAATATGATATGAACTCTGACAGGCAACAACGTCTATGCGCAAAGTCTTAAGCATCATGAGCAAATCTACGACAAAAGCTTGGACAGCGGACAAGCATCCTGCATCCACATCTGCATTGTTGGACTCTCTACATCGGCTCAGGGAAACTCAACCGAAAGCTGTCCGTTCGACCGTCCATGTCTACCCGGCAGCGGTATATGCTGCTGAGGATGATGAGGCGTCCAAGGTATCACATCTCAGTGGATCTGCCGCCGGAAATGACCTGAGAGATCGCAAGATCACAAGCTGGAAGATGACGGAACACATGTACAGGTTACATGATAACCCATTCCCCACCCTGGCGAGAGGCCTGTTCACGGAAGAGGTGGCTAAAGGCGAGATTTTACCCGAGGAAGCTCTCAAGAATGAAGGGGATTGGAGCAACGGACGTACAAGGGAACGAATCGTTGCGCGAGGTTATGACAAGTTTTTCAACATTGACGAAGTGGACTGGACGAACGTAAGTGAAGTATCATGGCACGAAATCTCAGCTGACTCTCCATTCAGTGGACGAATATGGAGTCTCACACGGTTCCACCTTACTACCTGACTCTCAAGTCCAACGGCTGTCTGATTTTAATCTCTGCTCTATCCCCAACCCACCTATTGGTCGCTTCAAAACACTCTTTAGGGACAGTCAATGCCGACCATATCAACGGCGAGTCTAGCACGACAGGCAGCCTCGCTTCAGGCATGGAGGCTCTGTCGCTTGGTCTGGACGAGAAGGGCAAAGGGAAAGAGTCATATCATGAGGAAGATGACGACTCATCTGCCATCGCTCACGCTGAGATGGGCAGGCGGTGGGTTCGAAAGATGCTCAAGGCTGCTGGCAAGACCGAATCGGAACTTGCTTCCAGACTTTGGAGAGACAACTTGTCCGCTGTGCTAGAGGTGAGCAGAGTGTGATCAAGCTTGAATGGTTCTGAGTCTTCCTGCATAGCTATGTGATGATTCCTTTGAGGAACACGTACTCGCGACACCCGCCCACTGGACAGGTCTCCACCTGCATGGCCTAAACCACAACACACCTCATTTCGCGACGCTCTCACCGCCCGACGTCTCAGCATTTGCCGAAGAGTTTGGCTTCATCCCCACAAAGTACACTCAGTTTGACACACTCACCGAAGTCAAAGCCTTCACCGACAAGGTTGAAAGGGATCAAACTTGGGAAGGTGATCAGATTGAAGGCTTCGTCGTTAGAGCCACGGTCTCTCAGAAATCATCATTTGAATCAGAGGGAAAGCCACCATACCTACCTGGATCACCCTTTTTCTTCAAGGTCAAATTCAACGAACCTTACCTTCTCTACAGACAATGGCGAGAAGTCACTCGTCTGATGCTCCCCCTGCGGACTCTCGACAGAGACGACCAGGCAGTTCCGCCAGGGTCTCAAGGCGCTGCCAAGACATCGAGACCTGAAGCTAGGCGGCAGGATGACAAATATGATAACATCTGGATCAAAGTACGCAAGCGGACTCAGCGGCCTGAAGTGGCGGTGTACGCAGACTGGTGTGGAGACATGTTGAAGCGCGAGCCGAGTCTTTTCGACGGCTACGAAAGGGGTGTGGTTCGGGTTCGGGAACGGTTCCTATCTTGGATTGAAGCGGAGGGCAAGGGAGCTTGGCAGCAGGCGATGACGGGAAAGTACAAGCTCAGAGGGAATCCGAGGACATCTCGCGTGAAACAGGAGGAGCCGAATGCACCAACCACCAGCAAGCCGGTCAAGTGGCTCGTCATCCCCATAGCTGTCCCAGGGTGTGGTGAGTCCAGCTGGTATGCCTCAAGTCCTTCCGCTGACCACGAAACAGGCAAGACGCTGGTTGGTGTGGCTTTAACCAGACTCTTTGGGTTCGGACACACTCAAAGCGACGACGTGACGGCAAAGAGGACCGCTCCAACGTTCTTGAAGAACATCACAGATCTGTTCAAGACCAATGATGTCGTCTTCGCTGACCGGTAAGTCCTCACCTGCTCAACCTGGACGGCTTGTGGGCTTATGATGACTCAGGAACAATCACATCGACAAGCACTATACCGAACTCGCCAATCTCGCGACGACGAAAGCTTTACAGCCGTACGAACTCCGCCTTGTTGGTGTGATGTGGAACGTCACTGATCCTCCCTATCACCGAGTCCTTCGGGTATGCTCCGATAGGATTTTGAAGCGAGGTGACAACCATCGCACACTCCGACCCGATGCCAACAGTGCAAGCGAGCACGAAGCTGTTCTAGCTATGTTCCTTCGAAATTGGACGCCTCCAGATCCTGACGCCTTTCGATCCATCATCAAGGTGGAAGTAGAGGATGATCCGAGAACTGCGTTGCTCAAGGTCATCGACGGCCTTGTGGAGGCTATAGGGCTACAGAGACCGAGCGACGAGGCCATTGATGAGGCGCTGAACGCTGGCGAATCATATAGGATAACCGGACCATACAAAGCACCTCAACAGCTATTGGCAAAACCACCACGATACTATGCTCTCGCGCCTGAGCTCAACATTCCAAGTCTGATGTCGACTATTTTAACAGGCACTCGAGCATCGAAAGCCAAAGAGGTGTACGATTTGGTTCACAAGGCTGAACGGATCGTCACCAATCCCCACATTACCATCTGCCATCGAGACGACGTAGCGAACGAGGAAGCTTCTGCGGAAGAGACAATAACAGCACCGATGAATCAACTCTGGAAACAGTGTCAAATGCTTGCGGAGCACCACCAAAGCTATGATTTCCACATCACCCATCTGGTCTGGGATGATCGCGTGCTCTGCCTCGCCGTGACTCTCTCGCCTCATACCGATGAACCATTAACAAACTTGAGTCTCCCTGTGTCCAAGGAAAGGCAACTGCACATCACAGTCGGGACCGTCAAGGAAGATATTCGGACAATGGAATCAATCAAGCTCGTGCTTGCGATGAGGGATGCCTTGGATAAAGACGCTGACAGCACCGAGGCACAGGAGGTCATTCCGGATGGCGGGCGAGTCAGATGGATTGAGGTAAAGCCCAGCGTTCGTGGGCAAGGGCGTGTAAGAGGCATGTGGTGAGGAATTGCTGAATTGCTTCTCATCTCGAAAGGGGAAGCTTGGGGAAGCTTGCATGTATGTTTACAAAAGACAAATTATCGTTGCCATGAAATTCACTAGCTATTGTCGCTCTATAGAGCGACGGCATTTGATAGCGACAGATCCCAGATCTGGCTTCTTCTTACATCATTCTCTTCACCCCAAGACAGCTGCGTCTAGCGTCGCTGATCCACAGGCTGCTGCCGATACTTTGAATAAGCATTCTGTTGGTACTCGTTCTGATGCGATGGCTGTTGTTGTTGTTGTTGTTGTTGATAGCCATCCTGGGATGAAGAGTACGGCTGGTGTTGAAAGCCATCCTGAGCGGATGAGTATGATTGTTGTTGCTGGTATTGTAATTGAGGTTGAGTATGATATTGGTGCGGGGAACTTCCCTGAGGTTCGGTGATAGCATGGTGGGGGAAGGGATGAGCCCAAGTTCGGTTACTAGTCTCTCCAGCATCGGTTTCGAATGCACCTGTGGCGTATTGATCGGGAATCTTGACACCTTGAGCTTGGAGGTCATCCCTCATTCCGATGATAACCTTTTTGCGGACGGCCATCATGCGGCGGTAGATGAAGATCAAGGCTCCAATTGTCACTACTGCCGTGACGCCGAACCTGAATGTTCGAGGTGAATGAGCTTACGCAAACGAAGTGATGGAATGTGACTTACACGCTGTCGGAAACGACGTGCGAGTTGGATGTCGGGTTTTGTTCGCCAAGGACGACTCCGACTGAAGCATGTGTCAGTGTTTGGGTGACACAAAGTTGAGGCTGTCACTGACCGTATACAGAGAGGAGCTGGTCCAGGTATCAGTGATACACCAAGGGCTCGGCTTCGATCGTACTCACCTGCTTTGGCAAGGCTAGAATCAAAGCGAGGAAGAAGTGGTACCACTACGAGAGGGGTGAGCATTAAGCACAGGCAGTGCTATCATGTACCCACCTTGAGCCCGCAGACGGCGAACACAGCCTAGAAATCTGGTCAGCTTCTTTCGAGGACGATGAGGCCACGACCAACTGTAGTGAAATGGCTTGATACTCGTCAGCACGGTGCACAACTCGGTTCGAGATGCTCACGTTGGAATAACACTCAATCTTACGATCCAAGCCATGACAAACCCTCCTTCGATGATTGCTTGACTTAGACAAGCATAGTTCAGGCTCTTCTTAGTCATTTTCTTGGCACGATTCGTGCATAAATACTTGAACACGCTGGGATGGTCGGTACGTCAACAACGCGCAAATCATTGAAAGTGAAAACTCACAAGTAGTTGGCGCCTTCACCAAGGATGATGCCGACAGCGACCTGAGTGGTCCCATGTGAGTGCTAAATCCTTTGAAGCCAGCCGAGACGACATACAATGGCAAACCCTATCCCCAGACCCCATACGAGACCTACTAGGACCATGACGATTTCTGAGACAGGAAGTTAGTTTCACCGCTTGCCGCCTTCCGTTCGAAACTCCCTCACCATTTCCAAAGAGCGGTGGGAAACTGAGAGCGAATAGGATGCCCACAGGGATGAGCCAGCCGTATTTGATGGCTTGGATTTTGCGGACAAAAGGCTCCAACCAGTTGATGATCTAATTTGGGTATGAATACGAGTGCTTCAATGTGGAAAACTCACAGTTTTGTGGAAGAACGCCATGAGAGCGACGATGATGACCAGGAAGACGAAAGCTACATACCACCACTTCCATTCTTTTCTGAACCAGAATCGCCAGTTTCTAGCCTTCTCCCAGTTGATGATCCCCCTTTCATATGCCTCGAGCTCTTCAGCAGTCAACTCATCTGGTGGAGGCTGTCGGATCGGAGCAGTGTAAGCTACATTGGGCTGAAAGCCTGATTGAGAGTACGCTTTGGAATGGGTAGGCTGAGCCCCTTGATCATACCTCTGGCCACTGGAGTAGTTGCCAGCGGTTTGGTGAGATGCCATGGTGGGCGGAGCGGTAGAAGGAGGGAGTGGAGGCAGAGTGGAGGGGGGGATAGGGGGTGAGTCGCGTCCGTCAGAGATCCTGGACGTATAAGTAATGTCGTGAGTGCGGGATTTTGATTCTTGATTCGCTCGTATAAGCCGGGAAGTCTTCTCTCCGAGACACAGTGATCCTTGTCGCACGAGTCGAGTGACAATGTTCAAAGTAACACAAAGTATGGTAGAAATGCGGTGTCCCGAAGAGTTTGCCAGTGGGTAGTAAATGACGATCACCCTTCTTCTTTGCCCCCCATTGCGCAGCTTGTGCGGTGACTCACAACATCAGATGTCTCAGGCACACTTCAACTCAAAAAAAGTTCTATTTTGGGAACAATCGAAGAAGATCAGCCAGCGCCTATCACAAACCTCACGGAAGCAAAAATGGACACACGCCTAATTCCCACCCTTGTTGTCGTCGTGCCGCTGGAATTTTGGTCATCGTGTCGATCCGAAAGAGTGCCATCTCAGACCTTTGGGTGAACGAGCGCACGTCCTGTGCACCAGAGACAAGGGCTCCCGGTCTCTTGAACTGAGCCTCCACCGTTCGAGATGCCTCGTGATGCGACTAGAATAGCATTGGATGGTGAGCTGAGAGGCTCCCCCAAACGCTAGCGACCCAGCTAATCTGTCGCCACCTAGTTGCATTCTTCGCTGCGTCCCAGGTGAGGCCTGAAGTCAATCATACCCTCTTGATGAGTCAGCTGAGACTAAAGTCAGGTCGCATTCTACTATGCGCTTCGATACATGCTCTCCTCGATGGATTCGCCCGGTTCATCGTCCAAGAAAGCCAGACAAAAGGGTCAAAAACTGTTGACAGAATCCGGGCTATCGGATGAACAACTGGAGGCGCTAGACCTCGACGAGTACGAAACGACGATAGCGGGGGAAATCATACCTCCGGCTAGTATAGACGTCACGTTTGAAAGTATCGGTGGACTAGACGAGATCATTGCGAGCTTGAGAGAGACCGTGATCTACCCTTTGACTTTTCCGGAACTCTTTGCCGGGGCCAATCGCTTATTGAGCGCGCCCAAAGGTGTGCTATTGTACGGACATCCAGGATGTGGAAAAACCATGCTTGCCAAGGCCTTGGCTAAAGAGAGCGGCGCAACATTTATCAACCTTCCATTGTCGAGCTTGTGAGTGAGCGTGGTCAGGACCTGGCTGACTTGCAGGACGAACAAGTGGTTCGGAGAATCCAATAAGCTCGTAGCCGGCTTATTCTCCCTCGCCAGAAAGGTTCAACCCTGTATAGTAAGTTGCCGTCTGGATGAAGCCTAGCTGACCATACGCAGATATTCATAGACGAAATTGACTCACTATTCCGCGAGCGGTCGGCCGGAGATCATGAAGTCACATCGATGATGAAGGCGGAATTCATGACGTGAGGCATTCCTTTCGAGGAGTGTCACGGCCCCTGACGTTGGTACAGGATGTGGGACGGTCTGACAACGGACAAGGAGACCCGTATATTGGTGCTTGGCGCAACAAATCGTCCAAATGAGTGAGTCGCAGAATCTTTCGGCTCTCCAATGACTGATCAAATCAGCATCGACCCGGCCATTTTGAGGCGTATGCCCAAGCGATTCCCTATCAAGCTCCCTAATCTGGATCAACGCATCAAGATTCTGACCTTGGTGAGTGGTCACCTATGTCGATTCCACTCTTGCTGAACACATCGATTCAGATGTTGGCACATACCAAACTCGCGCCAAATTTCTCAATCCAGGCTCTCGCCCGACGCACAGACGGTCTATCAGGCTCTGATCTTCGCGAGACCTGTCGGAACGCAGCGATGGCTCCTGTGCGAGAGTTGATGCGGGAGAAAGGTAAATCAGGGAAAGAGGGTCTCGAGGCGGCGCGGAAGGAGGTGAGCGTCCATACCATGAATACGAGTTTATCATCTTTCAGGGATTCAAAGTCCGCCCGTTACGCATGGAGGACTTTGTTCTGCACGACTCGCATGCTTATGCCCATGTCGAATCGAGTCGTAGACCGCCAGGCGCATACGGCGAGGCTGTCGATTGATGTTATCCTGTATTGTATTACATACATGCATTACACATCTCACTCTGTACTCGTCACAGCCCAGCCTAGTCTAGATTCATCCGTGTGTCCCATAAGGTCTGTACGAAGTCATTACCAATATCATGCCGAATGCCATCTGGATTGTGGCCGTCCCAATCTTCATACCAGCTCTCATCGGCTTCCGGGTGGGTACCTATTAATCCGATTGCCCCTTTGTCGAGTCTTTGGATGATCGCATCGGGGTCTCCGGTATACGTATAATTGCCCATGATGATTGTATCACGTAACACGCTCTTGTCAAGATGGACCTGTCCTCCATCCTGGAAGCTGTACATGGAGAAGGCGTCAATGATGTTTTCAAAGGGCAGATCATCGACGCCACCGTTGCGTTTTCCGCCAACAATATAATTTTTTTGGCGGCACAGCAGGAAAGCAATACACAGCGAGCGACTTCACGAACTCACTATTGCCATCGCCGTTTTTCCACTGTTCCTCGCTTCTTACCAGTGTGAAAAGCCCAATCAGTCAATATGATGGCGTCTTCTGCACCTTTGACCTGAGAGCCATTCTCAAACCTTTCAGAAGAGACCCAATTACCGGGTGGAAGTAAATTGAAATACGGCCGATCGGGTCCGGGTCCACGGGCCAGGAACGCACCATAGCAAATGCCTAGGTAGAGACCACCTGAAGAGACGTATTGTCTGATAGGCTGTGCATAATGAGCGATTTGTGGGAATTCATCATCCACGTCGTCTGGAGAAGAGAGGTCGGTCACCAAATGATGACAACGCGGAGCGCCAAATCGTAACTAACCACCTCCGCCCGGCCAGGCAAAAAGGTCCAATTTCTTCAGCGATTCGGCAGTCACGTCATTCTCTTCGTTGGGACCGAGGTAAGAGACTTTGAAGTGTGGGTTCGAATGGCGTAAGAGACGGGCTACACTCTCCGCACAGCCATCACAGGCTATCGGACCTCCGTAGACAGCGGCAACGGGACGAATACTGTCGCTGAATGGCTTTGAGACGAACCCGCCCATGAGTTTTCACTAGAAGATCTATTTACACGTCCAGAATGCAATTCATGTGAATTGGGGGGATGGAAAAACATGTAGCTGTTGTGTTTTGGTCATTGACAGTTACGTGCAACGGGCCGCGAGATCATACAGTTGTAGCGATCGAGCGGATGCCGTGTGTGTTGCCTGATGACCGACTCTCCTGGCCTTGTAGACCACACGTTTGCAAGTTGTTTTATGGCAGCTAGTCGAGCTGTGCGCTAAAAAGTCAGCCACCGCAGCCACTTTTGGTGTCCATTTGGGACCGACGACGACCAAAAATACACATTTTTTTCAATCCATCGATCTGCATTTGCATCTCATCCAAACCACCCACACACGTATGCTGCCGCTACGTCCTTGAAAAAAATGCGATGAAGCAACAAACCAGTTGATCATCACAAGGTACGCCATCAAGGGGAAGGACGGCGCACAGAGAGCTAGGAAAGCGAGGCAGGAGAGAAATGGTATAGACGAAGTGCCTATTTCCAGATGCAGCGAGGCAAGAGGGAAAACGAAAAACCCGTCCCGCGAGAGACCTTTCCAACCAAAGGGGTTTCACTCCGTCTCTGACTCGGGCAAAGTTACGCCCATTATGGGGAATGAACAGTGCTTTCCTGTACAGCGTGTCGTCAGAGGCTAATGGATGATCCATCACCTAAACTACACCAGATCGTTTACCGGTAAAAATTTTGACGTGTCTAGGCCCGGGAACGGGCCAAACATCGAACGAACAGGGCAGCGTGCGTCTATGTATGCACATGGGTTCATTTCCACTCAACGCGGGCCCATCGTGACCGCATCGTTTTATAGGAGGAGGTGACTGGATCCTTCTCCGAACTGATCATCGTTCCCCCTTCATTCTCTCACAACCATAGGTCCTGGCACTTTTGGGTGCTCGCCGGTTCCAAAACAACATGTCATCGGCATCTGCAGCGGCAAAAATGCTTTGTTGCGATCCTCGTTTAGAGGATTCGGTCATCTGGCCGCAAGGCGTCAGAACTCTGGCAGATCTCTTTCAGTACCAAGTGAACACTCGACCTGATTCGACACTTCTTTCTTTCCAGACGCCTGGAAAACCTCTCCAAACGTTCACATATGGACAGGCGAGGGATACAGGTCGTCGCGCGGCATTGGCCTTGAACCAAACAATAATTTCAACCGCCACTTCTAGCACTGCTGTCCGTCAAGCACCAGTCTGTGGGTTATGGTTCGAAAAGTCTCTGGAACTCCATCTGGCCATGTTTGCAGTGGTCCAGAGCGGATGTACATGGCTTGGCTTCGACCCCAACGCGCCTACGAGCCGAGTCAGCGTTTGCCTCGAAGACAGTCAAGCCTCCGTCATCATCTGCGATCAGGAACATCATGCTCGAGCACTCGAAGCTGCAAGAGGTGCCAAAGGCGTACAAGTCATCGTCAAGACTTGGTCAGAGCTTGTCGATCAGAGGGTCGACTCGGAAGACACTCTCCCAACCGTTCAACCGGGAGATGCTGCTTATTTGATCTACACGTCGGGCTCGACAGGTACACCGAAAGGAATCAGCATATCTCATTCAGCCGCGGTTACCTTTGCCCTGAGCGAGAGGACCATCCTTGGCACGAGCCCGAGTGATACAGTCTGGCAAGGATTCTCTCCTGCGTTTGACATGTTCATCGAGGAAGTGTGAGTGCTATTCTGTGCGGCAGTTGTTTGCTGACCTTGCTCCAGATGGGTCAGTATAGCTGGAGGAGCACAATTAGCCGTTGGAACGCGCGCTGAATGTCAAAATGTTCCTGGCCTGGGCGGGAAAGATGGTGTCTGGAGCCGTCGCGGTGTCACATTGGTCAATGCCGTTCCAACCTTGATCAGTATTATGACTGCCCTCGACTCTGACGATATGGTCATTCCGGAAGCTGTCCGCCTCGTGAATCTCGGTGGAGAAGCCTGCCCTCCAGCACTCGTACAACGGCTCTGGCGACCTTCATTGACCATTGTCAATACCTACGGCCCATCCGAGACGACAGTCACCGCCACGTACGCCATATTGAAACCCGATGAGCCGATCACCATTGGCCGTCCCCTACCGTTCTACCACGCAGTCCTTTTGCCCATCAGCGAAGACGATGAGCCCCTAGGAGCCAAGCCAATCCCAATGGGTATCTCTACCGGAACCGAAGGCGAACTCTGCATTGGTGGCTCGTGTCTTGGAAATGGCTATGTCAACCGGGACGAACTGACCAGTCAAAAATTCATCGCTCACCCTTTGATCCCCGGCGAGAAACTGTATCGTACCGGTGACCGAGTACGAATTGGACCACAAGGCGACATTCAATTCCTTGGTAGAATCGACGCTCAAATCAAACATCGAGGATTCCGTATCGAACTCGGGGAGATAGAGAATGTCCTGACATCCAGCGACATCGTCAAGACTGCAGCTGTCATCTGCACAGAGCCTGGAACTGAAGATGCCAAGCTGGAAGCGTTTGTGGTTTGTACAATGCCTCGAGATGAACTCGACGCTGGCAAGACAATCTCTTCACTTCGAGAAACTCTAGGTGGATTACCATCTTACATGCAACCCGAAATCTTCACTCTCCTTGATGCCGATGAAATGCCTCGACTCCCAAGTGGTAAAATCAACGCCAAAGCATTACATCAATTGGCACGGAACCGAGTGGAGCTGGAAGCACCCTCAGAGACGACAGTATGCGACGGCAATGATTCTATGACCGATGTGGAAGACAAAGGCGAGGTACTCCAAATCATGATGAAGGAATTGGCGGGCATGTTTCCTCAGCAGAGCAAACAAGGTCGCCTTCTCCCTTCCTCTGACTTTTTCCTCGACCTGGGAGGACACAGTCTTACCGCAGCTATCCTCGTTTCGAAACTGAGAAATAGCGGAAAAGGAACGGGCCTCGAAGGGATCGGTCTTCAGCAAATCTACGAGCTTCGAACTCCCGCCGCTATCTGCAGATACATTGACGAGGAGGCTAGCGAGCCTGGAACGCCAAGATTCAGCATGACCGAGAGCGATGTGGTGGATGACGATTATCGGGAACTGGACGAATCCCTCATCCCGACCTGGAAATACGTTACTTGTGCCATCTGTCAGATCCCAGCATTGGCCATCTTGTTCCTCATTCAAGGTCTATCCTTCATGGCGCCATACATGGTCTTTGACAAAGTGCACAAAATTTCCAACGTGGGTTGGGCCCTCGCTTGTGCCTATGGAGTCTTCGTTGTCGTTCCGTGGGTTATAACGTGCATGGGAATCATCGGAGTTCGCGCCCTTCTACCCGTTGTCAAACCCGGTCGATACCCCCTCTACGGACAATTCTACTTTCGTTGGTGGTTCGCTAAAAAGTTTCTCGGATTCATCGATCAATCGACGGTCGGAGAAACTGGCTTGTATCCTGCTCTTCTTCGCGCGCTCGGTGCCAAAGTCGGTCATTTCTGCCACATTGCTCCTCTGGCCACAGGACCCGCTATGAGCTTGCTTTCTATCGGTAACGATGTCGTTATCGGCAAAGATGTCATGTTTGCTTTCGAGACCGTCGGTCAAGGGTACCTTCAACTGGATCGTATTGTTGTGGAAGACGAGGTCCTCATTGAATCCCGAACGGTCGTCGAAGGGGGCGTGGTGTTGGAAGCTGGATCAGAACTCGGTCCCATGTCCATGGTCCCGCAAGGTACACGTATCGCCCGAACTACCAGATGGACAGGTTCTCCAGTTCGTTTCGAAGGTATGGCTGCCGAGCCTTTCCAGGGGAAACCAACGCGGCCTTCCATGTTCCGATACATGGCCTGCAATGTCACCTACCTTTTCTTGTCGACTTTCATCCTTCCGCTCCTCTATTACATCCCTCAAGTCCCGAGCATTCTCCTATTCGAGGTTCTCTCCCTGCGACACGAAGGTATCAATCCGTGGAAGCGCACTGCGATCGTGTCTTTCCCCGCATCACTCGCATACATTATCGCCGTCATTGCCGAAGTAATCATCCTGCGGTGGTTGGTTCTTGGTCGTGTCAAAGCTGGCACTTACAAAGTCGCCTCTTTCTACATGATCAGGATTTGGATTGTCGATCGACTCATGGACATGTCACTTGCGATCCTTCACCCGATCTTTGCATCTCTATACGTTGTGCCATTCCTCAGGGCTCTTGGAACGAAAATTGGACGTCGAGCTGAAGTCTCCACCGCTCAAGGCATGAACTTCGATCTCGTCGATATTGGAGACGAGGCTTTCGTGGCTGATACTGTTCTCCTTGGCGAGAGCAATATCTTCAAGAACGAGTTGACACTCGAGATGACTCGGCTAGACTCTCGGGCTTTCGCTGGAAATGGATCATTGATTCCTCAAGGTACTGTCCTCGAGTCGAACACTCTCGTCGGTGTCATGTCGATCCCGCCTCAAACCGACAAATGTGGAGTGTATCATCTGCCAGCAGGTCAAAGCTGTTTCGGAAGCCCACCTGTCGTCATGCCTAACCGTCAAGCGCCTACTACATGCCACGCCGATAACTTCCTCTTCAACCCGAAACCCAGCCAAATCGCCATGAGAGCTTTCATCGAGTTCATCAGATTATGGCTACCTCGACTCATCATCATTCTCGGTATCGGTTTCACTCTCAAGTTCTGGGAAGAAGCCAATCGACATCATCACATTGGTGTCGCTCGTGGCATCTTCCTTTTCCCCGTCTTTTACCTCTTCCTCTTCTGCATGCCCGCTCTCATCTTTACTTTGCTCCTCAAGTGGTGCTTCGTTGGCGAATACTATACCGTTGAGTGGCCCCTATGGAGTTTACAAGTTTGGCTCTCGGAAGCAGTCACTTCTATATACGAGTCGCTCCTCACACCTTTGTTTATGGATCTGTTCCTCGGAACACCCTACTGCGCCATGGTGCTCAGATTGTTCGGTACTCGAATCGGTAAAAAGGTCACTTTGTTGTCTTTGGACATCACCGAATTTGACATGGTATCCCTGGGTGATGAGAGTGTCCTCAATGCTCAATCTGGACCTCAGACTCACCTGTTCGAAGATCGGATCATGAAGGTCGGACACGTCCACTTGGAAGCTCATTCCGTCCTCAAGACCGCCTCCACGTGTCTTCCGGGCAGTACCATCGGTGCAGGATCTACGGTTGGATCCCTCTCACTCGTCATGAAGGGCGAGGTGGTCCCTCCGAATCAAGTTTGGGAAGGAGCACCTATCAGGCGTAGAACGGGACGAGCAGGTCCCAGCAAGAAATAGAACGCTAGAATCGCAAGGCACGAAATCATCATCAGATTCAATCCATCATGCTTCTTCCCTACACATATGCTCATCCAATCATGTTGTCTGTTTGTAACTCTAGTCATCCATGTATGCTATGCCGATTATGAACGACGCCGCGCTGGTCATGCCACGAGCATTGTATTATAAATGGGATGTGGGGTCCATCCATTGAGGCGGAGATTTAGAGTTTCGGTACCTGATTCAGATGCGCGCCAAATCTCAACGATCCCATCCCATTATCTCGAGCAATGGGGCATGAATACTTATTCGCGATGAATAGAACCACCAGACAGCCCCTAAAAGTCCCTATAGCGATCCCTGTGAGGTTGACAACCTCCTTGTAAGTGTTAGTTGGTCATGCATTGCTCCCCCCCAGTTGCGAAGAGGGGTCCCGTCTCGCCCTTTCTCGTGGCTCGGGACGCCCCTTTGCCGGCATTTTTGACATTTTGAGGATTTGGCACCCAATTTTTTCTCTTTGGGCGTCCATAGGATCCATCTTTGTTCAGTGATTCTGCGACTCTCAGGAATGTCTCGCATGCCCGCAGCTCATCGGCTACTGACCAGGATCTAGATCCACAGCTGCTGCATGGTCGAGGTAATGAGCTAAAGAACCACTCGGCCCAACGCTCAACCGTCTACCAGTGGTCGACATGTTCGCCATCGATACATCATCTCCATCGACTACCTCCGCCCGAACGCCCTACGCTGCTCCTCGAACACCTTCCGCCTCACCTGTCAAGTCGAAGCGATACGATGGACTTCTCAACTCGCCAACAGGGAGTATGATTCGATCCTCGAGCCCGACCAGAGCTGGTGGTAAGCGGAAAGCTCTTCCGCTCTCATACCGACGTCGCATGTCCCCGAGAGCATGGCGGACGTTGAGGCGATTGGTCCTGTGCTTCGCTTCGTTCCTGCTGGTCTGCACGACGACGGGCTGGGGATCAGGTGATAACATTTTTCCTCATCGACTAGGCTTACCCTGGACGCGAGAGGAAAATCCTGGTCCTTGCCAATTCGTATCGCCTATGGAGGCTTATCGGAATGACCTCGCTCGACTGCAACGTATCCACGCTTCCCGTGGCGCTCACGGACAAGCTCAACGACCTCTTCTTCATGACTTTAATGAATCTCATGCGCATTCTCACGCTCATCAACATCACACGTTTTCCACCAATGGACATTTACTGGTATCTCCGGATTCCGATGCTCCCCATCCTATACCATTACTCTTGTCAGTCGGAGAGAAGAAATGGGAAGATCTCTTGTCCCGTCAGTCAACGACCCTAGAAGAAGCAGTCGAGGAGTATACGAGGAGATATGGTCGCCGACCCCCAAAAGGATTCGATATATGGTGGGACTTCGCTGAAGTCTTCAATCTAGTCTTGCCCGATGAGTATGATAGGATTAATCTCGATTTGGCCCCTTTCTTTGCCCTACCGAAAGAGGAGATGAAAAGGAGAATGCTCATGGTGGAGGATATGCCCGAGACATTCACGGTCATCATCAAGGATGGCAGGGTCGATGTACAGGTGGGTCGCCAAGTGATGCTTGGCTAATACACCCAGATCCTCGACCCAGGTGGTCTCAGATGGGAGGGTACATGGCCAAGAGCTCGAGACGCCGCATCGTAAGATGAAATATATGTCCGTGCGTGTTCTCTATGCTGATAGCATAGCTTTCAGTCTCATAGAAGGCTTCGCTCGCTTTCTGCCTGACCTCAGAGTAACCTTCTCAATCTTTGATCAACCCCAGATCTATCTCTCCTGGGCTAGGCGCAAGTCACTCATGGAGTTGGGTCTACGCAACGAGCGTGGGTCCAAGGCGATGTCAATCTCACAGCCATACTGACTTTTCGGGCGCGACAGACACCTCGCATCTCCACGAGATCGACGATATCGAAATCAAGCTGTCCAGAAGTTGCTCTCCAGACTCCAACTTGAGGCAGTCAGGGCAAAACTTATCTTCTGGTAAGCCTTCGTCGTGAGAAGAGATTCGATGTCTCACGGTTCCTAGGCAAGTCTTTCATCCATGACAATCTTCAAGCGGCCGATATATGCCAAAGTGAGCCTGTGTAGCAGTCTATCAATGCTGATGAACCACAGACCCATACCTTGTCCCCTTACACGGCCTGACCATCGAGCATCACGCTGCGACCTCACATCCTCGTCCTCATACTCATCTCTTGCCTTTGTTCAGCCTCGCCAAGACTTCGATCAAGTGAGTCATACATGCATCTCCAGGATTGACCATCGCCAGCTCTGATATCCTCATCACGCCACTGGATCAATTTTTCGACAAACCCGGCCACGATCCGAAATGGGAGCGTAAGAAGAGCTCCAAGCTGGCATGGGTGAGGCGGCGTTTTCCTTCCGATTCGTAGAGGTGCTGACGCTATGTCATAGAGAGGCAGTCCGACGGGCATTTCGACAATGACGAGTGACTTACCGTGGCGTGATTCTCACCGAGTGCGACTACATCATCATGCCAATAACAAGTCGTCCGCGCCAGCCGAAGTCATGGTGCCCCACCTGGGATCAAATCCTTATGACGGTCTCGAGTTGGGTCAGACCCAAGAGGTCCTATCAGTCAAGAAAATGAACGACTTTTTTTTCGACATGAAGCTGGCTGGACGTCCACTGCAATGTATGGAAGACGATGGAACCTGCGCAGACATGCAGTAAGTAAACACTGGCTATAGCGGGGAGTGCATCTGATTTCTCTCTCAGGGAGGAGATCGATTTCGCCCCGTTCCAGTCGTCAGATGATTTGAATAAACACAAATTCTTGCTCGACATAGACGGCAATGGCTGGAGGTGAGTCTAAATAGTGAATTGCCCGTGCTGACAGGTCTCCAGTGGTCGTTTTCGAAGGTTCGTCCCGAGGATTAGGCGCAATTGATGGCCCGTTGACGACTGCTCAGACTCATGCGCACGAATTCTTTGGTAATCAAAACCAGTCTCTTCACGGAGTGGTTCCAGCCACACCTGATACCGTGAGTCACTCTGACAGAGGATCAGCTAATGATCTAGGTGGTTCATGTACGTGCCAGCCAAGCTCGATTTCTCCGATCTGCCGGACATTCTGGCGTTGTAAGTTGTGCTGGGCGGTGCTCAGCTAACGGTCAAGCTTCCGGGGCAGTCCCAAGCATCCTGACATGGGTTTTGATGAGACAGCAAAGGCGATCGCCAAGAACGGAGTGAGCCAATGTCAGAGGCAATCGGGCCAAGATCTAATCTCTCCAGCAATGTTTCGCGCAGCGAATGTTCCGACTTGAGGATTTGCAAGCGTACATGTTGAGACTTCTATTGGAGTATGCGGTGCGTTCGGATTGGCGGATTCCACGTGTCGACAGCACTGATATCCCTCTCAGCGCCTGGCTGCAGACGACGGTGTGGATATGGTGAGTGCATAAAGTCTGAAGCTGATTTCTCACCAAATCTATTAGGACTTCTACTTGGACAGTCCGAGCCCCGAGCTTGACCCCGACTATCAAGGGCGTATTCTCACCATGTACCCAGATGACTCACCTTATGCCGACGATATGAAAGAGAGTATTTCGACGGGTGCAGGCCATGAAGTGGATCAGGCCGAGATGGTCAGCGACTTTGATTTTGACCATACCGCTGGAGAAGACGGCCAATGGGCCGGATACGAAATGAGCGAGGATGAGAATCACGAATCTTGGAGAGAAACGATTCCCGTCTTCAGTGACGAAGAGGCTGAGCACGGTGCTCATCGTACTGACCATGGGGTATCCGTGCACGGTGCACATGAAGCAGCGCTCCGTGGCGTGGACGAATCGGATAAAATGCGGCCGGAGGTCAAGACGAAGTCGGCCAATCGAAGGCCGAAAGATAATACGCCTTTCATGATATCGGCAAGCAGTCTGGAAGACGAAGACGAGAGCTTGGATTCTGGCGAACTTGAGGTCGACGAGCCAGATCAGGATCCGTTCCTTGGGGGCGAAGACGATGAGAGGTATTGGGAGCAGGTCGATGTGGCGGACGAGACGACCGCGGACGAGCAAGAGAATTGGAAGAATTAGCATATGAGCATGGGACTGGACAAGACGTTACACCACTATATTCAATCGCACGTTAATTGAGGTTCTTCAGAATTGGGTTAGCACATAGCATATGCAGCATGCAGGGGTTCCGTGGAACGAGCCGCTGTGTTTTCACAGACTCTCTCCGCCACACGTGTTTCACCTCTTAGCGGGTTTCGGATAATAGACGCGGAAAGAAGCGAATTCACAACCGACACCAATTCTCTCTCCCTTTCATACATTCCTCAACACCATTGCACTACATCAAGCTGTCAATTGTGCATCAGCCTCGCCAATCAATGACTCAATAGTGATGGTGTCTCTGTTCGCCTTCTTCACAGGTAAGAAAAAGAGCAAGAGCAAGGTTCGAGCGCCAAGTCCAACCTCACAAGCTCAAGGACGAGCCGAGCGACCATCCCCTCCAACACGTCAACGGTCATCCAATCGATTTCTTTCCCTCAGAGGGAAGACCTCGAAGCCATACGATGTATCCAAGCGTGATAGTCGAGATGAGGATCGGCGCCGGACTCTCGGTGCATCAATCGTCAGACCTGATGCTGAGGAAGCTCCTCGCCTGACTTTGGGTTGGGAGGGACGTGCGCGAACGACTGGGCTTCAAGCGAGAGAAGTATTTGTGGGATTAGATCAGATTGGGAGACCGCCAATATTAAAATCGGATGAGATCGATGTGTTGAGAAAGCAGAAGTGGGCTTGTGAAGAAGTCCTACAGGGTTGGAAATGGTTCGGTGCGAGTCTGAAAGAATCAGGTAGGTCTTCACCGGAACATGACCTAATTCCTGCAGCAGGTCTCGAAACCTTAGGCATCATGCTCCCTCTTCGGGTCGGTCAAGATCAAGACGTTCAGTATCTTTTGCTGGCTTTGTTCACACTCGCCATTCGACCCAAGCTTGCTTCCTTCTTCCCTTCCTTGGCCGACTTTTATTCACGCTCGAAACCAGCTGAAGACGGTACCGTAGCAGAACCTCAAAGTGGATGGACTGAGCGACTTCTGAACCACCTCGAAGAGCTGGGGAATGCAATTGACAAGGCTGAAGTGCTCAAATTTCTCCTGAGACACCTTTCACTCTCACCTGTTCTGCCTCACTCCCTCGATCCGTCTTCACCCCTGAAACCGTTTTTGGACGACGAAACATATGGCGCTTTCGTCCGCGGCGAGAGAGAATCATCTTACAATGTTCAAGCTTACGAGTTGATCTTCCTCCCTAGACTACGCATGGGAGTTGTAGCATACCTTGAGGAGATCTTCGAAGTGTGGGCTGCTATTGTGGTCTTGGGAGATGTCAACAGGATGGGCGGGGGTCGTATTCCCTTACTACTGGGATGGTGGGTCTGGGGACTAGGGTCAAGCGATAGGTCGCGTTCTTGGAATCAGCTGTACGACGAATGGCGGTCAGCCGGCAGGAAAGTTGAACACTTGTTTTACGCTTGGATCAGGTGAGTTTCCCCCTTAATACCAGAAAACTCACTGTTTCCAGAAATCAATCGACAAGACAGAAGCTACCTATACGTCTGCTTGAGGTCGTCGAGCGTTACCCGTTCACAGCAGACCAGGAAGCAAATGAAGCTCCTCGACCTCCACCTTCCACATTTGCCCGCAAGACCCTGCACGTCAGCCTGCAAACTTTGCAGACCACGGCCAGAGCGTCAACTCCAGCGAAAATCCTTAATCACGCTTTGAATGCCAAGGTTGATGTGGATTCAACTGCACCCATCTTTGAAGCTCTGCGTGTCAACGATCCACAAGCTGTAGAACCGGTGCTGCTCTCTGTGGATGATCTCTTGGCCGAGGACTCGAAGGCTTTTCTTGAACAATCGCCCTCTGTGAAGGGCGAAGAGAAGTCGAAACTAGCCATTCCAGCAAGCTCCGACGCTCCTATCGAACGATCTCGTGACACTGCAGGCGACTTGCCCCTCTACCGACCATTCTCAGTGGTCTCGCAACAGCTTCCCACGTCTCGGATGACTCGAAGACGCTCTCAATCTCTAGGCGATACCGACACCAAACCCCTCTCCATGGCTATTTCTCCGCTCCAAGCTCTCTCGGAAGAGGTGGAAGGCTTGATCAACAGCTCGCCATCTCGTCTGAAGAAACGTCCGTCCGAGAGTGTTATCCATAGAGAGCCCAATGAAGCCTCCGGCGGGGGAGCGCTTTGGGAGAACTTCGAAAAGTCTGGCTTTGGGAACTCTCCTGAGCCAGATCTCCAGTTGTCACCGCCGAGTAGTCCAACCGCTCTCTCGTCTATGGCGCAGGACTCGATCTCGTTAGGATACGAAAAGATTGATTTACCGAGGACGAAGAGGTCGTCTATTAAGCCAAGCATACCCTCGATTTGCATCTCCGCCGAGTGTGTCATCGATGTAGACGATCTATTCATGGCCTTCGTCGAGGATGGCCAGCTTGATCCTTCCACGCAGTCTTGGCCTTCATTTGCTCTGGTCCGACTGGCCCGCCCTTATGTATCTGACGAATCGTCCGCAATTGAATGGCTTCTGGTTACTATGGAGCCCCGACCTCCTCCTGTGCCCGAGAAACCCGCTCAGAACCTCCCCGAGCGGTCAGTCTCGCCCGGCGCCATCTCTACGTCCTCAAAGTTCGGCTCATCATTCGGTCTCTTCCGCCGAACCTCGTCTTCAATGAGCATCCGCAATTCAGGTCGAAGATCCATCTTCGGTGGCGGCAGTCGGGCAGAGTCAAAACACTCAAGAAGCATTCCGAATCTTGCATCTTTGCCTGAGAGCCAATCTGCAACTCTTCGAGCCGCATCTGCGGATGCTAACAACGCTGCACCAGTAACGACCATGTCGACAGCTCCGACCGAGTACACTATCACGGATCTGGGCGACATGGTAAAAGTCACAAATACACAGGACGACAATGCTCTGCAGTTCGATCCTTGCTCCGAGACTCATGCTCGCGATTGGTCCTACCGCGCTGAAGGAGGTGCTCATTTCATCTTCGGATACGATGGGTCAGCGAAAGGATACGTCGATCGTGTCCTTCGGATACAGAAAGCTGTTGCTGCTTCTGGGCCAGATGAGACAATGAGACGTGTCTGGGTCATGGACCTTCTACCGAAATTACTGCCTCGCGACCTACTGCTTCAATCTGTGCTCGTCGAATTGCAAGAGAAGTGGCTCAAAGAACTTATGTCAACTGACATGTCGAAGCGACCAGAAGAGCGAAAAGGCAGTATGGCTGGGACCGCATCGCTTACCGACTCCATATCAGGCTCTACTCATGGCTGGATCATGGACGACCTAATTGCAAGGGGGAAAAAGGAGGAGTCTGTCCTCTGCGTCGAGATTAAAGTGAGTGGATCATTTCACTTTGAGAACTGATGATAGCCCAAATGGGGTTTTCTCCCGGATCAGCAACACGTTCAGCCACCAGAAGCGGCGGGCATCAAATCGCAGATCCCACGCTTCCACCTGCACGAACACTTTCGTGGCAACTACACATCCGAGGACGTAGGATACAATCCCCTCGACTTGTTCTCAGGCCAGCAGGCTCGCATGAAGAAGGCTCTAGAAGGCCTCTGGCTTGGCTGGGAGGCTAGCGAAGGGAGGAAGAATAATTGGAGGGTCTACGTCGATGGCCAGGTCGTCTTGCCAGCTTCTGTGAGTCAGCTGCAAGCGAATGAAGATTGACAGAGTCAAGCCCATCGACGTGCCTACAACTGGCTCCAAGCAATCTGTGAGAGACAGCACGATCGATCTAGTCCTGCCATGTCTCATCTCATCCAACGTGTTCGGCCTTGTTGGAAGACTGCAATCTCGTCTCGATGCTACTGATATTTCGGATCTCGCTACGAGGTATGGCGCGGAATATCCGGACGCAGAGCCTTTCGCCGGCTCTGCGAGCTCAGAAGCGACAGAAGCCGAGCTCAGAACATTGGTGGCCAGATTTGTCGCAGCCTCTGCCAATCCTCAACCCCAGTCATGGTCTTTGCGCGAGAGTCTGATCGCATATTCCCTGGCCGCAATCTTCAAAGACTGCTCAATCTTCGTTCGAATCCCTCTCGCTCGGAAGGATGGCTCGTGGCAAGTATCCGCCAATCCTTCGGTCAAAGTGGTTGACGTGGACTTGAAACCACTGTGCTCAATGCGTAAATGGTATGACCTGGATGAGAAGCTTTGGAAACACTGGTACGAGAATCCGCCGACAATTACAAAGGCAGAGGTTCCGCCCGAGTTGGGAGCTCCGATTGAGGCATCGTCATTCCCTCGCCCAGGTCCGTTCACCTCGCCATCCGTTCGAGCACTCTACGTGCCTACACCTGACCGATCTGCGCCGCACACTCCCATGGAGGTCAACGAGCAGCATATGAGGAATCTACAAGCGATGACCGACAAGGATCTTCCCAACAGTGTAGTAGCCGGTCAAATGTCGTCGACCGTCGACGATCCTCACCATGACGCTCCTGAGGCGCCTGAGGCTCCTGAGGCAGAGGTCCTAGTCGATCCACCTACTCCCATCCAGTTGTCCGACAATACAAAACGCGGATCTGAAGCCGTCAGTCTCGCTGATGCCTTGTCCATCACTCCATCTACCACACATTTTGCATTTTCTGGTCGGGATCGTGACGACAATGGAGAAGATCTCGTCAGACCATTGCAAGAGTTGCCCGAGGAACCGGAGGCCGTCCATTTATTGCCTCTGAAGGAGTCGGCTGAACCCACACCAGCATACAACGGCTCTGTTAAGAATCTGCCTGAAGTTCCTGCACAGACTATTCACGCCCCTGCCGTGCTTGATCAGACGGTAGTAAATGGCCGTACAAACGTCAGATCTGAGGCTCAAACCTCGCCAACTGATGACCGCTCTTTCCCTCCACCTTCACCTGGATCATTCCGCAGAGAGCGGTCTCTCGCTCCTTCCCCATCTCCCCAGCTCGAATTTAAAGACCTTCCCGTTCTTCCAGCGGACGAGCCATCCCGGCTAGCTGCAGGCACCTTGGAATCACCCGTCGATATTGAGAAGGAGCCGGAACCGATAAAGACATCCGATCTCGCATCCCAGCAAGAGCAGCCCATAGGCCACCAGTCATCAATGGATGGGGAGCTTCACAGCGAGAATTCTGGCAAAGCGCTTGATGACGCTGCTTCGGGACCTACTCAGATCAACACCAGTTCCCGCAGTATCGCTTCGCTTGCAGGAACAGCTGCGGCTGTGTCTGTAGCTGCCGTCGCCGGGACTATAGGCGCCGTTGCTGGCGTTGCAACTGCCGTGGTTGGAGCTGCCAGTCCGACAAGATCGACTTTTGCGCAAGACGACGAAGATAGTGGCGAAGCACATGGGGAAGACGGTGCTATCGATACGCCAGGGCGACAATCAAGCTTCGCTGCGTTCGACCAAGCTCACTCTCAGCCTGTAAGGTCTCTCGATGACGAAAAAGCTACCAACGCTCAAGCTATCCTCCATGATGCGGAAGCCCCCAATATGCCTGGTGCGGACACGTATGAGACGGAAACTTCGACTGCTGCGATTGAAAACGGGAAATTGAAGCTACGTGCGGCTGCAATTGCCGCTGACCTGCCTGATGCGCCATCCGAGAAAGTGGGTTACGCTATCGACGGCGTGAGCTCACAACGAAAACCGGGCGCTGACATCGCCTCAGGGACACACAACGTCTGAAGTGTCTGAGGCTGACTTGCAAGCCCCAGAGGCGACCTCTGCGGCGCAAGTCTCTACGATCGAAGAGGATGCTCAGAATGGTCTGCATACCACGCAGAGTCAGATCGTGGACGAGCTTTCTGGCTCCTCGTTTGAAGCTCCGGACAACACAGAACACCAGCGGTCCTCTAGTGTAGTCGAACCATCTGCAGGTATCCTCAGTCTTGAAGCGACCAGCAAGCTCTCAGCACTCTCCGACCCCTCTCAAGCGAGGGCTTTCCCTCGCTCTGATTCGAAGTCGTCTGTCTCAGGTGAGAGACCTCGTCAGCCGGATTCGACCGCCTTGGCGAATCGACTCGATCTCCCACGGTCAACCGAGCCCGGAGTCATCATTGACCGGCCAGTCTCAGGTCATGAAACAGGTCAAGAGCCAGAGATGTCTCAGATTGACAATCTCGGCGTACCAGGTAGCTTCCCTGATCTATCAGCTCCGCAAGACGTCAGCGATGGTCTTATAGGCGTCAGCGACTCAGCGGTCTCTCCTGCAGAACAATCTCAGCCCATGGATGAGACAGAGACATCTTTCATTGACGATTCTGAGATTCCTGATCAAGGGTCTCAGGAGCGCCCGTCGCCGAGGACCGCAGCCGGCAGATTAGACATGGACGAGACGACGTCGGCTAATGGTCAGAACGGACTCTTGGACTCTGCTGTGCAAATCCAACAGCATGTAGTTCACCCGAATGCGGAGACACAACTGGAGCCCAAAGTAATGGAGACACTTGTAAATGTGGAGACACAGCGTCCAGATCACTCGATCCAGGGGATGAACAATCTTGAGGATACCTCATTCTCCGAGCACAGTGGACTCCAAGGTGCATCCCGGAAGCTCGATGATGCCACAAGAGATCTCGAGCCCGGTGTGGCGGGAAGCGACCCCGCACTTGGCTCCGTTGCGGACGATGGGAGTACCGTTTCACCTCTCAATGGTCACGACGTTCCTATGGATCCACTCCAAGAAGCTGCCGTCGCCTCGGATCCTACAGATGGTATGTTTTTTGGGAGCGTAGTGACCAGGCGAACGCTAACGTCTCTCGCTTGCTTCAGTCACACCATTCGAGCATGCCGAGCCCCTTCAGACAGGGCTCCAAATGGACAGCAGGGAATCGGTGTTCCCGACGGCACTGTCTTCTGAGACTGACATGACATTGAACCCGCTGAACGATGCCAGCGACATGAACATTTCGACTGCTCCTGACGCAGGCAATTCACCTCGAGATGCACACGTTGTGGACGACGCATCAATAGCAATCGTAGGGGAAAGCCTTTCAGCTGCCCCAGGTCTGTCCATGGGCGAGTCTCAGCATCAGCCTATTCCCGTCACCACAGATTCAGCGCCATCTCCGTCCGAGCTTCCCGCAGCGGTCACTTATGATGCGCAGCAACCCGTCGAGCATCATCGCTCCACATACGACTCAGAATCAGCCGGCTCGAATACCATGATCGGTGCACGAGCCTTCGATGAGCTGCCTGCCAGTGCCCAGATTGAGGGTCTTGCCGATCAGCCCCAGACTCAGGACGAGCATCGCGAATCCCCCTTCCTGTCCGGTCTATCTCCCCAGGACGACAACTCAGCAGAGGCCGAAAACGTCGCCTTTCCCACGCAAGAATCTCAGCCGTCATCCGTCGCGAATGATCCATTCTCTGGTCAAACCCCTAGTATGGGCACAACGCCATTTATGACTCCGGGCTCCATGGCCCAAGATATGGGATATCCATTCGACAGAGATGTGCCCTCGAGACTGTCCTTCGCCACTGCGGACTTTGCGACCCCAACATCTGAGCCCGGGACGCCCAAAGTTGCCTCCTCGGAGGTAGACCATGACACTCCGAAGCTCGCCGGTCCATACCGAGACAGTGACGACCATCATGACGACCACAAGGGGCCTGTTGTCGGTCTTTCGAATGACGATGGGGACTACCCAGAATCCGCTGCGGATCGTACTTTCGGCGAAAGCAGCCTTGTCTCTGAAGCTGCACCTCTGGATACCCAAGATCACTCTATCAAAAATCCCCTGGTACCTTTTGTCATGCCTGGACTCGAACCAGAGATTCCGGCCAGGATGTCGAACCCCTTTCTGAGTTCGCAAGAGGTTCAAGTGAACAGTCTGTATCACCCTGCACCGCCGCGTCCGGATTCTGCATCGCAGCGATCGCTCGGCGCTAACAGGCTCTCGGACGGTGCCTCCAATGACGTCGATACCAGTGTGCGACGGTCGTCCTCCGCGACGTTTGGCGAACCCGATCATACCCTTTCAGAGGGTCAACCTACCGCTGACCAAGAAGGTCGCCCCCATGCTTGATCACCCTGTATCATAAGTCAATTCATTTTTAACGTCTCATGCTCGGCATTCACACATACACGCTCGGTCACGATCAATGTTTCAAAGTCCCTGAGTGGCACGAATGGCAATCTTTCACACTCTCTGTCATGTGTACATATTCTCACAAACTTCTGTCTTTCTACCGAATCTTACTACATACTATATCGATCTAGGACTAATGAACCCATGTATATTTGATGTCTCAATGGAAAGCAGGAAGCCAAGCGTTTTACGCGGACTATCTTCGCTTTCGGCAGCGCCTCTCACCTTGACGGGCGGATCAACCCGCTGCACGAGAATGGAAAGGTCGTTGACACAATGCGGACGCGATCCCTCTGCGTGGTCCCAGCCGTGGCGGTCTCGATCCATCGGACCATGTAGTTGTTTCAGTGGAAGTGGCTGAAACTCATCCAAGTGTCTCGTGGTTATAGGGAAGGCAATCGGCTGGTGGCACGATTTATCTGCCTGTGGCTGCGCGGGTTGTTGGAGTTGAGCACCAGACGGTACTGAAAATTGTATCATATCCGTGGAGTGGGCTGTCGCCCCTCAAAAATCAGTGTCCTGACGCTCACATGGGAATCCACGATGAACCCGTGCACTCACAATGTCAAGATCAGGTCATCACGATACGTTCGTCATCGATAGTAACGCATGCTCGTGTCCCCGAAGCGGACATGTTTGGGCGGCGGACCAGCATGCCGATGGGTGTAGTATCCCGTCATGGGGTCGACTACTGCTGGAGGCCCATAGAGTGTTTGCTTGTGGACTGGCAAAGGAGAAAGAGGGGCGACGAAAGGTGGAGGCGGCGATCCAGGATAGTAAGACGAGGCATAGACGGGCTGGGAATATCCATTCAAGGGAATCGGCGCAGCTGCATACGTGTCTCGTCGACGTTTACGGGCGAAGAATGCCGTTAGACAGCCGACGGGGAACAGGGCTGTGATAGTTGGAGGGGACCGTTCAAAAAGGAGTCGCCATTGAGGATGTGTCCGCCAGGCATTCAGGAGGCAGGACCAGCGAGATGGAGACAAGATAAAAGACCTTGGGTCAGCTACATGATTGACCATTGTCTCTTGACACTCACCGCCGATGACAATGATTCCTTTCCCACCGATCGCATGTACGGCTTGAGTTCCGCCACGTACCACCACGGAAGCAAAGCCTGTCGCCACTGATCCGTTGCAGGCCTCGCCACTTGTGATAGCCTTGACGAGCTCCCCGGGAACTGTGGAAGCGACGGCGTTAAGCGACTGAGTGAAGCTCGGCAACTGAGATAGGCTAGGGATAGTCTGTATGCAGGAAGAACAAAGCGTGATCAGCCTCAACGCAAACACGAGGCAGAAAGGTAGAGGATGACGTATAACGTCTGATCGGGATCTCGAACGGATAGGTCACTCACCTGATTGAACACTTGGAGTAGAATGGGAGCCATTGTGGATGCAGTGGTAGACCAAAGACAGGAGGAGTGTCGTTGAGAAGATCAGATCGGGATCAGTAAGTAGCAGTGGCAAGATATAAAGCTCAAAGAAGAGATCAAGTCCAATGACAGCTTTTTATAATTCCCCACCTAGCGAAGGCAGGGATCGACTGCCCTTGTACTGTACCAACCGGTTATGATGGCTTTAGGCAGTACACCCGAAAGCAATATCCCTCACATCCTTTGGCCTGTGTGTGTCATACTGTAAGCATGACGGACGTGTACAGTGGGCCCCTTATGGCTTCTACCTCGTACCGTGAGTCATTTCTGGGCGGGGAGGCCGTCGGACGTCCGCAACATGATATTCCCGCAGAAAGTGCGTCACTCGACACTCAAGTTACGCTTTTAATACAGCATTCGGATAGTCGCGCAAACGGAAATGTCCGGATAACAGCACATAGGAGGATAGCCGTTCAAGACTTTGGGTGCCTTAAGTGCTCCTCAGACCTCTATCGGATTGGAGACGAGGGATTGTGAATGATAAGAAAGTCGAAGTGTCGGTTCGATCGGGTGGCGATTGAAACCCGGGGCGATAATGAAACGCTTACGTTAGCAGTTTGAGACGCAGAGAACCTAGAATTGATTCGGTGCGAGTTATGATATCTAGTCATCTCAGGACTCGCAATGGCTCTCTGTGGGCCGAAAGCAAGCCTTGCCATCCTCTCCAAGAATGACTCTTGCCATCTCTTTTCGTTCTTCAGTGCATATTTGACGAGTTCCTTGCGCAAAGGACCTCACAGTTGCGGGCGGACATGATCTAAGGGACTGACTTTGGGAACGGCACAAGGCTTTGTCGTCGACTCATTTGAGGTCAATGACGGAGACTCAGTCTGATACGTTTCCCCTCTCATCCTCGAGACTGATACTACATCTTTCATCCCTATTTAGGCCTATAGTCCCGAAGACCTTTTTCAACGCCAGGCAATGAGCTTCGTGAGCCATTCCAGGCGGAATCTGTGAAGCGATCCGACTGACCTTTGCCTCAGCTGAGAACAATGTCCAGCATAACTCGGTCCTTTACTCCAAGAGATGAACGTAGCACATCTCTGCATTCAGGTGCTATTGCTGGTCAGTCTGGCTGTCAGCGAACGACCAATCTGGCACTCAGCTCACACGAGGCAGGAATCGTCATCTCCCTGCTCACAGTTCTGATCGTCCTCACGATTCTGGTTCTCTACCGTCGACGGAGAGGTCATCTACCAGGTCCCCTGTTACCGACTTCGAATCCAAAAGTCATGCCACCCATGCCAACTCTCTCTGCCAATGGCTGGGCAGGAGCCTACCCGCCACCGTACAATCAATCTCATCATGGCATCCATGTGCCTCAACTTAATCACGCTTATAGGTCAGAGCAGCCGGTTCCAGTGATACCCATCGATATGAGCAAGACGTACTATGTCAGTTCGACCGATCGGGAGAGAACTGTAGGGTTCGGATCAGTGACTGTGCGAACTTTTTGAAACGGTGCGAGATTTCACAGCACTATCTAAGCTACAAATATGCATGTGAGTCGTAACCTACCTGTGCCGTCATACAACATCATGAATGCACTTCAAAATGAGGGTCGCATCACTTCTCTGCCCTAGCCAGACCGGTAGGCTCCTTTCGTATCCTAGAGACTGGCCTCTCTATTCTCCCAGACGTCATGACCAATGCGTTTCGTCTCTGCTGTCCGAGCTCTCCTCCATCCTTTATGCCGAGCTTGGCTTCTTCAAGCTCGCGTCGCTTCTCGCGCCATGGTCTAGCATAGCGAATAACAAGCACAGGTATAGGAGTGCCAATAAGACATATTCCGGTAAGGAGGACCAATGTCCAGCCGGCTCCAAGAGCTTTGTAGAGGATCTGGACGATCGCTGTTCCTACGGCGCCTAGCAAGCAGCGTACGAGGTTGAACTGGAACGGTAGTCAGATCATGGACTCAGGCATAGCAAAGTGCGGGACCTACAGATGCCGATGCGGCGCCACCTTTTCCCGGCATCAGATCCTGAGCATACAGAGTGGCTGCGATGCATCAGCTCCTGGGCGCTTCCCGCAATGGAGGAGTCAACTTACCTGTACTCATGGTACCGGTACCCAAACCGGTGAAGAAGCCAAGAACTAGAGTGGCGGCCAACGGTGCCTTCACCTGAAGGGTCCAGCCCTGCGCCGTGGATGCAGAAAGGAAGACGCTGTTGGAGTTCTTCAGCTGTGGGACGACATTACACTATATCCACACTTACATAACGAAAGGCGTCAGACAACGGATTCTGGTCAACTCTAATCTAAAATCCTCTCCAGCCTTGCGATAGTCACCGTCCGCACGCTTCACCTCGCGCCGGTACATCCAGTCGAGCTGTCGACCATTCAATTGTGCAGCGATAAGGGTTCCAAAACCGTTGGGCCTTCTTTTCATGAGCAATCGGTTCCGCTGCAGCTCATGGAGGACTTACAGGTAAGCAAGACCGATCTTCAAATCGTTAAGATGATACGAGTCCCGTAATGCGGTAGAATAGAGTGTCCTGAGAGTCGAGTAAGGAATATGCTCTGCGTCGCCGGCTGTAACTCACAGAATCATGTAGAACTGCATGTACAGCAGTGACGCGTAGACGAAGATCAAAGACACCTCTGGAGTCAATAGAATGAGGAAAGCAGAAAGAGGCTGGTACTGCGGAGAGAGTCAGTCATGGTGCAATGTGCCGGAGGATCCACTCACTGGTTTTCGAGGTGGCCTATCTGTGTGCTCCCACTCCTCGCCACGCTTTTTCACATCCCGCTTCATTTTGCTGTGCTTGTATAGCATCATTGGACTCATATTTGACATTGGCGGAGGAATCGAGCCATCGCCAACGAGGGATCGGAGAGTTTCAGGAAAGAAACTAAGTTTGATAAGCATGCAATATGACTGACCCTGAAGAAGCTCACAGGATGAGGGGAACCATGACGACACCAGTGGAGATGGTTAAGAACCAGAATATACTCCGCCAGCCTAGCGTGTCGGCGAGCACACCACCCAATAGCGGACCAAAAGCTGGACCGATGCTAAGTCGGCGAGTTAGATCTAGAAGCAACGAAAGCGCGACTCACAGAGCTCCAAGCTGGAACACAGCGAAGAATTTGCCCCGCTCATGGGGCTCGGCGATATCAGCTATGCTTCCCGCGCCGATGGAGATGACTGCGGATCCACCAGTCGACTGTATTGCAAGAATCGGATGTCAGCTCCCACACGAGGCGAGAGACTCGATTAACACTGACCTGCAGAGCGCGGAAGAACAGCAACATCCAGTATGCGCTCGTTGGCATGAGCGCCAAACCAATGTTTGCACCGATGTACAGTGTGAGAGTGCCGATATATACCGGCCGTCTGCCGATAGTGTCACTTAGACTGCCAAAGAATGACGGTGTGATAGCTTGAAAGATGAGGTAGATGGTGACTCCAAGCGTAATATCTTGCTCTGAGCGATTGAAGTCTCTCGCTAATGTCGGAATGGCAGGTACGAAGATGTTCGAGGAGATGGGCGAGAAGATGCCCGCCAATCCGCCGAGAATGACGATCAACCATTTGGTCCGTTGTGGAAAAGCAGAGTACGGTCTCTGGGATGTGGGGGTTCGACCGACTCCGGTCACTGGACGGGCATGTTGCTCATCGTCTTCTTCTCTTCTAACTGAAGGGTCCCCCACACCTTCATCATCGTCGGAATTTCGCTGCTCAGAACAAAGCGAAGCTGAACTAGTGGCGGAGACAGTGCCCAGACTTCTTCCACTTGGCGATGTGTCAAGCGGAATCGAGCGATGGTTCTTGATGGTCACGGACCGAGTACGCTGCAAGTTGGTCTTTGCGACTTCATCTTGAGATACTGCTGCTGGTATTGTCTGTCTAACGTCTTGGCTGCTATTTGTATTCATGGACGGCAAGATGGATTCGACCAATGATGCAGAGATCGGCCTTCTCCACGTACGATGACCGTCGATTAAGGTGAAAATGCTCTTCGTCCGAGATGCTCTAGCTGGATGGTGATCTTGTGCCCCTCTATATAGTACTCATGCTCCACTGAACAAATGTCTGGTCCTCGGAGATGCCTTGAAGATTATCGACAACACAAAAACCCATGATCGACCTCGGGAATTATGATCAACAGTCCAGCCAAAATATTTCGGCCGATGACGTAAAAAAGCATGACTCGTCGGCCGACCAAGGCAACGACTGATTGATGACGTGTCAATTTTATCCTTAGCGGCTGATTTTGATAAGGTCCAGTGTTTGTCCGCGCCTGATTTTCAATCAACATTGACCCCCATCCATCCTATTGACTTTCAATCTTGATTTCATCCACAACACCGGCATCATGTCAACTCAGCCTCTGTCTGCCATGCTGTCTGGCTTGTATCTTGGTCCTTCAGACTCACCTACGCCAGATCCTGGCTCTCGATCCATCTTCTTGGCGAGTAAATCAGCGGCGACAACAACGTTGTCAGCTACTACGTCGTCTGCTTCGACCGCTGTCAACCCGGGCACCGGAAATCGGCTACCACCTGTCATGAAAAAGTACATGAATCCGAACCTTGTGCGACCCCCTAACACCGCTGTGAGCCAACACAGCTCTTCATTCTCAGCCAATCCGGCGTCTATAACGTCAGGGATCAACAAGGAGGCCATTCGCGGTCCGCTGTTAAAACTGGCGGGTGTCAATGTGCCTTCGCCGTCACGAGTTCCTTCAGGCGGTAAAATGCCGCCAAAGACACATACAGCACACGGTATCCATGGTCCAGCTCACTCCACGAGCAAGAGACTGTCCAGTGTCGGAGGTGCTACCGGTCAACACACTTCCTCAGCCGGTACAACTGGAGGTGCCAAAAAAATTGAACTTGGCAAGTACGATGGGGGACTAGAGGCGGATGAAGGAGAGGACGTCGGCATACCGGCTGATGCGGGCAGGATGTTGGAGCTGGATAGCTCGTCATCTGGGTAAGTTTGGACGCAGACCATTCTTGAAAATGCGGTTAACCTCAGAACCTCAGGACCATTCCCTTATCACTGACTGCGTTCACCATCGGTAGACCATTGGGTAAAGGAAAATTCGGCAGGGTCTACCTCGCACGTACCAAGGCAGCTCCACACTTCATCGTAGCCCTGAAATGTCTTCACAAGTCGGAGATCGTCAACGGCAAAGTCGAAAAGCAAGTGAGGAGAGAGATCGAGATCCAACAGAATCTCCGGTGAGGCTATCCAAGAAGTTGTCGCAGGAATGCTACTGAGCGGATTCTGAACAGGCATCCGAACATTCTCCGTCTCTATGGCTACTTCCACGACTCCAAGAGGATCTTCCTCATCCTGGAGTTTGCGGTCAAAGGCGAGCTGTACAAACAGCTGTCAAAATACGGAAAATTTGAGGAGAAGCGGGCTAGCAGAGTATGGCATCAGAGGGGCTCTCATGCTGATCTGTCACATAGTACATCGCTCAGATGGCAGACGCCCTATCTTATCTTCACAAAAAGCATGTCATTCATAGGGATATCAAGCCAGAGAATCTCCTCATTGGTGAGTCTCCATGATCGTGATAAAGCAGACTGACACCATGCAGGGCTAAAGGGAGAGTTGAAGATAGCAGATTTCGGATGGAGTGTTGTACGTTGAGCTGCTATCGTAAAGGCCAGTCTTGACGAATGCTCCTTCAGCATGCGCCTAGTAATCGGCGACAAACTTTGTGCGGAACTTTAGACTATCTTCCGCCTGAGATGATTGAAGGCAAAGAGCATAATGCGAAGGTGGACCTCTGGGCTATCGGTGTTCTGGCGTACGAGTTCATTTGTGGAGGGCCACCCTTTGAGGTGAGTCTCATTGCTTGTACGAGCACCCTATGCTAACAGAAGGCGATAGGATCTCTCCGGAAACTCTGGTGAGATGGAAAGATGCGTTTGGGTGATGTTTCTGACCTCATGATCCAGCTACGTACAAGCGGATCTGCAAGGTCGATCTTAAGATCCCGGACCACGTTTCCCCCGAAGCGGCCGACTTGATCCGAAAGGTTAGTCGGGATCCCGGGTATACATGCCTTTGTCTGACCTGCCTCAGCTGCTGCGTTACAACCCTGAGGAGAGACTGCCGCTTGCTGACGTCCTGGCGCATCCATGGATCAAGAAGTACGAGAAGAAGAGTTCGACGGGTGGATCTGGCGCTGCACGGGATTCGTAAATCTATTATTCATTTCAGAGGTCTTCTGCATCATCGGTTATTCTGTGCATGGTCTTTGCCGAGCGCCTAACGAGGCGCGCTCAGTCTCTGACAGGTGTGGTCTGAGAGCCATTGACTGATTGCATACACACTGCCATCGGCTCTCGGACAGGGAACGGAAAGACCAGTATCCATCCTCCGCTTCACATCACGGGTCTTTTCCACGCGAGGGCAGAATGTGATCTGGACACCACGGCTACGACTCCGAGCAGGAGTCATCACGCCCTCAATGCACAATCATGGGGGCAACCTGGACGACCGGGATGTCCTTTTCCATCTGAGCTGTGTGTTCGTACAGGTCTTGAGATTCGGCTTCGAGGACTGCCAGGCAAGCAATTAGCATTTCTCATAGAGTTAGGTCCGCACAACAACAGACACTCACAAAGAGCGTTGTCGATTTTTGCTTGGTCCGTGTTGATCATGAGCAGAGCACCAAAACCTACCAGAGCGAATGGAAGTAGGAAATAGTAGGCGGCGTTGGTATTGCCTCCTGCTCTCGCAATGATCGCCGAACCGATGAAAGGCCCAATGAATGCGGATGTCTTACCGACGCAGTTGAAGAGGGCCATGAAGAGGTCTGAGAAGGATTCCGATCTCAGCTAATGTGACACAAGCAAGCTGACGAGAGACAAGATGAATCAACGGAACAGCCACTCACACATCTTAGGTGCGGGCACAACTTCGGTGATCATGATAATACTGTAGCCTGATGCCTACTCAGCATATTCACGCACTCTGGGTGATGCTCAGCTCACTGCCCCAGAAGCCTCCTGTGACATTGTAGCAGCTGTTCGCCCAGAACTCCCAGGCTAGCATAGCACATCAGCACCTGCCTGGTCATGACGATTGGTAATGCCTACTGTGGTGGAATCCAACCTTGGTTGTCCAATTGCCAATCATGCCCCATACAAGCCTGTTCGTCTTCAGCGCTTGCCGGTGAGAGGTGAGAGAGCTCACGGGAGTAGCTGGAAGACCACACCGATGATCAACATCGTCTTGACGGAAATCTTCCATCGTTGTTGGATCCAATTTGCAATGATTGTCCCGCCTCCTCCGCCCAAGTACAGGATCAGAGTAAGGCCCGAAAAGCCCATCGTGCTGAAGTTGATGGTTTTGTTCTGAAGAATACCGACGACTGTACCAGCCGTGCCGAGGACTATGAGGAGACTTCAAGTCAGGAACATGCAGCAACCAGATAGGCAAGAAGCGGTCTTACCATCCTGTAGAATGAAAAACGCGACGAGGTAAATGATGGATTGTTTGAGCCCTTTAGCATACTTTGCAGCTTGCCACAATTGTCTGTGGAAGGATTCTCTTAGCTGAGATTCAAATGTACGTCGCTCGTCCAGGCAGCTCACTTCGGACCAGCGGACAAGAAGTTGGTATTCTTTGGCAGCTGTTGACCCGGTCTGTACTGTTCGTATACGAACCAAGGGATACAGCAAATGACATTGACGGCGCCAAAAGTTCCGACAAGGACTCTGTATCCCAGATCGAGTTGCTCCTGCGTCGCAGTCCCGATCTTGTATGCTACCCCTGTAGCCATGCCAAGGAGAACGAGGCAGATGGCACTACTGACGATGTTCGTGATATTGTACAGCTTGGATCTCTCGAGCATGTCTAATCTGGCATGTTCTTCCGGTCTGAAGTCAGGTATATCAGTCTCAGTCGTTCCTACAGCCACGCATTGGCTCACCGTCGAGTACCATTTAGGACGGCTTGTTCCGACTCAATCATCTTTGGCAGGTCGCGCACTAGCCCCGGGAAGATTGCGAAGTAGAAGCTGTTCGCAACATTCAAAGCTAAATGAAGATCAGCGGGATCGTAATCGACATAATATGACCTGGGCTTCTTACCTACAGACCCCAAGATGTATAGGAAATTGGCGACTTGCCAATCTGAGCCATTCTTGAGACCTGCGAAGCCGAGTGTGGTGGCACAGAGGATGAATGTGAAGACTGGCTCAGTGTATCAGCGTCCGGCTATGTCTTCTGGGATGAAATTGGTCTACATTGAAGGATATATGGTCGCCAGTTGCCGTAATCAGCGTAAGGTCCAATCAGGACCAAGCAGACTACTTGGACAGCGAAGAGTATTCCCGTAAGGTCTAGGATCATCGAGTTCACTATACGGCCTTGCTTCAATTCCATTGGCCTATTGAAGCAAATTTTCGCTCACGAGGCAGATATCTGCCGCCCCATTCGACGAAACCACTTGGAAATGCCTGGTTTAACAACGCTTGTTGCACAGCACTACCATAGTTGCCGACACCTTGCAATCGTGAGACCTAATCTCTGGCAGAGCCATGTCGATTCTCACCGACACCTTGACCAAGGACAACTGCGATTGGCTTGTCAATCTGATGCACTGCAAACACAAGTACCACTCACACCATAGCACATAAGCCCAATACTCTTTCTTGGTTGTGACCTTTCTTGCGCCGGTCGTCGGGATGATGGTCTGTTGCTCGATGACCGCTAGACCGACACTTTGGTGAGCATTGATGTATTCGGGCTCTTCATCAGCCACGTTGGCATCGTAGTTGTTCTTCTCAACATCGACCTCTTGTTCTTGAATGTTCTTCTCCGCGTCACCACCCGTCTGAGCAGCATTGACCGACATCTTGTATCTTCAAGATTTGAGTAGACTGCGATTAGAGTCAGTGAGATGTTCCATTCGCTCAAGCCCGATTCTTGTATTTAGCTCTTCGAGGATGCTCGCGCAACATAGATCCGCCGCTTTGGAAACTGCAGCGCGAGCACCGCCTGACACGCAAGCATCTGGCAATTTTTCGCAAGGAGGCCGAATGCGAGTGGGGCACAATGCACAATTCCTCAGCAGCTTTCCGAGATACGCGATAAGCAAGGTCTCGACTTTACCCACTCTTGTCCGAAGGTGTCGTATCGTCTCTGCGCTTGCCCCGCTTTTGACATTCTCGAAAACCTTGAATGAGCTAAAAATAAAATCATCCAAGCTAGATCTCACCGGCGCCGGACATTCCAGGCCGAAGAATGCTGCTCGGGTTCGTACGTGCGATGCAGTGGTTCTTGCATGAAGTGCAGACGTAGGATCCTCGAATTGAGTAAAGTCTAAGACATTTGATCGACGGTTCAAGGCACCTGTGGTCCCTGACCCGGCGATTTGCCACGGAGAGCTCTGATTGCGACAAATATCCCTGGCCACATGTATCCCCTTGGCCTTATGTATCCCCATGGCATTTTCGTGGAACGCGGGCAATTCATCCTGTTGTCGGGAGCCGAAGTTGCTTCAAGCGATGGGCTGCACTGAGTGCGTGTTGCAAAGACTTCCCGGAGACTCGCATGGTGCCAATCGCACCTTGGGCACGGCGCAAGCTCAAGATATGTCTGACACGCTAGATTCGTCATCCAGATCTGCCGGCGGAATCACGGGCATACCGCTCTCGAATGCCAAACGCCGTGCGAGCCGCTCGTAGGCGAACCGCTCGGAGTGTACGGCAGCTGGGTACCAGCTAGAATGGAGTTCAACAGCTGTCCAATCTTTCCAGAGGTCACTGCAGACTCACTAATTGACGGCAACTGCAATTCCTCCTGGACCCTCCTCCTGATCCACCCGATGCCACCATTCCGCAGGCAAGTACAGAGTATCGCCCTTTTGCAGATTTATACGGATGGATTGCACGCCCTTCGGGACCTCTAGAGATTCCACCCATGGTACGGAGCTGGGCGGCTCGTCGAGCCGAGGTGTTAGTCGACCTGACGAGTCCCGATTCAGCGTTGAGGATGGATGGAACGTTTCTGAATCTGGTCAGTCGATTGATGATACCTCTAGCGCATTCCAACGGGTCTCACGTCTGAGCCACAGACCCTCGATGGGAGATATTAGGGTAAAGGTCTTAGAACCACTAAGGATGTGATAGATGTTCTCGTATCTGCGAGAAGAATTCAGAATAAGGTCCACTGCTCACAGGGACATGCAGCTCACGGATCATGGTGGAAAGAAGTCGTACTTCGTGAGGTGCCGATCCACAAGTTCACAGCCTCGGCAGGATGACCTAACGAGCAGCTTCAGCAAGGAGGACAAGCGCGTGCCGTGCGACCTACCAATCGCTTCGTCCATCCAGGGGATGTTCGACTGTATATACCTTTGATATGGAGCCAGCTCAGGCTTAGACTGCGATGGTCCATCGGTCGACCGGTAGATATTACCGTCCTGCGATTGGAGGTATAGGACATCGCCAGACGCCTCTTCTTCTATCTGACTCAAGAAATCTACCATGGTCATGCGCGCTTCCAAAGGTTTCACAAATGTCGATCTGCCTTCAGCCGGCCGGCGAACCGAATCTGCTAGACTGCTACACATCAGCTACGTCAATAAGGGGATCTGAAGCCAGGATGTACCCATCGTCGGTCACCGCGATCGAGCAAGTCCTAGACGCCTCGTTTCCATCTTCATGAAAAATGGATTTGTGAGTTTGAGGCTCTCCCCAGTCCCTGGATTCAGGTCCGTCTTTGCACGGCGAGAACGAGCCTTTCGCAGCGAGTATAAGTGACATCTGAGGACTGAGACACTGCATGACCAACCTGCAATGACCGCTGGGTGAGCTTTGGCTATCATTCTGGCTGCCTCAGCAGCCGACGGTTCATGCTCGTATAAATCAGGCACCGGCGCCGCTATATCTGTGACAGTCAGTAGAATCGGCAGAAGCCACGCACCCCTATAATCCGTGCGTAGCTGCACGAGGAGACTGCTGAGGTCCATAGCATGCTATCCTCGCGTGCTGCCAACGATTGAAAAATCCCTAAAGCAGCCCGACAGAGTGAACGGTACGAACATGACCATTGAGCATTTCGGTCAATCTCATAAAACGTTTCTGAAAATCGTCATTGTTTCATCATCTAGACCTCTTGACCTGACGACGCGACTGCACCGATATACGATAGCGAATCGCCGTAGGCTGGCATACTGGACTGTAAATCACATGAGAGCCTCATAGGACGCACCTTGTCAGCTCGAGCCAATGACAGAGGTGCTATCACCTCCTCAAGCCAATGGCAACCCCTTAGTCGGGTTGGCTGTCGCTGTCATTTATGCTATTCTCTATGTCTTGGACGTGATCAGGACCTGTATAGGATGGCTCACCATCAGCTTGCCAGGGTAAGCATCATATCTTCAGCGTAACTCATGTTGATCATTCCTGCTCTCAGTTTGATTGTCCGGATGCTGCAGTACTCCTTCACCATCTCCTTGACTTTCCCAACCCTCCTCGCCATCACCGTTGGAGGCTTGGTCGGATTGACATTCGTGATTCGATACAGATACCTGGCTCGATACACTCAGCTCAAAGAAGCTGCTCTACCTCCACCATCACCGGAGACGTTGACGACCGAGCTCTTGCCTCTGGCCACGCCTGGTCTGGGTGATCGGCGCAACCGCTCAGCTGCATTTCACAATTATCTCGACGATTTTTTGGCAGCCATCAGGATTTTCGGATACCTAGAGAAACCTGTCTTCCATGAGCTGAGCAGGCATCTGCAGACCAGAAGGCTTGCGGCAGGGGACTCGATAGAGATAGGAGGGGGAGAGTTCTGGTGTGTAGTCGAAGGAAGGGTCCAGGTGGTGAGCAGGCAATGCTCGTATTGTGCAGTCCACTCATTGGCTTCTACACAGTTCGCCCCGTCAGAGGATGACAAGCCAGCATCTGCTGCTGCTGACCCTTTGGACAAAAGTAGCTCGTTTAATGGCTATCACCTTCTGAATGAAGTCTCGACTGGTGGCACACTGTCCTCGTTGTTCTCCATCTTGCATTTGTTCACGGAAGATATCAGGCTATCCTGGGCGGTGCCTGCAGATGCAGATAGTCTGGCGAACTCACAGCACGGAGAACAGGGAACAGCTGCAGGCGAATTTGAGCCCGCAAGGGCGAGAGTGATGGAGGACGAGGAAACAGCACCATTGCTGATGCGTCGGAAACCAAGGCAAGATTCTGATGTCAGTCAAATGGAAGGCAAACTTGGACAACGCTTAGCAAGCCCTACCGCCGCTTCTTCTCCGGAACCCCGACAGCTTTTTGGACATGCTCGATCGTACTCAGCAGGCAGCAACAATATCTCAGAGGACACCACTATGGCCGTACACGACGGATCTACCTCTGCACCGGAGACGAAAGCGACAACTCCAGAGTCTGGACCCGTTGAATGGATGACTGACAAGCCCAAGTCCCGGCCGGAAGCTCGACCGCACCCGACCCTGGGAAGCATGCCTTCCATCCGGAAGAGTTTCAGTCCCAATCGCCCGTCTGAATCGACCCCGCTCAGCAAGAGCAATGCGTCTCAAAGCCGCAGACAGTCCGGTGATGACTCACCAAGGAATCAGCCTCCGGCAGCGTTAATGAAAGGCACAATTGCCCGAGCGACGATGGACACCACTCTGGCTGTGATCCCGTCGGAAGCGTTCAGGAAGCTCACCAGAAAGTTTCCCAAGGCCAGCGGGACGGTCGTCCAGGTTGTACTGGAAAGATTCAGTCGAGTGACGTTCATGACGGGTAAGTGCTCGATAATGCAGCGAACTAAGTTCGTGCGCAGCACACAAGTTCCTCGGTCTGACACGCGAGATCCTCCGCTCGGAGTCATCACTGAACTCCTTGGTATCGCATCCTTTACCTCGCGGATTCTACACTGGAGGTGGTATGCAAGCATTAAGATCCCGCTTTGAACCCCGTAGAGATCTTTCGCCGAGCCGCGGGCATACCGATCAATCGAATCTCCCTCTGCCTCGCGTTGCCACCAGAGATTACTTTAACTACATCCCGGCGAGTCCCACAGTCAAAGCTCCGTCCCTACCCTCCTTCACTCCTAGCAAAGCCACCACGCCCGCAGCACTGTCCGAATCTCCGGCACAGCTACATGCATCTCTTCCCAAAATCGAGGAGAAGGTCGACCTGTCGGATCATCAGGTCCCTGCAGTCGCTGAGTCTGCCGGAGACATTGGCTGGAGTCCCGATACGGCCAGACGGCACAATCCCAGATACATGCGACAGACTTCAGCCATGCGAAAGCAGGTCGCTGCAGGAGACCTTGCTATGTCTAAATTCAACGATGGTGAGCCAAGTGGAGCGTACTATCGAAAATCTTTGCAGACCCCTGGTATCCCGAGGCAAGATACCTGGCGAGGGCGCATGTCGGGATCCGCCACCGATCTGCATAATCATGGTGTCCCCCTCGACTCATCGCTTGGCGACATTGAACAAGAACTTGAGATCCGGGACGCAGTCATGATTTGTATTGCTAAATCTGTTGGACTGATTCAGCCTCCGGACGCTGTCCCAGATTCCATTACTCAATCTATGGCTACCTCCGTTGGTGCGGCATCACCTTCCGCTCCGAATTCGCCAATGTTCCCACCCAATAACGCTGGACATGTTCGGGGAGGTAGTAAATCACCGTTTGGGAATGTCTTGGACATGATGAACGCCTCCACGAATACAGATAACGTTGTTAGCGGGATGCTGCGGGAGGCAGTCATGGCTTCGGCTCGAGTAGAGGATGACATGAGCGTCATGTCTGCAAGCCCGCACGAGAGCGGGATAGTTGGCAATGATATGAACCGGAACCTCTTGAAGGATTTAGAGGGCTGTGTTGAGATTCTATTCTTCCAGAAGGGAACGACGTTGGTCAAGGAGGGCGAGAGATCTCCCGGAATATACTATGTCATTGACGGATTTCTCGACGTGAGCGGAGCAGTGGCTCAAGTTTCAGTATTGCTGACATCATGCCAAGGTCTCCATTCCAAGCCGAAGTGCTGGCGGCGAACCCAAGCAGCCGTCCACGAGTAATCCGTTCAATGAGAATGGTCATTCGCCTGACGTTCGTGGACTTCATGGTCGCCATTTCGGTACTGCTTTTGGGCTCGCATCGGACGTTCCGAACGGGAGCAAGAGCGAAGCGGCGTCCCAGGACGAACATCTTTACACTGTCCAGCCGGGTGGTCTGGCTGGATACCTGGCCTCGTTATGCTCAACCGATTCCTACGTGAATATTCGAGCCAAGACTGACTCTTACGTCGGTTTCTTACCAATGAGAGATCTCGAGCGTATACTAGAGCGGCGACCAATCGTCCTATTGACTCTTGCCAAGCGATTGCTATCTCTGGTCTCACCTTTGGTATTGCATATTGATGCTGGACTCGACTGGATGCAACTGTCTGCGGGACAAGTCTTGTATGAGAAAGGTGATCGGTCAAATGATATCTTCATTGTGATAAGTAAGTGCGAGGTAAGAGGTGTATGTGCTCATAACCTTCCACAGATGGTCGTCTAAGGTCAGTGGAGGATCAGGACAAGGGCGTCAAAGTGCTTCGAGAGTACGGTCAGTCCGACACCATCGGCGAATTGGACGTGATCACCGCGGTCGCTCGGTCAGATACTGTCCATGCCATCCGTGACTCTGAGCTGGTTCGCATACCAGCTGCTCTCTTTGATGCTATCAGTGTGAAGCATCCCGCGACGACTGTACAGTTCATGCGCTTGATAGCAGGTCGCGTAAAGAGGGCCATGGGAGAGCAGTCGAACAAATCACTAGAAGGCGGGGTGGAGCGCGGTGTCTCGGATGTCAACCTCAAGACTGTCTGCATCCTCGGGACCAACCGAAATGTCCCCGTTTCGACATTTGCTGCAAGGCTCAAGACTTCGCTCGAAGACATGGGGGCATCGACATCATATCTGGATCAGGGCACAGTCATGAGGCATCTTGGACGTCATGCTTTTGCCAGGATCGGGCAGCTCAAGATAGCAGGATGGCTCGCGGATCAAGAACAGCATTACAGGACGGTTCTCTACGTGGCAGACACCCCTCCGTCCAGTCAATGGACCCTGACTTGCATTCGACAAGCGGATCTTGTCTTGATCCTGGCAATGGGCGATGATCCGGTCATCGGAGAGTACGAGAAGCTCCTGCTGGCGACGAAGACGACGGCACGGAAGGAACTTATTCTTCTCCATGACGAGCGATCTGTGGCTCCTGGCTCAACCCGACACTGGCTGCGGAATCGACCTTGGGTCCATGCTCACTATCATGTGGAGCTGCCCGGTGTAGTCACACCTGCACGAGCGAATGCCAATCTCCACGATCCAGCTGCTCTCGCCGCTTTCAAGCATCTCCGGGAACAAGTCGAAACACGAATCAAGCGATATCGAGGTCTAAGACCGTTACGGCCACGCAGACCACCGCATATGAACGATTTTGCTCGTATCGCAAGGCGGCTTTGTGGCAAGCAGATCGGAGTCGTCCTTGGAGGCGGTGGCGGAAGAGGTATATCTCATATCGGTATGCTGCAGGCTTTGGAGGAGTACGGTATACCGGTCGACGCGATTTCGGGTTGTTCCATCGGCGCATTCGTCGGCGGACTGTACGCTCGAGGAACGGATCTTTTAGAGACTACTGGAAGGACAAAGCAATTCTCGGGGCGAATGGGATCGATGCTCAGGATTCTGAGCGACGTGACGTATCCTTTCGTGGCTTACACCACAGGGCATGAGTTCAGTAAGTTGAGGAAGGTGTCCATCTTGAGGTCTGCTGATTTTACGATATAGATAGAGGAATATGTGGGTTTCTAGGAGGTCCCCCGAACCGCTTGCTGATCTGATGCAGACAAGGCATTTTATAATACGCATATTGAGGGTGAGCAACGAGTCAGGGAGTCTGTAATCTATCATTGACCCCGAAACAGACTTCTGGCTGCCATTTTTCGCAAATTCGACTAACATCACACACTCACGAATGGAGATCCACCGAGCAGGATATGCCTGGTGGGGATTCCGGGTCCGTGCACCGTATATGGCTGACAAACTCCCTTAGGCGTTATGTGCGGGCCTCCATGACCCTGGCTGGTCTGCTTCCCCCGCTTTCAGATCATGGGGAACGTGAGCCGCATCGCAGGTGCTGAGGCATCGCTGACAGCTGTCTAGTCCTGGTGGATGGCGGATACATGGACAATACACCCATCGCGCCTCTTCGCGCGAATGGTATCCGGGATATCTTCGTAATTGATGTCGGATCAGTCGACGATACGTCTCCGAGGAATTACGGAGACTCAGTATCTGGCTGGTGGATATTCATCAACAAGTCAGTGCGTTAAGAGATTCGGGGATGCTGATATTTCAGGTTGAATCCATTTTACAAGCGAAATGTCTTGTCAATGACGGAGGTGTCATCGCGACTCGTCTACGTTTCCAGTGTCAAGGTTCTTGATGATGTCAAGAAGGATCCTAATTGCCTTTACCTCGCCATGCCAGTTCAGGTGAGTGGCTTCGGGTTTTCGCGATGGAAAAGTCGATCCTCATAGTATCCATCAGCAATTCGAGACCCTAGGAGGATTCAAAAAGTTCCAAGAGGTCCTCGCTGTCGGCCTGCAGGCTGGTCGAGAGGCACTCAAGAATTGGAAAGAGGAGGGAAAGCTACCTACAGGTCTTGAGGACGAAATCAAAGGAGCTGCGACTGTCCAACGGGGTGCTCGATTACGGTAAGCTTGTGGACTCATTAGTAGCTTTCGCTGACCTCCAATGTGCAGACGCATGTCCATTTGATAGCAGTCAAACAATTTCGCATGTCAAGATGCATGTATAATGAACAACAGGGATGATGAGCCTCCACAGCAGACAACCGAAAATTATTGGTACATACAACCCAGCCCTATCTCCTCCTGATATTGGGAGAGATGCTCATACCCTCCAAGCTCGAACTCAAACCATAATCCCTATCAAACATCCCCTTTCTCTTGCTCTTTGGCAGAGACGCACCGAATGACATGGATGTACCGACCATGTCGACCGAGCTTGGCAAAGTCCCAAGGGCCGACTCTGAATCCGCTTCACTCGTCAAAGCATTCTTGACGTCATCATCATCATCGTCGTCGTCATCGTCCGATTCGTCTGCATCGATAGCCACTTCACTCCACGTTCGATACAAGTGCTCGATGAACCGTTTCGATCTAGGTAGAGTGAATGGGTCGAAGGGGAAATACGAGTCCAGTCCAGCTTCAATATTTGCCTGTCGAGCCGATTTGGCCTGGTGAATAGAGCTGATGGATGATGACATGGATGATTGTCGGCTTGGATGACCAGGCTTAGCCATGTTGTTAAGGGACGACGATGAAGGTACTTGACGCGAAGATGACTGCTGATTCGCTTCCATAATGGAGAAACAGTAGGCAAAATTGGTCTGATGAGCGACTTGCGCAAATGTCGAAACGATCGTCGAATTGCAGCCCTGAAACAGTGTCAGTTACTTCCGGTGCAGATGCAACTCACTAAAAGCGGATTGAGATCCGATGTAATGACACGCTGCAAGATGTCCAGATCTGCCATCCACTTCCCATCTCCTTCCAGGCTTTCTCCCTCAATCTCCAGCTCGCCGACAATGGCGACATCCGTCTCCACGGCGTCCTTCTGGAACGCTCGCCAACGGAAACAAAAGATCAACATGGCAGCTTGACAGACTGCGTAAAAGAGTTGAAGTTCGTCCGGCTTCGTCTGATGCATCTTGCCATCGATGTAGGCGAGGAGATACGTCATGACTTGTCGAGCTTGTTCGTCCGAGACAAATCTGGCTCGGCAGACCACTGAACCGATGTATACTGCCGAGGCGATCCGAAGCGTCATGGGAACGGCCTGAGCTCCAGCAGTAGGTCGCGACGTGGATGTAGCGTAGAGAGCTTGAGAGACCAAAAGACCAAGGAAGAGCTCGGTGTGGGAGAGTGAAAGGGAAGAGGTGATGAATAGGAGGAAAGGGATATGTTGAGTGGAAGACGTTGGCAAAATCTGTCGCGTGAACAGAGTGAGCAGCGTTTGAAAATGAGCCAAAGATTGACCGGGCGTAGGAGAAGCTCGACGTGTTGCCAGAGCAGAGGCGAGGGGATTGGGATTCTCGGTAGTGGGCGTTGACATGCCAGAGCTCGAGATCTTGGACTCGAGGTTCTTAGCGGCCATTTCTGCCGCTGTCGTTCCGTGACCGCTGCCCATACTTTCTAGCAAATGTTCGAAAAAGTAAAAGAGCATTCCGTCCAACTTCAGCCTCATCGACTTGACCGCTGCCCTCCGCTTCTCACGATCAGCCTGGATCTTGGCCTCGTTGATGGCCTTTTCGTCTTCCTCCGAGTTATCTCCGTCGACAGAAGACATATCCTCGATGTCCACTTCGCTCTCATCATCTGAGTCGTCCCTGATCTCGTCCTCCGGCCGATGCACATCCTGTGAGATAGGGAGGTCGAATGGGTCGAGAGACGTTGAGAAAGACATGCTGTTCACAGCATTCTCGTCGCCATTCAAATCATCTTCTTCGTTATCGTCGTCGTCGTCATCGTCATCGTCGTCGACTTCATCCAATATGTTGGTGATCTCTAGCTGGAGTCCGGTATTAGCTCAGGTTCTGTGGCCGCCGGGGTAACTTACATCAATCCTCAGCATTCGATCCACTATCTCTCCCCAGACTCTTTGTCCGACCTCTGGGCAGTATCCGATGAGCTCGCAAGAATTTCTGACCCAAGTCGTCTGCGCCACCTCTGGCTCCCGCCGATGAGGAAAGTGTCGGACCAACAGCGGTTGCAAAACCGTAGGAAGGGTAGGCATGAGAGACAGGAGATGGGAGAGAAGGAGATGATATCGAGCGTGAAATAGTCGTCGCGTCATTGGCCCAGGCCCAGCAGGGGTCATGACGGGTTCTGGACATCGTGTCAGACATGCAAAAGCGTTCTCTAGCTTGGCACTGCACTCACGCCATGCAAGACCTTTAACGGCCATGTTGGCGACTTCTTTCGCCCATGCCGGTTGAGAACTGACGAGGACGCCAGAGAAGCCTATGAAAGCCTTGACAAACTTTTCATCCCCAGTAGCCCATGGAAGCGACAGAATGGCCGATACAAGCGCTCCATGAACATCAGGTGTCAACAGATTGACATGGGCGGAAAGACCTCGTAATAGGGGTAACATGGGTGGAAGAGGATGTGACGTTGTCGAAGAAGATGCTGAGGGTAGCTGGAAATGTGATACGAGATCATTGTAGTTTGACATAGTTCCCGTCAGGGACTCTTTCAAGGCATTAGGTACGAAGACGGCGATCAAGCTCTTTTGGAAAGCTGCTCGATCTCGATCCTTATCACTTCTATTCTTGATGAAGACATTGGTGTCGACTGATTTGGTCCTCCGGAATGTCGTTTTGACATCTCCATCGGACTCTCTAGGCCTCTTCTTGCCCAAAAGAGACGTTGATCGTGATGAAGGGAGATGCTGGACATCATTGGACGATGTCATTGTAACGATGGGCTGGAGTGAAGATGTTTTGGATCGAGAAGGACCTGGTCGCGAAGACTTGGACATGAGAGTCGGAGTACTGGCAGAGAACGGCAAAGCCATTGACGCCGAGTCTCTTCTAGAGAGTAACCAGGGTTCTCATCAGGTATATCGTTCAGTTGAACTGTCGAGGTGGTGGTCGCGCGAGCAAGAAAAGTGGATGGGTGAGCGACGGCAACTAGATGGGCTTGGGATTTTTTAAAATTCAGCCGGATCCGAAAGATCACCTGGCAGGAGTGCCACGTCATGCATGATCGTGCTTATCAGCCCCCGCCCCGCACAGACCTCGTATCCTATCAGCGAAATCAGTCGCGTTTATAAAGGCAGCCCATCACAGATGAGCAATGCACCTCAACTTCAACTCTGAACGTCTACGCAGTGAACACATCTTGATACTATCTTTGAGCTGTGGTACACACTGTCGAACCCTGACTCCGATTGACATCAAGCGCTTCCGCACGTCGCACGCTCGTACCTTGATACCTCCCTCATCCACTCATCTCCACAATGACTGACTCCTCAATTATAACCGCGCAAGGCAACAGACCTTTGCCGCCCCTGCCCGAGTTCCCTCTCCCTCCACTTTTGCAAGTCCAAGACGAAGAATTGAAAGCAGTGGCAACTACTCACACCAGCTTCTACGCTCTACGACGAGACCGTCACGATTGGTCCATGACCCAAAGAGTCATGGATTATGAAAAGCTAGAGCATGTAGGTGATGGCTTGTTAGGTAAGTACATGTAAAGCGTGGAAGGTTCAACGTTCAACTTCTCATGATCATCTTCAAGGGAGCTGCGTGGTTCTCTTACTCCATGAAATGTTTCCGAACCTACGCGAGGGTCCAGCGACAGTGGGTCAATCACCACCTGACTGAGCTAAGTCCTCGCTCAGATACTGAAGGGCGACCTGATATGCAACGAAACTCTTGCCCAACTAGCGGATCGGTATGGTATCAGCGTTCAGCTCAGAACGTCACCAGCGGCCTTCTACGCTACAAGGAATCAGGTGAAGACCCGAGCCTCCCTCTTCGAAGCTTGGATCGCTGCGGTGTATTACTCCTTTCTCCAGCATGGACCGCCAGATATACACTCGGAGCCAAACTTGATCGAGTGTAGCCCTCGGAGAACGTCATCGCCGGTCAAGGGGCAGCCGACGTCGACCGAGTCGAGACAGGAAAAGTCTAGACGTAAACTCATCAACAAGGCTCGACAGGACATTCATTTCAAGCGAGCACGCGAGGAGGTTTCATCCGCCTCGTCCGACACCTCGTCGGATACGACATCGGACACGGAATCATCCGGAGATGAATCCGACAGCGAAAGCAGCTCCAAAGTGGCTGCAGCACTGACGTTTCCCACACTGACACCCGGACCCCCTGAAGTCACATCCTCCTTCCGACCATCCCAATATGCACACACGACGTCTACAGTTACTACCGATCACCAGAACAGCAAGTCATCAAAGAAAGGGGATCAAGACCTCAGAGGATCAGACGACGATGTAGTAACAGGTCATACGTGCTCTGATGGACAAGCGTTTGAAAATCTGTACCAATGGTTCAAAGAAGCTTTCAGACCCATCGCCAAATTTGCGCTACAAGTCCGGATAGACGAGCAGGCCAAGAATAACAACATCACATCGGTAATAGATCAAGCTCAAGAAGATCACACGGCCATTGGTGCCAAGTGCGCTGTTGATCTCTTCTCAAAAGACAGACTAGGGGTCGATCCAGTCTACACAGCTGTGAGACCAGAGGGAATAAAGGGTATCTGGCTGGTGACGTGCACCATCACCGAGAAGAATGGAAGAGCATGGTAAGTGCATCGTCTACGGGATCCTCCATAAGCATGCTAATTGGTTCGTCAGGACTGCTGAAGCACTGAGATCGACCAAAAAATTTGGATACAACCTAGCAGCGTTTCGCGTGGGGAAGCAGCTGCAATTCCTGTGATGGCGTTTCGGGAGAAGCACTGAGAGGTAGAAATAGTCCGTCGAGGGCTGTGGTGAGATCTGTATCACTTTGTCGAGACACCTTCGCTTGTTAGTGAACCGCACAGGGTAGCAAAATCTGAGGAAATGTATCGGTATCGATTGTCTATCCTCCATCGCCTGATTGTTGAGCTTCTTTCTCGAGCTGTCCAATGAGATCCCGCCACCGTTTTGTTCTACCCTCACGCCCAAGAGCTTCCTCCACGTCCACCAAGAGTCGTAGAGCCTCCAATCGTACGCGCTGTATATGGTTCAGGTCCCCGAGAGCGGGATTTCCAGTTGGTAATTCGTCTTCGCTCTTGGCTGGTTGTGCGTAGTCGTCCACCACAGCGCCGTCGGGATGTACAGTAGCTAGATCGCCCGCGACCTTCCTCGTCCTTGTGCGGGAATGAGGCAACATCTTTGAGCACCGCTTGCAATCTGACAACACAGTGGTGATTTCCGATTCAGCCTCTGCCATCCGTCCCGGCATAGTCATGAGAGCACGCGCGAGCTCCAGTCTGGTTCTCATGAGCCTGGTCTCCTCCCACACTCCGTATCCCTTCATTGTTCCTGGCTCTGAGGGGCTGGACCGATTGATACCGATATTCGCATCCCTGCTCAAAACATGAATCTTGGCGGATAAGAGTTTGATTCGTTCGCTTAGATCCGTGCAAGTGAGTAGAGCCTTGTCTATGACGGTCAGATTGAGAAAAGGAGACCCGAGTATGCTCGTGCCTCTTGTCACCGACATGCTATTCGAGAGGCTGAGGGGCAGCTAACGAATTTCTCAATGTTAAGGAACGAGGAATCAGCGGATCGTTAATTTTACCGGTGGCCCGAAGAAGAACGCGATTGACTTTGTTGTCTTGCTAGCATCGCAGATGACTGACGGCCTATGCATCCATTACAAGTCACGAACATGCGAAAAGAGCAGAGATCAGGACCATCTGAACGCGCTATGCAAGGGATAGGCAAGACGATACAGTGTGTCGCTAGCTAAATTACAATCACAATCTCTTTAGACCTCGCTTGGCTCCGGCTTTCGCTCCGGCTGTCTTCGCCGGCGTCTTCGTACTAGAGACAGTCTTCAACGGCTTCTCTGGCTCTCCAGCGGTCGGCTCAGAAAGCATGACAGGGCTCTGCTCTTGTTGAGCATGAGCCTGAAGGGGTGCAGGTCTGGTCGAAGCGGTGGGTTTGGTGGAAGTGGTGGTGACCGTGGTTGTGGTAGTTGATGACGACGTGGTGGAGCTGGTGGAATTCGGGGGTCGAGAGTGTGAGCTTGGGATGGATGAGGGGAGATGAATGAGGTTGAGTCCTGCAATCGGCGTGGGGGCTGAAGGGGAAGACTTTGAGGACGAGTCACGGAATTCGATGGGCGTAATCTGACAAATTGGTCAGGATCATCATCCTCACGTTGGGCCCTCCTCAAACCTACCTTCGGCGTCGCATGGATAGAGGTCATAAGCCTGGCATACTTGACGTCGCAGTCAGCGTCAGGTCGATGGGAGGGGACCTCCATACACACCTTACAGTAGCCATCATAATCTGCCAACAATTGTTTTCCAGCCTCCTCATCCAGAGCGCTCTCTGGATTTGGGTATATCAACAGGCACTTGATAGTCTGACGCGAAGTATCAGCATCAAATATGAAAGAGATACTGAGACGGCTGATCTGATCCGCTCCCAACTCTTGCTCACCACTAAGACATGTCCAACACCGTATTCCCTCTTCCAACCCTTCTTCAGAGTGTCCACACAAATTTCGCCCTGCTTCGACATATTCGGGTGGAAAATCTTGGTGATCATGGTACCTGCGAAACCAAACAGAAAGGTCATACAAGACTTCCGTGGCCGGTGATTCGGCACAGATACTCACATTTTGGGGGGATATTGGGATACTCAGGGCCAAAGTTGAACCGTATGCGGAAGTAACCTCCCTCGTACGGCGTACCGGCTGAGGCATATTTATCAGTATGTCAAGAAGGTCCCGACAATCTCAAAAGACAGGTAGAGATGGCGCAAAGAGCGAAAGCTCCGATGTCTACCCACATGGACCCTGGACCAGTCCTTCCACAGCTGTGAGATCATCTTCATCGACAATGACTCTGACACCCTCAGGTGGATCCGAGCGGAGCCTGACGAGCTCTTTAGAGAGCAGGCGAAGAGCTTGGGGAGTCAAAGCCTGATCGCGTGACAGAGGACGGGAAATTTAGCACCTCTGTTCAACATTTTGTTGTTGATCAACGCCGACGCGCTCACCATGTTGACCTAGTTTCGGGATGATAGGAGGCCCGCGGTGAGGTGATAATATCAGCTGAATGATGCAACTCAGCAGCAGCTGGCTTGTGAGTCACGGCGGGAGCTTGCACTGAAGTATAGATGTTGTAGGTCGGAGGGTTCGTGGACATTGGAACAAATACATCTCAGGAAAGGGCCTGACGCAAATGGTAAACAACGGAACCAAATATATCACGTGGCTATTGCCTCCTTTGCATGTAGATTCTGCTATCATAAGCTGAGGTCCATATCTCGCTTCCGGCGGCGAGTACGAAGTCTGCAGAAGATGCAGAGCGGTACTCAGGAGACTAGCTTGATCCTTCGAGCTCCACGTTCTCGTGTGCAGCATGCTCTCTGTGCTGAAAGATACGCCGAAACACGCCCAGACAGCTGCGTCGGCATTCCCGAGTCGTGATTCCCGGCTTACATCCGGGGTTGGCAGCGAGGCGATCTCAAGTATGCAACGTATCCGGTGCAAACGAACCGATTTACAGTGTCCATCAGACCGATCACGAGCATCCATAACCCGTACTTGCCCGCCCATACACAGTTGCGAAGTAAGCGCAGATATCGACATCATCGTACCGAGATCTTCGGACAAGACCGAAGAGTCGGACTAAAAATTCAATTCGGGCCCAGTCCCCACTTTAAAAATTGCATACACGGTCAGTGGAATAGTAGAGACTTTGAAGGCGTCGAGGTCGGCGGATGAAGCTCTCGAAACCGGACTGATCCCTCTGTACTTCATCAATCTACTCTCAGCGGTGTTCGAAAGTCGCTCGAAGAATATAATCATTTCACGCCATCGCTGGTCGATCTTCTCGGATACAGACCCTGCCCATACAAAACCACCAGTCAGTAGGGGCGACCTTGAATGATCCCCTTAGATCATGTCACAATCCGAACAGGCGCGAGCAGAGTTTGCAGTCATTGGTCTCACATCGGATATTGAAGCCAATGAGAGGATATTAGAGGATGCAAGATTGGCCACTGAGTCAAAGAGCAGAGGGGATGTGGAAAAGGCGAGGACAGGTGGCTTAGACCGCCTTGCAGAGAGCGAGACAGATGGCGAGCATCGGAAGGATCGGGTGGGGTCATCAGTTGAGGTGGAAGCGAAGGAGAGGATATGCGAGAAACAAGCGGACGCCACAGATCACGAAGGTATGCTACTAACTGAGCAAAAGCCATACGCTGAACTCGCACAGGAACTGTACAGCCGGAGAACAACTTGATTGTCGTCATGATTGCGTGGGTGCTGAAAGGTACTCATGTGCATCAGATACTGACCATGGTTCAGTCTCAATCTCATCTCATTCATCTCCGCCCTGGATCAATCCGTGCGTCCGTCCCCTTCGCAGGGTGCAGTTCAGCTCACACTGTTCTCAGATTCTCGCCACGGCCCTACCCACAATAGCGGGAGAACTCAATGCTAGTCATTCGGAGTATTCATGGATAGGTACAGTAAGTGATCTATACTTCACTTGGTCCAAGCCATGCTGAGAAAGGGTCAAAGTCATACTTGCTGGGACAAACTCTTCTCACTCCCTTGAATGGTCGTTTATCGGATATCACGGGTAGGAAGCCAATGCTCTACGGGGCCATTGGTTTCATGCTTGTCTTCTCGGCGTTGTCTGGAGCAGCTCAGAACGTCAGATGGTGAGACACAGCGATCTAGCGTGAGGCTTACAGCTTCAGGTTAATTGTAGCTAGGTTTTTCACCGGCCTGGGAGGAGGATCGATTGTCAGTCTAAGGCGAGTGAAATCATGTGCGGCCGTCTCGAGGTACTGACCATCCGGATAGTATCATTATTATTTGTCAGTCGAATCGCACCCATCATCCTCTCTCAGTACTGATCCGCATCACCTCAGCCGATGTCGTGCCCATGAGGAAACGAGCCTCATACCAGGGATACACAGGAGCATCGTTCGGTATCGCATCAGTCATAGGACCCATCTTGGGTGGAGTATTGACTCAAAAGACCTCATGGTGGGTACTGCCCCATCTAGTGACGGTGTATAAGCTTATCTTTACCTTAGGCGGTGGTGTTTCTGTGAGGTCCCGTTCGGAATCCAGTCTTGAGATGCTTATGCTATTGCTAGACATCAACTTGCCGACTTGTGGCGTAGCCTTGATCCTGCTCATCTTCTTCCTCAAGCTGAATCGACCACAAGGACAGGATCTAGCCCAGTTGCGAAGGTCTTTTGACTTTGTCGGACTGTGAGCTGGTTCTGCCTGATCTCCTCCGCGCAGAATTCTGCTGATCCGCATTCAGGACAATCGTCATGGCTTCCGCCGCATTACTCATCGTCGGGTTCTCAACTGCTGCAGATCACGGCTTTGGCGCTCCTGGGGCATACGGCGTGATTATCGCTGGTGTTGTAGTCGCTGCATTGGCTATCGTCCATTCTCTGACCACAAAGAAGAACGCCGTCCTGCCGAGGGTGAGTTTGTGCACAGATCAAAGTCGATCAGGTATTGATGATGGATCCAGAGGTATTTGACTACTCGAACGACCGTTTTCTTTTCCATCGGGTCATTCTTGAACTCTTTGCTGTTGCTCTCGGTTACCTATCTTCTGCCTCAGTTCTTCCAAGGCGTGAGTACTGCACGGTCCATCACATGGAACGTTTACTGATGATAGCAGGTTCGTGGCTTTGACCCTTTAAGGGCTGGTGAATCTGTCATTCCCTTTTCTGTCCTCGTCAGTGTCTTTGTCATCCTCAGTGAGCCAGTCTTTTCTCGTTGGAAACCCAGCTCATCACATACTCAGGTGGTCAGATCACCACTCGATGGAAGCAGCCACGTCCTGTTGTCTGGATAGGTCTAGCTCTCACATCCATCGGCTACGGAGTCTTTTATCGAGTTCTCAGACCCGAGTTCTCATTGGCGGCTCAAGAAGCGGTTCAACTTCTGCCCGGCATTGGTCAAGGTCTAGCCATCCAGAGTCCAATGATGGTCATCCAAGCAGCGATGCCTCAGAAAGACATGGCAGCTTCGATGAGCGCATGGATCCTCCTTCGATCCATCGCCGCGGGAGTTGGTGAGTCATCGAGGAAGCTCATCCCGTTCGTGGAGCTAATTTCTGCAGGTCTAGCCGTTTTCACGGCGCTACTCAATTCTGAGCTTCGGACACGATTCTCCAAGATTCCAGGGTACGGTACAGAGTTCATCGTACCTTCAAGTGCCGAGGACTATCGCAAATTGCATGATCTTCCTGACAGCCTGAGAGCGACCGTCATTGATGCCTTTGCGAGCTCGTTCGGAGTAAGTCTTAGACTCTCTAGGCTTAGAGACTGTGCTGATGCGTCATCAGGTATGCTTCCTCGTTGGTGCCGGTCTACTAGCTTTCGCTTTCTTCGTAAGTCTCTTGATTTCTCATTGTATGATCTGTCCCTCACGGCTTGTAGATCACTCTCTTCACCAAGAACTACAGACTCGACCAGACTATTGAGGACACCGTTCCTCCTCCCGCCCCTCCGCCTTCACGAGCCAGTATGGCTATCGACCACCACCCCGGAACACCATCGAGCGAGAAAACCCTCGTGCATCTCGAGCCGAGCCTATCGAGCCATTCCCCAGAGAACACACGACAGAGGAGTGGTACCACGAATTCAGCCACGATGCCCCAACCGTTACCGTCTCCTGCGATCCTCGACCAGGTCCAGCCATTCTCAATATTAGAGAGAGCAAGGTCAATACCTGGCGAACAAGGGATTATCCCTCTCGCAAGGCACGGTAGTATGCGATAGACCTAATCAATCAGCTACGATTCCTTCTGTCACTCTCACCCTCTATCATCGGCTAAGTCACGCTCATCGCTCATCGCTTTTCACCATCCCCAGCCACACATCAGCCCTGTCCCACCTCCTGTAGCGTTTCAAACTCATCGTCTCGATGCCTTACTGGACATTTTTCTCGCATCATCATCAACATCATGCATACGAATTGATAGCGTGTCATCGACACAATGCAGTTCAAGCCAAGAGATGCATCAGCTGCATCGATTCACCTGTGGACTGTCTTTGGATGTGATGTCTCCGCCCGTGTCAACGCGACCTTTTGACGTGCTGATCGATGAAATCCATTGCTGGGACAATATACATCTGCCAATCTTCGCTTTTCTCATCCTGAATCGAGGTGTAGAGATGAGCTTTTTCGCACACCCGTGTAAGACTCGTGGCCAATACTCACCAGTATCCTGGCATCAAAGCTATGTTCCCCACCTTCGTCATACCTCGAATTCACCGGGACACCCGCCTCCTTCAGAGTTTTCTCATACACATAATTTTGCTCGATCGGTACAGCAGTGTCTGCAGTTCCATGAAGTATGAACGTGGGCGGGTGGTCTTTTGTGATTCCAAAGAGTGGGCTGGCTTTCCGTACAAACTTGTCGTACTCTTCCTGACTGTTAAAGTCTTCTTTCCTAAACCAATTGGTTATACGAGTCCTAGTAGCTGCCACCCAGCGATACACATCCATGACGAGTCTCTCTTCATCTCCCCTGTTAACGCTCGTGACTCCGTGGTAGGCTTCATGTTCTCCTTGAGGGATGTCGAACTCCCACCACCAAGGCGCGACAGTCATGGCTTTGGAAGGGTCTCTCTCTGCCCAATATGCATCCAGTTGTTCTCTTTTTCGATCAGAGTCTAGGAATTCGATCTTTGAGAACGCAGCGTCCAGCTCTTCAGGGCTGAGCGGCGTAGGATTCGCCCATGGTCCTGTGAAGTTTGTCGGGCCATAAATGTTAATGATCGCCTTCGGGGCCGGGGAGAAGATGTGTGGAGACAAAGACGAGAAGTATCCTCCGGCCGAGTCTCCAGCTACGGCGTATCGCTCAAGGTCGACGCTGATCATAGTCGGCAGATGTTCTCGACACCACTTGAACGAATCGACTAGATCCTCCACTTGCTCATTGAAGCCTACATGCGGAATGAGTCGGTACCCAACAGATACGATATGATATTGCCGGCCGTGGAACGCGGGATGAACCCAGCCAACCTATCATCAGCGTCCATTCTTCTTGCGGACCTTACCATTCGAGTATGATAGCCTCCGGCCCATCCTCCACCATGTATCCATAGCAGCCAAGGCAACGGCTCGTCAGACGGATTCTCGGCCGGCCAGATCCGAAGGGGGACATCAACACCCTGAACAGTCTTGTAGACGTGATCACTGAATGGCTTGGGGCATGGTGTGCACCACTTGGCGCCGCTCGGAGGAGGCATGGTGCGCGATAGAGTTTCTTTTGAGCGTAGTCACTGCACAAGGCCATAGCGGAAACAAGGTCTGGAGGATCCGGACCGGGCCAAGCCGGTAATTCCGGATCGGCATCGAGCCGATACTGGAAGGCTTGAAGATCACTTCACATAGATGCTCCAGCCGCGCGTCACACTGAGCAAGAGGCATAGGTGGCGTATATGAGCTCATAAGCTGAAGGTAGTTTTGGGCTGAGGACGCAGCTTTACTACCACACACCCCAGAGGTTACCCAGCGATCGGCTGACTGACCTTTGCCGAGTTCGCACTGTCTTCCGCGGCGCATCGACAGCATGATTCGACCAGACGAACTTATCCCTGCTCCTTCTGAGTGTCTGACGACTGTCAGACTTGGTGTCCACCAGAGTCTCGCCCTCACATACCTTTGAGCCGCAAAAGCTCTTCGCCACTTTGCCACTCTGTGCTTTCGTGAAATTTGATTCCGCTCAACCTTGGAATACCGTGAAAGACTGGTTGGACACTTTGTTATTGCACCTATAATTTCAGAGTAAGTGAAGGATTACGACCAACATGTCAAGCAGCAGCATTACACTGCATGTAACGCCGACGTTCAACTCTGAAGAAGCTGCACAGGCCGCAGCCGAGTTCGTTTCGTGTAAGTCGCTTGACGCTGGTGCGTACGTGACGCTGAATAATACGGTCCTTGCTCTCTGGCTCTGTCCATCCGACCGCTGTCCCGTCAATAATGCTAACAATCGTCCGCAACGCGACTTTCACTTCATCGATCAGCCCTCGATAATCTGCCTGGAGAGGTAGCGTTCTTACTGGAGGAGATCAAGGAGAAGGAACACCGCATAAATCGTGAATTCATCCTTAATGTTCAGTTGCCTGGCTAAAGCTCAACAACCTCTTCATCAGAGCTCATTGGCAGAATCAGCTCACGGCACACTGGTCTAGTCAAGCCTTTACGAAACATCTATACTCATGGATCTGCCAATCTACCGCCGACTTCAGATGATGATTTCAGCTTGCCTATACCGCCTGGCGACCCCATCCCGACTGCTCACTTAAATACGAAGGACCAACAGGCCATTACGAAGATTCAGAATGAGTGGGGTAAAATTGAAGTTTTACAGGAGGAGAAATGCCGACTAGCTGATCGGTTGGAGAAGATCGTCTCGCGGGCGAGGGAGAGAGGAAGGCATGAATGGTTGAAGGTTGGCGGAATGGATCTTGAAGAAGTGGAGAAGGATGAAAAGATGGGCATGGTCAGCCTGGGAGAATTTGGAGGTGGTGACTTGCTTCTGCCGCCGAGTGGACTTGGTAGCGGCACAGATGGTCGTCCGCCTAAAAGTGAGCTGGTGTCGAGCTTGTTCAGGTGGGAAACAGCTGATCAGTATGTAGAACGGAAGCCGAACGCTCTTCCATTGCCTTTACCATCCAACCCATTCCCATCACAGTCCACTCCGATCATTCACCCACCATCACATTCCGCAATGCTTCCTCCTTCTCTGCCTCATTCTTCTCGCCCGTCTTTGACAGGTCGAGGATCCCGACACGCTCGACACATCTCCACGTCCACTTTGTCCGAAGACCCAGATGTGGATGGTGATGGTGAGATGGACGTGGAGATGGGAGACGAAGGTGGAGGTGATGGCGAGGCAGATGACACGTTATACTGTATCTGTCATCAAAAGAGTTTCGGGGAGATGATTGGATGTGACAATGAGGAATGTGAATACGAATGGGTGAGTATGATTGCGCTGGCATTGCGTGCCCTCGCTGATCGTCGGGCAACAGTTCCACGTCGGTTGTGTCAACATGAGTGGACCTGCGCCGGATACTTGGTACTGCCCATCTTGCGTCAAGACGCTGGGGCTTGCATCTAGCGATGGCAAAATGGCAGGGTCTAGAGATAAGAAGGGACGAAAGAAATGATTTTGGAGACACTCTTTCTGCTGTATCTTCGATAGTTGCGTTGTAATTGTCTGTTCACCTAAGTATGCCTGTACGTATATGGTAACCATGCAAGATTCTTGATCAAACCTGTTCTCCGGCATCTCGGAGCGCGTCGCGTGATACCCAGTCCGACTAACAATCAATGAAGCAGACTCTGACATGTTGATACATGTTGTGACCTGCTCGCCATCCCTTCGTGCCTTGACCGCACACAGCCATTCTAATCGACGACGATAGGGTCCCCTTCGGCAGATGTCTTTCTAGCCATTTTCAGCTCCCTAGCCTCCTTCTGGACTTTTCTCTGCCTAGCTTCTCCGATAGCTTTTAGTAGATCTGCATTTCGCTCCAGAATGGTTTTGTACACATTCTTCTGCAGCGGCGCAAGAGAGATAGGTACGATGATTTCGATCTGCGTAGAGGTCAGCAAGAGCCGACAATACAAGCGTTGACCCACCTTCGGAGGCAGCTTGAGCACATCTGCTTTGATACGCCTGAGTATATAAGGCTTGATCATCTCATGTAGCTCAGTCACTTTCGCTTCATCTAGATCTTGAAAGCGAGCTTCTAGGTCTTGCAGATGACTGGGAGAGTGGATGAGTTGATGTCAACTTCAGCTTGCTCACCGGAAGGTCTCCTTATCTAGGAAGTTGAGCAGATTGAAAAGCTCCCGCAAGTTGTTATTGAGAGGCGTGCCAGTAAGCAAGATGCGATGCACCGAGTTGAGCGTTTTCAGACGATTGAATATGAGACTATTGTCGGATTTGACTGAGGACCGGCGCTTCGTCAGCGAAGAATCACGCATACGATCCAGTTGAAAACACGTCTCGGATACTCACGGCGTTGTCCCTCATCCACACATAAAACTTCCCATCGAGGAATACCTCCAAAGACACGAAATTCGGAGCCCGTGATCATATCGTATGTTGTAAGAACCACATGACTGGTCATTGCATCCATAAGTTCGTGCCCTCTGATCGGAAACGGAGTTCGCTCACGCTCTGAGTCCATGAGCTTCGCCCTGGAGACCCTTATGATACAGCTCGTATTTGGAGATGATCTTGCGGGCTAGATCGCAGGTCAACAATGCGGGACTAGCCACTGATGAACACTCACATGCTGCTTCACCATAGTACGGCACCTGAGGACTTCAGCATCCGTCGAGTCAGAAGCCCTGAAATCGCGCTCACAACCTGGATATGAGGTACCCATTTCTCAAATTCGCGAACCCAGTTGGTAATCGTCCTGACCGGCATGAGCTGAGCCCCGGATGGTGATGAGGAAGAAAATCACGAATTTGGCACAAGGACGAGACACGGGTAGATCTGCAGCTGACTGGAGCCAAGGTACCCAAGAAGTGATGCGATCTGGATGCTGCAGGTTCCATGTTCAGCCAAGCCTCTTGACTCAGACAAAGTCAGGTTACAGGCTTACGTTTTGCCTAGTCCCATGTCGTCTGCGAGGATACATGATTCCCTCTTGAAATGCTTGTACAGGAGCCACTGAAAGCCTTGAAGCTGGTGACGCGTGAGCATAAATCACGTATGCTAACACCTTGTCTACTCACTTGGAAAGGCATCAAAGTCTGGCAGGTGTCAGAAAGGCCTCTTTTCTATGATCAGACACTCACGCCTCCAACAATACACGACGGCTGGGTTTCAGGCGGCTTGGTCATACTTCCAGCAGCCATCTCCCTCTGCTTTATCTCTGAAGCACTCAGGACAGGCAGGTCGACGAGTCTCGCTCCAAGAAATCGCTTGAGAGCCCGCTTGAACGCGGGATACAGCGGTGAATCAACAGGAGGAGGTGTATCCCACGTAGCTGAATATGATGTAAGCTGAGATCTCACCTGTCCACAGTTCGTAGCTCACATTGATCATACTGTAGGTCATCCCATTTGACCTATGGTACTTGTGAGATTATACATGGCGAGGTTCCATCTTAGCGACTCACGAAGCACCAAGTTATCAGTCCAGCGATCTCATCGGCATCCTCTGGCTGCAAGCTCCGTCCAGACCTCTCCTCCCACTCGTCAATCTCCATCTTCTCCTCCTCGGGAGGATTCACGCCATCCGGTCGAGGGCTTAATGTCGTCGCCTCGACTTCCGGCTCAGGAGTTGCAGAGGCAGACAAGATTCGTTTGCTCCGATTGATCTTTGTAGGTTTCCGCTTCTTCTTTGGGGGCAAAAGCATGACATCCAGTACCCGATCGATCGTACACCACTCGGTGGGGATACTGCTCTCGGCGTTCTTATCAGGTGGAGGGCCATAACCCTTCCACTCCCTTGCTCCGTGCGAATGCTTCTGATCACCTTTGACTTTGTCGTCCTCCGCCAAGATGCTCGAGATGGTTGGCTGTGCCATATCATCCCCTCGAGCAGCCAATGTCTCGTCTGTCACGAGATCCAAAGCTGGTCCCTTTTCAAGGAAGTGTCGAAGCTTTTGAGGCGCATTGGCTATAGCCCAAGCATGAGGTATCCAAGTGACCTGAGGGGACACATCAGACTCAGACAAGAAACATCGTAGATCAGCCTACACTCACGTGCCGAAATCCTCGGCCTGCCCACTTCACCAGATACTCGCGAGGCAGGGCGTCTTTGTACGAGGGCGGTTCGCCGTCGTCTCCATCTAGCTCAGGTTCAACGGCGTCCGCTGGGGAAGGTCTCCATGCGCAGATCTTGAAAACTGCATAAGCTATTGTGGTACGGCTTTCATGCCATCCAGCTTACGATGTCTACTGGCCAGATCCAGTCTCTGCACTGGTGGCACGTCCACTGTCGAGGCGTTTCTTGATACCAAGAAGCCTTTCGAGCCAAACTAGAATCGACACCGACCTCCGAGGCAGAACAATCTTTGACTGGGCCCAGCGTTAGCCGGCGCCTGACTTGTTCGGAAATTCGCCCGGCTCCTCGGCTCACGATGTAGGTAATGGCAGGCAAGCTTGCACCGAACGCAACGGAACATGAGGGCGGCCTCTGCCTCCGGGGAGTTCTCGGCCTCATCTGCGTCTCCATTCGCTGTGGGTCTCTCGTCTCGCAGGTTCCTGACAGCTGTCGTGTCATCGTCGACGTCGACTTCCATCGTCGTGTTTCCATTGAGCATGCTTGTGGAGGCCGCTCCTTCCGCGACAGGTTCCATGGCTTCAGGCTCATCTTGTTTCTTGATGACTTCTCGATCCTGATCGGTAGGCAATCGCTCTTTGTGACAAACGAAACACTTTGCCACTGCCGTACATCTTGCGCAGACAAAGCCTGCCCGCTCGTCAATCTTGACAGACTTTCGACGTCTCTCCCCAGGTTTCGGAGGACCTTCTTTCTCAGCCAGAGTGAGGAGCACATCCTTCTGCTGAGTCGAAGCGAGGCAATCCTGCAGGCATTCAGTCGTATCAGCCACTGCGATGAGGTTGTTGCTATGCTTACCCAATGTGAAGAGATGACACACTTCTCACACTGCAAAATCGTCAATCGTGATCCAAAGTGAAGGCTCCTATTTTCACTTACTTCAAGCCATCCTTCGAGCTGATTGGCCAGCTCCTCGTCAGACATCTCATCCTCGTGCTTTTTCCGACGTCTGCCAGGTCGCTTCTTTCGAGCTACAGCTCGAGCCAGAAGCTCGTGAGCAGGACCTCGCGCGCATTTCTCGCAGAACTGGACCAAAACTCTCAGTTGGGAGCATGCACAGGTATGGGCGTGAAGATCAACTCACCGCTCGATGCCGTCTTAACGCATCATCATCACTTTCATCTCCGTCCGACCCCTCCTCACTACTCTCTTCCAGCTGATCATCCTCGAATACACTTGCAGAATCATCTATCTCCTCTTCTCCTTCGCTCTCTCGGACTTTCCAACTATTTCGGCGCTCTGGTGCTGACTCTTCGTCGGATGCCGACCCGTGGTCATTGATTCCATGGCGTTTACGCCTCTTTGCTAATTTCTGATCCGCTTCGGAGCTGTCTGTGCGCGCACGATGGCCTGATCGAGCCGGCGGCTTCATATTGCGATGCATATGCGTTCGGACAGGTGCTGATGTGCCGTAAAATGAGTCTTCAGAGATTGACGAGGTGGTAAGGCGTGAGAATGCGTGCGACTGGACTTCCGTTAGCGAGATATCTGACGGACATAAGAGGGTCAGGGACAGAGTCGAGGTACAGGATCGGTGAGTAAGATCCACCTCGCGGATGCAGGATGAAAGAGAGTGAGGATGGACAACGTTGAGTTCTTGTTGACGTGAATGGCGCACAGACCTCCTTTGTCCTGATCATCAAAACCCATAAAAGGACGATTTGAGAAACCCACACCGAGCCAATCGTTTCCGCGTTGACAGAAAAGAGGCACTGGACTCACCTTATTGACTCTCTCTTGGGCTCTAGTAGCTCTGGTCCTTGGTATTCGCCTAGTTGGTGATTTCCTGTCATGCCTTCTACTTCTTCTAAGAGCTATAGGATCAGACTCTGGATCTCCATAGCTATCCTCCTCGTCATCGTCCTCATCTTCTGCGTCAAAGTCGTCCCATTGTATCGGGCTGTCGGATTCACGGTCCGTCGTATGATTATTTCTCCCGCTGCCTAGATGACTGCCCGATGAATAAGATAGAGATAGTCGAGTGGATTGGTCAGGTATGAAACGCGCAAATTTGTCGGGATATGAATAGGTTCTCAGTTTTGCTAGTGGCTTGAGAGGTATTTCCATGATCACATTGGACCAAGGTTCGGCTTTGGCTTTCCCCTTGCCTTTGTCCTTCTTTCCATGGTCCGGAGCGTCTAGCAACTCGACGGATGGATTACGGAGTTGGCGCCGTTTGAGACGTCGACCAGGTCGGAGTATGGACTCAGAGCCTGAACTTGAATCGTCCAGAATCTCTATCGGTGCTCGGTCCGTATCTTCTAGCTCGTCCGATTCGTTCTGACCGCGAAGGACGAGAGGGTCGGAAGAACTTCGAGAATTGTTCGAGTTGATTCTCGACATTCTTGAGGAGCCTGCTTCCTTTTCACCTCCTTCTTCTTCAGAGCCATTAAGCGATTCCAGAGCATCCTCGAACGCCTCGACCTCTTCTTCCGCCTCGTCCTCTACTTCTTCTTCGGGCTCTTCCTCTTCCTCCTCATCTGCCGGATCTGAGTCATGATTGCTCCCTCCAATCCTGCGCCCCTCACTTGCCACTTTCCGAAGCGAGCCATTTACGGCTGACCACTTGGGTGTCAGCTGAGACGCGGGGAGTGTTGACGAAGTCGCCCTAGTCGACGATCGCTTTTGACCCATGAGAGTGGTCGTGTCGCCGGTAGAAGAGCTTTCTTGTGCCCTCGGGGTCATGTTCTTGGACTGTAATGAATTCGGTCTCGACAGGCTGATCCCATTTGACGCACTTTTCCCCTGAGATGATGCGATATCATCCGCCGGTGAAGAATCGTCCGTCCGACCATTTGACAGTCCGCTGTGTATGTTTTGGCCCTTAGAAAGAGTCTCAAGCCGGGAAAGAACCGTAGCTCTATCGCTTGACCCGGCTCGATGGGAAGATGCCGCTCCCTGTGACATTGATCCAGAACGAGACCGAGCCATGGTTGTTCGCTCGAACAGAGGACTTGAGCTCCCCAGTGAGGCTGATCTCGAAAATCAGAGCTATAGGCGAGAGCGAGCTAGCCTAAAGTCACCTTCCCCGACCTTGTGGACATGCTTGCCTTCGCCACACCATCCTGCAGAGTACGTTCTGCCTTCGACATGAGATCCCAGAACATTTAGCTGATTGAACGTTGACTTTTGATCTCGAGGACGTGACTGGCGGCGTTCGCCGCTCAGTCGTTCGCGACCTCAATTATAAGGACTGAGGCAAACGGTAAGTCTGTGAAGCGCCTGAGATCGATAGACAGGGTGAATGCATCGGGTCAACCGTCAAATCTAACAGCTATGAGCGGGGCTGTAGGTCATGTAATGGATAACTATTGCTACAGTTGCGCGGAGAAAATTCAACATCGAGGATCCGTGAGGACGAAGGGGCATCCTAAGACCTGGTCTCTACGGTCACAGAGATCCCTCCCTTCAGGGGGACATGCGTAATAGTCATTGGGAGACCCGCAAGCTGCGATCACCTCCACTCCTTCTGTTCCCCTCCCAGAGCTGCATTCTCTGCCCTCCTGTCTATCTCGTATGGATCTTCCTCAGTCGAGTTCTCTGGTCTCCCGCTGAAACCCTCGAACCGTTTGCTCACTTCCATGGTCATGGCCTGAACGTACGCTGGGCTGACAGCGATGAGGAGTGTTTCTAATGATTCATACGTTTGTTGAAGGTAAGTGTGGAGGTTGGATGCTGCATCAGAGATGCGTTCGACCTGGAAAGGGAAGGTGTCAGTGAGCCAATTACGAGGACAATATATCGAGACCACGCAGGAGCGAGATGCAACACCTTCCTTTCGCCCTCCCTTCCCAAAATGATCGTTTCCCGTCTGTACGTTTCCAGAGAGAGAGCATCTCATTGGATGGAACACTGCGTTGCAGTGGCTCCTGCGCTTCGTGACCTTCAGACTCACCGTATACCCCCTCTGATCCAGAACCACCTCCATCTCCCCAATCCCACCTCCATCCAGCAACATTATCCTGGCTCTAGCCACAGCTCGATCGCTTGTTCGTCCAGTCTTTTTACTCTCTTCTACTATAGCGGCTTTGTCCTCGGCAGTGTGAGGGAACGACCGATCGAGCATGACGTGAGAGCTCGGCTGAATGCCAAAGAGGTTGGTTTTGAGGGCCTGTTCTAGTTCTGGGATAGGATCGGTCAGGATATTGGACGACATGATTGGGGCGCTGTGTAGACTTGGACCAAGCTGAAAAGACTTTTACTAATGGTCTTCGACGAGAGTTCGCCCTTGCATAGACAAGGTAGGAACGACAAACACCTCAAGCATTCCTTCACACCAGAGTGGTCAACCTCCACCTGGCGCGGCGGCACATGGCTCTAAAATCCGAATGATATTTTTGCATTGCATACATGTCTTACATGAATCCCGACTCGATCTCCGACCAACCACCTATGAGCTAGCAATCTGTCTCAACGCATCTCCACCTAGGTTATCAGGGATGGCATATCTCTGATCCGTTTCCGACAGCAGTTTTCCACCGAACAAAACTTGTCCATGTTTGGCATGATAAGCCGCCAGTCTAGCCTCGACCTCGGGTCCTGAGAGATCATAAGCACGCGACTCTCACTTTGATTCGCGCTGCGACTCACGGAAGTGCCTCATGAGGCCTTGGATAGGCCAAGCAGCTGCGTCTCCCAATGCACAGATAGTGTGCCCTTCAACTTGTTTACTGAATCGCCGAGTCAGTAAGCATGTCGATGGCATAGTCGCTCGACCCACGTGAGCTCCAACAACATGTCAATCTCCCTCTCTTGCGCTCGTCCTTCCACTAATCGGTCCATCATGTTCATCATCCAGGTCGTTCCTTCACGGCAAGGGGTGCATTGTCCGCAAGATTCGTGTTTGTAGAATTTTGAGAATCGAGCAATGGCAGAGACCATGTCGGTGGTTTGGTCCATAACGATGACAGCGCCAGTTCCAAGCGATGTCTGGCAGTCTTTGAGGGAGTCGTAGTCCATCCTAGTTGTGAGCGTCAGTGTGGGTTCATGACGCACAGTACTGGACCACTCACAATGCCTTTTCACAAACCTCTCGCGGAATGACCGGGACCGAGCAACCACCGGGAATGATTCCCTTGAGATTCTGCCATCCTCCCCTGATGCCTCCACAATGCTTTTCCAGGAGCTCTTGTAACGGTATACTCATCTCCTCCTCGACGACGCAAGGATTGTTGACGTGTCCAGAGACACAAAACAGCTTTGTTCCCGAATTCTTCTCTCGTCCAAACGAGGCGAACCAAGCACCTCCACGTCGAGCAATAGTAGGGGCGACAGCGACAGTCTCGACGTTGGCAACAGTCGAAGGACATCCGAACAGACCGACATCGGCAGGGAAAGGGGGCTTCAGTCTCGGTTTGCCCTGCTTTCCTTCTAGAGACTCGATCAATGCAGTCTCTTCTCCACAGATGTATGCTCCGGCTCCTCGATGAAGGTAGACATCGAAATCATATCCTGATCCACAGGCATTCTTTCCGATCAGACCGTCTTTGTAAGCTTCGTCGATGGCCTGTTGGACGTGGGATGCCTCTTGGTAAAACTCTCCGCGGATATAGATGTAGGCTGTGCAGGATGAGCGGGAAAATCGAGCCAAGATGGAAACCTCTACGCACCCGCAGTAGCGTTCATCGCCCGTCCAGCGACCAAACATCCTTCTACCAATTTGTGCGGATCACCTCGCATAATCTCTCTGTCCTTGCATGTTCCAGGTTCTCCCTCATCTGCATTGACAACGAGGTATCGTGGTCTAGCGACATCAGCTCCTGTGATTGAGAAAAGCTGCTTTAAACTCACCTCTTATCTTTCTCCCAGCCTGGTTTGTTCACTGAGATGCGTGTGAGCTCTGGTTGATGACGGATATGTGATGAGCTCACTGAAACTCCACTTGAGACCACTAGGAAATCCTGCACCTCCACGTCCTCTCAGTCCTGAATCTTTAATCGTCTGGATGATCCAAGAATCTCCCTTTAACAAGATCTCTTTCGTCTTGTGCCAATCACCACGAGCTTTGGCACCTTTGATGCCGTGGTCGTGTCTGAAGCAAGATATCAGTCAAAAATCCACGATTCAAGCCTCGAACAAAGTCGACTTCGACTCTGCCGGCCAGCATTTTCCCCTTATCAACTCACCGGGAGAACAGGTTTGTGAAGATTCGGTCCTGATCTTTGAGCCCTCCGTATCTCCGTACAGGTGGATCGGCGACAGTAGCCAGAGAGCGGGAGGAAGTGGATGGCGAGGAGGAAGGAGTGGTGGAATTGGGGGATGATGAGGAGGAGGTCGCACTGGCGTTTGTGATGATCGCTTTAGGTGTGGTAGTCGAAATCGACCTCAAAAACGGTCTCGAGACCGTCATGACTCTCGCTCTAGGAAGCATGTTTGAAGGGTGATGAGATCCAAACCCCCCAAGATCGTTGGGACTGAGCTTCAAATGTCCGTAGACCCACGATCGATGATTGCCTGGAGAGTGGCACTTCCCAAGTCCAAAGCCACGTGTCACATAACGCCGTGTCCATATCGGGGATTCACTTCTGTGGCATTTGCTATTCATTTGAGGCGGGGCACCCGGCCTTCATCCCGTAATTCATTCACTTTCATTGGCCGCCGCTGACAAGGTATAAACTACTGGCACAACCTGACTCCTTCCTAGTGCATACTCATGACAAGTGCTGAGTGGTCGGAGCCTTATCCTCCACCATCTCTACAATCTGGGCCTTCTCCTGTTCTCCAGCCGGCGAGCCGAATTCAACATCGCCAGTGGCGGCGAGTTGTCCCCTCTTTTCTAGCGCGGCAGCGCTGTCCTCGCCGTCGTACAGGAAGACGGTTTCCTCGAGAGGGAGAGGTCCGTTAGGGCCCTTTGTCTCGATGAAGTACATGTACATGAAGACCAATTCAAAGAGGAGCCTGTGCAGAGAGGTGTGAGCGAAGGTCAACGGTGAGGAAGTGGGATATCACGCGTACCAGCAGTCGTATACCTGTATGGTTCGTCAGCCCTGAGGAGACATAACATGACGGCAAAGACTCACGATATAATATTTCCAGTTCAGTGCCTTCATGGCGAGCGGGTTCACATATTGATTCTGAGCGGCGTGTTTGTCAGATCGGGATCTCATATAAGGGGTTTTTAGGGGATTATGAGAGCTATCGACTTACGAAGATCAAAGCAATATTGATGGACAAACTTCCCATGGTGATGGCACGCGCACGAATGTTGGTGGGACACTGATCGGTCAGCAACAGGGTCCCTTCGGTGTCTCCCTCACAATCTCGATAGAGTACAAGTTCTGGACTGGACTGATTCCAATGGCGTATGATGCGTTGAATAGGATGATCAGAGCCAAGACGGCGTGGCCAGCGTTGAGATTCGGGTGAATGGCGACACCCATGGTGTTCTTGAGGGCCGTCGATTCGGTGTATACTGCACTGCAGATTGTCCAACAGACAAAGAAGACCAACATGCCGGCCAAGGATGTCAACACCAAAGGTCTTCGACCGGCCTTATCGACAAGCGTGGCACCAATGATCGAGATGATGAATCCCCAGACTTGAAGAATTCCATTGATCAAAGTCTGGTGACCCGTTGAGGTGATACCGATACCGTCGAGGACGAGCGTGAGATAATAACTGATCAATCCTGTACCTGACCATTGAGAGAAGAAGCCAAAGGCAATGATGATTCTCATTCGTCGTCGGTTACCGGGCGTTTTGAAAAGCTCCAAATATGAAGAAGATTGCTTGGCTTCACGCTCGACTCGGAGCGCCTCCATAATCTCCTCATATTCGAATGTTGCCAAGGGGTCGGCAGCATCGTCATTGCAATGCCATTTGGTGATAACTGCAAGCGCTTCTTCGTCTCGTCCTTTGGAGACCAACCAACGTGGCGATTCCGGAATGAAATAGATCACACACAAGGTAATGACTCCCGGGACCTAAGAAGATAACAAAATGTGGCACGTCAGCCAGAATTCACTCAATGTGGCAGTTCCAATCTCCATTCTCTCAACCACTCAGATCTTCACTCACACCTTGGATCAATGAAGGAAGCCTCCAGGCCCATGTATTGTTGATCCTAAAGGAACCAAATGTCGTCCATGCGGCAATGATGGCCCCAGAGTTCCAAGCAGGGCCCCAGAGCGAAGTTATAGGGCCTCGATGAGTCGGGAAGGCCAATTCTCCAATGAGCAACGGAGCTGCCAATCCCGCAAATGAGAGACCAAATCCAATCAAGAAACGACATCCAATGAACATTCCTACGTTCTGCGCAGCGGTCTGGATACCCGTAGCGATCAACATGACTGAATGTTAGCGTAGGGAAAGCCACAAAGACCAACTGATTGTTCCAAAGACCAGGGCTCGCCTTCGACCGACCCAGTCGCATAGGTATGGAGACAACAACAGACTCGAAAGACCTCCGATGGTCTGAATGGCGTTGAAGACTCCTAGAGTACCGCCTTGAGGGTTGTGGAAGTAATTCTTCCATGTGTCGATGGTTCTTGTCGTTAGCCAGAACGCAAGATGAATCTCTCACTGGAGACCATTCATCATGGATCCATCATATCCATTGTTCGTCATTGTCAAGAAAAGGAAGAACTAGCTGTGGTCAGCCCCAGGTTGTCTATGTCCGATCGGAACTCACAAGCATAAAGTTGAGACGACCCAGTCGACCTTTGTACCATCGTGTGTCTCTACCTTGAAGGATAGTGGAGAGAGCACTGTGGTATTCTCGGACTGGACCAGTCGCAGGGGCAATATTAGGCGCCATGATGTGTCGATGTCTTCACAGAATCTCGAGGAGGACCAACAACCTAGGCGGGGCGGGCGAAGCGGATCGATGTCAGTATATATACTAACCAGCTGCGCTGCGGCAGATATTCGGTAGGATAGATGGTGACATCGGGGATTAGGTCGGTGCACCGACCTCAGCTGCTTGCCCTGGGTGAGTCTGCTTTGAACGGATGTACCGTACATCGTTAGATTAAATTAAATGCTCCGCAAAACTTTAATACCTGGGGTACAGACCAAAATAGCTTGACCCGGTGGATTGACCGTTCACTCCACGCATATCTGAAGGGTGCATTAAGACAGGGTAGAGGAAGGTGTTTCGTATCGACCCTGAGGATGGAGACTTAGGCAGCGGGCAATAGGGGCTGCTGAGACGAGGTCCACGGGGCGCAACATCCTGGAAGCGAGGATGGTTACGAAGCTGTAGCGAAATCCGCTTCCGGACTGAAATTTCGTCGGCGGCGTCCGATGCCGGGGGTCCTCCTCACTCCAGCTAGAGATCTGTTCGAAGATATCGCCCGAGGCCAATTGCAAATGCCCATACGGGGTGTTGGGGTCCCCGAGTATCGACCGACGACGCTCCGTGGTCAAGTGTAACGCCATCCGCGACGTGTAGCACGGTCTCGCCTGGCTTGTGGCTCATGGTAGGCGGTGGTATCTGCCTAAATCAGCCGCACTGGCCTGAAGTCTGACTGAGCGAGACCAAGCTTCGTCGAATGCACGTGAGTCACCTAGCTAGAGAGACCGGTGGTCGAATACACCGACAGTCTGTTGCATGAATCCAACGAATACACGGAGTTCTCGGTCGTATTCTTCTTGTCGTTCGAATAGAAGACGCCCCTGAGTTCAAGCATGTACCTGTTTGGCGCTTTCTCGGCAGAAGGCATGCCGAGGGCGGTCAGAGCGCAAGTCCTCGCAGGATATCTGGGACTCGGGGGGAATGGATCGCCCTTCAGGATGTCCGTCCTCATCGACAGATGCATCACAACCACCGCGGTTGTTACAATTAGAGGGAAAGAAATGCATCGATCTCGCTTGACATGGAACACCTTTATATGCGATTAACCATGGACTGGTCTACAGTCTCTGTCACTGAATATGGTCCTTATTATGCTGTCGACCTTGCCAAGACGATCCACGGCCGGGACAGGGGTCTCATCTGTCCCTTGTGACAACGTTACTAATATCAGCGTTCCAGGAGCGTGAAGCTGCGACACCGTTTATGCCTGGATACTTGAGGCTCGTCAAGGCGTCTCCGAGCCCAGAGAGGAGAGACGATGAGGTCAGCTCGCTTCGCTTTTCTCGAGCCGCTCCGAACGCGTACAGCGATAAGCGATCATCCAAGCCAAAATCACGGCTAATCCTCCACACGACGATGGCTCATGCTTAACCGCGTCCCGCTCCGCAACTCCGTCGATAGCCTATATAATCATCTGCCACACTCACCCCCAATGAATGTGGCACTTTTTCGTGGTCCGTGCGGGTGTTGAAACGTGTACCTGAAGAGATTATTTCATTACGGCATCGGTGGCAAAAAAGAAGGGGGGGAAGGGGAAACGTGGGTCAACAAAGCATTGGTGACGATAAGCGGTATATCGGAGCGATTGAAGTGCAGAGAGGTTCATTCGGATGATGATGGAGTAAGAGTGGATATCGAGTAGTAGGGGTAGATGAAGAGTTGGCTACGTGGACTACTAGGGGCCGTTCTTGATGATCACTGTGCATTGACTCGATAACGACATTTAGACTGTTATCTCGCTGTTCAAACGTTTCTGCCCTCTCCCCCCAAATACCCGCGGGAGCCGACCGGCCGCTGACGCACGAGTGTTACAATCTCATTCCCTCCCACTCTCCCCATTTCCATCTCTACATCTCTCACTTTCAACAATCGCTTTCATACCCACTCAAGCTCAATACATCGAGACTGTATTAGTGGTCTACATATACAGACCATACATTGCACCATCGCCATCGACCTCCTCATCATCATCGCCGCCGCCGCTTTCATCGCTCCCGCTCTCCCGCGCTTATCAAATCTCCTTTGAACCCAACACCGATACACATCTACCTCACCCTACCTTTGAATCGTTCTTAGTCTCATACCTTTGACTGGACTCCAAAGGAGGTCGTGTGAGTCGACAAAGAGTGAGTCGTAGAGGATCGTCAGCTACGCGTTTGCATACATCCCACACCTCTTATCGGATCAACATCAACCTCAGTGCTGACATCGTCGATCTCCACAGCTTTCTTCCTCAAATCTCAATTCCGGCAGTCACCTTCTCTTGAAACCCCCGCCCACCCAGGTGAGCCTCGCTTGTGTATCTCCTCGACGTGCTCTCGGTCGCTATCCTGACGAACGCTACCCACCCAGACCCCGCCGATAACAATGGATTACCTCGACATCCTCTCCTCTCGATCTCTCCTCCTCTTCGCCCGGCCCAACAAAGTTACACGTTCCAAATCCATCTCTGACTCCCTCTCATCCGATGATTCACCCGACTCTACCCCTTCCTCTCCCAATGCCCAACTCCCCGATCCAACCCCCGCTCTGATCGCCATGCCCATCCAGTCACTCATCGAGGGCTCATCAGACAGCGTCTACTTCCTCCTGACTCATGTTCTCGCCACTGCCTTTCAGCCTGCCCCTCAAGCTGGATCCCCAGGCGGCGACTCATTCTTTGGTGGTGGACTTGGGGGCACGCCCAAGGAAGTCGTCGGAGAGGCGGAGCTCCTTGTTTGGAAGGAGATGGACCGAGCAAAGATGTTCGGTCGCGAACTGGGACAATGGTTCAGAGGTCACGGTAACTCCAGGATCTCCGAGGGGGAGCTCGAGCGTATGGCTTCGAAGTGGGGTTTGGAGCTCGAACCCCTGGGCGGGGTCACCGACGCCCCGATGAAAGGATCCCAGAGGAGCGACATCGATCTAGAGAGCTTTGGATCGACACACAGTATCCCCTGTGCCGTGGTCAGGGCTTAGGCAATCAATCTCGCCTTCAACGACAAGATTCAAGTCGTATTAAACTCCAACCTGCCTAAGTTCAGTCCAAGACTCTCACTTCGTCTCTCCTGGTCTCCTGCATGGATCGATTCCGGACTCTCAGGTGGAGAACAGCACGTTAAGACCTTCTCGACTCTCATCAACGACGTTGTATATCCAGCACTCTATGTAGTCTCTCCGTTCTTGACTTGTTTGTAAATTGTCTCCTCTGCGTCTCTCCCTCCCTCTTTCGCTCTCTCCAAGCTTGAAATGATGACGACTAAATCGCGAGTAATATGTATCTGCATGCAAAGAGTCAGCATGACCAATGCGTGGGGCAGTACCGAAACAGATCGACCACCGACTGCGACAGTATTCGAAAAGGGTACTACTTGACTGTGGGCTCGACCCTCACTCACCCTCCAATCATAGCCACGCCTCCCAACGGGGTCAATGGCCCTAGCACCTTTTTCCAAACATCTTTGCCCAGCACTAGACCGAAGATGCTCCCACTGAAGACCATAGCTCCAGAAGCAATCATCCCAGTAGCGATTCGAGCACGACGAGACAAGCTGAGGGCAGGGTGGAAAGAGATGGCAAGGAGAGCGAGACCATTGTAGATGAGGTAATTCGATGCTGTACTCCAGTTTGAGATGGATCGTTCAGACAACGGTGGCTGACGGGATCGCAGACCGTGGGATCCGAATGCACCACAGGACATACCCACTGCAGCTGGAGGCAGAGGTCAGTTGGACGTTGAAGCCTAGTAAGCAATTCGTACGTACTGAGCAGTGCTCCAGACTTCCACACGTTTGTCGCATTCATAGTGAGTCGATGTGTTGTCGCGGGTTAGGTGATTGTCTGCAAGCTTGGGAGATGATCGATCAGGCCGTGATTCGCGAAGCGGAGACGGGATAAGAAATCAGTAGCTTACAGGTGTTCGTCAGGACCTGCCAAACTTTGTGGCACATCGGCGAAAGTGGCGGACGCCCTCAGGATGCGTCTGTTAGAGAGTTCAACTTAGACGGTTGTCAAACCGGGGGTTTCAGACCCAGACCTCACAGTGACTGATCCAAGAATCGGACTATATCCCACACCATGGCCGCGTCGTGAAGACGTTGCAAGTTGCTGACTGGCCCCATCCTTTCCTTCCTGGATCACTGATACAGTACGTAAGGGGTTTCACCTTCGCAACATGTCAACTGCTCGTCAATTTCCATTCTCTCCTCTCATCTTCTCATAGCGATACGTCTCTTGTCATCCAAAATGGTCCTGCTCATTGAGGAGAGCCAAAAACGACGCGCAGTGCTCAAGAGACAGTATGCTTCCATAGAGAATGAGGTGAATTCCCAGGGCGAGAGCACAGCAGAACATGTATGTACGAAGAACATGTACTAACCTAAGTCTGTAGCACCGGGATGTTGACGACCCCATCTATCTCGTCACTCCGTCTGGGACTACCCTCATTACCCTCATTACCGATCCGGAACGGCGCCCTGAACGACTCGTGCTCTTAGATAGCAATTTGCAGCCCGTACCCGACAAACGTGGTCCGGACGATCATCTTCACAAGCGGTCGAAATTGTCGCCCAACACTCTACCGAACGACGCGCAGGGGCAAGACAAGTCGGAGAAGGGTCGCAAATCTGAGTCAACTGAGACGTCAAGCACGGCTGTTGAGTCTCCTGGACAACGAGATGACCTTGAGAATGTGAGGAAGTCATCGAGCTGATAAGATGCCTACGGATCTCGGCTGACGTGAAAACAGGGCAACCCGATCTTCAAGCGTCCGCTGTCAGGCAGCGGCGAGAAGAACGTCATCGAGCCAGCCAGTCTGGCCACCCTCATCAGCGACTCTAATTACCATACTCAGGTCTTTTTGAGCTTGAGTGAGTGAGCTCTCTTGTTCCATCGCTCTCTTTTGCTAACACGAAGGCAGCCGAAACCATGCTTAAACCCATGCTTCAGATAAACAATTCAGGTGTGAGCCGTCTCTGGGTTTTCCCTGTGAGGACCACTGACTTGGGTCGGTAGTCCGGATACAGAGGAGCCGTTACGCTTATACTGAGCAGCTTCGAAGGAAATGGTCGTATCCCCCGAGAGCAGCCACCTCCTCTCATGCTCTGCGGACCGTTCTTTCGAACGGAGGATATCAACATTGATGCTTCCCTTAGCAATCTGTCTGCACTCTCCGGCGCAACGACAGAATTCCGAGGTAACGGTCGGTACGCCGCCGCCTTTGGACTGAACATTGAAGGCGTCTCTCTGGATCTCATCTACAAAGTTGACGCTCGGGATCAGTATAACATCTGGGGAGGGTATTTATTGGAAAGACATAGTTTTGCTTCTTGGACTCATAGCACGGCAATGAGGGAGATTGAGCTCTATTCGACACGCATGAAGGATCTACAAGGCACTGTGGTTGCGACGTGCTATGGACTGTGGCTTGATCATGGGGGACAGCATCCAGTTGCGATTTTCGAAAATGCGGGAATGAGTACACTCGAAGAGAGGTTAACACTAAAAGACCAGTCAGTCGGATCGTGCAAGGCCGAGGGTGGAAATATGAAGGCGAGACCGTCGCTGACGTGCTCCAAAGGGCTGCTATACGACTGTTGTATGTCAAGCTCCATCGAAGAGGAGTCATTCACAAGAGTCCAAAACGCAAACATTGGTACCGCACCAAGGATGGCACGTTCCGATTGATCGACTTCAGTAACGCCACTTTCTGGGGCGACCGGTACTTGCCCTATAGAGTGTACTGGCGCAAATGGATTGATGAAGAGATCGATTACATACTCGAGACATGGTGCGAGCGGCCCTACAGAGGCATGTTTGACTTTCCCATGCCGACGTGCAGCGATCAAGGGGTGGGTGAAGAAAACCTGGATAGGCCCAACGATCCAGAGAGTGTGGAACTGTGGCGATACAGGCGCAAAACAGTGTCATGGAAAATCGAAAGGAAAATGATCAGAAAATGGATCGCAAAGGTGAACAAGAGAGCCAAGCAGTGGGGCGATCCCAATAAAGCGTTCGGACGGCCCAAGGAGCCTGGAAAGGATCAAGAAGAGGTGACAACTGTGAGTTGGGACTTGCTCCGCAAATACTGGCCACTGCACTAAGTTATGCAACGCTACTCAGCCGGTGGAAGAGACCCTCATCACCCCCACGATATCCAACATTGGCGGTGAAGACGTCGAGAAGTCGGAGACGAAGCAAGCGAAATTGGTTGGTTAGTATAACAATACATACAGTATTCAATATCCCAAATCCCCGCTGATGTGACCACAGTTTAGTGAACAAGTCTCGCTTCCTGCAGTCGGAAAATGTGGAATCTCCTGCTGTACATCATGATGGCGGATGATCTCTGATACACGAAGAGGGAAAGAAATCCATCGATCTCGCTTGACATGGAATAGCTCTATATATGTACAGTACCATTATCGAAAGGTCCACGTCTCTGCAATCGAATACATATGGTGCTTATTGCTCTCTAGACCTGGGCCAAGACAGTTCACGGCCGGGACAGAGCTCTCATCCGTCCCTTGTGACAATCTCAATCGACAGCTGTCGTGTAGCTGCAGACCAGCTTGGATAGGTGTTGGGCATACATCACAGACATACATACATTACAGTTAGACTTGGCACTGCCACTTTCGCCCCGGCTGATTGCAGCACGGTCTGCTTGGTTTTCAATCCTCGCTCAGTTTGATGCAGCGAGGAACCAGTCTACATGGAAAGCAGACTCAAGCTTCCCAAGTATTATCTCATTCGTGCATCCATACGTTGGCTATACTCTTGGGTCTACATGCTACCGTGCTCTGGTCATAGTTTTAAATGGTCATTACAAGATCTTGACAATTTCGTCTCTTTGCCCCCCTGACACTGACAACCCCATTACACTGACTCTATTTCTCTCTTTGCTCCGACACTGTTCTACCCTCCCTTGACCACTCCTGTTCGCCCTCGCGCACCCGCTCAGTCCCTCTTCCTCGCCTTTCGATCAGCATGACGTCTAGCAGCTATTCGCTCCAAATTCTCCTGCGCAGCCACTTTCAACGCATCCAAACTGCGCATCATGGACAACACACCCTCCAGATCCATACTATCGACGGCTCGACTAGCAGCAGCAGCTTCATCCAGCATAGCGAGGAGCCGGATCTGTTCGTTCGTCCGTGTCGAAGGAGAACCGGTCGTCAAAGAGTCCAAGCTGGGAGCCGAAGCGGCAGCGGATCCAGTACCAGATGACGATCCTTGTTCTTTGTCGACCATGATCGATGCGCTCGATCCGCCCGACCTCTTTGCCCGAGTCGGTCTCGGGAGCGAAGAGAATTCTTCGATATCCCCATCATGATCACCAATCTTTGACTTTTTCGAGCTCCTCGTTCTGCGAGTGGACTCGGTCTTGCTCTTCGCAGTCTCCTCCATCATCACTTTGATCGCCTCGTCTTCTTCCCGCTTGCGTTTCCTGGCAGTCTCAGGACTTAAGAGTAGCTCGTCGTCTTCGTCGTCAGCCAGGACAGTAAGGTCTATGAGGGGTGAATGTCGCGAGATGGGAGTTGCATGGCTCAATCCAGACTTTGAGATGGTCTTCCCCTTGTTCGCTGAGATCGACGCTTGGACCGGCGTCCCAACTTCAATCTGCTCCATGCTGAAGTCTTCGATCTGCTCCACAGGGTCCTCGGCGTCCATCTTCCCTCGGGTAGGACTGAAAATCGTGAACGACGGAACGCGAGAGAGCCAGCCCTTGGCGGACGATAGGAGTGATGGTCTATTCCTGTTGGATTCAGACCAAGTCGGATGAGACGCCTCAACCATTACCGCTTCGATCGGCTCGGATTTCTCTTCTGTGCCGTCGGACGCTGGCCCGGAGTCGAGAGGTCTTCCAGTGCTCACACGAGGGCCAGACGATGGAACGAGGTCAACATGCGCCTGTGCATCTCTCGCGGACGTCCATTCGGCGTCCTGCTCCGGCTGTCCCATCGAAGCCAGAGACTGAGACCTCGAGCTGTTTCTGGACCGCCCAGCTCTACGTCTACGCTTTGTTCGCCGAGACGAGTGACCAGTAGGACCAAAAACGTCGCCGCCCACCTCCACATGGACAGACAAAGCAGTGCCTTGAAGTCCGTTCATGTCAACAGTAGAGTTGTGGACTTCCTCAGTCATATCGATAGCCATCGTCGCCGGGGGCCCAGATGCCGAGGACGAGGTTCCAGATACACCAGAATCCGCCACCTGTGCACTGCGGTCTGAAGAGGAGGTAACCTGTTGCACTCGTTGGGTCTCCAATTGCGATACGTCGGCATCGTAAGCTTCAGTGTGGTCATGAATGAACATGGCTGGATCGATCTCCATCTCTGAAGCGTCGACGAGGACTTTCGCGCTTTGTTGAGGGGCGGGACCAGGCACAGGCTTGACTTGAAGAGCGTGAGGGAAAAGCGATTGACTTTCCTCCTCTGAGAGAACGGATGGAGCGTCAAGACCAGATACGATAATCATGCCAGGAACAGCAGACAGGATCTGTTTCGCGAAAGATCGAACAGCGGCCGACATATCAGCGGCGGAGATCGTCCTCAGAGATGCCCAGAAGGCTTGGAAGGCAGCAGGCACACGCGCTGATCGAGCTCGGGACAGTCTGGGCGCGTAGACGTCCAAGTAAACCTCCAAAGTCTGGCCGTTGGCTGGGATAGCACCTGCGCCAACAGCGCCAGACAAGGCCGAAAGAACGCTGATGTAGAGCTCGTCCAAGGCCAAGTCGATCTCTTCCGAAGCCAAGCGAATTTCATCCGACATCCAGCAAACAAGTCCAGGTCGACAAGCATCCAAAACGGGCGATACGAATTCCGCAGGAAGATCTTTGATGACCTCGCTGAGTGACCTCAGAAGAGTGCCTACTGCCGGGCTGATCACGTGTAGTTCCCCAAGAGATGAGTTGGCTTGTGATTCCTCACCAGGGTACGAGTCGAGCAGGGCGTTGGATACCAGAGCCAGGAAATCGATTGGCACATAGTTTTCGTTGATCGAAAAATGATTCGCATGGTGCGCTTCGACAGGAACGAATGAGAGCCAAGAGAGAGCAGACGCGAGGCACGAAAGAGTGATGGTGGAAGATCTGGAGGGAATTGTACGTCAATTGCACGACTTAGTCTCTGGTGGCTTTGACTTACGATGTCTTTGCACCTTGTTCTAGAAAGTCTCTCAGATGTCCAGCAAGGTTCTCCAACACGCCCATGTTTGACCCCACTCGCTTTGCCCTGAAGCGCAGAACGACAGTCTTGAGCAAGTCTTGCCAAATTTGCAAATCCTCCGATGAAGCACTTGAATGCCAGGCAGAAGACACAGAAACAGCTCGAAACGGACAGGACAGCAGCGTGACGAGTAATTCGCCAGTATGGTTCGTCACGCTCGCAGTAGCAGACGGCTGAAGGTCAATGACCTTGACCCATTGACAAGCTGCGATCCTCCATACATCCAGCCGGAGTTCTTCCTGCTGTTCAAACATGAAGGGAAGAGCATTGGTGATGTCTCCAAGGAGTTTGCCAGCAAATCCAGCGGTAGATCCGACGTCGACGATCCGACGAACGATCTTACTGAAGGTGATTCTGGAGGATTCCTCAAGAGGTAAAGACAGCACTTGATGAGGGGACCTTAGCATCTGACCGAGTAAGCCTCCAGCAATGGTAGGACGTCCATTTGCATCACTGCCCAGTGCTTGTGCAGCGATGAAAGCATCGACAGAATGCGCTTGAGCAGGTGTCAGTCGGACACTGCTGAACGATTCTGTTCCCACGAGGTCAATAGCGATGTGAAGCAAGTGGGAAAAGAGATCCAATCTGAAGCTGTCGGCGTTGCGGATGGTTTTCGCATCCTCACACAGCCTAGCCAAAGGAACATGCGAAGCAGGGTCACGGTTGAAGATCTGCAGAAGGTGCCGAAGAACCAGCACCAGTCCCTGATTGAAAGTTTCGGCTTCGGTTTTGTTCTCACGAAGCGTCCCGAGAGCGTGCATGACGTTGCTCCACAAATGCGAAAGAATCGTCGGTAAGATCTGATGATCGCGGTCGGTCGAGATCCAAGGGGAGATGGGTCGACTAAGTCCAGTCATACTTGAAATGATCTCTTGATACAGGTCGAGAACCTTGTCGAGCCTCGAAGCGACCCACGCTGATCCCCACGAGGGAATCTCCACGGGGCGAATCACATCCGCTTCGAGTTTCATTTTGAGCTCAGGGACGAGAATCTCCTTTTCCACAAACACCTCTCCGCTGAGATATCGAGCGGAGCATAGTCGGTCCAGCGACCAGTCGGCCTGAGTAGATGTTTCGGGACGGGTGATGGCGAGCAGGATCTCCCATCCAAGCGTCTTGAGCTCGTCAACGCCACAGAGAGACGTGAGTCGCTTGATGAGCGGTCGAGCGACGCGGTCCCAAACCTTGTCCAGTCGTTCCAGCTTGGCATCTTCTTCAGCGTCTGCGTCACCTGTTGATACGCCGTCCGACGAAGGCATACCCGTAATCGCACTGATTTCCTTGGCAGGTTGATCCATATGGTATATGGCAGTCCCGCTGTAGGCGTAAATGATTGCCGCGGCCACCTTTCCAGTTGTCACCATCCAATCGTGTTGCTTTGTCCTTTCTGCTCGGTTCCATTGCCACTTGCCCTTGACCAGCTCGGTGGAGAAGTTCTTGGAGTCGGCAGCCTGAGCCAAGGCAAATTCGACGGGCATGAGAATAGTCTCCAGACGAGACTGCCAGTCATTGGCGGACGTGGATACCCAAGGTGAGAAGGATTGAACAAGCCCGCCTTTGTCGTTGAGGGAGACAGCCGAGTTCGTCATGAGGTAAGAGTGAATAGCATGGCACCAAGCCACGCTGGCGAAGAGAGGTCGAACGCCGTTTGTGGTCATGACCAGTGATCGCTGTGAACGGTCAGCAGAATGCAGTCAGGCAATGTGAGTGACTCACATCCATGATGTGGTTCATTCCACTTGGGCCGGCGGCGAAGGTCGAAGTCTCATACGCCTGACCCATCAAGCTCATGATGATTGACCAAGTCGCACAAGCCCAAGCGACACCACCGGCAGCACCGACCGTATCCTTGAACATGCGTTCAAGCTCCATCCATTCCATTCTCCTCTCACCCGTCGAGTTGTAAATCGTCGAGACACCTCTGCCCTGAGGTCTGATCACAGACTTCAGATGAGACACGACGAAAGCCTCGCTTCGCTGGACAATGGGTCGATTCCGGCTCCATTCGTCCGCGTTCGATCGATCGTACAGCATGTTCAGCTTGGCAGCGACAAACGAAGCGGCAGCAGCCGATGCCTTGTTCCGCAGGATGAGACTGTTGGAAGTCAAGCCCCTCAAGCAAATAGGGAGCAGACTAGCGTATTCGGCGAAGAAGACACTTGGATAGTGGTTGATAATATTGATGATGGCGTGATAGGCCTCTCTTTTCGCCTGTCCCATGTCTTTGAGTGAAGGTACACCGGAACCAGGTGGCGAACCTAGAGCATCGTTGAACATTGCCTCGATAGCTCGCACGACCTTGTCTTTGACGGGGAGGATACACGCTTCTGGCAATTTCATCGAGCTCAAAAGCAACATTGCAGTCATGTAACTTCGCTTCTGATTCGGAGTGGGCAAGCGGGCAATCCTTGGGACTAGCAGGACCTTGTCCAGCAAAGATGTGAGGTCGGCTTGGGTGAAGCATTCCCAGAGATGTGAAGAGGAGAAGACTTGAGTGAGAAATCGAAGGACAGCTTGACCGACGCCGGAAGCCTCGCGACGAAACTTGACTTCAGCTTCTGTGTAGCCCCGGCGGAGAGGTTTGGTCGGTGAGCTCTTGGTTGAAGGTGTAGCGCTGGGCGATGGGGTGAATCGAGATCGAATCGGAACGGCATTAGAATCTGTCAGAGGTTTCAAGTCCGCGAATGGAGTCGAGTCATCCTCTGTGGCGTCATTCGATATCCGTCCAAGGATCCTGAGTACGTCTCTCTGCATTGCTCTGACCATGGCCGGTGCTTCATCCCGAAGAGGCTGAGTAGCTAGTCGGATGACCTCTTTCGAAGCCGGCGAGGAGTTTGCAGCGGATAGAATCGAATCAAAGCGGTGTCTGAGCCTTGCTCCAAGTGTATTGTAAGCTTCTTCCAGGCTCAACAGCTCTTGTGGTCCGTCAAGGATCATCCTGACTAGAGATTCCGAAGCTAACTCTCCACTCGCTTCAACCTCTTCTTCCTCTTCTGAAGCATTGCTCGATTGGTCATCGGCTACTTTCGGTTCGTCTGAAGCTGCACTGTCGTCTGATCCAAGAGGATCAACCACCAGCCTGCCTTTTCCCTTGTCTAGAGGATCGTAGGCCATATCATCTGCGATGCCATCACTTGCAGCTTTTCGAAGCATGGCGAGTTGAAATGAATCCCGAGCTTGGAGTCGAGGTCGACTACCAGTCACAATGAGCCTTGCTGGTTCTTTGTTGTTCAATGTTCCTTCCTCGACCGAGGACGCGATGCGGATTTCAGAGACTCGGGCTTTCAAAATTGAGCGAAGGATCGAGGGGGATGATCGATGTGGGGTGGATCGAGGTTGAGAAGAGGGAGAAGATGATGGTGACGATGATGTTTCGACGGGAGAGGAGGAAAGAGGGAGGCATTCAGATGCCTCGGTGTCCTGGTGGTATGATCTGATGGACTTTGGCGGTGGATCGTCGATGGAGGGTATGATAGAATGATCTGAATGAAAGAGTTTGGTCTGGGTCCGAGGAGAAAAGTTGACAGCTCGGCGTGTAAGAGCTGCAGAGGTCAGGACGAAGGAAAGAGGACTTTCGAGAACTCGATTCGCTCACCGACAGTCTTTGCTGGCGCGAGTGGGAGCAATGGTTCGGACCGACTGGGTCCCGCGGTTGAATTCCTACAAACTACGCGTTTTGACGGGGACGAGCTCTGAGCATGACAGTAGTACGAAGAGGATGATGAAGATGCAGGTAGGATCTCATCGGAAGGTACTGAGAAGCTGACAGAATGAGAGTGAGCTACGATGGACATTGGAGGGTCGTCCAAGGGGATAGACGGCGCGGAATGCAAGGATGGTAGGACGAGACGTGACGAGGAGGAGTGGGTCGGGCGGCGTGCTTGTGTGGGTCCAGTGAGAGTTTCGTTCGCTGTCTAATATGAGAAATTCGTTCAGGTTTCAGTCGTGACGGGTCCAGTAGTGTTGAGAGACCCTCGAATGTGGATTGTCGTATATGATGAAAGAGGAGAGAAGGAAGAGTGTCTCCCAGTCGTCCCAAGTCCATCTGTTAAAAAGTAATGTTCATCCAAATCGTCGACGCCTCCTTCGTTCTCCTCTCGCGTGCACAAAGCCAAAAAGTGAGACGCGACTGGGATGGGAATACAACCGTGGGAAAGCAAGGCGGCAGAGTGCCACACAGGGGATCAAATGGAAGAATTCCCGGCAAAGTTGAAAAAGCCAGCAACAGCAGCTGGTAACACCATGTCACTGTCCTATACTAGTTGATCGCAAAGCCGGGGGGTTCTGGAACCGTGTATAGGGGGAGACTACCAATGAGGATATAGAGAATTGCTGCTACTGCTGCTGCATCAACGCTTTTCCCTGCGCAGCTTACAACATGGCCGATCTCAAAGTAAGTGACCCATTCTCTGCCCAGTGTGAAAAGTCACTGGCATGTTCCCCCTTTCATGTCAACACACGCTGACCCGCCTTTCAGGAGTTTCTCTCGCTTCTCGAGAGCACGGTCAAAGCTCCTCGCTTGTCTGGATCCAAAGTCTCGCTCCTCTCTACTCAGTCAAAGAAATTGGAACCCAAATCAGATACAGAGTTCATTTCGACCTTTCTACGACTCAACAAGTCTCTAGGGAAAAAATCGACCTCTAGGATATCTTCACTCTATGTGTTTGACGCCATTGCTCGAGCGAACAAGGGTATCAGTGGAAGGGAAGGGCTGATGATGAAGATGGAAGGGGTAGTGGACAGTTGGGTCAATGAGATGTGTGAGGATGGAAAGGGTGGCGTGTGGACCGAAGGCAGGGTGAGTAGTGCCCACTGAGGTTTCAATCTATGGCATCAACATGCGGGGCCTCCACATTGAGCGGAGCGGATCCTCAGGTTGGAAGTGGAGGTGTGCTGACTCATTTCTCCTCTTCCAGGACAAGACCCGCAAGATTGTCGATATTTGGACAAAATCATCCACTTTTCCTCAACCATGCTTGGACCGGCTTTCTGCAAGGTTAGCAGTAGCCTCAGCTGACCATTCAACTACACCTACAATGTCGCCTCCAAGACCGATCATGTCTCCGGCATTACCTCCATTGGAAGAGAAGGAAAACAGAGGTTTGGGGGCGCATGGATTTGGACAAGGTGAATTGCTCTCTCTTCTCTTTTCGTTTCTGTCTCGGTCGTCTGTCCCGTCATGACCTCATTTCGCTTTCTCGCCCTGTGCTTTGCCTGCCATCTGTCCTTTCGTCGTGCCTCCGAGGTATGCTTCATCGATCATGTCGAGTCCTCAAGGTCAATCCTATCCTGTTTATCGCAATACGAGTCGAGAACACGTCTCTCGCCATACTACTAACCGTGCAGACTCACAAGACGGAGGGGAGAAGAAAAAGATTGTAATATGGAAAAATCACCCCTTGACCCTCCAATACCCCCTCCCCCCCCTCTCTTGCCAACCCCATCGACACCAATATGGCATGCATCCCATGCGGTCAGAAACGTACGATAGTGGCTCTTTCGCGCTAGAGAGGGGTAAAGCAATGCCAGACCTCCATGGTGCACAATCTCAGGACACATAACGTCCGTCCGTCGTGTGACAATCTAGAAAAAAGAGCGGGATACCAGAGGGAGATACATTCCCCAGACTTTAAGGACTGGGATGTCCTAGAATGGAGACAAGGTCCAAGGATCTGTGTACAGGGATAGGGTCCCAGGCGTACGCGCCGTTGGACCCAGTCAACTTTGCTCCTTTCACGATGCCGAATCAAAATATTCTCCCAATCCAAACTGTGGCTGGCCCCCTTTGCCGTGTTGCGTGTTCATATACGTGAACTTTTCGCTGAAACCTCTTTTTCCTCCTTGTCCATGTCCTGTCGCCCCCCCATCGATCCGATTCGCGAATCTCTCTCCAAATCCCACCAGGTACACCTCCCACATCGACACCACCACCTGTCCCGCCTGGATCCCTCCCACCGGAAATCCAAAAATTACTCGGCATATCAGCTCAATCAGCCGGAGCGGCTCTCAACGGATCGTAAGTGATCATCATTGGAAATATGAAGAGCTCATCACTACCACTCTCCATCTTCCAGTGCATCGCAAGGCGGATCCACAACTGCGGGCGGAGTTGACCTCGCAACGATCTTGGCGGGGATCGCAAAGCCTCAGCCTCAGCCTCAGCCTCAGCCTCAGCCTAGCGCGCCGTCTCACGGATCACAACCTATCAGTACCACTCCAGCCGCTGGCGCTGTTACACTGCCTAATCCTCTTGCAAGTCTTAACTTTGACCCTAATCAGCTCGCGGCTTTGGCCTCCTTAGCTGCTCAGACGAAGCAACAGAGCTCAGCACCCTTACCGACCCCTGTACCTGGTCCAAATGTGAACGCGGGATTCAACTCTTTGCCTCGTCCACCAGCAGTTCCATACAACGGTCCACACGCTGCTCATGGCTCGCAAGGTCCACATGGATCACCGCCTCTCGGCGGGTCCAACGATCAGCGAGCACTCGGCTTTGGTCCTGGACCATCGAGGCGAGACTCCCGCGATTCAGGAGGTCCAGTAGGCACAGGACGATATGGTTCAAGGTCGTCACCCAGTCCTCCGCGTGACGGGTACCCTCCGAGACGCTACGGGGAAGGGCAACGCGATCGGTTCAATAGACAGAGGCCGAGATCAAGGAGTCCTCCAGGTCGATACGGTCGCGGACCACCTGGACCGCCGCCACCCGGACAAGGATGGCAAGATGGTCCAAGAGGTAGCGGTGGCGGTCCTGATCTCTCGCAACCTCCTGCATCTCAAGAGTCTGGTCGGTGGGGTGACGGTGGTGGAGGACACAACAGGACCGATAGTTGGGAAAGGGATGACAGGTCATCTGGACGTGGAGGCTTCGGCGGAGGAAGAGAACGAGGTAGAGGAGGAGGAGGTGGTGGTGGTGGTGGTAGAGGAGGACGCGGTGGGCCAGGGGGGTACGGACGAGGAAGAGATGACTGGGATGGCGGTCGAGACGGATTCGGTGGGCTAGAAAGAGGATTTTCTGGTCCTTCATCGGCGCCAGTTGATTCCATGGGTCAAGGACCAGGTCGCGGATCCGCCAATTTGCCGACTGTACCTGATCCTCAGGCATCTGGTCGTGGAGGCCGAGTCTCTCTTCCTGTACAACCTGGTAAGGACGAGTTTGGACGGGATTTACCAAGCGGAACGACCCAGGACGAAGGAGAAGGAGAAGAAGAAGATATGGCCCTGGACGATTCAGACGACGAAAGGCCTAAGGCGGCCATGACGATCCAAAATCCAAAGCAAACTGCACATGACCAGCCACCATCTTCCGGACTTGGATTTGGTCCTCCCGGTTCAATGCCTGCTGTGAATGACGCACCTCATGCAGCTGCACAGCCTGCGTCTTCTGTACCCAATCTCGACTCGTTCGACCGCACAACATTCAACCCTGCTGATCCGAATGCTTGGTCCACACTTGCACAAGCTTGGCAAGCGAGTATGGGTCGTGAGCCTAATCAGATGGAATTGATGGAGTGGTTGGCGACGGGCATGGTCGGAGGTTTCGGCATGATGGGTGGAGTGACAGGCGGCGGGATGAACCAGAGCTAAGAGGAGCATAGACACGCTCATTTGAGGGGAGTGAAAGGGTTGAAAAAGTGACGAGAAGCACGACCTGGCGTCAGTAGCATTAGCTATCGACAGCCTGAGCGATCAATGTATAGACCCCATCACGTCCCAAATCTCCGGTTCGATCTGCATGAGGGGTGATAGCCAGAAAGACAGGGGGATAGCCAGAAAAACAGGTGATACATTGTGCCTAATGCGAGTGAGACGAGACCGAGATGCAGCGATGCGAGAGACCATGAAGACTGTCAGACAGACTATTTTTGTAATATGTTGGACAGCCTTGGAAATGGGATTGTCAGCAAGTGTTTTGGCGCTGAGAGGAGCAAAGACCCTATGCTCGAGGCAACTCGCTCGCGCTGTGCTCTCGAGCGAAGCAGAACTCGGGCCCTGGGGCGCGCTCACTCACCAATCTAATCCCTCTTCCAAACCCTCTCCCTTCGTCGCGCAACTCCCTCTCACACTCCACTCTCTACCCTTTTCCTGACCTGCCAGACCGAGTTTATCCGAGACCTCTGCAGGACTCAAAGCACCCTTTATATCCTGTTTATTTGCGAAGACAAGCACCGGGACGTTTTTGAGTTCATCCTCTGCCAACATGGTCAAGAGTTCTGAACGAGATGTCGGCAGACGTGACAGATCAGACGAATCAATCACGTAGATAATCGCCTAGAAGGCGGAACGGACAAAATATCAGCATGAACCCCGCCGTGAAGAACGCCAACGGTACAGAAGGAGTTGGGGTAAGCGGAAGCTCACCTGTGTGTTGGCATAATAACATCTCCAATATGGTCTGATGGATGATTGACCGCCTAGATCCCAAACTTGAAAGTTTATATTCTTGTACGTTACAGTCTCGACATTGAATCCGATTGCTATAGGGAGAGAGAGAGAGATAAGTTTCATGGTGGTGAGTCGAGTGGACATGAGGACGCCGAATGTTCATCTACTCACTCGGTATCGTAGAAACCACTTCCCCGATCTGTCATTGACGATCAGTTCGTTGAACCATTCAACCAAGCATCAAATCAATGCCTTGTGACCACATACCTGCAACCGGTACAATATCGTCGTCTTTCCTGCTGAATCTAATCCGACCATCAATATCCTCACTTCACTCCCTTTGCTCCAAAATGAGAGGGCAGAGAAGATCCGAGAGATGGATAGACCCATGATGTGGATAAGGTGAGTAGGTGATGGGGATCAACGACTTCAAGCTGAGGGTACGAGATGGATATGACGCGCCAAGGGTATGTTCGATGGGGGAAAAGGTCCTACAAAGTTGGTTGACTAATCGAAGAAAGTCTCCGTTTCAATCGAACCAGCGGTGAATGTTACTGTCGCTGTGTGGCTGATAGAACTGATGATCACGATATCTTACACAGTATTCGCCGTACCGAAAGCAAGCGAGCGAGCGAGTGAGTTTCTCAAGTCTCTGGGGGTATCGTGTCTGGACGTGAGGGGTTGGATGGATGGGCAAAATATTCGACGAAAACAGGGGTGGCGTTGTGTCTCAATTAGAAATATGGTTAATGGGGATTTTGTAATCAATGGAGATCAAGCGGGAAAGTATTAGAAATATGAAACACACTCTTCTTCGTGTGGGTCGTTCCGAAAGATTTTTTTTGGTTTTTGGGAATCTCTACTATCATCGGCCTCTACATTCATGAAGCTCGGAATGACAGACATGGATCCTGACAATGGAGAACATGAGGAGGTGAAGAGGATCAAGGACAAGTCCAAGGAGAAGGCGAAGCAACCAGCTATCGATTCAGATGCAAAGGCAGCGAAGAAAGCCGAGAAGGAGGCGAAGAAGAAGAAGAAGATGGTGAGTTACTCTGAGTGAACTGCACCTTGAGATAATGATTGACCGGACTGGCTGAATTCCAGAAGCAGGAGGGAGCAGATGTGAAGGATGAGCCGATAGCTGAATCATCGGTATCAGAAGGGAGAGGATTGGTCAAATCTAGGTCCGAACTGGAAGTCGCCAGGATGCTGGAACCGAGCTCTGAAGGGGACGATGAGGAGACAGTGGTTGAGGCGGATGTGGCGGATCTGAAGAGCGAAAAGAAGAAGAAGAAGACGACGGACGAGGAACAGAAGAAGACGAAGAAGAGCAAGAAGTCGAGCAAGGAGGAGAGCAATGACATCTTGGTAGAGGAGAAGAAGGAGAAGAAGGAGAAGAAGGAGAAGAAGGAGAAGAAGGAGAAGAAGGAGAAGAAGGAGAAGAAGGAGAAGAAGGAGAAGAAGGAGAAGAAGAAGGAGAAGGAGAAGAAGGACAAAACGGTGGAAGTCGAAGCAGAAGCAGAAGCAGAAGTAGGATCTCCAGAGCAAGAAACGCAGGGCAAGAAGGACAAGAAGAGAAAGGCGAGTGAAGCGGAGGGAATAATCTATGGAGAGGGCGATGGTGAAGCAGCCCAGAGCGGGAAGAAGCAGAAGAAGAAGAAACGGAAGAGCAAAGACGCCGACGAAGAAGCCGACGTCGAACAGAGTGTGGAGGGTGGCTCGAGCGGGAGCAAGAAGAGATCACGAGAGCCAGTCACTGAATCTGCAGGTGAGTTCCTGGGATATTTCTCACTTGAGCCCGGGTTGACACATCGTAGATGTCACTACTGTCTCTGAAGAACCGAAAAAGGCCAAAGGGAAGAAGAAACAAAAGGCTGTTGGTCCAAGTATCTCCTTAGGGGAGATTGAAAGTGATGAAAGAATGAGCGAGACGGCGAAGAATGGTGAGCGAGTCGGGAGGATACGAAAAGACAGGGAGAGACACAGAGAGAGAGGCGAACACATATCAGCACCGCTTCGTTCTGGCAGTTTCGAGCTGACTCGCGTACCAGCTATAATTTATGTTCATCAACATTCGTCTCAACTTGTACCGTCTGAGCCTGCGACTCAAGGTTGGAAATTCAACAAGGCGAAACAGAACTGGCTGGTCAAGCACGTTTTCGACAATGCTCAAGTGCCAGACGAGTATGTAGAGTTGGTACTGGGTTATCTCAAGACTATCCAAGGCATGGGCAGAGCGGTAAATCCATCTCTCTCTTTTCTCTTTCTTCGAATCGCTGTCCGCTGAAACGGCTTCTTCTCCACTGTAGCATTTGATCGAAGTTGCCAAGGGTCATTCCAAGCCTAAGGCTGCTGCTATTGAGCAAGCCGCGGTCGAGCACGAGGATTCAAAGGCGAAGCCAACAACGACCCAGGACAACACTGTAAATGCCAAGGATGGGATATCTGGAGATGCCTCGCGCAAGACGGATCAGACCACCGCTGCGGATGCGAACGAAGACGACGTCACAGCCAAACGAGTGACTTTTGACCAGACCGTATCTTCTGGCGATGCTCAAGCAGACGAGCAACAGCTGATGGCGGACGACGAAGCGGCTGAAGCTGCTGCTGCTACCGACGAGGCGAATCGGATACAGATCAGGATAGATAGAGCTAAAAAGGTTCTCAAAATCCTCGGGGCGAGGTAGATTTGAAGAGGCTGAAGTGATAATGACGATGGCCTGTTGAAGAGGCACGCACACCGTAATGACGAAAGATCATTGATATTGATCTTATGATGAGGGCATTTCATGTAGTAAACGATAGCTAGCATGCACATCGAACGAGACGCAATGTGAAGCCGGGATGAAAAAAATCAGCTACTGAGCTCGAGCTCTTAAAAGACATCTCGAGCTTTTGCCAGTACCCTCGAAACTCAGAAGCTATACAGCACACCCAAAGAAACACCTCATCAGTCTTGGAGCTCTGTGCGCGCAGATTGACCTGGCCCAATACAATTGTATGTTTTCTGCATCACTCCGAGAGGTTTGGTAGTCAACATGAAGAGTGAGTCTACGGAATCCATATATCAAAGAATCCGATCGCGGGAGGGAGAGAGGACGAGCAAGGGAGAATTGAAAACTATAGGGGGAGAGCGTATCGGGACAAATAAGGGTGTTGGGAGGTGCTCGTCGGTGTCGGTGTGGTCGATTTGAGGGAGGAGGGTGATCGCGTGTGAAAGAAGGCGTCTCAGGCGGTCACGAGGGTGTGATCCTCGAGCAATGAAACCCATGCGCATGAAAGAAAGTGACGAATCGACACCGGCTTTGCCATTGGGGCCACGACCAGGTACCGAATGCTCTCCCAGAAAATTTCTAGGATAATCAAAGATCCACAAAGGGATAGCTGATCATTCGCATTCGACGTATGAAGCGTGACTGATTAAAATCTTTGCTCGAAAACCCAGGGTGACAACCATGTCGATGGCCTATTCGTTGACGCAAACTTGTTCAGTCGAGGGTGGAGTGTGACATGCCACGTGGTCGAGTGCCAGGGCAATGATATCGGAGAGCCGAACCAAGGAAGAAAAGTCATACGATGCTGATGTCCAGTCGAAATATTGACCAGACAAGCTGAAGGATATGATACAATATGAGACGATTTTTGAATTTCGCTCGCACAGAAGGGAGGGTGAAGGGTATCGATGTTGGGAAAACTATAAGGGGGGTATAGAGCATCCGTGACTTTGGCAGGCGCCAAAGAGGGCGAGCTGGCCAGAACATGTGGGGCGACGGAAGGGGGAAACATGGTGGGAGCAAAGAGTTGAAAAGACCTTGCGAATCAATCAAGGTCGGTTGCTGTCATGCTGTGGGACGGGGTTTTCCCAGAAGGGAGAAGATATGTCGATAAAGTGTCTATTCCAGCCAGAGTCGTCATGTCGTGCGTGCGGGCGTCAATCAAAGAGGAAGGGTATCGCGGGAAGAGGTTGATATCCAAAGTGAGAAAAAGTCAAATGTCGGATTAATGATATCGAACCTCGATTCCAGATTGGTGCGACCTGTAAGCGAAAACAAGCTGGCACCACGTCTGAATCCCGAAGGGCGAGCCGAACCAGCGAGCGGTCATCCTCTGCCGCTCATTCTTCTTTCGTCGACCCAATCCCTTCCCCTTAGGTCCCCTCGATTATCCTGAAACAAGACACCGAGGCAGATCTTTACACACGCGAATCTCGTCTTGAGTCAAAAGCACGAGACTTCGACTGAACGCCATCCGTCTACCACTGTTGTTGATCTCCACGCATGTTGTTCCTGGTCGTGCTTCTCAATTGCCTCTGAGAATCCATGCCGCTTTGCTGAGCCTGTTGGGCCTGTTGGGCCTGCTGAGCCGCTTGTTGTTGCTGTTGTTGCTGCTGCTGCTGCTGCTGAGCACTGACGGCAGCAGCATTGGCCGAAAGATCCTCCGGTCGGACGCGGATCTTGGTCGGATGCTGCATACCTTGCATCTGAGCGACCTGGTCTTGAGCAGCACCTTGTTTCTGGCCAGAGAGCACAGACCAATCAAAGATGTAATCGTATTGGAAGCCTTCTCGGACGAAAAGATCTCGGAAAAGTTTTCGCAGATACGAGTAGTCTGGCTTGTCGTCGAATCGAAGAGATCGACAATAGTTGAGGTAGATGGCGAACTCATTAGGGAAGGCTCGGCAGAGGGATTCAGTGGGAGTGGTCATCTCTGCGAACGCGTCAGAACGGCTTGCTGGATACGATGCGCTAGCTCTACTCACTCTTCTCCATGATTCGGTCATACTTCTGCTTCTTGGTCGCCGCTTTGAGACCTTGCCAGGGAAGTTGTCCACGGAGGAAGTACTGGAGGGCCTCAGCTGCGACGTCCACGCTTCTAGGTCTCCACTCACCATGAGGACATAGCCCAAAGATTCGAGGTCATCACGTCGAGACTGCTCGACACCCAAGTGGGTATTGATGGAGGTGTAACGAGCCGTTCCTGTCAAGTTCTTGTTCTCCCTGTACGGAATGTGGAGGTGTGTCTTGGGGTCTCGATACTTTTTGGCGAGACCGAAATCGATCACATTGACCTGATTTCCACGCTTGCCGATTCCCATGAGGAAGTTGTCGGGTTTGATATCTCGGTGGATAAAGTTTCGAGAGTGAATGTATTCGACACGGGAGATGAGTTGATCGGCAAGGAGCAAGACAGTCTTCAAGCTGAATTTACGGTTGCAAAAGTTGAAGAGATCCTCAAGGGATGGACCGCTGGATGGGGGGTGAGCACATGGGCCCTCTCTGACCACAGTCCACTCACAGTAGGTCAAGGACCATGGCATGGTAGTCACATTCTGTGCCGTACCATCGGACGAATGGCACACCAACACCACCAGCCAAGGACTTGTAGACTTTGGATTCGTACTCGAGTTGAGGGTGCTTTGCCTTGACGGATTCGAGTTTGATGGCAACTTCCTCGGCAGTGACAATGTTGACACCGAGGTAGATATCACCTGCGAGGTGGTCAGACGAGGCCCGAGGCCCGAGGCCCGAGGCCCGAGGCCCGAGAAACTCACCAAACGATCCACTACCAATCTTCTTTCCGATTCTGTACTTTCCTCCCACACGGAGGTCCATGGACGTCATTCTGGTGTTGGAAGCGTAGGCCATGGTGGTGGTGAAATTTGAAAAATGTTGTGATGGGAAGGCGATAGGGCGGCGATCGTATTTTTGCGCGGGTGTGGATGGAGCCGACGATGATGATGAAAGAGAAAGTAGTGCACAGGTTCAGTCGAAGTCGAAGTAGTTTTCGTTGGGGACGACAATCGAGCGGAGAAGCGTAGCGGATGACAAAGGAGGATTGGTATTCAGACGAATTCGTGTTTGAGACGCAGAAAGTGCGAGAACGAGGTGATGAGAAGAGACACAGAAAAGGGTCAGCAAATGTAGCTATATGATTCGACCAGACGCAACAGCAAGTGGCAAGGTGAGGTAGATGGGATAGAATGGGACGGGGACGAAACGTGGAAATGCGCAAGCAGAGCGGAGCACGGCAATGCCAAGCGATTTTAAGGTGGTGGTGGCTTGTGTGGAAGAGCGTGATGGAGAGAAGGATGAACTGGCGCAGAAGTGTGCAAGAGGGATCGACAACGACAACTCACCTGAGTAGATGCCAGAGGGTCTTGTGTCTGGTGAGAAGACCGAGACACGAATGAAGAAAGGATGGAGGGGAGGGAGGGTTTTAAAAAAGGTCGAGAGTCACGTACGACGACGCTAGACCCGTCGTCTCTCGGCACAGAGGGCCGCTGACAAATGAGGGTGAGGGACCTCTCCGGGGACGTGTGAAAGAGCGAGGGAGATTGCAGAGATGCGAGGCTGTATAGGAGTGAGTGAGGTAGCAGATAGAACGAGAGGGTTCAAACGGAACAATGACCGAAGGGGGATGAAAGAAAGGGGTTTCAGAAACGGTTTTTTGGGGGGAGGGGAGTTTGCGTATCACGGAGTCGAGTCGATCGGCCAAGGCAGTGATGGGTAGTATGAAGGGAAGGCGTGATGATACGGTTTGGAGGTGTGTGATCGTCGGAATAGGATGGTGAAGGAATAGATGGACAAAGGGTTGATGGAAAAAGTGGTGAGTCAGCCTAATTCGCAACACGCTCCTTTTGACGGGAAGAGGGGAAGAGCGAGGCGCGGCGCCAGGCTCTTTTGGTTGTGTCTCTATGAGCACAGAGAGAGATCCGCGCCCTTGAACGTTTAGGTCGCTCTACTCACCTTCTGTGTCTGATGAGCCCTCCTTATGGAGTGTGTGCTAAGATGTGTAATGGAGTGAAGGAAGATGCGGTTGGATGAATCAGAGGTGTGACGGAAATGGTTGCCCCCTAAGAGAGAAGAGAGAGAGAAGAGACGCCGCGTATCAAAAAAATTGACTTGAGGCGGGGAGAAGAGAGGCGGCGCGGCGGTGGCAGCTTAGCAACCCAGCGTAATCGATTCTCTTATAACGCCGAATGTGGCACTCTGTCTCTGTCTCTCTGTGAGCCGCGCGTCTGGGGGTATTCAACCTGGATGCATTGTCTTCATTTTGGGTTGCTCACAGACAGAACAGACCCAACCTCATCATGGTGAGCAGAGATCATGATGCATGAGTCTGACGACTGATGTCTCAGTCATATCGTCTGGTCCCACCAACAGCTTCAAGCTCAAACGATCACCATGTGGTCTCTACTCAGGTGAGAGATACCTTCTTTAGCCTTTTTGATATTGATGCTCTGATGATTTAGGCCACTGCGCATCCAGAGCTAGGTCTACACGATGCCATGCGACATGGACCTTCTTCCGCAGCTCAAAGTGTAGCTCCTGATAATATCAGTCCGCTTCAAGCGAGGTTAGAAAAGGTCAGTTGCGTCAATGTCTCATCGCCCATTTCTTCTCTCAAGCTGACTTGCTCGCTCGCTTCTCAGTGGTCAAGCACTCAACATGACATGCAACAGACAATGCACAGAAACACATTCGGACTCGCTTTACCCTTGAGGACAGCTATGGAAATGAGGATCGTCACTCAGGTGGGTAACGTGGTCAACCCAGCGGTTCAATGTTGCCTCCCCCCGCCTGTCTCGGACGCTGACTCACCCAACCTCTCACCCATTTAGTCCCCGCATCACCCCTCCATGATCGCCGCTACGCCTTCTTCTCTACCTCTCGGTGGCGGTCCCAATCTCGCTGCGGAGATCCTCGCAGGGACGGACGAGACCCTTGACGTGGCGGACTTCATGGTTGGAAATCGATTGTTGAACGTGCCGATGGATGAGAGGGCAGTCATGGAGCGATCCAGAGGAATGTAGCGAGCAGGTCTCGAGAAACGCCTTTCGCATTAAACAGCCATGAACCAGCCCATGACGCTCAAAAGCAGGGCAGCATGATCGCATTGAGCGCAATACACCCCATGTACATGAGAAATGCATATTGTATTTATTCGGCCACGCAGATTACCACTGCTGCCTAGCTGTCGCTCCCTCACGCAATGCTCTGGTACCCATTACGTCCAGGAGCAGGACCAGAAGGCGTATGACCCTGTGTGTTTCCACCTTGTCCGGCGCCTTGACCTCCTTGTGGTGCCCCGCCTTCCTCTACATCATCCTCATCACCTCCAAGTCTGAATCCACCGGACGAAGGGAAAGCACCGGGAGGAGGTGCAGATGTAGTAGTGGAAGGTGGTTGATGGGAGGATCTAGGTCCAGCTCCAAAGCTTCCAGGCATGCTCCAATCTGCATTCGGAGGTCAGCGTGAGAAGAGAGCGCTCCCTCCATCTCCATGATCACCTACTCTGCGATGCTCCTCCCAATCCTTGAAAGCTAGGAGGACCGAACTGTAGATCCCCTCCACGTTCTCTCAATTGATTCAGACATGTGAAGAATATAGGCGCCTTGAGTATCATCACGATGATATTGAGGATCCCAGAGAATCCAAAATTCACAGACAAGATATGAAAGATGTCAAAAACGGCAGAGACAAGGATGAGGTTGAGGAACTGCGGCGTGAATGGCGTCAGATATCTTTCTGACCCCCCCAAAAACACTCACCTGCCGGGTGAGTAGAGTCGAGCTAGGCATCTCATGAGCCACGAGTCCAAAGAGCTAGAGAGATCGTCAATACCTACGCTGTTTCGCACCATTACATAGCACTAGCACACCACCCACCAGCAGTGGAAAGTTCCACACGGTGCCACCCTTCACAGACGCAGTGACCAGTGAGATAGATGTCCCAGCAAGCAGCAACTGAACTGCATCTTGATTTGCAAGACGATCTTGGAAAGACATGTTGAGCGCAGGTGCTATAGGGTATGCTCAGGTTACACGACGCAGTTACAACTCGCATCGCTTCGTTCGGTCCACGCTGCACATGACGATTGCCGTAATTCCGATTCCGGTGATATCGGCGAAGACGCAACTACTCTCAGTCACCAGCTGAAATACCGGTCACTCCTGTGTTGAATACTTCAAACTGCTCACATCCAGATTCCTTCTAGTGATCAGTCAGTCCACTTCAGTCACTCATGCGACGCGGCCTGAAATCTCCGCCATGAAGACAAGCTGGGTTCACGTAGCGCTCGCAGCTGTATCTTTTGGACCTCAGATCATTGCCACTGCGACGTTCAATGGTCTTGAATTACCTTGGCCAACGAGAGATCTAGAATGGAAAGACGTCAATGTGCTCAGTATATCGGATAGTCACGGTCAGTTCGCAACTCATCCTAGTCCTGTTCGCTGACACGCGCCTGCACAGGTTGGCTGTTAGGACACCAGCACGTACGTCTCATCCACCTTCCCTTTGTCCCTTCCGTCCCACGATTGACACGTCTTGCGCTCGCGTAGTCCACATGGCCTGAGCCAGTGAGTATATCCTACCAGCCGCCTCGATGAATTCTTGACGCACCATGTAGAATTACTCCGGCGACTACGGCGCTCTCGCAAGCTTCATCACCCATATGCGAGCCATAGCCAGGGAGAAAGGCGTAGATCTTCTTGTAGTGTATGCGGACTCAACCATTTCAATCCGTAGAGGCGAGCTGACTTGAGCAAAATACAGAGACGCGGGAGACCATCACGATGGTTCTGGACTCGTTTCGTCATCTAAAGATGGAGCTACCAAGACGGATGAAATCTTCTCAATGATCCATTTCGACGTCCTCGCTATCGGCAATCACGAGTTGTACGAGTATGGTCCTGCAAAAGAGGTGTACGATCACCAGGACAGGTAGTGAGTCTGATCATGATCACGAATGGCTCTACAGTCACCAGCTTGCCTTCCGGTTTTGATGCCCTTTCTGTAGTCACGGGAGATACATCACGAGTAATACCAACATTACTGTAGAGAAAGACGGTGAATGGGTATCGAAACCTATAGGAGAGCGATACGTAAAATTCCGTACAGAAACGTGAGTCAACATCTTACCATATGATGATGACTCTATGATGATGACTCAAGACGATGACAGCGGGAGACAAGTGACGGCTTTTGGAGTCATATTCAACTGTAAGCGCGACCACGGCCTTTTGAGTCCGCTGATAAGACCGTTAGTCCAAGCGCAGGGGGCGTGAGTCCTGCTTTTTCGTAACCTGAGGGACTGCTCAAGTGTCTTTTGTAGGAACCTGACCATTCAACCACCTTCCGCAATGGTGAAAGAGCAATGGTTCCTTGAGGCGATCGAAAGCCCCCCAGACTACTTGTGAGCTGGATAGACTCCAAAGCGAGTCGACCTCATCCGTTCTAGTTTGCTTGTAGGGCATATGCCTGTCCGGAACGATCCCTCGGCTCAGTGGCATTCCGTCTTCAAGGCTATACGCAAGAAGCATCCCCACATACCTATTCTCATTTTTGGTGGGTTTGTCCATCGTCCTGTCCCACGGGGAGAACGAGCCAACGTCTGCAGGGGGCCACGATCATACGCGGGATTGTCGACAATACGATGATCACTCCATAGCGTGAGTTTCAACACCTCCGTTTGTAGAGCTTACACATTCCAGGGTGGTTCCTGGTCGATATTTGGAGACTGTGGCTTTCACCTCGCAAGTCATCCCATTCCACTAGTGAGACGTAGTTAGCTAAATCCCACCTGTAGCACCTCATTGCCGGACGCCAAGGATCCTTCCTTACCCCTCAACTTGGCAAGAAGATTTATCGATGCCAACCGTCATTCATATATGTACCACACGCGCACGACGCCAGAGACATTCGATACGGCAGGTTGACCGTCCTCCTCTCTGTGCACCTCTGACTGCTCGTAGACTCTCGGACACCGCATCTCCACGTATCTTCTGGATCTCGCGTCCTCACTCAATATCTCTGACTCCCTAGGAACCGCACCACACGACCTGTTCCTAAGCCGTGTTCCGGCTGGTCATCCTAACCATGTCAACACGGTTTGGACAGAGCAGGTCATACCGACAGTTCTGAGGGATCCCAAACGAATTGGCAAAAAGGTCGTCATGATGAACGCGGGGAGTCTGCGGTTCGACTTGGTGACCCTTTCTGCACCTGTCTGGTAGTACACGATCACTAATGTCTCGTCGATTCAGTTCCGAGGAGAATTTAATAGGAACGACGAGCTCACCATATCACCGTTGTGAGTCGTCTTGTCACATGACCGGTCCGATACTGATATCACCATTCAGTGCCTCTGCATTTGCCTACACGCGAATGAAAGCGGGTCTAGCGAGACAAATAACACTCCAGATGAATCTTAATGGAGCGACAAAGTTTGCACCGTTTTCGATGGACACCATTGGCCGGACCGTCAAAGAAGAGGATCAGAGAGTTGAGCGGATCTATCGAAAGAATCTGCGGGATCAATGGGTCGAGTTCGAGATGCGCTCTGCCTCAGGCCCTCTCAAGTTATCGGAACAGATGCCGTTCTCGAGTGCTGTATCCAAGGGTCTCACCATGGGATACGTGACACGCGACTCGTGTCCTGGTATAGGGGATGACGTCGAGCATATACCTGGTGAGCTCCCTTACCATCTCGCCCCAAAAAAATGAATGTGCTCACGTCAACTCAGTACCGTACTCCAATGCTCAAGTGTGAGTGGCCTTGGCCGTCTCCCACCCTTCCACTTCCCGGATGACGACTGACTGACTGGCTTGCTCGCTTCCTTTAGCGATTTCATCCAGTCGCCTTTCCCTGATGCTCACGATGATGAGTTGGTCGACGTCGTCGTGATGGACTTTACACTGGATGATTTCTGTGAGTCCCGTTCGGGTTTCTAAGGTGGACGTCAGCGGGAGCTGACGTTCCCACTTCCTGCACAGTCATCGCTGTGAAGATGCTCGATCCCCTTTCGAATCTCGGTTTTGAAGATATGAAGCCTTACGCAGAAGGAATTAGCGTGAACGTCATGTGGGGATTGTATGCTTCCCAGGCATGGCAGGGCTGAGTATATAGACGTATTGGGTACATTGTATTTAGTTTCGGATGCTTTAGACCTAGATCATCCGCATAGGATACCTGTTGTACAACCCCGCATACCTCTTGCATGAATCATGACCTCGACACTCGTTGCATTTCATGCAATTAGTCCTTGACGGTTCTGAGCCAACGGCACCCTGGCTAACCCTGACTTTGCCCTTGGTTCTGACCTTGTACCCTCTGGACCATTTTCAATACTGTCCCGTGATATTCTTCCCAAGCAGCTATCAACTCTTTCTCCTTACTGATCTGTAGGTCCAGATGTCGTTCCATGATCAGCTTGAACTCGTTGATTCGTTCACGCTCAAAACGGGCAAATTCCGATTTCACCAATCGAGAGACTGCATCGAATTCAGTAGCGGCATCACGACTTCTCCTCTCGGCCTAAAGAAGGGGGTTTTAGGGGAATACAGCGTCAGTAAAAGGCAAAGTCGTCACGATCTCCATTCGTTTGAAGCTGAAGCTCGCTCGCCTAGCTCGAAAGTTTGAAAGACTCACCTCGCCAATCTGAGCCAAAGTCTGATTCGCTTGATCTCCTAATTTTCCCTGCTGTCTCAACTTTTCTCTATTCCCTTTCAACCTGTTTGTCTCTTTTTCTTTCTCTTGCCATCTTTGGAAACACTTGATCCTCGATGCGAATGCCAGCCGGACAGAATTGATGAATCGAAGATACTCGTCAGAGAGGTTTAACAAGTTGACGACTTCTGCCGTCGCCAAATCTTCATTGGCTACTTTCTCTCTCGCGGCGAGATCGCCCAACTTTCCAAGTGCAGCACACATGGTCGTCCCCAGATCTGAATCCGATAGGTAAGACATGGACGTGGCGAAATCTTGCATCGAATTGGCGACTTCGAGACGATTCTTAGAGGCTTGATCGATGGATTTCGACAAAGCTTTCAACTGCGATTCAAGAGAATCGAGAAAGGCTTTACGCGAATCAAACCAGTCATCTTGTTCGACATATTTCGGCCCCGTCCAGGAAGCAAGTAGACCCTTTTCAGAGCTTGGAGCGGGTCGGTTTTTTGCCTCAACGGCAAAGGAATCGGATTCGAGGAACATGCGAAGGTCGGGGTCAAGCTGTAGTACAGGGTGTAGCGTGATCTTCGTCAAGCATCTTTCGAGCGCCATCCGTCGGTTCTCGATAAAGGTGTCTTGGAATCTACCGAATGGATGTTTGTCAGGCATAGGAGGCACAATGACACCGGGATTGTTGGCAGTCAGGATGTCGAAAAGCCATAAGAAATCGGAGAATCGACGCAGGACAGAGAACTCCGATCGACGATAATGTGGCGAGGTGGTTCGAGTGCGAACCGTATAGACAGTGTAACCGCGTACCGGATCACCGACTTTGGTCGGATCGTCAACGCTGATGGTAAAGGTAGGTTTTGGTGGTGGAGGAGGTAGAGAACCATTGGCAGCGGATGATAAGGGGAGATCGTCGTCATCATCAGCAGTCGACGTATCAGGTGGTTCTGAGACCTTTCAACGCGTCAGCCCAAGCCGGAAAGACGGGAGCGCTCCCAAACTCACCGGCTGCGATGGGCCTGTCGGGAGCGACGATACACCCGGCTCGCCCCAGCCTTGGTCACCTCCTGTCCATGAATCGTTGATCCTCGTGCTTGGTCCGCCTTTACCAAAGAGGCCGTTATCATCTTCTTCATCCATTGCGCCCCAACCACGACCTCCAAACCTGGACGAGGTCGACGTATCCGCTCCGTTAAACAAAGCTGTGCTCGAACCAGAAGACCCAATGGCCAGTCCTTTAAAGCCGTAATCTTGCTCCGTCGACGGGGCGTCAAGTGGGGAGACAGCTACTCTGTCTGTAGCGGGTGTGGGGAGAGACGAGCTAGGGGCAGAAGGGGGATCCACAGGCTCGGTTTTTTTTGTAGGCGATTCAGGTCGAGGGGGTTGCGGTGTCACAGTCCGACTGACAGTGGGCGTGATATCGGCAGACTCAGGCAAAGGGATAGAGGTTGGGTGCTTGAATGTGAGCTTGAAGGTTGATGCTTGAGGAGTATCGGGCTGTTCCATTGTCGAGCCCTTTTCCTGATCCTGTTTGACCGCATCGCCGTTTGTCTGCGCATGATTTGTAGTCTTCTTGGCAGGCGTGAACACGTATGGTTGAGCGACCTGGGACTGACTCTCGGTAGCCTTGCTCTTGACAGGCTCAGACTTTACAAAAGCACGCTTGAGGGATGACGAAGGGTCATTCTCCGCCAACAAATCTTCATCAATGAGACCGGGTGGTAGCTTCCGATTCGTCGCGCTGTCATTCCCTTGCACAACCGGTGAAGTCGCTGGCGGCTGCGAGAATGGATCATGAGATGAGAATGCCCTAGTTGGAGAATCAAATGGAGCAGCAAAGCCATTTGAACTGTATCCGTCTCTCTCCTGTTCGCCTAAACGAGCGGCAATGACGCTCGGAGGATCAGGTACAGCACCTAACCCAGTCCGAGCGTCATCTTCAAGCTGCTGAACGTATGGAGAGGGTCTTTCAAACCTAGGAGAGGTAGGCGAGTCGAAAGGCGCTCTGATTGGAGGTGACGCGGGACCACGGCCCGAGGCTGAGGTCGAGAGCGTGGGGTAAGGGGATGCCGAGCTCGCGAAAGGGTTCGAAGAGGGTTCATCAGAGAATGGGTTCGCCCATGGATCGTCAGGTTGAGCTGCGGGCGGCGTCCATGATGGTTTTGTAACCGTTGTAGACTGGGACAAGAGTCTGGCAAATGATTCTTCGTCGTCCATCGTGCAATCTCAACGGTGTCATGTACGAGACGACTTGGGTGGTCTCAAAGACAATGACGAACCTCGTTGTAAGCGCGCAGAGACACCACCGTGGGAAACTATCGAAAGTCAACACCGGGATTCCCGTCTGGGCTGGCGAGGAGGTCATCGTGTGATCTCCCCTAACACCTGGAACATGCATACCTGCAGACTGGATTCATGGGGCCTAGTAGTAAGAGGCCAACGACATCTCCGTCTTCAAAGTCAGATGCGAAGCGTCGGAAGGTTACCAATCGGTCTGTATGGAATACCGAAGATGACTGGGAACAAATCATAGCGGATAGTTCCTTGTCCACAGCCTCGGTATCATCTCGTCGAGCGCCTCAGAAAGGCTTACAGTCGCTTTCCGATCATGCTGCCAGAGTTGCAAGTCGCGCATTCAAGTATCTCTGGCAAGCCAGTGATTCGAGAGAGAGGCATGGAGAATGGTGGAAAAGTGAATGGAGTTATGTGGAAGATCGAATGAAGGTGAAAGTGAGGGACGGAGTCTTCGCTCAATGGTCAGAATATCTCACGCCGACAATCTTGACAGAAGTGAGCTTTTCCTTCCAGCAAAGACATGACAAGAGCTCAGTATATATGACTAGGTGTTCATGCCTTGCCCAGAAGTACATCTTCCAGGAACGCTCGCAACGGTATTGCAAGCTCAACTGTTGAAACCTTTTCGACCGATATCTCACTTGGACCTCTACACGTCTCTCACCTTGACACATGCGGCGAAAGCGTCAGACGTCGCAATAGCAGGTCTGATCGCTGTCTTGCCAAACTTACAGAGCATCACCTTGAAAGGGTGTAAATTGGCTTCGAAACGCACAGTAGATGCCATCCTAAAGTTTACACCGAATGTCCACAGAGTCAATTTGAAAGGGACAATGGTAGAGGTGGACGACGTGAAGAAAATCCTTCATCGGTTCGGTACCCAGCTCGTAAGCTTTAAAGTGGATAGAATCAGATTTGACGTGAGCGATTCAAAGATGACAGACACGAAGCTGATCCCAACCAGCCTAACAAGCTAAGAGAGATCTTTACTATGGACGTGTACCCCAGCCTGACGCATATCTGTCTACCTGGTGATATCCTCAATGGATCGGGAGACACATCTGAAGCGAAGCGATATATCTCCCTCATGACTTCACTCAAAGCTCGAGATGCACCGTCAGACGCACCTTTCTCATGGTCTTCCTTCGGTGACACGTTTCCAGCTATCACTCATTTGTATCTACCGGGACTGCTCGTACCGGATAAGCAAGCGATGAGAATAGCACCAGGACGGTTGGTCAAATTGTCTCTCGTCGCAGCGATCAGTGGACCACCCGTACCTCTTGGAACAGTCATCGATCTCATTCGAGAACAGACGGAAACGCTCGAATCCATCCATCTTGGTCAAGTCCTGAGCACCGCTCGGGGTAAAGACGTCTATGAAGAGTGGGAGTATCTCGAATCGCTCCTTGGAAGCTGTCACAGATTGAAGTGCTTTAAATGGATGGCTGGATCCGCAGATCGTCGGGTGATGGATTTGATGCTGAATCAGATGAGTGGCACAGCGTCTGGTCCATGGGGAGTGGTGAAAGCCCTAAAATGGACGTCTTTAAAGGTGCGTCTGTGTGTGTACGGACTGATATTTCGGAGCTAAAGCCGATGACTCAGGAACTCAGTATCGATTGGCCTTACCACCTTGACATCTTCGACAGTATACCTCCCGGCTCGGTACTGGAGCAGCTGCACCTACCCTCCAGTACCGTGCCTACCGGTCCAAAAAACATGTACTTGATTCGAAATCTGAGAAATCTTGCTGTCCTCGACCTCTCAGGATCCAGCGTATCGGGTGAGCACCATACAGGCCTTTTCCAGCTGACATGTTGAGATGATGAAATGTACGAGATACTCGACGCTTGTCCATTCTTACACAAAATTGACCTGACCTCGTGTCGAGGCGTGAGAGTCAAAGACAGGCGAAACATCTTCAAGGTAAGTAAGAATGGATCGGGGACCTGATCTGATATCCAGGCCTGGCGAGAGGCAAGAACGACATGACATTCATATAATTTGTAGCTATTAGTGCATACATTGTTCCTATTGCCCATCATAGATAAACTTCCTCCCTTGACCAATGTACCACATCCGAAGGTTGAGAACATCAACCGGAGTCGGAACGATTGATCGTCGTCGTTCTTCGTCCAAGCCATCTGGGGCTTTGAGATCACCCGGTTCCCGAGTATGCGAATTGATCCTGACCATAGCGCTAGGGCTGGGTTCCGGAACACTTTCCCTTCCCTCTCCCAACCATCTGCTCAAGAAATCCCTGACAATTTCTTCATCCGTGGCATATTTCCACTCTCCTCTATTCCCTCTGACGCGACTGGGTTCGCCTTGGACTTCTTTGATGAACGTCAAGCCGTACAACATACTGATCCAGGTGGGTCGAATATCTAGCATCTTCATCCATGCCAATGCGAGTGGAATCTGCTTGATCATTCCAAAGTAACCCAAGAAGAGAATATATGCCTGCCAGGTGTCTACGCCGGGTATGATATGTGTGTATTTTGCCCCGGGCAACGGGAGCCTATCCTCAAACTTGATCTGTAATTTGGCAGGCGATGATTCGTGGCCAAAGTACCGATGGTACCAGCTATCCCCATCCCACGTCGCATCTCGATCCAAGGGATTCACGACGTATTGCAGATGAGGATAATTGCCAAGAATGACTTGACGAAAGATCGTCTTTGCGATCTCGTATGGCTTCACCGTCCCGTGAGCATGGTACCAGTGGAATCCGGGTGGATCAAGCAAGACTCCGGGGCCGCCTTTGGAGAATCCATCGGCTTCATACGCATCAAATCGGGTGGTGTCGTCGACGGCACCGAGCCCTTCGTCACGAGGTGAATGGAAGATTTTAGCCGCTGACAACTCTGCAAAGAACATCTTCAGAGCGTGCTGAAGACCAGAATTTGGAGGAACATAGCCCGAGCTGCGAGCGTATTTTCTCGCCGTGTCCAATATCAAGGCGAGCGAAACGTGATCCAATAGGACTCCCCAACGAGGATACGAAGCTGCCAATAAACGGAAGGCTACAGAGGGCAGACCAGCCCTTCGACAGAGCCGAAGTAGGGCATTGACATTGAAAGCGTCAAGCTGGATACTTTGTTCAAATGCTGAACTTTGACTTCGGGTAGACCTGGGACGTTTCCCCCAATAATCGACAAAAGCAAATTGCTCGGACATCCCCTTCACGGCGTAAGCAGCCGTCGCATCGACAATAGTCCGTTCATCGATGTAGATACCGACTTCGTCAGGCGGTCGTTGGGCCGCAAAATTGATGTAAGATGACCACACTTGCCAGGCATCTGCATATTGTTTTCGCGCACATAGTCCTCGCATCAGAGGCGATATGACGTGCGCGGTCTTGGCTGTTGAAGGCAGTGACAACCATGCTTCCATCATGTCTTCTGAGGAAATCTCAGGCCACACCGCCATCGCATGGAGCAATTTGGACCACGCGTAGCGGTGTTGACGTAGTCGAGCGCTATAAGCCTCGATGTCGCTATCCCGCGCGGGTGAAGCCAGGTAAGGTGCAAGTGCCTTGTGTAGGTCGCCGAGACCTTCGGAGCTGTATGCGAGCAGATATCGGACTCGCTCCAGGCGTTTTGGGACGCTGAGTCTCGGAGGTGGAAGGACTCGAGGCGACTCTTGATACTGAGACTGAGACCGAGAACTTGAGAGCTGTTCTCTATCTTCCAATTCCGTATCAGTAACCTCTTCAGCGTCCATTAGAGCTGATCTTTCTGGAAGTCTGAGGTAATTTGTTATGGCCTCTTCGTCCCGTGTCCTCATCGCAGCCTCGATCAACGAGGATCGGTGGCCTTTGGTCAATGGTGATCTTGAGGAATAGGATCGATTGACTACGACCTCACGGATCGTCTCGGTGACCATCGTCGAGCTTAACACCCTGTCCAGTATGTCTGAAGGTATAGCGTGGTGAGCCACCGATTGACCAGGGAGTGAATCGAGATTGTCGACGAATTGTACGAGCATCCGTTGGACAAGACCTCGTAAGACACGGTCTGCAGTTCGACCGCTGACATGCTGCGTCAAATGATCCAGGAGGATACGTGTCCATGTACCGAGGTCTTCTTTGGTGCATTCCTGTGAAGACACGACATCGTTGAGGTGAGAGAGATACGCTTGGAGGGTTGGCTCCGTTCCGACGAGCACGTTGAGTTGGAACATTCGCCTGAGGCATCTTCCGACAAGAAGAGTCGATCGGTCTACAGATAGCTTTGGAATGGCAGGGAGGAGTAGACGTGCAGCGTAAATCAAAGAGGATTGATCCAGAGTTGCCGGTCGGAGAAAGATATGGTATAGGTCCACATACGAAGCTTCGTGCCCGGCCGCAGACAACTCGCTGAGCCTTCTTTTAAGGCTGTCCGAAGGTTGATCAGATAGCAATTGGAATGGGCTGGATTCGACAGAAGTAGGTACTTCCAATGCTGGAAGGGGCGACGTATTGGCTCTTGACTGTTCTGGTTGCTCAGTGCCGAGATATTCGAGTACCGTTTGGATAGTGTTCAAGTCTTCGAGAGAATCGGAAGGTGGCTCTCTGCGCGAGGATAAAGGCTGATCCCCTTCTTGGGGGAAGTGCCATGGTACTCTTGACCGGGACGTTGCCAAAGCTCGAGTCTGAACCTTGGGTAGGGGCAGGTCAGTTCTCAGTGAAGGTCGTATGCGAGGTCGCGCGTACCCGCGAGCATACCTAGAGAATGAAGATAAGCTCTGAGCCCATTGAAGCGACCCACCTGGCTACTCGCAGACCTCTCATCGCTCAACGTCATCTGACCCGCCGCATCTTCAGGACGTTGTGAAGAGGCAGAATCATGTTCGCCGAAATAATTGAACCGAAAGTGAAGGTTTTTCCGATGGAGATGCAAAATGCAATAATAAATACAATTGACAGCTATAGACAACCCTCTCGCCTCACCTCTGCAGACGAGACATGAGATCAGCAGCCGAGGCAGGTCTGACATCTCCAGCTTCCCTAATGATATCGTCCAGTACCTTCGGCCTCTCCTCATTCAAAACATCATCTCTCTTCGCAGACTTGGGTTTCGGCTTCTCTCTCTCGGTCAAGTATCGAGGCTTTTGCTCAGCCTCGATCCTGAGACGTCTTGCCTCATGCGACTCTTGAGGATTCCCTCTTGTTGTCCTATTCCTCTCCCATGGTTCTTTCGCTAGTGCTTTTCGGGCCAATTGAAGACCCGTCAAGTGGGTCTCCATACCGGCCAGCCGCTCTCCTGATTTGATCTTGCGAGCCGTGTTCGGGGGTGGCTCACTGTGTAAATGTGAGCAAACAGCAAAAGGATTGAGATAACAAGGTTTGCACTTACATCACGTCCATGACTTCGTCATTCCATACTGGATCTCGATGTCCATCCGTCATGTGTTCTCCATAAATGGCGTATTCAGCCGCGAGCTCGTCCTAAACAAACAACCAGTTGGCAATCGCGCACACAAGCTCGAGTCTGACTCACTGCGAAAGCCCTAGCTTTGCTCTCAAATGCCGTCCTATCCTCCGCTGGCCTATATTTGAGTGCCAGCGCAATGGACTGTCTGAGATCCTTGGATACCGTCGGCAACCAATCGTCCAGTCCGCCTCTAATGACTTCCCCCTCTCCCAGGTACTGTGCAGCTGCTGCTTCTTTGCCCAACTGCCTCGCCAATAACTCAAAATTCAGATCCCTAGGCCCATCGACCAATGTCAAGATGGCAGAAGGTGCCGCATCTCCCTGACGTCGACCGAAACGATGTATCCTGGTGTATCCTCCGTTTCGAGCTTTGTATCTCTCTGCGAGCGTTTCGAAAACTTTCGGTATCAATGATGTGGGATGACGATACGTTCCCGGGACAGCATCCTCAGGGATACCTGGGTAACCGAGTGGAGCGTTGGGTGGAGGCGTTTTGGACCTCAATCGGTATTCCATACTGACATTGTGTGAATGTGGTTTCTACAGAGAGGGAGTCAGTCGATGCCCACTTTGACATGAACACTCACCCGTAGGAAAGCAGCGGCCGATCTTCTTGAATTGAACGTGGCTCTCTTGCCCATCGTAATGATCTTCAGTGTCAGCGTCTGTGAGAGAAGGACTCGACTCTACCTTTTCTGCCATTCTCGCCGCGATCTTCGCCCTTGGCACTGTGGTCTGGATCATTTCATGATGCAGGAGGGCAGTCACAAGGTGTCTGACGCGACACATCAGCGTTGAGCCCTCATGAGCGCAACCATTGAGAATCTTACCTGAGAGTTGTATCTCCTCCGGTCAGCTTTTTGAGCTTCTTGCCGTGTCTCATGATTCACTTGTTCGTCGTCGAGATAGTTTGAGCTGCTGCTGCATTGGCTATCCGATTGAAATATTTAAGCATCCCCTAGCTTCGGGGGGTGTAACGCCAGTGCCACATTCACAAATTGCCGATATTTCCCGGGAATGATGATGACCGATTGGCAGGCTGGTAGGCAGGCAGGCTACCTTCGTCTCTGTCTTTCCTAGCTCATACAACTTCCTATTCTGCTATCATCACCATGGCAGCTCTTCGACTAGCTCTCAAATCATTGCCACGAGCAGGATCATCCTCTGTCCTGCTCGCTGCTCGACCCATCGCTCCTCTTGCTCTCCGACTCCCTGTTCCTTCTCTATCTCTTGCTCGTGGATATGCCGCTTCTGCTGGATTGAGTAAGGAGGATATCACTCAGAGGATAATGGAGGTCATAAAAGACTTTGAAAAGGTCAACGCCGCAAAGGTGGGTAAAAGGTTTACCGCACAGATCCGGTCGCTAGGCGCTGTGTTGCCTGCTTGGACACACGTATTGATAGTTCTCCAGCTCAGCACTTCCTCTTCCTTTACTAACGATCTCGGACTCGACTCGCTCGACTCTGTTGAAGTCGTCATGGCCATTGAGGAGGAATTTGGAATCGAGATCCCGGACGACGAGGCCGATGCCATCACTACAGTTCAACAAGGTGAGTCATGGATCGAGCTAGACACCCCCATGCTGACAGTATTAGCGATCGACTACATTTCTCAGGTTAGTGCAGTTGAGATGTTCAAACTTCATATTGACGTGACTGGCCTCCCGGATACAGACTCCAGACGGTGAGCTTGTCTGTCAAGTAAATTGCTGACAATTTCAGCTCACTAGTTACGAAACGATCGCAGTATCTCATTTCTGATTTCATGCAACCCGATAGCAGCATGAGGAGCCCTGTATCAAAATGCAAATTGGCATGATTCTAGGTACTTATGACTTGGAGGAATACAAGCAGTACAATAATGTTCACAGTGTGCTGTGCGGTGCTTTGGCGAGTCCCTCTTTGTTTTTGAGCATCTCGCCAATCGCGAGGGCGCGCAATCACTATCCGCCATGTCCCCGTCGGCTGTCGCGGCCTTGTCATGGCAGTCATGCGGAGCTCAAGATCCCGCGACAGGTCGCTCCTCGTCATTCCCATCGCCCACGGGGTGCTCTTGCCCCCTTCGATGCTCTTCCTTTTCCTTGTCGCGCAATTGGCTGTACGGCACAATTTCTTCCACCCAGGCGTACCCTTTCATCCCGCGGCTCTGTTTCACCTGCCCATTGCTCCTCTGCCTACTCCCACCGTCACTGCTGTTGCCACTCATAAGTGGGGCTGATGATGGCTCGTGAGACGCCTGCGAAGCCATGTCCCCATCATCGTCCCGTGGGGGTGAAGGAGATTCCCTGTATTCCTTGTCGCGAGAGAATCGGCTAGATCTCCTCTCGCCGGGTATGACAGGTCGTCCGCGGTGATCCACATTCGGTTGGTTGAAGGAGGCGTTGTCTCTTCTACTCCGCTTGTTGGATCGATAGTCATCCTGTCACATGTCAGCGGAGTCCAAACGATGGCTCACTTCTTCATCTTCTTCAAAATCATCATATCGATAATTCACATTACGTCCCGTTCTGCGGGTCCTCGTGGACCTGAACTCAGCTTGCTGAGCAAGCTCGACAGCAGCGGCGATCTTTCTCCGTGCTCGTTGAATGCGCTAAAAGAATCAGCTGCTGCAGTGCGCGATGTGTCGCCTCACCGCCTCCTCCTTTTCGATCTCAGGCAACCGTTTTGTCAACTTTTCCGCCAACTCTTTCTCGTCTTCTATCCCCTTGATCAATTTTTTATATGCGACAATCTCGGCGTTGGTGGATTTCGCCTTGCCCTCTTTCGGTTTGAGCTTTTCCATTTTGACGGTGCCATGCGCTGCATACCGGTCGATGAGAGCTTGATACTCAGCGCGAGTGGAAGAGATGGTTGTGACTGGACACGGGCGTTTGAATGGATTGCCAGATTTATATAAACGGTTTGAGTCTGGTCTCAGCGGATCCACCCAAAATGCGAACTCACAATCAAGCGACCATATTCTATTCTTGTCCCTATCCTGACCGAGAGGCGAAAGTTTGATTTCATCTTCAGTCGACGGGGCCGCAGTCGCTCCTGTCCCTGATCCTGCCTTTTTCTTATCCTCCTCGGCAGCCGATTTTTTCGCACCTCGCCCTTCCCCAACCTTGTTATTCTTGTTGATAATTTGCTTTATCGGTTCAGAATATGCCACTCCAGATCAGCTCCGCGGGGACCTTTGACTCACGTTGCCAATCCACGAGCTGTCGCAACAGTTTGGCGCGTTCACTCCAGCTCAGCTCAAACAAGCCTCCGCCCCTCTCTTCGACCTGTTTGATAGGATTCTTCTTCTCCCTCTCTTCAAGAGGCTCTCCCTCATACCGCAGTCTCCCAAGTTCACTCCTTTCAGGTGAAGAATTGCAGCAGGACCCTCTGGCTTGCTCATTCGGTGCCCAAGGTCGATCCCAAACGGTGAAATCGCGGTCGTTCAATAAGGCGTATGAAATGTAGGCTGATAAATGATGTTGTATGCTGGTGCAGCTGAATCGTCAGTATCGGCAGTGCACACTCCACTTACTCTAGGTTCCGAATACCGGGCTTGAGATTGCTGAGAAATCGAATGAGTATTCCTTCGAGGATGTCGTCCGGTCGATTAGCCACCGGCTCCATGAGGCACTGCTCGAGGCTGATATCAGCATCGTTCGAAAGGCTGGACCTACTCCTCCAAGCATTCTAACTTTCGGATCTTTGACTGTTGATCAAACTTCACGATGAACGCCCAGACGTATGCGACTTGCCAACTTGGTGGCTTCAGCGAACAGCTACCAGTTTTGTGCTCACTCATCCTGAACTCGCTCAGCTTGAGGAGGCTCATAATGGTGATGCTTGAGATCGGCTTGATGTCTTTCCTTGGCCTTCTCGATTTGTTTCTCATCAATCACGATAACGTCCTCCTTGTCGTCCACCTCAAATTCCTCCTGGATTCCTGGCTTTATGTACTCGGATGGCGCAGCTTTGAGCAATGGCTTTTGGTCAAGCGGTGTATTGGAATCTGGCTTGACATCGAGGTCGGATTCCATCTTCACATGCGTATCGTTGGCGTTAGTTGCCGGCGGTGGAGTGATGGACTCTGACGACGATCGATCCGGTTCCTTCCCTTCATCCGACGGCATAGTGATGCTGTCTCGAGCTGGCGACAAGGAATTGACGGACGGGAAGAGATATAGGGAGCTCCAATCTAGTTCACCATTTCCACTCTTCCTAAACGACCTCAAAGACTTCCTTTTGAACTCGTCTGACTGCAAGACTTGATGAAGAGTATACGAAAGGTTCAAGAGCGCGTCCCAACTGACTTGACTTTTCCCAATTGAATGCGACCAAAGCGGCGATGACCGCCGACAACGATCAAAAGCCGATAAACGGAGTTTGAGAAGTTTGCCACGTCAAATTTTGATACCCAACCCCCCGCGTAGCATTCTATTTACCCCACACAAGCCGTCGCTTTCCAATGTTGACGCATCCTGTTCTGAAATCCTGCATTCCCATCGCATGCTATATGCTGGATGAGATCACATGTCACGAGGCGGCTGATAAGCCAGTGGAGAGGCTCAGAAGGCGGTAGAAGAGCATCCCATGATTTCATCAGGGGACCGACACCGGGAGGTGTGTTGACAAAGGTCATGAGTTGAGTTGACACCTTGTAGGCACCTTCAAAGTACCCTTTCCTTCGCCAAAGATTGTTGGGATTCAAGCAGCTAGAGGCACATCAGCGTAAGGAGACATCGAGACTCCTACTGACTTTGTTTTCAGCGAGCAGCAAGATCAATCGGCTGTGCATGCCCTACAGCTCTCCCCTGCAGAGATACAATACTCTCTAGAAAAGATCAAATACAAGTGGGACGCGAGCAAAGCCGGATCACCCTTCTTAGCCTCCCAAGTAGCATTTTTCGGCATCTATGATGGCCATGGAGGAGCTCAAGTATCAACACATCTAGCTGAGAATCTGCACAACTTGATTGAATCTGTCCAATCGGATCATGCCAACTCTCTGGTACAATGGACCAAATCAACTCATCAAGGGTACTTCAAACGTTGGCGTGGGGGAGTGTTGTCAAAGTGGACAAAGGCAGGTCAAACGAGTGACGCGTCAGCCCAGACCTCTACGAGCGGGCCAAGTGGGAAGGTCATGACGCTTGAAGAGAGGTTGACTCTGGCTTTTCTACAAGTCAGTCACACAATGGGAAGAATTGAAGCTCACACGCGAAGGCAGACCAAGATATTCTGAAGAAATATGAAGAGTCTCACAAGATGGGATCGACGGCCAGCGTGTTGCTCCTGCATTCCTTGGATTCTCCGGCTGTACCTTATTGGGCCGCAAAAGAGGTGTTTCTCACTGTGGGACATTGCGGGTAAGCTAGAGTAGATTCATCGAGCTGATCTGTAGGGACACCCGTGTACTTCTGTGTCATGCTCCGACTGGCAAGGTTGTGCCTCTGACCGAGAGGCATCATGCGGAAGCTCGTGTCGAGGCTGCCAGATTACGACGGATGGGGGCGGATAATCTGATTCAAGATTCGTTTGGGGAGTCAAAGTGGATGGGAGCTATAGAGAATACTAGAGGGTGATTGAGGCGCCACGAGATAATTGCTGATGTGCAGATTTGGCGATGGCGATTGGAAGTCATCCGGCGTGACTGCAGAGCCAGAAGTGATCTCTCGTGTTCTGAAGGGTGAGGGGTATCGTTTCGATGCTTTGGCTGATAATTCAGGAGCCGAATACTCGTACCTTGTCCTAGTGACAGATGGTTTGACTGATCTCATGTCAGATCAAGAGATTATCGATCTCGCTCGGAATGCCTCGGACCCGACACGAGCAGCCACCACCATCATTCATTTTGGAGAAGACCTGAATGCTGACGACAATTGTACTTGTATTGTTGTACCGCTCGCAGGATGGGGTCAAGTCAAAGGTCAAGACTCAACCGAAGCGAGGAGAGAGTATCGTCGGAATCAAGCTGGCATGATGAATACAAGGATGCAGAGGATGTAGGGAGTCTTGCTGGGGGAAAGAAGGAGGTCGAGCATTCATCATAGCATTTATCAAAGCATGGATCGGAATCAAATTTCTGAAACAAGTTCAGAACTGGCGTGTTTCAGCTGAAAGGCGGAGATTTCCCATCCACTCACCATCGCGTTGTTGCACGTATATCGGAACGATTTCAGGTGCTACTGGCGGTGTCTACGGCATCGAAGATCAGCTCAGATATCATGTCGTACCGCGATGCCAGTCCCGATAAAGGCAAAGAGATTTCTGGATCAAGTGGGACCTTTGTGAGCACCGGAATGGAGGATTCCAAGCTAGTTGCCAGCTGTCTAGCACCGACACGCTCGAAAGAGTCTGAGCTGACTGCCACGTAGAGGCATATGACGTTCCCCGTGCATACGCTGTCCACCTTGCTCTCCATGCAGGCAGTAGAGGAACACAAGCCAAAGGTGAGATTTGGGGCGGATCCCACCTGACTCGACAGACCTCCAAGGTATCCTGGTTAGCGGACGTCCTCGTCTTCCGCGCAAGTATCATACCTATGATCTTGAAGCCTGTGCTTTGCATTACTTTCTGGTCAGCAGGTGTCGCCGCCATCTCGCTGTGGTGGGGGAAAGAGGTGGGACTTCGAAATGACATTGGTGAGAATGGCGCTGGCGACACTTACTAACAGTAGTGCCGTTGCTCTCCGTCGTCGTGGGATTGCTTTTAGGTGAGCGGATCCAGATGAGCAACGATACTGACATTGAGTCTTTCGGTAGGTATAATGAGACGCGTGAGCTTACGTTTAGTAACTCCTCGGCGTACGAGCGATATTCTGCGTGAGTCGCCTTAGGGTGCACCTCTGACACCGTAGCGGTCGGAAAGATTTTACGACACTCATCTCAAATGCTCGAAACCTCTCACGTGTGAGCTGAGTGGTAGAACTTGACCGAGCTAATATCCATTCAGCTGATATGGGTCTACGTCTGTCTCCCGACGAACCCCGACATTCCAACTACCATCACTCGGGCGCAACTGAACTCAGAAAAGAAGACTCTGATCCGATCTGTAGTAGCTTTCGTCGTAGCGACGAAGCACCATCTCAGAGATGAAGGAGGTGTCCATCATGAGGACCTGAGGGGTGAGCACCTCTATAGACTATATTGACGATGCAGGCCTGCTTCCCCGCCGACTCTTTCCGCGTCAAAGCACGCCATCTTTGCCTCCTCACGATATCGCCGACTCACCTGAAGCTGTGCATACTGGGCTACCTGGGCAATGTATGGTTGACGAAGAGTCTGCCATGGGGATACAAGCGTCTCCCCTACATCACAAGCTCTCCAGTCACTCCATAGGTGCAAAATCCACGACCTCATCCCACCTCACAATGGAGGACGACCAAGTCGGCCCATTGGAGCCGCGTCGACCCAGATTGGCCGTTCGTCGGAGACGTCCCAGTGCCGTCCGTGTCATCTTTCCACAAGCATCAGATCCAAAGCCACAGCCACAAGTCGTCACGGAGCAAACGCCGTTGATCAAGCCGGGAGTTCGGCCAACATTGGCCAAGACAGAATCAGACGTTCGAGTCAGGACCCATTCGTATATCCGTGCTCAGGCCGGTATGGGTAGAATGATTGAGCTGGGTCTTCCGTTGATCATGTGAGACTGCGAGCGTGAACGTGAATTGACATCGTTTAGTGCGCATGACATCAGCAGAGGTATCTTTCGCTTCCGTCGACTCGGCTGTCTAGAGCACGTCGGACCAGCTGTAAGTCGCCGATGTGCATGCACAGGGTTGACTTGCAAGGGCGTCAACTCCATGCAATCGCTAGTTCAATCCATGATCGACCAGCTCGGATCCATGGAGCGCGTCGTGTAAGTGTCGAAGCTTGCAAGATTACTGATGATAGTCAAACGCCAATGCCCTATATCGTAGCTGTCCACATGAAGCAAGCAACCAGTCTCTTGCTCTCCATCCTGCCCTTCGTGCTGGTCGATACTCTCAAGCTTAAGATGGTACCCTTGATGTTCTGCATCGCCTTGATCTACATGGGTCAGCTCATATGATGGCATCATCAGCTGACATTCTACAGGCATCGAAGGAATCGCCGCGCAAGTGGAACAGCCTTTCGGAACGTAAGTAAGAAGGGTCGACCACACATCTGACACTCGCAGCGATCCGTGCGATCTCAATCTTGATCTCTTCTGTACGGAGCTGTTGTGCGAGTGCGAGGCACTGCTTGAGAATTTGCCCCAGGGCGACGAAGACGACCCGACCGGGAACTTCAGTGCCCTCGATGGACCGCTTGACGTAGATGACGATGGCGGAGATTAATATCGCTCATCCGTCTCGCCCTTTTGACCCGATGTTGTCTCCACTTTGTACGCCAAGCCTCGTATAGATCCCATGCCATATGTCGCTCGCTCTCCATTCTCTCCTGCATTGTCCCACATGGTCATTCAAGCCGACCTCGAGTGTCTCCCGATTGGCCTTTACATCCACCTGAGAGTCACTGCCTCAAGTGGGAGTCCGCCGACCATTTATGACAGCAAGACTGCCTCCCCATCACATGTCAGAGATCGCTGATGTGCCATACCCAACCCCCAGGTATGTCTCAAAATAACCGTGCCGGAGCTTCCCTCTAGTCAGTATGTCGGGCTTCCACCATTTCCGCGTATCAATGCATCAAGCCCAAACGCTACACTGTCCTAACGAGAGTAGGTCCAGACGTTTTTCAGCACTGTGTTTTGGTCAGTGCTTGTTTCCTTTGCACAGTTTGCCGAATCTTCCTTCACTCACGACCGTCCTTCTGAGCGATTCGGTTGATAGAGTCATCCGAGTCTCCCTGAGCTCTCACTCGTCCACAGATGGCGATGGTAGTAGACTTTCCCTTAATGGCCTTTCCATCGGCGTCGACATCGGCGATCTGGATCTGGATAGAAGCGTGGTCTTTGGCAGTGATGAGACGGTCTGCAAAAAGGCATATCAGTATATCGACAAGCGGCGAGAAATGACGACTCACTGGTCGCAGAGCAATGTCTGGGGATGTAAAGATCCACGAGGGCACCCTTGTCGTTCTCTGAGGAGAGAGTCAGCTGTGTCTCTCATCGAGAGCAGGCTATCGAAACTTACCCATGATGAATAGATGTGTGAGGTTGAAAAGAGTGATTCACAGGATCCTTGAACCTTTCGACCGGCGAGGCCCTACTGCTGCTGTGAGCCCAAAAAACCTCGAAATCCCTATGGGACCTCCTCGGCATTTCTCGGAGTTTCGATTTTGAAAGAGTGTGGCATTCGTTGAACGTGGCATTTGTACACGCGGATAGCATCAGACGTCATTGGATCGCTGTCGTGCATTGTCACTCCTCGTTTGCTATTCACTTGATATCAATCGCTCGAATATCTACAACTCGTCTTGGCTCATCCAGCTGAACAATCTCACAGGATGACAGTGAGTCCTATGCTCTTGCTTTGTCTCTCGCTGACCTTTGAGTAGCTCTACTACACTCGTCAGCTGGCCGAAGACTTGATAGACTTGAAGAAGCTGACCTTTGCATAGTCTGCTTTGGTCTGCTCATGTCTGAGCTTTTGCTCTTCACGACGATCATCTGTCCCATGCCATTTGCCATGAGAAAGAAGTGGGTACAAGGGCATGCTGGCCAGACTTACCCTTCAGAATGTTTCATTTCCTCAGCGAAAACCCAGTAGTGAGCTCTGTGGCATTCATTGTCTGTGTCAGCTCACACGATACAGGTCGCCAAGGTGCAATATGCTGTGAGTTGATCCCTGTCGCCCACCGAACCTCTCTGATATCATCCTAGTTGAAAATCACATTCATGTGAGCTCGTACGCCTGTGATGACTCGATGAGCTCACTTGATTAGATTCGTCGCGGTCCTCTTTATCGATGCACTGCAAAGAATGGTCAGAATCGCTCAGGAGGGTAAGCTGTCACTTGCAGGACATCGGCTGACCTCCTCAGGAGCCGGCGCCAAGATGAAGAATGAGATGCCAGACGTCAGAACAGAAACGAACTAGTGAGTTCACTGCTCTTCAATCAACGCTGACACTTCCAGCGCCGCTAGGAAATTCTACGCTCAGAGAAATCGTGAGCATCAAAAGATGCCTTCAACCATTAATCACGCTCTTCAGTGTACTTGACCGGTGCCACCCTTTTCCTCTCCCTCATCCTCTCTCGAGTCTTCTACATTATCCTCGACTTCATCCACGTCCAAGAAAACTATTCTACTCTTCAACAACGTACTGCCAAAGCGAGTGGTGCGGCGGGAGAGAGCGAAGAGCTCAGGAAGAGAATCAAGGAGCTTGAAGCTCAGGTCGAGAGTGGAAAGGCTCAAGGCCGAGATTTTGGTAAGTCACCTAGAGGTGCTCTGCTGAAGTTTAGACAACCTCAAGAAACAGGCTGCTCAGCAGAACGCAGAGTACAACCGACTAGCTGATGAGCACGCAAAGGCGGTGAGGTAAAACGTGTCGTACAGCGCTAACTTGCAGACCGGCTCAACCTCTAATAAGAAACACGACTAGATAGACGATCATATTTACGTTCAGTCATCCATGAAATGTCGCTACAATGATGTGTCTATCCGTAAATCGTCACATTGGCTCGTTTCGTGACCACTGGAGCAGTGAGCAACGCATAGTCAGGCCACTCACCTTGAGGTAGCAATCGTACAACTCTTCTACCAGACTTTTGGCAAGCTCGCTTGATCTGGGCGATCCTTCCTGTCTTACCGTTTCCATTCGTTTGATCCTGTCTTTGAGGGCTTTTCGACCACCATTAACGCCCGCGCAAGCACGGATGGTACGGCCGCAGACGGTCCCGCAGAACGCACACGGGTGCGCTTGAGATGATGGCATGGCTTCTTCGGTAGCTTGCTCGTCAAACAAGGCGCGAAGGTTGAGCCAAACCGGGTCCGAGGGGTCGAACCGACGCATCGCCCTGAGAGGGAGTTCAGCGAAGATATCACGGTGACGCTCACATCTTGATTGCATTTGGGCCCTCGAGTACCACTGGACAACGTCTGGCTGGATGCATCGGGGCAGTCTCACAAATGGGACATGGCGGCAGATTAGTCTCGTCGTCAGAGTCAACGACGATGGCGGCGTCGATGGTCGAGCCATTCCCGAGGCTTTGACGTGACATGACGCTTTTGGAGCGGGATGCAGGTCGAGCGATCTGCGAAAATGGGGAAGCCGCCGGTTGGGAATTGTTGAGCTTGACGGGCGGTGTGGCCTGCGGTATGGATGGCTCAGACATGGCGGATTCGACCTGAGCGGGCATGGCTTCCGATGTTGCAGTCCGCGGGCATTCACTCAGAGGATGTTCTCCGCTACATTGAGGACAAGCTTCCAAGAGACTGTCGAACAATTCCCCTCGTTGTTCTTGCACGGGGGCGTGTGGTTCAGAACTTGGGCCGGGCGCGGGCGCTATCGGTCGAGCTGCTGCTGTTGCTGCTGCTGTTGCTGCTGCTGCTGCTGCTGCTGCTGCTGCTGCTGCTGCTGCTGCTGGTGCCACAGCTATAGATTGTTTATAAGCATCGCCCGGCAACGCAGGTAAGGTCGAATCTGCTACGTCCGGGATGATGGGATAGCCGTTTCGCAGGAGCAAGAGGACCGTGGTGCTGTGATCGACGCGGTTGAAGTAAGCCGGTTGATTTAGTCGGAAAAGCTCTGCGTCGATATCACCAGCTAATCGTCGATAGATATCCTCTCGTCGGCCCGGAGGAATCTCAGGCAAGGCCATCTCTGCCCACGCGGCGAGTGAAGGTAGATGGCCAAATTCGCGAAGCATGTGATAGAGCCACTGGCAGATCTCTCTTGCTGCCCGAATGGTGGCCATGTCGATCGTGATGGGACGGGGTTCAGGGACGGTGTTCACAGGTTCGGCGGGATGTGAGGAGGCATGTGCAGCAAGCATGGCCTCATATTTCTGCTGTCTCGCCGCGAGCTTCTCCTCTCGGCGATTGGCTTTTCGTATCGCTCTTTCCTCTGCCGTCTCCTTGGGTCGTGGCTTGGGTAGAGGTGCGCCATTTTGGAGCGCCTGGGCAGCTCTATATGCTGCGACTTTTTGCCTTTTCGTCAACGCTTCGCCGGCAACGAGACCTCGCAAGATGATCGGATTCCCATCTTGGTCCAACGCGCCGATATCAGGAACTGAGTCTAAACTCTCCTCTGAGTCTGTCGAGTCCACGCCATCGACAAAGTCGGCATCTTCAGACGATGTACCAGCTTTTCGCTTCTTGTACTTGCGCTTGTCCTTCTTTGGCGTATTGTCGTCAGAGGCAGAATGTATCGGTTCAGGCTGCCCGTACTTTACAGTCGCTGCCGTTCGCTTGGATCGTCCATTGGCCATGTTGACCAATCGCGTCGCCTCTCGAGCTTTGCGGGCATTGTCCACCACCAATTGCCAAGCATTCGCGTCCATATCTTCCAGCTTGTCATCCTCATCGAGCTCCTCAAGTCGATGCCTATCCGCCTCCCACATCTTGGCAAAGCCAAAAGACATGGTCTCCTTTTTGGGCTCCTCAGCCGCCTGACCTGAGGCTTTTGCTCGCTCTCGTTCTTCCATCGCTTTGGCTTCTGCTTCAGCATCCGCTTCGACCTTGTCGATGAGAGCATCCACATCCTTGGATGAGTATCGAATGTCAGACGCAGCGATCCCATCCTCATTGGCTTCATAAAGGGCCGCCGCGCCACGAAGGAGCAGATCGTTGATATCGCCTTCTTCATTCTCCTTGCCCATTTGCTGCACGACGAGGTGATCGAGCACCATCTTCTTCTTCCCGTTTAGTATGATTTGTTCTGAGAATCAGCAACGGACAGAATGGGGTGACACCTACCCTCTACAGAATTCTTCGTCATGAGTTTGAACACCAGGACTCGCTTCTGCTGTCCATATCGATGACTCCGAGCTATCGCCTGAAATGGTCAGGAGCGCGGTCTGGAGAACTCACCTGTAGGTCCTGGTGAGGATTGAAATCTGGATCGTAGATGATGACTGCTATCAGCCAAGCTCAGGCATGCTGCTCTCACCAGTATCCGCTGTAGCGAGGTTGATCCCCACGCCTCCAGCGCGAGTTGTCAGGAGAAAGATAAAGTAGTCAGAATCAGGAGCATTGAAAGCATCCATTGCCTTTTGCCGTTTGGCTTGTTGAACGTCTCCATCAAGTCGGAGGAACTTGTATCCTTCGCCATGGAGAAAGTCCTCGACTAGACCAATTGTCAGCGAGACACTCGACCGATCCTCACTAATGTCAAGGGCGATTTTGAACTATCGTCAACATTGTTTTTCAGGGTTTCAATGCCCACCTGTGAGAACAGAAGAACTCGATGACCTCTGTCTTTCAATTTGGGGAGAAGAAGCTTGAGAAAGGCCAGCTTGCCAGATGCGTTGATCAACTGTCGATGTTGCTCTTCCTCTGGGACTTCTTCTGATTCCAACTCTGGAGCTGAGAGGTAGGGGTGTTGACATACCTTCCTCAGCTGAATGGACGTCAGCTCAATGTCCACCAGAGCGAAGCATACCTCCATGAGGATATTCCTCATCTGCCTGACGGCGACCATGGTGGATAGATATGTCGCCCCAGGCAGAACAAAGCCGAGCCCAGGGGACGGGTTGAAAGTCAATGTTCAGGAAAGTCGGTCGCGCTCAGAAAAATCGCGTCAGAGTGAGAACCAACGTCAAAGAGGAGATTCACCGTTCGATGCAGACGGAGGGTCAACGTTACAAAGGATTTCAACGACACTTCTTGCCGAGGATCACCGACAAAGGAATGGTACCATGCATATTACAATGACGTCTCTTTCAACTTCTTGCGCAAATCTGCCAACTCTGACTTTAACTCTTTCGCCTTGGCCATGGCCTCCTCTACGTTGCCCTCGACCTTACCAGACTTGAGAGACGCTACAAGCTTTCCTTGGGCCTCGACTCGTGCTTCCAAATCCCGCTGTTCAGGAGATTTGAGCTTTTCCGACTCGGCGTCCTTCTCCTTCTTCTTGCGGTTCAGTTCAGCCTGCCGAGCAAGATGCTGGGCCTTCTTTTCCGCCTTTTCGTTGAGGAGAATATCCGCGGGACGAGGTACTTTGCCTCCTTCAGGGTGTCCGTCAGGTCCAGCAGGGTCGACCTTGTTGGCCACGACGGCGTCACCTCCAAATTGCTGCTGCCACTTTTTCTCCTGCTCCCCGTTCGCATTGTCAATCTTCTTAAACAGGTGCTCGGCTTTGCCGATGGTGTGACCAGGAAGAATATCTATAGAGAAGGTATTCGGGAGACTACGCGCCGGAGCATTGAGTTGTCGCAAAATTCCATCAGTGATGGACGGCATGAACGGTTGGAAGACCACACTGATGAGGTAGATCAAGTTGATGGCGTTGAGGAGGACCTCGCCGCAACGTTCAGGGTTGTTGGCGAGGAGCGCATTGTCGAGACCTGCCTCGGCAAGGTATTGGTTGCCTCTTCCGGATATGCTCATGGCGGTTGCAAGACCAGCCCTGAGCTTGGTCTCGTCCATATTACTGCGATATTCGGCGAGACGGGCGTTTATATCATCGACGAGAGCGGGGTCGAGCGAAGTTTCAGTTCCAGGGACGACCGAGTCGAATTTGGCATTGACGAATTTTATCACCTGAAGTCAGCGCGAACCTGATGAACACTCACTCTATTGACGAAGTTGCCCAAGTTTGCGAGTAACTCGTTGTTGTTCGCAGAGATGAAGCTGGACCAGAGGAAGGCAGAATCGGCATTCTCGGGGCGCTGAGAGATGAGGTAATATCGCCACACGGAGGCAGGTTGGCCAGTCTCCTGTGCGTTATTGCCAAAGACACTGTCGTCAGCGACACACGACAGGTTCGCTTACCCAATATTCCGGCTCTTGCTGAATTTTGTGTCCTCATAGTTGAGATATTCTGAAGTCAGCGGGATCGTCTTTCTCACTCACGAGTTGATGAGATGTTGTGCAGCATAGTCCATTTGCGTCCATCACCAATCAGCATCGAGGGGAACAGGACAGTGTGGAAGTAGACGTCTGCTGTCAATTCAGAACCGGGAGTGAACTCACTGTCTTTTCCCATGAATTGGTAGAGCTCAACATTGTCGGGATTCAGCCACCATTTCTCCCACTGGTCAGTGTACGTGGCAGTGATGGACGGATATCCAATCGGTGCGTCAAACTATCATAAGCAGAGCAGATTAAATGCTACCCACCCAGACATCTACAGGTCAGCGCCATTCACGATTGTAACTCACAAATGACTTTGCCCTCCAATGCCTTGTCCTCTTCCGCAATGCCCACTTTTGGAACCTCGACTCCCCACTTGAGATCTCGTGTGATGGCACTCGGTCTCAATCCCTCACCGAGCATTCTCGGCTCGACAATCTCTCCCTTGTCCGTGATGACCGCATTGGATCCCCAGCCGCCTTTGACTCTGGCCTTTTGCATCCATTCTATCAATCTAGGTTGCAAGAGGTCCAAGCGGACGCAAGCGTGAGTGGAGGGTTTGACAGAGAGTTTGTGTGATTTGTTGCGTTTACATCGAGGTTGGAGCAGGGCGGTAGGGGAAGAGAACGTCAAGGCACATTTGTCGCATTGGTCACCTCGGGCGTCCTGGCGTTAGCCTGGCTAGCATAGTGCCTCACCTCATAGCCGCAATTCGGGCAGGTGCCTTCGACAAATCGATCAGCGAGGAACATTTGATCATCTTCGCAGTAGGTCTGTTCAGAGGTCTCGAGTTGGAGGAGGTCGTTATCGTGCAAGTTTTTATAGATCTGTTGTGTGATACTGAGGTTCAGACGAGCAACCCGATTTGACCTACACCATGTGCTCTGGAGTTGATGTCCTTCCCCATTTATCAAAGCCGATCTCGAACCACCTGAGGTCAGCAGGGGATTATGAAAGGCTTCTCACTTGTAGATATCCGTATGAAGTTTGTGGAATTTGGTTGTCAACTCCATAGGTGTGACACCTTCCTCCAGCGCCTAGAGGTGAGCAAGAGAGTATGAGGGAAACCCACCTTTGTCTCGGTAGCAGTACCATATTCGTCGGTTCCACATATCTGCCTTCAGCGACGAAATGAGGCTAGACTCACGTATAGCGTTGGCACGTTCAATGTCCGGGAGTACCTCGCAAAGACGTCGGCAGAGAGAGTGGATCTGCAGGTAAGACTAGACAGCGAAACATTTCCTCACCCAATGATGTTCCCAAGATGAGGAACATTGTTGACGTCTTTGAGATCAGCAACACCTTTGCCGCAGACTCACAAGGCAGAGCAGAAGTGATGAGAACGTTTCGCTGTCCATCCTTTGGCAACCTATCACTCAGCTCAAAACTCCTCTGTAGGACTCACACTGGCCCTTTTGCCGAGTCATGTACCTCAAGAAGCAGCCCTGGGGCTTGTCTGATCCGCTGGGTCCCCATATTCCAGCTGAGAGCCTTGAGAGCTCGATATGAGATCCGAATGGTGAATGGTGCGAGTGATAGGTATGGTTGTTCGACTCAATGTTCAGCTCGCCGGGTCGAATGTTCAAAAGTCAATGCCACGTGAAATTTAATTTTTGATTGATGCTTCTCGTGATCTACACTGTACCAACATGTCGGCATTGGCAGCGAGGAGGGCGAGACAGGTAGCGAGGGACCCTTCTCCGGAGCCAGAAACCAAGAAGAGAAGAAGGTCTAAAGGGAAGGAGAGGGCCTTTTCTCCGAGTCACCCGGTGGCCAGTCGTCCGGTCGAATTATACGAGTCCTCGGATGAAGAGCCCATTGCAAGTAGCTCGAGGGTGTCGCCGGGCCCAGCGATATTCGCCCGGTCGACCTGGGTAGCAGATGGAGAGAATGTTCGAGTCGAAGACTCGAGACTGCTTGTGCAGCTTGGACAAGAGGTGAGCGGAACCAAGGCTCGAGCTGATGCTAGTCCCTTGTCCTCAGCGGAACATTTTGCATCACTCCAGTGGACAAGCCTGTTGACATGCTATCTACCACGCTGAAGCCCGGCATCGAGTATCGAGTCTTCGCGCCGACATCTCATCCTCTACCAGTCATCACGAGCAAAGGCTCAACGCGACTCCAAATCAGCGAACTCAGCACTGGCGTTGAGCAGCTTGGGGTGCCCGGTTTCAGTGCCATTTGGCCTAGAACGAGCTTCGAGGGCGTACCAGGCGTTGCATTGGTGAGGACATGGAAATGGGCTGACTGATGAGAAGATCTCGGATGAATCCGATAGTCCAGTGTATCCCTATATTGAGCCAGAGTCCTGGCGGGATGCCTTAGACACGCTGAACGATACGCCAGTCGTCATGATACGTGGTCCGAAACGATGTGGCAAGTCCACGTTCGCCAGGGCGGCCTTGAATAAGCTTCTCGAAGATCATGAGAGGGTCGTATGGCTGGAGTGTGATCTAGGGCAGAGTGAATTCAGTTGCGGAGGCGTCGTGGGTTTGTGGACAGTGACAGAGCCTGTGCTAGGTGAGTGAGGAGTTTGACGAAGCTCATGTTAGGTCCTGCATTCACCCATCCGGCGATACCTACTCGGGCCTATCACCTGGGAGAGTATACGCCGTTGTCATGTCCCGAAGCATACATATCGGCGATTCGGCAGTTGATCGACTACTATCGCTACGAGATGGAAGGGCCACTGGTCATCAACACGCAGGGATGGATCAAGGGTTTGGGAGAAGACCTGCTGAAGGCAATCGAGTCGGCTGCAGAGCCCACCCATGTCTTTACATTCGAAGCGGAGGGAGGATCTCCACCAACCTACACGGTGCCGCTGGGAGGTATCCATCGCATACTGCAACCTGCACCGACTTCACCACTTCAAGCACGCTATACGCCTTCCGACTTTCGCATTCTCGGGATGATGTCGTACTTGAAGGCGATGTTAGGTGAGGGTAGGTGGGGAGCGAGTCAATCATGGGAAGTGAATATCCCCGGGACCATTCAGAATGTCTATCTGGTCGGGCAGGGATCCGACGGAGTAATCAATGAGGATTTGGAGCTTGCTCTCAACGGAGCTCTTGTGGGTTTGCTCCAGTCTGAGCCTGAGGAGACCATCTATGAGCCGGGACGTCGGCCTGACGGCGTGTTTCTGGGCTACGGGATCATCCGATGGATCCAGCCATCATCGTTGGGCTTCAAGGTGGCGCTCTCAAGTCCTCTGCCATCAAGTGCTCTTGCCTCTGTCAATGCGATCGTCAAGAATGGGGCGATGGAGCTCCCACTCTGCGCGCTGCTAGAAGCAGGAGAGGACGTACCGTTTGTAGATTACTCCGCTATTGAAGGGCCAGGACTCGAGAGACGGCGCATCAGACGGAACATTATGCGGAAAGGCATGTAGAAGTCCGGGACAATTCGGAGTAGGCAGCCTCTCTAACCGTTTACGTAAACGTCCGAACAACACTTGATGGAAATTTCTCATCGATCCGATGTGCCTGCTTCCATTGCAACCGACTTTCACGTCTAAGAATCACATGAAAGACGATCTATCTTGGTCAAACATCGGCTCATCACCAGTTCATCCCTCCATAAGTGATTTCCAGGCAGCTGCAAAAGCCCTCGTGACTTGACTTGCCGAGATCTCACCCGGTTACTTTGATCCGAAAGTTTTACCGACTTGGCGTCGTCCCCCCTTCGCCCTCCACCCTTGCCCCCCCTCCTGTCTCCTCATGACTGCTCTCCATGATCCGACATGTATATACAAGTCGACCTTTGTATATAGTTCAAACCCCTCGTTGTACTCAAGTCCGCCTTTACTACTACAGGCTCTCGACCCCCGCTCTACCGTACGATCCCGGTCGATTCAGGAAAGGGGCCAGACCTGAGATTTCGAGTCATCTCCCACCCGGTTATTGCTGGTACCCAAATCATAACGATTATCCCGTTGTCAAACCCCCCGACATGACAAAAGTGTATACATCAGAGCTCAAATCGCCTCAGCTTCCTCGAAGCTCCATCTTCCACTATGTCTTTCCACCGAAACAGAAGGGAAGACCGCACCAATGGTACCCCACACCAAGCCCTAAAAGCATTTCCTTCATTGATGGATTGACAGGCAAGGAGTTGCTTCGTGATGACATCCACATTAGAGCTTTGTGGGCCAATGCCGGATTGCGAATCAGAGGGGTCAAGCGAGGCGATGTGGGCATGATATTCGGTCCAAACAGTCTCTTCTGGGTTGAAGCGCTTTGGGCGATCCAGGCCGCGGAGGCGATCTGCTCCCCAGCCAATGCCGCATAGTGAGTCAAAGGTCTGGATGGCGCTGATGGTAGCCCTCCACCCGAGCTCGCCCATCAGATTGAGAATAGTGGAACTTCATTTGTCATGGTCGCACCGGACAACGTCCCCGTATTGGAAAAAGCCATTGAACTTCTATCACCCACGGCCAAGGCTCAGCTCTCGACCAAACGGATTATTCTCATGTGCGACTACAAGGACAAACCCCCCGGGACACCATACAGCTGCATGCAGGAGCTGTGGGGAGAACAGGCCAGACCCAGACAGATAAGCGGGGGTGAAGAAAAGGAAATCGCGTACCTGTGCTATTCAAGTGGAACCACCGGCAAGGCGAAAGGAGTGATGACGAGTCATCACAACATGCAGTGTCAGGTCCAGGCTCTGTACTCGTGTCACGAAAAACTGTTCCCCAGCAAGGACAAGATTTTGGCCGTATTGCCCTTCTCGCATATTTACGGATTGACCCTGACGATTCACTTCCCGTTGATCTATGGTGTTCCGGTCGTCGTTTTGCCCAAATTTGATCCCGAGACGGTGTTCAAGGTCATTGAAAAGGTGAGAGGATCCCTCGAAGACTTCACTGACGCCAGTACCGCGTGACGTTCTTCTTCTGTGTTCCACCAATGCTCATTGCGATGATGAACAGCCCAAAAATGGCCCAGTACGATCTATCCTCGCTTCGCGGTCTCATGCTTGGAGCTGCACCTTGCGATGCCAAATTGATTGAAAAGTTTGAAAACCTCTTTCCCAAAGTCAAGGTGTCGGAAGGGTATGGAGCCACAAAAGTCGACCGACCATCTCTTCGGATCACCCAGGGCTACGGTATGACCGAGACCTCGCCCGTGACCCACTTGATGACTTTGGAGGAGGGACACACGCACAAGGGCAGTATCGGTAAAATCATGCCCACGATGCAGGGCAGACTGGTCGACCCGGAAACGGGCAAGGATGTGGCTCAGGGCGAGCGAGGAGAGCTGTGGGTCCGAGGACCAAGTGTGATGAGAGGATACTGGAAGAATGAAGAGGCGACCAGAGGAACATTTGCTGCAGGTGGATGGCTCAGGACGGGCGACATCGCCGTGGCAGATAAGGAGGGTTACTTCTACATCGTTGATCGACTCAAGGAGCTCATCAAGTATAAGGGATTCCAAGGTAAGTCCGAAGGATTATCGAAACTCGCTGACTTTTAGTGCCTCCTGCCGAGCTGGAGGCTTTGCTCTTGACCCATTCAAAGATTGCTGATGTCGGTGTCATTGGTGTCTGGGACGCCGAGCAGTCAACCGAGATGCCACGGGCCTACGTCGTGCCCAGCGGAGGACTTGCAAATTTACCAAAGGATCAGCATGAAGTGTTCAGTAAGGCGATTGTCGACTGGGTCGCGGATCGAGTCTCCAATCACAAGAAGCTCAGAGGAGGTGTGATCCTGCTGGCGGAGATACCAAAGAGCCCGAGTGGAAAAATCTTGCGAAAGGATCTGAGGGAGCTGGCCAAGAAGGATGTGCAGAAGGGTCGACAGGCCAAGTTGTAAAACTCTCATTATGAAATTCAAAAAACCGTCTATGCTTCTTATGCTTCGCAGGCTACATACATGCTTGACGATTACAACAATTGGAAAACTATCTCCACGGAGCGCGCAATGCTCTAGGCCACCAACTCTGCCTCGACACGCTCGCTTGGCTCTCCAAGTTCATTACGCTTGCGATACGCCAATCTCGCCGCCTCCACAGCCTTAAGCTTGTGGGCCCGACCGGCCGATACTGCACCTGATTGTCGCTTGGTGGACCTCGCTTGATCTGCGCGGATGAGGTCGGATGAGAATCCAGGGACAATACGTCCTCCGGTCATTTCTGGCGTCAGTCTGGACTTTGATAGACGAACTCACCATAGGCTAGCTGTATATCCTTGCGATCCACTGTGTCAGACTTGCGATGCTTGGCGAGAGCGCAGCTAAGATTAGCCACCAGCTCGATATGTTCGTCAGCGAGCGTGAGGAGGAACTTGGTAGGTCAGCGAAAGAACTCCGAGCAACTCACATTCTCCACCTCTCGATCGATCTCTAGACCCCGATCGACACTCGCGGCTAGCTCTGAGATTTTCCTCTTCTTCTGTCCAGGGAGGCCCGCCTCTTTGGTCCCCTCGTCCTCTTCGTCCACGTCGACCTCCTCCGCCATGGCCGTGAGAGCCTCAGGCATGCGTTCAACGAGCACGCCAGATAGCACTGGTGCTATGGACAGGGTCGATCGGGGTGCTTTGAGCGCACGCTGTAGTTCGGATAGCTTTTCACGGAGTGAGGCATCGTATTCAGACGAGGGCTTCCAGGTGACCTTGTTGAGCAGAGAATTGGTTCGATCGAGTTGTTGAGCAATTGCGTCGTTCATTTGGCGCATCCGGGCGTCATCGGTCGCCTGCGCCTTCATCTGTTGGAGAAGCATGTGGGGACGGACGTCCGAGCCCGGTGCAGCAAGCGCGGCTGCTTGATTCGCATTGACAGGGATACCCTGACGGATCATATTCTGTATTGCCTGAGCCTGAGCTTGGATCTGGGGAGGGGGAGTAGGATTAGCCGGGGCGGCCGGGGATACTGGAGATGCCGCTGCATTGCGCTGCTTGCCAGGTGGGATGTGAAGATTCTGGGGAATATTATTGGGAATGGGGAAAGCCGGTCGGGGTGCTTGATTGAGGGCGGACAGCCACAATTGACGCTCTTGCGGACGCTTTACATTCAGCAAGGTCCGATGGACGACTCACTTGTTGGAACGCAGCTTCACGCTGCTGCTCGGTCATCCCTTGAAGCTTGCTGAGTGTCGCTTTGAGCTGCTGAAGCTTTTCCACGGGGATGTTGGGTGGAGGACGCGGAGAGGGTGCGATGGGCACCTCGTTCAGTTGCATCTGAGCCTGGAGTTGGCCTTGAGCTTGGGCCTGCGCGCGAGCGAGTGCCGCAACGTGGTTAGGATTAGGAACTGCGGGAGCTTGAGCTTGAGCTTGGGCCTGGGCTTGGGCTTGAGCCTGAGCTTGAGCCTGTGCCTGCATTTGTCCTTGAACTTGGGCTTGGACCTGAGCCTGAGCCATTTGAGCTTGAGAGATCTGACGCTGCAATTGGATTTGTTGGATTTGCTGAGGAGTGAGATTGGGGTAGTTAGGACGAGCTTGGTACTGGAGGTATTGCTGGCCAACGGGATTTTGCAAGTTGCGCTGGACGAGGTTTGCAGCTTGTTGAGCTTGATATCTGCTCATCTGTTGTTGCCCCATCTCTGTTGCCATGAGTGCATCAAACTGCGGGGTCAGCGCGAGATTGTGGGCTCAGGCTCACCAAGTTTTCGTGCTCCGGCGCGAGCTTGCCCTGATTCTTGTATTCTGCTAGCTTTGGAAAGTTGTCGATGAGCTTCTTCATTCCTGCAGTGGCGGAAGCATTGGGAAATGGGACGGGTTGGATGGATGCTTGCGGAGACGCCTGCATTGGGTTGAATTGCAAACGAGAGGCCGCGGCGACCATTTGTTGTTGTTGCTGAGGTGACATTTGTTGCAGTTGCGAGAACTGAACGTCAGAAGAGTCTCCAAGCTTGGCTCACCATCTGCTGCTGTGCCTGTGGATTCATCATGGGCATTTGTCCCTGGGGCATTGGACGAGGACTGGGCTGAGATTGAAGGGGCATTGCTTGGGACTGGGGGGGAGGCTGTGGTTGCGGGATCTGCTGGACCTGCTGCTGTTGCTGTTGCTGCTGTTGCTGCTGCTGCTGTTGTTGTTGTGCTTGTTGTGGAGGCGGCGGCGGTCTCGGTTGCGGCCTCTTCTGTCCCTTCTTCTGCTGATCGTTGAGCATATTGGTGACCTTTGCTCTGAGCAAAAGCATCCGCTTATCCTCTGGAAGCTGGCGTTCATGTTCATTGAGGATATTGGGATACTTGGCGAGGAGGTTTTCGAGGTTCACCGTGGAAATGTTGGACGGGCCCGACATGGTGTGAGGGGTAGATGGGGAGGTATTTACGGGGCGATGCTATGACATGGAGGACAATTTAGCTGGGTGGAGAGGCAGCAGGGGATGCTACAGCTGGATGCGATTGGAGGTAATAGGGACGAACGATGAGGATTTCAGACCGTTTTTTTGGACGCGGGAGGCACTCGCTTTCTTACCGGTCAAAGTAGTCTGGTTTCTGAGAACATGTATGATCGTGGACGGAATCTATCGTGCGGAGGTCAGATCCTGGCGAGAGGCCATAGCTCTAGTACCTTCAGATCTGACACAGCCAAGCTAAAGTGGTCCTGCGAGGATGCTCCCAGCGACAGAAACTCATGCAGGTAAGTTGCCTGGCAAAGTGGCGGAGATCTTGGAAGAAGGGATATTAGGCCATTGAGAATCGAGCCTGCTTGAGAACGAGCGCCAGGCTCCTGCCTGTCAGCGGTCGCGGATCAAGACTCGGTATTCATGGCTCGAACAGCCTACTTTCCCTCCAGAGACAGCTAGCGCATCAATTGCCAGCTTACGCTCGAAGGCCCATTCTCTCCCGGCAACCCATTATCCCAAGATCTGACTCCTAGGTTGGGCAGCAATATCACAGTGTGGCATGGGTCGTGGTACGCACGAGACCAGGGTAGGACCCTTCCACGAACATGTACTACTTGCCATCAAGTTGCATCGCGTTCAAAGGTTTACATTCGATGCAGTATCTTCTTTTAACGCTATGGGCTTGCCACTTTCCGTTGCGAACCAGATCCCGCAGCTAATTGCAGTCTCGTTGCGGGCATAGGATTCCACTCCAAGGAGAGAAGGCTCGTCTCTGGCTTGGATTCGGTTATGAGACAGACCTTGCAAAGTTTCCCCTCCTATCAATCAGGCCGTCGGTCCCTTGACCTGAAGCCATGTCAGCGCCGGAGCAATAAGCGGCCAGTTTTGACGTCGCGTATTGAGCGAGCAAATTTCATCCAGACAGACACGTCAGAGGTCTCTTCACAGGCGTCTTGAGTAAATGATCACTCGCATCAGTCAGGTCGGGTAGGAAGTCTAAGCGCAGATGTAGAGATGGGGTGAAGGAATCCAGTCGAGATAGGTTTTTGGGTCCCAGAGATGTACTGGCATTGTTTGTTGACTGTGTGCCTTCATGACGGTCTTGACCCCTTGCAAACATGTCTTTGTGATCCCTGTCGGGAGGAACACTTGTCTGCCTGCAGAACATCAAGAGCCGTCTCTTTCTTCGAATGAATCGGTCAAGGCCTTGAGACACCAATCCCAGATCCGTCGACATCTACTCACAAGTGACAAACGGGAGGTTGCGACCGACAGGCTGGATTGCTTCGAGAGAGGACCCGGAAGTGACTTAGTGTCAGTAAAGAGGGCTCACGAATCGCGTTGAGATGATTCAAGAAAGTCGCCGACATGGCGCTGATTTGCTTGTCTGTTAGCGCATCCTACTCTCATGCTGAGTCCGGGACCGGCGCTCAGGAGCGTGCCGGATCTTCTGTTCACTCATCCTCAGTCCCACTTCAACGTCATTCTCGATCAGGACAGCCAGCGCTTAGTTATGACCCCATGAATTGTCTGCTTGCCGTGCCAGACCGAGGTCCAAGATTTGATCTCGAGTCTTCAGGATGTCTAACCGTATGGAAGCACCGTCGGTAACTCTTGCCCACCTCAGCCCGGTGATGACAAGCATTGCATAATGCGGTGGATGTGAATCCGATGCATATCGAAGTCGTTCCATACACACTATTCCGCCCGGCTTGGGAGGTCTGCGCGATCACCGTATGTTTTCATATCTCCTCTAATGCGGAAATGTACAGCACTGGGTCTGTTAGCCTTCAAACCTGGACGAGCTTCTGCTCACCGTTGTTCCCTCTCAGAAAGCAGTCCCCATATCTCGCCGTGACTTTGCCCTTGCTCCACTCTTCAGTATCCTCCAATGCGACGTTCATGTATCCATCCAGGCATGTCAAAAGGCCTGAGGGGGATCAGCAAAGATTGGACAGAGACGTGGGGAATCTACGTCGTGATCACTCAACTCACCATGGTAGTCTATTCCATTTCCGATCCTGACCTTCACCCTCTTGCCCACAATGTTCTTCAGGAAGTCTCCCGGTGATCCGCCTGGCGGCCCACCACCCTGAGGTTCAGGCGATGCAGACATGATGAGATGAGTGAGAGACGAGTGGGAGGAGTTGGTCAGAGAGAAATTGTGGTAATCGTAGAATGGAATTCAAGTGGAGGCAACGATGATGCTGATTCGTCGTTAAATCCTCGATTGATTCATTCTACCTTGACTTGCCACCAACTCGACGGACCCCCCGCTCATCCACCAACTCACTCGCTCGCCTCATCATGTCACTCAACACCCTCTCCATCACCTCCATGGACCGCTTCGATCTTCTCCCGGGCGAGCACGTTCTGACCCCTCGTCACACTGCCGATATCGAGCTGAAAGTACCGGCCACCTTGTCCGGTCCCAAACGCACAGAAACGGCTGATGGATTCCTCTGGGTCACAGACCATCGAGTGAGGGCCCCTCAAAGTTTGGAGTCACTGACCTTCAGGTTGTGTTCGCTGCCCGGACAGTTGTTGCAGCCTACGACGCACCGCCTCAACTTGAATCGCTCGTGATACCTTATGTAGGTCAAGAATATCAAACGCCGCTGAGAACAGACCACGCTGCTCAAATGTACATTCAACCTCCCAACATTCTCAGCAAACCACTTGTTGATCTCCTTCCTCCCTGACCCGGAACTTGGAGCTGCTTCCAACCTTCCGGCCCCAGGTCGTGGATCCAGCCTTGAGGTCAAAATCATCGTTGGCGATGGTGCGGGACATGGAGTCTGGAAGCGTATTGAAGGGGAGAGGCAGAGGCATGAACATCATCGGAGTCAGGGCGAAGTGCTGCGTGAGTATGAATGTCGACTGAACTGACAATCAGCCGCGTACAGCTCGTGAGGTTGGGCGAGATTGGACCAGGGCAGGCCATGAAGAGGCGTTCTACAGAGGACCAACAAGACCGAAGCTTCCCTCCAGTGTCATCATTTTCTTACCGACTCAAAGATTCACGACTCGATAGGAAGACTTGATTCGACTCAGACGCTATCAGGCATGGTGGCGGATGAATCGGGCATCGTAGACTGCGTTGGGAAGGGTCGAGCGGTAGGGGATACATACAATTAAGGCGTCAAAGGCGGCCTATTCTCTCGCTAAAGTTCGCTACATCTTTCGAGGATACCACCACACTTCCGTGGCCTCGCCGCGCTCTGCAGCGGTCTTCACCACTCTCACATACTTCCCGACGAGCTTGTCCCTCGCCTTGTCATCTCCATCCCTGACCAATCCCCTCAAAAACGGTTTCATCTCCTCGGCCAACCATTTAGGCCTTGTCAGAAACAAGTCGGAGAATCGCGTAGCAGGATCGAGCGAGAGCTCATGGACGGGGAACGAGGTGATGGTTGTATTTCTTAGATCAGTCTGGGTCAGGTGATTGCCCTGTGTTTTGTTTGGCGTGAGCTAGATCACCGGTCTCAAGAACCCCACCTTGAGCAGATCCAAAGTTGCTAAATGTGCCCATGTATCTCCTACTTGCTCGTGCCAATCTGATTCAAAAGTCTCCGATGGGACGGGTCCACTGAGGCGTGCTAAGAGACCTAGGCCGATCTCCCGTATCACTTGCTCGAGGTTACAGGTCCATGTCCCATCATCTACCTCGCCAAATAGGTCCAGCACGACAAGGACAAAATCCTCCGTCAAGTCGTGATCGCTCAAGGTTGATAATATCGGCTTGATGGGGCATACCGAATTCTTCCCATGTACCACCAGCAACGTCAATAGTATGTTCAATAATGGTACCAAATGTCTCGATGGCAACATCATCATCCGGCCTTGTCATCAGTCTCGATCTCCTGTAGCCCCCCAACCCACCTTGGTACTCCACGACATTTCTCTCCTTTAGCCCCATCTCTAGCTCCTTCTCAGATGCTTGAATCACACTCCCAAGCTGATCCCTCGTCCACATGTCCCTCTTTCTCTTCTTCGAGTCCATTCCTTCCCACTGAGACGGCTTGAGTAACGTCCTTATCCGCTCGAGATCCGGAGCCCGAGGGACGCATTCAATCACTTGATGACTCGTATCACGTATCTCCAGCGTCGATCTACTACCGCCCGCATCTCTACAAACCAGTAGTGAGTTGGATACGAGGACAGAGCGAAGTCCGAATGTCGCGTCGGGCGTACATAAGACCGCATCATCCGTTGGTTTGCCCCTGATCGTCAAGCTGCATGCAGTTCAGCTAGGGGGCTGCCTTGAGCCCACAATACCCACTTGTAATTCCCCTTGACTTTCTTGACAATCTCCAATGGTAGCTCCAACAGCTGATATCTCTCCTCACACTCGACTCTCGGCAACCTCAACACGACATTGGACTCTGGCAACATGATATGAGGTTGATGATGATAATGATACTACTGTACTGTACATTTTGCTCGACGCGTCACAAAGAAAAATAATCTTCTAAAGAGTTTATCTAACCTTTTTATTGATCTTCACTCCGCTCGCCCGGCGGTGGGCTGTCCGTTTTGGCGAAGAAGAACTCTGTCACCGATCCACTGCTTATCAGCCATGCTCGCAACAGATCCTCACTCACCTGAAGGTCCTTGGGAACTTATTCTTCCCATTATCCTCTGCATCCGTCTCCTCTTCTATACTCGTCCTTACTGGTGTTCCTGGCCCACTCTCCCCCTGTGCAGCTCGCTTGGCCTTCTTCGCCAGATGCCGCCTAGCCGTCACACTGTTACTGAACAGAGGCAGTAGGTATCTCTCATCCAGCGCGGTGAACCATTGACCATCCTTGAAGATCATGCCGGGTTTCGGAGGAGGCCCAGGCGCTGGCTGAGATTCTTCATCATACGCCAAAGGCTCGGCGTCATCCGACTCCTCGTCCGAGTTGGTAGAGAATCCTGATCTGGAAATGGTGCGGAGACCACTCATCCTCGCCGGTCTCTGCATGTCCATATCCTCATCCTCGTAATCTCGACCATTGGCTCCAGCAAATCGTCTACTACCCGGACCCAGCGTCAGCGCAAGGTTGCCGTGTCGGCTGGTCCATCCATCGTCCTCATCGGATGATCCATCCTCATCCTCTACACCAACTCGGATGCCTAGTACTTCCAGCATCCTCGCGGTAGTGCCTCCAAACACCACTACTGTCAAGACACAGACCACCAAGATGGTCGTCCGCAGCGCATTTGCATTTTCTCCACCAATTCCTGCAGCAAGGGCTACGCCGACCGCGCCTCGCAGACCAGCCCAGAATAGCATCATCTGGTATGAATGAGGGAGTTCTTCGTGTCGCTGACCGCGTGTATGGTACACCCAATTGATGAGTTCGGAAAGAGGGAATACTGCAGCGTAACGCGATGCAGTGACGGCGATCTGAGATCAGCGTTGATTGGCTTGGAGGCTCACCGTCGAAACGAGAATGAACAATGGCTTGAACTCCTGCGTGTCCTGGATCAACAGATTCAATCCGAGGTAGATGAAGATGAAGTTTTCCGAGAGTTGAGCCAGAACCGCAAACATGTATTTGGTCGTCCTCTGTGTCCTTCTCGACATGGTATGGTACGCATAGTGCTTGAGCGTGATTCCACAGAACAGAAGGGAGACAATACCACTCATGCTCAATCCGTTGGAGAAAAAGTAACTGGTGTAGGCAACCAAAGCCACGAGACAGCTCTCAATGGCGGGATACGACGCAAGGTGCGAGTGCTTGAGACCTAAGGAGCAGCAAAGTCCAAAGGCGACGCCTAACAGCATGGAGATGAAGAATGAGAAGAGGAAAATGCCGACACCGTGGAAGAGAGAGGAGATATAGATATCTTCGCCGTGGAATCGAGACAGGGTCCTGAAGTCAGCTGAGTAGCCTTGGGACGTTACTCACTCGTACATGACGATGGACACTGCATCGTTCAATATGCTTTCCCCAAAAATCACCGAATACAACTTTGGATCTACCTTTGCCTGGTTGAAAATCGACAGAATCGTTACTGGATCCGTCGCAGACAGTGTCGAACCAAAGATGAGACACTCTAACAATGTAAATTTGAGACCCTCGAGGCCAAGGAAGGACCAAATGTAGACGAGCACGCTGGCGTCAGCTTTGCAAACGCATTTGACCCACCCTATGCCAACGGCAGAGATAAATGTCCCCAGAAACGCAAACGTCAGAATGACGCCAAAGTTGCGAAAGAAGTTTTCCTTAACGTCAGTCTCCCACCTCGTCAGGGACTCACCTGCTTGAGCTCATACCCCGAGTTGAGGATAATTGGTGGTAGCAGTAAATTGAAGAACAAGGTGTGTTTGAAAGTCTACGATAAGCGTCGTCCCTGGTGCTGACCCACCAGCATCTCTCTGATCAGATGCCCCGGGGCAAGCCGTATGATCAGTCCCACAACCATTCCCGCAACGATAGAGATGACCGTCTCATGTACCGCCCTAATCCGCTTGATTTGAAGATAGTATGAAGTGATCAAGGCGCCTATGAGCAGCACACAGAGAATGCAAAGTCCCCATCTGATGTCAGCTGAGGAGTTGAGAGCTGACGTACGATGCGTAAAATTCCTCGTCGATTGGTGAAGCTGGCTCGTCCGAAGGCGGCACAGTGATTGGGTTGGGCATCGCAGGTAGACGTGGTATAGAGAATAGTGAGGGACAACGGTGAGATTGTACATGTCCCGTTTATGAGCACGGCGTCCTCCGCAACGTACAAAACGTTGAATGTGGCAGGCACGATTCCTGGAATGAGGTGGAAGTACCTGTCGGTTGCTTTTAGTGTATGACCCAGAGACTGCATGAAGAAGACATCTATATATGTACAAGTATGAGGCTGAACAGACGCTTGATACAGCCCTGGAGAATTCAAACAGACTGACGATCAAAGGACTCGTCAGACGGGACGATACTAATACAACATGTGTGCTACCGCCTGCTCAACTCTGCCTGTGCATCCTCCAACTGCTTCTTGACCAGGTCCAGCTCTGACTTGGCGATAGAGAGCTGGAACTGAGTCTGTGCAGCTCTATCATCCGCCTCTTGGAACGACTTTTCCAGTCTTAGCGCCCTCGCCTGTTCTTCTGCCAATTGAGCTTGAACATGAGCCAAGTCGGCCTAGAGTCGATCAGTCATCTTTGGCTATGATCGTCCTCACCTGAGCATTTGACCTCTCTTCTTCCTTCTTCGCCATCTCAGCGTCATGTATGTTCGCCCTCGCGCTGAGCTCTCCTAGGTACTCTGCCGCTCGACGTAAGAACGTGCCTTTGCCCATCTTTTCTCCTCCTCCCGGAACATGCTTGGCTATCTCATTTATGCCATCATTGATATTCTCCCTCCGCCTGCGCTCAACCTCTTTCTGCATGGTCAGCGAGCACTTTAGGTCTTTTCTCTCACATGAGAATCCTTCTTTAACCTGGTGCTCTCCGCCGTATCATCCTCGCCACCATCTCGACTTTTCCTTTTGCGCCCCCTCGGTGCGTCTGGTAACCGCCTCGGCCTGACATCATCTTCCGTCGCTATTTCCTCTTGGACGTCCATCTGCTGCTCTTGCTCTTCCTGCTCTTCCTGCTCCTCCTGCTCTTCCTGCTCCACATGCTCCATCTCCTGATGGGTTCTTTCTGCAGCCTCCATCAACTCGTTGAATCCCTGATGCTGGACGGACGGTTCAAACAGTCCTTCGTCGCCGGTGCTGAAGGCAAGTAGACTCGCCGCATCGTCGGTACCACTCTTGACGACGTGTTGAGCTAAATCACTCAATCTCGACTGGTCGGCCAGCGTCGGGTCCACGTTGGGATCATCGAGGCTGTCAAGAGTTGCAGAGTCTAGACTAGGGTCAAGGACAAAGCTGTCGAGGGGATTGCGCCGGGTTGAACGGGAGGCGGTGGCGGACATCATGAGCGTAACAAGTGTGACTCGTGACGTATATGAGGACTCTCCCGAGCCGGGCTCGCTTCACAGATGAAAATGGTAGATCTATTCTCTCTTGCGCAATTGAGCGTGATATATAGACAACTAGAAGACAGCCGCGATGAGTTGTTGATCAGGTGACCTGGGGAAAAACGTTTGCAGCGCCAAGGGAGGGCGGAAGCAAAAATGGAAATGCAGCTGTCTACCGTGGGAAACTGAGGCGGCACCGGACAAACGATTCGATTGTATCCCAACTACCTTGGCGCATCATGACGACCATGAGACCCATCCGTGCGATCCAAACTGCCAGACGGGCCTTTTCATCCTCCCAAAATGCTCATTACATGAACATTCCCACTGTCATTGAGCAAACTGTGAGCTCACAAGCACTCTAAACCCCAAGCTTACCCCAAGGCTCGGGGGGAAAGATTTTATGACATTTATTCCCGACTGTTGAAAGAACGGGTCATCTTTGCAGGCCCAGTGAGTCCGTCTTCAGCCGCGCGCCCCAAATAGCTGACTGAAGACAGGTCAATGATGCTTCTTCCGTCCTCCTTTGCGCTCAATTGCTCTTTCTCGAAGCGGAAGACTCGACGCAACCCATCAAGCTCTATATCAATTCTCCCGGTGGCTCTGTGACGGCTGGTCTGGCCGTATACGATACCATGCAATACATCTCGGCACCCGTTCACACTTTTTGTCTCGGATTGGCAGCCAGTTTCGGTAGTATACTCCTCATGGCCGGCGCCAAAGGCCATCGTTATGCGTTGAAAAATTCATCCGTCATGATTCATCGTGAGTGGTCGACATGATTGAACACAAGACTGATGATCAGAACCTCTCGGCGGCAGTACCGGTCAGGCCACCGATGTTGCTCTGCACGCGAAAGAGATTCTGCGTGTCAGAGATCAATTAACGAAACTCTACGCTCAGCACTGTACGCGGACTGGCGAAACAGAGTCCAGTGCGATAGAGAGATTCACAAAGGCGTTGGAAAGAGATTACTATATGATCCCGGAGGAGGCTAAGAATTTTGGCTTGGTAGATCATGTCGTAGACAGCAGGACAGATGTGCCAGAGACAAAAGAGACAAAGTAGGCTGAGGCTGAGAAGATCCCTTTTGCCTTCGTGGCAGTGGCAATCGCCCACAGCAAGTGAGTGATAATCTGTGGCAATGTGAGGAGATCATAGGTTTATAGACGTCATACTCGTGCTCTTGCATGTACGTCGACATCATTACTGTCCTGGCCTTGGACTGCATCATCACAGGTCGAGGCAGCCAGCCAGTCAGCCAGCCAGCCAGCCGCTCCTCTGAGGACAGCTTATGCCCGCCGCCATGACCAGCGCGATTGATTCCGCGCTAACCGGTGGATAAGACGCGACTTTTTATCCGCTGAACTTGACTGAACATTGAACTTGTCTGTCTGTCCCCTCTCGCCCTGATGTTCATGCCGCGCAATCGATTTGGACCCAGACTTAAGGAGCATAGTATGAGAGGCTGGAGAGTAGCTATGGATCCAAAGGCATTTCACGGCTCAATGTATCGGCCTTCACCCCTTCCTGTCAAAGGCAGTCAGTCCATCCTCAACCCGCCATTGTTTCAGTACTCTCCTCCTTTTGTCCTTTCATTATCTTCATCTTCATCTTCTTCTTTCCCCCTCCTACTCTTATCTCTCCTGTGTGCCTCAGCCGCATCCTCTCTTTGTGCGTTGCTGCTCACTACCCATCTCGGTGACTGGATCATCCATCCCAATCTCTTTCCCAAAAAATAATCAAAAGGAGCACATTGCTTCCATTACCCCCGCCGCCCACCGCATCGAGTGAAACATTGATTCATCCTTCATCGTTCTCACTCAATCTTCTAGAATACCCTTCGTCCCTCTCCTCCTTCCGTCGAACACCCAATTCCTCTCGACGGTCCGGTATCGTCCCCTTTCTTCTTTTGACCTTGAGACCTCTTCCCGTGACTGTCTCATTCGACCATCCACACTCGTTAAATAGCTCGTATCCGCACGGTCCCTCCAGTGTGAAGCAGGTTCTTCATCATGCCCTCTCTTAGGACACTCTTCACCTCCCTCGCCATCATGCTCCTCGTATCAGCTGCCCCAGCAAAGCGAAATGACGAAAAGCGTGCTTGTGAACGGAGAGATCAGGTCAATCGTGAGTGTGGCCTGCATCCGATTTTGCTGACTTCAGCGTCCGATGCGATTGCCTCTGCAGACTCTGTAGTATCCAGTGCCCTGGCGCAGGTCTCCAGCGCCGTCGCTGAAGTCTCTGCGTCTCTATCCCTCGCTGTCAATGAAGACTTTGGCTTATCGATATGTATCGGCGGTGGTATGAACTGTAATCCAACTACAGCTGCCACTCTACCGCCGACATCATTGCCTACTTTGACTTTGACTGCTGCGTCGACGACTGCCATGTCCACCACTGCCTCTGCATCGGCTTCCCCCTCTCCCATGCCGAGCTCTGGATCATCCGCTGATAAGATGGTCTTTGCCCATTTCATGATCGGAATCGTTTCAACGTACACCCAACAGGACCACGAGAATGACCAGTCTCTCGCCAAGTCCAAGGGTATTGACGGCTTTGCGCTCAACATCGGTGTCGACCCATACACCCAACAACAGTTGACCCTCGCCTACGCTGCTGCAGAAGCTGTAGGATTTTACTGCTTCATCTCCTTCGACTTCAACTGGTGGTCAACTGGAGACACCGCCGGAGTTGCCAACATGCTCAAACAATTCATCAGCAGTCCGGCCGCTTATAAGGTGGATGGCAAACCGTTTGTGTCGTCATTTATTGGTGATGGTTTTAACTGGGGAGCATGTGCCGCTGCAGTCGGAGAGCCTCTCTACGCCGTGCCATTCTTCCAACCTACTCCATCTCTCGCCACAGACGATGGTCTGGCTGGATCCTTCTCCTGGGCGGCATGGCCGGGACAATTGGACAACGTCCCGGTCGATCAGAATATGACCATTTCCCGAGACGAAGATTACATGGACATTCTTACTCCTGCCGGCAAGACCTACATGGCGCCCGTGTCTCCGTGGTGTAGGTCAATCTGACAAGGCTGCTGCTGACCTGCTAAGTCTTCACCCACTATGGAAAGGAGGTCTCGTATTCCAAGAACTGGCTTTTCTACTCTGAGGAACTCTGGAAGTACCGATGGGACCAGATTCTCCAGCTTGGCCAAAAAGGTGTAAATCTCGTCGAGATTGTGACCTGGAACGACTATGGAGGTGAGCGTATCATAGACAACTTTGCTGACTTTTAGAATCGCATAACGTTGGACCCTTCAACACCCCTCACACCAATGATGGCGCCGCGCTCTGGGCGTCTGGCCTGAGTCATACATCCATGCTGGACCTCTCGGTGCCGTACATTGAGGCGTTCAAAGCGGGGCTGCCTGTCCCGGTAGTGACCCAAGAGTTCATGGTGTACTGGCACAGACCCACTCTCAAGGACGTTGAGTGTGATTCGACGGACAATTGCGGCTCAAAGCCCACCGGATGGGAGGTGAGCTGCGACCCAATGAGCTCGGCTGATATCAAAGTATGTCGCAGATTCCGTTTTCGTCGCGACTGTGACCAAGAATGGCGCCATGGTGACCGTGACATCGGGAGACAATGCACCCGTGACCCAAAAGGTCTCTGGCGGTATTCAGATTTTCCAAGTGCCCATGTCAGCGGGAGATCAACAATTCTCCATGAAGACATCCTGGGGTATGAGCACATCGGGATCGTCTAACGTGACCGTGCTGGATACCTGCTGGAACGGGATCTACAACTTTGACTTTCACTCGGGAACTCTGTCATGATATACATATTTCTATTCTTGCTCGAAAAAGTCGTCACCTGTCTCGTCACGTTTCGTTTCTAGTTCGACCCGTTTCGTTGCTCTCGCTTCTTTATCCTGCCTGTCTTCTGCGATAGTGACGCCCCCGGCTCGCTTTTGCTTTTCATTCTCCGGCTCTAAACTGAGCTCTCCAGCCCTCATCATGTCTCTCGTCTTCAGCAGTATTTGGAGCCGCTTGCGATCTCCCTTCTCCATGCTGTCAAAATTAGGATCTGACGGAAAGAGCATAGGTAAGACGAGCTTGTCTTGTGGTTCGGCCTGAGGAGGAAAGAGGGAGATGTACTTTTGATCGTATCTACATGTCAGAAGGCTGTCCACACCCGAGTTGACTCACGGATAATGTAGCACATAATTCAACATGACTCTACACTCCTCCAGTTCTTGCTCCAATTGAGCCCTTCTCTCCTCCTCTGACTCGTTCTGCAACAACCGTTTGTACTTTTTGATCAACCTCGTCGCTTTTTGACGTTCAAAGAATTTGACCTATTGTCAGAGCGCTTTCCGACCTTTGAGCTTCTCACCATATGATACTTTCCGCCATTCTTCTTCTCCACCTCTCTCAGCTCGGCTTTGGCTAGATCCGCTTGCAAACTGGCCAGCCTTCTCTGCGTTGCGATCTTGAAACCAGGTTCAAGCGTATCCTGTTGGCGTCACCACCATGCTTCCAACAAAATGACGCTCGCTCTCGCCTCTTACCTTTGCCAGGAGCCGCTTGGTTTGCCGGATAGACGCTTTGAGCTTGGATAGCCCAGGCACTCCTGAGCCATCCCGTTGCTCCAAAGGCTTCGGTCTAGGTCTTGAAGGACCGGCTTGAGGCTCTTCTGCTCGTGATTTGTGATGTCGGTGCGGGGCCATGGTGTGTAGGTTGAAAACAACGAAATCAAAACTTTTTCCAAGAAAACTCAAAAATAAAAGAAAAGATATCATATCTATCTATCTGTCTACACCGGGAACCCTTGCATCTGCTTGACTCCAAAGGCCTTGACACCTGCTCGATAACTTGATTGAACGATCTCTCCCGCGTACTGCCTCATCTCATCCTCGTACCCTTTGATGACCTGCTCTGGCCATCCGTCTGCCCCTTGAGAATCGGCCAAGGTCTTCACGAGCAATGCCGCATCTCTGATCGCCGTGTTGGCCCCCGACCCTCCTGTCGGTGGCATGCAATGAATAGCATCGCCGAGAAGGGTCGCTCGTCGATTCGTAGGCCAGCAGGGCAAAGCGTTCGGGTTCGAAGTGGTCATTCGGAGGATCGACGTGTTGTCCTCGACCTGATGATCCAAAATGACCTTGATGCCCTTCGCCCAGTCCAAGGTCAGATGCCTGGAGAGCTCTGCTGCCGCGTGATCCGTCTTCTTCATCAGCAGTTCTTCATCTGTTTCTCCAAATGACTGCGGATCCCCGAGAATGACCCAGTAGATGTAATCCTCCGGAGCATCGGCATGAGTGAACGTCATGACTTCCATGAACAGGATCAAGGGCTTGGTCGGATCGCTTTTATCTTGAACGACGTGTACGCCTTCTCTGAGCTCTTCCAGGAGATCATCACGTACGTTTGCCAGCGGTGTCTTGCCAAAAATCATCCGACTACCCGTGTCGAGCGGACTGGATTCCGGTACGAGTTGTCTCGCTACTTTTGAATAGATCCCATCTGCACCGACCAGTAGAGATCCTTCGATCGATTGTGTCCCGTCGGCAAAGGTCGCCACGACGCCGGTCTCAGTTTCAGTGAACTTTGTAAATGCTTTGCTGTAGATGGGTTCGAGACCTCTAAACAGAGATGCGCGCATGGTCTGTCGGTCAATCGGGAGAGATCTGCTCAAATCTGGGCGAGACCCTCCAGGTCCTCCAGGTCCACCAGGTCCACCACCACCACCACCACCCGGCCGACTTGGTCCGCCCATTTGGATCTTTTCGCCTGACCTTGCATCGATCCTTCCAAAGCCACCAGGCCCAAAGGAGACGTTCTTGCCTGCTGTAGCTTCAAATTGTCGATAGATGCTCGGCTCGAGACATTTCTCGAGGTCGTCCAACGCAGGCCCATGGATCCTTATCCTGTATCCTTGAGGCCGAGCAGTCGCAGCGGCATCCCGTTCATAGATGGCGAATGGGATATTGACGCGTTTGAGACCTTGTGCCAGGGTCAGTCCACCGATACCTGAGCCAATGATCAGAACGGGTTTCATGGTGAATGATCCCTTTCGTGGCCGGGGATCCGGGATGATAAAGGTTTTGGCGGTCTGTTTTTATAATGCCCGTACAGCCGCGTCAGTCTATCGGCATATCAGTATAGACACAGCGGCATCATCGGCTGCTCTTGGGGGGGCTGACAGCCTCGTCATTGATAGCTCTCACAACGTCTCTGACAACGCACACGCTGATTCACACCAGCAGGTATATACCACAGTAATAAGCCAAGACAAACGGACGTACTGTAATGTCTATCACCTGATTGGTCTAATCGGCTGATCGGCTCGTTTCGGCCGCGAGTGGCAAACAAAAGTCTCAAGCCTCCAGTCCCACCACGTCACCACCACCTGGGCTCCAAAAGATTATTTGGTCTCTTGTTTTCAACCTGACCTCACACACATCCATACACAATGTCCTGCTCTGGCGATCCATCGAACTGTTCCTTCTGTGGCGTGAGTCATCTCAAGTTGAACGGCAGCAGCTGGAAGCTGACTCGTGCAGGATAACAGCAACTGCGCCAAGGATGAAGTGACTGGATGCAGTACAGACACTCAACACTGTACCGTCTGCAATGGCAAGGGATGCGTCGCTAAAGCATGCACAGGGTGAGTGAGTCTTCATTGGACTGAGTTGAATTATCCTTCCAGCGACATCAAGACATGCTCCGTCTGCATGGGTAACTTTTCATCTTGCCGCAAGGCTGAAGTGTCCGCGACGGAAGGAGTCGAGAAGGCTGGAAACAACGCTCAAGCTTGAAGTGATTCATGATAAAGCTCGTCAGTCATAGTTGATGTATGTACAAATTGCAGTGTTACAACAGAAATCAGACTACCTGCAAGGTTCATCCGAGCAGGAGTAGCCCAGTGTTGTGGTCCATGCCGCTGCACGACGTATCACGCCGGGTCTTGATTCGTCTTCGACCCGTCCGCACCCTCAGCAGGCTCGACCTCCTGATCCCTCTGTTGGGCCTCACTCGGCTGTCTCTTTGCATCGCTGCCGCCTTGGCTCACTTCCTCGTCGCCTCCCTCGTCCGCCTCCTCCTCCTCTTCCTGACCCTCGCCCTCATTCGCTAACCCCGCGCTGTCCTCGTCATCTTTCTTCTTCCTCAGCGACCTGCTTCCTCTACCAGTAAGCGGTACTCCCGCCTTTATCTTTTCCACCTCGAACCTGGTCAGAATTCGTTGATCTTCGTTCAAGCCGTTACCAATCTGGCTGAGATCAACCCCAGGAGATAAGAATACTGGACGACCGTCAGCGGGAGATCATCAACTCTTATAATCTCACTCTTTGCTTTCGGAGGTAGCTCATTGATGTCCAACGCGTTAAACTCATCCACATCGTTGATGACCTTCTCCACTCCGATCCTTTTCGGGTTCCTCTTTGACGGACCGGCTGAAGTATACTCCATGCTCATCGGGTCTGTTTCGCGCAAAGAGGGGTCCAGCGGGACGTTTGGGTGATCTTCTCCTCCTCCTTCACTATCATCCACAGTCACAGGTGTATCCCTCGACTCCCTCCGCACGCCTCTCCCCCGTGTTCCTTTCCATCTGGTTCGTCCTTGCATACTCGGCTGCCCTAGTACGCGTCTACGAGCTGCATGTCCTGATATGAGTTTCGGCTCATCCTCTTGTGTGAGGGATTGAAGAGCGACAGGATGGAGAATGATCCGGCGATTGGTCGTATAGAGAGGAGGATGTGATGGGTTGTGGGGATTCTCGTGATCTGAGAATCAGCTCCCACAGGGCTACCGTGATTACCACCTACTTCGTCTCAAACCCAATATCACTTCATCTCCCAGCAATGTCGCCACGTCCCCTCGAAAGATTTGATTATGTAGCTTGAAGAACGGCACAGGTGTGTCGAGGCCCTGCCGTTAGCCTGAAGATATCCTGGACGACATACAATCAACTGGTAGTCCGTCTCCGTGAGCAGCGTCCTGGTGTCTACCGCGGCTCCTAAATCAAGTGTGACATAGAGTTCCTTAAGATATCAGCGGGCCTATAACTTGTTCACCCACCTCCTCATCAGATTCGTATTCGTCAATATCAGACAAGTCATCAAAGTTATCTACAGCCTTCCAACCAGGTCCGAAGAGGGATCTACCCTCGCGAACCGCCGTCGACTCTGGCGGATTCGTCGGGTGGTTCATCATCGGGTTCGTCATGGTTGAATGTCTAGTAGTAAATTGTTTTTGGAATTCCCGAGTCGCGATCATCTCGACTTTCAACTTATCACACGAGCTTCGCTCACCATGTCGGCCGCTAACAAAGGCAAGAGTCGCGAAAAGCCAATGGCTTCATTATGTGCAGGAGCTATCGCCGGAGGCTTCGAATCCTTTGCGACATACCCTTTGGAGAGTCTAAAGACTAGACTTCAGTTCGGAGCCTTAGAAGGCGGAAAGGTGGGCGGCGGAGGGATCATTGCAATGAGCTTTTGTCTGACAGAGTAGTAGCCTTTGACTCCGCTTCAAGCTTTGAGGGAGACGTTGAATCAGGGAGGAACACGCGCACTCTATGCTGGATGTACAGCTGTCGTGATCGGGAATGCTGTCAAAGCCGGAGTGAGATTCACAACATACGATCAATTCAAGAGTCTCCTCAAGGATGACGAGGTGGGGGGGAGGGGTTTCTGCATGTGAATCCTTACCGACAACTTTAGGGCAAATTGACAGCGCCGAGGTCGATGCTAGCTGGACTAGGAGCAGGAATGATGGAAGCCATTATCGCCGTGACGCCCTCAGAGACTATCAAGTAGGGATAGCATTGATATGACGCTGTGCTGACTTTTAGAACCAAAATGATTGACGATTCCAAACGTGCTCAACCTCGATTTCACGGCATGTCAGATGCGGTTCGGACTATCGTACGGGAAGAAGGGATCAGCGGAGTGTATAGAGGTCTAGGCCCTGTGGTATGTGAAATCGAAAGCAGAGCTACCACTCAATCGTTTTCGTACAGATTCTGAGGCAGGGAGCCAATTCCGCCGTCCGATTCTCATCCTACTCTACCCTCAAGCAATTGGCTCAAGGCAGTGTCGTCCCGGGAAGTCAATTACCCGGTTGGATGACTTTTGGCATAGGAGCCACAGCAGGTGTCATCACAGTCTGTAAGTCCAATCTATCACGAACAGGTCTGACAATTAGACTCCACCATGCCTTTTGAGTGAGCTTTGACTGGCCTGTACCTCTCTGACCTGAACCAAGCGTCGTCAAAACCCGGATGCAATCGCTCAAAGCGAGGCAGGAGTATCGTAATTCGCTTCACTGTGCCTATCGAATCTTCACAGAAGAGGGCGTCTTAAGATTCTGGAAAGGCACAGTACCTCGATTGGGACGTCTCATAGTGAGTCAGCCAAAACCACCCCTCATGGTCCGTTGCTGACCCTTCCAGCTGAGCGGAGGTATCATCTTCACTGTCTATGAAAAGACATACCCCTTGTTCGACTCTATCTTTTAGACATCTCATGCATGACTATAGTACAACCCGATCCGCGGGTGGGAAAAATCAATCATCTCTAGTACACTGCTTTGACGTGCTGAGAGTTGACCTTTAGCCAATGTGCGAGCTCCTTCAGACTCACAAATTCATCATGCGTCGGATAGAGTTGTCCATCATCCATCAGCTTTTCAATCGCATTGCTGATCCACGTCAGATCGTCGAACTAAAAGCGCTCACTCACGTCACTTCGTCCACGTTGACGTTGCCCATCTGTCGAGTCACAGTGGCCACGTGAATGCCTTCATCCGTATCATCTGCGGCGACAATCTCCATGATCTTCCGTTGAAGAGGTGGCAAGCCAGCCCACGCAGATGAATCGGCTCCATTGGTAGTCCCAGCAGAGTAATCGTTCGCCACGGCTCCTCCTGCTCCTCTTGCTCCTCCGTCGTTCTAAGCGTCAGATGGTGTTGCACTAGCCAACTCACCGGCACACCGTTCGGATACCTCACTGTCATGCTCACATAAACTGCCTTGAGAAGGTGATTGAACACTTCGTCGTGATTCGTGATAGGTCGAATATGAGTCGCCGAGATCTGACGCTTGCCTCCAAAGACCTTGATAGAACCGAGGATACTGACATACTTGTCTTGACTTCGGATGGTAAGAAAAGGTTGCACTGAAATAAGTACTCACGAGATACCGTCCATCTTGCCTCCTTCATCATCTGCCGTATCCAGCCATTGATTCACATCGATATATCCCGTTCCATCGCCCACTTCGTACGAAACTTTAGTCGCTGAATTGTTGCTGTTGCGGACCGAGCCAACCACGAGAATCTGGAAGAAAATTGAGTTACATGATCAAGGCGAAAAAGAGGGAGGGAGGTCGACGACTTACCGATCCCACTTCCTGCCCATCAATGGTAAAGTCTGCACTTGGATGAGCTTGATCAGCTTCCAATATCTGTTTGATCGTCACTGGTCGAAGCGTTTGATTTGAACGATTCTACCCAGTCAGCTCAAGGATCCAATCCCAACGAACTTCACCTTCTTAGCCCCATCTTGGGATCCTTGACTCCCATAGGGTGATCCACCAGAAACGAATCCCCCTCCACCACCACCATAGTACGGGTTCTCAGCCCCGTCTAGCAAGTCGTCAGTATAAGTCCACCCAATATGACTCACAATTGCTCATCGTCACTGGTCAATATTCGAGGTCCTGGCCATTTACAGCTTTTTCCACCAACATGGATGAAATCAAGGACGACGTGACGCGTAATGGGTGAATGGTATCAATATAACCCACGTCACGTTTTTGCATTAGACCGACACATTACGTAAATGTTTTTGACTCGGCCAGATTTCCGAGCAGGCCCTTTCGGTGCAATTGTCATTGTCATTCCTTCACCCCAATCGACCTCGACAGGGGACCAAGGAGGTCCATAATCCAGGGGGGTTCTACTCGAATCGAAGAAGCCTGGCCGAAGTATCAAGCCCTCATCGTCTGTTTCGTGCATCTCACAACACTCTGTGATCTGTCCTCCCGATCTCAAGAGAGTCTGTATCTCGGCCCAGATTTCACCTTTGCCCCCCTCCACCTCTCGCTACATACAATCATGAAGATACCATCGGATAGACGCACGTCGGACACTCACTACTCCCCTTATCCATCCTCTTCCTCACACTCTGACCATCAGTTCCATCCACCGCCCGTTCCGCCCAACCGCAAATCTAATGGAACCGCCAATGGTTCTTCCAGTGGAGGTCGGAAATCCGGTACCTCGTCACCTTCGAAAGCTCGATCGAGTGAAGATCCCGGAACACAGTACAAAGTCGCGAGGGCCATCTCATCTTGTACACGATGTCGAAGTAGGAAACAAAAATGTGATGGGAAACTTCCCGCTTGTACTGCTTGTGAACGCGCAAACGTAGAGTGTATCGGATTCGATGCCATCAGCAAGACGAATATTTCGAGAAAGTGAGTCGTAGAATCAAAGTTCCATCTACTGACATTCAGCTACCTACATTCCCTCGAACAAGAGGTCGCTTCACTTCGGGCTCAAGTTGCTGCACTGACTGACGAGAGACACGATACCATTGGTCAAGTCAAACGTGGGATCGCTGCCAATGCCTCTCAAGCCATTTCCACATTCGCTCCTCCAATCCTGCACATCGATCCCACCGCGTCGTCTCATTCAGACATGTCGGAGCCTTTACGATCACCTTGGGATTCGCCAGGTTTCGCCGGTGGACGGAGACATTCTGAATACGGTCCTCCACCACCAGGACGTAGTGTCGGTGGCAATAGCGGAGGTGACTCACCCAGATCTCCATTCTTCAACAATCGTCTTCCGCCAATGATGCAATCGTCCGCCACGTCTCTCACGCGTATGGTTCACGATGCAGCGTACAGAACGGGTCATGCATTGAACTCTGTCAACGCTCTGCAAGGGACCAGTGTCGCTGGATCGGAAAAAAGTATCGATTCACCTGCAGCCAATCACGACATGGAAGGCCCTTCTCCTGGTGGTATCAAGCGACACCCATCAGCTTCACCTATGGCGACATCCTCTTCAATACCTGGGAGTGGGAAAATGGCCAAGAAACGAGCTTTTGCTATTCCTCCTCTCCCGCCACAGCCTGCTGTTGAGCGATTGGTCGCGGCTTATGTCGATTTCGTCGGCGTGACTGCGCCAATCATTCATATTCCGACATTGGGCAAGCAGATCATCAGGATGAGAGAAGGCCGAGATGTCGAAGAGAGCGATGTGTTTGTGGTCATGATGGTGTTGGGTGAGCGGAAGAAAGTCGTTCGAGGCTGACTCGCAGCACTGAGTACAATGGCATCGTCTCGATTTGTCGAGCCTCCTGATGAGCTTCGAGCATGCTCTGAAGCGTTCCACGCCGAGGCCATGAAACATCTGGATGCGGTATTTGAGGAACAGACTTATGGTGAGATCCAGTATGTGCCCCGCTGACATATAGTCGGCCTCCAGGCGATCCTCCTGCTCGTATGGTATTCCCTTCTCAACCCGGACAAGGGCTCCATCTGGTTCCTCGTTGGTCTAGCTTGTCGGACGTGCGTCGACCTAGGTTTTCACAACGAGCGTAATGCTCAAAAGGAACAACTCGACAATTTAGAGGTGGATATGCGCCGAAGATTGTTTTGGTGTGTTTACAAGATGGATCGCCTGCTCTCTACGTCTCTCGGACGTCCCGTGACCATCCCGGATGGGTTTATCAACGTCGAGTACCCATCAGCTTTGCACGACGTGGACATTCACGCTGGCAGCTACGACGCTCCTCCTGCCGACATTGACACGTGTGCCTACAAGACAGTATTCCTCCACACTTGCCGTCTGCGCCAGATGCAGTCGAGGATTCTCTATCACACGTATGGCATCTACTTGCATGAAGCCAAGCGTGCGGGACCGTCGCAAGAATGGTTCGACGACATGTTTGATCGGCTTAAGCAGTGGCTAGCGACGACTCCGGAACCTAGGGGCGCGGTATCGTCGGAAGGCTTTGCGATTTCCTTCCACAGTGAGTAGATGTCTGGGAATCTTTACTGAGTAGGGTAAGATTCTGTGCTGTTGCTGTTCAGACCATCTCCGGGCAATCCGCGTCCTGGCAAAAAGGCCCTACAAACTGTTCTAGCCAGTTCGAGCTACATCATCCGTATCTACCGACGGATGCAGCTGAACAATCGTATCAGCTGGCTCTGGATGACGGTGAGACCGCATCATCTCACCATTTGCTGACCTGCTCAGAGCCATTACTCGTTCATGGCGGGAATCTCCTTCTTGTATGCCTTTTTCAATCTCTACAGTATGGGCGACGGCGAAGGCGTACCTACGCTCGATGAGGCGCAACTAGACCTTGAATCGTGTCAAGCCGTCTTGGCGTACTTGGCTCGTGAGTTGTTCCATCATGTACTATACTGAAATTGCAGCCCGAGTTCCATCAGCTGGCGCATGCCACGACACGATGCAGACTCTGTCTAAAGCCATCCTCGACCAGCTCGCGGCTAGTGATCCGCCTCAAAATACTGCCCCATCTCCTGGACGCATCCGGTCATCCGCTCCTGTCTCGTCCTCTCGACACGATCCACATCCGAGTGATCGTTTCCCTGCCCCTCTGCCTCAAGTGCAATTACCTTACGAGCTGTCACTTCTCGACAATGTATTCATCAACCCCATGGCGGCGCACAACAAGGCGTCAGATTATACCAACGGTAAAGCTCGGTGTAAGAAAATGAAGGAGCAAAAGCGACTCGCGGAAGAAGCCCTTCACCATGAGTCATCCAAATACAATCTTTCAGCACCAAATTTCGAGAATCCCCCTCAAGGCTTTCCTCCAGGTGCATTCGGAGGTAACATCGATGCAAGTGCTGCGTCAGCAGCAGTAGGTGGAGGAGGCGGAGGCGGCGGGGGAGGAGGCAACGGACAAATGCTTCACCATTACGCCATGGCCGCTCAAGTCAATTCATCATCGAACCCCTCCTCCTTCATCTTGCCTCAGACGAGTCCGGCGAACCCTATTCCCGGGTTCAAGATGGAACCTGGAATCGCCATGGCAACGGGTGGTCTAGGCCCATTCACAATGCCTCGTAACGATGAGATGGATGGTCCGAGTCTCGGTGGAGAAGTGAACAATTTTGATATTCTGAACTTTTTGATGGATGAAGAGGGTGGTCTGGGAGGTACGACGACCTGGGATGCTTCGGATATCCCTGCAGATTTTTCTCTCTGGACATAGATGTAGACATGTATGTTGTGATCTTGATGTTGAAACGTGTGTTGTGCGCCGAGCGAGAGGTGCATCCTTTACACGTCTTAAACCTTTTGACGAGCTTTCATGGATCTTGGGTGCAGGCCCTCATGCCTCGCAACCCCCCAACACCGCATAGGTATATGTATGGCGCAAATGACCACGTTGCAAACCGTAAAAGTCTATTATCATCAGATTCATCTATACAAACCGTTGCACGGAAAGCCAGCCAAAGACAAAATCTAACCGGGCGGGAGCATACTAGCATCGACTTCTCCTCTCTCGATAGCGACTTCTTCCTCTTCGCCCCATCTGGCTAGAGGTGTTCTCGGCAAGACCATGACACCTAGACGCAGAGTAAGCACACTTTTGGTTTCTACTTGTATGCCAGAAGAAGACCCCTTTGGACCTCACCTGATCTAGCCGCTTCGAGGAGTCCAAACGGTCTAATGAGGTTCAAGAACGCCTCTACTCGAGAGCTCTTGGCTGTGAGCTCGACGATACAGCTACTATCCGCTACATCGACGACTTTTCCTCCGAATTGATCGGTCAACGTCTTGATGGCGCCCAGATGGAGATTTTTGGCGATCAAAGCTTCCGAAACGGATAAACCCGATTGACGAGCAGGGTAGAGGGAAGGAGATGATCCAGAAGATTCAAACGATCGAGCGAGCGCTTGTTCACGTTCATACTTGTCACCTGCGCCGCCGGCGCCGCCGCTGCCGCCCGATGTGGACTCTGAACCAGAAGAGGATTGACCGACAAATGAAGGTGGATGAGCTGAATCTTGATGATCTATCGCCGCGTCGAAAGATTGAGAGTCAGATCCTGTAGGTGATGAACCCAATTGAGCAGCTGCGAATTCGGGACCCAAGATGGACACTTTGGCCAAGAGTAATTCTCGTTCAATTTTCGGTGTTTGAGTATAGTCCAAGACTGCCCAGACAGGTACGAGATCTTCAAGTTGACGTCTAGCTTGTTCGACGACTCCATCTTGACCTTTGAGAACGATACACATTCGGGACAGGTCACGGATTTCCGTAGCGCACACAACGAGAGAGTCTGAGGAAAGTCAGAGACAGGCAGGGGGAAATGAATGGCTTTGCCCCAAAAAAAAGCGGACGTACCGATGTTGAAACCTCTTGCGGCAATGATCCCAGATACTCGGGACAGCACACCAGGTTCATTTTGCACGAGACAATTGAGAAGATGCCTAAGCGAGGCGGGTCAACGGGGGGTGGGATGGACAGGGGGAGAGAAAGACTTGGAGACGAAGCACAAGGCTTTGCCATCTCTCGGTTCGCTTCAGGGCTCACATCACTCACCTCTTGTACGGCTCTGTACTTGGCGGCGGAGTGTTGTACAAGATATTCGTGACTGCCTCTTCGACCGAAGGAGCTCTAGGTGGAGGCGTGGTGACATGAGGCATTCGCCGTATAGGTCGATGCATTTTGTCTGGAGAACCGTGCGCGCGCGCGCACGCTTTAGCAAAAGAGACAGAGACAGAGAACGACCCCAAGGAACATTGCCTAAGACTCACAATCTAAAGCTGAAGTACTATCATCGATCGATTTAGGTGCTTTAGGTGGGTTGGATGAACCTGTTGCGTTGGCCGAGGATGAGCTCGATGTGGAAGATGCACATCTTGTAGATGTGCTCAAGAGAGGTGAAGAGCCTCGCTTGAGAGGTGTGATCCCCGTCAGAGCTCTTCGAAGTGACATGTTGCGTGGAGTGATTTGGGTCAAACTTGAACAGAGAGTCCCAGTCCGCAACAATTTCAATAGACGAGTCGTACATGGTCTAAACGATTGTGGCTCGCGTGGCATGGGGATCAGTGCGTTGTCCGTCAACCCACCTCGTGCCACTTTCCCACACTCGACACCGTTCAATTCTGAAACACAAATGACGAGTGGGGGGATGGTTGTAAACAAATGAAAAACAAGGGAATAAAGGGTGGATCCAATGACCATCCACCCAGTTCATATCATATTCTTACAAGCTAAATGGATCCCTCGGGATGGAGTAGGATAGCCCTAATGGATGGTACACCCGCTATCCCAATGCATGTGGTGGTACAGGGTTCTTGTATACAACTTGGTTATAAATGCATGCATGATGCTGTTGGAGCAGTCAGTTTCTCTGAAAGGGGATCCGAGCGGGTTCAGCCACACACATACATACACAATCAATCCCTTTGCCCCTCTCTATTCTTACTCTCCTCGTGCCTTTTGTGACTTTCGATCGTTTCGAAATAAGACTTTGGAAGGGGGCGATTGGTGGTGGGTCATTATTCTGCATCTCTTCCACTCATTTCACCTTCTTCCTTTAGCATCATTTTACATCTTCACCACACACACATCACTCACATCTTCCTTCATTTTTGGACTGCTGCTGGTCTCACATTAAGCCGCAACCCTCAAACGACCACTCACGCTCCTTCAATCCTCACGCTCGTTCACACGGATCACAAAAACAAAGCAGTCTCCTAATCCTCTCTCTTTCCGAACCACGACGACCATTCTATCACGATGTTCTCTGCTCTCTCTACGATCCTCACGCTATGCCTGGCCAGGTCAGCCCTCGCCACTATCTACACTACCAGCCCAGTAGCTTCCACAGTCGCTACAGGTGGACAAGTGTTGAACGTTTCTTGGGGTGAGTGTGGGGTGGTGGCGATGGAGAGGTCACCGTCGCATGGACCACCAACGTCTTTTACACGACGACTGACTTTGGGTGTTCATTCATAGCCGACGACGGTCAATCCCCTTCCGTCTCACAAGTTGGACCATGTTCCATTGACATCTTCGTCGGAAGCTCAACGCAACAAGTCTGGCTTCAAAACCTCGGTGAAAGCGTAGACGTATCCAAGACATCTGCCATCAGTTCCACGATCAACCCCTCCATCGGTCAATCTGGAGATTACTATTTTATCAAATACGTCTCACTCAACTTTAAAGACCCAAAGAACCCTCAGTACCCTTATACCCAATACTCGGCAAGATTCACGTGAGTTGAGGCTCCTACGGGCGTGGGCGAGATGGTTGAACTGACCCAGACCCCCGTCTTTCCTTTAGAATCAACGCCATGACTGGCAATTTCAACTCATCCGTCATGGCTCTCATTGATTCTACCGGCGCACCTACCACTTCAGCCGCAACAAACACTGCAGCCGTGAGTCTGGGCGCAGGGCGCAGCATTCAACCACCCACCCATGTTTCATAGTCTGACTGTATCACTCAGGTCGTCGTCGCCGCATCTACAGTCAAGAGCACTGTTCAGTCCGCTTCTGCTTCTGCCTCTGCCGCTAAATCAAGCGCAAAAGTCACCACAGCGGCCACTGGAGCAGCTGGTCAATCCTTCACTACATCAGCGACCTTGGTCCTCTCCGTTCTCGGTATGGCCACTTACTTTGTCATGTAAATGAGAGATACGACAGGACGTTTTGTTTTTCTCTCTTCCTCTGTGTGTGTCGGGATGGACTCTTTCTCACCTGGTGTCTTCTTTCTTCTATGCCATCACGACCATTCTATACATGTCTATATCCCGTGCGGACTGAATCCCCGCACGCTGAACCCAAATTCTCTTCTTTCGCCTTCTTCGTCAAACCTCTTTTGGCTCATATATAACTCGTCTTGATGACGGACAACATGATGCACGATTTTGTCTACAAAGCTCCTGGCCTCGCTTGTTGTCTGTGGGTCCAGCGTCCAGAGCCATGCGATTGCTACATTCATATAGGCTTTGTCCACGCCTCTCGCGACACCCTCCGTCAGTTGAGAAATCTTAGCCATCCAAAGGCGACATTGATAAATGTCCCCAAAAGGATGCCCATCTGTGACAACTTTCAGCACGAGCCAACCCATACCTTTTTGAACTCACCTGCATTCGCTTGCCAAATACCACGCTAGGTAAGAACTCGCCTCCGATATCGGGATTGTTAGATACACGCCCACTGACAGTCGTATCGTCTTCACCTCTAGCTTCTGCATCCGCATCAAAAAAGTTTGGCAGAGGCAATTCGCGAAAGAAGAACCAAGGTATGAGAGGGAATAGGAACCCGGTCAAAAGACCGTGTAAAATCGAGGTGTACATTCCTTCCGAAGTCGCTATCATCGGAAGATGGATCATTTAAGCGTGGATCCTGCGGTCATGGCAGAAACAACAATGTGACTTACTCGTCGCTGTTTCCGCCGTTAAATCTCCTTCGATCCATTGTTCTTCTAGAGCTCTAGCGTGCTCGTCGTCTATACCACCATTTAGCGATCTCCCTCACTCGAGAGAGGGATGGGGGGCAACAACAACCCCGCACTCACTGACGTCCCCTAAATCCATACCCTCTGGTACTTCCTCTCCTCTACTCTCGTAGAATTGTCGTCGCATATTGGCAACGTCGGCAGGACTAAGACCCGCATCGAGGAGTACGTCGAATCCCCTTCTACGAGGTGCGGGTGTCGTCTAAAAAGGACGAAAGCGATCAACTAATGGGGACCGACCGCACTGTCTTTCACTCACCTCCTCTCCATCCTCTTTTTCCTTGTCCTTATCTTCGTCCAATCTCCCACCAACATTACAATGCAGCCAAACTCTCTCCTTGTCTCGTATTTTCCGTTCAGGACTCGCATGCCCCCGAGGTCCTCGGGATCGCGATCGTAAACGACTCGCTGTTGTTTCACCTGCACTTCCTTTTCTCTCTGTCTCACGCTCAGGTTCATCATCTTGAAATCCCACGTCTTTCAGGACTGATTCAACGTCCCCGCCTACACCTCCAGCTTGACGGCGAACTCTATCCTCGAGGGATTGTAGCCACGGTAAGAGGAGAATCCCATCTGTCAACAGTCGTCCAGCGTGGATCAGTCGGAGAGACAAGGGGGCGAGAGAGGGCCGTAGGTGACGGATCTGTCCGAATCAATGAGCAGGCAAATCATATCATATCATTGCGAGAGAGCATAAGAGGATGACAATCAGCTTACTTTCGTCACCCTCTGCAATCAGAGGAAGTTCACTCACCTGCTCTTTGACTGACCCCACAGACTCGCCATCTTCAATCCACAGTTCCAGGTTCCCACCTCCCGACTCTGATTCATTGGAGAACACTACCGTGACGTGTCTTCCAGGTGATCTTGCTTTGGTCGTATCGTGGGTTGATCCAGGCGCCGCCGCTTCATACCGCGCGATGTTATCCAAGTCATCCGTTTCTCCAGCTCCTTTTCCACCGCCATCCTCCTCACTCGCATTGACCGCCCTCTGTTTTCCTTTGGATTTCTCAGACAGACCCGATGTCTTGCGTGCGTTCAACCTGCTCTTGGGCGTATTGAAAGAGGGCTGAGAGAGGGGAAGGTTCGGTGAATGGTGGCTAGATCGATATGGAATCGACGGCGAGAGAGTAGGGGCAAGTGGACTGGTAGGAGACGACGGTGATGAAGATATGAGAGAATATGAAGACGATCCTCGAAACAATGAAGCCTCTTCCTCGGGTCGCGAATCGGGCATCATCGATGGTCACCCCAACAGGATGTGCGCATATGCTCAGACAGACGGCTCTGGGCTATAGGACAACGGGACACGATTTCCGGAATTCCGGCTGGCTACCGATATTTCCTCGGTTCCGAACCCCTTTTGGCTCTGGCTGCTCCTTTCTCAGTACAGCGGGATGCATGACGTTCTCCCCGCTCAGTCTCTACGATGCGTACAAAGAAGGGCGGAACCAAAGACCAAGAAAGAGAAAGGAGGAGAAAGCTACGAGAGCCAAGATAGTTGGAAGGAGTGTGTGTTTTGGATGGTACGAAGGATGGATTCCTTGTGTGAGAGAGAGAGGGAGAGATGAAACCAAAAGGATGCTCTATGCTGGAAAAAAAAAGTTTGCCCAACGGCGCCGAGTCAAAGTCGTGTCCGCCCCCTGTTGAGAGATGGAGTGTCGTCAAGTTGTGTGTCTGGGCACAAGGGAATGATGTCCGAAACCCATCAAGAGCCTCTGCTTCATCGCTGCTCTCCGCCGCTATCACCTAGGTATCGCCTAGTCTCGTCGGAAGGTACAGCAGGCGATGACGTATGGCAGGACAGATAATGTCACAAAGACAAACGCAGCCCAAGTGAGGTCTAGGTGCGGGGGTCAGCGACGAACCAGTCGCTGCGTGTACCGCCTTTTTTTCACTCACACAATCCAGCTCCAGCAGTGGTGGTGATACCCAAGTTTTGGGTCTTGGCCACGGCGTAGTCTGCAATGGAGGAGTCTTGAGCGATGCAGGCTGTCCAGAGCGTAGCTCCGCTGAGAGGAGAAGACCGTGAGCGTGGAATCGAGGGATTTATGCGGAGAATTTTCGACTTACATGAGAAGCAAGAAGGCAGAGAGTCCAGAGCAAGTGGCAGCTCCAAAGAAGAAGACTTTGCTCTTAAGAACACCGAGGATCAAGGCGACAGCAGCGAGGGCTGATCCAACCTGTCATCCATGTGTCAGTACAAATAGTGACTACATCTTGTGAAGAAGAACTCACGAAGATCAGCAAGCCTCCGATACGGGTCATGGCGGAGTTGTACGAGTCGTTCTTGTATGTCGAGTTTGGGACGATCTGGTTGAAAGTACTCTTGAACTTGCTAGGAGTGTCCGCGAGGACGTCTCCGTACGGCTCCATGGGGTGTCCAAAGCTAGAGTCGGAGCAAATTCCAGAACCGTCCTTTTGGTAAGCGCAGGCTCCTGTAAGTCGAGACGAGCGCAGAAGTGAGTCGGTTTGAGGCGGTGAGTGGGATTGTAGGAGCATTTGAACAGAGGGCGGAGGGTGCCATTGTCGGGAGATACGGCAGACGGAATCAAGAAGCAGGAGGTAAAAGATGGCGAGTAAGGGGAGGGAGAAAACACCAAACAATAAACGCAGGTCAGCTTGTACACCTGCCTGAGCACCAGTCGGCGCGATCGCACTCACGGTAGATTCCATATCGGTAGTATTGCCTCAAACCGGCGCTGGTACCTAGGGGGTTGTTTTGGGTATCGTACAGTCCATTAGGTGTTGATTTTGTGGCGGCTTGGACAGCGGCTCCGTAGCTGTGTGAGGGGGGGAGAGAGGTGGGGCAGTGGATGAGTGAGCATCCGCATGACAAGTCACAAGTGGGCGGCGTTTGAGGAATAGGCGGCGGGGCATCAACGGTGATTGGTGGACGAAGAACAAGGGTATGGAGAGGAACAGATACCCAAGTCAGTTGACATTCGACTTGCTATTCGCTCGCTCGCTTGGACTCACGCAGCGACATTGACCTGAGCCATATATATTCCACTGACCAAAGCTCCTGTACCGATCTGTCCAATGTTCACGAACACCAACAAGATGATGGCGATAGCGGAGAGAACCGAAGCTCCAGCGATACAATGTTCACCTCGCATTGTGCACAAGTTGAGGGTCCGGTGATCGGATTCAAAGGGAGTCTGGTTGGAATGGAGAAAGGAATTGAAGGAAGAGGGTCGCCTTGTTTAGTTGAGGATGGTGTGGCCAGAGTGGTGCAACGTCAAGGATGGGGGGAAAAGAAAGATAGAATGAAGCGTTTCAAGATGATGATAATAAATTCTTCCTTCCCCACACACACAGAGAGAGCACGACAGCAACAGCAGCAGTAGAGGGAGACCCGAAGCTTGGCGATAGACCGGGGACCAAAAGGTTTCAAGGTGAGGCGTTGAGACTGGTTCAGAGAGTGCAAGGGACGATCGACTGGACTGCACAGCAGATGAGAGGAAGACGAAGAGAGTGTGTGGTAGCAGCAGCAGCAGCAGCAGGATTTGAGTAAGAGACGGGAAGGTGGTTTGGGGTCGAAAATGAATCTTAACCAGTGTCTCACCCACCCTCCCTCCTTCATCCTTCATCCTCCTCGCGCTTCCGTGTTGTGTGTTGTTGTTTTTTTCCCAAAAAAATCATAAATCGCTTCCCGTGTTCCCAAAAAGTGTTGGTCGCGTCGAGGCAGAGGAGGCAGAAGGGAGAACCTCAATTTGGCACGGGAAGCACTCAGAGCCCTTGGCCACACTCTAATAGTTTCAGCGATTGTTTGGACGAGTGCCTGGTGTAGCAGCAACAGCATCAGCAGTATCAGGAATTTACAGGGTGTGGCGTGGAGGGCTACAAAGATCTCTCACATTACGACGTGTGAATGGTAGCAGCAGGGGCTCGGGCAAATGCGATGAAGTGATAGATTATGGACCGGAATGGACACGGGACGGTCCCGTTTCAATAATAAATAAATATATATGACGATCAGATCTGTCCGCTCTACGACCTCACCGTCCGATGGACACCACCGCCAGTCCACAGTACCCTGTCATCATGACTGAACCACCATTCTACACTCCGACCATCGTGGACCTCTTGACCTTTGACTAGCGTGTTCAACGGATCATCCTCGACTGGAGGTGCAAGTGTCCATAGATGAAGACTGTTTGCATCTCGGTCCATTCGTTTCGCAATCTTCCGTTTGAGAGAGACTGTGGAAGAGGAGGGAAGGACAGAGATAGTGAAAGGATCTCGTTTGGCATGCACGATTGTCAGAGCTGTGCGGGAGTCAGAATTCAGGGAAAACCATCGTCAAAAACACATGTGTACTCACCAATCATCTTGGATCTGAGGTCGTTGATTCGTGCTTTAGGTACCAACTCGTGGACGTCCTGCATACCATGCTTGGCTCTCAGGGCAGAGTAACGACCCCAGGAAACAGCTTGTTCCGGATGATCGACAATCAACGCTGTGACCTGCTTGACATAGTGCATCTCGGCATCTCGCCTTTCGTCCGATGTGATCTGACTACCGTTGAGGACGGACAAGGACTCAATCTTGGCAATGAGGAAAGGTCGATCCTGGAGGTCATTCCCGGACAATTGACTCGACAGAGGCGGCTGTGCTGGACTGTCCTCCCACACTTCTTGCTCAGTTGACTGGGCGGATGAGATGCGCAGAGTTGTGAGCTGAGGAAGACGAACCGCGAGGTGGTCGATATCCGTCCAATCACAGAGGCTTGTCTCGGACAGAAGCAACGTATTGAGCGATGCAAAGCCTGTGGGGTGCGGGGAAGGCGGGATACTGGAGATAGGCACTCTGGACAGGTCAAGCGATTCGAGTCTGCAGGAGGCGCGAGGTGAGACAAAGGTTTATCAGACGCACACTCACGATAAGGAACCGCTCAAAGCCCGATGGATCTCTTCCCAGTTGGTTAGTGGACACCCTGCCAGGCTCAGCGACTTGATCCGGGCGTTGAGGCATCTATCGAGCGTGGAGATGAGCGGATTGTCGTTGAGGTGAAGGGCTGATAGATGGGGGAACAGCCGAGCAATATCGCATGCCTGCGAGAGTCAGATGTGTCATCACTTTGAGCAACTCGCCTCATGCCATGATATACCTGCGTCGCCGAGGTACAACTCGCCTAAGATGTCGGAGCTTGTGACGGTGTCAATCTCGCCGCTTGATATCCGAGAATGACTGATCTGCATCAGCTCTGCGACTTGAGTACGGACCCACTTGAGAATCAACGTAGATAGACCCGTGAACACAGATATGATCTCGCCGACTTGATCCCACGAACACAACAAATTTGATCCGAGATTCAACAAACGTACACCTAAAGTCAGGTCAGCAAAGTCACCTGTCGTTATAACCCGTTCGGTAAGACTACCTTTTAGCCTCTCCTTCATCGTCCTTCTCTGCTGCTCTGTACCGCCTAAAGTGTCTGTCCACTCGCCCTCCAGTCCGACCTCTTTCAATTTCTCTAGCTGGCCGAATTTCCTCTTGACATGTTGCATTCCAGGAGCTTCGACCGTGATACCCGAAGTACCAAGTTTGATAGATCTCTCCGGCGTCTCATAGCTCTCAGCCTCGTGGGAATCAATCGCGATTCCACCGTATCGCTCCTCGAACGCTTGAACCAAAGTCTGGCCACGTATCAGAACCCCGGAGCTCAGCTTGATAAAGGCTCCTGATCCGTCTGAACGACATTTGAAGACTTGAATACCCTTGTAAGTCCCCGAATGGCCTTTACCATGAGCCGGATCATCGTATTCCACGCCAAGCCAGAGTGTATCGGTCGAGCCAGATGAGCCGGTCGAGAAGTGTACCTCGGCAGGACCAACAGGTGGAGGTAGTGGTCCGATGTATCTCAAGGTTAAGGGATATCGAGTCTTTGAATGGAGATATCGATGCCCGATGGCGTAGTCGTGAATCGCGTTGCTCGTCATGACGGTAAGGGTCGATGTGATCACAAATGAACAAGAAAGCAATCGCGTTCGGCGAGAGGGATATTTTTGACATTCCCGGTTTGCCGCTCTCAGAATGAGGTGTTGTGGCTGTGGCACGCCTTGATCCGTTCCGTCCTTGGCCCGTTCCTTGATGCAGCCGGGTCGGTATCGCTACGTGGGCTGACCCCTTGCGCCATTGGAGGTCCCACATATGCATGCCTCCCCTCTAGATCTCATTGAATATGATGCCCCCGATACCTCGTTTCGGATCCCGCCAAAACTCTCTGGCCACATCCCTCGCTTCTCGCCACGAATTCATTTGCACGAGCGCATCTCTTAGCCCAACCCGAGTACTCGATCCTCTGCTGATGACGAGCTTCTGCCTCCTCGCCTCCTCATAGACTTCATCTGCCCTCCCTATTATCGTCCTCTTCCAGTCTTCTTCCCATTTCCTCTGATTGACCAGATGGACATGTAAGGCTGGACCATCGCCCTCGATATGATACGCGTTCAACCATCTCTGAGGAATCTGCACGGAAGCCTCAGCTACGTCCTTATGCTTGTCTTGCTGTAGAGTGTATCCGAAGAGATGTTTATCCGACGGATGGATTCCTATCGATTCAAACAGCTCGATTTCATTTGCAAGCATGTCCATAAGGAAAGTAGCTAGTCGGAGGGAGACACGGAAGATCATGACGCCAGCGTTGAATCCTCGGTGATCGACGTTGGCAAGGATGATAGGCGATGGATGGTTGTGAGGTTGAGGCAGGAACTCAGATAGGGAGATGGAAGGATCAAGAATGAGTGTATCGGCATCCGCGAACCTGTCACCACCCAGTCTTTCAGCTCAGCATCCACCTCTACATACTAGTTTGGTGGATGGACTTCGCTCGCACTCACATGATCCACTCAGCTCCTTGTTCCTCCCTTCCCAGCTCTGTAATCACAGTGTGGAGGAGTGTGTACACCTTACTCAAGTGTTTTGATCGCGGGTCATCTGCCCCGAGCCATCGAGTCCGATCTAATATGTACCCGTGTCCCCATGCTCGGGCGTACGTCTGATGACTCAAAATAGATGCCTTGTATAATGATTCTTCACTCTTGCCTCGGAGGTTCATCCAGAAAGACTTCTTCGGAGGATACACGTGCTGCAAGATCAAGACACGAGGTGTCGGCCGGGCGGTGGAAATGGGTATCTCATCGTGACGGAGGTTCACATGGGGCTCAGAGGTAGTGGAAGATGTCGATACAGCCATGGAGAATAGGGTGATCAGCAGCAATATCAGAGATAGCGAGAGAATCGCGATGTATACTCTCCACCGTCTAACGAGATGAAGGATCCTTTGAAGTCCGTCAAGGTGCTCCCGCTGCGGACTGAGAGATTCACCATCCAGCCGAGCTTTGACTTGTCGATGAGATGGGTCACGCATGGATATGGGACACGGAGAGAGGTGACCGATATCCATCTCCAACATGATGTGAATAGAACGGTACCAACCTACCGTTGGATAGACAGCGCCATGCAGCAACACACACACACACACAGCCTGCCCACAACCCACAAAGTGCCACTTTTACAAATGCCACTAGCGTATTTTCCCGATTTGATTCCGTTTGACCTCCTCTCACTTCCCTCAATCACTCTGATGACTCTCCAGCCAAAAGGGTGGATCGTCATCTGATTGCCAACATCCAACAGCATTCCAGCACCCATCATGTCCATGCTCGCCAGGACAGCGTTGAGAGCGCCTAGACAGCTCGTCGTTAGACAGCAAGTCAGAGGACTCCACTTTGAGAATGAGCTCGGAAAGTGAGTCTCATCGAGGTGCAGGCGATCATCTTGGGGAGATGTTTTCGGACATTGACCTTGATGGTGTTGACCGTATCTGAGTCGAGTCTGAATCGAGTATTCGCTGACGCTGCCGCTCTCTCATGTAGGACCATCCCTACCAACACTGACAACAAGGTATGGACCGCTATGAAGATTGCCATGTTTGCCGCAACCGGTACGTCTGGGTTTACGTTCCGTCTGCACGGCTCCACTGACCCGCCCCGCCCGTAGGTTTCGGCTTGCCATTCTACGCCGTTCACCACCACTTGTGAGTTACAACCTTGCGCTGCCGTAACCATATCGGTGTCGATACCTGGCCGTACAAGTCATCGAGTTGTTGCTGATACTGGTGTCTAGGAAGAAGGCCGCTGCTGGGACTTAAGAGATGATATCGAGGGAGATGCGTAGCGGGAGGTGTAATCCGGGATGTGAGGGGACAGTGAAGGCAGCGTCGCCCGAGTCGGGAGGGATCCCGAGCTTCGGGATAGAAGAGATGAGGTGTGAACAGGCAAAGGTCTGCCTTGGCTCATTGACTAGCCAGCAGCTCCAAGCAAACAATGCATGAGCAATATATCGTCCAGTGTGCCTTTCTGTGGGACGACCAGACGAGGAGCTCCAGAACCACTCTGCAGAAGTACAGGTGGGACTCATGAGTCGAGTATTATTAGCGTGTTTGAGCCAAGACCACGCAAGACTGGCCGCGAACGAGTGAATTTTCGAACCGACATTTCCGGACGTTCATATTCTTGTATCCAACCGCCTGTTCATCAGTCTCCTGGCTATCTTCTCACCATGTCCAGCAGCATGCGCATATCCAACTCTGCCTGGCGAATAGTATCTCGGGCCAGCTCCTCAAGGCCCATCCTGTGCACATCGGGACATCATGCACCTCTCCCTCGTCCTTCTCATCTGATCCTCGCTCAACGTTTGTCATCCACCATTTCGTTGATCTCGTCAGGTGATGCTGACCATTTCGCCCCACAGGAACCGCAACGAGCACGTCTGAACCTCCTTCATCTACTGATCCTTCGTTCGCCAAAGCATTAAGATTATTAGAAGACGGTACACGGCTGATAGAGTCTGGCGATGTCCAAGGCGCTCTGGAGAAATACAAAGAGAGCGTGAATGTGAAAGAGACAAGTGGAGGGTATTTCAACCTCGGGGTGAGTGTGCCCCTTTTGTTTAGGGTACGCTGACCTGCGGCCCCCTTTTCCGCATAGGTTTGCGAGTATACCCAGAGTGCGTTATGATGCTTCTCTTTCCTGTAGGAGTTTCAGCTGATGGAGGGAGATTCTCTTTAGACAATCACCCAGGAGCTATTAAAGCTTGGGAGAGGTCTATAGCTTTGACACCCTCAGCAGATGCTTATACCAGTGGGTTGTGTCGTTTTGGTCTTACCTCGAACATACATACTGACAATTCACTCACGGCAGACTTGGCTTCCGCATATATCATGATGAAGCCGCCTCAAGCTGCATTGGCCATAAAGCACTTGACGTGAGTCAATAGGCAGACGCCTGTCCTAATCGCATCTAGTTATTGATGGCCGCTGACTATCCTTCTTTCCTCCGCTAGGTCTGCACTGGAACTGACACCTGATGACCCCGAGGTGGGACCCGTGGAGCTTTTGTCAGCGAGTCCCCACTGACACGGTCCAGGTTGCTTTTAACCTTGCTGCTATCCTTGAATCGAGTCAGTGGACCATATCCTGCTTATGATTCACTCGTACTGACGGAATCACGCTTTCATCAGCTGGAAACCTCGAAGCCTCGTTGAAGATGTACGAACGAGCAGAAAAGGGAGGAATCGAACGTGCAGGCCAGAATATTCGAAGTGTCAGTGCAAAGATCCTGGCTGGGTCTGGAAGCGCGCAGGCCTGAGAACGAGGCCTGGGTCCAGGTGAAGGTCAGCATCGTTGTCATCAAGGTAGATGACAAGGCATTTAGATGATCAGCTTATAACGACATCATGCATCACAGGCTGCAACTCGGAGGTCCTCTGTCAGTGCGCGCCAATCTTGACTGGGTTGCATTTACCACACGCCCTATTGACATGTGTTAGGGCTGCCCTTGCTGCACGGCATCCAGCACCGAAAAAAAAAAGACAGAGAGAATATGATCGTGGATTTCGACTTTGCATGATATGATGAACGAGCGATCCCCCACCAAGCACGGCATACACAGTGGGTTCCTTTTTTCCTCTCCCTCCCCCCTGGCTTGGTAGTACCGCATACTCGCGCCGGCGCGAGGGCTCTTGGTACGCTTGAATACCTTCAATGGCTGAAGGGGATCATGGACGTCTTAAGTCCGCTCCGCACGGTCAAACCACATTTAATAACATTCTTGTGATGCGACGCCAGAATCAAGGTTGTAAAACCTCCCCCCTTTTGATGTCTGTAAAGTTTCGAGGGTGACCAATGGCCGGCTCCAAAAGATGACAGCGCGATGCCCTCGCTTCTAATCCGAGATGACGATGGAGAATCCCTGCAGCATGAACCCAAGGTTTACGAGATTGTGACTCAAGTCATGTGCCACCGTTACACCCCCGTTGATTGATGGGGACTCTATTCGCTTCCGAGACGATTTCAGGAGGTTGAAAAAGCTTCTAGAAGACTTGGTTCCCACTAACTCCCTCAAGTTGCATGACTAATGCGGCTAGCTTTTGATGCGCCTTTTACCAAAGATACACCTATGAAGATACATACATATATGGTGTCACGCTGATCAGCTGATCTAAAGGGGGAGATAGGCCAAAGGAAAAAAAAAGGGAGAGTGTCAATGTAACGGGCGTGTCTTCTTGAGAGCCTCCCCCGCCCCAGCCTGCCTGTGGAAAGAGTCCAATTGGAAACCCTAAAACATCTCATCCGTTCGCCTCATGTTCCCCTATTATACTACAAGCCTTCTTTCTTCTCACTGACCCCTCACTCCGTCATGCGCCACCTCCAAGTTCCCAGCCTTCTACCCAACTCCCTCTCCGACTTGACCAAGTCGCTTGACCTATTTCTACATTGATTCCACCTTCTCTTTCGACAGATGTCCAAGGGATCATTTGTTGATTCGTCAATAGCATCAGACTGCCGCGACGGGGGAACAAGGTATCTCCCCTCCAATCGGGTCCGGTGAAAGGTCCAATGGTCACTTGAAGTCCTGAGACCCCGCCACCTTCACTTGGGCGAGGGGCGAGAGCTGAAGTTGGTCCTCCACCGTTTGAAGAAGAAGCGAATGCCGAGTCGACAGATTCGAATCGACGACGAAAGGGTGCGCCAACTGGTGGAAGACCAAGTTTTTCACTCCTCGACGCTGGCGAATCACTTCGATGCGAACGACCACCTAAAGTCGTGTGATCGGATGCAGAGCCAGCATCGAGTATTGAGGAGTCCGGTGTGATACTTCGAGGTAGGCTGACAGGTGGTGATGACGGAGCAGTCAACGAATCTATGATATCTACCGATGCCCAAGCACCAACACCACCACCACCAATACCACCAGCTCCGCCACTTGTGCGACCTGCTCGTCTTCGAAATCCTGCTCGGGGGCTGACTTGATCTTCTGACCGCCCTGGAGCCTGGCTTGATCCACCGGAACCAGCTTCATTCGAGCGGAGCGAGAATGCCATATTCAGACGACGACTCGGCAGAGACCTATAGCGAGACAATTTTGGGAATGGCACGCTTGGCCCAGCGTCCGTCTGCTCGACGGAGGCAATGTCATCAGGCTCGACATTGTCCGCAGTGACCGTTTGTCCACTTGAGCGCATTCCCAAAAGCGATATCCGACGAGCACTCTGGATGACCGTATTGAGTGGCACACTTGGCCGACGTAGAGCTTTAAGCACTTTGGAACGCGGCGAAGAGCTTGCAGGAACCGGCGCTTCGGACATTCGACGGCCATCCGACTGGTTTGGCGAATAATGATAATTCGATGCTGTCGCCACTCGACCCTTCCCATCTAATTGACTGAAAGTAGTGGTGGAGGACGATGCAGAAGTGGGGATCTCTCTCGTCATGACAGAGGCGCCGAGCGGTAACGGAGGAGCGAATGGATCTCGAAAAAGGGGCAAGGAAGCAGATGTGGTTGGACTGGGAGTGACATCTCTAGGATTGGAAGACTGGATCATGGTCGAGGATTCACCGCGAGGGCTGAGGAAGCATCAGACACCGCCTCCTCTAAACGACGCTCAACTCACGAATCAACCTCGTCCATGTCGTGCGAGATCCATGCCCACATGCCCCCCCTGGCTATACCTAATTCCCCGTCCTTCCTCTTGAGCTCTTCCAAAGCCTGCAAGCTCATGACAGGGGATGAGGTGGACCGAGTCATTGGAACGGTACTGAGGTGATCACCGATAAATACCGGATACACCGATGCTCCACTTTCGACATGGTGGCCGTGAGCCGCTTCGATCTCTGTCTCACTCTCTGACGCCGAAGGAATGGTCGACATTGGCGCAGAGACCAGCGAGGAAGGATTGGCTACCTGCATGTTGGAGCTGGACGGTGATCCCATGCGCGAACTGCCACGTCTCATCCCACTCGGAGGGGGAAAAGTACTCGTTCTTGGATCCTGTGATCTTCCTACACTCTTTGTCCTCATTCGAGTCATGTTGCTACTACTCCCGACGCTCATTTCTGCCGAGATCGGCACGTTCCTCGTCATGAAACTCGATGATTCTCCAGGCACGAATATACCATCGGGAACATTGCTGCCAAAGGGAGTGAGAAGGAGCATTTGATGAGAGGAAAGACGTCGACTGGGAGGTTGGATCTCATGTTGGGGTCGTGAAGAGCTTGCCGGATCGACAGATGCTGAAGGAGACGGTCTCGAGACGCGTCGTTGAGGTAGAGATGAGGATTGAGAGCTAGAGGCGGATGAGGAATGTCTCGGTGGAAAGCTGTATGAGGGAGATGGATCTGAGATGGGCATGTCGGACATTGAGGAATGAAGACGATATCGGATCGATTGGAAGGAAAAAGTATCCAAAGGATCTAGTCGGGAATCAAGGCATGAAGCTAGTTTGCTGTGGGAAGAAGAGGGGAAAGTCGGCCAGGACAAAGAAAGCATCAGCTCCATGTTCGATCGTCACTCGCGCTCGCGCTCGCGCTCGCCTCGCGCGCGCCGCCAACATTGAACCACGTCCACTCACTGGTGACTCGTCACATAAGGCGTTGCGATATCATGTCCGCCATACAATGTATAGCAGTGAGCCATATCTGATTCGATCTGGCTAGTGGCCAAATCTATCCTGATACTTCCGGTCAAGAGCCGGCTATGCGTGCTCAGGGATTGAGGTCGATGAGATATGGGTTGGATTTAAACTATTAGAGGTTTTGCCGTCTTGGCTGATCTACCTCTACCCTGTGTGGCTCTCTCTCTCCAGACCAAGCAGCAGCTGCTGCTGCTGCTGCCACGCACGCAGCTAGCAGCGAGCGAGCTTGTCTCCTGCTGCTGCGACGGTGGTATCGCCTTCTCGGGGAGGGACTGGGGACCACCCACAGAGGAAAGTGACTAACCACCCTTGTTCTCAACTTCCCTTTACTCTCTCTCCTGTTCCACCCTTTGACCCCTCGCCGGCCGTATTTTTTAAATTTCAGCACCAGGAACGACGCTAAACACGACACCGAACCACATATGTCTCAAATTGAATTGTGGAGTGGAGTGGAATCAGGCGATGATGATTGACAGTCGCGGACCAACTCTGTGAGATCCAATGAAGAAAAAGGCAGCCTTTGTTCAGGACGGCGACAACAATAATAATGTCCACGATCACAAACCCAGAACACGCTACGACTGCCCAAAAAAAAGAATCGCCGGACAATTTTGAGCCAAAATCAAACGAGGGGAACACAAGAGGACAGGAACCAAGGACAGACAGACCGGTCGTATGGAATAAATAGCTCTGCCAGCAGCCAAATGCAGATCAGAGGCATACCCAGAGACAGACAGCGGCGTACGGTGTATATCTGGAAGGGAAAAAAAATCTGTCTAATTTCTCGAGGTCGTGGCGCTTTCTTTGTATACGGGATCACCAAGAACGAGGCGCAAACGGGTCGACGGCGTCATTCGCCAACGCGTTCCAATTGTGTTTTTGCAGGGGATGGGGTACGGGTCAATAGGGTAATAATAATATAATCTCTCAGGCAAAGGGGATTTTGTCCTGCCCTCGATGGGGGGAAGAACCTACTCCATTGGACCAGAAACGGTGTTCCTATTGTACATCGTCCTGCCCTTAAAAGCTGTGTGACATCATTGGGAAGGAGCACGAGGGGCGAGCGGAGTCAGTCTCACGGACAGATAGAGATCTCTTGCTCACCATCAGAACAAAACTCTGATTCAGGATCTACGAGCCCCACCCGTAGCCCCTTAAGCCCCTCCCTGCCAGAGCTCTGCCTTGATTTTCCGTGCCACTGTCATGGACCGAAATGAGCTGGGCTTGAAGTCTATGTGACCTGATTGTGGACGATCATTTGCTGGGCGGCGTTCATGTGGGCTTCTCGATGAATTGAGGCGCGATCGGAAGTGTGAGAGGCGTATTTCCCAGTTTTCAAGGGCGTCCGTCCCGGGACCGGGTTTAGCCGTCGGTTGTTACTGGAGAGGAATGGAGACCCCAATATTCACCCCGGAAGGGAGTGAGTATGAGAGGTAGATCATGCATGTCCTGAGAGGCAGTGGTGGACCATCTCCTCCTGACAGGAACAATGAAAAAGACAAAAATGTCAAAAAAAAATTCATTACCCGCCCGCCAGTTGTGATTGACTACCCTTCAAAAGCCAAAATCTTGCCTCGTCAATTCAGCACATAACCCTTCCTCATCAGTCTCCACCACCCAGCCTCTGAGCTTGCTACCCTGGACGGTGATTTCCCTCACACTGCCCTGGCTTACATCATTCGCCCTCGAATCAATCTCGGCACCTAGCCATGTGAATTTATCCAGGACATCGTGTCTGAGCTTGGCTCCTCGTTCACCTATACCGCCTGAAAAGACGATTCCGTCAATATCGGACAGAGGTGTGGTAGCGAGCAATTTGAACAGGTATTGCGAGACGTAGCCAAGTAGACGATCGAGGTACACTGCGTACGCCAGACTCGCCGATCGATGATCGTCCGCCGAGACTTTGGACGCGTCCAAACGCGACAAGATCAATCCAAAATCGGTGGTCCCCGCCAATGCACTCAGACCAGATTTCCTGTCCTTAGGATCAGTTTTTGCTTCCAGCTATTTTGCTCCCCCCCCTAAACGCTTTCTCACTTGTTCAGGATCATTTCGGCTTTAGACACTTTCATTCCCTCCAATCCAGCATCTGATCCTGGATCGGAAATGGCGTGAAATATGGCCGTCGGGTCAATAGTCCCTGAGCGAGTGCCACCGATGAGCCCTTCCAACGGAGTCAACCCCATAGCTGTACGTCGTCGTCAGAAATCGTATCATCATCTCGCCGTTTTTACGCACAGGTGTCGATGGATTGACCACGTTTGATACAACAACTGCTTGCTCCACTTCCAAGGTGTGCGACTACCACGTTGACTTTAGACTCAGGTTTGCCAAGATGCTCTGCCAGTTGTGATACGATGGATGCGTATGACAGACCGTGAAATCCATACTTCCTCAGTGGCATGACGATCTTTGTGTCCGGCGGAGGGATAGCATAGGTGTATGTTTCCGGGGGGATGGTTTGCTATGATCACCGTCAGGTCAATGATCGTGATGAAACCCTCACGTGGAATAATGTATCGAAGAGCAACAGCGACGTATGGTTCGGCAATGCATCTAGGCAAGATCGGACAGCAAGCACGGCATGGTGGTTCTACTGAACAGTCAGCAACGTTTAACGAACAACATGCGGGTGGGTATCTGGCGCTCACATGCAGCGGGGCGAATTCGCTCAGAGCATCCATCTCGGCTAACCCCTCTTCGTGTCCTTTTGAAATACGTATCCCCCTTTTGTGTTCCCCTCCGTGTACCCTAACATGCATGAGCGGGGTTTCCAGCGGATCATTTGCTGCTCACACTCTATGAGCGACATATTTAATGTCATCTTTTTGTACAGAGCCTGAAGAGATAATCTTATCCAGCAACAGCGGGACCATGGCTTTATCTAGGAAGTTTTTAGTTTACTGCCCCATCCAACGCACACTACTCACAGTCTACGCTGTCTCCGTCATCTCCTTCCTCATCTACATCTCGATCGCCTTCATTGCTCCATTTGACCTTTATCTGCACCTTTTCACCTTTTGCTCCAATATTGCTGACGCCGAGTGTCGCGACAGCTGACAATGGCTCTGAAGATGAGCTCGGGATAGCATATAGTTTCCCCTTGATAGATGACGAACCGCAATTGATCGCCAAGATGTGCGGCATGGTGAAATCACGGGTGTCCGATAGACTATCGATATTGCTGTCTACCACCTACGAGGGTCTTTGCGCATTCCTTGCAGCTATTCGATGACGTTCGGGTCCGAAAGCACGTGACTTCTGTATACTACACCACGTGGACCGGTTGCATCTGATATCGAGGTTGAGCCGGCCGGACCTTGAGTCCCCCCCCGCCCCTTTCTCCGCGTTTTGCCTCCATCCTCTCTCCAGCTTTTTCCACTTTTTCTTTCTTTCAACCAGTTCTTTTGCATCTGAATCCTTGACCCATCGACCACACATACAGCAAGCTATTATTCTACTTGACAAAAACTCTACCTCTCATCCCAATCACTCACTATGAGAGCCTGTCTGCGTCCAATCAGCGCTATTTCGCGCCCAGCGCTTCAAAGGCCCTCCACCGCCATGGCAAGTCGATCATTCCACAGATCGACCCCTGCTCGAAACGTTCAGGAGATCACGCGTCCAGCCATTGAGACACCAGTCAGCTTGTGGAACTTTACCGAAGAGGAGGAGATGATTCGTGACACTGGTGAGCCGAGAATTCCCTGCCCCGAACGCGTGGCTGTCACCTTACGCGATGTCACAGTTCGCCGATTCGCTCAAGATGTGATCGCACCTAGAGCTCGAGAGATGGATGAAAACGAGGTGATGGACAAGGAGGTTGTTAACGGATTGTTCGAGAATGGCGTGAGTAGCTCACTCAATCCGGAAGGGCGGCTGAGCTAAGCGAATCACAGCTGATGGGTATCGAAACATCACCCGATCACGACGGATCTGGATGTTCCTTCACATCGGCCATCATTGCCGTCGAAGAGCTTGCCAAGGTCGATGCTTCTGTCGCTGTGCTTTGTGACGTCCACAACACTTTGGTCAACACTGTGCTTAGATTATACGGAAGTGAGGACATCAAGAAGAAGTGGTTGCCCGGTCTCGCTACAAACACTGTGAGACTCTGAAAGCGAGAGGTGTAGGATCTCTCTCATCCTCTTCAGGTTGGATCTTTCTGTTTGTCAGAGCCCAATGCTGGATCAGATGCTTTCGGTTTGCAAACTACTGCAAAGGAGGACGGAGACCACTACATCATCAACGGTAGCAAGGCGTAAGTTTCAATTGCCTATCGATAGACTCTTTGACTAACGCCATCCCAGCTGGATCTCCAACTCTGGAGAAGCCGACACCTTCCTCGTGAGCCTTTCCTGCTTCGATTCTGAGACTCTGCTGATTCCGATGTCAGGTCTTTGCCAACGTCGACCCCTCAAAGGGATACAAAGGTATCACCTGTTTCGTCATGAGCAAAGATATGGGTGTTCAGATCGCAAAGAAGGAGAAGAAGGCGAGTCGATACCTCATTTTTTTTTGGGAAGATTGCTGATCTTGCGTGCAGCTCGGTATTCGATCATCCTCGACTTGCGTTCTCTCATTCGACGACGTCCGAGTGCCCAAGGAGAACATTGTCGGCGAAATCGGCAAGGGTTACAAGGTGAGATTTTGAGGCACGTCACGGGGTCAACAGCCTGACTCGGGTCTATAGATCGCAATTGAGATTCTGAACGAGGGACGAATCGGAATTGCTGCGCAGATGGTCGGAGTCGCACAGGGAGCCTTTGATCACGCAGTCGCGTACGCCTACCAACGCAAACAATTTGGCAAATACATTGGTGACTTCCAAGCCATGGGCCACCAATTCGCCGATGCCGCCATCAAGATTGAAGCTGCCAGACTCTTGTGCTACAACGCTGCCAGACTGAAGGAGGAGGGTAGACCATTCACCAAGGAAGCAGCCATGGCCAAGTGAGTCTGGCTGTGAGTTTGGTCTCCAGCGCTGATGTTCTGCGCAGATACTACGCATCTACCATCGCTCAGCAAGTTTCAGGATCTGCCATCGAATGGGCTGGAGGCGTTGGGTTTACTCGGGATTTGCCTCTGGAAAAGTTCTGGAGAGATAGCAAGATTGGTGCCATCTACGAAGGTACCAGCAACATTCAACTCGAGACAATTGCCAAACTTATCCGTGAGTTCAACTGCCACTCTAGGGTGCAAGAGCGCTGACAACTTTGTCAGGCAAACAGTATGTCTCATAGATGGCCATTTTCAGGCAGCTAGCATTGGTCCGCCGTGTCTTGTATCTACGTATGCATTATCAACACATTTAGTTGCTGTCGTTATTATCCTTTCGTCATGATTGATTGGTCGTCTCCCTGTCCACAGCCACAATTCTGAAACATGATTGTCCTTGGATTCCTTCATTCCTCAGGCCAGGGTGGGAGTTGCCGCAGGGGTGTCGCCACGTCTACTGAGGAGTCCCAATCCCCGTCCAGCTTGTTTGCGGATACTACGAGGTTGGGTCAGACGATGATGGGCTATGTATGATGCACGCATACTCACCGAGATTGAAAGTTCTTCTCTCCCAATTCGTTTGGAGCGCCTGGCGGGCCAAATGGTTGACGGACGACGACCGTACGAGGCACACTCATGCCGGCGAAACTGGCCGATCTGGGAGCGACGTCTATGTGTGATTTTGCATTCGCCATGTCGGCCGCAGATAAGGTCCATGCTCGCTCTGCAGATTGCACGTTCCCAGGTCTGCCATGTCCTAACAAAGCGCGCGAAAGTGATTCAGCGGTCGGGTTGGTGTAGATTGCCTCATTGTTCTTCACGGGAGACGATGGCGAGGGCGGAGAAGGCGATCGAGCCTCACCGGATGGCAAGGCTCCCTCGGTCCCAGTCCTACGAGACAGAAGAGCTGAGAGAGCGGCGGCTCCTCCAGGTCGGCAATTTTGAGCCAGATTACTAGCTGGCGATTCGGACGTTCGCATTGCATTGGGTGCTGGAGATCCGCCGCCGGCTGAAGGAGAAAACGAAGATTGCCAAGAGACATCCCTTGTGAATGGTGAATGAGCCGATGGGAACGCAGAGAGTGTCTGCATTTGAGGCGTAGCGTACGCTGGTAGTCGGGGCGAAGGGACGGGAGTACTTTCGAAACGTGTACGGGACTCGGTATCGATGTCAGCTTTGCCGTGACGCCCTTTTGTAGATGATCGTCGATCCTGGATCCGGATCGCGGGATCCTTTTGAGCCAAAGGTGAGCGAGCGGTGGGTAGAGCAGCGATAGCCAGCTGTTGGAGGTACTGTTGTTGAGCGCTTGACATGTTTTGACGTGTCTGAGCGGCCAGTATAGCCTGTTGAGCCTGGACCTGCAGGGCGAGTTGGGCGTGAAGATGAGCATTCTGAGTGACGGCGGCCTGCGCTTGTTGAAGTTCGAGGAGAGCGAGTATATCCTGAGGGGATGGACCGGCAGAAGGTCGTTGCTGTTGAGTTCCTAATATAGCGTTAAGAAGTGCTTGCTGATGCTGCTTATGTTGATTTTGCTGCGAGGGATTGTGATGATTGTACAATGTCGGGCTCGACTGCTGTCGTTGAGCCTGTATTCGTCAATTTCCCTTCACTCGACAGCCAATTGGATCACGCTACTCACCATTGAGGTCTTGCTATTCATGACGGGCGGGAGGGCTGATCCCAAACCCAGAGCATCTAGTTGGAATGCGAGCTCTGTTGCCACATCAGGATCATTGACCATTTGAGCCGCGGCGGAGATATGCTCCGTGAACGTCGCCATAATCTTTTTGTACTCGACGGAACCAGGGTATTCGTCTTTGTCTGCCAGAGCAAACACCTGTATATCGAGCCAGGAACGATGAGATTGTCGTCGATCGTCCAGATAGGTCACAAGCTTCCAGAAGGCTTGCGAATATGAGATATTAAAAGAGAGAGAACTGCAACTGTTGCGCACTGATTTTTTGGGTTTCAGATGAAAAAAAAGAACGACTGTGAGGTACGGTGCGGTGAAGGTCGAAGAGAGAGATCAAGTGCGAAGCGATAGCGACACCAAACTGAAAGCAGAGAGCCACCTGATACGGCCTTGTTGGTCCGCAAAGAGTCCTTGCAGCCACGGAAAACAACGATGAGAGGGAATGATAGTTTCTGGACAGTCAGTCAGTCAGTTGTTGGGTTTTTCCTGCGGTAGCTCGGGAAGGAAAAAAGCTTATTCCACGTGGGATGCCAGACTATGACTCCCCCGCGGGGAACCCAGCTGTTTCACAAACCCAAAAGATGGCTTCGATCCCCCTCTGGGAATGTTGTTGTTTTCTGACCATGTCGACCGTTTGGCGCAAGGCATCTATGACAATGGGAACGAATGACATGGATTGGTAGTTCACATCTCTCATCATCTACCATCTCGCCAGGAACAAAAGCTCGAGGTCTCGTGCCCTTCGCTCTCGTTTTGCGTTCCAGCCACTTTCGCCGCTCACATGACCTTCAGCGCATGACCATCCGCCACCATGTCATCACCCGGTAGGATCACACACTCCTCAACTCCTCAGTCTATTCCATCTCGACTTTCTCAAAGCGAGGCGAGTCGAAGCCCAGAGTCTGCTTCGACTCGTCGCAGACCCAACTCGCTACACGGCTCCTCAACTTCCATCAGTGGACCACTGGCTGCGAAGAGAATGTCTCACCCTATTTCCAGTCTACCACCTCATCGATCTGGGGACATTGATAAGGATGGAGGCTTCGCGTGCAGAGATCACAACACTACAGCCTTTCAATGGACAATTCGAGACTTGGCAGTGTTAAAGGATCACGTAGAGAGCGATTCCGCGGGGATGTGGACGGTTCACGCGGAGATGAATGAGCCAGAGAACCTCCCCGAAGTCCTGCGACGCGGAGTGGTGATTGGTGAAGGATGGTATAAGCTGGATATCGGTGAGGATTTTCCTGCTCAGAATGGGTTTCTGACCCAGATACAGCCCGCAGTATTCCCCCTGGACATACGCCTAGTTCGACGATACAAGATATCTCAGCGGCACTGGGTGATTCGGAGAAGGTAGATCTGAACCTATTCAAGACGCTCTCCCTCTACATTGCAGCGCTTTCGCTCGACCACCTACACTACAGTTATGCCGCCTCTATCTTTGCAGGTATCAAGACTGCCGCAGACAGAGCTGGACACCGGCATGCGCCTACACAATGGTATTGGCATACTTCAGTAGACTGGGAGTTCACCGCCAACACCGAGTACTGGGAATGCCGTTTACCCAAGATTTCTGAGCTCTTGAAGCACCCGACTATTGCCGAGGAAGACGCCTTCACCCTCTGTGTGCAGATCGGCTCACCAATGGCGGATCGACCCAATTTCTCATTGCCAGGACGCTTACCAGTCCCGGAGGACTTGATCGACGCTCTAGGCGGTCTATTCGACTCGAAGACCGGCGATGTGCGATTTACGTGTCTCGAGCATCTATCGGAAGACATCAAGGATGAACAAGAGACCGAGGCAGCGGCAGGGGGCGATGAAGATGTTCAGCAACGCCTGGTATCAAGGAAGCGTGTCCTGCACGCCCACGCAGCTGTCCTCAGAGCAAGAGGAGACTACTTTGACGATCTACTGCATGGAGGATTCTCAGAATCAGAAATTGCCAGACGTGGCGAGGCGAGAGTAACACCCATCGTCGTAGATGATGCGGATTTCAATACCGTCTATTGGATGCTCAAGTTCATATACACCAACTCGCTAGACTTTGCCGATGAGGAGGACGTACGGGCGATCATGCGTCAAGGTCAATTATGTCGATCCGAAGTCGTCAAGTCTCTCACATCAGGCGCACCGCTCTACACTGGTCTCGGTGAATGGGATTACCGTCGTTTACCGATAGAAGGGGAAGATATCGACGATGGATTTGACGTCCAGACAGTCAAGAGCGTCTCCAGCACTGGGACTCGCGTGTCTGGACTCAGCCCATCATCTTCCGTCAATCGTAAAGCAAATGTAGGAGGAGCCAGCAGCGTATCCGCTGAAAAAAATCCGACCACATCGATTACCCCGAAACCCGGTGCATCTGCCAAAGTCGCAACGCGCCCGGCGCCTGCCACTCCAACACCGATTCGACCTCGTCCGCCGCCCAACAAAGCGAGCTCGTCAAACGATACGTCAAATCTGACTCCGGCGACAAACCCAAATACAAGCAAACATCTAGCCTCTCAGACCAGTCCAGCAGGAGCAGGTACAGGTACCGGTACCGCCCTTCCCAGCAGGCAATTCATTTCTAGACATGGTGAACCTGATCCGCATCCTCATCCCGCACCACAACCTCTGCCCGCATCGGCATTGGCAATCTACATGCTGTCTCATCGATATCGGCTCGAGACACTGGAGCTCTTGGCCAAAGATCATATTTTAGCCGTGCTGCGACCTGACAATTGCATGTCGTATCTGTGAGGTTTTTGGTATCACTTCGTGCCAGCTGACATCTCCTGCGCAGACTAGCATCCTACTCTTACGATAATTTGCATCGTGAAATACTCGACTACGTCATTGACAATTGGGTGGATGTGCAGCCTCATCCCGAATTTCTAAAGTGTATCCAAGAAGTGTCTTCAGGGACCTGGGGCGAGTCTGGAGGACTAGTCCTGCACGGCCTGTTCCGACGTTTGTAATCGACTCCTGTTTTTATAGCGATTGTTTCAAGAATCTGATCACCTATTTTCATACCTATGACCGTTGTATGCATGTCTTGATCTACTAGCTACAGTGAATGCTATCAACGATGCTATTATCATACAAGAGACTTCAATGAGGGTACTGTATGCGGGTTGAGATATTCTCCTGCCAAGTTTTGTACAGAATGTGCGATGTGCGTTATAAATGCTTGGTATGATTCCTTGAAGATGACAGTCTTCTGACCGATAAACTGTCGCAGCAGATCAGACTCTGTAATGCCAGGGATGCTGATCACTCACGTTGAGATGAGAAGCGGCGGTGGAGAACATGATATTGACGCATCGATAGATGAGCGTCTTTGTGCTGGTCTTGGTGTAAGGAGACTTGAGAACGCTTGGAATGGCAGAGAATGTTGCTGGGAAGCTTCAGCGATGGAGCCGGGCACCAAGGACTCACACTCTAAGAGCGACTCGCGGACTTCGAGGAAGCGCGATTCATCGAGCTGGCCTCGGATCAGAACAGCGGAACTCCAACCGGGCAGGAGGGGGTGATCTCCCAGCCCAGGGATTTTGAGAATTGCAGCCACAAAATCAGGCTCGATCGTGATCTGGGGGGTGATCAGAGCTTGGAAGATCAGGGGCAGAAAATCGTCTTCGTATTGCTGCGTTTTGCCTCAGCAAGTGGAATCACCTGAGTCAGACGACTCACGGTGAATGCTCGCGGGTCACCCTCCGCGACTCTAGTCATGAATCGCATCCCGACACTAAGGCGTCCGGTGTCACTCTGCAATCTCTGCCAGGACACTTTGCCATAGCGTCCGATAAATGGGGTCCAGCCGTCCTGCAAGTCCATCAGCTAGTGCAAAGACACCATGGTTCGTCCTCACCGCCGCATGGTGTTCCACGACGAGGACCTGAGCACAATCCACCCAGCATTGCGTCAGTTTGCCAATAAAGGATTGTCGACGTTGCAGGTCGTTGACGCTTGGCGTGTCTTCTTCTACCGCAGGGAGCATATCTGATAATAAACGGTAGATCTGCGGCGATATGACATTTGAAATGATCTGTCATAGCTTGTGTGAGACTTCCCCGCAGCAATCATCAAGCTCACCAGAGCGAATTCGTTGTCCTGTCTCTGTATTGGATCAATCTCTCCGCTCATATCATCGCCCAAAGCCATCAAATCGGCGGCGGAAATGTCCATCCCGAACGAAAACTCGTCCTGACTCTCCAGCCGAGCTTCTCTTCGCTGTCTCGCCAAAAGAGGCAAAGCGTGGGCACGAGCATCCAAATAAGCTTGGATCGTAGCGATGACTTGTAGGCCGCAAGCAGTATCCTTGCCCAACTCAAGATTGAAGATTCTCGATGTCCAGCCTTGACAGATCAGCCTAAATTTCCTGTGGACCCACTTACTCTGATCCAAGAGACAAGGTTCTGGGAACACAGGGTCGATGACCTTCTCCGGGTCGTATGTGTGATGCTCGATGATTTGGCGAAAACACGCAACAATTAACACCATTGTCCTTTCAATCTCCTTTCTTGAGGGAGTATTGAATGCTGGCGTGACTTGCCGAGTGCGATCGAGCTCTTCCTGCAGGGCGGATAACATCTCCGCTAACCTAGCGACCACGGGTTGCAGAGGTACACCATGGTGTCTGCACGCCACAGCAATGTACATCAATCCTCTGATGCAAATCTGTCGCGAATCAAAGTCTGCTTGCTCGAACGGTGCCCATCGTTTGGAATTAGCCAACAACCAAGAAAGGAGAGAAGGGGAGAAGAAGCAAGCGGCCGTCATGACAGCGTAACGGTTGATCAATTGGCCAAGTTGGTGTGGAGTTGGAGGTAAGAGACGATTGAATTTGACCGGACTGACCGGTATCACGGCGAGGATCAAACGCTGCACATCCTTCTCTGCTTGATGAGCCGCTTCCAAACTCTCGGCTGCTGAGATGACATCGGAGGCGGCGACGCAGACGAGCCGCAAGTATAGATCGAATGCTGTCTCCCCCTTGGTTTCAGATTGCGCAGTAAGAGGCATATTGTACTGCGTGATGAAGCTCGGAAAGTCGATCGGTGGTTCAGTGGGGAAGTTGCGGTACTGCCTTTCCTTGAAGATCATGCCGAGATCCCTGGTGATAATGGAGAAGCCTTGCTTGTCAAAGCTCCACTTCCATACTGTCGACAGTCTCACGCATCTCGCAAAGATCGTCTTTATGTAGCGATCTCGACCCAGAAGTTGTTCCCGTGGCGCAGAAGACTCCAAGTCTTCGTCGTTGGCAATTCGGACAAGTGAGATTGCTCGCTTCACCATGGACCATCTTGCTATCGGATCAAACACGCTGGAGACCCGCCCATTTGCATCGAATTGAGAGAGCGCGCAAATCCCAAACGTCATGAACCATATTCTCTCGGCCGCAAGGGGTCCAAATGTGTCAAACTTGAACGTCTTATCCAGTGCACTGTTCAACAGCGTCTCGAACGAGCCGGAGGAGCCGCGGCTCTGGTCCCAGGCATTGACCGTGTGCATCGCCGAGATCCAGTAGAGGACAGATGGATCGCTGATCCTGCCGTCAGGAGCATCACCAAGGATTATGCTTTTCAGAGGAGCCATGGTCTTGTCAAATCCCCAATCCAGCAACTGGCGAAACAGAGCCTCTCCAGTGAGCAGTACGACCCCGCTCATCTCAGGGCCAGAAGTCGGAGGACTGATGTGACATGATAAGCGGAACAGTTGCCAGCGAACGTCCAACAAGGTCCGACGATAGTTTCGTGTTCTGCGCTTGTCTGAGAAGATGATTATGTCGAGCGCCGTCGAGCAGCTGCCGAGAGATGCGACGCAGGTTGCGATTAGCGTTCTCGCTCCCTCATTCTCGGTATACAGATGATCACTCAAATAGGCCGCCAAAAAGTCCACGAAGCCGACTTCGACATCACCGGACTCGTTGCCATCAATCATGGCTTTGATTCTTGCTTGCAGAGCGTCGAAAAGTATAGCCACCACGGACTCCAGGCTTGCTGTTGTCATTCCCCTTTCCAGCTCGATACCGCCGAATGAGCATGTCCTTGCCGATTCCGTCCACAATGCGTCCCCCAATATGCACTTGACGAGCTGCACCAGTTTGCCGTCTCCCACAAACGTGCCCTCCTTGCAAAACAGCCCGGATGGAAGTGGCTGAATATCAAAGTCGACTGAGAAACGATCGAGATTGGCCCAGGACTTCGCTCGACCGACCCTTGCATCCAATACAGCAGGACGTGCGGAATTCGAGCGTTCAGCTAACAAGTCGAAACCATCTCCAGTGTCAAAACCGATATCTGCATCTGAGAAGATGACATTGTCGTGAAGCCGTAGGACTTGTCGCTTTCGAAGGGAATGTTTAGTCTTTGAATCCTTCACTTTTCTGGAGTTGAAGGATTTTCGTTGTCGCTGCGAGTCCACGGTATCCTTGTCCATGTACCGACCTAGGGTAGCTTGAACTGGTGATCGAGGAGGCGGTCGTGCACCAGCCACTCTCCTCCTCACTTGGAGAGGTGAACGGTGCGTTCGATGCAGGTCTCCAGATCTCTTCGCCGTCCTGCGGTGCCCGTGACGGGCAGCATAGGTACCCCGCACTATTGACTCGAAATCCCCTTCGTACAACCTCTCCAAAGCCTGATGGTACCCATTATCCTCGTGAGCTTGAGATCCGTCGGACGTGTCATCATCGGACACGATAATGAGCTCCCGTTGAATCGATGAGTTTCGTGCTGGGGTGGCGCGTACATCCGCCGAGAGCGATTCCTCTTCCTCGTCGAAGATGTCATCAAAGTCCAAGGCACTGTCTTTAGCCCGGTTCTGACGCACGACTGCTCGACCTCGACGTGCCGCGGGTGAAAACTGTGTTGCTCGTCGGACAGCCTGTGCCTGTCGCTTTTTCCGATTCTCCTCTTCACGTTGTAGCCGTTTGAGCATCACGGCAGGCATCATACGTCGTGCGATCTTTTCCCTTCGATCAAGCTCCTCTTCCTCACTGTGAGCCTCGCTTGAGTGCGAAGATTCATCCTCAGCGATGTCTATCGGCATATCTCCATAGCCAAAGTCTGGCAGCTCCAGAGGTATTGAGCTCGAGGGAGAAGTTGGTCCAGCTTCCACACTTCGACGCACAAGATCAGGGGTGTCAACGTTGACAACGTGGCGGTAGCGCAAGGTGGACCTTAGGGGCGAGTCTTCCTGCCCAGACTCTTGGGAACGCGACGAGCTTGTTGCGCGCCTCTCAGTGTCACTCTTGCGCCTCTTGTACGTCCTCTCGTGCCTTCTAGTAGAGGTTGACTATATCAAGAGTCAGCGCAATCAGAGGCGATGGCCCGCTACTGGGCAACCCACAGCTTGTTCGCATTGATCTTGGCCATCCTGCAGTATATCCTCGAATTCTGCACGCGCTTGCGCTGCTTTTCTTGCTTTGCGACACTCTAGCCTTTCAGCTCTTCGCCGAGCGCGAGCGATTCTCTGCAGCTTCTTGAAATCCTCTCCGTTCTCAGCGTCCGGCCTTTCGCCGTACTCCAAGTAGAACTCATCATGATCGATACCAAGCACCTCCACCGGCTTCCGAACTTTCGGTGGAACTGGAGAAGGAGCAGTTTCGCCAATGACAATACGCTCGGGATCATCCTGCAGCGATTCGTCATCGTCCTCGGCTGATCCTTCCTCTTCGGACTCCTCGCTTGACACCTCCCTCGCGGCGGCAACGACCCTTTTACCACTCCTGAGGCCTCCTTTGCGTAGAGCCGCTTCATAGATCTGTCGCTCCCGGGTGTAAGGTTGAAGCTGAAGTATGGTCCTCGTTCGAAAGGTTCGTGCGTTCCGAAATTTGCTTAATTCAGAATCAAGAGGCGGTGAAAGTGGATGAGCAACCACGGGAGCGACTATGGGACTTTCCATGCTTGGGGAGCGCCGAGGACGCGGGGCCGTTTCGGATGACGGTGGAGAGTTGGGAAGTGGTTGTGAAGATCGGAAGTGATTGGCCAGAGCTGATCCGGATGTAGAGGAGTTACGAGGTATAGTCTCCCTACCGTTGGCTGAGGCTCGCCTTTGTGGACTATCCTGATCCCCAGTAAAACCTGTCTTAGGACGAGGAGAGAGTGATACGGGATCAGTTGGCCTCCATGCTGGCGCCATATCGGTCGTCTCGTCTCCAGCCGGCAATGAGGCAGCCGGCGAGGTCGGACGACGAGACGATGGGTTTGTCACTAACGCATCGGCTTCTTCTTCCTCCATAGGCTTCTGCAACGGATGCTCTGAAGCTACAAGTGGCGCCGTTGTCGGTGCTCGCCTTTCCAACTCACTTTCCATGTCACCGTTCTCGCATACAGCATTCGGGGACTTCGGGCTAGAAATTTCGATGTGAACTGGACTTCGCGCTGGTAGATCCATAGGTGTTCTCGGCGATGAGAAGAGTCTGGGCCATAAGCTATCATCATGTCCCTCCTGATCCGTCGGATCATCCTGGTCCGAACCGCTTTCGCTGCCGATGGCTCCATCACACTGCGTCAGGGGCAAAGTCTGCGAAGTCCAGTCTGACAAAGTCTGAGGTTCACCTTCAGCGGAATGAGTCTCTTGCACACCGAAATCATCTTCCCCTGGATCCTTCGACCGTTGATAGCCCTGGTTAGATTAGCGCAGCTTCAGGCAGACGCCTCACATCCATTGATTTCGCTTGGGTCGCCTTGACCTGTCGCCAAATCATGTATTCTTCATCATCCGACGGCGGTACCAAATCCCTCTCATCCCCTTCATCTGCATGCTTCCAACCACTTGGACCAGCCCTGTCCTCGATTCTACTCGATATGCGGTGTCTCGACCTTTTCCTCAGAGGTGAGAAAGCCAGTGGATCTTCCTCCTCATCCTCATCGACGATCGGAGCTTGGGACAGGACGACCGTGCCTCTGCCCTTCAGTCGCGCGGGTCGACGCCTAGATGGCATCGTAGGCAAATTCCAACTGAGAGCTGAGAGCTACCTCTCGCGGACTCGAGACGCTGTGCTCATTCGGAAAACTGTGTCGGTGTAAGTGAACTTCATGAATGAGATGGAATGGAATTTTTGGACGCGGGACGCGTCTGATTTCTCTTTTCTTGGTTTTCTGAGCCAAATCAGTTGGCTGGTGGCAAATATCAGAAATGGGGCATCCAGGTGAAGGCCATTCATAGCTAAGTACATGGGGCTCAACGGTCTGGCTTCAGGCTCCCATTTGACTATACGACGCTCTCTGTATCTTACTGACCAGCTCTATATTGGACTTTTGCTTTGGGGACATTCACACCGGATGCCCTCCGACGGAGCTGCCACAAAACGACGAGCCGGCCATCTGAATGGAGAGAGGTCGATGAACAAATTTTCTCGCAGAGTGAGGCAGGGCAACAGAGGGATCACCCTCATCGCTCTCGGGTGGACTTCCCGCGATGGATCTTTCGGTGGAAGGGTCGAATGGGATCATCATCCTGTGAACATCGGACGCTCCCGGTGAAATCACGGGTCGGGACGTGTTGGAGTAATATTGGTCCAGCAAGCTGTCCGCATGACGGTACTGTCGATTGCGGAAGCATTCTCTGTAGGGCAACCATCTGATCTCTGCCAAGGTGGATGGTGTGAGGCGATCTCGAGGGGAGGAGACGGTGGCCAAGGTGGTTGACTTCGAGCTGAGGAGCCCCCAGTGGCCTGAGGGAAAATCGAGAGCGGGACAGGAGTGTTGGCACGTGTTGTGGCTGTCCGTGATGATGTTGACATGTGATCTTGATCTTCCTCTTCCTCTTCCTCGTTGTCTTGAAAGAGGAACAGGACAGGCACGGAAATAAGATTTGCGGCACCGAGATGATCAAATGGATCTTGGTCAATCTTTGAGCGGATTGCATTGAGTTTGTCACTGCGATGCTCGAATCCTTGCGTCTGTATCGATCAGGTTTGATCCATCCATCTCAAGCTCACAGATCGGGACCCGACTACTACCCAATCAATGTCGGGTTGGTCAAGGTAGAACTGCACAAGCGCTTTGTATGCTCAGTGAAGATACACCTTTCTCTCCCGTACACACCTTCAGCCTTGATTGCGAGTCCTTCATGATCAGAGAAGGAGAGCATGTTGAGGTCATGATCCTCTTGAAACCCCCTGATGAAATTCAAGAATCGATGATTCAAGAGCGCTTGAAGTGTCACAAACAACTGCACGATAGTGATCGTGTTGATTTGTTGGGTATCGATATTCAAGTTGAAAGCGAACTGGATCCTGTCTCGAATGACTGCTGAGGTTTTTCTGCCACCCAAAGCTCCCTGTGCCACAAGCGCCGGATCAAACTGTCCTTCGTCAATATATATATATACAGCCGTGCAGATTCACTGACCATGTCCATCTCGCCTCGCATCACAAAGACGCTTCGCCTGTCTCTCGACGTAGACTGCCAATTCCTTCAGCCAATTCTTTGCGCTTTCGTTGAGACTCACGCTATTTGGAGGTTTCGCCATCCTAGCTTCGTAAGCGTCGAGCTTATCCCCCATCTCCAGATTTCTCCTCGAAAGCTCCTCAAGCTGCGACAAGCAGATCTTGTGGTCTTCGGAGGCTTTGACAGCGAGGGCCTTGTGCTCCAAAACCTCTCGCTCGAGCTCTGCCACACGGTCTGACGAGTTCATCTCTTTCTCATGGGTGATATCGGGTAGGGATACGCTTTTGAAACATCAATCGCGATCAAAGCTTACATCCTTACGAGTTCTGCTTGAGACGCTTCAGGTCGTCATGAAATGCTAGCGCGAAGCCTTCAAATGCGGTCCATAGGGCCGAGAACCTTTGGGCCATGTCCTCGACCCGCGGCGGAGCCGGAACCTGGGAGACCTTCCTGTTAGCCTGTCTGGATGTAGCATTACCCTGAGGGGGACTATTCAGCCGACACACTGCTTGAAGACCGTTCGTCGACGTGCTCTCGAGTTTCGGTACGACACTGGCCGTCACAATGTTTTCTCCACCAATATCCACGATCCACTCAAAATGGAGCCCGTCCATCTTCTCGGAGCTAGTCAAAGTCCCAGGCGAGACAACTGTAGGTCGAGGCGCCGATTTCGATGTAAATGAAGTCAAACTCGAGACAGAAGCTGAATGCTGCTGGTTGATGCATCCCTTTCGCACCTCGAACGGCTCAGCTGTTGCCCTAAGTGTGCTCTTGACAGTCGTTTGAGATGACCATGTAGATGGTGGCGAGCGAGACAGGGGTGCACCCACTGGTCTCGGTGGCTTAGGCTTGAATCCGTGGAGTGAATCTTTTGACGATGCCCCATTCGGGGAATCTGGCCTCAGAGGCTCCCAGAGGCCACCCATGCTTGGTCGCCAGTCTCGCTTTGAAAATGAGGAGGTAGGTGGAGTGGGTGGTGAGTCGCTGAGAGCAAGGTTCACCAGATCCTCCATGGTGATGCTGTCAAGTTGGGTGCTCCTGACAAGAGATCAATGTCGCCTGGAGGGTAATGTTGTATGCTGCTGCGCGAGATGAGGATGAAGATTTTCGGAAAGACGATAGTCCGGTTGCGTAACTTGTCTTCTGTTGTTGTTGTTGTTGTTGTTGTTGATGATGTTGATGAATCTCGCTCAGCGAACCTCCCATTGAAGATGTGCGGGGAGATCAGTGCGCAAACCAGCCAGCACTCGAGTGGCATCAATAGGGATACATGCAGGAAGGAGACAGACTGAGATCACTATGTCAACCTTGAACAGGTATGACAGTCAGTCTGTAGGAGTGGACCGCAGAAACGTGTCAGAATGCACAGGTAGTAGGATTGTCGATGTATATGTTTTCTTTGTTTCTCGCCAGATTCATTATACAGTCGTCGTAAGACATGAATGGGCCCCATTTCAGATCAGGCGAAACCCAGAATGTGATCGTTAAAGCCAGAGTCAGAGTCTAGTGCGAGTCACTAGGATGTAGCGCAAGCCACTATTCCTGCGCACCATCTCAGATCCGCTCGTTGGGCTCGAGCAGTCTCGCTGGACCAGACCAAGAGGTGAATGCCGATCGAATCGACTTGTTGACAGAGGGCTGTGCCTTGCGTTGAACTGCGGGTGATCAGCGTGGAGATCTTGACGACGGATGACGACGTAAACGCACTGGTGACCTTGAGTTCCGACCCCTCCAACTTCGCAGCTATAGCCTTCATATTGGCGTCTTTGCCCAGGAGCACGTTCCATTCGAGATGATCTGAGCGCTTGGTAAGCAAGGCGATCGAAAAGGAGTGGAGCCACTGACCGTCCTCGTCCCATCGGTCCGCTACGATCTGCACAGTCCTATCACCTTTTGACGATATTGTTATATCATTGATGCTGGGAAATCAGTATCCACCGACGGCGTATGACCTACGTGATACCCGGTAACCAGACAAGAATGACATGCTGATCCGTTGTCGTCTTCACTGCTATCCTCCCGTCTGTGCCCTTCATGACCTCTTCGACCGTATCTGGATCCGATCCATCGAACAATTCGGGATCAAAGTCCACATCAGGTCGCTCTTGACCTTGACTGAAAGACCAAGCTCGACCTGTGATCTTGTCGAAATGACGGGGTGGCCGTGCCCATCGAGGTGCATCTTCGCTCTTAGTCGAGCGAGAAGAGATAGAGGTGGGAGGTGTCGAGGCAGATACGGAGGATGAGGCACTGGCTTGTGAAGCTGGACGCCCGAAAGACTCCCTTCGCAGCGCGGAACCGGGGTAATGTGCGGGAGGAGAGAGTGGAGCAGAGATCCGGCAGCCAGTATGAGATGAATCAGCCACTACGCGGTGGAGCTCGGAACTGGACAGCAAAGGTGCGCTCTGTCGTCGTGAATCTGGAGGTCTAGAAGGGGTAGCGAGTTGAGAAGCATCCAGACTGCGGGAAGAAGAAAGATCAGCACAGATGCAGCGCGCGCCCATCAAAGCTCACCTGGTATGATGAGATCGGAGGGATGGCTCGATGGTTCGTGCTTGCAAATCATCCTGATCGACATCCATTGCATCTGGCGACTTTGAGCCGGCATTACAGGACGATGATCGACTGAGCAGAGGCCATATTGGAGCAGGAAGCTCCGATCGGGGAGTGGCTTCCCCTCTGGAAGGGGCAGTGCTCGTGACGGAGCTCGCTGGTGAAGTATTGCCTCGAGTCAACGTAGGCCGATCTGGAATCAACGGCGAGAGGCTGATCCTGTTTGGAGGTAGGTAGACGTTCTTAGGACCTGGTTCATTCGGAGGTTTGAGAGTCTCCAACTGTATCTCTGAACTACTATGCCCCTCGGAACGAATGTCAATGGTGCCCACTTGCCAAGTTGCATTGTCCAGTTGGGGCGAAGTGAGCATGGAGGACGACGAGGAGCGTGATGAACTCGGTGACGAGCTGGAAGTGGGAATAAGGTAGGGGGCGGAGAGGCGTTGAGTTTCGAGATGAGTAAGTGGCTCGTGCTGCATTGCGAGCGAGGAGGGGGTGAAAGGGGATATGAGGGGAGCCACTGCTTTAAATCCGGGTCATGAATGGGGCCTTGTGACACGAGATGACCAATGTATAATTTCCAAGGCAGCCGGACTCCTGTTGACTCGGGTTGTAGAGATTCCCGCGATAGAATGATGATCCAAATCAGCGAAAGGTATGTGGTGCGTCGTGTGATGAAAGTAGGAGAAGCGTGGGCGCAATTTAGACCAACAATTATGTTTTTGCCAGGGTTTCCCGCGAGAGGGGGTGGCGATGAGGAGAGTTTGGAGGGGTGATGGAGAGGTGAAGAGTGCGGACGGTTCGGCGAGTAGAATTGATGTCGAGGTGAGGAAACAGTATCAGTCGATGGATGGACTGTATAAGGCGACGTGTATTGAATAAGCAAGAAAAGAGAGGAGGAGAAGAGGAGAGAGTGAGAGAGCAGATAGTCGGGAATAGAGAAATGGCGGCAATTGAGAAATCCTCAAAACTATGTCGTAGCAAGTTCAGCGAGGAAGAGGAGGCGGCGGCGGCGGCAGGCGGCTGTGCAAAAGGCGACAAGTCGACAGAGTGCTCAAGTTGGGAGATCCATCGAGCTTGTGATGCCACAGACGCTTTGAGCCAAAGCACCGTTGGAAGAGGGGGATGATGATGATGATGCATATATGATGTAGCTACGAGGATCCACAGTCACGTGAGTTCCCCATAGAAGGTGAAAACTCGGGTGACGCGAGCTAAAAAGGTGCCACTGGCGTCGGGTAATCCGATGTACACTTTGCATATCATACCACCATACATCATGGTAGCAGTGAGCGATGTCACCTTTGGTGGTCCCAATCGCTGAAGGACTTGTCGGCTGATTCATGCATCTGCTTAGATACGCCTGAGGCATCCAAAAGGGGTCACGACGCTCAATCTTGATCCTGATCATCAGACCGTGGAAGACCTACGAGCCATTCTCTTTTCAACCACAGAGATACCTCCATATCTTCAAGAGAGTGAGTGAGTCGCTTCAGACGTCCAAGGATGGAGTTGGAAATCTCACTGATCGATATCTCAAAGTCAAATATGGCTATCCTCCTAAGGCTATCCCACCTGAAGTGTCGACACTCGCTGCAATTCCCATCGGGAGAGGAGATCAAATCATCGTGACAGCTCTCGCTGAGCCTCCTGTCCAATCGTTCAGTCCCGCTGCTCCTTCTGTCAAGCGACAAAACGAAGCTGTCTCTGCTCCCAAAGCGGACGAACGACCAAGAGACACTCAACAGGACAACGAAACTCCCGCAGAGAGCTCGCATAGCGTTCGCGTTCCAGGGGATGGTGGATTCCTGCAACTTCGAGTGGTACCGGATGATAATTCGTGTCTGTTCAGTGCAGTATCGTTGGTATTCGAGGGCGGGATGGAGCATGCACAGAAGCTCAGAAGAGGTAAGTGGTAGACTTGCGGTACTAGTACTGAGGTGCCCAGTGGTTGCAGATGCGATTCGCAGCGATCCACACACCTACTCAGATGTCGTCCTTGGGTGAGCGTTGGCTATAACATCATACTACGGCTAGGCTAAGCACCTGCGAGCACAGGTCAAGTAGAGACACCTACATGAAGAAGATCTTGGAGCCAAACACGTGGGGCGGAGCTATAGGCAGGTCTTATCAGGCCGTGGAGAAGACCATACTGATCCTCCGGTTCACAGAGCTTGCAGCGCTGTCCAAACAGTGAGAACTCACTCTGACGGACGGAACCTTGACTGACCTCTTGCTTTCTCTCTCCCGAAGCTACAAGACAGAGATCTCATCATACGATGTTCAGAGCGCCAGATGTGATAGGTTTGGTCAAGATGAATATGATTCTCGGTAAGCCCGTTCGTCCGTCTCCCTTATGACTCAACGCTGAAGGTCACCACCCCTCTCATAGTTGCTTACTGGTCTACTCTGGAATACGTGAGACGATGACGAGACTCGCCTCGTCATGTAAGCTCAGGACTGACGAGAGCCAGATTACGATGCCGTCTCACTCTCACCATTACCAGTGTCCCCGGCATCATTTCACGCCACTGTATTCCCCACTTCGGACCAGAATATCTTGTCTGCAGCAGAGCAACTGGTCACTCGACTGCAATCTGAACACTATTACACTGATACCGCAGCTTTCGATCTGCGATGTTCAGTCTGCAAGGTGGGCCTCAAGGGGGAGAGTGGAGCTCGAGAGCATGCCAGGCAGACTGGTCGTGAGCGGAGAAAATTCTCGGCCCGTTGCGTGTTAGACCCAAGCTGACGCTCACTCGCTCGTGTCAGATGTTGAGTTCGGAGAATATTGAGCGAAACGATCTCTTCCGCTCAGTGTCACTAGAATGGTAAAGCATCTGATGCCATGCGAAAAGTCTAGTCTATGTGCCCAAATGATGTCCAAAACCCAGTTCCAGAGGGTCCACTTCTCCGTTGCTCAATAAAGCCAATTGAGAACCCATAGTCCCAACAGTACCAAAACCAACTTGACACTGTTGTTCCGCTGTGCAAGCGACCCAATGTTCATCACCACGCCCAGAACCGTTATATCTCGCCAACGCTGGCCGGAAACCTGGGGTTGAGTAGATCCCCTACCACTCTCCTCGGATGAGATGTCTGGCGTATCAAGTCCACTGCGATCCTCTGTCTTCTGTCCGTCAGGAGCCAGATTCTCTGTCTCCTCCTTTGCCCCCTTCTGGACACTATTGTCCGAGGCGGGGATTCTGGACTCCTGCGTTCCAGCTGTGGCTGGAGGTGGTAAGGTTGTCGCTTTCTTCTTTCCTACGAGATATTCGGTAATCTCTCCAGTCGCTTCGGATACCTTGTGCGAAAGCCAGACAAAGCCAATGGTTGAGATGACAAGGTTCAGTGATCGCCAATTGGTCGCCGGGAGAACAAGCAGTATCCCATGTGTGTCGACGGCGAGCCATCCGTGAAATTGGAGGATAAACGTTTCCAGGGAGCATTGACCTATGAAGCAAAACATTGTCGAAGTGTATGATCGCAAGATGGGAGAGGCATTTCGTAAGATGGTGTACGCAACGACGGGAATAATGGAGACGACTGGATGATACACGTTGTAGACGAACTTGTTTGGTAGATGGAGTTCGAACCAGAAAAACCAAACCATAGCTAGTGTGGACAATGCGATCAATTTTGGTCTCGCCGATACGAACCAGGGTCTCGATTGGATGTCGTGTTCCTTGATTTTGATGTAGATCAGGGCACTGAGCATACCAGACCAAACAATGAAGAGATCCAGAGTGACTCTGAATGACCACTCCGAAGCGGACCAGTTGATACGGAAGATTACGTTGAGAATGGCAAAGACATCTTCTAGAATCCAGTTATAGTGCATGAATACCGTCATCAGACCCGCTGACAGACCAAGCTTAGCCAGTAGAAAGGCCATATTATTGTTGTGTTGGTGCCCCAACGCCATGGTCGCATAGATCGTGAGGTACCACCACGAAACCAATGGCGCAAAATAGTAAAACAAGTAGTCCGTGTTCATCGTGTAAGGTAACACCACAGACAAAAGGTTCAGTCGGACAAGGACAGCGGCCACTCGATCAAAGCCGAAATCCGCTTTCTTGTAGTAGAAGAAAAAATGCCCATAGCCAGTCATGAACAGGTAGGCAGCGACCAAGACTCGGATGGGGTTGTAAATACCAGAGATCTTGGAGGCGCCAAAGAAGTGATAAATCAAGATGGCAACTGGCACTATGAGCACGTCGTCTGGAATGATCGACTTACTCTGCATCCATCCCTTCCACTCATCCGTCACATCTCTATTCAAGAATCCCAAATCCTTGCCTTTGCTCTTGAGGGTCGATAGACCGACACAAAGCCCTATGAGGAGCAACCCTCCGAAGACGTAAGGGCTGAACGCCTTTTCACCTTTGACAAAGATGTTGGTCCTGTCCGCCATGAAGAGATATATACATGCGATTCCAAACGTCCAAATGGCTCCGGCAATCGAAGCGCTAGGTAGATATCGTCGGAGTGGAGAGGAGGAGGCTGGACTCGTCAGTGCATGAATCCCAGTGTCTGGACCTACATAAGCGCGGAGCAAGATATAGACCGAGCGGTGGCCATACTGCCAAGAGGAGGAGCAGCATGCCTTGAATCGGTCTGATCCATGGGTACCGACTGCAGCATAGACCAGGTGAGGTTGTATCGCGCATGACATCATTACACCGCCAACCGAGAAGGATCTCTGCTTGATAATTGGTGATCTTATTGGAGAAATGCAGCCCGTCTTTCGTCTCGGCCTCTACGAGCATCTTGTTGAAGACAGAGGGAATGACCAATGGAGGGGGATTCGGATGTGTGAGGCGAGCGTAGAGGTCTGCGTTCATCGCCTCGACATCGGTATCGAGTATGGTCTGAGCACGCTCTTCAGACAGTTTTGATTCAATGGGCTCTGTGACGGGGAGGAAGACGACCGCATCTGCGATCGCAAATTGACTGGTGGACTGCCGAGTACGTAGAGGGGATTTTGAAGGTTGCGAACCGAATTCAGGCAATAATCCAGGGAAGGAGAATCCAGACTGAATGTTCATCGAGTCCCAAGGGTTCACCAAAGGGATAGTCGGGGATCCTTGATGAGTCTTGAGTCTTTCGAATGTGTCGTGGACCATCAAGCCCCATGCTCCAAGACCGCCAGATTCGGGATATCGCAAGTACCAAAGCCCTGATCCGAGGACAAGGAGCGATGCTGGGGTCTCTGGCACTTCTGACAGCTGGGCAATGGTCCGAGAAGCGTTAAGATAGGGATCCCTGAGCCCAAGATGTCAGATATAGACGACGTCACTCTCGGAGACGACATACCACCAAAAGTCTATAGAGACTGAACTGACTCCATCGTCCAAGGTCATGGAGCGATCTGTATGCTTTTCCGCTTCCGCCTCCCATCCTTCCGGCACTTTGCCCTTTTTCCCATCGACTTTTCTTACTAATGCAAAGTAAAGTTCTCGGACCAGCGAGTCTCCAATGAACAAAACCTGACGTTTGCGAGAGGGAAAGACGACGGCGTCTGTGGAATCGCCTTGCGATAGGAGAGCAGTGTTTTCAGTAGGAGACGCGAGACATGTGAACAAGGCGTTGGATTTGAGGGGAGCTTGGTAGCAGCCTGCGAATTCCATCAGCATGGAGGAAGATGCTTCCTTAAGCTTACCCTCTGGCTGCCAGATCGTGTGCTCCGGATCCAGCCAGGTGCCTTGATTGAGGAGCGAAGAGCAGTGATATGGGTCGGCACCATCTACGCGACGCCATCAGCGAGGAAAGCAAACGGCGGACATCACCAGACGTACCCAGAAATGCCCATCTCAGCAGATTCCCTAGCACCACCGCAGCTAATATTGTCCCACAAGCATGATGATACCACTGTGGATTGAGACGAGATTTACTCGCACTCATGCTAAAAAGTCCAGAGACTGGTTGGGATACGCCCCTTCTGCCGCCAGGTCGAATCCTCCACTCCCTGTTATACCAAAAAACCTACTCGAGGATCGCCAAGGTATATCGGATAGAGCTCTATCTATCAGAGAGATGGTCTCAGCGTATCGTGTCTACGAAGAGGGGTTCATCTGTGGACCGTCGGGTCAAGCTTGATCCAGAAAATGCAAGTATTTCCCAGAAAAGCAGGCGGCGACTACCGCTGTGCCACGCGATCGACTGCCGACGGTTTTGAAATGTCTCATGCACACATTCATGGTGGTGGGATGCTGGTATCAGAGCCGGCTACTGCTGCTGCCCTTCTATATGGCCGGGAGAGCATTTTTACAAGTCAGTGAGAAGACTTTGAATCATACGAATCGACCATGATCATCATGTCCCAGCGTGTAGGATTGAAAGTCATTATTCAACCCAACGCCGAGGAGAGAAGACACTGTGACCATAGCCACCACCTATCACTCAGACACGCCTTGTAAGCGAACATCCCAGGTCAATGAGGCAAAAAGTCACAGATGGGACAAAGGGAAGGTACAAGTATGATCAGTTGTGCCTGTGACGTCGAGGGTCCCTTTGAGGGCTCGCTGCGCAAAACAGCACATATCCACTCTGCTCTGTCAAATGGTCTGGACTGACTACGTGGGATATTGGGGGACTTTGAGAGGCCAAAGTAGCCGTAAGGGGTGGATGTGGCTCCCAGTGACATGGATCAAATTAGAGGGACGGCGGTCGACGGTGGAAGAGAGGAGTGGGGCGGTTGGAAGGGCGAATTCCAGCAGATAACCACTAGGTAATTGTCTAAATTGAGGTATGTGGCAAACGCCGTACGTCATCGTTTTTGCCAAGTCATCCTTTGTTGAATTTTTGACTCCTCATATATAATGACAATCTTTTGGCCACCCGACTCTTTTGGTTCTTTCCTTTCCTCCTCACTCTCAACTGCGACAACCCTCCTCAGTCATCTACTAGGCTCTCTGTCCTCATCTGACATTTCTGTGAACCACCATGGGTAACATCATCTCCGCCATTGCCAGAGTGAGTGCAAATGGCGATCCCATATTCTCAAGTTAATCAACTGACCGGGAGTCCGCCTCCAGGGCATCAACGCCGTCTTTCAAGCCATAGTCAATGTATTGACCGCCATCGTGTCCGGTATCGCCAATGTCTTCATTGCCATCTGGAACTTTATCACCTGTGGCGCTTGTGGTGGACGTCGACGAGGAGGGAGAGGGACGGTCTAGTCGGGGTTCGCTGAAGAGGTAAGGACAGGATGTCCATGTTGATATTGACTCCCTCTTCTAAGCTACTCTTCTCCGCCGACATGTCCCCTCAAGTCATCCGAATCGCCGTTCATCCTTCGAATCGACCACTCCCGACTCGCGAGATACACGACACTTCACGCCTTCCGTCTACCCTATATAATGTAGCCATAGCTCTTATGTCATCTGATGCATATGATAGCAGATATTATGATGGCGCTCAGCGGTCCACTTATAGTTTGAATGGCCCATGGCTCAACGGGTCGGAAGGAATTTCGCCCTAAATGGCGGCATCAACTGGAGGACACAATAGGTATGATGACATTCCCACTCACGCTTCAGAGTACATCTGCTCATCTGTTCGCTGAGAGATCTGTATCAGTTTTTCGCTTGGCCTTGTTTGCCCAGGACGTACGCGGAAGACGATGATGCCTGCAAAAATAGCCGCTGTGAATACCAGACCAGAGTAGATGAACCAAAACACGGCCCAGCCTGCAATGCTGACCGTCAGCTCACTGCTTTTCGCTCTCTCTCGCCCGCTACAAACCACTTATCGGCCAACCTAAGAGCTCTGAGAACTGTGCACAGTCTGACGTATTGCGCTTGTCGAATAGCCTCTCGTCCAGATAGTCCCAGACGACATAGAACAGGCTCATCACCCCTTACATCAGTCGCCGCGAGGGTGCAAAGCGCTCACCAACGAACAAGATGTAGAAGCGGAGCGCCTGGGCCGCCGTAAGTCCAATTTTTGATGGAAGGAGTCGCGTTACTCACATTACCGTGATCTCCGAACCATAAACCAATCAGGACAGCCTCGCAGACAATGATGCTCGCAAAAGCGCTATGTTCTATCAGCAAACATCATCCTGCTGTGACCTGCTCACATCCAGTGATCTGCACGCAATATCGGCACCAACAGACCGATGTGAATGACCAGGGCGGCGGCTTTACTCGCTACTATGTGAACTGGCGAGTGGGTCAGAAGCAGAAACAAACTTGACTCCTTACATGCACAGAACTGCAACAACATCAGCACTTGTGTGGGCGGAGATCTCAGCCTCACGATAAACAAGAATCCGAATATGCTTGATCCAACATAGCCCGCACCTAATGTTGCAACTGCCGAACTGGACCAGAACAGTTGAGAATATGTTGGCATCGCATATGGATCCCTGGGAACGCGTGGATAAGTCCGCATCAATCCCATGATGTGAGTCGCTCCGCCGTCATTTGGATCGATGCAGATAGAGACTACTTGCCCTCCGCAGAGTAAGCCAACAACGAGATGAGAGAGCTCATGACATCCAGTGACGAACAACTGCGACGTGTGGTCAATGATCGAAGTGTCACTTGTCTCGGTCACCAACGACACACCTTGAGACCTGAGATGATCTCTCTCAATATCGGAACGTTCCAAGCGATGAGGATGATGACAAACATAACACAAGCTACGATGACTGTATTCGTCTCTGATGGCAGTAGCCGTAAGATCGTTTCTCAGAGGATGAAGGGCCGCTTACGAAATTGGTTTGGTGTCGAATCAGCAGCTCTGGCTACGAAACGGTGAAGAGTTACGGTCGATGACTCTGCTGGTCCTGTCACAACATGTGATGGATATGGCGACATGATGGCGGCTGGGGTGGTGGACAAATGCTCTGATGTGCTGATCCAGGTTGCGAGACACTCCAGGCTCGAAGCCGGATGTTCAGTGTTGTGAGGTGGAGACAAGTAGCCCTTGAAATGACAGGATTGATCGGTGGAGCACACGCTTTTCACCGAAGCGTGTCCTAGAAGTCAATAGGAGATGATGAGGGAAGATGGACGATGTGAAGAGCAGCAGGTCAGTACTATCAAGACGAAGATAGAATTGTTTACGACCGGCCGGCCCCAAGAGGCTAAAATCCCCGAATGGGAGGAGAGTCAAAGGAGGGTTGAATGACCACCACCACCAATACCACCGACACGCTTAAAGAATCTGTGGAGGCAGAATCACCGCATAGCTTTCATCTTTGTAAGAGCTTTGACGAGTCCCCGGCTGGCCTGTGAACTATTCCGAGGTAGACATGATCCATAATGTGCTAATGGCAAGCTTCAGACAACTTCTGAAGCAAGAACGGATAACAGGTCTTACCGGGGCGTCCGTTTAATATTCCCGAAATCGTCACCGATTTCAGCGTACGGGGAACTTGTAGGACTGTTGCAGAATCATTTTCGTCTGTACCAAGACTCGTCACCATGGCCAGCTCTAGCACCCCAGCTACATCGACAGCTCCAAATACAGTCCCTATACCGAGCGAGGAGACGATTGCCAGAAAAGTGAGTCTGATGATTCGGTCTAGGGAGCCTCATTCGAAGGTCGAAGTCGCTCCCATCTGCGATTTTTCGAGGGCATGAATGACTGACGCTTATACTTTGTTCAGTTCGATAACTGTGTACGTTGGAACAATGGACCTTTAGGCATGAGGTGACTGATATGACCAACCTTCCTTTTATCTCCAGCTCGCCGACCTCATTGTCAACGCTGGTCTCGGTTTCGGTGTCGGTGTTGTCGCTTCCGTCCTTCTCTTCCGACGTGAGGCGAAAGCGGACTTGAATACGAGTCTTCATACTGACTTCAACGTAGGCAGGGGATGGCCAGTGGCTCTTTCAACCGGGTACGTTCCCAGAATGGCTGGATACGACGAGGAGAGATTCCTGACGTTTTCCCACAGATTCGGTGCGGGGGTCGCTTACTCGAACGTGAGTTTGACGGCAGATCATCGACATACCCACTATGACGGATCACCTTTTTGCTGACGACTGTGAAGTGCAACTACTCGCTTAACCCATACGTCCTACCCGGTACCAAGGTTCTCCCAGCAAAGCAATAGAGAATTAAGAATCGTAGATGCATGCCTCCGGGTGTTAATGATCTGTCGAATCTATGACTACTGTCGTACGATGCGCCAAATCGCCTCGATACATTGATCTTCACAGCGGGTCCAATGCAGTCTAGCTCCAGCTGTGGGTCACGAATATGAGGTGGCTCTGTTTAAAGTTACGGACAAGTCACGGGTTTTCTCTCTGACACCCTTAAGCGTGCACCTAGAATCCCGTGATTACAAACCGACCGACCGACCGATCGGGGTCACATTCCATTCTAAGACCCCTCTTCCACCTATGATGGCCGCCTCTGATTGCCCAAGGTGGCATCCTGAATTGTTTTCCCTTCCATGTCGCTGAAATGCTTTTGCTCGATGCCGAGAATCACTGGATTCGACCGGATGATGCATGAGCTTTACGTCGTAGACAAGTACTGGCACTTGAAGCTCACGTCTTCTGTATAAAGCGTAGCCTAGACCGACTGCCAGTGGTATCGATACGATCAAGTTCTAAAGATTGGGGACGAACCTCAGCCTCAATACTCTGTATCGGTTACTTCGACTGACTCTGAGACGCTTCAAATTGTCAGGGGTGTTGGCGGGCGTAGTCGCATATCTTCTGGTCATCGGAATGGCTCTCATGATGTCCAGGTAGCTGTCTAACAAGCTGCACAAGATAAGGGTTGGGTGGTTGTCGTTGTCGATCGATGCTGCGCCAGGTACTTCTCACACAGGGCTCAAAGTAAATCCACGTCACGAGCGAGAATACCAACTTGGACCGAAGCGTGTTCCCGGAAATCCGTAGCGGTTATAATTCCTTCAATCTTGCCAATGACCCCTTTGCATCTCTACCTTCTCTCTCTCGACGACTGATCCGGGGCTCTTGTCTTGTCATTCGTCCATTCTTGAACTTCTCTTGACTAGACCTGACAAATCTCTTGTGATCAGATTCAGCATACGTTCAGTCAGTGAGTAGCTATCTGTGCTCTGTGCCCTCAACCTTACCGGATCTCTGCTGACTGACATTTCACAACAGAAACCCCAATCGACTCCTTTATTTCCCCCTCTTCACACCATGGCAGGCCCTGGCTTCCCTCCCTTTCCACCCAACAAGAGCAGATACTCTCCCAGTAGAGCTTACGGAGATGAGTATGGTGGTCCACCTCCAGTAGCCATACCACCCTTCCCTCCCATGCCTCCTTACCCACCACGTCCATTCGACGTCTACGGATCTGAACCGCCCAGACCTTCATATGGCTACGAGCAGCCTCGAGGTGGCTATGAAGGGGACAGATACGACCCCTACCAACCTTCTTCAAATGGCGCATACGACCCAGGTGTACCTCAACTCAGACAGCCTCCTCCACCCTTTCCACCACCACCAAAGTCCCTTCCTCCTCCTCCCATGAACTTTGCATCCACGATGCCACCTCGACCACCACCCATGAGGTCAGCTCCACCTGTCAAAACAGACTCAGCTCCCGACCATGTGCACGAATATACTCTCTTGACCGAGATAAGAACCGTGGATGTCGGCGGATACACGACTGCGATCTACTCCCTGCCGCCAAGTCACTTGCCGCTCGAGAAACTTGTCGCTATAAATCCAGACGATGCCCTCAACCTTCATCGTCATATCTGCTCTACAACCAAATCAGTATGGTATGCCGATGGGTCAAGCCGGGCAGGCGAGGGATGGTCAGCCGCAGTCGAATGGAAGAACGATTCGAGTCGTTCCGATAAAAAGATGCGAGGGTGCGTCGGCGACGCAGACGCCCTTGACGCCGAAATTGGAGGACTTTGTAAGGCCGTCGAGGGATTTGAGGAGCTCCTTCAGCTGTCCATCAAGGATGGCAAGCCCATGTCCCATGAACTGGTCGTCTTTTCGGACTCTCAAGCCGCCATTGTCAGCATAGACACCTCGTCACGGTCAGAAGCACTCCGATTTGAGCAAATGTGGCGCAACATTTGTTCACAATATCTTCAAGCGACGATGAAGCTGGTTTGGATACCTCGTGGGAGCGATATCGAGGGCCATGTGCTCGCCGACAAAATTGCCGTTGTAGGAGCCAGCAACGCTTATCTCAAGAAACGCAAAGAAGGGACTCTCTCTGATATTTACCGTCGACCCGGCGGTGGAGAGCCAGAACCTCCCGGTAGCTCAGTTGCCGGCGCCTGGCAGCGTGGTGACGCGGATCTGTCGAGACGAAAAGTCTTCTTTGAACGGCCTGTTCCCGCCCTAGTCTCCGCCTCGCCTCCACCTGACGCCTCCAATGCTGAGAATGATTACGGTCGATCTATGGAAGCAGAAGCCGCACAAAATGACGCGGATGACGACGCACAGCAACCGAAAGACGGAGCCATCTTTGTTACCCAGTGAGACGACATTCACATGGGATGAACGACACTGACGAGTCACAGCTTTCCATCCGAAGTCACCGCGAAGGATTTGGGGGTTCTGTTCGCCAAGTATGGCAACATGTGAGTGCCGAACAGGGTTTCGTGAATCCAACCTGAGTCCTCCCGCAGCGTGGCTGTGGATATCTATCACATCTCGTCCGCCCACCCTCGCTTTGCATTCGTTGCGTATACAGACCCGGCGTCGGGCCTGGCGGCGATCAAGGAACTTCACAGGCAGGCGATACCCCTGGAAGACGACTTTGCTCGACAACATCTTGACGATCTTCGTGTCTGGCGTGACTGGACGGGCCATCTGACTGTTGTTCCAGCCGAGCCTCCTCGCCTGGTGCCCCAATCCGTCATGGCCGATTTTCCGCCTCTCCCAGAATGGGCGCAAAGGTCAGCCAAGGACACTAAATCTGGCTCGGGACCACCGACTACAGTCAAACAGGAGCACAATACCGCAGGAGATCATGAAGAATTGGAAAGGAGAAAACGCGATCGCGACACTCAAGGTTCGCATTTAGCGAGATCGTGAGTCCGGGCTGCATGGTCCGTCAAGAGGCCTCGATTGATAATTGTGTCAGCTCTCCGCCTTCGGAGATTGACTCGCCTTCCCCGCACAAACGCCTTCGTCAAGATATATTGGTAGAGCCTGCCGTCTCACGATCCAATGACCCCAAGTTCACCGCCTCAATAGGCTTACCGACTGATCCTCAATCTGACGCAAGTCCTGACAAACTCTCTGTCAATCACAGCTCTCATAATCACACTCTTATGCCACCATTTCCTCCTACTATGAATCCAGATTTCACTACCAATGGCCATCTCTCGGAAGTGTCGACAAGTCACCAGGCGAATGCCGTCCGCCTACCTCCCACTCCTCAGACAGCGGAGAAGCACCCTCTGTTCCACGAAGATGGAAACTCTCCCGCTCGTTCACTGTCCATGGATCCATCAGGCCAAAGCTTGTCCTCAAAACGACCATTGACCAACTCGGCAGCGGAGCCTCAAGAGCATCCGATCAAGATTGGAGCAAAAACTTTGCAAGCTCTCACTGCGCTTGTGACATCTTCATTCGGCAAGGTTGACGTAAATAACTGGATCGCTCACGCTTGTTTCATCGCCGCGGATCTTGATCATGCTAGACGGTCACTAAAGGAGGATTTGTACGCTACCGATCAAGCTTTCCTCACTGGCAGAGATCTCGAACAGACCCTCTCAGCTCGCGGCTTCACTCCCGCACGGGTGGATGCTTTCATTACTAAGGTGCTCAAGGTCCTTGATGGAATAGCGCTCGCCGAGCAAGATGAATCGCAAGAGTCTCAAGACATAAAGCCGAGGGCAGAGTGCGAGAGAGATCTAGAACACGCCTTGTCCAAATACCCGACCGAAACGAAGGATGCGGTGGAAAGTGCTGCCAAATTGATGGAGTATCTTATCCGCGGTAAAGAGGCTCAGGAGAAAAAGCGATTGGATGTTGAACGCCGCGTCAAGGTCCTAGAAGGGATGGTCAAGATCGGTGAGATTGTCGGTGGAGTGGTGAGGCACTTGTTGAACGAGACAACGGGATAAGAGAGGGTTGGCACACTTTGCATACTTGCTTACGTAATGACCATCGATGATTGCATGGGATGTTTAAAATCAAACGCGTCGAGGTTCTCTTTGTTGCATTCGTCCTTCGAGACATCTGTCAGGGATATCACTTGTCTCCTACTCAAGAGGAAGGGAGCTTAGTGTCGTTGTATGAGCTGTGGTATGACCACTTAGGAGACGAGAGCCTTTCAATCGGCGCGTTGGTTCTTTCAGGACACAGATTGGCTCCAACGACCGCAAACGACCCGGCTTCGGAGTTTTCGACCAACCTGCTCTCGATGTCTCAAACAACATTCGATAAACCCGTTCACGCTCTGCAATCTATAGCACCGCCTCTGCAGCCCGGTAAAATCGTATCAGGACCGTCCAGATCCTCATACATCATGGAGTCCAGCAAGTCAGCCATCGCGGATGCTGTGTTTGCTCCGCCTGGTCCACAAGAAATTCTGTTAAAACGCGATATTCTATCTCCAGTACGGCTGAACAGTCTGGGTCAGCCATCGATTAGCTCGAAGCTACTGCATCCTTCTAAACCTTCTCGTCTATCGCTTCATCGATCCGTCCCAAAGCCAGCTCTCGTCCCCGACGTGTTCGCGGCGGTGTCAGCTGAATCTTCTTTTTCCTCTCGCCCATCTTCAACGACAGTCGCAAATGCGAAGCGCGTAAACGATGCTGGCAGCTTACCTGCGTCGAAGAGATCAAAGATTGATAAAGGACAAGTCGAAGTCTTCACCGGGAAGCACAAGGCCGAGGAAGAAAAATGGAAATCGAAATGGATTCGAGCATTCCCATCTTTGGTCTTTCACTTTGAAGTCGGAGCAGATGCTTCGCAGCGAAAAGGTTTGATAGCCAAAGTGACAAGTATGGGAGCCGTGAGTCGCGAATCTTCTCCCTCAAGGGAAGTAAGAGAAGCTGACTGAGAGCTGCAGAAAGTCGATCAGTTCCTCTCCCGGAGCACGACACATGTCATCGTCAAGTCAATCCCCTCACCTTCCAAGGGGAAAGCCAAACTCGATATCGTTCGGAAATCCATACCACCACGGGAGTCGCCAAAGAATCCATTCTTGGATGACACTGGCGCGACCGAACTAGTGAAAAAAGCGGAAGCGCTGAACATGAAAGTGTGGACTGAAGAGAGTGAGCAAAAAGATCCATTGGGATCCATCTAGCTGACAAAAACTTGAAGAACTACGCAGCATGCTAACCAAACTCGCACCGGATCAAGTGACTGCAACCGATTCTTTGCGCACTTTGCTAGAGGACGAAAAGATACACGGGACACGAGAGAGGGACCTCAATGCTCCCAGGCCCGACTTTTTCTACTTCAAGCCGGGATCTCGGTATCTGCTTGTAGAGGACGCCACAGCTCGTCACCGGACAGTCATGACGAAGGAATACAGCGCTGTCCCGAAAGACGGTGCCTACGAATGGCCAGTCCTGTTCGAATCCTTCCTACGACCATCTTCCAGCGTTGCACACTGCACCTCATCCGCAGAAGAGATTCGTGACCGTGCATGGTCATTGTATGTCGACCGAAAACCGTATAAAGGCGAAGAACCTCCAGACCTGGATCGCCAGACAAGCATGTCGAGCCGTGCAGTCGCTACACCAGAGCCTTCAGAACTTGCGCCGTATCTTCTCGCTTCTGGAAACTCTGTCACAATCACCTCCAATATCGCTTCCACGTCAGCCACCAGTAATTCTCCTGGAATCTTCACCGGACCTGGGTTCGGGCCAAAGGATCGAGCATTGGCACAGATGAGCAAACGCATCCAGGTTCTTAAAGGCAACGCTCATCTGGCAGCTACGAAGCGCCGAGCCTCAGAGCTTCAGCTAGCTTCAGCCCCATCAAGCATACGTGTACCGTCGCAACCTAATATCGCCCCCAAAAAGGTCTTCATGACGCAGGAGCAAGTCTTAAAAATGCTTCAGCAGATCAAGGCCCCCGTCAATGAAAAGCCTGTATCGCGTGAGAAGCGAATCGAGAATCATGAGAAAGTGTATTCGGGTCTTCACGGAAGAGACCAGGAAGTAGCTGCAGGATATTGCGAAAACTGTCGGGTGCGATACACTGACCTGTCTGTGGTATGTCGATTCTCATCCGTCTACCAGAGTCTGATACTGAATTTCCTTAGCACATCACCTCGAAGAAACATCGGCGCTTTGCCACCGATCCCAGCAACTTTGCATCCCTTGACGAACTCCTCAAACTTCTCGTTCGGCCACTAAATCCCGCCGTCTTCTCACAGCTGCCGCCCGTGTGCGTGACTCCACATGGCAAGGACGACTTGTGCGACATCTGCACCACCGGTCAATTCTTCTCATCCCAGTCGTCACAATCGATAGGGACTGAAGTCGACACGGATAATGACAGCCAAGATTACGCTAGTCAAGGCAGCTTTGACGACCTGATTGTCGACGACTCATGACCCGGCTATAAGATCTCCCCCACGACGCATCACTTTTACGACTATTAGCACAGGACCTCTCGTTTGAGGTATGTCTTTGTATATTCATGCATGAAAATATGATGAGACATGCTGGCGTTCGTGTAATTGTTTAAAGCTCGTCATGGCTGAAGGGAACTTCATCGTCAAAGCTCGCTCCACCTGGTCCGCCGGCTCCATAGAGCTTAGCAGAGATGGGCTTTGAAAGAGTCAGTCAAGCGTCATATGCTGAAGGATTGACTTACTCCAACAATTGCCTGCAACTCGGACAACTGATCCTCAAAGTCCTCAGCCTCAGCTTGTTGGTTCTCCTCGAGCCACTCGGTCTTCTCCTTGATCGCCGCAAGGACAGTCTTCTTGTCCTCATCAGAGATCTTGCCCCCCATGCCCTCGGGATCGTTCACTTGAGATTTGAGGGAGAAGACAAAGTCTGCCGGCGAGTCAGAATAAGATGCAGTGGCAGATGCAGCACTACTCACTTTGGAGGGCATTGACCGCCTCAATACGTTTTCGCATAGCAGCATCCTCATCCGCGAATTCCTCGGCCTCCTGGACCATACGCTCAATGTCTTCTGGACTCAGTCGTCGCTCATCATTGGTGATGGTGATCGACTTGGATTTGCCGGTGCCCTTGTCCAAGGCGGAGACCTTCAGAATACCATTGGCTACAGAACTCTGTCAGCAGATGGCAAACGTAAGAGATAATAGACATACTGTCAATCTCAAAGGTGACTTCGATTTGAGGAACACCACGAGGAGCGGGAGGGATGTCGGTCAGGTCAAATTCTCCAAGTAGGTTGTTGTCCTTAGTCATGGATCGTTCTCCTTCAAAGACTTGGATCCTAACGGTTGGCTGATTGTCGACGGCAGTGGAGAAGATCTGCGACTTTTTCGTGGGGACGACCGAGTTACGCCCAATGAGTTTGGTCATGACACCTCCAGTGGTCTCAATACCTGCGACGACATGAGGATTTGCGACGTCAACGAATGCCATACAACCCACCCATTGTCAAGGGGCACACATCAATAAGAAGGACGCCAGAGCTGCCCTCTTCACCGGACAAAATACCTCCTTGAACGGCGGCTCCGTATGCAACAGCTTCATCGGGGTTGATACCCTTGGAGGGCTCCTTGCCGTTGAAGTACTCTTTCAATAATTGCTGAACCTTAGGAATACGAGTGGAACCTCCAACCAAAACGATCTGCGCATGTCAGCGGAGCCTCTCATATTCTCCAAAGTACTCACGTCGTCGATCTCGTCCTTCTTGACACCGGCGTCCTTGAGAACTTGCTCGACAGGCTTCATGGTCTTTCGGAAAAGATCCATATTGAGCTCTTCAAACTTAGCCCGGGTAAGGGTCTACAAGCTATGTGAGCAATACGAACAAGATTTGGAGCAGACGTACCTCTGAGAAGTCGTTACCGCCCTCAAAAGATTCGATTTCTATCTTGGTGCTCATTTGCGAGGACAAGGTTCGCTTCGCCTTTTCAACTTCACGCCTCAGCTTGCCCATTGCCCTCAAATTCTTGGTGACATCGACATCAGTCTTTCGCTTGTATTGCTTGACAAGGTAGTCGATAACTCGGTTGTCGAAATCTTCACCTCCAAGATGGGTGTCTCCTGCGGTGGCCAAAACTTCGAAGACTCCGTCCTCGATGGACAGAAGGGACACATCGAAGGTACCACCTCCCAAGTCGTAGACGATGATCTGAGATTCGGCCTTTCCAGTCCTGTCCAGTCCATAGGCTGGGAAACAGTGAGCGAAGTCTTGAAAATGATACTCAGATGACTCACCGATGGCAGCAGCGGTGGGCTCGTTGACGATTCGGAGGACAGTCAGTCCCGCAATTGTTCCAGCGTCTCTGGTCGCGGATCGTTGAGCGTCGTTGAAGTCTATGTGGATCAGGACGAGAGTACCTTTTTGGAGGTTGGGCAACTCACAGGCAGGCACAGTGACGACTGCGTGGGTGACTTTGTGACCCAGGTAAGCCTCAGCGGTCTCCTTCATCTTTGTCAAGACCATGGCGGAGATTTCTTCAGGAGTCTGGCGTAGAATGTCAGCTGTGTATCAGAACGAAAGTCTTTGCGTACGAAGTCCTTGGTGCTGCCTCGGCTCTCGACCTCAATCATTGGTTTTCCGCTCTTGTTCCTCAGCTTGAAAGGGAAGTGCTTAGCATCCCTCTGAACGTCTGAGTCGTCGTAGGTTCGTCCAATGAGACGTTTAGCGTCAAAGACAGTATTTTCAGGGTTCTGAGCTGCTTGATTCTTCGCAGCGTCCCCAATCAATCGTTCCTCTTCCGTGAATGCCACCCAGGATGGAGTGATACGGTTTCCTTGGTCGTTGGCGATGATTTCAACCTTCCCTCCACGTTGAACACTGATGCAGATAGTCAGTGGAATGTTTAACTTGCAGAGTTGCTGTGGAGATTACTCACGCGACACATGAGTAAGTGGTTCCAAGATCGATTCCAATGACAGTTCCATAGTCCGGCTTGTCATCCTGAGCTTTGACCTGGCTACCTACCGGCAGGAAGCACAAGATGGCCACAAAGACCAGCGCAAAGAGGGTAATTTTGGACATGAGGGAGCTCGACGCTCGTCGCCGAGCTGGCATCCCGATACGTGATCTACTCATTATGAATGTAGTCTATACCTTGAGGAGAAAGACCGCTCCACCAACTAAGGTATGGATTGTTAGGGATGGTATAAAAATCCCACCCAGGTGTAGACGTGGAGGGGCGTGTTGACCTGGAAAGTTCGGCTCCACGTCGACGGAAGCAAAATTGCCACGTCACCAGATCTATGTCACGTGTTGCTTCTTCAGCCAGATGCAGTACGCGCAGCTGCAGCAGCTGCAATTGGGCCTCGAGCCACTGTATGGTTGCCTTATTCGTCTGGCCGTCGGACTGCTGAGGCAACATGCATTCCACCCTACAGCGCTTGAATCATATCAGCTCGACAGCCACAACCTATGTGCTCATACTCCTTTCCCTCATTTCCATTACATCCTACCTCACACTGCCTCCTGTCGCTCCTGGCAAGCTAGAGATCAGGGATTTGATAGTGTAAGTTGAAGTCAGTCGACCTTCAAATTGACTTCGTAACCAAGGCAGAGAGGCCGTCTGAGACGTTGGGGAGCAAAGGAGGAGGACTTGGCGTCGCTCAGATTCGACCTGAAGACCGACCTCGAGCCGCTGTTGAATTCCTATAACACGAAACAATTATTCCTCTATCTGACCGCGTCGTATACCGACAGTCTGGATGCTCAGGATCATGAAGTAGTCTTGTGGGATCGCATCATCACTCGCGGAGATATTCGTGATCTGCGATCCGTGAACAAGTCCAAGAGCTCAAAGTCAAAGTCAACCAAAAGCAAACGAAGCAGAGCTGGAAGAGGACGGGTCTGGGTCGAGGAGGGGAAGAACAAGTACACATGGAAGATGCCTTCTGGATCGTTCAAGTGAGTATGCCTCCTCATCTCTGGTACCGTGACTGAGTTCAGCACAGAGGCGTACAAAACGCAAATTTGACTGTCTATTATTCTCTTATGCCGTACGTCGGATTGCTGAGTTCTGGGGTAGCTGCGACTGCTACTAGCGCCATACATGTTCCAAATGTGGCCTAGAAAGATGGCAAATGCAGAGAGTATTTTCATCAACCAGATTGGCGGGACAAATGTGGCCTGCCACGCTGAGCCCAGAAATGGTGGTGGTATTGAAGATTTACAGCTCAGTTATATTCAAGTATCGATCAGCAGCTTGTCGTATCATGGTCCTGGCCACCTCGGCCACTCTGCAGACCGGGGACCAAGCCAAAGCAACTGTGGTCTGTGGAACATGATGGTATGGCCATCAGGATGTTTGGATACCATGAATTATGCTGTACAGAGGCTAATACGGAAATCAACTGATAATGAAATAATCAACCCCCCCCCCCTTCGCTTCTCTGTATTTTTCGCCATGTTGACCGATCGATTGCCAAGAGACAGGGCCGCGATCACGCCAGCACACACGGCAGAAAAATGATTTCATTATTCATCTATCCAGTTTTTTGAGTACATACCATCCATCACCTGAATTGACTAGCGACCATGGGGGTGGCTACTACAGATGAGATGGACCTGTTGGAGATATCAGACAAGGATCTTCACATTGCTCTTGCAGCGATCACTATCGAAGCGTCATCGTCCGCCTCGCACTTCTCGAATTGGGCTCGCACGTTTCACTGCCATCCTGAACGCGTGTTGGTCCCGCACAACATATTGCAATGTCGACAGATATTGGAGCTTGCTAGGCGAGAGGGAAAGAGTGTTCATCCAGTCGGTGTCGGGCACTCGCCATCCGATCTGGCTTGTACCAACGGCTGGCTCGTCAAGATGGGCGGGCTGAAAGGTGCGGTCAGGGTGAGTTATCATCAGCAGCACTTTGGGAGTTTGTCATGCATGCAGCGCTGATCCTGGATCAGATTGACGCCAAGAAGCAAACCGCAGTCTTTCGTGCTGGCACTGTACTGCATGATGTCCACGCCATCCTCTCAAAGTCTGAACCTCCCTTGGCTGTACCCAATATCGGATCGATATCTGATCAAACCATTGGCGGCCTAATCTCGACCGCTTCGCATGGCTCTGGAGTGAATTATCCCGTTCTTTCCAAGCATGCGCGGTCCATCACGATGGCGTTACCTCTTCCAGGTGCACCGGTGGTCAAGGTGTCTGCAGACGAGGATCCTGCCTTGTTCAAAGCCAGTTTGTGTGGACTCGGAGCGACAGGAATGATGCTGGAAGTCGAGATTGAGGTGGAACCCGCTTTCAGGCTGAAGGAGGTCAAGACTCCTCACACTGTCGACCACTTCTTTGCCCATTTCGACTCGATCAGAAGAAGCGCAGAGCACGTGAGAGCCTGGTGGTACCCTGATGGTCAAGGCATCGTTGTTGGCAGGGCCAATCGCACATATGAGGTGAGCTTGCCCAAATCGACCCGATACTAACCGGTTCATAGCCGGCTCGGCCAGCCTCATCCGTCCTCGACTTCATCCTCGGATATCACGTCACTCAGTTCTTCCTCCTCATCGCCCGTTTCCTGCCTTTCCTGACGCCTTGGGTCGGGCGTTGGGCTTGGTGGCTTTCCAAAGGTGAATCGGTCGTGGTGGACGATGGGTACAAAGTGCTCAATTTCGATTGCTTGGTGAGTCGGACCCATCATCGCTCGATCACGCGCTGATCCACGCAGTTCCCCCAATATGCTCTGGAATGGGCCGTCCCATCCGAAAACGCTGTACAGTGTATGTCCGAACTCCGATCATGGCTGCAGGAGGAGGCGGAAAGGAGGAACGGCATCCGCGTCCACTTCCCAATCGAGATACGCTGGTCTTGCGCCGATGATATCTGGCTCAGTCCCAGTGTGGATCGCGATACCACTTGGATCGGCGTTGTCACGTACAGGTGAGCCATCAACAGGACGGCAAATCCTGACTTTCCAGACCGTATGGTCTGCCCGTCCCCTACCGACAGTTCCAGAAACGATTTTCGTCTATCTGTGCGGACCACGGCGGTCGTCCTCACTGGGCAAAACAGCACAGCCTGGAACCAAAATCTATCGAGAATCTTTATCCTAATTTTTCCCAGTATTTACAGGTCTTGAACAGGGTCGATCCTCAGGGGATCTTGCGTAGCGAGTACGTCAAAAGGCATATAGAAGGTGTGCCCATCAGTGGTCGCATGTTCAAGAAGCGATCCTAGAACTATAGAGACTAGATGCAAAACGGGGTTATGTACGTTGAAGGACATGGTCGTCGTGATGATACAATAATCATGTGCAGTCTTCGTCACAGTACAGATCTAATCACTGAGCTCGGCAAGCGTTGGTTTGGATTTGCCTTTGCGGCGCTTTACTGTCTCAAATCTCCCGCTCCACGGCTCTTCATCGGCGTCCTGCCTTTTCGTTGAGGTAGATCTCGCTATGCCTGGAGCCCGAAACGCGGACTTGCTGATTTTCCCCAATTCGTTGGCCTTCGTCTTCTTTGCCAGTTCCGGATTCGTTTGAAGCAGCTTATGTAGCATGTCAGCCTCATAGTAAGCGAGCTTGCCATACCTGCAATCCAATTTCGAAGATGCGCCTTTCTTGAGGGGAATCTTTAAAAGCTTCGTTATGGACATGCGCTGGAATCGTCAGTCTGAATTTCATCGTGTTGCAGCTCACAATGGACGCCAAGCCTCTTCAGCATGCTATCCTCCTCCACCCGGGCTGAGTTTAATTCAGTCGGCGCATTGATACGAACTTACGATCATGCGACTCCTCGCCCAAAACATTGGCCAACACCGCTTTCTTCTCCTGCCGTTCTCGAGCCGTCTGGGCCGCTTTGCGTAGATCACGAGCACGCCGAGCATTTCTCATCTGTGAGCCTCCGTCATCATCTTCAAGCTTCATACTTCAGCCTGATCCCGTTACAGTGTGAGGGGATACCCACTTCGCTTTCTTCAAGTTCATCCTCTTCCTCGTATCTGGTCTCGACCATATCTTGTACGAACTGATCTTCGGCCAACATGACTCGCTCGAGCTGTTGCATCAGTCTCGACATCAGGCACGACACATACGTTCCCTTTCATGAACCCGCGAGGATCAAATTTGAAGATATTATGGGTGCCAAAGAGTTCCCCTTGGTCTGCCTTGCCACGAGCGCCGTCGTAGCCTTGGTGAATGCGCCTTTCAAAGGTGCCCTCATTCAGTTGCCGAGCGCGTTGCTGCTTGTGGACTGCTTCCATCAGCTCGGTATCGCATGTAGCTAGCTGACCTTGTCTCTCGTACATTAACTCCTCCAGCGTTCCAAGACCAATCAAGCGATAAACATCTCTGTCATCGGTGTTATGGAATGCTAAAGATGGCCGATATACTCACACAGTGCGCTTCTGACCTATTCGGAATGCTCGGTCCATCGCTTGCAAGTCATTTGCAGGATCTTGCAGACTTTCAGTATGAAGTCGCGTCGTAACATGACTCACTCCACGCGGGGTCGAAGATCACGACCTTGTTGGCCTTTCACTCAGGTCGACATAGGGGGAAGCGCCTTTACTCTTGCTTCACTCACTGCAGTCAGGTTGAGACCCACGCCACCGGCCATCGTGCTGATGAGCAGAATATACAAGTCCTGCTTAGGATCCTGAAAGCGATCGACCATGTCCATCCGTGTGTTGGTATCCACTTCGCCTGTGAGGATATCGAATGAGTAGCTCACTGAAGGTGTCAAGGCAAAGTCTAAGCGGCCGGGCTCACAAGATGTCGAGATAAATTCAGCGACCATCTTGAGAAGCCGAACAGAGTTAGAGAAGATCAGGACTACAGAGGCAGATTTAGCATCCTTGTGATTTCGTCGGCGATATCCTTCCCACCCTTGTTATCCGCATCCTCTTCGCGCCATTCTCGAAGCATCGTGGACAAAAGCTGGCACAGTCAGGAGTGAGGATCAAGTCAAACAAGGTTGCTTACCGGCCATTTGCCACAATTTGACGGATCCCTACGTAACAGTAGTCACGTCAACTTACGCCTTCCTCAATGGTTCTTCACCCAACTTACAATGCAGCGGCTATAGCACTGTGTTGTCGCGGATTGTAGTCCACGCCCATCTGATTTCGCGATGAGCGCGATCCCCTAAAATTAGATATTGGGCGTGACTCACACAGATTCTGAAAAGCCCCTTGTTCACATCACGCTATATGATCTTAGCATAGGAGACAATACAGACGCACTGAACTGGACGCATCGTCTTTGGCTTCAAGATGATCAGCATCCGCCTCCTCGACCTTCCATACCTTGATACAAGAGCGCTAGATGCTAGAGTGTTTAACCACAGGTACGTGGCCCCTCAGCTTACATTTGATACCTTGACGAGGGCGTTGATGCTGCCGGAGAGTCATTATTGGTCCACCTGCAGATTTTCACTCACTACTTCAGTATCAGGAACTTGACCGGCTCGTCGGCAGCGTTGGCAGGATGACAGCAGTGCATGCGCCTGGTCGAGATCCGATCAACATACCAATCACACCACGATACGTACGCCAAGTCTGAGCCACAGCCACACGGATCATTTCGTCGGAGAATGAATTGCACATCTGCCTCTGCTCAGCAGCTGTCCGAAGATCAAAGAGATCCATGAGTTTATCTCACCATCCGAAGCGATCAACTCCTTGTATGCGACGACCTGATTGTCCCCAAGGGGACAGAAAACAACCAGGTCCTTTTTGATGGGTAACTGTTATGATAAGCAGATTTCAGACACGAGCATCATCCACCTCATTTGCAATCAAACGCTTGTCCCTCCGTAGATAGAATCTGGGGAGCACTTTCGTCACCATGATGCCCAATCGTTGCTAGGGATAGATGTCAATTTTGCGAATAAATCTGCAGAGCAAGCCACTGACAATAGCTTCGACAACCTCTTTGGCCGTCCCCTCTCGCCTGTGTCCCATTTTGATGGGATTGACCGCAAATTCGCGCCATTCTCTAATGGTACCGGCATTTCCCCGTTGAACCTAGCCTTTCAGCCAGCTGTGGACCGCTGAAGATTGCTCACAAAATCGAGGACGCTCCACATTTCGTCGATCCTGTTCTGGATCAACGTCCCTGTGAGGGCAAAGCACTGGGCATGTTGTATCTTTTTCAGGGCCAGAGACACGGCCGCGCGAGGTTCCTTCAACCGGTGAGCTTCATCGGCAATGACCACCCTAGGACGGATTCAGAATTGGCCTACGAGCCTCAGATTCACTGACGAGATGGGCATTGCCTTGATGGTTTCGATGTGAATTCTGGCGGTCTCGTACGATATCAGGACTGGAGATGAGCGACATGCGAGTGGTCATTACCTACCAATATCCAGATAGCCTCGTAGGAAGGAGCTCTGTGTGTCTTTCCAATTATCACTTAGCCACGATGCCGTTTCAAAGAAGCCCCACTGAGATACACGTCAGGGCATTCTTGTTGTGGGCTCGATACACGCACGGTGTCTAGTTCCCGTTGCCACTGCGTCGATGTAAGCACGATCTGAGAATTGTATACCCACATTTTTGAGCAGAAATTTGGGACACACAATCATCGCTGTGGGCCAGAATTTTGGGGGTATATCTCGACCTCCTCGCCTGATGAGCGATTTACGACGACGATAATCATCCACGGTGCCGCTCTTCCGCATGATAGCAGACAGCTTGACACCGTTAGCACGTTTGACTCAGATACGAAGCTGAATGACTTGCAAAGGCAATTACTTGAATGGTTTTACCAAGACTGACGTACAGTCAGATGTGAGAAGTCTTCTGTCCACTTACCCCATGTCATCGCCCAAGATGGCTCCAGTGCCTTGACGGTACTTCCGGAACAAGAATTCTGCACCCTGACGTTGGTATACTTTAAGATATCTGTTGATAGAAGCCGGAACCTGGATGTCTGGTTCTGCGGAATCGAGAATCAAGGGATGATCCAAGCTGGGATCGAAGGGCATGCGGAACGATGGTCTAGACTCAGGAACGACATTCGGCCTAGGTATAGCCTGAGGCTGACTCTGAGTGCTTGTGTCTAATTTGGAAAAGCTCGTCAGAGATCGGCAGGGAGATGTGCCCGGCTCACCAGCGAACATCTCGTCCTCAGAGTAGCATCCGTCTTCCTGATCCAGAGCATGAGTTTCGTTGAGGGTGTTGGCTTCTAAGGCAGAAACACTTGATGCTCCGACAATCTGATCCATATCGGGGACGATAACTATCTCGTCCTCATAATCATAGTCCTGACCGGTTTCCTCGTCATCCACTTCGGATCCAGGCTGATTCCGCTCAGTGGACCCAGAAAATGGAGGGGTGGCCTCGGCTACGGGACTTTGTACAGAGAAAGACTCAGTGATGTTCTCTGTGACGCTGCAGATGCGCGTTGGTGACTCGATCAGGGGCTCTTCAGGGTCCAGAGCTATCCAGAAGCTTTTTCAACGAGTCGTCTAACCTTTACCTACCGGCCATCCTTTCCAGCGGATTAAAGGGCAATAAGACCTCTGCATAGAGTCAGATCGATATGATATCCCGCACTGATCATAATTGAAAGGTGAGACTGTCTGCTGACCACTCACGTCCTTCATACTGCAGTTCTCTATTGTTGTCACGTTTCCTGTGTCTTGGTTCCAGATCAGAGCTAGACTCAAGATCGCTACTGTTGGCATCCTGCCAGTAGGAGGACCTGGGATCTTCAGTCTTGCGCTTGCGTGGAGCTCGTTGCTTTGATTTTGTACCCAGGTTCTTCTCCGACTGCAGGCGATTATATTCGTCTGTGTCCCGCAATACCTCTTCCTCAAAATCATCGCCCTCAACTGAACCGGAGATGTCAGCCGTGAGCGTCAGTGAAGTGCGTTGAGGTATGGGCGACTGACGAGGATCTCTGGCGGAAACTAAATTCAGTCTTCCCGGCTTTGGCATCTTTGATCTGACTACATGTTCTGTGGAGATGCGAGAAATGTCATTCCAACCTGAAACATGGGATTCCAAAACGGCGACCGACACCGCGTTTAACCGGTCAACTCAACTTTCCCACGATCGACTCTCCTCCGAAACGAGCTCACTTTCGGGTTTCAGATGGGACATTCTGAATGGTGAGTTAGTTAGCCTTGACTGTTGAGAGGAGGATGGACATCTTCAGCAGACTACCGCTCCTCCCTCGTCGGATCGTCCAATCTTATCTTCAAGATGTGTCTCCGCAGCAGAGAAGATTGTTCTCGTCGACATGCACCGTCGCCGAGTCTTCGAAGAAGTATTCGGCCACCCTGCTATTGCCCAAAACTGAAATGCCTACGAGACACAAGAAGCCTGTAGTTGAAGAGCAAAGGCTGCGAGCCAAGACTACAACACGTCTATACGCCTGGCAGGTGAATCATAGCTTTGATCTGTGCTCGTTGAAATCAATTCACTTCTATAATCTCAGAACGAGCATCGATCAGGGCCTCTCTTTGTTCTGCACGACGGCCCCCCTTATGCGAATGGTAACCTTCACATGGGTGTGTCACTCGTGCATAGAGCCTGCGGGGAGCTTACTGGATCTAGGTCATGCTCTGAACAAGGTCCTGAAGGACTTTATAAATCGCTACAAACTCCTGCGTGGCCATCGCATACAGCAAGTCAAGTGATTCAGGGGCCGCGACTGACGTTGATGCAGCTTCGTACCAGGCTGGGACTGTCATGGATTGCCGATCGAGCAGAAAGCTCTGTCGAAGCTGACAGTGAGCGGTCGAATGCGATCAGCGGACTGACAATGGAAGAAAAAGCATACAGAACTTGATCCCATCGAAATCCGGAGGATAGCCAAGGCGGAGGCTCTTGAAGCTATCGTGACGCAGAAGCAAGAATTCCTAGACTTGGGAATAATGGCCGATTGGGATTCTGATTCAAACACATACCGGTCTCTTGGTGAGCTGCTGGTCAGTGAACGAAAGCTGATGGACAAAGATCATGACTTCGAAATGAGAGAGCTCAAGCTTTTCGAGCGCATGGTTGAGAGACGTAGGAGCAGGGCATCGATGGAGGCTCACGACTATCTAGGCCTTGTTGCTTATCGCAAGCGTCCGACATATTTTTCTCCGGCATCGCGAACTGCACTGGCCGAATCAGAATTGACCTATCGTGAAGATCATCAGTCAAGGTCAATCTATGTGGCATTTGAGGCGGATACCAGCCAGCCTTCTCCTGGTCTCAAAGCGGCTTTAAGCGAGGTCCAGTCAAAGACGGGAGGGGACCCAACTTTGAAACTCGTGATATGGACGACAACGCCATGGAGTTTGCCCGGGAATGCCGTAAGTCTGGTCACATCGAGCGCAGAATCGCCTGACCCTCCTCGAAGGGAGTTGCCATCAATAAAGACGCAATATACGAGGTCGTATCGAGAAGCGATGGGCAAGCTTTGGTGATCATGCAGGACCGAAGACCCCATCTTGAGGAGATTTTGGGACCGTGTAGAGTGCTCGCCACCATACGAGGTAAGCTCCACCGCTTCTGATCGAGTTTGACCATTTCAGGGGAGGATCTGATCGGAACGCCTTATTATCATCCATTTCACGGTCGTAACTCCTCCGAGAGGGCACCAGTCGTGTTCCACTCGGACAATGTCAGCAGTAGCTCTGGTACCGGTCTAGTTCACTCTGCACCTGCCCATGGACACGATGACTACACCGATTTTCAGGCACTGGGTCTGCTCCCAGATGTACTGCGTTCACCAATAGATGACAGCGGATGCTTCACGGCGGAGGTTGGACAGTGGTCGCAGAGCGATGTGGCAGGATCATTAATCGGTGAACCCGTTCTTGGCAAAGGTACAGCGCTCATGATCGACTTGTTGGGGCGAGATGGATGGCTTTTGGCCGAAGCAAAGCACAAGCACAAGTATCCTTATGACTGGAAGTCTCACACCCCGGTCATAGTCCGGTGAGTCGAGCTATTGAATACTCACTCACGGACAGTGCCACATCTCAGTGGTTTGTCTCACTGGAAAGCCTTCGGAGCTTGGCGATAGACGCGCTGGATAAGATAGCATTCCATCCGGCTCAATGTGAGAATGAAGATAAATCGAGGGCTGACATGCCAAGCGCGACAACGTCTGGAATCCTTCTTGCAAAGCCGAGCTGAATGGTGCATCTCACGACAGAGGAGCTGGGGTGTACCTATCCCAGTTCTGTTCGATTCGGATGATCGGCCAATCTTAGACAGAGCCAGTCTCTCCCACAACATCTCGGTGCTCAAAGAGAAAGGTGCTGATCATTGGTGGTCTGGTCCCATCCGAGATTTTGCTGGAAACCAAACTGGCGCGCATAGGAGTATGGATACGCTCGATGTGTGGTTCGACAGCGGCTCGACATGGACCTTGTTGAACGAGCTCGATCGTGGGGTTTTCACTGCCGACGTCTGCCTTGAAGGTTCAGATCAGCATCGAGGCTGGTTCCAATCTCAGTTGTTCACATTGCTTGCCCAGGGTGAAGGTCGTCTGCCTTATAAGTCGCTCATCACCCATGGTTTCATCCTTGACGAGAAGGGCTCGAAAATGAGCAAATCAGCGGGCAATGGCTTATCGCCTTCAGACATTGTACACGGGGTCGAGGTGGGGTAATGCGCAATTGGCAATCACTCACGATGCCAACAGAATAAAGCAGGTTATGGTGCCGACGCACTGCGGCTCTGGGCTGCTTCTGTCGATTACCAGCGAGACGTGACGTTAGGCCAATCAAGCCTGACCCAGGCTGCGGAGACATTGAGACGACTGCGCAGCGTTTCACGCTTCCTTGTCGGTGTCACTGGGCCCTACTCAAAATCGTCTAGCGAAACTGCTTCCAAGTTCCTGGTGAGTTATCCAGAGGGTCTCTGGGCGCTGATGGAAGCTGGATCGCTACATACTCGATGAACTCGCTTCCGTTGAGCGAGAGGTGGCGGCAGCATACGAGAGCTTCGCATTCAACCGAGGTAGGTCTAAGCGTTCGTACACAAGGGCTCAGACATTCGCAGCTTTGAATGCTATTACAACTTTCTGTGCATCGACGACGTCGACACTCTATTTCGATGTGATAAAGGACATTCTGTACTGCAACGCTGTTCACGATCCAAGGCGCGCTGCGGCGTTGCAGGTCTGCCGACAAGTGAGGCTCGGGCCATGACCAACACTCATGATCAGGTACTGCAGACCACCTTGAAAATGATGGCGCCACTGGTCCCCCATCTCGCTGAGGAAGTACACGAAGCCTGGACAGGAGGCTCGTGTTCAGTCTTCGAGGAGGTATGGACGCCTCGGGTGAGTTGTGTGGCCATCGGAATATCTTGCTTAGAACTCAGACGACATCTGACGAGGTTGCCCGTAACCTCACTATGCCCTTGCTGCGTCTCAGACAAGCCGTCATAAACATTGGAGAAGTCGCTCGGACTGACGGGCGAGTGACTTCCATGGACCGACGCCTCGAGCTGACATTCGCGTGCAGGTCCCTTGGGCAGCTTTCCGAGGCTGATATGTGGATTACTGGGTCTGGCTCTGCCAGCCAAGCGACTATAGAGAATTGTGAGGGAGAGGCGCACACGGGGACACCGCTGATACAGCAAAGTATTGTCAAATGAGGAGATCATACCAGTCTCCCAAATCAAGCAAGGGGTCCCTCCGTCAGACAGGACGGTCGTAGCGACTACGAATCTGATCTTAGGTAAGTTACAGCACGAAGCGAGTCATGTCCTCCTCTACTTCTCTGATCACGCATACAGGCGACGATGCCGACTATGAGATCAAGTTGACACGGAGCGTACTGGTCAAATGTCCCCGTTGTTGGAAGCATCGATCGACCAGCGAAGGCCAGCTCTGTGCTCGATGTCAAGGCGTAGTAGTGATGGAGTGATCATGCCAATGCAATACAGGTCTGCATCAGGGATACAAAGCGACGGCCGGCAGGTACGCGAAAGCTGCGTGCGACACGTCATTCCTTTTTCAAACTTAATTGCCACTTTTTTGGGGGTCGATCGTCGGCATCTGATACAACGAAATCTCCTCAAGTGCCGAAGATCGACATGTCCATTACATCATTTTTATTATCATTCATGAAATCTTGACTAAGGGATTCCCACGAATGAATGATGAACATCGAGGGTATTTGGATTGATTCGGTTGGTGGCTTAATTGAAAGACGGGGGGCGGTATTCACATCATCATCATCGTCGTCATCATCACCCTATAACAACCTGCCCCCATCGCCGCCACCCGTCGTCTTTGCGCCGATAGACTCCCAGACTTTCCGACTGACCGACTCCACACAGTCACCGTGGCATGCGGAGAGAGAAACGGACACTCAAAAAAAAGGGTTTGTACACATCATCAGTTCCTGTTTTTCAATGTCTCTTTGCCTCTCGCCCTCCGCCTCTCCCCACCGCGATTGTCGTGCATGCAATGCATTCCTCGAGCGCACTCGTATGGCCCGATGATCACCGCGGTGTATGGGCCCTGGGTCCCCCCCCGACCCTTTCGGCCCCTTCTCCGTCATCTGCCCGAGTCCCCCGGCTGAACGAATACTCACTTTCTCTGGTCCGCACCCTTATGGTCATCCCTCACCGCCCTGTCGATCATCACCTAATCTACCTTGTCTGTGGAAGGCAACTTTGGCGCCCATTTTTTCAATAAATTGCCGCCGCCGCCGCCCCCGCCCGCTCGCTGTCGGCGCGCCTGTAGCAGAGAGCACCGATAGCTTGTTGAGAGGGGAGGGAGGGGCCGAAGGGGGGGAGGGTGATTCCAAAAGATCCCACTGTACGAAAACTCAAAAATCGTCGTCACCAAAAGCCAGCAGATCGGTAAAGCAATAATCCATAATCATAAAAACACACACAACATGGAAAATCATAAAAAGTACCTAGTATGCCCACCCACCCGATCATCCATCTTTCATTCCTTCTCTTTTCCATGTCGATACCATAAGAGAGATCCTGCATGTTGCAGTCAGTATCGTCACTCGAACACCCCCTCGACACCTCTGATCCCCACCCCTCACTTCCGACATCTTATTACCCGTGCCAAATCTCGTGGCCGACACCTGCTGAAATCACCACCTGCAGCAGCCACAGATCATGTCAGCCGGCGACAGTGAGGACGAATCGTCTTCTCGCCCGACGACATCCATGCGACATCAGAGGTATTCCACCAGTCATTCAGAGGATACATCTAAGCGGTCGAGATCCTCCGTCGCTTCGTCGGTCGATGAACGCCAGATGAGTTTAGATCGCTCTCTTGGATATTCTCGATCAGATCAACCTTTTTTTGACGACAGTAACAATAGACAGCAAAGTTTACATCTCATGCACGATGGCGACCCTTCCTCGATCACGAATCATTCTCATCCACCCAGAGCGGGATCATCTAGAGGAGAAAATCTCACAGTGAGACGTCGTGAGGCCAATCGATTGGCCGCACAGAGATTTAGAAGCAGGAAAAAAGGATATCAAGAGAGTCTCGAGGAGAAAATCAGACAGCTTCAGGAGGAAAATGCCGCCTTGCTTAATCGTATGGAGGGCAGGCCAAACACATTCGGAGGGCACTACGACCTCCCTTTCGAGCCCATGCCTCATGAAACATCCATGCCGGGTATGGACCGACCAACGACCGTTGCAGAGCCATCCTCCAATTCCCAACAGCACGGACCTGGACCGGACATTCGGATCGCAGCGCTTGATTCTGCAAACCGAAGGCTGCAAGAGGAGAACCGTAATCTCGAAGAGGAACTGAGGAGGATGTCTGGGGAGCTAGAGATGTGGAGACGATGGTCCCGTCAAAATCGAGATAGGGCTCCTTGGCCACACGAATCTCACCCGGTAAGTCCTATTTCCTTACTCGCGATAAATCACCTACTGATGGTCCTTCCGCAGCCACCATTTCATCGGGCTCAGTCGCACGACACCATTCCAAGATCGCTATCAACCTTTTCAGACTTGAGAGCGAGTCAGACGACGGCTGATGGTCAAATGCCGCCCCCTACTTTGCCGCCTCCTCTCGCAATGTCCGTCCACTCCTCTACGGGTACACCAATCAGGCTGCCACCCATTCGCTTGACACCGCCACCACCTCCACCTCCACAGCATCGACGATCGACCTCCAACAACGACAACGGGGGCATCAGCGCCACAATCAAACGAGAATCATAATCTTGTCAAATCGCATTGTTGCATGGATCTTATGCATTATTCTTGCTGCCTCGAACCGCGTCACATGAGATTCGTTACGTAATTAGTAACTCCAGGGCTTCGTTCTCACCGACTGTCATGCTTCTATCTACACGCAACGCCAAAGCATGTGCGAGACGGATCGCTGACAACGATGGATTTGGCGGCAGAGGAGAACAAGCGCCGCGCGGACAGATGTGAGGTTTAGTGACGTTGGTGTGCTCATTTCCAGGGATCAAGGGTATCAAGGTGGGAGAAGGGACATTCGCCAATGTGTACAAAGGTAGATGATCGCTGTTCCTGTGCGAATTGAGCGACACTCAAAGTAGCATTGTACAGGAACTGAAAAAGTGACCGGACGTCAAGGTATGCAGTATCATTTCGGCTGCGACCATGGAGGTGACCAAAGTCCGCAGTCGCTATCAAGAAGATCAAGATTGGGGAAATGAAAGACGGCTTGGATATGACCGCTCTACGCGAAGTCAAGTTTCTGCAGGAGTTAAGGCATCCTAACATCATCGAGGTACCGTGCGCTCTTGAGAGGCGCTGACGTGCACTTCCCAGCTCTGCGATGTCTTCTCCGTCAAACAAAATATCAATCTTGTCCTCGAATTCTTGGACACGGATTTGGAAGCGATCATTCGAGACAAGGACCTCATCATTCAACAGGCAGACGTCAAAAGCTGGATGTTAATGACACTCAGGGGTCTCGAATATCTGCATCGGAATGGTGTGCTCCATCGAGTAAGGCGAGCTGGAAAAGCATCCTCTGAGCGAACCCATAGGATCTCAAGCCCAATAATCTGCTTATTTCTGCCGATGGGCTCACAAAAATTGCTGATTTTGGTCTGGCGAGGGAATTTGGCGACCCTGGTCAGCGAATGACATGTCAAGTCATCACGAGGTTCGCAATCTCAACAGCGTGCACTAAGCACTACGCATGCTGATAAATCAAAGGTGGTACCGCCCACCGGAGCTGTTATGGGGAAGCAGACACTATTCGTCATCAGTGGATATGTGGTCGGTCGGCACAATTTGCGTAGAGCTTGTATGGCGGGCACCTTTCTTACCGGGCGAGACCGATCTAGATCAGCTTAAGAGGACATTTGAGATGATGGGCACGCCGACAGATGACGAATGGCCGGTAAGTTCCGCGTCGGTATTTTCCTTGCCCCTGTTTGCTGACGCCGTCTAAATCAGGGGCACAAGGAGCTGCCAGACTATCACCCGACAGCCATGCATCCTAAACAGCCCTGGTGGACCATCATAGCCCCCCTTGGTGCCGAAGGCGTAGAATGCGTTCGGGAGATGCTCAAATACGATCCGAAAGCCAGACTCACAGCTGAGCAGGTGAGTCTCGTGGTGTAGACCAACCGGAACAGGCCTAAGTGCTGTATAGGCCCTACAACATCGCTTTTTCTCCGTGCTCCCCCGGCCAACAGCTCCTCGCCTTCTGCCAAAACCCAAGGCCGAACTCCGGCCCAGAGCGCTCGCTCCTGACGAGTTTACGGGTAAACCACGGGTTGAGAATGGGAACAGCATGAAGAGAAAAGCAGAATCTCCTGCTGTTGAGCCTTCGGATGGCAAGCGTGTTGCACGTAGACTATTTGTGTGAAATCTGCCGGGTAGATCTATATATGTCTAAGATTATGCGTGAGGCCGTTATGTAAGCAAAACAGCCACAATCCACGTCTCTCTATAAACTCACTCCTTTGACCGAGGCTCTCAGCCCATTATTTTGTCCTGGAACGGACATCTCCCAGCTGTCATCTCGTGCTCATCATCTTCACCTACTACCGCGCAGAAGAGAAGCATTCTTGAAGTAGGTGGTGCTGTTGGGGAAAAATTGGATAGGATCTCCGGTGATTGTAAAGCAATCTCGGTCAACATCGTCCTCACGCGCAGCTCGTGGCTCGGTCATTCTCCAGCATGCCGCTCATCAATCGTAAACAAAAGGACAAGGCAGTCGATGAGGGAGGAGACCATGCAAAGAAAGACAAGGTCAAATTTTCAAAGCGCCCAGCCAGTCAGTAGCGAAAAGAGAGAGAGAGAGCATCCATCGCTTACTACCTCGTCAGATACCGCTTTCAAGCAACAACGACTTAAAGCTTGGCAGCCCATCTTGACGCCAAAAGCTGTTCTGCCCACCTTATTCCTGATTGGCATCATCTTCGCTCCCATAGGTGCTCTGATTGTCTGGGGCAGCGGCAAAGTCACCTCCATCACGTTGGATTACACGGAATGCGATTCCCAGGCACCGACAGACGGTCAATTCCAGTCCCTCCCAGGGGACAAATATGATTGTGAGTCTCTCGGTCCCGTCGACCGCGCTTTTAGAATATGGCGTGCTTACAATCTCATCCAGACGACCTTGCGACCTCATCATCAGTGTCAAGTAGTTCTATCACAGCGCCGACATGGTCCTTCAGTAACGACTCCTCTCGTGCTGTCGGAGAACGAGCACGGTGCGAGATCGAATTCGAAGTCCCTTATGACCTGGGTGAGTTCGTAGGAACGCTGGAAAACGCATTCTGACCAACGGCCCGATAGGCAAGGGCGTCTTCCTGTATTACAAGCTCACAAACTAGTGAGATCAGGCATTCGAGCTTGAGATTTCGCTCTTTCTGACTCTGGTCATTGCAGTTATCAAAATCACCGACGATATGTCCAAAGCGTCGATACCTCGCAGCTTCGGGGCTCAGCACAATCTGCGTAAGTTATACAAGCTTAGGACTGCACGTGGCCTTACTCGGTTAGATCCACTCTGGATGGCGGAGATTGTAAACCCATCACCTCGCAAAATGGCAAGCCGTATTATCCTTGTGGGCTTATCGCCAATAGCGTTTTCAATGGTGAGCTCGGAACCAGAGCTCCTGTCGTTCTATCTGATGCTCGATAGACACATACCCTCAGGTGGTTCTCCTGAATCCATCCAGTACGTCCCGCCTGCCATGACTTGAGCTTAAATCTAGACGGCGACTCAAACCAAACATACAACTTCACAGACAAGGGTATTGTTTGGAGCGGCACCTCCAAGAACTATGTTTCATCTCCCGGTTATCCCTCTCCGACAGACGCTCTGCCTCCGCCCAATTGGGCCGAGAGATATCCCAACGGATATACTGATGAAACTGGCTTTCCCGATCTAGCCAGCGACGAGCACTTCCAGGTCTGGATGCGTATAGCTGCTTTCCCGACATTCCGCAAGCTTTGGGCTCGCAACGACGACGAGATCATGAGCAGCGGCAGGTATCGAATCACCATTTACATGAGTGAGCTCCAGCACCACTTGATCTTGCGCAGTTTTCTTACTTCGGCGCAGACTATCCGGTCAAGCAATTCTCTGGCACCAAGTCCGTGGTGATCTCCACTGTCAGCTGGATTGGCGGCAAGCAACCCTTCCTGGGCTGGGCATACATCGCTGCCGCCATCTTGTGTGTGGTACTGGCCATCGCTGGTCTTCTGAGACATTTGATCAAGCCCCGAAAATTGGGAGACATGAGCTGCAAGTCACGATGTTTGCATGATGCGCAGTGCTGATCAAGTCACAGTGCTATCTTGGAATCAATGATTCAAGAACGAGATCGTGACAGATTGATAGATCGGAGCCCAGGGCCTGATGACGCCTAAATTCGTGTTGTGTGACGTCTGGTTCCAGTTGATAGGGATGCATGATTAGACATTTTCGCCTAGAACCACATGGATACGCTACATCCCGGCGCCTTCCCAATACCTTGCATCGCGTGCCACCAGCCTGGAGGGAGAAGCAACAAGTCGCCAGGGGCAAGCACGGTTTCCATCGCTTCTGGAAACACGTACCGATGAAAGTCCGGAAACGAGGTTCGCATCTGATCTTCCGAGCATTTAGCCTGGAAGACCGGGACAGAAGACGTGTTTGTCATGTACTCGCTCACAGAGAGCACTCCGTCCCCAGCATCTGGCCGATGCGGAGCCATGAAAGGAGTACACGCGGGCGCTGCAAGCCAGACACGTTTGTGACCCAGCACCTGTGCGAAGCAGTTGAACGTCGGGTCCTGCGACGAAGGTCAGCCCAACACCTTTATATTCTCCAGAAACGCAAAACGACTGACGGTGTGAGCAGGTGTTGTGACACGTGCATCGCCCGGACCAAACCAAATGTTGACCGCAGGCGAGGGCAAGGTCGAGCTCTGTGGTCGATCTGGATTGGCGGACATATCTGGAGCTGACCACACGTAATCTGGCAAAAAGAAGTCCCTTTCCAGTTGCGGGAATTGACGGCCGAATTCGTACTGCGCGAGATACCATGGCCCTTCAGACGTGATGGGAGTCATCAGGATATCCTGCTCCGGATCAACTGCAATCTGATAACCGGCGCGTTGAAGGAAGGATCTGAACGGTACAATCGCCTGCGTCCATTCTGGTCTGTCATAAGATGTGCCAATTTCGACCGGTACCCATCTTCCGTCTCCTACTGCATTCAAAAGGTAGCTGGCAGAGCCCCAGCGGTGGATGGCCGGCCACTCTGGGCATGGACCTGACTGAGACGAAAGCATTGCCCCCGGCAGCAGAATTGGACCACGATCTGCAATTGTCTGGTACTCCGCCAAGTCCAGATGTGCTGAGCGACGTGGAACCGAACGGGTACTCCAAGGGCTTCCTGAAACAATTTCATCGATGTCCGGATCGGCTTGAAGCGAATGTGCCTCTTGAATGCCAAAAGAAAGCTTTGCCAAAGAACTCTGAGCGAGCTGTATACACTCATGACACCAGTCTAGTCGGTGGGCTCCAATAGCACCGGAAATGATGATAGCGCTGTCCAGTCGCCGCAGCATCTTCAGCCATGTAGTCCGGGATGCTGGCTCCGACCCGGAAGTGTAGAGCTGCAGCTCTAGCGCAGTCCACATCAGGGAGGCATCGGTATGCAGCTGCAGCCAGTGTCGGCCGACCTTCGCGTAGGGAACGGCGTTGATTTGGTCGTCCGCAAGCTCAAGCAGTAACCTCAACTTGGCGATGATGAGCCGAGCATCCTCGGAGGATCGGGCGCAAAGGACAGACGATCCGGCGCGAAGGGTGGAAAGAACAATGTCTGAACAGTCTCCAAGAACTTGAGTGGGATATCAATTTATGTGTCGTCTGGAGTTGACCAAGCGGATAACGTACTTTTCGTGGATTCCGCTTCAGCATTGTGGAGCTCCTCAAATATCGCAGTAGCAAGCTGATCCATCGCTGTCTTCCGTGACGACTCACGGGCCCCGTTAGAGGTTCCCTCAACTGAGGGGCATTGCAGTTGTGCGGTTGTCATGGAATGGAATTCTCTGGTCACTAGACAGCTGGAATCTCGGGATCCTCGGAGCGGCACGTGACAATTCCCACGAAGGCGTACATGTGTTCATACTGCATTATCAACCTCCGAACAATGTTACAACGAGATACATGGTTGAGCAGACGAAGCGGAATATGGCCATCCCCGCGATGAAGACTGAGACAGTCAGCAAACACTAAAGTTTTACTGACTTAGCACTATCAGCATATAGATCGCCGAGCGGTTTGCACCAGTGTTGCTGAATGCATCCACCGGGTTGCCTCCGGACAAGATCAAGCTGGCCATCAGAGCATTCGACAGGGCCCATAGGAGCAATAACTACGAATATATCAGCGAAAAGCGAATGATGAGATATGCAGTTGAACCGACATTTGTCCTGAAATTGGCCTACACATCATCTCAGCTAGAATGTTTAGAAACGCCAGACCCACATAAATGTCTTTCTGCTGCTGCTCTGTCGGCACCTTCCGGATGGGGTTCTCGATGTCTTTCTTGACCTCTTTGGCACGAAGCTTGTCGAGTGAGTCCTGATAGGCTATGTCGATATCCTGCTGCGCAGAAACCAATTCCACTTCGACCTGGTCACCAACTCCTTGTACCAATCCCAGATCCACTGCAGGTCCGTGATCCGATCCTTTGGTACCCCAGGAGAGATCGTGACTACCACACAGTCAGTACACAGGTAATGCTCAAGGAATTGCGAATCACAGATTTGAATATGCGTACTGCGAACCAGTCAACAGACCGAAACTCTCTGGGAGGCCGCTCACTCACAACATTGAGCTTAACGGAGGGCGTTCTCAGCAGTGTTCAGAGGCTTGAGGACTTAGTCAACGGCTCACAACATTGATGTATGCTGCATCGCCCGTAAGTTCTGGGAGCGCGGACTAGGATCAAACCGCTCACTGGGGGAAAACAAAATATATTGGGCAAAACATGTAAAGAGATGCCTACCACTTTCAGCCACGAAGAAGCTGCGTAACGCACCAAGGGTCTAGGGCCAAAAGACTGGAGGCAACATAGACACCATAGGTTGAACCCAGAGAGATGATCATCCTCGCGAAGACTGGTGAATCGAAGTTTCGCACAGCTTTGATGCTACAGAGAATAGCGCAGGCCAACATACTGGTAAGAAATCAGTCCGACTGCAGCTTGTGGATGGTGCTCACTAAGTAGTGAGGATAGCGAAGAAATAGATGGTGAACTTGTATTTCCATGGTGCCCTGCTTTGTCAGACTCGCTCCAGAAACGTCGATTCACCCTTGAGGGCGATTGCCCATCCCAAAAATGAAACACGCGACCAATGCTCCGAGGTAGCCGTACTACAGGGCGGTAAGAGATTGAGGATGAGATCGACAGACCTGTGCCACCGTGTTCAATATCGCAATATGGGGAACATCTAGGACACCTCCTTGCAATGAGCTCGTCAAGATGATCTGTAGCTATTCAGCTTTCAACCGAGGGAAGTGACTCAAGACTGACGAAGAACATGTAGAAATTGGCGAGGGAGAACCAAGTAAAGAAGAGATTTAGTGCGATGTATGTGAATTCCAGCATGAGGGCTGCCTTCCGCAGAAAAGAGTGGTCAGACTGCCAGATCTGTCCTACGTGCATGAGGGAATAGAGCTATGCCGAGATCAGAGGGTGTCAAGATAGAGTATCTCACCGCGGCGAATAATGAACCATTAAGCCAGCTACGAGAAACATTCAGCTGAGCTCCTTCTCTCGCTATGCACACACCGTCTGCGTTGTGCGATAAACTCGGGAATCGTTTCCGGGCAATCTGTCTCGCCTACAGCTGACTTGACGTATTTGAGTACCCAGTTTGCCTTCGCCTTCGCTCTACAATCCTTAGAGTCAGCCTCGCCGATCTGGGGGCGGGAAGCTGAAAGTGAGATATTGAGCAACATACACAATTTCGAAGCACAGTATACGATCTTCAGCGAGATACTACGCCACATCAGCTCGGAACGAGCCTCCCCATTATACTGACCCTGTCGATGGTGCGTTAGAGGAGAAGCTTTCTACGGACTCATTGACGAGGGCACTCACATATTCGCCGTGAATGTATTAGCTTTTCCAGATCTGAGCTGTTCTCCCTGGAAGTATGAAGCCAGCGGTCCTCTACCACTTGGGTCATTCTGCAGGGCAATCCACTACGGCGCGGCGAAAGTTAGCGAACAGCTAGCAGAAAGGCAAGATCAATCACCCTGTACGCCGAGAATGCCCCTGGCAAAACTGTACAATACCCGAACAGACTCTCCATAGGCTTGTCAAGGATGTTTGACAATTTATACTCGAAGCATTGTGCCGCGACTGCACATTGTAGCTCAGCAACATGTCATGCTCACCGAGTGGATTCAGAAGGCTCCGCCAATATTTGCCTTTGTAGGTCTCCATTTGACCCGATGCGCCGCCGACATTACTGTTAAGGTCGAATGCCTTCCACAAGTGGTAGAGGGATTTTGGACCAGGCCGGGTTCCCACATCTAACAAGATGCATACGTTGGGCTGGTGCGTGTCAGATTCATCGTGGGGACAGAGAGCCCACTAACGGAGAGCAAAGGGGCAAATGCGTTGAAGAACCATCGATGAGAGTTGATCTTCTTCTCCTGATTGCGATTAGCCTGCGCGAGCCTTTCTTCCCGCTCACATTTCGCTCTTTCAGACAGAATATGATCTGGCACGGCACGATACCCTTATCAGGGTATCGAAACTGAAGCGCGGGGTCAAGCGCAAAGCTGGTTGTGTATTCGAAGACATGGGCCGTCACAGGGCGGTCCTTGACCATGCTGGTCATTGCCCCTAGGTCTCTTTAGCACTCCTTGAACCTACGGTCGAATGCTTCGACCCACCTTCCTGATACACTCCCAGAGCTGCCAGACAATCCAGGACCTTCGGATCTGCGCTTTTTCGTCCATCTGCAACGATGCACACTACAACCTGAGAGCGAAGCTCAGCTAGGGGACCGGAGGACATCGAGCTCACCTTTTTCCATCCGTCCTTGCCCCAGACGCGGGAGTTCTTCCTCCCGCAGAGGTGCGAGATGTTCTTCATGACTCCATACAAGGTGCGACAGAACAAGTCTGCCCCTTCATTGTACATGGTAATGACGACAAAGAGCTCAGTCTGACGAGGTGGGATGCAAGTGTTCTGCCGGAGTCGAAGTCCAGAGGTGGAGAAAGCGTCGGGATCGATGGTCACCGCCGTGTATCTTTGGTTCATCAGTGGATGTCGGAAGACGCGTGACTGCACCTAGTGGTCCTCTGTTCTGCGACACCTTTCTGCGGCAGAAATTGAGCCAAACGAGTCGGCACCGGCATGTCGACTGCAAAGAAACCGTTCGCGTCCAACTTTGCAGTTTGTTTGATTCGCCTATGTCCTGCAGCATTGTGTGTCCTCCTGCTCACTCTGCCAACGGGAGCCGGACCAAAATGTTGGGTAGAGTGCCCAGTGGCCTCGAGATTGGGTTCAGATTCCCAACGTGCTTTTTGTGCATCAATCTGATCATAGCCCAGGTCCCCTGCTCTATTTTCAGTCTGAGGTGTATGGAAGAAGGAAGACCGCCGGGAGCATGATATGACTCACCCGAAGACCAAGGACGAGTCGATCCATCTTGACAATAAGAACCATCGAGCAAGGTAGACATTTCGTCTTCGTCGTACCCTATTTGCACCTTTTCATCAGAGTAGCCATCGTCTCCCGGGTCGGGTGTCGGCGGCTGTCGTATGAGGGTTGGGAGGACACCACGATAGCCTGAAGCTGTCTCGGCTGTGACGGCAAATCTGAGGTCTGGGTGATTGGGATCAATCGCATTTGCGTAGGTGGGCAAACGCTGAGGAACTCCAGCTGATGATTGGCCCACGGTGGCACCTTCTGCACGAGATCTTGCCAGAGCTGCCTCAAAGTAGGGCAGTCTACGTTCAGCAGTCTCAGCTGCGGCAGGAGGCGGTGACTGGGCAAGCAGATGATCGACAGGCGTGGGGATCGTGTGGTGATTTGCCGAAAATGCGACTCCATGTTGGCGAACTCTCGCATATGGTGGTGCAGGATCTTGAGCGAGATTCCTACGGTTCCTTGGTGGGTGGTGGTCCTCCAGGGATCTGCCATGATCAACATCTGAGACAGATGCTGTGTCGTGCCTTGCAGCGGCTGGTGAGGTGACAACAGTGCCCCAATGCGAGAACGGCATGAAATCAATGACTGATCTGGAACGTTTCGATGATCGTAAGCTAAGTCGGTGACAGACAAGTACAAGCTCTTCCTATGTCATTCTCATTGCTGAGGATTTCTGAAGCTGAATAGCGAGGCTTGTCGCCAGATGAGGGTACCGCGACTTCATTAATCTGGCTTTGCGTGTCAACAAAGTGAGATCGTGCTAGTGAGACTGTTTACGTAAGACAAATCGTCCTCAATGTCAGTTTCAAGCTTCTTTCCGATCGGGTTTCAACATCTACCATGTCAGGCCTCAGAGTAGGCGAGTGTATACTTCCAATGAGACTCCTTGACGCGGCGCTGACAATCAAAACAGAAGCTCCTCACATCTGCATCCCACCCTTCCCGATAAGCCCACCAGACGTCAAGGCTCCAGCTTTCTCCGCATATCGAGTGAAGGGCATCAGGACAAGGACCCTTCGCAGGGGAGACTGCACCACCCAGATCTGTTCAGACTACAACGAGCAGTTTCTGATCCAGATTGAGGGACACGCGCCAAAGGAATCAGTCAACCAGCCTATCCCAAGCTCTAAAGCATGGGACATCGGCGATCTTGGAGGGACCTGGGCGGAGCCTCCTGCCGTCGGTGAAGTGGAGTATCCTCAGTGAGCGTGCCTATTCATGTGTCAACAACGGACTCACGTATTCTCACTCTATAGACTGGTGCCTCCATTCAGGCGACGTGAGTCAATTTGCTGATCCAAGCTTGATGATCGCAGTGGTTTGGGCGACCGAAGAATTTCAGCGCTCGAGGCGGGAAGCACTCTCTTTCGGGCGAACCAAAAGGCTATTCGAGCAGGTAGACTAGTCTCGCCATGATGAGCTCTGACGAGGAGCTTCGGATCACTCTAGGACTGAAGACTTCCTTCCCTGGGCTGCATCGATCTGGTCACGGTGAGGGGGCTCTGCCATATACCTATCCTGCGTCTGTGCGTAAGACTCAGTCAAATCACGATGAGACTGGGCAAATGGAGTCTTGCGTACTCCTTGCCAAGACTGAATCCAGCGTTCGTGGTCTTTTGGCCCTCGCTCGACGAATTGTAGAGGCCGAATGGTGAGACTATCAGTCACATGCGTAAAGGCCGACATTATCCAGGGACTTAGCCCCAGCTATCGAGCTAGCACGTGAGCCTTCTCTGCCCGCCAGCTGGGTTGATGCTAAGACGATCAGGCATGACCGCTGCCTTTCTCGCATTCTTGCTTCACTTCAAAGTCCTCGAAGAGACCGACTACTCCGCCCCCATCTCGAGGGCACTCATGATAGCTCAGGCAGCGCCTGAGGAGTTGAAAGCGTCTAAACGACTGGAGGACATCGTTGGCGATCCACTCGGTTGGAACCTGCTCTGCTGGATGGCATGGGGAGATCATTATGCCTCTAGTGAAAGAGCAAGAGGGGAGTCGGCCAAAGGTCGAGAGCGCGAGATACAAAGCTCTGATGGGGGCTGGGGCCTTTCAGAACGCGAGTGAGCTCCCTTGACGTGATCTGACGGACGCAGTGTCACCTCAAGATCAATTCACAGTCCAGCCGGACCAAGGTAAGTGCACTCATATTTCTCCTGAAATGGGGGAAGGAATTTTCATGTGAACAATAGCACGACACCTCCTGGAAACCCGATTTACGAAGCTCATTTTTCACGAAGTCAAGGTGCTTTCCTACATCCCTTTCTCTAGGCGAAAGGTCAAGGCTATCGTGGCTCCAAGCTCACCCGGAGAGTCGGACAATTTCAGGGACACTCACTGGAGAGTCACGACAGTAGCTGCGCCCTGGACCGATGACGAGTCCTGGAGTCACCAAACCGCGCACGTGTCCGAAGTCAACCAGGCTCAGCTCCCAAACCAAATTGATTTTGAGGCGGAGAAGCAGAGGGGCGAGGAGCCCACAGAGATAGATATCTGGATCGATGGAACCGACTTTGAATATGATTGGACTTCCGTGATCGGAAGCGGACTTCGCGGTCGATGGGCACTCATCGGAGATAGCGAGCAGAGTGCATGGTGGGTCTTCAAGGCCAGAGATTGTAAGTGCAAATTGAGCACCCTCTCCTGACTGGGCTCCATCATAGATATTCTTCCTCGCTTCTGGCAGCCCATCAACGCAGGTCCGCGAAAAATGTGACCCCTGCAATGGTCATGTGAAGGTTTCGTCGGCGGAAACGAGGATGCATGTAGCATAAAATAACGAGATACACGAGACTTGGACATCTTGTCCATCTCATGACATTTGTCGTTCGGGATCCCATCAATCAGGTTTTTCTGTTGAAATTGCTCTATAATTAGAGCCTTCTACAGGCATTGCGGGTGTTCAGATGCCAGTCATCAGCTGTAAGTGGTCATTGATATACATTGATATTTTCACCTTCCACCGCGAGATCGAGTCACGATTTGGCTGTCAGACACGTGACGTGACTCGATGGACAAAGGTGTTCAAATGGCTGGACGAGTATATTACAGATCCTGAGGAGAATCGACAAATTCTTGCGAGCCACAGCATGGGTATGAGCTCGTACTGCACTTGATTCCCTGATGGATTGAATATTCCTCTGTACAGTTTATCCAGTTTGTGCTGAGAACATACAAGTACTTGTGAAGAAGATGAAGGAAGTTGAGAGGGGCTGAAAAATGTTAAGAACTGTTCTCTGAAGAGAAAGAAAAGAAGGACTACAAACTACCTCCTTAAACAGTTTCAAGGAGTTCTATGTACGCACTGTGTAGAAACTACAAGATCTGCGTGTAACTTGCACGCTGGGAAAGTGTAGAAAAGATAGAAAAGGACGTGATTGGATCTTCGTGTAAGTCAAATGTTAAGGATGATTTGGTGTAGGATACGTCTGAGCATATCGTAGCAGTGATTCCCAATGTGACCGGATGACAATTTCTTCGCAAATGCTCCGCTTGGCTCGCAGCCAAGTAAGAGTATTCTCAGTCCGTAAAGTCTCGGAAAATCATGGTACCAACGCAGATTAACCTCTGTACGATTTCCGTAATCTGTATTTTGCAAATGTGCGGTTTTGCAATTTTCGGCAGATGTCCTGCAGGGATGAAACTAAGTCGGATCCGTCCGTTTTAAGTCCCTCACGGCAAATTTTGCATGATCATCGATGGTACTCACCTCGTATCCCTCACAATCTGTACAACAGTGCACACGGTAGACCCATTTTGATCTGAAACATAAATGAACGCTCCGACAGGCCAAATAATATATGTATAGTGTCCCAGCCATGTCTAGTATTGTTTAAAACAGGGGATGTACACGCTTTCCGTGCGGTCAAATGCAGTCATTTGTGTTACTTGTGTCAGCAAAGCTTGCAAAATCACTACATCAGTAAATGCTCAGGGATTAGCATTGCCTCACGCGACCCTACACCTTCCTTTTTCGCGGTCCAGATACGGGATTGTCTTGTTACGTTCGCTCGGCACAGATTATGTTTGTATGTGCGGGGCTTGGCAATCTAAGACGACTTAGTCCCTTAGAAATTCAAATTTGAAGACAGACAGATGGTAGAGGTCTTGCTGAAGCTGCATTAAGGAGGCGCGGTAGACGGACGCGTAGATGTTACGGGCGGGGCTTACCAAATAGAATAAGGGCAAGTACCGTTTGTAATGAGCGCAGCTTCTATTAGAAGGGAATAGCTTTGGTGTACGGACGGCTGGGTCTTGTCAGATTTCGTTGGCTGAGAAATGCAGAATAGATTATTCTTGACAAAGGTACGCAAGATGAGGCGAGCGTGGACGAGGGTTACCAATATTCGGTGAGGATACTCGAATGAAGGATAGGACGAAGGCTAGTGTCAAAGGACCAGAAAGAGGTTGGCTGCGAAAGGTATTTGAGGCGTAGTTTGGCAAACTCAAGGCTATCAAAGGCAACTGGAGGCGAGCTAAGGCAACTGAAGGCAAGGGCGGCAATGGGATGCACAATCTAGTAGTATTGAGCTTCAATCTTGGATTGCTGGTCTATCTAAGGCTATCTGTGGCTGCGATATATATCCTTCGCCGATCCTTCAACTGTCAATCCATACTCATGCCAAGATCCTATCTTTTGGTGATCCACTCTGCTTTTCTTGCCGAGCTTTTGATTAGATAGTGAAGCAAAGGCGAGGTTCGGCGAATATCTCTGACGAGCTGTTGAAGTTAAGGTGAGATATCGGTATTTCGGAGTTATGACCTTGTGGCGTTCTGACAGGTCTTGCAGCTGGGTGCAAAGTACAGTTGCAAGAGTAGTTGGGAAGGATAGTGATCGAGATGCAATGAGGTTGATGAGGTGAAGTGCTGAAAAAGTTGAAAGAGATTGTAACGAAAATGAGTTTGCTGAGAATTGTTCTTTGAGGAGAAAAGAAAGACTACAAACCACCTCCTTATATAGTTTTTGGAAGGTCCTATGTACCCACTATGTAAACACTACAAGATCTGCGTGCGGATTGCATGCTGGGAAATGATCTATCTGGGATATGCGTGTAAGTTGCACAAAGATCTTCTTCTCCTACTTCAGGAATCTTGGGGAGCATCTGGATCTGCCTGCAAATTGCACGCTGGGAAAGTATAGCAAATGTAGAAAAGGCTGTGTGTGTGTGGATTTTTGGGTGTATCACACACGAAGGATGGGTTGGTGTTAGAATACGTATGAGCGTATCGTAACAGTAAATAAACTTGGGATTGATCAGAAGGCTAGGAGTGCCTTGGAAGGATAAGCAAGCCGGTAGAAAAGAATAGCAATATTGAGCGTTGCTGAATCACTGCATTTTAAAAAAATATTGAAGAAGAGTAGTAAAAAATTACCTATGATATTCTGATCATCAGGGAAGAAACCTTGCAGCCCGTAGTAGAGATCTTCCTCTGATACTTTTCACCCCGGTACCCCTTGATTACGATGCCTGCCTCGTAAACGATCTCTGCAACTCAGGCGCTCCAATTAGGACAGCCAAGGTAGGCAAGGTCTTCGAGACATTAGCCGAGGTAGGCGATGTAGGCCATGTGGGCCATGCAGGCCATGTAGGCCATGTAGGCAAGGGCATTGAGGTAGATAAACCGAGGTAAGCGATGTAACCGAGGTCATCGAGTGGGTTATGCGTGCTCGCTTGTCAGGGTCTTGACACAATCAGAAGCAGAATAAGACTAGAATGCTAAGAAGTGATAACAAGTGGTGAAGAGATTACACGAAGCTGAAAGAGATTGTAACTTCTTTTGTGAATAAGTTGTAAAGATTGTCGTTTTCTGGGGAGAAAGGAAAGACGATAAACTAAATGCCTTTTGTAGTTTTGCGAAGGTCCTATGTACTCACTATGTAGACACTACAAGATCTGCGAAAAGATAGAAAAGGCTGTGTGCGTGCATCTTCGTGTAAATCACAAGTCAAGGATGAGTTAGTGTGGGGATAAGCATGAGCGTCTTTTCAAAATAAGCTCGAAGCTCACTACAACGAAGGAGTATTGGCAGGTGACGTTGAAGGCGAAAGCACTTTCCGTGTGCATTATCTTGAAAGCTCAAGGAGCGAATACAAGCCGTAGTACTTACAAAGATTGGTTGACTGTTGTGTCGATTTTGATGCTCAACTCTATCCGAGTAGAACATGAAGTAATGGTGATGGGGGTGGCATGGAGAACGGATTGACCGGGAGATACAAAGTGAAGACACGCGCCTAAGCCCGAGATTTAAACGTTCCCCTTTTGCAAAATTTTGCAAATGGACCTGTAAGTAATTTCTCCCCTAAGATCAAAAAGGGACAGTCTTCTGATACCGCACGGGCAGAGACAACTTCCGCTCACCAGTGCTATCAGCCATCCCAAGCCAGCTCACTTGTCCATTCATGAGCAAATCCACACATGAGTTCTATGCTTGCAAAACGAAAACTTATGCCAGAACAGTACTATGAATGCGGGCACTTGACAACTGCCGTCCAGCGTTCCTTATGGATTTCAAGGCGTGCAAGCAACTCAGTTGAGGCATAGCGATAGCTTGCTGCAATATCAGGCGTACTGTAAAGATGGAGAAACACAGGGTCTGAAGCATGATAGAATCCAACATCAACATCATGATGGCTGAGTGTCTCCTCTCCGCCAGACAGGTCTCCCAACAACTCACAAAGCTAGATGTGTCGCCAAGAGCTACTAATGACAGATTCTGTCAAGGTTGCTCAATATTGACCGAGTTGCATATAGAAGAATGAACGAAACGTAGTGAGGAAGATGAATTGATGGCGAGATTTTTAAAATAAAAGATCGGAAGCAAATACTGATAATTCCAACAGGTTCAAGGGACACATTTTGCCAGATTTCGTTGGCTGAGGAATGCAGAATAGGATCAGTCTTGACAGGTATAGGCAAGATGAGCAATAGGGGGCGAGGGTTGACGATATCCGGCGAGGATATGTGAATAAAAGTAAGACGGAGGCTAGTGTCAAAGGACCAGAGAGAGGTTGGCTGCCAAACTTAATCGAGGCGTAGTTTGGCGAACTCCAGACAACTGTAGGCGAGCTAAGGCGACTGAAGGCAAGTGCAGCAAAGGGATGCAAGATCTAGTAGTATTGAACTTCATCCTTGGATTGCTGATCTGTCTAAGGCTATTTGCAGCTGCTCTATATATATCCTTTCCGAACCTTCACCTGTCAATCAATACTCCATGCCAAGAGCCTGTCTTTCTGCAATCAACTTTGCTCTTCTTGCCAAGCTTTTGGTTAGACAGTGAAGTGAAGGCAAATTCCGGCGAGTATCTTGACAAGCCAGTGAAGTTAAGGCAAGGTATCGTTGTTTCGGAGTTATGACCTTGTGGCGTTCTGACAATGTGGAGGAACAAACTTAACTCAGACCGTCTTAAGGAAATAGCTATTGCCAAGATATAAAGTACCACTACTCCAGACACCGCTCCATCATGCCAAACCAGCACCACAATGTTACATCAGGGACCCTATAGGTGTTTCAAAACCCAGAATCTCCGGCTAAGTAGTGCCCATCTATGTGCTCCCTTCTCATACTACTGTATCTTTACAAATGGCTAACCAGTCTCTGCGTTCAATCATTCAATCATTCAGGATCTACTGCAACCTGCTCACAAACCTGAGCCTGAGTATGTGACTGTGGCCTCGTGTCTCACTTTCATGATCTCGAAGGACTTCAAGGCAAGGAAACAGGAAATAATATGAGTCAGTCATCAGTGCTATTTGTTTGAGTTACTGGGCGGTCTGGGATACCGGACTGCGATCTAGTTGCGACATCACTTCTTACTGTCTGCAAACCTATCAAAGCAACCAGAGAGGGATACGAATGTGCAAAGCATCGTCCATATGGGCAGATGATCCGCTGAGTATCACACGTCCCCATACCTTGTCCTCTCCTAGCGCAGGCGGCAAGTTTTCTCTCAGCGTAAATCAGTCTCTGGGAAAGTACGCATACGTCACGACGTCTCTCTTTCACTTGATTTTGATTGTCCCCTTTCATGCAAGCAGTTAATATAGAGCCTCCAGCTCTCAAAGTCGACAAGACTCCCAAAGACGACCGACATCCGCACCATGCATTGAAGTAGATTACATGGCTTTTTCGGATGCGTTCAGACGAGTGATCGAGATTAGAAGTTCACTGAATGATCTTGAACTGGGACTTGAATACACTCCCTTCAGATGTCTGATTGTTGAAGCTGAGACTGTATCAAGAAATCCGGTTCGCTGCGAACGCATCAAACATATTGCTCTTCGTCATCGCTTCATCCGCCAGCAAGTCGTATTTGTGACAATTGTTTTGCCTCATGTTTCCAAACAGCACAGATCAGCAGACTGTCTCACCACATACTTACTAGCGAAATACCTCCGAGGACCTGATGAATGGAATTAGACTGATCCCAAAGAGAGCCACAGGGGGAGTTTGGCGATGATCATCTGAGTCTAAAAACTCAATCTTCACGCAACTCGATCAACATTGAGCTTTCAAACCTCAGAATCAATGGTACATAGCCCTCGACTGCTAATAGATCTGGGCATCATGCTCCACTAATCGTCTGGAGTTGCCTTCAATTGCCCGGGCCCGGCTTGAATTGTCTCAAATTGCTCTGGTTCTTCGAGCTTTCCTTCCTTCTTCGCCAATACTTCCCCTCCTCACTCGACGCATCGTGACAGACCGAGCCGTCGAGCATTGAGCCACGAGTCCCATTGCCCCAAAGTCGAAGCCATCACGACACTAGAGAATCAGACTGAGGAAGAATAACACATACGTCGCCGACTGAGTCCAAAGCACCAGATCTACGACCTGCGCCAAATATCTCCACTTCTCCTACTTTCAGTTTCGCAAAACCTATATCATTTTTGATGGAAGGCTGTCTCAATGCCTAGTGCGTGACATGCCCATACATTGGACTGCCAGCTGACTCGAACCAGCTGTGAGGCAGCTATCGATTTATTACACAAACTTGGAAGATTGGGAGATGCTCGAGGCAGCTATCGATTTCTTACACAAACTTGGAAGATTGGTAGATGCTCGAGACTCGTCCCTCCTTTTGCGCGAAGCAGCTCAGACAGGCCAAGGTGCTGTCCATCCTCCCCAGTCTAGCTTACGTCTACAACCTCTTCCTTCGCTGACCTTCTTTGTGCCACCACCGCAGTCGTTGAAGAGGTGTACATGATATGTACCACGACGCAATCGGCTGCCACGTGCGAGCGCAGATGACATCGATCGCCATCTTTGGATGTTTCTCATTTACATATATGTAAGGACCCCGATGGCTCTAGCATCCGACTTAGTAGGCGGCTCCTGAAGCTGCAGACGACCGAGACATGGACACCTTATTTGTCTGCCCAGAACGTGCTCCGTTTCCAGGGATCTCGCCTAATGATACCCTGACGAATCGTCTAATCCCACGTTTGGCGTGCTGTACCGTTATCCAATCCGAGCCGCCGGACTGCTGGACTACGAGGTTGAGCACATCAGGCGCGCCACATTTCAGTCATACAAATTGTCGTCCCGAGTCCAGCCTGGCCTCAGTTTGCTAATGTGTTTTTCTGATATCTCCATCCCTCTATGCACGTCTAACTTATCCCCAAAGCAGTGCCCGAATCAAATGCGGCCGCATGGTGTCTCATAGGCAGAGATAGCAAACCGCAAAGCCAGTCTCAACTGAGGACTGGCCTCTCTCTCGTTCCAAGTCGTAAAGCTTCGTGCAGGAGGTAGCCACAATCCATCGACCGTTTTAATGAGGTTTACTTCCTGCCTGAGACACGTGAGTGTCTGAGAGTTTGCTTACAGCAGACTGCGATTCTTTAGTGAAGCTCACTGAGCTTGTGAAGTGACTCACCCCATTTGGGACGCCGAAGCCATCATCGAATGTCGCGATCTCACCCTCGGTCAGGATGGGTATTACTTGACTGCCGGGAGATCGAGGAACGCGTTGGTGGGACATTGATAGATGTAGCGTTCGAGCAATGGCTGAAGGACATGAGTATCAACATGTGTGCATTCTCTCACCGTATGCCGTGACATCGAGCGCGATGCAGAGAGCGAACGGCGCCAGGAGTAGAAGGGCGAGGATGCGACACACAACTTGAAACTGGGCAGTGTGACAAATGGTGAGCGATCAGCCGAAACAGAGACGCCGAAATGTGCTCACATATGTCAAAGGTGTCATGAGGGAGAGTACGCCGCCTTGAGATGCTGTGATCCGAAGCGAAGCGTCTCTTGAGAGGATATGTAGTATGAAGTTCCAAGATGCGCCTGGTGAATCCCGAAGCCATTCCCAAAGTAGCCACGGAGAGGCCGAAGTGGTCGCCATCAGACAGATCTTATCGCCGCGAGGATAGATACAGGTGGTCGCGCCCGATGGATCACTCGCAGCAGCAACGAATATGGGAGAGCTGGACAGCTATAGTCGACCTTTGCAGTCGATGCGCAGCGTTGTCATGTCACACGTTTGCCAGCTGTTTTGGCCAGGATTTCGGCGGGTTCGAATCTTGTCCTCAATGCTCCTTGCTCGTAGATGCTGCTCTCGTTCTCGTTATGTCGTCGTCTTCGCGCTGCGTGCGATCTTCTCTTGATGTAAATTTGGAAAGATAGAGAGATCATGAGAAGAAATAAAAGCGAAAGATAACGGCTGTCGATACCCGCACACGTGATCAATCTTATTATCTCTGTGAAGGGGTCCAAAGTAGCGATGATAGATATGGCCTGTGGGAGCAACTGAGTACACAGGACATTCACATAGCGCTGGCATCCATCAGAGCGATGTTCCCGAAAGGCTAATGAAACGCTACTATGTAGAGGGTCGTGTTTCTTCGTCCCAAATCGTACCCTTCAGACTCTCCAGGTCTGTCAAAGGGTGATCATTCCGAGCCTGTTCCAAAAGGGTAGCCAGCCCTTGATTTTCCTCAATCGCAGCCTGCTCTTCGTCAGCGAGGTGGTTCAACCAGTATCGAGACATACCTGCAGGCAAGCCCTGTATTGTTGCCAGACCTGTCCACATGCTCTCTCGTATTGCAGCGCCTTGACCTGAGCTCGTGTTTTGCCTTTCGGATCAATCGACACAAATATGGGCCTGCTCTCTGAGTCGTCGTTATCGTGCTGAGGAGGATGATACGCATCTGCTGTTCGTGATTCTTGGTGGACTTTGCGATTCGCAGCCCCGATGGCGGATGACCAGTTTAGAGGGTTCATTTTCCGGTCTGCGGTACCCGCTGGACCGGGAACAGAGGGTCCCGCCCTGTGGACAGATGACGCTCGATGAGATTCCTGAGACTCATTGTCCACAACACTCGTCGAAGGCGACGGCGAAGAGGATGGGCCTGATTCGTAGACGGGGTGGCCGGTCTGGAGAGCAGGCTGGAGGTAACCTTCAAACCACGCATTGAAACAAGAGTCATATTCCCGCTTTAGCGGTGTACATCGAGCTGACAGTGACCTCGTACCGAGTTCAGCTACGCTTAGGAGAATGGCGGGGAGAATGGCGTTACTCACTCCATGGGATCCGTCCACAGGGGTCAAGATGGGCCGGGAGAGAGACTGTAATGAGTCAGTAACAACCGATGCGCCCAAACACAGATTGAAAAGATCACGTGGTCACAGCCATGCAATGCATATGGTCCTCTACAGTCGGCTATGAAATTTTGTACCCCTAAGGTTGCGACTGGCGAGTCCCGTCGCGAGCCGTGTAACCCAATGTCTCCATCTCCTCCAGAACGAATTGTCCCCTATGATCATTGTTACGCTGACATTTCTCAAGAAGCCGCCGGTAGATTTCTCGACTGGGCATCAGGTTGAGCGACTTCATTTGTTCGAGATAGTAGAAGGCGTCCTCGTATTCGCGTGGGATGAGACACAGCGCGATCATGTCTTCGTATGTCGATTGTGTGGGCGAAAGACCAGCCTTAGATATCTCTGACATAATGTTGTCGCCAAGAGCCCGATGCTCCATGGTGACACATCCCTTGAGAAGTAGATTGAAAGTGTCCATGTTCGGCGTGACCCCCAAATCTTCAAAAGAGGATTGAATAGCCCGCGCACGGTGCAGGTCATTGAGCCGTACCGCTGCAGCAATAAGGGCATTGACGGAGACAACATTAAGTCTCTCTCCTGTACGATGCAGGTCTTCCAAGTGATAGAAGACCTTGTCAATGATCTCTGAGTCTGAGATGTGTCTGATGAGTGGCGCCAGATCATCGAGTTTCAGATCGTCGTCTTGTGGGAGGCTAGCAGCGACTTTCACAGCAGCCAGCACGCTCCCGTTGTTGAGATGAGCCTCAACCAGAGGGAGAAGGTGTCGAGGCTCGACTTTCACAGGCAGCGAGTCAAGGTATTTGAGGGCATTTTCGGCCATGTCTGGGCGGGAATTTCTAGCTGCAACATCGATGATTCGAAGGATCAGTCCCTCGTCTGGTGCGAAAACACCCGTGCTGCTTGCATGAGTCCAAGCTATTTCCAGACCTTCCATCTGGAGGCTCAGTCAGAAACGTATCAGAAATGTTAGCGTACTCACAAAGCCGGTTTCCGCGCTCGCAACCAGGATTTCCTCGCGCATGGCGGCATCAATCTCCTTTGCGTGGGCAGGAGTTTGACCCCCTACTGCAGCAAGCTGCAGAGCTAAACGCGGATTTCCCCAGGTACAGCATGCCTCCATGGTGTCCCGGAGAAGGCTAGGAGATACAGCATACCCCCTCTTCAGGGATTCGCATAGAACAAAAATGTGCTGACTGAGAGAAGGGGTGGGCGTGGGCATCTTGATCAAGGCAGAAATGAGAGAAGCTGGATAGTGATCGGTTTCAAAGGCTGTCACCAGGAGAGAAGGAAGAAGCTCGGGGTGAAAGACAGCGATCTCGTTTATCAGTCAGGCGCTTTGCAGAATCCTCACCTCATGCAGCAATTCCCTCCCCTCGAAACCAAGGTCGATGTGACTTGTGGCAGCGCATCGCACGACAGCCATGACCAGCTCTACGGAGAGAGGGGTGGAATGCCGCAACGGGGTAGAGAGTATGTTCGAGTCGTTTTCGAAGCGTCTGATATACGACAACGTTTCCCTGAGTAAGTTCACCAGGGTCTCCGGGGTGGGCTTCCGGCTTTTCCTCTCGAATGCGAGTTCGAGGAGTAATTTCGACAATCTGTCCTGCCGTCCACTTGATGGGAGAGACCGATCGTATCTGGGACCTGCTTCAATTACCATTCATCAGCTGCTATACAGATTCGGAAGCGGACACTCGACCGACCTCGAGGCTGATGAGTGATATTGGTACTTGACCTCGCGGCTTGAGCTTGCTGCAGTTTGAACTTGCCGGTGGAGAATGATCGTCGGGATAGGTGCTCAACCGATAAAGCGTGCCGAGCTGGCTCGACGAGGGAGGATGAAGATGCCCTGCATGATCTGAGCATGGCTCCAGGCAATTTGGACGCAAGTCTTGCTTGGCCAAGAGTGTATGTTCGAGAACTGATAAATGAATGTCCATTCGAAGAAATTGAGGTGACAGCCAGCTGTCAAATTCCGGACAGAATCACGTGATTTGCATACGTCGTCCGCAGTCATGATGCCAACTCTCCTGGATCCCATATAGATATTATCCACCTTCTCCCGTTGCTGTCACCGCTTTCTGCAGACCCTTGTCACCGAGCTGCAGTCATCTTCAGGCGCTGTCTTTGAGCATCCGGTCTCCTCCTCCTCCTTCCGTACGCCTCCCTCTGAACGTTGCGTTCGGGAGTTCGCGAAGCTGGCTCGTCATCGGCATTCCTTCCTGTACCCTTCCCTCGATCACGCTGCTGAGGCTCGCCGTACAGCAAAGCCATGTCCCATCGTCCCGCCATCAGCTTGACGGGTGCTCAACCTGCAAGAAGCCGCTCGGTCTCTCAGCCTCTGCGGGAAGGTGTCGCAACGCAATCTTTTTCTTCGCTTGCTACCCAATCCCATCCAGACCCGCGAACTTTCCTTCGTTCACACTCAACACAGGCGGTTCTGCGGAGCACTATCAGCGGCAGCAACAGTTCCCTCAATGCTCCAGGATCTGACGCGACTTCGCAGCATCCTGGTTTTAAGGGTCGGGCCAGGAGCTCCAGTTTGATGACTGTTACCGAGGTCGGCGGGAACGAGACTGAAAACGTGGTTGATAGGCTCGGCGTGGGCTCGAATGAGAACGCTGCCTGGGTCAACGCCCCTGGTAGGTCACGCAAGCGTGTAGGTTGTGACGTTTGGCTTATACTTGGTCAGGCGCCTGGCTCATTCATCCTGTGCTCATCCTGGTCGCCAAATTGCTCATAGACGCCATCCCGGGCATGACACAGGATGTCAGTTGGACTATCGTCAATCTCGGATACATGGCTGTGAGTATTCAGTCTATCTCGTAAACAGGATCGCTGACACGGATTGCTTAGGCATCCTTCCTTATGTTCCATCACGTCACTGGAGTACCTTTTGAGGCCGCGTAAGCAAACAACCCTATTCATCTGCTCACCCTCAATCAGCTTGAGCACAGGAGGGGCTTATGACGATTTGACCTTGTGGGAACAGATCGACGCTGGTGCCCAATACACCCCTGCCAAAAAGTGGTTGACGTCTGTCCCGATTGGCTTGTAGGGTCTTTGATACAGCTCGCGTTGACATAACTCAGATTCCTCATATCAACCCATTACACGCGTTACGACTACGTCCTCTTCGCTCTCAATTTTGCAGCGACTGTCTTTGTCTTGTTCCCAAAGCTGCCGGTGGTGAGTGGTGCTGAGAGAAAAATGACCGATTCATCGCTGAATACAGACTTCTTCTATTAGCTACATAGGTTGCGATTTCACTTTCTGAGCCCCGATGTAGCTCCGACACCTCGAACATCGCGTCCGCCTTCCCCCTCCAATCAAAGCCGATCGTGACGGATCCGTGCTATAGAGTTCCAGCCATATTCTGTACCATGATCAGCCGCCTACATGTGATGATGATGCGCACCATGACCAGCTCTTCGATGACACGGAGACGGGGCCTATTCCAAATTGTCCACGACCTGGTCAATCTCTTGCTCCTGTTTCATCGGGTTGACATCCTTGTTGGAGGATCGAGTGTACCCTTCTGAGTCATCGAGGACCTTTCCACCACCGATGTCGTCTTTCAGTGCCTCGACCTCATCTGTTTCAGAAGTCAGTACTCAGAAGGCGCACAGCGAGATATGGTAGAATCAATTCACCGGAAGAGACTTTCCCGGTAACTTCGCTCTCCTCTGCTTGCTTGTCCTCCTTTTCGACGTCGAGATTGGTGTCTGCAATGTCTTCTTGTTTGTCAATGAATTGGTCGTCTGAAGACATGATGACTTTGAGTGCTTTTAAATTGATCACTAATCGGGCGGTGATGGGAGTTGAAATGCAGATGGAAAATAGATAAGAAGAGATGACCTAGATTCCCCCTGTCAATGTATATATATAGTTGACATATCCCAGTGTTTGCCCTTTTAGTTCCGATCTATAGAGGTCTGCATCTCCCAACAAATATCATCTGTCGTCATCTTGGACCCTGCCCCCCTCCGTTATCTGTGTGTCATGACGTCTCTCTCTCTCTCTCTTTCATTAGTACAAGTGTGCTTTTGGGTGCAATATTAAAAGCAGCGGGGGTGCCGGCGGGGGGGAAGGAGGCTCGATGCTCATATCAGTGGATGACAATCGATCAGACTTTTGGGGACCAGGGTCGATCCATTTCATTCCAACAGATCGGGATCGGCATTACTTTCATGACAATCAACCTCCCCCCCACTTGTCGTCATTATTACCTCATTTTTTTGGGGGGCATGTCACGCATTCATGCTTCTCAACTTTCTCAACGTTTGACCTTGCTCTGTTTAATCAACTTCTTCTTTTCACCTTTGGGCATCTTGGTCTCTCGTTTGGCTCGATTCTCTGCTTTGACAGCTTGCTTACGTTCCTGCAATGTCATGAGTCAATAGCTCGTCACACAAACAGACTCGAGAATCCTGTCTCACCTTTTTCGTCTCTTTGTCTTCATGGCGAGACCGGCGAGCCAGAATATCAGGCTGCTTCTGACCAGTCGTCCCAGAATCCACATCTGAGCCTGCTGCGGCGGAACTGATCTCGTCGAAACTGTCTGTGTCCACTTCCTCGTGATCAGAGCCCACCACTAGTCGATCCAGCGCCTCAGGAACCTCTGACCTCAAAATCGCTTCAGGGTCGCGTATATCACCGAGACTTTGAGGGATGAAAGAAGTCATGAACACATTCTCCTCCTGCGAGGATGATTGGGGGTCGTCAGTCGCGACAAGGTTGTTGACCATGGCCTCGTCATGCTCTTTGCCCGCCAACGGCATCGACACGATAAACTCCCAAGCCCTTTTGAGCCCCAAACATTTAATGCCCGGTCCACCTCGTCGCTGGAAAAACGCCGTCATATTCTTGATGTCTGTTCGCAGGAACTCCATCGACTTTGGGTGATCCCATTCTACAGACTGGCTCACGTCGATTATGTAGAGCTGATCGTCGTGTAGTCTAGTTCTCAGTGAGCAAAAATACCCTCTTTGGATACGTACAAGATATTGTATTCACTGAGATCTGCGTGTACTAGGCGACATTCGGTGAACATCTTACGCATGAGAAGTAAGAGCTGAACGTAAAATCCTTGCCAAGATTCCTCAGCTATGTCTGCGTCTTTAAGACGGGGAGATGCTCTGATGACTTTTAGCTCTCTCCTCTTTACGATTGCCGGAATGAGCTTACACTCCATCCCTTCCTAGGAAATCCATGATAAGGACATTGCCGTTGCCATCTATCACACGGGGTGCAGGTACGCCCGCTTGTTCCAGACGTTTCAGATTGCGAAGCTCCTTTTCTGCCCATACTCGGACCATCTTGCGAGCATTTCTTGAGGACGAGTATTCTCCGCTGAATCTATGCTCGCCAACAATATAGTTTTGACGCGATCGGAACTTGAGTATGGATGTGCGGTATACCTTGACAGCAGCTGGACGTGACGACGACTCTGGGGGAGATGCAAAATACACATTGGCCTGACGATGAGTGAAATGCCTGGCTTGACAGGACGCACTTCTTTCCCAGAGCTGATGCATCGCTCAAGCCGGCCAATCACGCCTCGATTAGTGAAACCGGACAAGACCAAACGCGTTCTACTGTCCATGACTTGATCTTGGGTTGCCCTGTCGCTTTTATCCTTGGTTTGCCTCGGCGTAGTCGATGACAATTTTGCAGAACTACTCGTACCAGCAATAGCTATGGATCGCGAGCCATTTTGGCCCAAGACACTGTTCTGGGAGGGAAGCGGGGGCCGAGCAGATCCAGACATATGGGGAGAAGACGTAGCCTGTTGATGCTGCCTCAAGCGATTGTACTGTTTCGTGAAGTCTTCCAGCCAATTGTCAGCCAGCCTTCCACTCCATGACCTCGAAGCTCACCTCGGGTGGAAAGCTCCCAATCTGCGTTTTCGACCGCATCACTTGAGAGGTCTTCGGACTCTTCGGCCAGAACTCCATCATCTGACTCCTCTCGTTCTTCTGAATCCTCTTTGAGCTGATCGTCCACCTCTGCGTCATCCCAGACTATATCTCGCCCATGCTGTTCGAACTCGTCTACTTCCTCCTCGGTGCTGGAGCCGGACGCTGAAGCAGAGGAGTGCTGACCTTGGACAATTTGGTTTTGTTGGTCATTGGTAGCCACAGTATCTATATAATTCACTCCATCTGGACGACCACTACTCATGACCAGGAGCTGGGACGGAGACTGAGGGGCAGTAATGTGCGAGTCATCCTTGTGCCGGTCTACAACATGAGACCTCTACCCGAAAAAAATATTAGAGCGCCGAGGTCAGTTCAGATCACGTGAGTGACGTCAGCAATTCAATTGCTCGACAGGTGCGCCAGGAAAACATCACTGACCCCGAAATGAGAGGCGGCGCAGTACATTCTATCCTCTCTGCCTTCCTCTAGAGATTTCAAGAATCCAACCTACTCACACGATGTCACCTGTCCCAGAGATTCTGCTCGATGTCTGTCGCAATCCCTTCCTGGCCGGTAAGTTCCTGTACCTGAATATCGTCCGTCCTGAACGTCCTCCAAGTGGGAGTGCCTATCGGTCTCGGAGCCTTGAGCGGCATCATCACTGGCAAGACTGCGCGAAGTCCTTGGTTCACGGTGAGTCTAGCTCGATTAGAGCAATCGCTGATCTGGACAGGAAATGAGAGCTCCCGCTGGCAATCCGCCTCGACAAGCTTTTGGTCCGGTACGCAGCCTCCAGTTGTTTTACGTCTATAACTCGTCCGACAGGTTTGGACCGTTTTGTACGGCCTCATGGGCTATGCATCTCACCTTGCCGTCAAGAGCCTTGATGCCGCCGTGACTCCTAACGCTACGTAAGCACCCGCTGTGAGTCTCTGACTCATACCCGGCGCCGGTAGGGCTTCGGCGAACAAGTCTCTGCGACTGTACTGGACTCAGTTGGGCTTGAATCTTCTCTGGACTCCCCTCTTCTTTGGTGGTCAGTGTGACTCCCCGACGAACGGTAAAAAGCTAACAAGCTCCCAGCCAAGCAAAAGGAGCTGGCCCTCGTCGACATGGCTCTGCTCTTGGGCACAGTGGTTTCCATGACAGTGAGAATTCATGTCATTCGAAGGAAAGAAAGAGCCTTTCTGCTTACTGTCTGTCGAACTAGATTGAAATGCACGATCTCAGGACCGATTTCAGCACCACCTGGTTGCTGGCACCATACTGCGCTTGGCTTGGCTATGGTTGGTGCAGGATGTCTGATGCTCGCTGATACATGCAGCATCATACCTTAATGCCGGCTACGTCTGGCTCAACTGGAATCGACGAAATGTTTAGTGACGTTTGGCTGGCTATATGCAACTGTGAATTACTCTGTTTTTGAGCGCTTTGAGGGACCGTCTCCCTCCGCTTGTTCCGCGGCCCGCTTTTCCGCTCGATGCGCATTCGTAGTCTGAACAAAGTCTCTGAAGCTGTCTTGTCCGCCCTTTGGATTCTCCACCCCTGGTCCGAGTGCCGTTTTACGTGATACAGCAGGTGCCTTGCCCAATACCTTAGCCTTGCGAGCTGCGCGTGGTGCGAAATTTAGGGCTGCAGGACCATTTGTTTGGGAGGTTCGTTCCTTCTGGACGGCGTGTCCAGCACGTCTACTTTGTTGAGTGAAAGTGATATGAGCACCCTCGAAGATGAAAGGCTCGGTCCTGAGCAGAAGTGTTCCAACATCCTATCGGTCAGGACAATTTGCGTTCGTCAAACTCACCGAGGGCGCTTCTAGCTCTACCACAGCTTCATGGGAAGCTCCGAAGACCTCGACTCTTCGTACAGGGATTATTTTCTCGAGAGCTTGCTGGAGTAGACCCTCTGTTGTGCCGTCAGGGAGACCGTGCAGCCTGACACTGCGATGGCGACGCTCTGCAGCTACTTTGGCAGCGTTTTGAGATGGTCTACATGTTAGACCATTCCACTACGGAAGACTCACTTTTCGTGCCGCTTGGCAGCGTAATTTGGATCGTTTAATTCGACCTTCAAAGTACGACCATGGTACTCGGTCCCAGTCAAGGCCAGACAAGCGTTTGCCTCTGCCTAGCAATGTCAGTTCTGGCGGATGCTCCAGTAAACTCACCTCGGATTGCATTTCGACGAACGCGAACCCCTTACATATGCTTTTAATCGGGTCCCATCCGAGCTTGATTCCTTTTGCAGTCCCAAAGGACTTGACCATTTCCCCTACATCCCGCTCCGTGGTCTTCGCCGTGAGACCGCCGATGAATACAGTGGCATTAACGAGTGAAGCGTCGGTTCTCTTTGTCTTGGCGCTAGGATCTGATATGAGAACGGTCAGGCCAAATTCGCCCAGGCGCATGCCATGCAAAACGAGCGCCTCTTGTGCAGAAGCCTGCGATGGTCAGTCCGATATCAAACGAAACCGGCTCACAGGTGAGTCCATGGTAACGTAGCAGAATCTTCGTGAGTCTGCATACTTTCGACTGGGTAGCCTTGTTTGAAGGACGGTACCATACTGGCAGTGAGTGACAGGCATATCATCCCGCGACGTACCTGTGCAAATAGTCGGCGTATGCCAGCATCATCCATGTCGCGGGGGAAATTGGTGACGAAAAGCGTCGATCGCCATAGCATTGACACGCCGATTTCCTGTCCATGGAATTTCTTGCGGTCCATCTCGAGGGCGCTAGGAACAGCATCTGCAAAGCGGAATTCCACAAGTGCTGAGGATGTCGCGTCACCTTTCAAGATGGTGACCTCTCGAACATGACCGCACTGGTGCTGTCAGCGTCCTTGCTTACACAGAAAGCAAGCTCACAACTTCGAAGTGAGATTTGATAGACTCATCGTCGGCGTCGATAGGCAGGCCAGAAACCAGAATAGTGGTGTTCTCCCGGTCCCTAACAGCGAGTTACCGTCAGTCTACGTCGACCTGCTTCGAGTTCTAATTCACCTTTTGAAATGTGCGTCGTTCGTTTCATCTCCGTCCGTTCCCTCTGGTGCCGCACCATTTACCTCTACCTCCGCCGAGGACTGGACGGTGGCCGCCATCTCCGCTTGATATTGCTCCATATGCTGAGCGGCGTCCCGTTCCCGGCGCCGGGCCAATTTCAGCATCTCTACTTCCACCGCTCTCTGCGCCGCTACCAGCGTTTCTACGGTGCCATGAATGTGCTCGAATCTCAGCCACGCCTCTGAGACAGCTTCAGGCCAATCCAGATCACTGCGGTTCATCGCAGATGTGTATATCGACCTCGCCGCATCGAAATTTTTCCTGCGTCTAGACTGTTCAGCGATTCCATGCTGACGATGCTCACTCTTCGATTCCTGTCCTTTGGAGAATGAGACGATGCGAGGATGCACGAGACTTGTTCTGAGGCTCCAGCAGCGCCAGAGCCTCGTCTATGAGATCCGAAGCAGCGGTTTCGACCTATATTCAATATGGCTCCTGGATTCTGCTGTCTTACCCATTCCAGCAAAAATGTCTCGAGCTGAAGACTGGGATCCCCGTGATTTTGCACTGCGTATCAGTGTTCTGGTGCGACGATCCCTCTCACCGCCATGTATTGTCTCCAATCCGTGTGCAAGCGTGCCCAGAACTAAAATGTATCAGTGTGTGTTCCTCACGCTTCAGGCTTGTCTCACCCTGTGCTGGGTTACAACGAATCTCGTGAGAGGCCTTAGAGACGAAGATATCTGCGATGTCCTTGGCTTGCCGGAGAAGACCGAGACCCAGAGCCCGTTGAAATACTGTCTCGAATTGTTCTTTAGGTGCTGACAGTTCCTGCTCGATTCAGTAAACGATCACTGCCCGTCTGCTCGTCACTTACGAGATGTTGCAAGTGAAGTTTCCAAGCCGCTCCAATCTGCGGGCACGCTCGGCTCGCTCGTTGAACAAGAGAGGCACGATTATCGCCATCTTCAGTCCAGTCTACGTATCTTCGCCAAATGCCGGCCTCAACTACCTTATAAGGGTAGCCCGCGTCTACCGCAGTCTCCTGTTGGACCGCTGAAGCGGCAGCCGCAGCTTGCCCGTAGGCGGCAACTGCTCTTTCGAATACCGCGCTGATGAGCTGGGGATCGGAACGAGGTGCCTTGGAGCTCTTTGGATGTTTCGCGCGAGGGTCCGTCTCCCATTCAATGTAACTTGCAAAAGAAGACAGGGGATCAGCGACAGTCTGTGACGTTAGTGAAAGCACAGAATAGCGATTTGTGAACCTCACAATGGTCTGCTCTATATCTGAGCGGGTCCTCCCGAATCTCTTCTCCCCAGACATCTTGAATTTTGCAGACTGGGCAGCCGCTGTGGCAGCTACCAAACGGGTCTCATACGAGTCCGGTGCGTGTTGGGAGCAGAAAGTCGAAAAACGAGCCGAAGTCTCCTCTATATCTACGCCGTTCAGGCGTATCTATTGGGAAAACTTACCCATATGGGGTGTCGAGAGACGGTCAACGAAGATTCCGTTTATAAACTCGAGATCTTGTGGCCTGAGGTATTAGAGCGACGTCCCAAAGATGAAGCTCACATTTCTGCCACTGAAAGCTCCCAGTCCATATATGAGTTCCACAGGGCGCTGCTCTGAGACAGTAGACCCCTACCTCGATCGACAACCTCCTTCAACATTGAGCGAACGGTTTCTTTCTCCAGGAATGCTTCCAATTCGGCGTCAACACCCAGGGGTTCAGGGATACCAGCACAGCGGAGAATGAATCTCAGATTGTGATCCAGCAACTTGAAGGCTGAGTCGATCAGCACCACTATCCTTGCTGGTGCGCTTACAGAGGTAATCTGTCTCGGCTAAAGAGTACTTTTCGACAATATCAAGGAAAGATTCTAGATTCAAAGGCGTTGGTGCTGCAGCAATGAGAGCATCGAGATACTTTATCCATGTCTCTGGCAGGGAGTGAGCGTCTGAAAGGGCGTTCACGACTCACGCTCATCCAGCATGATAAGATTCGACAAGTGCTCGAAGACGTTGGCGCTCTCAGCCGCCAAGCCGAGTTTGTTCAGCAAACCGTATTGCTGTAGAAGTAGAGGAACATTATCCGGACTGAGCTCCAATGCGTTCAACACAGCTGTCAGTTGATCCACATCGGCTACTGAATCAGCTTCGCGGGCCATGGTCGACGGGTCTTGAGGGTCTAGCTGGAGAGCAGGGGTGATGAAAGCGACAGACGAAAACCACCATCCCGTTATTCGAAGACGACTGCAGCGGCAAAGGAGAGCTCGATACTGGACACGTCACGTGACTTGGCTGTGCCTGAAATAATCAAAATCACCTTGAACCCCCCCTTAATATTTTGACATGATTTCACTCTCTTTCGGATGACCTACTCATAACACGTCCACTCGACTCTAGGTCCGTCTCTTCCAATCCCTACACTGACACAATCTCTCTCACACTCTCGGCTCTGTGAAGGTGAATCTCAACGGCGATTGTGCCTGTGCCCCATTTATGGAAGGAATCTGAGACCTGGTGTCCTTTCGACCTCCACTGGCCCCCTCCACCTCGATACCGACTGTCTTCAAGGACTGATGACACGAGCACAATCACGCTTCTCGATGTCCGTCTAGACTCTTGAACGACCTCTCTGGATCCGCAATGTATCCCAGGCAAGACCAGACCAACTCCGACCCTCTGGCAGGGCAGCATGGGTTTGTGCAACGTTTTGGAGAAATGTCTATCGACTCGCGGGGGCAGGCACCCCAAGACTACACGCAGCCGATGCATTTCCCACCCTTCCCTCAATACCCACCTCAGATTCAAGGTCATTATCCTATCCATTTCCCGTCACCTTATTTGCTGGATCCGAGCGGCTCGGGCTATTACTCACCTCCGTCCTATCTTGGTGGACGACCTTCGCCCCACCAGCCTGCCTTTCCGCCTTCAACATGGAGCAGCCCGCCCATGAGTCCGGTGCAGTCTTACTATAGGGGACACGGTCGTCATCAATCATTTGCTGAGGAGTCGCCGAACCCTGCACACCACCCTCCGAGCTCATTCCAGCCAATGAGCTCCAATAGACCTTGGCGAGCTCCCGAGCGACGCTCTTGGAGCGGCCCTGGAAGTGAAAGGATGGAACGTAAAGCTTATCATCCACAAGCGCCTGCAAATCGTTCAGATTGGGTCATGTGGGTCGGAAACGTGCCGCCAGGATCGTCTCATGAGGAGTTGTGGGGTTTCTTTAATCAGCCAATACCTTCCTCGAGAGAACCCTGGAGGGGACCGGCATCCATCTTTCTCATCTCGCGGTCATCTTGCGCTTTTGTCAATTTATCATGTCAGGAAGATCTCGACATAGCTGTTGCCTTCTTCAACAACAAGTCTCTGAGACCGTGGGATCCTCGTTGTCCCCGTCTGGTCTGTCGAGTGCGTCGAAGAGACGACGATCTCCGGGCTGGTGTCGGCGCCCAGCGCGGCACGGGCATGCATCGTGATTGGGTCAAGCAGAAACAAGTCGAGGAGGCCGAGCATTCGCCTCCGCAGAAATCGACCCACCAAAGCTCGGCGAGCTACGCAAGCACCAACTCTAGCTTTCTGGCGAAGCATTTTCCCGTTCGAGTGTTTATTCTCAAATCTGCGACCAAGGTGAGTTTGACATCCTTGCTAAGCTGACAAGAGAAGACCGAGCTGGAAGACAGCGTGAAAACCGGGACCTGGCGGACTCAAAAGCATAACGAGCCAATCCTTGGTGGGCAGTCCAGGACAGGCCGAGCTAACATTGCGTAGATCAAGCATTTCGCACTTCTACGGATGTGTATCTGATTTTTGGCGCGAATCGGACAGGAGAATTTTTTGGCTTTGCGAAGATGATCGACTACATTGACAAGGAGCGTTTCGCGAAGAGCAGTGGAAGCTCTAAAGCATCGCGACCGGAAGCGATTGTGGAGGAATCAGACGATCGTCGAAGAGCTTCGTCGGACCCAGTTCCATCGACACTTGTTCTGCCTCTTGACACAGCACGTATCGCGGACACGTCTCCAGCCGAGCTCAGTCCCGTGGCCGAGAATGTGGTGAGGGAGAACAAGTCGAATACCGATCCGATTGGATCTCGGGCGCACAAGCAATTGGAAGCGAGAGCGAAGACTCAGCCTTCGTATTTCGACATTCCAGAGCACGATACTCAACGGGCCGATCAAATTGGAGCTCAAAAGGTAGAGGCAGATACAAACGAGGTGGACAAGGATGGCGTTCGCCGTCGTGATACCATCTCCCGGGAGGACAAGCCTGCCGATCTTGAGGAGCTTGGCCAACCTTTTGCTATCCAATGGATCAAGACCGGCTCTCTGCCCTTTGGTCGCACGAAACATTTGAGGAATCCGTGGAATGCTGACAGGGAGGTCAAAGTGTCCAGAGATGGAACGGAAGTAGAGCCAAGTGAGCACATACAACTAATGAGGATGACGGTGAAGAGCTGATCATTTGCTTCACAGACGTTGGCTTACAGTTCATGGCCGAATGGGACAAGTTATCAACAACCGTCACGTTGTCATCCTCGCCGTCTGCTGGAGCCCCGACTTATGCGTCGGTGTAACACACGTTTTCTCAAGTCATGGCCTTGCACATATATCAATATCTTTCTCTTTTGTTGTCATACACGGTACACGAAGTCATACAAGGGTTCTTGCACATCTGGTCACAGGGATACGACCTGATCTCATACACGATTTGTAACATCATATCTCATATCTATATATCCATTCTCCATATGGCTAGCCAACTAGCCAAGACATATCTTCTTTCCACATAAACCCCCCTTCTCCTTATATACCCTTGGCCCCATCCCCTCCCTCCCTCCTCTTTATTATTATTAATATATTCGACCCCATCATCATACACGAAATGCAATCATCGTGTCCATCTTGACAGTCTGTTCACTCCATCATGACAAGCAAATCACCAGAACAGCTTCAACAGCTCGTCGCGTCACTCACAGCATTGGGTATATCCACAGAACAAGCCGAGTCAGCCTTGCAAAAATGTGATTTCGATGCAGCTCGAGCGGCCGATTATGGTGAGTCTCCCCTCAACAACGGACGGACTCGAGAAGGGGGATGACCGAGAGTCCCTTTGAAATGATCCATACTGACTCTGCTGGCTTTGTCCTTTATTGTCTCTTCGTGGATGCCCCACCCACAACTTGACTCTCATGGCGCCTCTCAATCGTTCATCCTCTCTTCCTGTCAACGTTAATGCTTCGACCAATCTTTCCCGCTTCAAAGTCTTTTCTGGACGTGGAGTGACTGCAGAAGAGCCCACGCCGCAGCCAAGTAGAGCAGAGCCGCAGTCAAGCTCTTTACTGGGTGCTTTTGAAAGGGGACGTAGTAGTCTGTTCAAACAACGATCAGCGACCGACGACACACGACTCCCCAGTCAGCCGGTAGGGGCAAGCTCGACCTCGCGACGACCTCCGAGTCCTTTCTTCCGAGCGAGACGTTCAAGGGAGAAAGCAAGGGCCCGGGAATCATCACCAGAAGTCGGTCCTTTGGAGAAGGATCAGGTCGAGTCAGACGTTGAATCGATCGCCGGCGGCTCTACACGACATTTCGAACCCCAGGTATCTGCCTACGAGGACGACAGTGACGACGATCTCGAGAATGAAGCAGACGTTCTCCCCGATCCAGAAACGACCAAGAACACTTTAGCAAATGCTGTCTTCTTTGATGCACCCGAAGGTCTCGACGAGGATGTCCTGGATGTCTTTGGTGAGGAGATTGAACAGGATCCCTTGGGAGAAGGTCCCAATGTCATCGTACCTCTGCCTCCGACATTCCCCTCCACGGCACAGCCAAAAAGGAGGCCGACCAAAGGACGCCTTCCCCTTACCACCTCACGACCCGTCTTTGCAAGAGATCGATGCACTATTACTTTAAATCATGGTGACCCCGACGGGGCCCTAGAGGAGAGCGGGAAGCGTTTAAGACGATATGTGGTGTTGAGCGATCTGTCCGACGAGTCACGATATGCAGTGGAATGGGCTATCGGAACTGTCGCACGTGATGGAGACGAGATATTCGTTATCTCTGTCAAAGAAGATGAGGATAAGGGTGAGCGATTCACAGTGGGCTTCTCACCTGGACATTGCGCTGAGCAGAGCTTCTAGTGGACCCCAAATCATGGTCTGACACGGCAGCAAAGGTCAAGATACAGAAAGAGCGACAAACGGCCACCCTTGTACTGGTGCGCGAGGTCACCAGTCTGCTGCAACGGACACATCTCAACATCACTGTGACTTGCCAATTTCTTCACGCCAAGAATGCGCGACATATGCTGCTCGATCTCATCGATTTTCTGGAGCCAAGTATGGCCATCGTCGGTTCACGAGGTCTGGGCAAGCTGAAAGGTATCTTGTTGGGCTCCACCTCGCACTACCTGGTACAGAAATCCTCTGTGCCCGTTATGGTTGCTCGGCGCCGCCTGTATCGCCCGCTGCGCAAGACAGACCCATCTCAACTGCGTCATTCACCCCGAGTTAGCTTGGCCAGCGCAAGCATCGAAAAGACCGCCTCCAGTAAACAAGAGGATGAGGTCGTCGATCTGGCACAGCAAGAAGGTGATGAGGAGAAGCCAGAGTGAGTGGACTTGACATCATACAGGAAAATCGGAGAAGACGTTTATTGTAAAGACTGTATTGATGCACACGGAAATCATGAGGATTGGTACAAATGTCATTTGGTAGATCAGACGTGTGTAGAAACAACGCTCAGTTCTTTGTCCACCTTGTCTCTTCTGTCCTACAGCTGAATTGTAATAAGCGTCGAAAAGAGGACGAGACACTGCGCCCTTTATATAGCTAACAGGCCTGCAGCACGGAAAGGTCGGCGTGTCCCGCAACTGTGACGTTGCCGGCTTAATCAGTGTCCTGCACTCCCTTCTGTTTGTCTTCGCCCCGCCCCTTCTGCATTCAGCGCAATATAACTATGGACCAATCCGAAGGATCCAGCTCGTCTTGGCGGCAGTTCTCATTCTTTGACGCTGAACCATTCGCGTCGGGTGATGAAGGCTCACCTGAATTCGAACAACTGCGATCTCCGTTGATCATTGAACCTGTATCTTATTCGTCCACCCTTTCAGTGGCCGTCGCCTCGGGAGATACTGTGCACTTTTTCAACAACCACTTGCGTTCCTATAGATCTTTTCAGGCTTGGAAGGACAATGGTCATACCTCCCTTCTTAGACAGGCCGCGAACGTTTTGATCTGTGTGGGAGAAGAGGGGGACTCTCGTCTTCCGATCTTGAAGGCCTGGGATCTCTCTCGGGACACCAGACGTGGGCCCGTATTACTACGTAGTGTTCGCGTTGGTCAACGCTCAGCTCTTGTGAGTCACAATGCCTGAGCCGCCACTTATCTCCCCAGGTCACCTGCCTTGCCTGTACTCCGAATCTGTCTCATCTCGCCCTTGGATTTAGTGACGGGACTGTGCTCCTATACAGACACTTCCTGCAATCTCTCACGACCTCTCCGACCTCTCTCTCATCTATGCCCAAGGCGAGGATCGTCCATGAGTCCCCAGAGCCTGTCACTGGGCTTGGATTCGTCGAGTCTGACGTCGACGGTCCCACTTTGATGATTGCTACCGTTGGAGCAATACTCAGTAGCGGGACCACGGGAAAAAGCGGACGTGCTCGCGTTCTTGACCGGTCAGGTGTAGCCCTTGGGTGCGCAGTCATAAGTCATGACAGGCGCGAGCTTTTGGTTGCGAGGAATGAGGGGATATACTCATTTGGCACAAGCGATCCAGGCCCATTCTATGCTTATGATGGTACGTGAAGGATTAGTGTTCGTACTGAAGAAGTGTAAGGCGAGAAAGCTTCTTTGCAGGTTCACAACCATAATCTTGTCTTTGTTCTGCGTGAGGAGTCGAAGTCGCGGGCTCGAGATACCACCCCCTCCTCCAAACTCGTCATCCTCGATCATCGACATCGGTGGACGTCCTACCAGAAACATTTCTCGTCTGGTATCGATCGGATGTTCAGTCAATGGGGCGCACTATACGTTCAAGCAGTCGACCAGCCGCTTATGCGGCTCATTGAGCATTCCATCTCCGCAAAACTCCAGGTACTGTCTCAGCGCAATCTTTACACAACAGCTCTAGCTCTCGCCAAGTCGGAGGGCTTCAACGAAGCTGGCTTGTCCGACATACATAGATTATACGGGGACTATCTGTACCGCAAGGGTGACTACGATGCAGCAATGAGACAGTATACCTTAACCCTTGGCCAGCTCCCGCCATCATACGTGGTCCGCAAGGTGCGTTCCGTGACTCAGAAGACTGCTGACATGTCAGTATTTGGATGCACAGCGGATACAGCAGCTCGTCGCCTACCTACAGAGACTACACGAGCTTGGGCTGGCAAACCCAAATCACACTACCCTGTTGCTCAATTGCTACACGAAGACTGGGGACCTCGCTAGTCTCGATGCCTTTCTCAATTCCGAGATGACCGATGACGAATTGCCCTTCGACCTCGATACTGCGATACGAGTCTGTAGACAGGGTGCTTTCTTTGCTCATGCTAGCTTTCTCGCTCAGCGCTGGGGTCGTCACGAAGAGTACCTCCGTATCCAGATCGAGGATGCGGGGGAGTTCTTAGCTGCCCTACGCTATCTCCGCGGGCTGGACCGCGAGGTGGTGGGTTTGACACCGGCTCCCAACCTAACTGATCCTTCCCCTCACAGTGTACAGAAAACCTTCTGCTGTACGGGGTACCTCTGCTGGCGCATGCCCCTATCGAAACTACCGATCTAGTAATCGACCTTTGTTGCGGCTTGCCCCTCATTCCTCAGCAGCAAGCGGTGTCGGCCAATGGGTCAGGACCTGCCACAGGTCAAGCAGTGCTCTCATTCCTGAACGTCGATCGAGTCACGGGGCTATTTGTGGACAATAGTCATATCGATACTGCTCCGGATGATATGCCGCTGCAGGCAGCAGATGTGCCCATCGAATTGCCATCACCAAGGAGGTTCTTTCCCCTCTTTAATGACAACGTCGACCAATTCCGTCGCTTCCTGGAGACTGTCACCAATCTTGACAAGGAAGGGAATTCCTCTTCAAATAATGACGCCGATGCTTCGCGATCGATCTGGAGCACATTGCTGGAGCTATATCTGACCGCCGGAGGGGCCGATGGTCGGGCGAAGGCGATGACGCTTCTAAGGGAGAAGTCGGACAAGCTCGATCCGGTTTTGGCGTTGATTCTTTGCACTCAGACCGGGTTCACGCCTGGCTGTTTGGTATTGTGGGAGAGTCTTGGAAGGCACGAGGACGTTTTGAGGTTTTGGATGGAGTCGGATTCTGACCCGGACGCATACAGCCACATTGCCAAATATCTCGAAACGCACGGCCAAGACCACCACGAACTCTATGCAATGGCTTTGCGACATTTGTCATCAACACCAAAGCTACTCGCCCTCCACGGTGAAGATGTCTCTCGCATTCTGCAAATAATGGACGAGAACAATATCCTGCAACCGCTGGCCATCGTACAGCTGTTATCACGCAACTCCATTACACCTATCGGTACTGTGCGCGACTGGTTGCAGGCTAAGGTTCAGGAGAATAGAGGCGGCATCGAGAGCGACAAACATCTTGTCTCAAGTTATCGCAAAGAAACGGAACAGAGGCAAAACGAATTGCAAAATATCTGCGATCCCGATCGACCTCAAGTCTTTCAAGTCACGAGGTGCGCTGCCTGTGCACGTCAACTAGATTTACCCACCGTACACTTTATGTGCAAACATTCGTATCATCAGCGATGCTTGTCCGACTCAGAGCCGGAGTGTATCTTATGCGCTCGACAACATTCGATCCTGCGCGAGGTTCGACAGGGTCAGAAGAAGCTAGCGGATAGGCATGACCTCTTCGTCAACGAGGTACACGATGCGGACAACGGCTTTGCAGTCGTCGCCGGGGCATTTGGTAGAGGCTTATGGGAGTCGGCGGCAGCATAGTATTACGTACAAGACGTTTTCAGGCGCATACACCTTTCCACAGGCTATTCGTCTGCGGTGTTGGCGTTGTCCCCAAAGATCCTCTCCCACTCACCCGCGGGCGTATATGCGACCGGATGGACGAGGAAGGCATCGAGATATGTCATGGTCACTGCAAGACCTATACGAAGGTAGACATCGTATTTCTCGTCAATCGCTCCGCGAGATCCAAAACGCGGTGGCATTGGTCCATCAGCCGGGATATGGAAGGCAGGATAGAAGACAGATGTGACATTGCAATAATGATAAAGATGTTGCATTCATACAGCTGTAAGCGGCATCACGACCGATGGTAGTATGGCCATCCACTAGGGGGACTGTACACGACTTAGCCTGCTGTTTGCGGCAAGGTTCGCAAGAATTGCGCATGATACGTGTTGGGATGATGGGAGATATGCAGATCTCTCGGAATTTCTACCGTTGTTACTGCTCGCACGATGTTGGTGTAGGACTATGTAGCCAATCAGCTTGTCAAAGCTGCAAATAAAAAAGACAGGTTGTGGGCTTACAGGATGTGAGAGGGCGTTCATGGGACGCCGGTGATGGGAAGGGTGAGCGCCTTCTTGTGTCTCATCAACTTTGGTGAATATCCACTGGGACAAAAGCGCCGGCTTTCGTGGCAACATGCATCATTTCACCTCGGCTACCCAATCGCGATACCTTGAGATTCTCTGAGGATCTATCTCCTCTAGACGTGCCATTAGAGCGACGGCATCCGCACAAGAGTTGCTCGATACCTCGGACGAGGTCGCCGATAACATACGCTCATAATGGGCCAGCGCATTCATGCACCCTAAACCCTAAGCCTTTGAGCGGAAATGGTGCAACTCACATTTTGAGTCTGGCTCTGTTTCATGCAGCTCTCGAATGGATTTGACCTCCGATTTCAAGGTATCCTCGTCCGAATCTCTTCATTAGCGAGCGTCAGCACTCAGACGATCTCACCTGTGCCAATGAGCCATCGGTGATATAGCCAGGCCGATTGATCAGCTGGGTCAGTCCATAAAGCTTGTCGGACGAAATCGAATTCTACCCATCAGCCTTATGGCCAATTATTAGCCACTCACCTTCACGTTTCTCGCCCTCGACAGCCTCTGCAGTCATCGACCGCCAAATCCCTGTGAATAGCTGGATCCTGTAGTGCCAGGCCGAGAAATTGGAGAAATTTGATTCAATTTTCTTAGTTGTGAAGCGGATTTCGTCCCGGGGAGATGATTGACCAGGAAACGACTTGGGCAGTCCTGCAATCACTGTCCGACGATAGCCCCAAGCGTGAACTTCGAGTTTTAACTCGGTTCACACCAAGAAAAGGCTCACAGTTCCGGGGGTCAAGCCGCAAGAGTTGCTCGATCAGCTCAAGCTCAATCTTCCAAAAGCTGTTCTTCCAGCCTTCGGATCCGTCAGGGCCCTCCGGGATAGATTCTAGACACCAGCGACGATGATTCCATATCCAATAGACTTTCGGATTGACTTGCAAGTAGGAAGTTGTTAAGCGAATTTCATTGCCAAGAATCTGTACTTTCTTTTCGTCAGAGCTGAAGAGGTCAGGTGGAACACATGCTGTCCACTTACAGTGTTGGGAATAAACCTCGCAATATGTGACGACGATAATTCCAGACGGTGTAGTATTCAGGATTCATGTCCAATAATTCATTCGTGATCTCAAGAGCATCGCGAGTGTACTCTTTCCTCCTTCTCTGGGTCATCAGTCAGACCTATCTGCGGATCTCGCTTACCTTTTGCAACACAGTCTCTTCCAGGGCGACATATTTCTCCAATAACAATCTGTTTCTTGCGTTCTTCGCCTCGGCGGCCGCACCTGACAAATGAGTCCTCTTCACTCCGTGCTGCATCGCTGTTGCTCCAGTCACGGTAAGAACGTCGCACCGCGTAACTGAAAGGGAAGAGCCCGTGAATCACATGACAGCTTACGTAACAGGTGGCGATCATCTGTTCATGTCGATGACCCTGCTTGCGACTTTCTTCCTGCTCAACAACTTCTACACCATGACCGAGTGAGCCAGATCAGACACAGGCAAGTGAGTGACTGCTGACCATGACTCTGTAGATACTGGGTATCTAAGAAGCAATACTGGTGCAAATATTGTTCTATCTACATTCGGGATGATGCTCCGGTATGTCTACCATCGAGGACTGCCACTGACCTCCCAGTCACGCAAGCTACACGAGACTGGGCTAAAGCATCAAGGCAATAAGGAAAGATACATACGTGATCTCTACAAGTCCGGAAATCAGGCAAAGCGGGAGAAGGCCGCAGAAGCAGCCCAGATAGCCAGAATCGAGGCGGTAAGTCAATGGCTTCTGGGAATTCAGCTGACTCACTTGTAGTCTGCCGAAGCCGCATACGCGCATGATGCGCATGCGTCCTCCTCACGGATCCGACTTCATCCTACGGCAACATTTGCCCCGCCATCGGCTTCTCGTAAGACCGACAAACCCAAGGACAAGTGGGCAAATTACACTTCCGCCAAAGATCTAGGCTTTGACGATGAGGACACCCAGAAATCCTCCTATCAGATTGAGCAAGAATTGAAGGGCCGAGCAGGCGAAGTTGGTGCATGGGAGGACGTGGTAGAAGCTGCTCCTGGGCACACTCTGCAGGCCACGCGCAGTCTGGCCCATTCTAATGCGGACAGTGATGACGAGGGTGAAGGTTTCAAGTTTTCACATCGTGAAAAGAGACCTTGGCACGATGTGTACGATGAGGGTGAATGGGATCCGAAAGCTGCTCTCAGTAGTCTCAAGCTCAAGAAGCAGGACAAGAGTGATGGTGTCAAAATGGAGGAGCAGAATGGACTGGACCGAAAGGGCTGGGACGGCAAAATAGAACTACAGGGGCATCACTTGTCCAGCGTAAAGGCGCAGCCTGAAGATAAGCACGAGACACTGGATGCAGAGCCGGACGTGAAGCCCGAAATACCGGCGGCAGAGAATGCGGGCTCTAGCCTGTTCAAGAAACGGCGTCCAGTACAACATCGGCAGAAGTGATATGCATCGTCTAGAAACGCTTTGAGCGTACAACATTGCTGATACCGCTCGTCTCTCCACTGTAGCGCCCCTGAAGACTGGATTGACCACCCTTATATACCGGTCCCTGAGAGCTGACCTTTCTCTTTGCCTTGTCGTAGGCCAGCCTCTTTTTGACACGAGGATTTCTGTTCGTCTTGGCCCTGCGCGGCGTGAGACCCCTGTTCTTCTCGATGGCGCGGGTCAGAGCTCGGGGCCCGCCCTTGTGCACATCCTCCTCAAACCGCCTTGCATGGGTTCAGCCAGACCAACGCAGTTGACTCACTGGTTACTATCGACTGCCTGCTGGCGCGCATCTGTTCTCGCTGCTTTCTTTCGGGACTGATCACGTCGCACAAGATCGTAGTACTCGGCGTTATCGGACGCTGCTGGAACGGAATCTTCGCCGCTTTCTTGCAACCATTGGCTGGATAAGGTGTCGGACTCTGGTTGAGCTGCAGGTCCGCTCCGGCGAAGAGCTGCATCTCGCGCAGCTTGCCTATCTCGTTGCGGGATGTCATCGTCTCCACCGAAACGTTGGGCTCTAGCTGCGGCTCGACGCGCCGAGGTCGAATTGATCTTTGAGGTGTGGAATTGAAGTGAACGTTTGCGATTCTCTTTGTCGACGGCATCTGCTTCATCCAGAGCGCTGGGGTCTCCAATAGGATCCTCATTGCTCTGGGTTGTCGAGAAATGTTCCATGCTTTGGAAGTCTGGCTCGACCAGAGCGTTGGTCACGGGATCCGCAGCCAGAAGTTGAGATCTTTTATGCCCCTTCGGTTTACGTTTCGGCTCTGCAACCGGTATGACTTCGGGCTCTCCGTCCGTGAGATCAGCGAGCAGTTCGTCCAATTCTCCTTCTTCCAGATGGGTCGTGCGCCACGATTCATCGAGGTCGTCCTCGATCTGAGAGGAGCCCTTATCGTTGAAGGCGCCGAAGAGGAGCGACAGCTTGTCCTTCATCGCTTTCTGTGATCCATTCACACCCTCTTCAAACTCTTCGTCCGAAACGCCAGATTCACTGTCTGCTGCAAAGTCGAGATCTTCAAGCATAGCCAGTCCCTCTTTCAGATGCAACAACCTTGACATGATGGGGTGGTCTGCCAGATCAGGGCGCGATTCTCGAGGGAGAGCGCAAAGGTGCAGGTAAAAAGCGAGAACCGTCGCATAAGAAAGAAGAACCTCTGCAAGATCATCAGCATGGCGATGCACCGTCACTTACGGTAGTGCAGCCAGCCAAGTCCCCTCTGCAGAGCCGCATTTCGGCTTCCCTCCTGAGTCTGCATCCCCCTAGAAGTCTTCTGTAATTTCTCGATGACCAGAGGCATCTCCCTCGCCAGGGCGAGCTTCAACGTCTCGTGGCTCTCAAGGTGACGGAGTAAAGTCGAGGTGTCTTCAGTATCAGGCGCTTCCACCACAGTTGCAACCGGATCATCCGCAGGATTGTCATCAATCTCGCTGAATCCAGGTCAGCATTCGCACGGTCTGGATGCGCTCACGTTGTCAAGAGCTGCGGGTCGAATCCCCAGTCTTCGGTTCCTCTCAGATCCAATCTTGCCTTCTTCTGCAGCCGCCTCACTTCGTTCACCTCCAATTCCCGTTCCTCTTCCCTCGATGCCTCATATGCCTGAGGATCTTCTCTGGCTCTGCGATTGCTGGGTTTGGAATAATATTGACGACCCCATCCTTCCTCCTCGTCACCGGAGCTCTCAATTTCATCGCCCACGTCTACCTCGGCGGCGGCCTCTTTGGCGAAACGCCCTCTTAATTGAGCATCGGAGATTGGAGCTTTCGCTCGTTTCTTGCCCGAACGAGAGCTCTCTGCTCCTTTATCATCACTCTCTCCGTCGGAACTAGAAGGCTCGGCGAATGAAGGTATATCGAGGACTCGCTCGCCAGTCCCAATGTCTATATCATCTTGATCTTCCACGTTACGCCAGTCGTCAAGGAAGATCTGGTCTCGTTTAAAGATATCTTGGATGTCAGCCAAGTTAGAGGATCTGCACGCACAATCGTCAACACCTCCTTCCTGAAGCGTGTCCTCGTAGTTCTCGATACGGGCCGATTGGCTCTTGCCATTAGATCTGAGCTGTTTTCCAAGGCGTGCCTTCCCTACGCGCGCCATGGCGATGGATGTCTGTGATTTCAAGTAGCTATGAAGAGCTCAGAGCGTGCATCCAGTCTGCGGTCCAAAAAACTTTAAAAATCAACCACATTGACACGTGGCTTCATGGTTATGAGTGCCGACATCCGAGACAGGTTGGGATCATTCATCGATCACTACCAGGACTGACAGCATGGAGCAAGTCGTCGGGGATATTCCGCCGGTGACCAGATCATGGATCATAGCGGCCGTGGGAACGAGCGTATTGGTGGTGAGTGGTGATGTCCACGACGGGAATTTTCGACTGACTACGCGGCCAGGAATGTCAACTCATCGCACCTTTACAGCTATATTTCTCATGGAAGAATGCGGTAGGACACATGCAGGTAGGATTTCTTGCTGTGATGAGTTGCTGATCTTGACAGCTATGGAGATTCTTCACCACTTTCTTCTACTTTGGACCTCTGTCCTTCGACCTTGTCTTCCATCTCTTCTTCATGTATGTCCGATCACTCCATGGCTTCTGATGACTCGGTTCAGTATGAGGTATTCTAGGCTGCTGGAGGAGAATTCATTCTCCAATCGACGAGCAGACTACATCTATCTCTTGGCTCTCTGCGCTACATTCCTCTTGGTGAGTTGATGAGCCGGGAAGCCCGTGATGGCGCTCATCCTGGCTGGAAGGCCATATCACCCCTCCTCACTCTACCGTTCCTTTCTTCTTCCCTCGCCTTCGCACTAGTATACATCTGGTCACGGCGCAATCCATCGATTAAAATGTCCCTCTTTGGTGTCATCACGTAAGCCGCAGGCCAAGATGGACGCGAAGCTCAGTCATCAGTATAACCGCACCTTATCTTCCACACTGCCTAGTAGCATTTTCCTGGTTATTACAAGGCGGCTTTGAGGCGGCTGTGGGCGATATTGTGAGAGCAGAGAAGCGCATGCCAGTGCTCATCGAGTAGGTCGGCATCTTAGCCGGCCATACATATGTCTTTCTCCAAGATTATTGGCCACGCGAAATGTGGTCTGAATCGGGCAAAGGTGAAATCCGTACTCCGGCCATAGTGTGAGTCGTGAAGATGATCTTCGGCTGATTTGAAAGTCGACGTCTATTGGGCGAACGAGCCAACACTTGAAGCAGTCCTGGTGGCTGGACGTCTAGCAGAGCGTCGTGTCGGCCGGCTATGAGCAATATTCTGGTCCGAAGGCGATATAGCCTCGATGGGGACCTGCTCAAATTCAATAGCAACACCGTCGTCCGATGAGGGCTCTGCGTCCAAAGCTTGCGATTGCCAAGTGTCTTTATCGTTTGCACTCGTCTGTGCCAGCAACTCAGTGGCAGATTGTTTGTTTCTCGTTTTGCCCTCGCCTCCCTCTTCAGCCAGAGGGTTGAGTGGTGTTTGATGTAGCTTGACATCAGCGAAATGCAGAATCCGCAGTGCCTACTTGTCCCGACCCGCCATACTCCTCCTGGAGTCGGGCACGCACGCGCAAGCCATTGATCAGTTTCACCCAGCGCTTCAAAGCGCGTTCCTCCTTCTTCACTCGCTCCCGGCTTTCCGCCGCCGCTGCGGACTCCCAATATGCCTGATGTGTCAATTCGACCACAAAAAGTGCTCACATCCAAAACGATCCGCTCGTTTTCCTTTGCGACCACGATACCAGTGATAACTGGAATAGCCCTCTGCTTCTTGAACTCAAAACCGGTCTGGTCGTTAGCAGACGAAACAATCGGGAGCTTACGCAGGCCTCGGCATAGCTGATAGTCAGCGCTTTAGCGACCTTTGCAATGCCTTTATCTGAAAAAATCAGGATGGGCATTTTCAGCTGTCTCACATGGAAGGTGCACGGCTCCGGCCGGCAACATTGTAGGGGCATAAAGGTCGATATTCCCAAATGAATTTTGAGGGATTTCGCCCTGCGTCGATCAGAACGCTCGGCAAGCTCGACTCACGTTGTGGATTGGGGGAGGAATGTAAACATCTGTCTGCCATTGAGCATACAAGCCCTGTTGTACCGCTTCTCCTCGTTCCTGCAGGGCCAGCTCTTGCATTCTTCGTTTCTGCAGCGTGACAGCCCGTTGCTTGACCCATTTCAGCGGCTCCTCTTTGTTCTTTACACGTCGTCCCAAACGCATCCAGTTCTCCGCCGTTTTACAAGACACGACATTGCTCCTCCTATAAACTGGCTCGCCTTTGAATCTGCCGATCTCTCTCTTCGGAGTGATAACCTCCTCGCGCTTGAGATGCCGCTCCAGCACATAGCTATCCGGTCAGACTGATTATCATCGAGTTCTTACATTGGATGGTCTTTGAAGCCATTGAGGTGCAGTGGCATGCCCTCGGAAAATTGACTAGTCTCCAACTCTGCGTCCTCAAGTTCGTCGCGTTGCTGAAGTTTTTTGTGAGCATGTACACTCGGACGATTTACTCACGAGGCGGTTAGGCCGTTGTAGGAATGCCGTGATCTCTGACCACCAATCTTCTTCATCCTTCCTTAGAGGAACTCTTAACTTCGACGTTTTTGCACCAAAGTTCTTGGTATAGCGCAATGTTACATCTCTTGCATGACCGTCTGGCGTGTTAGACACCACATCCCGTCTCGACTCACCTTCTTCGTATGCAACGACGTAAAGCATACGTACAGAGCCGTTGTCGGAGACAGGCTCGAAATGGGATTTCTTCCGAATTGTCCCTCTCACGGGGTCGACCGGAATCCACCTTTGGTCGGAACGAGAGTAAATTTCGCACCAGAACACAGGAGGTTGATTTGAGAGGACTAGTCAAGATAAGCAGGAGCCTTTAAAATGACTCACGCTCTGGACGTTTTCTGGCCGCAGTTGGGGTACTTGGCGTCTGTGGCGGCGGTTTCGGAGCTCTCAGTCTGTAGACGTCGGCTGGATCGATGTGCCTCCTGCGACCAGCCTGTCTAATGGTGGCCTTCTTTGTATTATTTCGCGGTGCCTTCCCTCCGTCGCTGTCTTCAGTATGACTCGGAATTGGGACCTCCTCCATATCATCCTCCTCGTCATCCTCATTGTCAGAGGCTGGACCGTTGCCCTGACGGCTGGCCAGACTCTGACCATTTCTTCCGGCTCCCTTCTTTTTCTTCGGTGTCGATTGCTTCTCCGCTCGCCAAGGAATTGCCTGTAAGGATGTGACAAGGCGCGCGCCGAGTCCACACGCTCGGGCAAGAGCAACGAATAGCTGTGCCATGACGTCGCGGGAACCTTCTTGCTGCAGGACTTTCTTCATGAGACTATTAGGTGATCTTAGGCGCTCTCCCCCGGAATTTGTCGAGAGCTTCTCTAATTCATCAAGTGAATCGCCTCTGGACCCGAACGAGGTCCCTAATATTTCCCTTCTCGTTAATCGCGGAAGCGCATCGACTATCCCTTGGACCTCATCCCAAGGTCGTGTACGTAAACCCAGGGTGTCATCAGAGACGTCGAAGAATGATTGCGACCACCAGGTAGCGAGGGATTGCAAAGCGTCAAAGAACAACCGTGATCTCTGCGCTCTGTCAGGAAAGCGGGACGGAGGGATATTGAAGGCTGATTGTAAAGGATGGGGTAGGAGAGATAGTAAGCGCGCTTTCAGCAGCATGTTATTGCACCATCTATTTCTGATTCGAGCTGAAGCGAGGAGAGCTATGACGTGCGTCTTATGGGCCTCTAGACGCAGTGCTCGATCTTTCGAGGTCAGTGGTTTTCTGGACTATCAGCCTATGACTTGGGGAATCTCACTTTCTCAGTGCCCAGGCCAGCCTTTTCTCCTTCTCCTCAGCAGTCTCTCCACCAATTTCCAGATGAATGACTCCGTTTTCGGAAGATTGGCCTGAGTCTGAAAGCTCTGCTCCCTCGTCTGACGTTCTTGGCGAGCGTGGCCAAGCATTATCCGCCATGGAAAGATCATCCAATTTCTGATCGCCAGCTAAAGAAGAGGGGCCAGCTGAAGGAATAGCTACTTCTTCCATGTCGTCCGAACTCCCGGTCTGAGACATCACAGATTGAGCCCGACCCGTTGTGCTGACGGGACTTCTGGTGGATTCCGGTCGGCTTGACTCGGCGGTCGCTTGTCGTGAGGCGACCTCCGATCGAGCGGAGGCTGCTCGCCTCTCACGGGAAACTTTACCATTCTTCACAGTGGATACAGGAGCGACGACGTTACCGAGAGATGTGGGCACGATCTTTGTTCTCTTCGGTCTTGATGCACTCATGGGAAGCCGGCTCAATGTTTGAGAGCTAGTTTGCGGGACAGTTGGAATATCATTGATGCGGAAAGATCGAAGATCGTCTCTCATCATGACGATAGCATCTCAAACGTCGAAGCCGCCAGGCGGAGATCGCCGCTCCAGCATCCGCTCGGCTTAATTATTCTTTGTTCATGATCATCCCATTCTACAACGTCTCAGGTTAGACCTCGAGCTGATGGTTCTGAGAGCTGTTCAAATCTTGTCATTAAGCAAGACCTTGATCTCAGACCGACTGGCTTCAACTCGTATTCCGAAAATACAGCGACGTCGCATGATGACTCGCCCACAGCCTGACGCTGTGGATTATGGGCACTTTCAACTGCTCCAGTCCTTTGAGATAGACTACGCGCCAGTCAAATTGTCCAAATGGCGAAGTAGCAAGACTGGTCTAACAGTAGTTGTTGGCGAGCATGCCACTCCGATAGTACGTCTGTCCCTGCGCGAAAAGCTCATCTTCTGCAGACAAACGGTCATTTCACCATCGCCTCCGAGAGTAGGTCCTCTGGCCGGGGAGGATCTGACACTGAGCAGTCTTCGATGATACCGGACGACCACATACCTTAGAACAGTTCGTGTTGATCTTGAAAGCTCTAACGATACAGTCTTATCTTCCTTGGTTCCAAGTCTTACCCTTACAAAGGTGTGCTGGATCATCTCGCCAACCGTGCAGGCAGTAACGGAACCAATGCCTGGACTGCAAATGATCGTGAGTTTCTGTGATGATCAAAGCTGAGATCCAGACACGGCATACACCATAGCGACCGCTGGAACCTCAGGCTTCCTGGACATGCTGCCTAGTGCGTATGAGAATGGATACTCTCATCCCATCTAACCTTTGTCAGTTTACATCGATCATATTCTACACCCGACTTTAACCGACGCAGGCTTTGTGACAGAGGTGCGACCCGTCCGCCTTGTTAGTCCTGACATCAGGTCCATCATATCAATGGAAAGGGCGACGATGCGGGCGTAGTCTACAGTGAGATGCAGGCTCGAGAAAATCAAGCAGGTGACTTGATTGCCTTACAGTAAGTATGCCTGACATCGTCGCGCTCACGAGTTCAGGACTCAGCGTACCCTTTACCCCGAGAGCTCTGCCTATAGAAGCGAAACCGGAGGACTGATGGCGATGTTGCGCCGTTTGACCGCAGCTCAGAGTGAGCTACATGGTGCCGTTGCTTACTGATTCAGCCAAGTCCGCGAGTATCATGCCCAGTATTACACACCGTACAATGTAAGTGCCGGGATGTCTCTCGGTCCCCGCTAATTTCCAGCTCTGTCTGCTCATTGATGGCTCTGTATCTCTACCCGACCTGTTCTCGGTGTTGAACACAAAAGTCGATCCTCTTATTCTGGAGAATGTTTCCCCGGATCAGCCTCTTCCCCCTACCGATTGGAAGCGGCCTTTTGTTGAGACGACCACCTCGAAACCACTTCTCATTCCCGAGTCACGCACCACCGTCGTCGAATTCATGGAAGAAGACGAGAGCATCGGCGAGATCTCCTTGACCTTCCTTGGCCCTCCACCAACAGATTATCGGACAAATCTTGCCATCAAACTTCTTGGCCAGTACTTGACGGAGACGGCAACGTCACCCCTGCAGCAGAAATTCGTGGAGATTGAGCAGCCTTTCTGCACCGGCATAGGCTTGTATTCTGAGGATCGAGTCAATCAGAATGAGTTGACGATGTACCTCTCGGATGTGCCCGCCAAATTCTTGGACACCCTAGCAAGCGATGTTGTTCGGGAGTTGCAAAGTATCGCCAGGACCAAAGGGCTCGATATGGAGAGAATGGCTCGGGTGATCATGAGAGACCAACGGAAACTGCTGAACACGATGGAGACGAGCGTCAGTAATGTCCTCTCTGATGCTGTCATTGGTGGTAGGCCCTGAAGATCACAGGATACCGCTGATCTCGTCAGATTTCCTGTACGGAGCCAGAGACGGAGAGGAGCTGCCAGGAGCCTTCAACGATACGAAAGACTACCATCATTTGAGCCAGTGGAGCGCTGCTGATTGGATCAATATTCTGGACAAGTGGGTCTACGCTGTTTCGCAGTTAACCCTAGGTATCTGCTCTCCGCCAAGAGCATTATCATGATAGGTAAACCCTCGGCGAGCCTAGCGTCAAAGATCGACGAGGATGAGAAGACGCGAATATCACAAAGAAAGGCCGAGCTGGGCGAGGAGAAATTGCGGGATTTGCAACGACAATTGGATAAGGCCAAGGCTGAAAGCGACGTGCCTCCACCCCCTGACATGATCCGAAATTTCCCAATAACGGATGTGAGCTAGCCTGACTATGTCGCTGACACGTTCAGCCCTCGACCCTAACTTGGGTCCCCTGCGAGACGGCCGTTATTAATGCAGCTGGGCAAGAGATTTGTGGCGACCGGGGCGATCTTCAGCGCCGACTTGACGCAGAACATGTCGAGGTCCCTTTCCAGACGCATTTCTCACAGGTCGAGGTTCGTTCGAGATTTAGCCAGGCCTGATGCGTGATAGTCGAATTTCGTATCAGTCTCCATATTATCCGACACCATCGACCTTCCTTCAGAGTTGCGGCCGTGAGTTCCCATTGGGCCGGCCATTGACTTACAACTAGTTACATGTCGCTCTTCTCTGCTGCGTTGTTCAACGTAGGCGTGAAACGAATGGACGGTACCGTTCTGTCTTACGAGACAGTCGTGGATGAACTCAGCGAGCAAGTTGTCCTTGCTCTTTACTACAGCGTTGCTAATTTGCACAGCTTCACGGTTGGCCAGAGCGCAGCTTTGAGCTATCGCGGTGACTTTGCCGAGATACTCGTCATCTCTCTCAAAGTCGAGTCGAATGATTTTGCCAAAGCGGTAACATGGATCAGAGACGTCGTCACAGGGAGCATATTCGATGCGAAGCGGTAAAGTTCAGTCACCGGGTCTTGCTTACGAGTGTCAGTCTGGCAGTGATCGCTGCAAAACAGTTACAAGAGCTTCCATACGAAAAGCGTAACGGTAATGCCATAGCGCGTGGATGGGCCAACAGACTTGCATTCGACATGGACAAATCAACCTCCGAGTCAACTGCCGTGCTTTCACTATTCGACTTTTACCCGCTAGTTGTCAACAAGCTACAGGACTCGCCAAGCGAGGTCGTCTCAGCACTGGAGGCCTTGAGGGGGCACGGTGAGGAGTCTCCGGACATGGAAAACCCTGTTTTGACACCATCTGCAGTCTTGAACTCCTCCACTTTCAGAGTTTCAGTCGTTGGGGATATCAACAGGTTAAATGGGCCAAAAGCCGTTCTTGCAGGAGCATTCCGGGATGTCAAGGTAAGATATGTGGCATTTAACGAAGCTGATAAGAGACGCAAAAATTGCGTCTTCCTTCGACCTCGCGAGAGACTCTATCAGCTCTGGGACAACAGCCCCGCAGCAAAGTGAGGCCATCGAGATCCGTCAGCTTACTGTAGCTCGCACTCATCCCTATGGCATCCATCGAGGGCTCATATGCTGTCATGTACGCAAAGGGTCCCGCGGGTTGGGAGCATCCAGACTCTGCAGCTATTATACTTGCAGCTGCGACCCTGAACGCCTCCGAATCCTATCTCTGGAAGTATATCCGTGGCTCAGGACTGGCCTACGGGTGCTGGATCCAGGTCGATCGAGAGTCGTCTCTTGTAGAATTTGCCGTCTACAGAGTGAGGACAGCGACTACTGCTTTTTCTGGAGCTCATGATCAGAGTCCAAACGCGCGAGAAGCCTACACAACGGCCGCCAAGCTCATACGAGGACTAGCGGACGGCACAGAAAAACTAGATCAGGATATTGTGGATGGCGCGCGATCGACTCTGACCTATGATTACGCATCGAAGGCTAGCACTGTTGGCGCTGCGGTGAGCGTTGCTCGTTCGAGCGCCCCTAAAACTCTAGGGCACAGCAGCATTCTCCAACGAGGTTCTTAAGGGCCTCCACAAAAACGCTGATCAAGAAATGCTGAGCAAGCTACCAGTGAGATTGTGATCAAGTGACTCCGCCATTGACAGCTGTAGGCGATCACCCTTGACGAGATACGGGACGTTATATCACGATATTTCTTACCCTTGTTCGATGCTAACACAGCCTTGGGGGCGGTAAGCGTGAACGCCGGAAAAGCGGATGAGATGGAATCAGAATTCGCCGAACTGGGTTTCTCAGTCGAAAGGCGAGAGCTGCCGGTATTCGACGAAGACGGCAGCATGGGAGAGTCATCTGGCGATGGGAGCGAAAGTGGGGACGAGAGGAGCAGTGATGGCATGGAGGAGATCATGAGCCCATAAGGCAATGCCACATTCTAGCATTGGACATTTAGCTCTTCTCCGATGCACGGAGCATGTGTCGGAGCCGGCCATCGATCGTCAGTGAACGTTAGCCTTGAGCTTGTGTTTCATGAGACTGAATCGTCTACCGAGGCTGGTCTGCACTCGGTTCAGTTGCAGTCCCTCACCGCCGTCTCGTACGATGTCTTCCAACCGTGAGGTCCCCATGGCCCCGAGGAAGGAGGATGAGGATGTTTGGAAATACCCACGTCCACCTCTGCTCCAACGGACACCGAAGTAGGTCATTAGTCAAATCTTAGTCTAATCTGCATCTCAATCAGTCTTCTACGCGTAGTCTGGACGGATCTAGAGGGAAATCAGACCGTTATCGCAGAGACAGACAAGGCCTTCCGTGTGCTCGAGACATCGTGAGCTTGAGCGCATCCCCAGCCATCTGATCCATCGTCAAGTCACCCTCCAACCTACTATCTTCCTCCCTCGTCTCTCAAGCTCCCCGTTCAAGCTCTGAGTCGAAGCACTTTCTGCGAGGTATGTATGTTCTTCCAAGCCAATCGATTCGCCTGAGCTTTCGCAGTGGAAGGGCCAAGCGTCATATTACGCTATCAGACCTCCAGGTGCCAAGAAGCCTATAGAAAACAGGATCTGGTATTACAAGCAGCCCAACCCCTCATTTGTCCCTCTCAAGGATCACGTCTCCTTCTATGCCTCCACCGGTGTAGATGAAGAGGAGGTTGGAGGCCGATGGGATTGCTTCGTCGATGATGAAAAGGTCGTCCCCCAAGCCGGGTGAGTCTCTGCAAAGCGTGATGGCTTCTGACTATAAAGGGACTTTTACGGTGGTTGGCTAACATCCAACATCAAAGGAAAGACCAAGGGTGGGCCAGGTACATGGGTATGGTGATATGCATTCTATTCATCGTCATCTTCGTCGCTCCTTTGAACCTCGTACTTCTTCCCTCGGATACCCCAAATGCCCCAGTTTGTCTTGACAGCGACGCGTGGATCCCAGTCTGCAATTTCCCACTTCTTGCTTCCAAATTCATTCTTCCCTGGTGTCAAGACCAGGTCAAACTCGTCCGAGACACCTTCGATATGATCTACAGGCGCGGTCGGTAGACCGACGTAATCTGGAAACTCGCGGAATTTCGTGTGACTCTTGAAGGATGGAGGATTCGTGCCGAACAGGGCAGAGACATCTCTCTGGAGATCAAGCGGTGAGAACGCGGTGAAGAATGCAGCGCATTTGGTCTGTAATATCTTCTTCAAAGCTAGTCTCCACGTCGTCTGAGCTTGCACCAGTGGCTGAGTCGCAATGTGATTGCCATCATGTACGCCTGCTTCCTCGTCGGTGGGCACCGAGGGGTTTCGATTCGAATCCAAGCCTGGCTGATGCGGGAATCCGAATCCGGGAGCAAAAGCGAAGAAGACATCAGTATAGGGGTCAAAGGGCCCGAGTTGTGAGTGGATCTGCTCGTACGAGGTTCTCAGACTGCTGATGGAGAGATAGGGAGAGACGTGTAATGTGTAAGATGGACATCCCCAGCCGTCGTTTTCGGAGAATTCGTACTTCTTGCCGATAAGCCGAAAGTCCTGCCTATCCATGATCGGCAGCCCAACCTCGGGCCCGACGAAGTAGATGTGGAAAATGCTTCGAGGGAACATGTAGTGAAGCTGTTCCCAGTGGGTAGGTGGTAGCGTCGACTCGGCACGAGCTCCTATGATAATTATGCGGATAGGAGGTGTGGGTTTCCATGTGGTCGTAGACTCGTTAGATCCAGGTGGCAAGTGAAGAATTGAATGAAGGGCTGAAGGAGTTGAATAGAAGCTCATGGTCACGGCTCACCAATCATGTTTCGGCGACCTTCTCTGGTGATACGACCGTTACCCGGTGTAAACGGCCCGTTCTGATGCAGAACAGCGGCTACAGTCATCGGATACGTTAACACTTTAGATAGATGTCTGACGCTTCGCTCCGAGTTGACAGAAGGGAACGAACGTGTCCAGAACAGCGTATCCCAGTTCGCAAAGGCTATGGCCTGATCGTATGGCTGTTCCTCTGAGCACGAATTAGCTATGCCGCGACAAAATACTTGCTTGGAATATTCTCAAATTCGGGGAACCTTCTCCCACTTCTCAGGTCGTGATCATCCTCGTTGACCTGTCGCAGCCTCTCGCATACTTCCGCGTGTTCTTCTGCTCCTTCTTCCCATCTTTCTTTGTCTTTGTGAGTAGGAAAACCACAATCCGGGCAATCGAAACCAGGTCGAACTCTTTCGTTGTGCCGCTCTGCGGAGACGGGGCAGATGGACACCTGTCGAATGCGTTTTGCTCGTTCCCGCATGTCCGCAAATGGCGAGTCTGCAAGGATGTGGAATAAATCATTTGCGGCTATGAGAGGTTCAAGTTCAGGCTGAGCTTGGAAAGGAGATTTGGGCTTCGGTTTTCGTGCAAAGCCGCTAAAGATCGATCTGGTCAGAGGTCGAGTGACTGTCGATTGCGCTTGGCGACTCGGGACTCTCGCTGGGGCAGACGAAGAAGTCGGGCCATGAAGACTCGCTCTACAGACAGAGGGTCCTGCTCTGGCAGCTGTAAAAGGGGACGATGGGACCCTCATGTTCTCCCGAACTGAAGATGATGAATGATGGAGGAAGAACATGATCGATTTGGCCGACATCATCACGGAAGCAAAATTTCAGAAAAGCTTAAAGTACGAAGTCGCAACTCAAATTGACCCATCCCATCCCATCTCATCCCATCCCATCCATCCTTGACGGACGACGTTATGCTGCTCAATCTGCCCCCAGAGGTGAGTTTAGTGTCTGCGACCGGACTCTTACAATGTCTCTCAGTTGATTCTCAAAATTCACCTTCATGCCCTCAATCCTTCCTTCCCCTCGACCCATCCCCAAATCCACTCCATCTTGACCCGACCTACCCCCTCTTTCGCAGCAACATATCTTCTCTCGTTATACGAGACTAACGGGCCATCGGACATTCTCACTCGATCTTTAAGGCATCCAATATGTAATACGGATGTAGCACAAGAGCTAAGGCGTATGTGGGATCGTCGACGCGGTCATTCGCCACTAAAGGCGTGGGGTGCATCGACCCGTTCAAGATCAAACCCGGCAGATGGTCCAGACGATCGAGAGGCGACATCGGACCCCACTGCTCCACCGCTGACATGCTCGGAGCTCCCTCGTAGGATCTTCCGTTCGCCTTTGCCGGAAGCCAATCCGCTCCTACACTATCTCTTCGATCATTATTCTCCTTCCCCCAACTCTCATAAGGGCTATCCCCTATGCCGGGCGGTTCTGAATTCAGATTATGCTTTGATCGACTTTCTGCTCAGGCATGGTGCCGACCCGGCTCTAAAGTCAAATCTGGTCCTGGAGATAGCCATTAAGAAGAACGATTTAAAGGCGGTCAGAATGTTGATTGAACGCAAGAGCGAGGACGTCCCATTTGACGATGTGAGTGGAACAGAGCATGGAAGGGACCGGGGAAGGAAGAAACGCCGGAAATTGTCCGACAGAGTCAGTATCACTCCAAGGCTCGTTCAAATTGCCCTGCAATGTGGATCTCAGGACATCGTCCACTACTTCGTGGAGGACAAGGGTTAGTCTAGCATCTCCTTTCTTCCATGGATCGGCTGATTGTGGACTTTAGGCGTTATCCCTCCACTGCATGGCATACTTGCTATGTCTAGTCCGACTAAGCCGGTTCGACTCGGTCGAGTCCGTCCCTTTGGATCTCCAAGATATGCATAGTCAATGTGCGGGCAAGATCACTAGTGGCTCTTATCACCTAGTAGCTACAGACTACTCTTCTCCTTCGTCTTCTTCCATTACAACTGGTTGTCTAGAGCTGGCAACGGGAAGTCCAACTCTTCGGTAAGCCACATTAGTCTCTGCAAAATTGCGTGCCTTAGTCGTCGTCTGCTCTTGAGAAACGGTCGCCTCGTCAGTGCTGCCTCGCCTAGACCTCGGTTGGCCGTGTTTGTGATGTTTCCGACGATGATGACCAGCGCTCCAGTTTCCAGGATGAGTTGCTGCTCTGACATCCGAATTTTTCACCACGGTGTGCCCGCCCTGACCAACGCCACCTGCGAAGGCTCTGCGCTCATTACCATACTCGTCCTCGTCAACCCATTCCTCGTCCTTGTCTTCAAAGACGTCTCTCAGAGGAGGCTTGGAATTCGTCGTTCTCATGACTCTGGTTCGTGGCTTGGGAGAAGCTCTCTTCCGATCCTTCGCGCGCTTGGAGCTGACTGACGTTTCGTCTCCGCCTGACCCTTGCCAGCCTTTATCAATGGAAGATGTTCGGGATGAAGCGGTCGATCTGACGCTGCTTGCCACCGAGGAGGTTCGCTGAATGGTGGCCTCGGGTATTACTCTGAAGTGGCGAACACGGGTCGAAGATGACCCTGCCGGTGCGCGGCGGTGGTAGTCATGCAGCGGCGAGGCAGGCGCAGAGCCCAAAAAGCGACCCGAAGTCTCAGATTGCATTGAGGGCGAGCGTATGGATGAAGATTGATGACGGAGCACCAGCGAGGTCGCGGAGTCTACCCTTGTGGGAAATTCAATCTCGTGCTCCGATGTTGGAGTCTGCGATCCGTGGCTCTGATGCGATACCCGCCGAGCGAGCGTATTTATTACTTCGCGGTGATCCGGGGGAACCATGGTGGAAGTGATGCTGGATCGACGTGAATTGACACTGCTCGAACGTCGAGAATAAAGCGGTGGTCGCCCATCGATAGAAGTTCGCTTGTGCGCTGGCAACGGCTGGGGAGTACGAACAGGTCCGGCGTGATGCCTAGCTACAGGCCCGCGAGAAAGGACCACGGTCGCGGAGGCACTTGTTTCTGAACCGATCTTAGCATGTCCACCGGTGACATCCCTTCGACGACGCTTGTCTTCGTTGAAAAAGTAACGGAAGGCTGCCCAAAGACTGTCGCGCTTGACTCTCTCCTGTCTCAGCGACCCTGTTTTGAAGGAGGCAGAACTAGACTGGCCAATCCCGTTTATCGGTGAATTTAGAGGGACAAGTGGTGTAGCGGCGGAATCGATCTCTGGCCGCTTGACTCTTGGTGGAGCCTTCTGGAGCTTAGAAGGGGAACCGTTCCACGTGTCAGCCTTTGGCGTCCCGTCTTCTGATTCGTCCTTATCCTCATTCCTCTTGCCTGTGAATGCCGAGGTTGCGCGTTGCAGCATGCTTAGGGACGGCGATCGCGCCTTGCGGAAGGGCGAGCTGGGCGTTGACGTCGGCGTTTTCGTGGGGCTGGTCTGAGAGGCATCGATGGGCGGCGAGGTCTTCCCGCTTCGATCTGGCGAGCGGTTTTTGGTCGTCTCGTCGCCTCGGGCATGCTTTTCCTGATCGGTAACATTTTTGGGAGCATTTTGCCGAGCGTGCTTCTCCTGATCAGACAAGCTACGCACTTCCTGAGCATCCGAGTGTTCGCCTCCTGATCGGTCTGGAGAGGCTCGTCTCCTGTTCTCTGCCTTGGAATCTGTTTGTCGAGATACGTCAATGAACGAGTCACTTGTCTTCGTGCGGACGATCCACCACATGGCAGCCGACGCATCACAGGCATTGTTTTTGACAGAGTGTTGCATCTGCTCTGCGTCCAAACCGATCAATCTGAACGACTCGAGCAAGGCCTTTTCAGGGGCCGTGGAGAATACTGCTGACCGCTCTCTTTTTAGCTGGGAGGCGTAGTCGATTAACGGCTGGATATCGAAATCGCCTGAATTACTGATATAGGATGCTCGCCTCTCCATCGTTAAGGACGAGGAAACAGAACGGCGCTTGGTGCGTGACGGGGTCCGCGAATGCGTGAGAGCGGTCAGGTATGGACTTGAAGGTGCCAATGTACCAAGATGGTCCTCGGTGAGCGAATCTTCGTCTTCCTCTGGCTGACCCTCCAGGGCTGTGCGCATAGCCACCTTACTCTTGAGGGTCGATGCCGACACGGTACCATCGCTTCCCGAGCGGCGCAAGGTCGATTGGCTAGCATTGGGATGCAGGAGCTCTAGCAAATGCTCAGTCGGACTGAATTCAATGCTGTGGTTCCGAGGCAACGACTTGGCGAGATCATCGTCGTCGATAGTCGTTGGTGCGGTGCTGTCGCTTGGGGGCTGACCCTGCTCACTGTCCGTGAAATCTTGACTATTGTCGGAGCAATCTGACGAGGGTCCTGGTGGATTGACGGTTTGGGATGAGCCCAAGGGAGATGGTGACAGAGCTGGCCTGGAAGCCACATGTGGAGGAACGAATGGACTGGGCTTGGCGGAAGAGCTTACGATCGGGAGGCCGAGGGGCGAGACTGGTATGGGAGCGGGGTCCATAGGTGTGTCGGCCGTATCTGGATGATCGCGGATGGTCATTTTGAACCATGGATGAGAGAGGATCCCTTCGATGGTCAGTCGCTCAGAGGGATCTGTTTTGAGCAAGCTTCGAATCAACTGCTTGGATTCTACCACGTCAACAACAGTCGCAGATGGTCAGGACTCACCCTCGCTGATCCAATCCGGCTCCTCATATTCGCCCTTCGTGATCTGAGCCCGCATGGCAGGCTCATCGTCTTCATCAAACGGCATACCGCCACAAAGCAGTGTATACAGGATTATGCCAAGAGACCAGATGTCCGTTTCGACTCCAAGGTATTTGCGCCCAGCAAGCATTTCAGGGCTCGCATATCCTGTGAGACTTGTCAGTTACATCATCACTCTTCATCATACCCATTGTGCCGCAGAAAGTATCCATTCTGGCCGAGTCAGTAATGCTCATGCTCAAAGCTTCTCACAGTTGACCCCTCCTAAACTCCCTGGCGAATCCCAAATCACCCAACTTGACTCGGAGATGACCATCCAACAGGACGTTTTCCAACTTGAGATCTCGATGGACAACTCCTTGACGGTGCAAGTAGCCCACTGCAACGACGAGCTCCCCGAACAGCCTACGGGCCTCGCCTTCTTGAAACCTTTTCTTCTCCACCAGATAGTCGAAAAGCTCTCCACCGGAGCATAGCTCGAAGACAAGCCATATGTGTGATTCCGTGGCAATGATTTCATACAGCTGCACGATGGATGGATGGTGTAGACGTCGATGATGATGAATCTCTCTGGTCAGGCTTGGTGTCTGTGATTTGGGAATCTTTTTGATGGCACATCGAGTACCGGTGAGGCGATGAATGGCCAGGTGAACAGATCCATAGGTCCCTGAGATATATCAGCCAATGAGCACTGCGCCGTCCGTACCTTCTCCAATAACTCGACCCAGAGTATACCCTCCAACAATGGTCAGCTTTTCACTGCCAAGCTCCCTGCCCAATTCTTGGTACGCATTGATCAGCTCAGCGTGTTTGTTGTTGCTCGAGCTGGCCCCAAGATGGTGATGATTTCCACGAGCTCGATATTCGCCCATGTCGAACCCACCCTAGATTCGACGAGTGGCCAGGGAAGGACCATGAATTGAAGCGTAAGGGGTCCAACCAAGGTCGTGCTTTTGATGCCAGGTTCGTGTCTGGGACTACAATGGATTTCCAAGTACGCTAGAGTTCGACAGAGCAGGAGCAAAGCACGGATGAGTCCTGCAATAGGCGTTCACGGGGAACGTCGAATGAATGACTTTGCACAGGACTGCAAGAGGGACGTCCTGCTATTGTGAAAGGGGAAATCGGGCGTTTAAGCTTGGAAAGGGCGTCCGCCCAAAAACAAAATATGGTCGCCTCCCCTCCCTCTTTGATCGTCGGCAGTGTCCTTGCGATCAGCGTGAGCGATGTGATGGTTCGCGAAGATCACGGCGACGGTAGATCCTTGGAGGAACAATAAGTGTGAGCTGGATGAGAGAGAGAAAGTGTGTCTTGGGGTTCACGATACGATGTCAGAGTAGTAGAACCCCCTCGTTTTCATAATCAACTTTAAAACGACGTCACCGAAAACATTATTATTCATTGTATACATGAACCAAAAATCCCCGTCTGCTGGTCAATGGCCCCGATGTGTTGTCCATCTGTCGAACTCTGCAAGAATGCAGAATCATCTTGGACACATCCCTGTGGGGCTGGATCGAGACGTGGGTGATCTCATTCATATGCGAATGCAATGATAATGCGCAGTGGGGGATTCCGAATACAGTACGACTAGTTTATGCTTCTTCTTCGTGCTCTTCTTCTTCTCGGACCTCATCCTGAGCAGCTGCCCTCTTCTGTGCTCGACTGGATAGCGCTTCTTGCTCCCTCAAGCGCATCCGCCGCCCTTCAGCACCGGCCATCGACAACGTGCCGCATATGAGTTCGACGGTGCGCAGGCTCTGCAGGAAATTATTAGTCCATGGGGACATCCGGGTATGACTCACGTCTCCATTGGCTGGAATAGGATAGGTAACGACTCTTGGGTCAAGATGAGTGTCGATGATGGCGATGGTGGGGATGGCGCGAACCGTGCATTCTCTCACTCCGAAAGAGACGTCAGCTGGATTGAGGAAAACGACCAGGTCCGGAGCGTTGCTGCCTTTCAAGAGCGGTTGGAGTCCGAATCTATCGACCATCAGTTCATGGTAACTCTGAGATACAATAGGGTCAACTCACAATGATTGAGGGTTGGTCAACAGTCCGGGAATCCACTTATTGGTCATGAAACCATTATCTCCCATTCGCTTCTTCGCCTTGTCCATGCACCTTTCCATACCAGTTGCCGTTCCGACAAACAAGATCACTCCATCTGCCTTGACAACATCTCGGATGACAGCAGACGCATGCCGGAGTAGTGGTAACGTCTTTTCAAGATCGATGATGGCCAGTCCAGACCGGTAGCCATAGATGTAATTTTTGTAATTCTTGTTCAAATTCTTTGGTGATCCGCCCAATGCGGCCCCTGATGCCATCAAGGTCGATAATGCAGCTCGAAGTGGTGTAGGTGACGTATCTATTGGTTGACTGGCTTCGTCTTGAGGTATGAATGGTATTTTGATGTCTAATGGAAAGATCTATCAGCGACTGGATCGCTCGTCCTGAAAGGACTGAACTGACGCGTTGCCTCTTTCTGTCTTCGAAAGGCTTGAATCTGCCTCAATCGTCGCTGAAAGGCCTCCTCCCTATCTGCTCGGGTCACACTTGCACTGGTGTCTGCGACAGATCGGGACATAGCCGCTCGAGAGCTCTCGGCCTCGGCATTGGAGGAGCAAGTAGACGAAGCGAAATTACGGCCTGGTCAAAGTATGTCAGACGACAAATCGAGTATGATCTGTTTTTCCGCTCACCTGTTGCTTGTGCGTTGACTGGACACGACCTAGCCAGAAACCTCGACGAGGTCGATGTACATGGCCTCATTGTGGGACACCCCTCTCAGAAGCCTGCAGAGGCTAACAGTTCGATGTACAGGACAATGTCAGAGACAAAGGAAAATCCGAAATTATATTCAGAATAGGTGTGATTTTTCGAGGCATTTTATCCCAAACACCATTAAGACACTACTGTAGCTGCTGCTGCCAGATCACGATGGCCCTGCGTCTTCCTCCTCGTCTCGACATCCTCGGTGAGAGCAGGTCGACTCTCTTCATCTCCATCGATCTGCCCGTGCTCAGTGTCATGAATACAAGCCCAGCCTTTCATACCGAAGAGGAACGTCAGGGAGGCTTTTGAGATCGTCAGGGTGGTCCCGACCCGTCGTGTCACGCTTACCCATCCCCATGTATATCGTACAGGTCCATAGAGCAGCTCTGAGGCCGGTGACGGTTGCATGCTCAAGCGTCTTGCCTCTTTTCAGATCTCTGTTCTCAAAAGTAGTCTGGATCGACGTGCAAATGGCCAGTCCTACCGCGTAGCCCAATCGACATGAGGTCTGAAAAAGGGCTGAGGCAACGCTCTGATCTTCGCTGGAGGAGTGGTGAGGATGGATCGGAGGGGGACTGTACTCACGGAGATGCGGTGTGCGAGATGAGAGATGATCCCGCTGCAATGACTCTGCGCATTGGAGCTTTACACTATAGAGCTTATACTCACCCGTCTGATCCGTATGCGACAAGCAGGAAGGCCCACAGGTCCGCTCTCCAATAAGGCCAATCCAATTTGCGGATGGCAAAGAGAAGGGGTGTCATGCTGGGTCGTGAGTTATAGACCTTGGAGAGATCCTCACGTAGAAATCAAGCATCCAGTCGACATCAATATCCTGGGTGGCACTCTCGATATCAACAGTGCCACAAGGATCTACGACCCATCAACTGCCGCCATGTTTCGTCCTACTTACGGCCGCCGGCACACCACTGAACATGCACATGCTCCATCTGAGACCCGCCTCAAATGCGTCGAGTTTGAGGACATCAAGATAGAGGTACGAAATGAAGGGAAATTGGCCCTGATATCAGCTGTCTTCAAGGTGCCTCACTTACATCAACGCAAGCGAACAGTAGAGCTGTACCGATGTAGACCACAATGAGATTGCGTTTCTTCCAGCTGAGGAGACCTTTTGGGATGACAGGCGGAGGTTTATTTTCGCTTGGCAAGGCTCGATGGAGGGACCGTTGACGCCACACGAAGAAGGCGAAGCATAGGACAGAGACGGTAAGCAGGGCGGGCAAATCTATGATCAGTCTGTGATCCGGGGTGAGACCCACAAGGTGTCTTCCAGCCGCGAGACGTGGTGTTGGACAGCGTCAAGGTGAAGAGAAACAAGAACAATGATACGCCGACGGACAAGGCACCGAGCCAGTCTACAGACCAATCGGATTTGATCGGTGGATCGCGGGGGACCAACCACCAGCCAATGATCAGTGGAGCAACTGTGGTGACTCCACAAGAAAAGTAACATGGTCTCCAGGTCCACCTGGGCTTAATGAGTGCTTGGTTTGCTGAATCCACTCACTTGGAATACCGAACGAAGACTCCAGCGAGGAGCTCCCCCACGGATGCTCCAGCGCAACCTCCACAAGATACCACGGCACACGCAATGGTTCGCTTCTTTCCAGGTCGATACAGTGCACCGATGAGACCGGCTGAAGCAGGTAGAATGATGGCTGCGGATAACCCCGAAAGTGCTCTTGCCACGTTGAGAGAAGCCAAGTTGGGCATGAACGTGGCCGTGACATTGAAGATGACACTGGTGGTACAGCCAAAAATATAGCCACGCTTACGCCCTAATATATCGCACAATCGTCCAGCAATGAGCTGGAAGCACCCCTTGGGGCTCTAAGCTCTGTGATGTGTGTGGTGTACTCACCCAGATGAGCATGTTGGACGCCGCAACCCATTGCACGTCACTGATCGAGACTTTGAATTCTTGTGCAACGACGGGAAGAATGAAGCTAGTCTCGAGAACATTCGCTGCCTGCGAATCTTCAGTCGCAGAAAGCTATCTAGTACTCACGTTGAGAGCCCAGACGATCAGTTGCGAGCCTGCGAAGATGACCAGCTGACGATTTGTAAGGGCATCATATTGATTGGCCGGGGCTCTGCCACTTTCAGCGTTTACCGGTGTCGAAATCCTGCTTTGATCCACGGTAGACTCCTCCTTGTCAGTCGTAGTTGCGGGCACCGGCATGATTAAGCAACACTGGAGGTGTCAATTTGAAGTGAACAGCCATAGAGATCAAGTCCCAGACTTCTTACCTTGCTCGACAGCTCGCTTGCTCCTGACTGTCATCCGGCTTCGCTTCGAAAGAATACACCCTTTGTCCTCTCAATTTTGCGATGATCGGAGGCATGTCTGGTGTCCCACACAACGTAGTTCAAAGGACACAGGTGGTGGGTACCCTGTGAAGATGCATGCGGCGTGATGACTGTGTATCTGTGGGATTTACACAAGAAAGACTAGATCCATTGCTGAGAGATTATATAGAACATACAGGTTGAGCCTTTCCCTTTACCGCCTACGACTAGGTTCCTTAAACGATACACTTGCTGAATCATCATCATTTCCTTCCTGAATTGAAGTCGTCCTGAACATCGCCAAAGCTGGGTTTCGCTTGAACCCAGGTGCTGTGTTCCCGTAGTTCCCTGGCCCAGGAGCAGAATCCGAAGACGGTTGACTGTCTTCTGCAAACCGAATGGCCGTGTTCCGTTGGAGAGAGGCCGTGCGAGTCAGTGGGATCCCCTCACCGCTCTGCCTCGGGGACATCGCTCGAGATCGCGGAGGGGATAAGAGGCCTGGGTCCATACTGGCACGACCTTCCTCCACTGCTGAAGGCGAAGGGGATCGATCTCGCTTGCTAAACCATCCCATGACTCCCTTCTTTTGTCCGGGAAGCTTGATCTTGGGTTTCGGTGGCGCCGATGATTTCTGTTGCTTTCGACTCGAACGACTAGATTCTCCTCGATCCTCATCGCTATCGGGCCATTCCTCATCCCCTTCATCTGCGGTCGGCTCCGCAGCGTACAGCTCGTGTGACCGACCAGGAAGCCGTGAAGGACCTTCATTCGGTGGCTCCTCGTCGCGAGACTCGTTCCGATCTCTCGTATGGGCCTGATGATTGTGTTCACCGCTGTCACCGCCACCAAGTGCACTCGAGAGCTTCTTTTCCAACGCGTGCCCGAAATTGGTAGCGAGATGTTGTATCTCATGAGAATGTAGTCTGCGAGGATGATTGAACGTGGTCTTTTTCGTTGGATGGTCGCCAAACGCATTGTGTATGACTTCTACTTCAACCTATGCTGTGAGCAAACGCCGAGAGCGATCTCTCACCTCTTCGCCTTCACCCCCCTTTCTCTCCACGACCAGATTGTTACCTTCACGGAACTCAGCCAGCGGCGGAGTTCGCTCGCCCGCCTCTTCCTCTTCGTAATCCTGGGCACCTCGAGCCTCCTCGGAACGCGTCTCCTCCTGTGAAGCTCCATCATCTGACCGCGCCTCTTGTGATCGCTCCTCCTGAGACCGATCCTCTTGTGATCGACTTGAATGTCGACTACGCATTTCGATGTCCTCTCCTTGAGCCAACGTTCTTGAGTCCGAGCTACCACCGCTCTCTTCTCCGTTCGACGTTTCTCGATTGACCATGTCTCTCGACGTTGGCTGTTTCTCGCTCCGAACACCAAGATCTCCCTCTTCTGCGTCATCGTCTCGATTGATGCGGACTTCTTGTCCAGGCACAATACGGCGAGCATGGGTAGTCCAGGCGGGTTCATTATCTCTACGAGTATCCATGGATGGGTTGCGAGACCAGGTGTAAGTGATACTGTGAACCCTCCGACCCAGCGAGAAAAAGGGAATTGAGAGACCATCTGGTAGAGGATTAAGTCGACGCGCCTGCCAAGCAGCACTCACGAGTGACGACGGACGAGAGCACGAGGAACAAGGTAACGGGAGTAATCAGATCCCTCAACAAATCAACCTGAGCTGTGTCCTTCTCAACATCTCCTTCAGGCAGGCTCGTCTTGGCCAGCGTGGAGATGAAGACTGCTCCGACTCCCATAGGGCCTAAATATCTCGTCAGCACGCATGAGCCGGTCTTCAGCTCACCAAACCATCCCACAAAGAGAGCCTCCCTGAAGGTCTTGATGTCTGGGATCCACTTGTACAGTGCCATGATGACTGGCAGACGCCTGACGAGAAGGATACAGATGGCCAGCACGACCAATCGCCACCACGCGATAGTCAATCTTGGATCATTGAATGAGTCGAATGGGATGATAGCACCGATGTAGATGAACGCAGCGCAGTTGAACAACAAATCAATGACGTTGGAGAATTCCGCATCCTCGGTAGCCTTGTTGAAGAATCCATCCCAGGCAAAAGCGCATCCGCATGCAAAAGCCGACAGTAGATCATCACTGCCCAGCAAGCTCGTAAAGCCAATCGAGAGGATCGCCAGACTGACGTATTGGGCAACGAAAGATTGCCTATCGATGAGCTTTTTGGCTTCTGAGAATTTCATGACCTTTCGAGCGACCCATCCAAGCAAGGCGCCGAGAATGATACCGAGTATGACTTCGTAAGCAATTGTATAGTAAAACCAATGACCGACAGCATGCCCAGGGCTGGCGTCCAACGTGAGATAAAGGGCGATTCCAAGAAATGGAAACGCTGCTCCATCGTTGCTGCCAGATTCCGCCGATAACATGTGTCGGACATGGGCAGGAACATGTTTGTCTGCAAACTTGCCACCAATGACTGATTGTGCCAGAATGGGATCGGTCGGCGTGACAGCAGCGGCAATTACAAGAGCGGACAGAAAATTGATGCCGGGGATCAAGGCCCACATCAACAGTCCGGATATCATCCAGCCCCAAAGCATGCAAGGGAAAAGGAGGAAGAACAACGTTCTCCAATGCCGGCGCATGTAAGCCTGAGGCGAGCGTTAGCTGAGAGATCTTCCTACAGGCCAGCTCACTGACCTTTGGTAATTCTACTCCGACGGAGAACACGGAGACAGCAATGATGACTCTGGTCACTTCAAGAGTGATCTCATCTTTGACTTCCGCGTTGGCGCCTCCCCAAGATCGTGGATCGAACAGTCCAGTCACGTAGGGTCCCATGATAATACCGACAATGGTGGCGATAGGTGCTTCACCGATATATGCTTTCTCCTTGATCACTGTACCAACCGAGTCAGATGGGGGTTTTGTATGACAGCTGTGCTTACCGAGAGAGAACATGCCAAAGATGACGACGAAAGCGCCAAGGATCGTGTAGGCCAAGTGAGCCACATTTACCTCGAATGGTCTGAACGCCATGATGATTTGATTCGATACAGTGCCAGTCGCGATGATGAGTAGCTCAGTGCTTCAGAATGATCCCCCGTATTATGATGCCGACGAAGGTCTGTCCCGTTAAAATAATCCGTATCGATCCGTGCATGATTAGGATTCACTACCCGGTTGTGATCATCTTCGTTGCCCTTGAGCCAGCTGTATCTGTCCCCTTTATCTTCCAGTGTCCCAGTCCTGTGTTGAGAAATACCAGTCTCTTATCGTGTGATCGCCTTTCAAAAGGCTTGCTCACAAAAGAGACATGGACCCAAAAGTCATAAAAAGCTGAGAATCGGGTCCCCGCCAAGCAAACATCGAGTGATAAAGCAGCAGACGCGGCCACGTCATGATGTTGCCACGTGAGCTTCCCTTGAGCGGCAACGGTTCCGGAAGTACCGTGAAAGATTCCAGTGAAAGCCCTCCGCCTGCCATCCCTCTCCGCCATCCCCAGTTCAGCTTTGTACCTCTGGCATCAGAGGGAATACACAACACTATGTCTTCACGATCCACAGTGACCACGCTGGTCGTTGGCATGTTCGTAACCGGATGTGCGAACAGTTTATTGTAAGCTTCATGATCAGAGCACAGGCCACAGGATGACAGTCGCGCACACCAGAACCAAATATCAAGACAAGGCCTGTGTAGAGAACTGTGGCCCAAATGACACATTACCGAAAGTGGACTTTGAACAGCCAGTGAGTCAGATACATCGATGGAGCTGACAAGGATCAGGTATGGCAGACTCTCAAGTGAGTTCAGGGTGATCCGTCCACTACGCGCGCCTGACAGACCACTTCAAGCATGTTCATCGGTGAACTCGGCTGTGGCTTACCATTGCTTTATCGATGTATCGTTCAGGCAACAAAGCGCAAGGACGGCAAGTCATTTCCCGGACGAGTCTTAGCTGCCTGGCCTGGCGACGGGTCAGCCTCTACCGAGGGGTACAATCAAGTTGCCCAAGATGAAGGGGAGGTTGCACCAAAGCCGGACTTTGAAGAGCGCTTGACGGGCTGGAAAGTGTGCCTCTTATGGTTCCCTGCTTTCTTTGACAGTGAGCTATTGTGACCTCTCATCAGAAGACTTACGTTTCTCCTAGTCTGCGGGACCACCTTGATGAATGTCGGAATGATCCTGTGCCCGGTTAGCATTTACCAAATGTCAGTGCCCTCTGATCTGCTTCCCCTATGCTGATACGCTTGGTCCAGGTCACGAGGTGCTCTGGTCCTCTGGGTCGGCATCCTATCTGTCATTTTCCTGCGTCGGCATCTATACCTATACCAGTGGACATCCCTCATCATCGTCACCATGGGAGTCTGCCTCGTTGGTCTTTCCGGCAGCATGCAGAAGAAACCGATGGCCGACGAACCAGTTGATCTTGTCGCGAGATTCATGGAGATCGCTCAGAGGTCAGATGAAGATCCTGGCAAAGTGGCTGTCGGAGTCCTACTCATTCTTTTCGCTCAAGTTTTTACTGCCTCGCAATTCGTTGTCGAGGAGAAGATCATGGCGAGATACAAAGTCGAGCCCGTCGTGAGTGCCACAATGTGAACACTCGAATCCGATCTGACGGTGCTCAGGCGGCCGTCACGTATGAAGGCTTCTTTGGCCTCGTGACTACTCTTGCCGCCATGCCCATCTTGCACTTGACGCTCCGACACCGATCTCCGTACTTTGACGTCCCTAGGGGATGGAGACAGATCATTCACCACCCCCGAGTCTACTGGACCTGTATCGCCATCATGTTCTCCATTGGATCTTTCAACTTTTTCGGGCTGAGCGTGACGACACGGATTAGCGCGACTGCTAGGAGCCTGATCGACACGTGTAGAACGCTGGGAATTTGGATCTTCAGTCTTGCAGTCGGGTGGGAAAGATTGATCTTCCCATTGTCTCTCTTGCAAGTCGCAGGGTTTGCGATGCTAGTGTGAGTCGTATGGAAGGAAGGATGTGCTTCCAGGATCGCTGATAATCGACAGATACGGCACGTTTGTGTTCAACGGCCTGCTGAAACCGCTGTGCTTCCCCCCGCCGGCCCAGGTCCGACTGCCTCAAGAGTCTGACCTTGAAGAGACTGGTGCAACCCCAGCAGCTTCAAGCCAAAGTCGTCAAGGCTACGATGTCCTTCCAAGCGACGAGCATTGATTTGCGCTAGTATATGTAAACGTATCATCATTTCATTGCATGTCATGTACATCATTCTATACAACCAGAGCTCGAAGATTGGCTCCATACAACGGTCATTGGAATCTCCTAACCAAACGAATCGTCACCTACGTCCAGCCAAAGTCAGAGTTTCATATTCGAATTGCTTTCGCGCCTCGAGACTCTGTTAGAATTGGAATGTGAGCGTGAGTGAGTCAAGCACAGAGCCAACATACCTGCATGTAGGACACGCTGCTCGTACTGAACAGCCTGTCTCCTTCGGTAATGTCCTGCTTCTTCTTGCTAACAGTCGCCGTTGGTGGTTTCAGATAATTGTCGAAGCCCTGTGTGGTGGAATCGTCAACGAATGATCTTACTTTTCAACTGCGCGCAGCATACCTTGATGATATTACCTCCTGTAGCCATCGTCTCTTCGAGATAACTCCCCTCAAAGGCGTAGATGGAGGCTTCGAGATTAGCCTGTGGATCGGGTAGAGAGTCAGTATTGGGACTGTCCAAGGCCTCAAACCTCGATCGACGTACCAACGAAGTATCTATGGCTCGCTTCTTCTTCTGAGCAGCATCTAGCTCTTGCAAAGCCGCTGCCTGAGCCTGCTTGGCCTCTGCAGGCGGTCCAGACTGACTCATGTTGCGACAACACGCGTTCTCCGAGCATTCTGCATGCATAGACTAAAATACATGGGATTCAGAGTGCCACACGGAATCAAATTTTGAAACGCCGAGAAACTCCGTTGGACTGACTGCCCAATCTTTAGCCACTCCCTCCCTGCTCAAATCGAGTTTGTGGGCGAGCAAATTGGGCAAAGTGGAAACTCTGGTTCTATCGTCTTTGTATCATCACTCAACCTCTTCCGACAGTATCGATCAACATGGTGAGCTAGCCTCTGTCCATTCTTCGACATGCAAAGCTGACACTTACCAGGTTCGATACGCTGCTGCCTCCATCGCGAGCGCCAACCCTGAGAAATGTCAGTAGGGATTTTGAGGACAATTATTGGAGGACACCTTGTGTGACTGACATCTCATTTGTGTAGTCGCCAAAGCTCGGGGCGAGTATGTTCGAACTCACTTCAAGAACATGCGGGAAGTTGCCGCTGCTCTCAACGGTGAGCTTGGAATTCGTTTGGAGGCGACGAGTCAATGGAGCATTTTGTCTCATCGATGTCTCTTCAGGCATGAACTTGAAAAAGGCCTACACCTACCTTGGAGATGTTCAGGAGCACAAGCAGATCATTCCTTTCCGCAGACACGCTGGAGGTATCGGACGAGCTTCCCAGGCTAAGCAGTTCAAGACCACCAAAGGTGAGGCTGGCAATTGCATGGCAAAACCATGGCAAATTCTGACCAAGATACTAGGTCGATGGCCCGAGAAGTCTGTCAAATACATTCTCCGATTGTTGAAGAATGCCGAGTCCAACGCCGACGCCAAGGACCTCGACGTTGATGAGCTCGTCATCAAGAACATTGTCGTCAACCAGGCTCCCAAAACCAGGAGGAGGACATACCGTGCCCACGGTAGAATGTGAGTCGCACTGTGCACCCGGATCAAGGCCTGGACTCATAGTACCTCCTAGCAACCCCTACCAAGGACACCCCTGCCACATTGAAATCTTCCTCTCCACCCCCTCCGTCGAGATCCCCCGTGCGAAGGACTTGGACGTTGCGGCCGGCTCATCTCGCAAGGGAAAGAAGGTGGCTGCTATTGAGGCTTAGGATGTACAGCATGGCTATCTCATGCATGATGGGTGACGCAAACCAACGGGGATCTCCTAATTGTTGGCGGCTCTCATGGCCTGAGTCAAATCCTCTATGAGATCCTCGGCATCCTCTATGCCAACCGAGAGACGAATCAGGTTATGAGTGATTCCTAAGGCCGCTTTTGTCTCCTCAGGCAATTGCTAGACATTAATCAGCACAATCTTTGTTGACTAGCTCACCGCGTGTGTCATTGCATAGGGCACCTCGATCAAGCTTTCGGCACCTCCGAGACTTTCGGCCAAGAAAATGATCTTCAGGCTGGTGACGAATCGTTCGACAGCCTCAGATGGAGCGTCTTTTAGCACAAAGCTGACCACACCTCCGAATGGAATCCCGAGGGATCTCAGGTGCGCCAGACCGCCTGTAGAGTTCTCCGTGGGACTGGGCTTGAAGGGGAATTGCCATCCGAGGAATTCGAGTTCTCGTTTAGCGTTTGTCGACAAGAGACCCTCGACAGTGTGAAATGCCCCATCCCCGTTAAGTCCTGGGTATCTGACTTTTTCGACCAAGGGACAGGTCTTGAGCCAGGAAGCTACCTGAAGCGCATTCATACCGTGTTTTAGCGCTCGTAGGCCTAAAGTCTTCAAGCTTCGGATCATAAGATGACAATCTCTTGGGGAAGGGATACCTCCGGTTGAGTTTTGGATGAATCGCAACCCACGTAGAGCTCTGTCTTTGACACGAGCCGAAACAGTGAGCGAACCAAGGATGATATCCGAGTGTCCTCCCGAATACTTCGACAAGGAAGAGAGGACGATATCGGCTAGAGGCGGTCCAGGACAGTTTGAGAGAGGGGTGAAGAAATAGGACGAGAGGAAGGTTGTGTCACAAACGATGAGCGGTCGGTGCGGTAGTGATTCGACAATCTTGGAAATCAAGGAGAGGGGTGGTACAAGCAACATTGGGTTCGTAGGAAGTTCGAGCCAGATGATCTAGAGAGGGTCAGTGAATTGCGGGAGAGCTCTGACATGCCTTGGTATCGTCCCGAATATGACTCCTGATACCTTCCTCTCCGGCTTTCTCCATATCCAGGAATGTCACTTCCAGTCCGGTACTCTTGGCAGTCCTAGCTAGGTATCGGGCGGTTCCACCATACTGCGGATCGAGGGTCAACTTTGTTTGGCAGTGGAAGGCTGACGTACCACATCATTGACAGCCAGTACGTGCCCACCGTTCCCGGGGCCATGTCCGCCCCCTGCACCTCCCTCTACCTCGGGCAACGAGACCCATTGACACAAGGCCGATGTGGCTGCCGATCCCGAGGCATAAACCAGAGTCTCTGTCCCGTCCTCTCTTTGAGGGCACGTCTCGAGCGACGTGATCAATCGCTCGAGGGCATTACGGGTAGGATTGTCCGATCGGGAGTACTCATAGCCCTGTGCGAGTGAGCACGCATTCTTTCAAGCCATCAAAGAGCTCACATGGTGCTTTCCGATACCGTACTGAAGGTACGTCGTGGCTACGCTTAGATTCGGGACAACGCTGCCGGTAGATGGATCAGGTTCAGATCCTACGTGTATGCTTCGAGTCGCATAGTGATGTGTATTCTCTTCCTGCCCTTGCTTATGGTTAGCCATGCTGTGTCGAGTGTCGCGCTGAGGTCGTAGTAGCACGTTCTCAGCAGCGAATGGGTTTGTTGAGATATGATTTGATTGTGCGGTTAGTCACCCAAAAAATGACGAGATCGGCAAAACTTTGATCGCTTATCGAAAAGAAGCAAGAAAGTTACCAGGATCCGGTGTTCACGTGGCTTGGCTTGTTATGTGGCCAGTTCTGGAGAGGACTGTGTACAATGCAAACAGGGTATACACTACGTTCTCATTGACAGCTCTCCCATGCCGCCAGTTTCTCGAAATCTGCGATATCATCGCTTCGGACGTTGAAAATTACCCCCATGCCCGTTGCGAGGTGGACCAGAACATCTGGAAGACGCATCAGGCATGATTCTTGTGGCAACAAAAGCAAAAGCTCACGACAGTGTAAAAGCCACTCTCCTGGCGTGTCAAAATTGACTCTGATCACGACGTGTCCATAAGGCGGGATCATGAATGTGTCTCGCAGAGCCGGCGCAGTTTCGGGGAGTACTGGTGGGAACCGCCAATCGTATGCACCTTTGCCGTACCGTGCAGTGTGTGTGTGAAGAGGCCAAAATTTGTGACCATGAAGATGAAAGGGATGTGTGCCCTGCTCGAAATTATTGATGATAATGTCCACTACAGAGCTGCGATTGCGCGGTGTAGTGATCACGAATTCATCTTGCGACAGTCTGCCGGTCTCTATGTGCGAGACATCTCGCATGAGCATTGGATTGAGGCTGTTTGGCACCCATGACGTTTGGTTGATGAATGCTGTGGGCAGACCGCCTGAACGACTATCAGATATCACCACCTCAAAAAGTTTCGGTTGCTCACCTGTCGAGGCTCTTGATTCGGTATTCACGTACAATACAATCTGCTCCTCTGCCTCAGGAAGCACCCGCTCATTGGCATCCATAGGACGCAACGATAAAGCGTCAAAGGTATTCTCCTCCGTGAGGCCCCAGCCTTCTGAAGTCGGCAGCTGCGTGGAACTACCTCCATACGAGATGATCGATCGTGTCAGGGGGTCTAGAGCACGATTTGGACTGGAAACGGTTACTTATAGTATGGATGGAGTCACCCACTAGTTGAAGCATTCTTGGTCCAATCGGGCTCGAAGCCAGTATGCCTTGCCCCTTAAGAGCCAATCTTGGGGTTCGAGCAAGACAGAATACTGAAAGTGTCAATGGAGAATCGGCTACTCGTGTTTTTCCTCACTCTCTGCCCAGGTGCAACGGGTAATTCCTTGACGGTAATCGGCTCAATGAGTGTTCCATCGGCCTCCATCACTCGCAGGAGATGGCTGTCCAAGGAGAAGTACACTATGCCCAAGGAACCAGTGTTCATGAGCCTGAGCTGATTCGTTTTCCGTGGATTCAAGTTGTACCGCGGTATCGACCCCTCACGTGCCACACAATCGACTTTGCGGATACTGCGTCCACAGTCGAATCTCTGTTCCCCGTTGATCAGTAGATTGTCGGGAACCGGCTCATGCCCCCTTGACGTTGGAGATCGATACCAATCGAGTGTTTGAGCAGCTGTGCGATGGTACCAGTCTCCCATCATGAGGATGAGTTGATCTGGACCGGATAAACCGCTCCGTTTCCATCTTAACCGCAAATCTGGATTCCGACCATGCTCGATGGCATCCGTTGGTTTGTGAATGATCAATGGGCCGTGTAGACCATCAGATCGCTGAGCTGCATGGTGCGAGTGATACCAGTATGTGCCGTGCTGTGTGTCGGACAATTTCCACCGATACATCTTCGTGGCGTTCGGCGCGAGGGGACATTGTGTGACCCCAATGGCGCCATCCTCACTGTTGCTGCCTGATGACTGTCAAATGGTACGCTTTACCACTGTGGCATGACCTACCGTGTTCGTGTCGAAGACCGTGCCAGTGCAAGCTCGTCTCTTCGTCGAGACCGTTGTGAACATTCACCTCCAACCAATCACCACTGCCACATCGTTAGAATGTCCTCTCCTACAAGAGGAGTTCCGACACACCTTCTGGCTTCTATGAGTGGCCCTTTAGAGCAGTCAGACAAAATGACTGGCTGCAAAATCGTACTTTACTCGCCTGGAAAGAGTCCATTGATGGTGAAAACTGTCTTTTTGACTCCATCCGGGCGAGCTTCAGAAGTTCCCAAGCTAAGATTGTACCTTCTGACTTCTGGAGGACGATTGATATGTAGCTCTGGACGAGGTGTAAAGCGCTCCTGCAGATACGCAGACTGTGGAGGCAAAGAGCCCGCTCCATACGCCGTAGACAAGTAGTAAATCAATCCAGCCGCAAAAACCAAAGCTGAGCCATAAAACCATGGTGTTCGGAGCCGGTGAGCCGAGTCTCGTTTGATGGGCTCAGTTTGGCGCTTGTCGCTCTTAAGGTCTCGCATGACGATGCCGTCGTCTTGAGCGACACGAGTGTATCCGTTCATTTGGTCGTGTGATGTCTGGCGAGGTTCGTTGCGAGGTCGACAGTGTCCCACATAAACGTTTGACCTGGCGAGCATCTTCGATATTTTTGCATTGGTACGGCCTGAACGAATCCGAAGTCCGCTCCAAGAGATCTGGGAATCTGTATTCGGATCCACGTTTGTGGTCGTAATGTATTTATGGTAGGCACGTTTACGACTTCTCAGAATTCGATCGCCTACCTCCTCCTTCCCTCCTCCGCCCAACGTCTCTCCTCCCTGCCGCAAGCCTCTGAAGATGCATGACCTACGGATATGGCCGAAATCCGAGCCGCTTCTGCCGATGTGACTCTGTGAATATATCTTATGGTGCAGCGCAGCGAGGTATATAATCCTGCAACAATTAGAGTGAACAGTATTGCAGATCTCCATTGTCCATTCTACTGTCGTCTCATAACCCGAAATGGCTCTGCTAGTTGCCAGTGGAGTGCTATCGCTTTTGTCCACTTCTGTGGTGGCAGACTCTCTCGCTGAGGTCGAACACGTTATGTGAGGCTCCTCGACTTAAACTTGGCGATATTGAGCTAACATGTATGTGCATCTCAGCTACTTCATGTGAGTCACCACTGTGGGAGTGAAAGGTGCATGCTGAAGCAGATTCAGGCAAGAGAACAGAGCTTTCGATCACTGTGAGTAGCGTAGCGGTGTCGTTTGGGCCAAATTTCTGACCTTGCGCGTACAGACTTTGGAACGCTCAAGGGAGTACGAGGCTATTCAGATCCTAATGTCCTCATCGGCCAAGACGGCAAAAGCGCCTTCTACCAAAAAGTCAACGGGACCTTGACCAATGAGACCGACCATTTGCTGCCCTGGTATCTGAACTATCTCGGTGGTGACTACCTCGAGTCCACTCAATGTGGTGGGTCCATCCTGCTCCAGTACCATTCTTCATGTGCTGACCTATTTCGCTAGTCGACGTACGTCTTGGTGACATAATGCACAGTACTCTGACCTGTATTGCAGGCTGGAACAAACGGATGGGGTGCCAACCACCGAGCTCTTAACGGCGGACAGAACGTACGTACGCCGACTTAAAAATCGAGGGAAAGTGCCACTAACGCCACCAAGGATCTCTGGGCCATCGCGAATACTGCTTTCTCCTGGTCTCACTACCGACGTGAGGACATGTAAGTCACATAGAAGGGAGTCGAGTTGACCGGCCCTAGTCCGGTACACTTTGCCATTGCCGATGCGTGGACTATGTAAGCCACAACTCTCTTGTCCCATGATAGAGAATGCTAACGTTGATCAGTGGAGATATGTGTTAGTCTTAGCAGGTCACCGGACCACGCCACTAACAAGCACTGTAGACCAGGAAGCCATCGTCAGCTCCAGTGAACCCAACCGATGTACGTCTATCACCACAGTTTGTACATGAAGGCTGACGAATTCAAGTCATGTGGCAGACTGGAACTATCAACCTGCCTGGAAGCAAGATCAACAGTACCGCGGGTCCCGTAAGTGCCACAATGTTCCGCTTTGCCTGTATTGAGCTGATATCAAGTAGTGCATTGACGAGTGGGTCTGACATCGCGGGATCGTCCCTGATGGCTTCTAGCAACTCGTCCCCTGGATGCGTTCAGCTCTTCAGAGGTGGCCCTCAACCTCCTTGGGGACAAGGTACGACTCCTGTCGGTCAATTCAATGGTTCGATCGGACCTGCCAGTGCCTTGAATTACTCATGGTGAGACTATAGGGCCACAGCCACAAGCCTCACCTGACATATGATCTTCAGCTATCCCTATGAGTACGCCTTGGAACCGTAGCATTGGCTGATCCTACCAGCTGGAAGACCGTTCCGGAATACTTTTACGAAGATGGTGTCAACATTACTTGGAACCAATACCACTCGTCTGACAACTATGGGCACGAAATGTAGGACGCTTGAGGAGACCCTGCTGACATAGTAGCATGGAGTATTTTGTCCAGTTCCAAGACTTGATCTATCCTGGAAACGAGACCGAGCCCATCATCGTCGCAGCGGTAGGTCTCCCGAGACTTAGTGCGCTGGATATCGAGCTGAATCGATTTCCAGCTGAACGAACAAGGTCACGGTGCGGATACTGGCGGTGTCGAAGCCTTCTTGAGGGATGCTCAAGCTGGGAACCTTCCCGAGATCAGTTATTTGATTGCTCCGTCAGTATCTCCTTCCTGTTGGCCATTCCAAGCTGATGAGAAGGGGGCAGCGGTGACCTTTGCGAGCACCCTCCTAACCTCCCTCGACAAGGAGGTTGGCTGCAGAAGGCGGTTATAGATGCTGTCCAAAATTCCCCCAAGTACAACAAAACCATCTTGATCATCAGTTACGATGAGACTGGAGGTTTCGGAGACCATGTTGTGCCTTTCCACTCCCCCGAAGGAACGTGAGTAACTAGTGTCGGTTACTCATCCATGACTGATTCGCCATCCTTTAGACCTGGTGAATGGCTCAATGTAAGCTTGTACCTACAGGTGGCCATTTTCCTCCTGCTGATCGTGTTTGTACATAGGACCCATTCACTGGAGTTCCAGAATTCGGAGGTCCGGGTTTCCGAGTCCCTTTCTTCGTCATTTCGCCTTGGACCAGAGGTGGAGGTGTCTTCACTGAACCTGCCGACCACATCAGTCAATTGCTCTTCATGGAAAAGTGGGCAGCAGCACGGGGCAAAGGCTTTCACATCGAAGCCATCTCCGATTGGAGACGAGAGCACATGTCGGATTTGCTTGACATCTTCGACTGGGATCATGTAAGTGGCGTTCAGTCACTCCTTCAGAGCCTAGCACTGACTGGTTCTCTGCAGCCAAACTACACTGCGGTTGAATTGCCTGACGCACCTTCTCCTCAACGAGACCCACTTTCCGGCTGTAAGTCCCTGCACAGGTCAAGACACGGAGAAATCTGACGAGTATCGATTGTCAATGCAGTACTTGACGCTGCTGCCTATTGCCACGCAAAATACGATGAGCTCGCTTGGCCTGTGAGATCCTCCTCATCTGACTACGACTGACTCGTTATAGCCTGTTCCATATGGCAACCAGACTGAGCAGGATGCCTTGTGGGTCGAAGCTGGACATAGGGAGATCCGAGGTCAGTGTAGAGACCGTCGAATGGCTTGTTTTCCCCTTCCTAATCCGTCAAACAGGAAAACTCACTGAAGGACGTCACTTGGTCCTCGAATCCTCCGGTTACGCATTGTCCGTCCTCTCCAATGCAACCTGCACACTTGGAACCTCATCCCCTCAAGTCCAGAAGGAAAGCGACGCTTCTCAGCGATTCATCGTCCACGCGAGGAATGCATCCCTGGCTGACGTTCCCATATTTACGATAACGTCTGCTGGTGACTCCAAATGGTTCCAAGCCGATCTCAGCTTGTCCGACTCGAACGCCGATGCTGCGTACTTCAATGTGACCAACGGAGGTGGCGTCAAGGGCTATACCTTCCAAGAGATGTCGTCTGGACAGTATTTGAACTTTGGGTGTGGTAATGTTACCCTCGGCGCAAGTCCCGAATGGATCAAGCTCTATTCAGTCACATTCTAAATGACTATAGATTTCCGCGCTTCTTTTTCAATATAATGCACGCTTTTTTCTTCTCTCCATGTTTGAGATCAAGGTACCAATCACGATCAGAGATGGTCAGTGCTTACAGCGGTAAGTACATCCGCGTGAGATCACCCGTGAGCAGCAGCATCAGACCTCGAGTCACGCTTGCAAAGAAGCATTGCACACAACAAGCCATGCACTGTCTCAAAATCTGTGACTCAATGACCTCCCTTGGCCTTCTTGTGCTTCTTCTGCCGTGACCGATCCCCGTTCGCTTTGATAGAGTCGTCTGCAGCTCGTTTGGAAGAAGACCCGTCGGCCACCTTGACGCTCAGAGTCGTGGAGATCTTCGATCGCTCTGACGGGTCCGCTCTGGCCAGAGATCGGATTCGAGCCTGAGCGTCCGTAAAATCAACATCGTCGTCGATGTTGTATCTGTACAGGACAAAATATCAGCACGCGTCATCAAAGAGGTTCAAGACGCACTGAGACAGATCCATAGCCTCCAAAGCCTCACGTTGCTCATCGGTCTGCTTGACTGCCGGAGGCTCCACAGCTAGTTCTTCCTCGATGGTCTGGTCTAGGGCTTTTCTGATTGGCCGGGAGAAAGCAGCATCGTCCACGGGAATATCTGCTCCCGCTCCAGCTTTGCGAATGATGTTCAACTGGTTCGTGATTCGTCTCAGGATTTTGCCAAACAACGCTAGGGTCTGACTCGAGGTCAATCCAAGTTCACGATCTAGAGCCTCGACATTCTTGCGCTGCAGACCCAGAGCTAGGAGGATGGCACGTTGAGCCGGAGAAAGGGCACAATCCGGTCCTAGGCGGTGGGAGAAAAACAATTCGGCCAGGCCTGGGATGAGGTCCAAGACGACGTGGTAATCGACCATGCTTTCGGCGTAGGATTCGAGGCGTTTCATGTCGAAGGGGGAGATGAGTGTGTTGAGCTCGGAGGAAGAGATGAGTGACTGATCGTCTGACGTGATGGATTTGAGGTTGGCCTGTGGCTCCAATATTGACATCGCCGTAGACGCTTCGAATTGTTTAAAAGCTTCATACGAGAGCAGCTTCATGAAGCGTTGTCGGAAGTCTGAAATATCATCAGAAGTGAAGCGGGGGACGGCAAGGTGTTGCTCACCAGAAGAGAACGAAGACAGCCAAGTGGAATCCTGTGCTACACTCGACTCCAGCGTCTTCAGCACTACAAATGAGTATTCGCCAGTCAGAGTATTTGGCTTTTGACTAGCGTATAGAGGTGTGAAACCAGACCGTTTCCAGAATCGTAGCAGCTCCCTTGTCAGGCCGAATGAGACGCCGAGATAGTCTAGTTGTTCCGGCTTTCGCTCTGCCAGGCGTTGGAGCAATGGTGGCATACTGTCCACTGCTCGTACTCCGATTTTCTCATCGTGCAGCTGTGAACCCTGTTTTTGAGTGAGTGACACACGCAATACAGTTGATCGAGACCTACTGAGGGAGCTCGGAAAATGTCCGATTCACTGATTTGGCCCTCACGCTCTTCCGAGGCGATGTCGAATAAGTCCCCGTTGTAGAAAGATGTCAAGGCTTCTATGGCACGAGATCCGTACCCCATCTGATCAACCGTTATTGTCAGCGCCTTGCTTGATCCTAAGCGCTTGTCTGCTCACTCTGGCGTAGTCTGGGTGAGTAGCTATTCGGACTACTCTCGCGCCGGATAGGAGACCGAAATCACTGTCCTGGAACTGCGGGTTCGTGCGTCAGCACTTGCCAGTATGTTGGATGATCCAGCCCTCACCTGCTGTGAGATAATCCACGGTATCATATCTCCCGAGCTTCCCTTGCCAGCATGGCTCATTTCCTTGAGGATGGCTTCTTTCGATATGTTGCCCTCTAAGGCGACTTGTAGAACGACAAGGGGATCGGGCAATGAATTGTCGTCGTCTTTCAAGGGGGGCAAGAGGACGAAAAGGTGGTGGGCAGGTGCATCAGATAGCATCTGCAGGTCGTTGGGGGAGTTCTTGTAGTGACTGGCGACGTATAACGCCATCAATCGCTGGAGGAACACTTCAGAAGCGGGGTGGTACGAGAACAGCGAATCCCTGTTGACATAGTACAGCTCGCATTTAGATGGATGCGGGCACCCCTGGTTCGCTTGCGAGGTAATGGTGGCGTCTAGGCAAAGCAGCTGGTTCAACCACTTTTCGACTTGGTCTCCGGGGTTGTATCTGATGGGTTCCTCAAGCTTGATTTCCCGTAACGACCTGACCAGACCAGAGCCTGATTTGCCAGCCCCAGCGGCTTTGGAGGAGCCAGCACCGGGCGTCGATAACGGAGCGTCGCCGGCAGGCTTCTCCACGGTCGAACGGGTCTGCTCTCTGAGCTGCTTGATGAGTTTTAGTGAAAGAGATCGTCCTGTCCCTTCGTATCCGTTGATTGTAGAAGCCATGAAGACAAGGTAAGGCCCGATCAATTTGCGGACGAGTGGCAGGGGAATGGCAGCGGCCTCATCGATGATCACCAATTCTGCTTGACCTAAGACCTGCGAGTCCTCGGGTGAAATGTACTGCAGGCCAGTGTGAGTGAGGATGCGCGGAAAACGCCCGAAGAGAGCTTACTTGAATAGTTTGTCGATGTCCACGGAAGATGTTCACACGAACGATGGCTTTCCTGAAATCTGGATTACTACTCTGAACAACATCGTAGTCTGTGTGCTCCTCATATCCCAATGCGTCAAGAGCTTTAAATACAAAGTCGAAAAGCGTTTTCAGATTCTCAGGATCCGGAGAGGTGACAAAGATGTTAGAGTAATCATGAGCGACAGCGGCTCCGATGGCTAGACCGAGAGCGGCAGACTTTCCTCGACCTCTTGCGGCCGTCAGAGCGACAGTCGATGATAGAGTCTTTTCGGTGATCGCCTCGACAAAGGTGAGTAGTGCTTTTGCCTGGACAATCTCAGCAAAAGAGACCAAGAATATTAGTAGGAGACTTACCTGGTCCACAGTCTTTGACAATCTGGCCAATGCACCAACCACATCCACTTCACCCAGATTCTCCTTCATATCTTTGAGCTCCTCGGCCCGCTTTGCCCTTCCCCTGTCCTCGTCCACGATTTGACCAGGAACGATATTCTTGCCCTTTGACAATGGGAGGACATTCAGCTCGTCGTCAAGGAATAAGCTGTCGGAGCAGGATCCTAGGGATAGGATGAAACGTTCATTGAATCGCGGCTTGACGAACTGGTGCGCGTCTGTCCGGTATCTGGCGTGTACGTCCTGGTCAATGGCTCAGCTTAGACCTCGACACCATTGACGAATCACCTACCATAGCCATGGTGTACAATTGCCTCAGACTTGTCATTGTCTTGAGCAGCAAGACAACGATACCACCTCCCTCCACCGTTTCTATGGTTCTCGCCAACAGATTCGGCGTTAGGGCTTCGTAATCTTGCAAGACCAGCATGCCGAAAGTTTGACCCAACACCTTTGCAGAGTCCTTGTAGTAGGTGTATCTGATATCTGTGACGGCGATGAATAGCTCGAAAGGATCCTGCTCGTTGGCCTCTCGGATTCCACGTTTGATATCCCGCTTGATCTTTGCTTCACGCTTCTTGCGATGCCTAAACGGTCCGTCAGCAAGCGGTCAAGGGGCTGACTGGCGAGCGACGCACGTAGTGAACCCTAACTCTTTCTTGTAGCACCACAGAACGTTTGGTCTAGATGAAACTCTGGCTTGAGAGAGCAGGAAGTGCAAGTTGACGACCTGTTCACACGTATGTCAATATCAATGGGTGATGTAGCATCAGGTCACCAGCTAACCTGATCTCTACCCTTGTCTCCGACCATAACGAACAGGCTCCTGTGATTAGACTTGACTCCATTGTTGATGAGTGCTGGTATCCTGGGGTCTAGCTGCTTCCTCATCTTGTCCGACTCAATTCTAGCTCTGGTCGTAACAGTGGTGGTATGATATGATATGGCTCAACTGAGACAAGATCTGCCAACTTTTTGGGATTAATTCATTGAATATTCCCATTGAGATAACAATTCACTCGCCACTCAGGGTATAAATACCTCGAGCACTTTTTCCTTCTCGATTTCACAACCCCACCTCAACCTCTCTACACCGTCTCTTCCTCACTTGGATAGCAGTGTCAAGCCGAAAGAGGGGTCAGATTGGGTTAGTCTGAGCGTTGGATCGAGTCCGACGGCTCGAGGCAGCCAGCGTCAAAAGTCAACAAGACCTTGGCTTCGCGGTCTGACGCGGTAATTGGCAATTCAAGGTCCCGCGGCCATTTCACGAGATGTATGTATCAAGGAGTCTTTGCTTTTTGCAGACCTGCTTTGCTTGTCTTCAGCCTACCGCTTGCTTCTGTATCCTTCATGTTCTTGGCAGTCGCTGACGCTGTGTTCCCACCAGGTCCAACAGACTCGTGGTGAATATTCAGAATTGGCTTGTGTCCAGAACGACGTCTTTTTGCTGACGAACATCGGTAGCCTCAGGTGTATCGTCAGATCATTGACGATGTCATTGAGAATATCAAGGTCGACTTTGACGAGTACGGGATGGAAGAGGATGTCTTGATCAACTTACAAGCGGTAAGCCAGGCCAACGCTGGTATCGCAGAATCAATCTGAACATCTGAGCTTGCTCAGAAATGGGAAGCAAAGCTGTTGGAAACGCGAGTGGCAGACTTTGCGAGAGCTCCAGGAGTTTCGGGATCTCCAGATGCAGATGGCGATTCAGAAGTCTCTCGTCCCTCTGGGGCTACCGCAGCTTCTTCATCCACTGGAAATCCCAACCAGGCCTACTCGTATCAACCAGCCAATCAAGCGTACGGCCTAGCGCTTCCTGGCCAGAATATGGCTGGCCCGTCGTCCATGATGAATGGAAAAGGTCGCCCTCCTATTCCAGGTAACGATGTCAGGGTCAAATCGGAATCGGATGATGTCTTGCGTATCCGAGGAGGCAAGGTGAGTCTTTTCTCATCCTGTACAATCAGGTTGATTTCGGACTAACCGACCATCACTCAGCCCGACGACAACGACGACGGGGAGAGCGACATCAAGCCGAATGTCAAGCCGGAACCAAATGCTGCTGGTCTACTACCTGGCGATGAGGTCATTGACTCGGATCTAGATGACAGTGATGACGAGCTGAAGGACGGCGATGAGGACGGAGAAGATGGAGCCGAGGTGGATATTGTTTTCTGCGTCTATGACAAGGTGAGGCTCGACTCTCAGGTTCAGTGATTACTATGACTGATACATCGCTTGCAGGTTCAGCGAGTCAAGAACAAGTGGAAGACCACCTTCAAGGACGGCATGATTCACATTAATGGGCGAGACTATCTCTTTGCCAAGTGCAGCGGGTGAGTGTTTCGCTTATCGAAGGGAAAGGCAACAGTTTACCATTTATGCGCAACAGGGAATTCGAGTGGTAGGCCGGAGGCAAGCCCGGGACAAATGTTGTATCGAGTTACTTTGTGTATCATCTAGACTAAACCTTTCTTCAAAAGAATCTGAGACTCTTCTCGAGATAACCAAATTTTTACACCACGAATCATCTACGAGACTTCAACAGAACATGCATCACGTTATCATCGTCCCTAGCATTCAGTTCAGCAAAGCGGTCAGTGAGTCATTGAATCGGCGTCGATGGAGACTTGTATGATGCTGCATGTGATGTGATTCCTTTTCACTATTGTGTTGCGCCAATCGCCTCCCCCATCCCTTCATGCGTACTGCTCGCCCTTGGCTCTCTACTTCGTACTGCTTGACCTTGAGTTGTGAAGACTCTCTGCTCTCCGTTTGCAAGGTATATCTGAGAGGGGAATGAAAGAGTCCGGGGGGTATCCTACAAATATATCAAGGTCCCAAGACAAGTTTTTTTCGACCCAGTTTCTTTCCATCTATTTGACATTGTTTGATTCGAGCTTTTGAAGAACACTATCTGTACAACTGTATGTTTTTGTGATTGTCGAGGTCGAAAAACACCGACCTTCGATCCGAAATGATGCCGGAAGTCCCCACACTACATCACGCTCGTTGACCTTGACCGCCTGTACTTTGTTGAGCTGCTCCAAGTCTCGCTGCGGCATGAGCAGGTAATTTCAATTGCATTTGAGCCGGCGAAGGACTGCTGAATGCTTGTGCTTGAGGCGTCCCTTGTCCTTGCATTGGAAGATGCTGATTGCCATTCCCATTCGCAACGGTGCCGTTTGCCCCATTCGCCTGGGCAGCTTGGGCTTGAGCTTGTGCAGCTGCCACCTGCTGTTTCGCCATAGTCAAGAATCGAGCCTTGTTTCGAGCTTCGATAAATGCCGCAATATTGTTCCCGAAGCCAGCCTGCTGAGCCGCTCGTGCTATCTCAATGTGCTCGGCGGTGATCTGTATTGGTGGCCCAGCAGTAACGCCGACACCATTGGTACCATCGTGTCCGTTCGCGCTATCCTCATTGTGCGTGCCGTTTGCCTGCTGCTGAGCAGCGTTTTGAGCCTGTTGTTGAGCGGCGATGGCTCGAGCAGCGAGAATTCTTTGTTGCATCTGAGGATCGAGATGATGACCGTTGGCTCCTTGAGGCGGGACAAACTGCCCCTTCGGACCGCCACCGGGTACAGCCAGACCGTTGACCATCTGCGGAGACTGTCCATTGAAAGGCTTGTGGAGACTGTTGGTAGGAGATGCGGACGCTCGGCGGACTTGATTGGCAGCAGCAGCCCCGTTGACTCCATTTTGAGATGAGGGCTGTCTATTTATAGGTGGTTTTCCATTGACCTGCCCATTGGCAGCAGTGACACCAGTACCATTGACAGAGGGAGAGCTTGCACCGCCAGCATCGGAAGACGCCACTCTTTGTTGAGCGAGGGCGTTCTGCTGAGCTTGTACCTGGGCCTGAGCCTGAGCTTGAGCCTGTGCTTGAGCGAGAACGGCTTGTTGCTGTTGAGCTGCCTGCATGGCTTGCTGTTGAGCCATGAGCTGATAGCGCTGGAACTGTTCTATCTGCTGTTGTTGATACAATTGCTGTTGCTGCAGCTGTGCCATCATCTGCGGATTGGGCGGCTGGATCTGAGGTCGAACGAAGACTGGCGATACGGGCATCTCCTCCGGGACTTCGAGATTCTGGAGAGCAGAAGCGAGCTGTTTCATGTCGGGTCGCAGTCGATCCACATCTCCTTCTCGAAGCAAGGAGATTCGATTCCGAATGTATTTTGGATCCAGATCATCGATCACTATCCTCTCATCATCTCCAGCCATTCCCAGACCCACCCCCACAGCTCCACCACTGTCCACATGGTATCGGCTCATTTCGTCGAGCCTTCTCATACTCAAAGAAGCGAGGTCCAAAGTATCGCTTTCCTCTTCATCGTCCGTGACCACATCGTCGATGGACCGTGGGCGCCGTCTTGACGGTATCCGCAAATGCGGGCTCTCCGGGAACAACCACGCAGAGAGATTAGATGGAGACTTGTCGCCCGAGAGCCTCTGACGAGCACGAGATAATGGTCCGAACCTGTCCAAACGTAAAATGCCTCCTCTACCACGACGCAATCGAAGTGACATTGGTTGAGAAAAGGACTCCTCATCGTCATAGGTGTTACGAGCGAAGGCGGCTGCGAGCTGCGGATCCAGAGCGGTGACGGGTCGGAAGGCGTGGGCGCCATGTCCAGGTGGTAGTGGCTGGTAAGATGACTGACGTGCGAGTCAGCTGTCAATCTGTAATGTTGGATCAAGACTTCACCCACATCTGTCAGATCGTCCCAATCCGCATCGGCCAGTTTCCGCTTGGCTAGCTCTTCCGAGAGCTTTTGATTCAAGGCCGCCGCACGTTCCTTCAGAGCATCTGGCGCGTACGATTTACCGCCAGTGAATGCCATTGTCTTCTCAGCCAATCTTTGCGCATCGGCCGTCCCTCGGTCGCGCTTGTCCCTTTCCTCTCGATCCTTTTCGAACGTCTTCCTCCGAGCCGCAGGGACGTTTTCGCGCTGAGCCTGCAAAGCCTCTCTTCCTCCAAGCATGGCAGCATTGACGGTGCCTCCGCCAACTGTAGATTCTCGAGATTGTCGGCCAGTGATGACTTCCTCCTCCTCTCGAGTGAGTCCCAGACTTGGCCAGCGTCGTTTGGTCTCGAATAGTTTCCATTTCGCTTCCCAGACTTCCTTGTCCACCTTGTAGGAAATCTTCTTCTCCGCTTCACGTCTCTGCACCATCTGAACGAGCTGGTGAGCTGAGCGTAATTCGAGTTGAAGCTTTTGCATTTGCTCGACTGAAAAATTGTCTGTCCGCCGAGCCTTCCGGGTTTGTCGAATATCACGTCGTCTAAAACATACATAGGGATCGCCGTCGTTACTGTCATCAAACTGGAGATGGGAAGGGAGATGAGTACGAGCCGTGCGAGAGACCTGGGCACACTCACATTGACCCTGGGCAGAATGGTCTTGCCTTTGCGTTGCAAGCGCCGTTCTTTCCAGTGTGGGTATATGCTCCGAGCTTGTCGGGTGAGTTCTTTGAGTGGTGGAATGTCCTTTGGTGATTCGAAATCGGGAAAGAATGATGGTTGGAGGGGCGTGGAGAATAGGTGTTCTACGTCTGCAAATGTCGGCATGAGGTTGAGATTCTGCAAAAGATGAGTCAATCGAGAGCATCATCATACCGGACTGTTTCACTCACAACGTCCAAGGTCGGAATGTTATCGTCCACATTCTTCTCCAATACGCCCATGACGAATTCGAAAGAGTCTTCCGAGATGAACAGAGGGGCAGAGGGCTGACTTGTATCCTTTTCCTTGCCCTTTTCTCTCCTCGGACGAGCTGATGATGTCGGTGGCCCCATGGCATTCTCGCTCTTTGCTTCCTTGAGAGGACTGGGCGGTGTAGTGTTACTTGTGCCACTGCTCTCCGCCTTGGAGTTGAAAGCCTTCAACCACTCTCCATCCTCGTCATCCATGCAGTATCCCAGACCTCCTTGTCCACCACAGGACTCCTCCACTGTATCGCTGAAACGGATATAGTTGTGAGGTTCATGGTAGACGTTTGTTTGGTACAGTTTGGCATAGTTGGCACTTGCCACGAGACCAGTCGCGTCGGGTGTTGGGATATGATAGTTGAGAGTAGCATGGGAGCTAGATGACTCGACAGGTCTAGCAGCAGAAGGACGAGAGCTGCCAGCAGCGGAAGGTGAAGACGGATTGACAGGTCTGGAGTGAAGCAGTGAGGCAGACGAGAGAGCCGCTTGGAGATGGTGTTCCTAAAGACGAGCGAGTCAATGCCACATTCAAGAGAGATATCCAGAAATTTCCCAATCGGGTGAAAACGAAATACGGGTCATGGGGGTTGGAATGAACGCTCGAGGTTGACGGCCCACAGAATGGGTCGAGACGGGCACGTAGCGGGTTGGAAGCAGTGGGAGGGGTATCGGAGGGGGGTATTGGATAGGTAGAGCACGCAGAGTAGGCAAAGCATGTATAGAGATTGGAAGTTGAGACGCGATGGTCTGATTCCCCATTTGCCTGTTCCGGCACGGGCAAGCCGTCCCTTTGTTTTCGACTCGCGTCGTAAAGAAACTCCCACACCCCCTCCCCGGGGCAATAAATGGATGCTGACCCAAGCATCTTTGAGAGGCGATAGCGAGCAGAGATGGTATGGCATGACCCCCCATGCGTGGTATGCATGGATAGAGGAGAGTCGACTCACCAAGAATTCACCACTTTCTACACCTTTTGCGCCGACATGTTGACTTTTAGTGGGTTCACCAGAGGATGATGAAGGATCGTCCCATACGATTGTCTCTGCTGCGCCTAGATCGACCTTTTCACTCCCTCTGACGACCAATAATTTTGTCTTGTTATTGACCCTACCTGCCCTTCTAGAGGAGGCGGTGACCACCATGATCTCTAGATAGGGGGGTGATCTGGGCCAGACGATGTACCCTGCCTCATAGGTATGGGGGGTTGGGTGGGTTGGGTTGGGTGGGTGTGGTGCTTTGGTGGGCTGGGCGGCAAAAAGTGGGTTTTCCCCTTTGTTTAACCAACACCCCTCAGACTTTCTTCCTCAACCTTCCAGCGACCCAGGGGGGGAAAGGGGGGGGGGGGGGGGAAATTTTACAACTGCGGACGGGATTATTTTCAATGGTTGCGGCGTTTAGACACATGTGGCACTCTCTCGAGCGTCTGAGTGCAGGGCTACCTACATACCGTGCACGACACGGTGCATCCGGTCAAGTACGACACATACTCAGATCACCACTTGGACCTCTTCTTCCATCCCTTGCCTCGACCGTTGTCCATTCTAGTCTTTTGTAAATCACTGTATTTCCTCTTGGCATAAGACCCAGTTCCCTCATCGCGGACCAGTCCCTGCACTACGGATCCAGGCGTATATCTCGTTTCTCGCTGTATAGTGGTGTCTTGAAGGTGACGTGGTGCATCAACCAAGTGACCAATCTGGAGTGACAACGATGGTCAGATTCGAGTCTCTCTTGTTTTGCCACATTTGACGACTGGGACTCACAGCAAATGTTTCCGGCACTCGGGTCAGCTTGGTGCCACCCTTCATGAACCGCTTGGGGTCCAGACTGTTGGCCAAAGCGAGTGCCTGATAGTCTCGTTTCATCTGAGGTAGATCGTCGCGCTTAGGTGCTGGTAGTGTGGCCCATTGCTGAGATACGGTCGTCTTCCGGGGTTGCTATGTGATCATGAGCCCGTGACCAGGGGATTGCCATGAAGCCCACCCTCACCGCTGCCTTTTCCCGCTTGCTCATTGCTTTCTCGTACGGTCGATCATCGAGTTCAAGAGTGTCTCTTGACTTGATGGCTTGTAGGGAGGGCTTGACGAGCTTCCGTGAACCGGAGGATTCCGCTGTGCCATCCGATTTGAACGTCAGATACGGCGTTGGTAATTGAGGAATATTGAGGTTTGGTATTGGACTGGGAGAGCGTCAAATACACACTACTGGTGGGTTGCGAGTCCACTCACGCTTGAATAGTCTCTTGTCCATCATCGGCTGTCAATTGCAGAACGTCTTCATCGAATCCGGCAGATCCCTCGATCCCCTTGCCCTGGCCATTCTGCTGTGCGGATAGTCTTGCACTTTGCAACAGCTTCTCGAGACGTTCCTCTTCCGCTTCACTGTCCTCTTCCTCATCTGTGACATCCGAGTCGCTCTCGGATCCAGCACCAGATTCGGACTCGCTATCTGTCGACGTTGAGGAGCCAGATGATGATGATGCTGATGCTGATGATGATGATGATGATGATGACGAAGCTGACGAGACTGTGTCGTCCTCCAAAGCATCTCCACCAAGGACCGTGACACTCGATGCATTCGCCAACTCGTCTGGCACCGGAGCTGTAGATCCAGATCCAGATCCAGATCCAGAAGACATCCTTGTTGATCTCTTGTTGGAAGGTGGAATCAGAGAGGATGAGCCAGCAACAGCAGCAGCTGGAGTGGCAGCTCTGGGAGTAGTTCGCCGACTATTAGGCTTTCGACTTGGAGTACTCGAGCTCGCTTCGGAAGCTGCGATAGATCCAGTCCGACTACGAGGTAACCGACTTTGCGAAGAGCTCAATAGTGGGCTCTGAGACTTTGCTTCGTTTATTCTCGCATGTCTCAGTGCTCGAGCTGTAGGCTGCAGATCCGGCGAGTGACTCAAAATTTCGGAAGCTTCATGAACCATACGCTCGTCGGCAGCGGTCAAGTGAGCGGGAAGAGATACGTCGAAGACTAATCCTTCTCCATCGGATACGGGCATCGAGGATCGACCTCGGCGGGGTGGTGGTGCTGTTTCATGCTCGGGCACAGAAAGACGGCGGGGCATGATAGCTGCTCCTGAGTGAAAACGAGCTGCAAGAGTGGTTGAGGGATCTGAACTCTAGTCGAATGAGTGTAATGGTTGTCGACACTCAGCCTCAAAAGACGCGCCCACCACCAGTACTCTCGAGTTTATACAAAATGAAACCTGCCCACCATTTCAGCTTTGAAAATTCTTTTGACCCGACCCGGCGGCGACCATCACGAGATTGTGGGGCTCCATTGTCGATCACGTAATTTCAGCTCGAATTTTGGTTTTCAAAAGACTTTTGATTGAAATGCTGTTGTTGTCTTTTGGCTGCTGCAATCACCTATTCAACAACGAGCACTTCATCGAGGAGGCGGAGACAGAGCGCGACCATTCAACCAACCGACCATGCCTCACGCGGACAGCAGTCTCGTCCCTAATGATCTGAAATCGTGAGCTGCACAATTCCAGACGTTCCATGGATCAGCTCGCTGATAAGACAGCTGCAGCAAGACAGAGTTCTACGCCCATGTCCACTCTTCTCTCGAAGCGTTACTTGGAGAGTCAAGATATTGGGTGAGTAGGGAGAGCTTTTGAGTAGAGAGCGAAACCCTTTTTTCAAGCTCTACGTGCGACCCGCCAACTGATTCCATCCTTACCTTAGGTATCCAACCTAGCTCAAACCGCTTCACTTCTCTACCACGCTTACCTCTCTTCTCCCCTCTACGGTCTTCACGAAGGATCGTCCCATGTTCCAGTGATCAACTGGGTTGGTGAGGCATCATTCGTCATTCTCAAAGCATAAGCTTTACCTTCAATCGACACATCGCTGACTGTCTTCCTTCACTCCTCCTCCTCCTCTACAGGATTCTACCTTTATAACCCATCATGCCTACCTTCCTCATCGACCCCTACTCCGACCCCTGTCCCATTAGGCCCGTACCATGGTCGACCAGCCTGCGTGGAGTTCGTACCGAGATCAGGGAAGGGAGTTTGCGCAGACGCATTCACCAGCGGAAAGCCTGTACTTGTTCAGGATGTGCATGCGTACCCTGGGCATATCGGTGAGCTTGGAACAAAAAATTCGAGCTTGGTTGAACTTCCAGCTGATCGTCCTATTAGCATGCGATGGGGATACAATGTCGGAAATCGTATTACCTTTGGTGATTAGTTCAAGCTCTGAGGATCGAGTCATTGGCGTATTGGATCTTGACTCGACAGTGTTGCATACTTTCAACGAGGAGGACAGAGAGGGTTTGCAGAAAATCGTCGAGTTGTTGAGGACGGCATGCGATTGGAAGTAAGCAGGGTCGAATCCACAATGAAGCACATAACATATCATACATCCATAATAGCATTGCATTGCATGGTTCCAGCGTGGCCCGTAGTCCTTCAGCAAGTGCAGGCGTATCATCTCTCGGCCTTCATATGATCTTATTGCACGTTCCAGAAAGCATGCTGATGCAGATGATTCAATGGTATAAACAACAAACACCTAATGATGAATGCCTTTTCTCTTTTGTTTTGAGGCCCATCTCCGTGTCCAGTCCCTCCAGGCCACAGCTCACATTTATAGTCCCACACGTTGCCTCTCCAGCGCACTCTTTTGGGATGCGTCTCTATGCACTCTCCAATAGTACTCTAACACATCATGGGCCGCCAGACGCTGCAGGAAACCCTCGTCGTGCGTGATGACAATGAGCTGGAAGTTGGCTTGACGTCGGCGTTCACGAATGATCCTGGCAATTGATATGTCAGCTGTACGGTGAGAAAGTGACACCGGCAGCTCTCACTCTGCAAGCGACTCTGCTAGCGCATTGATATTTTCTTGATCGAGATTCGTGGTAGGTCTCACAAGATCAGATCTGTGCTCTTCCAGTTGTGCTCACTCGTCTAGCGCAAGTACGCCACAGCCCTGCCCAAATGATTCCGCAAGGGCCAGCCTAATGATGATCGACGCCAGAACCTTTTGGCCCGCGGAACACCGACCGCGCATATCCAACTCGACACTGTCCTTGATCATGACCACACGGTAATTGTACGATTTGCGAGTCGATGTGGAAGTCGTCTCATCGTGATCGGATACAATCTTGATCCCATCGATGTCTGAGTGCTTTAGCCCTTTGCTCGATAAATTATAGCCCACCTGTTCCTTGGTATGTCTTGTTCCACAAATGTCCGATATTGTCATTGATCTCGTCCATCTTGATCGAGTGGTATTTGAGAATGGCACTGAGACATCAGTGGGGATTAGCACCTTCGCACTCACTTGTCTAACGCTTTGCCGTACTTCTCGAGATCATTGTTGGCTACTTCGCTAACCTGCAATGCAAGTCAGCTTCACTCATTGAGGTACATTGAGCCTACCCACCTTGGTCTTGATAAGCTGTTCCTTGAACATCTTGTCGATATTCTTGTACTCTGACTCCAGGGTCTCCTGCATCCTCTTGCGGTTTTCAATGACCTGACTGAGTACTCCGCTCGCGCGTTGCCACTGCGAGTCGTCAGGCCACCGTTATAAAGAGCATGAGCACCTACATCGTTTGTGATCTCCTGTTCTCTCTGCATCATCTGACTAAACCGCTTGTTGAAATCTTTCCTGGCTTTCGCAGCTTCCTCTACATCCATTCCATCGAGCTCTTCTTGAACTTTGAGGATATCCTTCTGCTCGTTTCTGTACCTGACGTTTGCAGAAATGTTGGTGCGCAGGGAATTCGCTCGAGATAGCTCGTCCTGTAAAGAAGCGATGGCAGAATCGATCTTTGCCCGAGCTTCGGTTGTCAGGCCAATCTCTCTCTTGAGATCTTCCATCTGAGCCTCGTTTTCGCGTATCTTCCGATCGTTCCCTTCGGTCAAGTAGCTGAAGGATGTAAGCCCAATTTTGCCAATCAGGTCGCCCTCAAACTCACGCTTGACATGCCCGGTGCTTGGACTCTAAATCGTTCAGACTCGACTGATATATCCCGACTTGGAGTGACTGATCATTCTCCGCATTCTGACGCTCAGTGCGATATCGATTCAGCTCTTCCATCTTCTCGCGCCAGGGCGCTTCAGCGGATTGAGCAGAACTATCGAGGGTCTGTGAGGCTCGTCAGACCGGGCGGAGAATCTCGATCGTCCTGAGGTATATTCCACTCACTTTGAGCTGATTCTGCAACTGTGAGAGAGTCTCCTGCAACTCCGTCAGAGCCGCCTCATCCCGCATACGTTTCTCCTGTTGACTCTTCAGAGTACCCAGACGAAGCCTCTTCTGGCCAATATCGTCTGAAGCGCTCCTCACACTGTTCGATTTGAGATCCTTCTCCGAGACCAAAGCTTGTTGATCGCGACTGACATTCTTACTGTACCAGCATCAGACACAATATGAGTGCTTACTTACATCTCGGCGGACAGGAGATCCACCTCATGTTGGACCTCTTCGACAGTTTTGAGTGAACCAGAGCCCTCGAGATCCCTCTCCAGTCGGGCAACATCCGCTGCCAGATCTGTGATTTCCCCTAGGGTACGAGAAACGAGTGTGGCGGCGCTCTTGAGAGTCTGCAGGTCCCGAACGGCTAGCTTGGCTTTCTGGACACCCATTTTGGCCTGTGACCAGATTTAGGGCGCGAGCTGATAAGCGGATGACAACACTCACGTCTTCCACCTCGTTCTGGACCTTATCGAGTTGAATCGTCTCCTCTTCGACCTGCTTCTCCAGCGGCGGCATAGTTTTGTCTCGCAGTTCGACCATAGTCTTGTTCAAAGTTTGCAGGTTTCGTCGGTTCTGCAACTCTTCCATCCAATTCTTCTCATCTTCCTTTAGTTCGTCCACGTTGACACGCTTGCTCCCTGCCACCCGACGGTTCATCTGCAAGCGCATTAGCATGTGCAGGAGCCAGGACGAAAAGCCTGGCGGCACTCACATAGTTCTCGACCGCCTTGGCTTGACTCTCGGCGATAGCCCTGTCACAAGCCATACACTTGTGGTCGGATTGAGCCTTGGCCAGAATCTGTTCCCAGAAAGCAGCCGTTGTCGACTTGTCGTTCATCTCGCTAAGGTGATATACGGTCAGCTCAGCTCCTTGCATAGAAGCCCTGACGCAAACGCACATTTGCAAAATCTTGATTTCATTCTCCGCCTCCTCAATCGCCAATTCGATGGTCTCCTTCCCGGTCTCCTCAAGACCGGATCTGACCTCCTTCTCGATCCTGTCATATTCCTCCCTCTTCTCCTTCAGTGACCGCTTGGCAATGTTCAATGAGGTCTGCAAAGTCGACAAGTTCCGATTGCTGGCAGCAGACGACGATTCTGCTTCTTGAACTTCGCGATCTCGCTTGCCCAAAGCGATCGTAATCTTCTCCTCCATGGTTCCGGGCTCCAGTTTGGCCCCAATGAGCTCCTCAAAGCGTGCACTATGACTTGCAACGCTAGAGTCCGTTGTGAGTATAGGTCTGATCTTCAAATGACGATCAACTCACGATGCAGCGACCTGGTTCTCCTTGGACACCCTCTCGTTCCTCTTGATGGCAAGTTGTGCCCTCGAATCTGCTTGACGATTCAAAACTGACAGTTCTGCATTGACCTTGTCCCGCTCTGCCTCCTTCTGGCGGACAATCATTGTCTTCTCCCGAATAGCCTCATCGAATCGGGCGTCCCGGATCTCCTTTTCCAGCTTTGATCGATGCTCTTCAGCTTCGGCAATTTTGGATTCGAGCAATGCAATTTCGACGTCAAGCGAGCTGACAGACTCGAAGGAGGCTTCAGACTGGCGGACCTTCTCTGTCAGCTGAGCCTGTGCCAGTGAGTCAGTTGTCTGCATTTGTCTCATGCTGCCTGTTCCACACTCACGATCTGCTCCTGCTTGCTCTTTTTGGTAGCAATGGCCGAAGTCTTCAGACCTGCCAGCCGATCCAATTCAGCCTGCAAATCTCGTTCTCGGCGAGCGCCCTGAGCTTGAAGCTTTTTGAGATCTGATTCTGCCCGTCTGACGAGCTCGTGAAGCTTGTCGACAAATTCTACGACTTTGGACTCTTCGAGTGGAGAGTAATCGTATCCCGCAAAGTCGTGTGTCTTGGCAGCTTGTCGAATGGCAGACTCTCTCTCCTTGACGTTTCGCTCGTAGATCTGTGCACCGTCAACGGCCTACTCATGCGCCAAACAGGCAACATACATTTTTATTAGCCACAAGTCCGCCTTGTGCGCTCGCTAGCCCTCTTTCTCGCTTCCTGAGATCCTCCAACGCTGCTTCTTCTTTATCTCTCATCTCGACCTGCATCGCCTTCTTACCCTCAATCGACTTGAGGTGCGTCGCAAAGTTTTCCAGCATGTGCTCGAGCTCGTCCGTCTCCTCTGACCATAGAGTCAGCGAAAGAGTCCGTTGTAAATCACACTTCCCTCACCCGTCATCTCTGTCATTCCTTCAAGAATGTGCTTTCGATTATTCTCCAACATGGTCTTTCTAGCCCTGAGATTCTCGACCCTCTCAAAAGTGCTCTGGAAAGAAGCTGCTGTGGCATAATGCTCAACGTTGAGAATCTTGTACCGGTCGACCCCTTGCTTTAACTCGTCGACTTCAATCTGTTTAGCCGTCTCTTTGCGAACTTCGTCATCGAGCTGTTTCCTGAGCTGATCGCGTCAGGCCCAGCCAGGCATATCAGGGTTCACCTTTTCTGCCTTTTCCTTGTCAGCCTTGAAGAACTTGAGACGTTCCTTGTCGACTTTTAGCTCAACGGTCCGCTCTTTCCTTAAAGCCTTGATGTTGTCCAGTGCTTTGGTGTACCTGAGAATGGGATGGAATCAGCTATCGACAAACTCGAATGACTAACTTACTTTGTCGCTTCAAAGATGTCATCAAACTTCTTCTTCAGAGCCGCCGGTTCGCTCAATGGCCAGTTCGACTCTTCTTGGTGGCAGAAAATGACATTTTCAAGGATTGCTTTGGATACACCGAGAAGCAATGGTACCTCTTCGTCCATCTCTGAGCATTTCGTCGAGATGGTATTTCGCTGGGATGAAGTTCCAGTACAAGCTGGGTATATGTAGATAGTCCCAGACTCACCTTTCCCGCTGCATCACCCTCGTCTGACTTGGCTAGAATTCCCTCGAGCGTCTTGAATGTCAAACCTCCGGTTTTCTTTGTGGTCACTTGGAGATTTCTCGTAGCTGTCATTCGCTGTCGATTGAGGTTCCAGAACCGTAATCTGACTTGAGCTTTGACTTCTTTCTCATTCGCCATCTGAATTGCGTGAGCTAAATGAACTAGTAGACTAGTAGACAGAGAGCTCACCTTTGGATCATGGACAAACGCTCCACCGGTCTTGCTGCCCGATGGCAAGAGCCCGGTGGTCACATAGTTGAGGCACTCAATGATGGTCTACATTGCTTATATGAGCTCCATTTGAGCCCCCGAGTCATGCTTGATCTCACAGTCTTACCACTCCCATTGTGCCCGACGATGACTGTCAATGGGGAGTAGAACTCGATCACTTGAACATGCTTGTCATCAAATGATCGAATGCCTCGGATGGCGAGCTTGTTGAGGGATGCCCTGAGCGCATCAGCCAGGAGGCCCCAGAACGTAAAGATATGGGTTATAGCTTTGACTCACATCCTCAGCTAGCCTCTCTTCCAATGGCACGCCAACTGTCAAGTCAAGTCAAAGTCAAAATCGTTCAACGAAATGTCAATGATGTTCAAGACGCTTCGGCTAACCAAAATTCTGTCGCGGTCCAGTCAACTTCGCGTTGCCCGACGAACGGAGAAGCGACCGTGTGAGATGTGAACACGTGGTCTGATGTTTGCCACCCAAGTTCAAGTCCAAACGCTTGTCTTTGGCAACAGCTCTGTCTGAAAACACCAACCCTCTTCTCTTCGATGTCATGGGTGAGCTTCGCTCTCACGTAGTTGTGTCTACGCTGACGCCCCTCAGCTCCTTCCATCTATCCCGGGCTGGTCTCGAGCCTCACCGAGTGCCTCCTTATCCTCAAATGACCCTGACGACCTCGACATTCCACCTCTATTCCCATTACCAAATTCTGCTCAACGGTCCTCTGCTCCCGGGTCATCGAGCTCTCAACATGATGCTGGTGGATCTCGACCCCCTGCACCTACATTTAATCTCGCTCCGCCATCACCTCCGAAGAATACCGAAGACGAAGAACCGCCGTCCGAGCTGAACATTGCTGTTTTACCAGACGCGACCCCTCTTGGCGATATGGCTCCTCCGCCAAGTACGACACAGCGACCTGATTTCGGGATTCAGCCTGGTGGGATCGATGTTTCCGGTAGTGCGTCGAACGGTGATCTTCCGAAGAAGAAGAAAAGGGGGAAAGTACCGCTTGCGCCTGGATACAGTCAATTAGATTGGGCGAGAGTGACTACTAGTGGGAGGAATCTCAGGGGAACGGAATCGTTCCCTATACGAGTAACGATGGACGAGTTAAAGAAGGTGAGTTTTCGTTTCCGTATTTGACACTTCGTCGCACGCCCCGGCCTCGCCGCACCATCGTTGAATAAACTCTATCCAGCACAACACCAAGAAGGATGCCTGGTCAGTGTTCAATGGGATCGTGTACAACATCACACCTTATCTCCCGTATCATCCGGGAGGTCCTGATGAGCTCATGCGAGTGGCCGGGCGTGACGGTACGAAGCTGTTCAGTGAGTCTCTCAGAGCGACCGGCTTGTCGCGTGCCTTGCTGCCTCTCTAACCCACCACGCAGTGTTGACACACTCTTGGGTAAACATCGATCACATGCTACAGGAATGCATGGTGGGGATGTTGGTCAAGGGCTGAGGGTAAAGTAGAGCATCTAGTCATAGCATAGTCCGCATCGCATCGTATTGCATCGCATTGCATGTTGCATCATACATCATGCTTCGTCAATAACTGCTATCTCAGGAAGGCATCGGAAGTCCGTTTCGATAAAAACAACAACTAGAAAATCCACTGCGTGTCATTCCTTATTGTTCATTCATTCATGGAAGACTGTTGAATCAATGTCATCGCACTAGTGGAGGACCTGGAGAAGCCCGGCATCATCTCGTCATGGATTCTGGTGGATCATCATCAAGCTCGACGGCTTCGCAAGTGAGGTCCAAGTACGGCCAACCAGTGACGTCTTCGCCTAGGACTCTAGAGTCCAATCGACGTCGTTTGGTCGGACTGTTCTCGAGCTTCTCGATAGGGTCGTCATTGGATCAGAGTCCCTCAGGACAGTCACAGAAGAGTGACGATGTGATCCCTGCTGGGCAATCGGAATCGGACTCCCAGCAGTCTGGTGGTTCCGGAACGACTCTCATCAATAAACCCTGGTCATGGTTCCATACCGCTACAACATCCGATAAGCCAATGGGTGAATCAAGCCGTTCCGCCACTGTACGCGATTCAGCCGTCATAGTTGGAACTGGGCATCCGTCTACTGATCCCTCCTCGCCATCTCGTCTTCTTGCCCTGCCCGACGAAATGTAAGCCAAATGAGCCGAGCAATGCTCTTCCAAACGCTGACGAATTTTTTTCCTTACTCGCAGACTCGTGCACATTCTCCTTCATCTAGATTCCTCTGCTTCGGAACTCCTCAACATATCGCTCGTCTGTCGGCATCTACACAGTCTCTCAAAAGCCCCAGTCCTATGGTACGATCTCTACACTCGATCCGGGTTTTCCTTGACTCCCCATGCTCTCGATCACGTAGCAGCTGTCTTGGATCCTCCAAATGGCTACTGGGAAAGAGACCGCTGGATCAGAGCGTCATCATCGCCACATAACAGTGCCGATTGGTCTCATACAGACACCAGCGCTGGCAAACCTTTAACATTACGTCGTCGTCTTACGGATAGCCCTAAATTCAGTCCCAGTCCCAGGAAGCGACGTGAACAAACTTTTGCACCGAGCGATGAATTAGAAATACATTACCCTACGCTGTTCCGTTCGAGACTCGCCCTCCAACGTCAACTCCATGACTCACTCACGCATATACCGTCTGGTCTACCTCATCAACATACGCTCTCATCGCACACCAATGCAGTGTACTGTCTACACCTTTCACTACCTTATCTTTTCACTGGATCGAGAGATCGGACCATGCAACTCTGGCGCCTCCCTGATCCGTCTTCCTACGACCTCCCCGTCTTAATCTTAAGCGTCGATCCGGCTCATGGAGGAAGTGTTTTGACCATGGCATTTGAACCTTGGGAAGATCGCTCGGGAGGGTTGTTGGTCACGGGTAGCTCTGATCAGACAGCGGGCGTGTGGACTGTCGACTTTGGCTCGACAATGGGGGCGGTTCATGATGCTTCCGTTGGAGAGAAGCGGATGGCCTCCATCAGTCGCATTGCGACGCTTCGTGGATGTAGCCGTGGAGTCTTGGGCGTAGCGCTGAGCAAGACCAAGATAGTCTTATCGTGAGCGAAAGGGGGATGGTAGACAAGACACACACTGATCGCGAGATCGCAGGACGAAGGATCCCGAGTTGCTTGTGTATGACCGATCATCGTACAACTTTCTATGCAAACTGCAAGGTCACGAGAAGCCGATCAACAGTCTCGCCATAAACCCATGGCCGGGCCTCGAGCAAGTCGTCAGCGTGTCAAGCGATGGTCATTTGATCATTTGGGACTTGAGCACGATGAAGGAACTGCGGAGAGGTGCAGGCGATGGACGAGGTCTAGCTTGTGTAGCGTGGGAAGTGAGTTCCAGATCGTTTCGAGATCCTATTCGCCGCTGATAAAGGTTTCACAGGGCAGGTATATCCTCGTTGGAGGGAATGACCGTCTAGTCAGCCTGTATGATGCCGGCGACGCATCTCTCATTAGAACGTTCGAAGGTAATCGAGATCTCGTGCGAGCCGTATCTCTCGATCTGTCAACTGGTCTGGTCGTCAGTGGTGGATACGACGGTTCCGTGAGGATCTGGGATCTGCATTCGGGATCATTGATTCGGAATCTCACGGCGGGTAGAGCGCAGGATCTGGTATTCGCGGTCAAGACGCATATAGGCAAGGTGTTGTTGTGAGTTGCCACTTTTCTGTATCTGTGTCTCATGCTGAGGTCATTATACAGTGCCAATCGCGAAGGGGTGATTCAGATTGTCACGTATGGTTCTGGTCTGCCTTATCGTGATCATTTTGCATCGTGATGTATCGTGTCTGCTGCCGCTGGGTCGAAATAACAGGCTTCGAAATATTCCGCATCGAGATCTGAAAGTATCACTGGTTCGGCAGATCAAGGCGGGCGAGCCCCGCCGTGGCAAATGAACCCTCTCTGTCTCGATGGCGATGCGAGAGTCCCATGTGGCATCGGAATATGTATACACCATGATACGAAGCCATACCAAGGACAACCTTTACTCAAGCTACTATAGACCGTTAGAACACGAGCCCAAAACTAAGAAACAGGCACCACCAGCATATGCTCTTCCACGAATTGAGTGCTTATGCTTCCTTACGCTCCGAGAGGGTCTCTCCGTACATGTCGGATGCGTTCACGATGCCCCTTAGTTTACTGCGTGTGGGGTGCCTCCTTTTCATCAATGGGGTCGTCGTTATGATGAACGGGGTGAGCAGCAGCGTGATTGTGGACAGGAGCGACAGGCACGTGATGAGTCGCCGGTTCGGTTTGAGGATGCGCCGGGCTTTCATTCTTAGACTTGTGAGGCTTTGGATCGCTATGTGTGTTGACAGGTTCAGGGGCTTCTCCATCGGGTTTGGGGCCGAGGCTGTCAGGTAGAGATCAGCGATGTGTTCCAGGGGTCGCGGAGGACAGATCGCTCTCTCGAATCGCTCCGAGGATTGATGGACTCACCCCGATAAAATCTGTTTCCAAGCATCTCCGAGATCGGTTCCCAACTTTTGATAATCCTTCTGGATACCCATGAACAATTTGACGTGAGCTTGATGGGTCGCGGCGGACTCATGGGTGGGATCACACTGCGCTTCCAGGTCGTCGATACGGTATCGTAGCGCGCTGGCTCGTGTGTTGAGCGCAATGAGAGAGGTTGGAATGCCGGTGCCTGTAAGACAGAGACAGAAAGAGAGAGAGTGTGTGTGAGTGCGTGAGAAGAATAGAACGCTGTGACCGTCTCTACTCACCCTTCAACAATGCGATCATGGCTGAGATGAGGGTATTGACCACGGCGACCCATTTAGCAGCTTTCGGATGCCCTTCCACCAGAACGGCCGTCAAGGCACCAAGGATGACCGCAAAGACAGCGAGGGAGACATCGACAAAGGTGAAGAATCCAATGAGTCCTTTCCATGTCAATCGATTGTATTTGGCCAATCCGTTACTGATGAGATTGAGTCGTCGCGTCAAGTCCGAAGGAGTGGGGAGCGAGGTCGGACTCTCAGGCCTACTCGCTGGCATGCTGTTGCCATCGAAAGCGAGTGTCGGGACGTGGGCTATAATGAATTTTTATTGGGAAAATGTCAGTGGAAAGGAGGTGGTCGGGGGACTTGAGGAATGTTGCTCTCACCTATATTGGAGGCCATCGTGATCTCGCGAGAGAGTATAGAGAAAGTATTGAGATAGTAACGAGGTGTAGCAAGGTGTCCAGTTTCAAGATGTATGGTAGGTGAGAAAGAGTCTCAGAGAAGCCCTGACCGTTGTAGCATGCTGCTGGCTGGCTGCTGGCTGCTGCTGCAGCTACTCGCCGCTGCTCGCTGCTGCCCAGGTCAACCCGAGACGAATTCAAATAGGTTAATTGAAATTGAAATCTTGCTGTGGCCCAGTACTTGCTGTTCCTGGGAATTTATCAGAGCATGGTGGACATCTCCGTATTCCGTGGTCCGGGATTGGAGGCATAGGAGGGCTGTCGTGGCGTACAACTCACGCGTGCTGCCACAGGTCGAGAGGAGAGGGAGAGGAGGCAGCTCGCTCGTCCGGATCAGCCGTGTCCACCAGCATGCCAAGATGAAGAAGCCATACATAGAGACCTCACAGCTGCAGTAGCCCTCATAGCGATGAGAAATGCTTCTTTTTCGCCGACTGGGAGGCAGGGTCGCCAGATCGGTGCATGTGGCTCTGTCTTGCGGTCACATATAAGAGCAATGTCTGATGATGATGATGATGATGATGATGATGATGATGATGATGATCGTGTTGTGCCTCTTGTAAGATTATGGACGGACCTATCGACAGCCAGCAGATGATCGACGCTTAGAGGCTTGTTGACAGCCACAGACAATATACACACCCCGTGATTCGGAGCGTCACAGGCCCGTGCCCCATCACTCTCCCACGGTGTAATCTGTTGTTGATTCGGCGGGAAAATTATTATTATAATTGAAAATTGACCGACACTAATGAGCCAAGAGATCCGAGAGCCCCCCCCCCCGTTCCCGTCAGTTGCGTCATTTGAACCCGCCCGCCCTCTGCTCTTCCGCCACACTTTGAATGGCTCCACTTTTTAGACCCAAAACCACCGGTGATCAACAGCGGGAAAGAAGCAAGTTATATGATGGTAGTGTAGTAGACATCTTGATTGGTTGGTTGGTGTTTTCTGTCCAGCCAGCACCTGGTGTCTTTTACACACACACCTCATCTGATTTCCATCTCACTCAGGACCAGTCGCAGCGAGTGATCTACGCACAAAGGGTGAGTCTGAGTCTGGAATGTGCTGTGTGGCGTGTGTGGTGGTGCCGAATGATGATGATGATGATGATGATGATGGTGGGAGAAAAGGAAGAAAAAAAAGATTTGGGTGGGATCGTCACGCCTATGAACACATGACGGTTGTGTGTGACCCACCATCTGCTGACATTTCTCTCTCTCTTGCCTTCATCCAACCATCCACTCATCGACCCCTACCACTCACTCTACCTTCCTCGTCTTGACTGCACCTGTCTGCACGTCTAATCTGCCACCAACCTCTATAATCGCTGTGGAATCGCTTGGGACCGTCCCCCTCACGGCATTGGGCTTGGCGCAGCAGCGATCAACCTCTCCCAACCCACCCTTTCCGTGACCTCTCGCACCCACCACCATGTCGGCCACGGGTAAGAACGTCAATGCATCCACCACACCCGCCTTCGTCTCTGCCCTAGTGGTAGCAGGCATAACCGTAGGAGGATTCTCACTCGTCTGGTTGATCCTACACAATCGAAAGAGCCTCAGACGAGTCTTTCAACCCAGAGCTGAAATCGCTCCGGAATCCAAACGACCTCCCGAATTGCCAGGCAATCCACTATCATTTTGGAAAACGATATGGAGTCTACCTGACAAGGAGATCATGGTCGCCAACGGTCTCGACGCTTACCTCTTCGTGAGATACCTCAAAGTCTTTGGACTTCAAATGATGGGACCCTACGTCATACTCTCTATCGCCATCTGTGTCCCCATGTCGTACGTCCCCCACTTAAGTGTGGCTCGCACGCCAAGCTAAACGTTACTTCCACAGTGCCATCGCACCCAACAATGGCCTCGACGGTCTCAACCAGATGTCGTTTGGTAACGTGCCTTCTACCAGTCATGCTCAGCTCCGACACATTGGTCATTTCCTCGTCGCCGTTGTCCTGATGAGCTGGACCTTATACCTTCTCTACAGAGAATACAACCACTTTATCGACGTTCGACGAGAGTGGCTCTCATCTGCTCAACACTTGTCCCTCGCTCGCACGCGAAACGTAGCCATTACCAATCTTCCAGACTCTGTCAACTCTGAATCAGGTCTCAAGGAGCTCGCAGGTGTTGTCGCCAGATTGACTGGATCAGCGGCCCCTCGACCGAGCAACGTCACGGATGGTACCGTCCACAATGCACTGGACGAATCAGGCGGTGTCAGAAATATTTGGCTCTCCAAGAAACTCGATGATCTCGAACAAGTCTGGCAGGACCGAGATGATGAGTGCTCGCGGCTCGAAGGAGGCGTAGGCAAACTTCAAAAGCTCGCAGCCAAGAATCAGCGCAAGGGCAAAACGCCAGAGGCAAAAGGTGAGCAAACTGACTCGAGGTCCAGGACTCACCCAGTATGAAAGGCACCTATGACTCTGAGAAATCGAACGCCGTCATTGACCGATTTGTCTTGCCCAAGAAACAGCCAACCTGGAGACAGGGACCTCTCGGACTCATCGGCAAGAAGATGGATCTCAATAGCTCGCCAGCGTTCATTGCTGCGCATAACGTTCAACTCGAATCCATGCGAGCGGAAGCCGGAAATCTCCCATCTGGAAACACTGCATTCATCCGATTCAGCTCGCAAGCCGAAGCCCACGAATTCGCCCGACTCGTCTCGTCCACTGACAAAAAGCACCGATCTATCCGTTCATCCATCGAGGTCATCCCTGAAGATGTTCGATGGAATGCACTCGCCATCAGTCCCATGCAGAGACGACTCCGCACTGCCATTTCATGGGCCCTGACCATCTTCCTCATCATCATCTGGGCCATTCCCGTCGCCTTTGTCGGTATCGTCAGTAACGTCGACACGCTTTGTGAAACTGTATCCTGGCTCGCTTGGATCTGCCAAATCCCCAAGTAAGGGCGTTCATCACTTGTACCCTTGTGCACTCGGCTGACATTTGCGCCAGACCCGCGCTGGGAATCATCAAGGGTGTTCTGCCACCTGCTCTTCTGGCTGTTCTCTTCATGCTCCTGCCAATCGTTCTGCGCGCCTGGGTAGGCATGCAAGGCGAAATTCGGAACAGCGATGTCGAGCTCAAGTTGTTCAGTCGATTCTGGCTCTTCCAAGTCATCCACGGATTCCTCATCGTCACACTGGCGAGTGGTCTAGTTGGAGCTCTTCAAAATATTGGCAGTGAGGTTCAGAAGCTGCCAACCTTGCTTGCTACCAATTTGCCAAACGCCAACATCTTCTTCCTCACATTGTGAGTGCGAGCCCAGGCGACGTCCTGGTCAAACTAATTATCATCAGTATCCTCACTGCGACATTCACAACTGCTGCCAAGGCCTATTCTCGAGCTATCCCCTATGTCATGTTCCTACTCAAGGGCATTCTTGCCGGCAACACCCCTAGAAAAGTCTATATCAAGCAGGTGAGTCGGGTTCTGGCACCTTTGAGACGGGACGCTGACCATTGTCCGAAGCACAAGATGGACCAGTTCCCCTGGGCTGTTGTCTGGCCACCTATTGTGAGCTGACATGTTCGTCTTCATGTGTGCTTGCTCACGCATCTACAGTGCCTCATTATCTGCATCACCATTGTTTACTCCGTTATTCAGCCGTTGATGACAGTCCTCACCTTCGTCGCCTTCCTTATGTTCTTTGCCGCGTACAAATACCTGCTGTACTGGACTACCGACCAGCCCGACTCGCTCGAAACCGGAGGTCTTTTCTACATCAAGGCACTCAGGACCGTCTTTGTGGCTTTATACCTCGAGGGTATCTGTCTTGCCGGTCTGTTGTTCCTCTCCAGCAACCAGGATGGAGGACGATCCAAGGCCGGTCTGGCCGGTGGTGTCATCATGGTGAGTCAGGGTTCCGATCCACCTGTTGGCAATTGCTGAAATACCCGCTCAGGTCTTCATGATCATTGTCACTGCCCTGCTCCAATTCTACATTGATTGGTTCAAGTTCAAGAAGAGCAAGCTCGTGTACACCAACTCTGGCGCATACGAGAATGCAAGCGGCAAGGGAGCCGTAGATCGCGTGAACACATCGACTTCGGAGGAACACTCTCTAGCTGGACCCGAGCTTGGTAACACCTCTGGTTTCCATGAGCAAGCCTTTGATCACCCTGCCTTGTGGAAGAAGCAGCCCACGGTCTGGATCGCGGATGACCCTCTCGGCGTTGGCAAGTTTGAATCGGCGCGTATCAATGAAGCTTCGGTCGAATCTAGCACAGAGTTCGCGACGATGGATGAAAAGGCCAACATTATGGTGCAACGTGCACCTCCTGATGAAGCTTGGTACGGCGGTTTCACACGGGCCTAAGTGTGCTCTCGATGTTACCACTCAAACGTGCTCTTTTTGAAACGACCCGCCCTACTATACATGCGATTTTAATGCGTATCATGTTCACGATGGCTTTCCACCTTTGCTTCCTCTTCCTCTGCCTCGAGATAGTGGACATACACGATGGCTATTATGAAGCATGCATGCACAGGTTTTGATGAGAGTGTAGCACGTGTGGTTGTATGCTCGTCACACGTTCAAATGAGGTTGCTGCACGTGCGATGAAGATCCCATCCAGATTTAGCTTTTTGGGAATGAATCATTTTTTTGGAAAGATGGGGGCAGTCCCGGCCTATCGGGCGAGTCGGCGTGGTGAACCGAGTTCTTTCGGAGAAAGCCGAAAAGTTCAATCAACGATGCTTTATGGGTTCGGTGTTCGTTCAAGGAGTTGGCTGCTTGCTCTGCTTGGCACATGGAGGAAAGCTGGATGCCGTCTTCTTCTCCTTCATCGGAATGGGTACCCCTCTGCGTCCCCACGCACACAGAGAGAGAGTGTAAGAGTACAGCACAATGCCCGTCTTGGGTTCAGAGCCTTTGAGGATTCAGAGGTCTCCCTCCGTGCGTTCGAAATTAAACTCCAGGCTCAAGGTGGAGTTTTGGAAAGTATTCCCAATATTCCGGGGACAATGTCTAAAAATAATCCATTTGAGGTTCACGAGAGGTTTCCGCACAGTGCAAACGTGTGGGTGGTGCGAGGTGCGGAGGGTGCGCAGGCGCAGGCGCAATGTGCCCAAGATGTCTCGTGCATTCCGATATCGGAACAACCTTGATTTTGGGAATTAGGCGTCTGCCCGAGAAAGGAGGTATATGAGCAGGAGAGGAATTGATGAGATCCTCTTCTCGGTATTCATCCATCAGCCAACTCTTATAGCTGAGGGCTCACTCATTCCGTTTGTTGGTCCACTTGCATTGTCGGCTCTCTGCTATCGGCCCATCAACAGTCTCTCGCCATGTCGTACATTGACAACAACGAGAAAGACATTCAAGCCATTGATCCGTCTGGTCAGATCCACGGTGTGATCCGACAATACGGAGTTGACGATCATGGTGTCGAGCTCAAATTGCGGGATGCCATTACAGCTGAAAGGGCCGATCATGAAGAGACAGTTTGGCAAGCTGTCAAGCGACATCCTACCTCGGTAGCTTGGTCCCTTGTAGTCTCCATGTTGGTCATTGGTGAGTACACCCACCCTCCCACCAGAGGTGTTTGAAGAGGCTGTTTCCAAGCGAGGAGTTGTAGAGCTTTTCGCTGATGTTGTCCATCTCACAGGTGAGGCGTTTGATTCAGACCTGACTGGAGGTCTGAACGCTATGCCCGCGTTCAGAAGGCATTTTGGAAAATACGTCGATGAGAAATCAGGATACCAGATCCCAGCCAAATGGCAAACTGCCAATGGATTCGCAGCCACTATCGGATCCTTCTTCAGTATCATCCTCTGTGGTCAGATTGTCAATCGACTAGGATACAGAAAGACGAGTATCATCGGGTTGGTCCTCATGATGGGAGCAATCTTTGGACCTTTCTTTGCCCCAAGCCTGCCCATCTTCTTCTTGGGCGAGTTGCTGGTGAGTGAGTATAAGAGAGTCGGGGGGGGAGGCAAAATGTGGCACCCCCCCCCCCTTTTGCATGCAATGATGTCCAGTGCTGATGCTTGGGGTGTCCTCAGTGTGGTATTCCTTGGGGATTCTTGTGAGCGCGGACGACCATGGTCGGAGGAATGATACTGACCCTTTGGTCTCGCAGTATCTGTATTGGGCCCGCCTATGCGTCTGAGGTGATTCTAAATCTGTCTAGCTCCCAGTGCCGCATACTGACTCTTTTTTCGCAGGTGTCTCCTCTGGCTCTTCGAGGACTCTTGACGATCTGGATCCAAGCATGTTGGTTCATAGGACACTTTATCGAATCTGGAATCGTTTATGGCACCCAGAGCATGGAATCGAGGGTGAGGAATCTCCGCCTTTGCACCTGCTGCATACCACTGTCTCCTTGACTGACGAATCCCGTAGTGGGCCTACAGAATTCCATTCTTGGCACAGTGGTGCGTATCCTTCGTTCTCTCATCACCAGATGCACTTCTTAAACCTCTCTTACCAGGTGCTGGCCTATCCCTGTCGGTATCCTCATCTGGATGGCACCTGAGAGTCCATGGTGGCTCGTTCGACGAGGCAAATTGGCCGAAGCCGAAAAAGTTGTCATTCGATTGGGAGTCGCAGAAGGCATCTCACCGAGTGATCGAGTGGCAGAAATGCTTCGAACAGTCGAGATTGAACGATCTCAAACGGAAGGAGCGAGCTACATCGATTGCTTCAAGGGATCAGATTTGAGGCGAACTCTGTGAGTGTCGCCACGCCGGTCACCGAGCCATCCAGAAATTGGTGCTGATGCCATCGTCCTTCAGCCTCGGATGCATGATTTTCATCTTCCAGAACTACACCGGCTACACCCTGGCAGTGAGTCACATCTGTCGCTGGTCGTCAAGGGACGGTTGGGCGCTGACACTGACTCTGACTTAGGGAAACATTGTCTACTTTATGGAGCAAGCCGGTTTCCCCAGTAGTTCAGCTTTCGCCATGGGTCTCGGCACGGTAGGTATTCAACTCTGCACCGTCACACTCTGTGCCTTCCTCATGGCTTACTTTGGACGTCGAACACTCTATCTCTGGGGTCTAGGCTTCACTCTCTGTTGTCTCCTTATCACTGGAATTGTCGCTTGCGTCCCTGAGACGCCGGCCTCAAGGTGGATCGAAGCGGTTTTCATCATCATCATGGCCGTCCAATATGGTTTGACCACAGGTCCAGTAACTTATGCCTTGATTGCGGAACTCTCCTCAGTGAGACTGAGAGCCAAGTCTGTCGCCCTGTCACGAGCGTCATACTATCTCTTTGGTTTACCGACGGGTTTCAGTAAGTTTATAAAACATGACGGAAAGGGTTTCCAAAGCTCACCCCTTTCCTTCCCCACTCAGTCGGCTCATACTCGCTCAACCCCGCTGCTTGGAACCTCAAGGCCAAATCTGCGTTCATCTGGCTCGGAACAGGATCCATTGTCTTCATCTGTACTTTCCTCTTCTTGCCTGAAGTCAAAGGGCGATCTTTCAGAGAACTGGACATCCTCTTCCACCGAGGCGTTCCCGCTCGTAAATTCCAAACGACATCCGTCGATGACGAGGATGATCAGTAGTCTCCCTTCTTCGTGTGTTGAGGAAGGGGAGGCGGATGTACGAGGCTAGCACCCGTTGGTAGGGCATGCATATGAGTGGCTTGCACTGAGTGGTCGAGGTCCGAGGAGATTCTTAGGGGTTGGTGTTCATCGATGTCTGACTAGTCACTGCCCTCATGCAGGTCGGGTGACATCCGCACGTCCTCAGTTGTGCCTGCGAATGTCTGTGGTCTGAATGTGTCCCAAGATGCTGGATCATGCCTTCTTCAGCCTTGCAAGGATCTCCTTGCTGGTCGGTCTCGCCTCGATATCCGGCTCCAGCATCCACGCCACGACCTCGTGACCGTTTTCTGCCGCTCTCGATCTGACTTCCGCTACATGGTTAAACCAACTTTGCAATCCATCCCTCGCAGGACCGGGTTCAAAGGTATGTGGCAAGATCCACTCTCCGTCTGGTAGCGGGACATGACGGTATCCGAAGAGCAGTGTGATCCCAAGAGCCCAAACGTCATTCTTTGGATCCTTTTGACGATTCCAGAATTCCGGCGAGACGTAATTGGGAGTTCCGCTAGCTGTGAACGTCCAGGGAGGTAGCATGGCAGCTCCAAAATCGATCAAAGTGGCTTTACGTGTCTGTGTGGACCAGAGAATGTTTTGAGGTTTGATATCGTCGTGAATGATCGATCTCTCGTGCAGGAAAGCGAGGGCATCGACCGTTTGCAGCTCTAGATTGCCCACTGAGGAAGAGTCCAGCTGGCATTGCTGATCGCTATCGACGAGTTGGTCTAAACTCGAGCCATGTTCGTATTTGAAGGACAAGGATAGAAGGTCCGAGTCATAGTCCAGGAGGGCAATCACGTTGGGCTGGAACAGGGTTCAGTAGTCAGAATTGATCCTCATCCTCTATAGCTTAGCCGAAGACTCACATGACCAGATGCCAATCGGAGGGTCTCGACTTCTGACTTCCATCTCTCTCTCGTCGTGTCCGTAACGAGCAAGGAGCGCTTCACCACTATTTTCTGCCCATCAACTTGAGTCTGAACAACCACGAGTGAATGATCAGTCTTTGAGATCAGTTCCTCGTTCAAATCGTCAGTCATGCTGGATGATGATGTGTGCGGCGAGTAGAACAGATCTACAAAGTAGGATCGAGATCTCTTAAGGGTGTCGGGACCCGGATCCGAGGTGGCAGTTGGTGAGAGGAGGAGGGCCTGTCGTGTTTGACTAGGCCATGAGAAGGGGATGGAATGGGAAGAGGCTCGAGTCAGTGGGTCCAGTCATAACAGCCCGAGACTGCCCGTCAGCTCTACGGCAGCAATACATCCTTCGGAAGATCCCCTTTAGCATCCTCGGTGTTGGCATTCGCGTCTCGGTTTCGTCTTCATCATTTCATTACATATTTTATTATTTAGTTCTCGACGTCTGCCAAATCTCGTCTCGGTCCCTTTTGATCTTCACAACCTCCCTGACTCTTGATTCATGAACGGTGGGGGCTCAAAGCCCGTCCACTTTCAAGTGCTCGTGAGGATAGCTACGATCTCTTCTTTTTTTCCCTGGTGCAGGGCAAGAATTAGTCTTTTGCGATCATGTCGCGAGGACGTCCTTCCAACTCTCGCACTTCGTCAGCTGCTGTCATGTCGAGCAATGAGCAGGGTGAGTGGAAGTGCAGACCGTATGCGAGCCCAAAAGAATGGGTGCTGACATCCAGTCGATTCCTTCTCGGCTGTCGCTGCCCTTCCATCTACTCCAAGCAGTGATGAACTCCCTTTGGCATGGCTTGGTGGACACTATACGATTATTACCCACTGTACCTCTGAGTAAGCCACTCACGGACGAAGAGAGGGCCCTACAATTGCGTCAGACGAGTGATGAGAAGGCGAATCTGGATCAAGCTCTGGAGAAACTCTCCCAATTGATCGCTCTGCGGAAAGGTGCGCAGGCTGACGGACCCGCTACATCATCATCATCATCAGCTGCTGCTACTGCGACTACTACTACTGCTATACCTGTTCCCACGGTATCCGTTTCTACGCCAGGCTCCAATGGCCTAGGTCCTCCACTGTCAGCATCAGCATCTAGCGGTAATCTGAAACGCAAGCGACGACTCTCCAATACAGCTTCACCCGCGCCTGCCTCTCTCCCTAACTCTGCGACTGAATCTACCCTCACGTCCATGGCTTCTCCTCATCCGCCATCTGCCATGGCTCGAGGTGCGACACCTGCGAGCCGAGATCAGGGACAGAGACAGAGGAAAGATCATGCCGACGTATTGGCTCTCCAACCTGGACGAAAAGTTGCTTTCAAAGTCCCGCCAAAGGGGAAAGCGGATGGAGCGAGCGATGATGAATGGATATTGGCGGTCGTTGTCGGCGTCGTAGACCCAGTCAAGGGTCATTATACCGTACAAGATGCTGATGACTCGAGCTCGTGAGTGATCCTTGATCCCTGTCCCTTCTTCCCAGTCCCCCAACTCAAGACCGTCAACTTTATCCAGGTCATTCGATACAAGCCTTCGAAATCTTATCCCTCTACCGGATGGCTCACTGCCAACTCACAACCCTTCTCATCCTTCCAATTTGGAAGACTTCCCCAAAGGTTCCACGGTACTTGGTCTCTACCCAGAGACCACCTCATTCTACCGTGCTACCGTGATCGCTGCGCCATATCCAGGCACTGGCATGGGTCATGGAGTCAGAGGAAACAGAGGCAAGATTGACCCAGGCGCTGTGGAAGGGAGGTATCTCTTGACGTTTGTCGATGATGGTGGGCAGGTCCACGAGGTTCAGTCTGAGTTTGTTGTGTTGGTGAGTCACGTCACAGGCATCAGACGGAGGAAGGCGCTTTCTAACGAAATATTTATCTTTTCAGTACCCCAATTGAGCGTTTTTGTTGTCTTCCAGCGCATAAAACCACTTGCCGAAGCTAGTCATGCTCTACACATCGTATACATCCTCTAGGCATCATTATGTACGCAATAATCCCTGACTATCCGACTGCGACCGACTTGGTGCGCCCTCATGTGACAAATTTGGAACTAGGTCGGCAGACCATTTACAGCCTTGTCTTTGTCCATTCGTTCATCCTTAGACAGCTTCAACATCAAGAACCACATGACGCTGATCTCGACCAAGAATCGGGTATCAATAGGACCAAGGAGGATGGCGGAGGATAGCCAGAGGACCACGAACAGGACTCGGAGAGCTGCAAAGATGAATCGTAGAAGTGAGTGAAGGTGGCAACTGGGATCACAGTTAGCAGTCCCTCAGTTGTTGAGAAGTGAGGGAAATCACCCACACCACTGTTTTGCCCTTCTCTTTTGCGATTCCTTTACGGACTCTGAAGTGGGAAGTGACGGCATGGAAGTAGACACTGGCCAAAAGTAGTAAACACCGGTGGTCGACCGCGACCCGGTGATCAAGGGTGATCTCAGCTGCTGTGGCGGCGCTACAGTAGGCGGGGGCAAAGATGGGATCATCAGTTTCATGCAGAACGAGAACGAGCACGACCTACAACATGAGTCGACGCATGGCGGTTGAGAGTCCCATTTTTATAGAAGGTATTGCAGAGGGTTCCAGGGAGTGATTCAAACGATGTGAGTCGAGCTTCTGAGAGATCAATGAGCGATTCTCCACTTTGCGGTGCCGATAGGCTCACGTCAATGGATTGACCCAGAAAATGCTTTGTGGGGGTGTTTGAAGGCTGAGAAGTGATGGGAATCCAGTCTTCGTTCTGCAGAAATGTAGGAAGTGGAGTTGCAAGAAGTGAAGAGACAGCATTGAGTGATCAGTCAACCTATATATCCATTTTTTTCCTTGGTGTACCGATTCATTCAACCCAAAAATCACACGCGCTTCCCATTCATCCTTCTGAGCAGCACAAACGATGTGATACGTAATACCGGAGCAGGACAAGAACTGGACTGGACTGATAATAAATGGTACGAGATCCATGCAGGTACAACGACGCGAAGCAGGCTTGTAATAATAGACAGAGCATATGAACCCGAGATGTGTATATACTGTATGTACAGTATCAGCCCAGCAATGCCTTCTCCATCCTCGCCTTGACTCTCTGCTCCACGTGTGCCTGGGCACTTTTCGCAAAGTCTCTGAAGCCCACAATGGAGATGACAATAGCCCCTGAGAGAATCACTTCGACCATTAAGCCGATCAAGTTGAGAACGATGAATGGGGGCAGGTTTGATTTGGAGATTGACCAGAGGATACCAAAGAACCAACCGACGAGACAGGAGACGGTAAGGAGCCAGTAGATTGAGATGATCGCAGTGAGCCAAAGGTGTGCTTCGGTTTCTCTGGACATGGTCGAATGAGCGATCATTCCATTCATTCAGTGAGAAGATGGATCGTGATCTCTTAACCAGAACACTCTTATCACTCACTTCCAGGTCTTGTTCTCCAACTTGGATTTACGGATTCGAGTGGCGAGCGATAAAAGTACGAGGAATGCTCCGGCGAAGACCCAGCGTGAGATGCACACGGAGAGCAAAGATTGATTGAGGCTAGTGCTCAGGAGAGTGCTGTAGAACTCGATCAGGACAAGTCGAGCCCTAACGATAGACTCACGGGAAGTGGATGTGAATACGAAAGGTCATTGTCGCGTAGCCAACTTTCGCCAATGGGTCTTCTGTGCAGTTTGAGGGCTCGAGCGAATATGTTTACCCTGTGCCAGCCCAGCCAGGTGGTATCAAAAGAGGAAGGAGCTCTCGAGATAGCCTTGTAGTGGGTCTGAGTTGGGAGATGGAAGCGTTTGACAAGAAATGATGAAGTCGACGAAGGCATAAGGATGATGAGATGAAGTGATTTCCCGAATCTGCCACTCGAAGGACAAAAAAGAAAGAAAAAAGTCACGTTGATGTCCCATTCATATTGTAAGGATGCACGCATTCTTGGCACAATTGTACAAGCTCACGTGAGAAATCATGCATCGATGTGACCGAAAGCTAGTACAACAGTGTGTCGGCATAACATGTACAATGGTAGCCAGTGTCAGTCCTCTGCAGAATCATTGTCTCCCATCCATGAACGCCACTAGGCCCCTCGGAGCTGCTTCTGCTGACCCATGACGAAATCTCTGATGCCATCCTTTATACTTGGATCGATGAACAACAATTTACTGTTGGGAACAGAGACCAAGACTCCATCATATCGCCTTGCTTCGGCTTCCGTATCGTCAAAGAGCTCTTTTGAGTGAAACTCGAACATGACAGCTGGAAAGGTCAGTCAAAGCAGAGGCTAGGATCTACTCACCATCCTCGTGTTTCAATCGATTGCGCTCCTTGTCCCAGAGGTGCAGCTGATCAACGATGGTAGGGTGGAGCAGAGGCGGGGGCTGGAAATCTGCATCAGCACCTTGACATATCGGACAAGGCCCCGACTTACCGAGTTGTACATCTGAGGATGGGCATGACTCGCCAAGTAGCTGATAATCTGATACGCAGAGATACCTTTTTCCATCGCTGACTTGACATTTTTCCGGTCTAATTTGCCAACAACGAGGTTACGGTATCGTATGCGGATGTCAACGAATAGATTGAGAATAGCTATTTCCAGCTCGTTGGCTAACAGATGTCAGCAATGGCTATACTCACTACAAATGCCAAACTCACATGTGTAGGCGTAGATCTTGTAATTCGTTTCTAATACCAGGAACCGCTTCTCATCTGCACTTTGTGACGCCGAAGTGATGGTGTTTCCAGAGCATAACGACGTGGCAAGGTGGGTAGGGAAAAACTGATCTGACGGTACGCCGTTCACGACTGGACGGCGATATATGAAGCCGTAAGATTCAAGATCGTCCAGAGCGGAATGAGCAAGAGGGAAAGATCCAGATGCTGAATAGCTCTATGGTCGTATGAGTCAACCGATTGCCGCTTCTCATCCTTTCATTCGACTCACGTCTCCCAACTGCATACATCCCAGCGAGAAAAAGACAGACAACGTCTCTGCTGACCTTTCCGAGTCTGCTTCTTTGAGAGCCAGATAGCACATGAGAATTTGCCATAACTGTGTTTGCCGATCTTCCAGCAAGAACTGAAACCCTTTCGAGGTGATGGTTAGCCTGTCGAGATTTGGACGACGACCAGACATGTCATTACTTTGGACACCATTAGCGCTGATAACCAACGGTCGAATGGAGGCAATACGAACTTGTCAGCCATGAGGCCGCTGGCATGTAATAATCTTAGGACTTGAGGTTTCGGTTTCACAGTCGCTATCGAGCTGCTGAGACCAGACGAGACCATGTACTTGAGTATGGACTATGCGAGTATGAGCCAAAAAGACCCCTTGTCGCGATGCCTCTATTTACCTCCCATGTGTCCTCGCCATACTGTATGAGCTCCTCGGGATCCGGTGCATCGATTCCGTCTTCCCCAACGTAAGGTACGCCGAAAGAGTTAGACTTTCCTCTATCATTTGAATGAGCTTGGTCTTGATGACGGGCTGGAAAAAGCTTACAGGCCCGTCAGAGCATTTCGTAGACCCTTCTTGAATGTATCATTCATCGGCCATTCCATTTTGCCCTTCTTATGTTGTATTGGGTGGAAGATCTTTCTGTCAATAGCAGATCGAACGATGTCCTCAGCACTGCCGTTCAATGAGCTTGATCAGAGAAGCTCTTATATCGAAGCTCACAGATTGAGAGGCGCAGATACGTCGATCTGGCACAAAGCCTTGAGATCGACCGTCCGAAGGGGGTTGTATGACCATAAGGTATGGAGAACCACATGCCGACAGATGGGAGGCAGAAACCTGCGACGGAGTTCAGCTGGGGGGGCTATTTTGAGGACAGCATAAAGATTCCGGCGCACCTCAAGATACAGAGACACACTGCTTCCGACTTGTATAGCTCCTCAAAGAAGGACTGATGTTGGTTGTCTAGGAAAGCATCCAGCGGCGCTGTCGGAGAGATGACTTCCTCCGCGTTAGGTTTACGGGGATGAGAGAATGACGGTTGGACCATGGCTGTCCGAGCTCAGGTTGTTCAAGCGACCATCCGAAGATTCCACTTGCCCTAGCTCAAACTATGCAGCATTCGAGTAAAACTGATCACGGCTATCGTCTCAGTGATAGTAGAAGGGTTATCAATCGACCAAGAAGAAGCCGAGATGATGATGATGCAAAAAAATGAAATTCATCGATGAATCGGCTCAAATACCACAGAGCCTTGTGTTCATCTCTTCTTCTCGACTCAGGCCTCAATCCATCTACTGGATCATCTTGACCTCCTCATGCCTATATCATTCCCATCTAATCTATCTACACGGCAGAGTTTGCTGCTCACGGCATTTGCTTCGGTCTTGGCGACGAGCACCGTTATACTCTCATTTCAGACCTTGAGACGGGAGCACCGGACCGAAAAGCTCAAGAGACAAGTCGGGGAAGACGTCGAAGAATGGGAGAGGAGCAGGGAGGGAAGTGGGTTCGTCAGCCCAGAAGAGAGAGCGGAATGGCACGCGAACGGTGAAGTGACGCCAGGAGGTGGAAGACGGGTCAGACAGTGGGCAAAAGGCGAATTTGACGAAGGCCTCATTCGAGAGCAGGTGAGGATAAGCCGTCTCGCCTTTTGCGAGTTCTCAGGACAAGCTTGGCTGATGATGGACGCTCAGCTCACTCGTAATTATAATTTCTTGGGTGAAGAGTCCATGGAGAAGGTCCGGAATTCGTATGTGGTGGTTGTGGGATGCGGCGGAGTGGGAAGTTGGGCTGCTTTGATGTTATTGCGGAGGTGGGCGGCACACCGATATCTGTCTTCAGACGCTGAGGCTGACATCTGGTGAATCGGTAGCGGTGTCGGCAAGCTCTTACTGATAGACGTATGTCACGAGGGGTACGACATTCAGCTTATCATCAGTTCGACCTCACTACTCTGTCGTCCCTTAATCGTCATGCTTGCGCGACTCTCGAAGACGTTGGCTCACCAAAGGTGATTGCCACACAGACATACCTGAGAAAAGTTGCACCTTGGGCGGAGTAAGTGGCTTTCCCTATCCAGACGTCGTTTAGTCCTGATGTGTGGTGGTAGGATCGACACTCACGTCGGACTCTGGCGCAAAGGTGATTCTGAGCACTTGTTAGAAGGTGCGGACTGGGTCGTGGATGCGATCGACAACATCGATACAAAAGTCGATCTTTTGACTCATTGTCATAAGAATGGAATCAAAGTCTTCTCTAGCATGGGTTCTGGGGCGAAGAGGGATCCCACAAGAATACAAATCGCGTAAGTCTGCCGTTACGAGCCCTCGAGCCACCCTCTGACCATGGCTCTCTTAGCGATATCTCTTCCACATATGAAGATCCCCTTGCGAGATCTGTCCGTACACGACTGAGGAAGAACGGGATATCAAATGGCATACCGTACGTCCGATGGCCTCTCGGAAGGAAGAAGTGAGAGTGTGTGCTGAATTCACATACAGCGTGGTGTACTCCACCGAAGTTCCCGGCGACGTCAAGCTGCTGCCCTTGCCTGAGGAAGAATTCAAGAAGGGCGCAGTGAAGGAGTTGCAGGCATTTGACGATTTCCGCGTCCGTATCATGCCTGTGCTTGGTGAGTTCGCCCCTCTGACCCCCCATTGACCCGATGCTGATGTCGTGACACAGGACCGCTGCCCGCTATCTTTGGTCTCAACATTGCCACCTTTGTCCTTCTTTCCCTCGCTGACAAACCTCTGACGGATTATCTTGAAATCAAGAATCGTCGACGTCTATACGCTTCTATCGAGCGCAATCTCTCAGAACGCGAAACGAGATTACGGGGCGAGGCATTACAGACGAAGCTGCCAGTCACCCAGGATGACATTGGTTTTGTCTTTGACGACATATATCACGGGCGATCATCTATTCCACCGAATGTCGTCCTGCCGAAACCGCAAGCAGTCAGGTGGAACAAGGACAGAGAGCTTACAGAGGATAACCTCGTCATGCTGAGTATGAAGGATGCGGAGAGGCACGAGACGGAGCATTTGAAGGGCGGAAAGACTCTGGATGAAGTTTGGGGAGACGAGGTGGTGCAGTTCGTGCAGAGGAAGAGCGCGGAAGTCAGAAGAATATTAGCTTATCAGCGGCCATAAGTTGTGGGGTCGGCGTTCTGCCATTGCACAAAGCATCACGACTCTGTCGATTTCCTAATTGCTACATATGATTATAGTTCACCGGTCGTAGGTCGCTGAGAACGATCATCATCGATATGACCACAGTCCGCCATGACCTCGTCCACCCTCGCTTTCGGGATCACTCGCACTCTCCTCATCTTCATCCTCGCCGAAAGCATCCTTGTACCCGTGCATGTCCTCATCCCCATCTTCATCTTCAGGATAATCATTGCGATAGTAATCCTCGTCGTTTGAATCCTCATCCGCTTCATCCTCTGGTTCCGAATCAGAAACATCAGAGTCACCATCGTCGTCTTGATATCCTAGCCTTGGTACGATCATGAGCAAGTGAATCAAGGATCGAACGTTACCGCTAAACTTACAGAGCTCCGATATGCACTCCGTCCCCTTGACCAAGGTTTAGCGGAGTCGAAGATTGACTGGAGCGGATATCTCGATAATAGAGATCATATACGTATTGTTCCGCCTCTGGTTCGGATGGAGGATTGTCGAGAGCAGATTTGCCCTCCACTAGAGAAAGCGATCATCAGTCATTTTGTTCAAACACGTCAAATGAAACCTGGACTCGCGTTTCAGGTATTCCTGTAACATTGGTAAGAACGCAGCCATCTCCTCCTCTTCGTCAGGATTCGATGTATTCGGCTCGCTTGCCGCTTTGTTGCTTTGAGACGAGGATGCTACAGCTTCCGCATCAACGAGTTTGAGCGCGGCTGCATTCAACCTGGAGTCAAAGGATAAGAATCAATCTAACCGCTCTTTGCTTAAGCCCAAGCTCTTAGACTCACTCTGCATTCGAAAGGACACGAGGAGGCATACCGGCTTCTTGCTGTGCAGCCCGAGGCACTATTCTGTACTGCGTCCGAGGAACATTTGGGACCTGTCGAGGTTTCGACGGCTCGCCAACAGGACGTGTCTGCGGAGTCAATGGCTGAGGTGGATGTGGGGATTGAGGAGAGGTATTCGTTTGACGAGACTCCAACAAGCCTTTGATCCGTCTCTGAGTAACTTGTCAGCCTGTAGATTGAAGGATAAAATGCCACGACCCACCCTCAGAACATCACCCTCGCTGCCTTGACCTTGCCAGGTATCCGGGACGGTATCTGCCAAACGAAAGATTCCTCTGGACTTCACCAGCTCATCCTTCCGTCTCTTACGGCGAGGATCGATGATAGCACTCTGGATGACTGCAGATCGTCAGCGAGTACCTCGGCAACAGGGCGGAGGTGAGAGGAGAACCCGCGGAGGTACAAATGGATCCCCGGGCGAGGGATGGTGAGGACGACTCGCGAGGAGGAAGATATTGGCAGTGTAGCCCAGATGCTCACCAAGAGAAGATAACGGCGGCTCTGTGGCCTTCCTCTTGATCCTCAAGACGGTATAGGAGGATCCTGGCTCCCCTACTTCGGACATCTTAGTCGAGCTGCTTGCAGAGTATGAGCTAACGCATTTTATCGATATGGTCCGACTGGAAATTCAAAAGCACCAGAAAATGTCCGAAAAGGTCGGTGGTCTGCTTCAATCGGTCTCTCATCTCCCCGCCTTGGCTCTGCTTTGATTCTCGAGAGCTGCACCAGTGAGCTCGCTCAATAATGCTCTTCCTGGCCAGAAGAGTCGCGGCACCTCGTATCATATCTTGCAGTCGATACACACCTCTCGCATTCCGATCGAACCTACATTCTCGCTCGACATTTTCGACCTCCTCACTGTGCTTTAATTCTGATTCAACCTCCCCACCTGTCCCTCAAGTAGACCTTCTCACAGACATAATACCTGTGAAGCTTTCCAGAGACCAACTGCTTAGACTGCATAAGCTCTCAGCATTGAATGCTCCTCCTGAGGGCTCAGAGGAGGAAGCGAAATTACTTGATGGTCTAGGCGAGTTGATTGGTCTCATGGAGTTGGTCAAGAGTGTAGAGCTGGAAGGAGACGTCGGCGAGCTCCTAGCGGAAGGAGTAGGAGAAGTCGTCATCGATGGATCAGAACCGCCTAAGCCGACAGACTCGTCCGAGGTTGCATCTCAACCTGCTCCCTCGTTGTCGAAACCAAAGTCTGGAAGAGAGTTACTCGGCTGGGCCACACGAAAAGTTGGCGACTTTTACGCCCATCGCATCGAGACGAGAGAGTAGTGATACTCAAGCAAGCTGCACGCAGTTGGAGGATCTCAGCCGACACTCTTGGTTTAAACTTGCCGTCCCCCTTCCGGCTTTCCAGGGAAGTTCATTCAATGGTGCCGAGTTGGAAGCAGTAATATCATTTGGCCTTTGACCTTATCCCGAGCCGATGACGGTCCGGAGCCGCCTCAGAGACATCTAGGAGCCACCGACAGAGCATGGAGACACCTCGGTCCTACCCATACCACAAAGGAATACTGGGGATGGCGACATCTGAGTGACAAAGGTGTCAATCTAGCACATTCAGGGTCGCCGGAGTCTCCAGCAAACCGATTCGAATATACTTGCTGCGATATTTGATGCATGTATGATCGAACCCGGGCTACTTGCTGTGCTCGTGATGTGATAAAGACGACAGACAGGAGCGACATCCTCCGCACACTGTTCTGTGACAGGAATTGCATCTTCTAGACAAGGCAAGTGGCCTATCCACTCATGAATGTTCCATACATCACCCAAATGTCAAATATACAAAGAAAGGAGCATCGGCGGTCCGTTCACAACACCATCACGATCATTACTGCCCTCCCTGATGATGCAGGGGATCACGAAACGTCTCAACATGAGGCGAGTCGTAGGCACCCAATGAGAGAGGATCATAATTAAGAGCGACAATCCAGGACGCGCTGCTTGGTTTTGTGTTACATGAACCGCCTTGTGACAAGTGGTCGCCTGATTGACCTCGCGACCGATAGCGCCAGGCCATGGTAACCCCATGATGGCTCGACTCGTCAATTGCTGGCCGCTAAGAAGCTCGCATACAGTCCATGCTCGACGCCAAGAGCGTACGTCAGGGTCATCTGTTGCAGTATTGACTGTTCGGGCGGAGGCTGAGATAGCTCGAGCTAGGTGAAAACGATCGCTTTAGATGGAGCCTTCTCAATTCGGTACGTATTAGCTCACCAGACTGATGATGTCTTCGAGAAGTCTCGCTTGGCCGACCATCATACCAGAGAGATTTTCATGATCGATATGTACAACATGAACGTGAAAGTGGTCTGTACGTTAACTTAGCTCTAAGAGAATCAAGACTCACAATAGCTGGGCTGATAATGGATGAACAGCCGCAGCTTGTTGGGTTCGACATTGAACACCTCCTTCGCAGTGATGAATGCCTGTTGTCGTATGCGTCGTAGCAGCGGTACATGGTCCCTCGTCAGATCTCTCAGAGATCGGATGGTCCTATCCTGCACCAAGACAACGAGGTACAAAGCAGTCATAGACGTTTGATCCCATTTCAGGTCAGGTAAGATCAGGAAGCCTCGGGAGGGGTCGTCGTCCCGGTACAGGACTCGATCGGCTTCCTTCTTCCCTTCGAGTATATTGTATACCCTGACTCTCAAAGTAAGTCTTGCATCGTATAAGCATTGATCCGACTCACCACTGTATGCGGTCGGGGGGAAAGGATTCGATATACGGGACGACGACTTTCGCATACTTTTCGGCCGTTTCAGAGACCATGACTCTCTCTTGGAGCGTATACTTTGCGATATGAATCTCCGTCGCGGGCCAGATGAGCTTGATTTGCAGATCAGGCAGGCTTGAAGTCGATCGAGCGAGCAGAGCGTGTGCGGAAAAGTACTGATCGGCTCTTTGAGCTGGGGTGTGCGTCTCTTTGGGGCAAGGCATAACTTACCGGCCGATTGTCGAGGAACACTTTGATCTCCTCCAAGCCGTGCTTCACCAGCTCTGATGCACCATCAGCAGACAAGATCGTCCGCTGAAGATGAATGATTGCGGACTCGTTATGAAGCTTGCCTAAGAGATATATCGACCCTGTGGTGGTACCTGTGCAAGTATATTCAGCCATGGTAAATGACAAGCACTGCTTGACGACTCACTTTCGGAGAGGATGCGATCAAACTCGAATGTCTTGAGCGTTTCAAGATCTACCGGATGATCCATGGTGATGATGTCCGACCTCAAGGTTCAGCTCGCACTGAGGATTGTGGGATTTGAGTATGAACAGCGGACCACCGTCAGGAAAGAAGGACACGCCGGATCTTTCAAACTTCCGGTTCCCGGACATGCCTATGACCGACCCCGGTAGATTACATGCTAAACTGCATATAGATGCCTACAATGGCTACTCTTTCAACCCTGATCTACTCTCAGCTCATCCAAACCAGTCTTAGCGATGCATTCCTGGACCATCAATCGAATCTGCACGGGCATGGCATGGCGTCACTCAGCACAACTGGGCGGGCGTGGAAATCAAGTTTCAGGCGACGACTCACGTCAATCACTCCGGTCTCGACCGCCTTGACATTGAGCAGAGGCTCATGATGTACTGGTGCCACTGAGCGTGAAGCAGGCTGCAATGTATCACTCGCCAGAGCCGGGACCCATGGCGCCGCAGACTGCAAAGGGATCGTGCGTCAGGTACAAATCTCAAGGGACGAGCAGAACGCAACTCACGCCATCTGCAGTCTTGTTACCTGATGGCTCGAGATCGTCATCTGTCTCCAGTATGATACCGAAAGTGGTTTCGCCTGCGGACCAGTGAGACACATCGTTGAGACCGAGGATTTACCTCGATTATCCTCCAGTTGGCTATCTAGCGCTACGAGCCGAATGAGAAAGCCACGAAGCATAAGACTCAGATCTTCAGCTAATGGTGCACCAAGGAGCCTGCGTCAAGAGGTCAGATCCAGACCCTGCTCCGCTTGAAACGTTTCTGTGTTCCCAGCAAGGGCCAGATCGTCGGTATTGATGTGAACACTTACGGAGCTTCCCTCTGGTGCCTCTCTTTGATCTTATCCAGTCCTAAATATCCCAAATCGATGATGAATCTCTCCATCGGCAGTCCTGTCGAGACTTGCTTCACGACAACCGTCACGCGTCTCACTCTACCCACTTCCATTTCCTTGCCGATGGCGGCAACGACTTCGGAGATGTACGAGCATACTTGAGGATGACGCGATTGATACACTGGCACGCCATGGGCTCGTCTTCTAGTGAATGTGTTCGGAGGATAGACTTGACGGATACAGAGGATCGTATGCAGGGCAATCTCGACTGCGCTAGGGATATCAGATCATCGGACGCTGCCGATCTTCGACGCACTGAGTGATGTCAAGACTTCCGCAGTCTCTGTAGGCTCCTGTCAGTCGCAGCAGAAGCTGACAATTCTTTCTCCCTCACGCTTGAAGCTCAGACCAGGCGTGGACATCACCCAGTTCCCATCCTGTAACCTTCGAGCTGAATGCAGGATAGAGCGAATCAGCAGTTCACGGCGCCGGGAAATCGACTTTCCCACGATGGCGCTAGTCATCTGAGTTTTCCCACGGTGGACCTGTTTGACACTCCGGGCCGAGGGAGCCGAGAAGTGTTTCAAAATTCGAAAATAAAATGTCCAGTGATCATAAGATCCCCCTCGCTTGCAACGCCGAGTTGGTCCGAGTTTCGAAAATCTTACAGTTGCAATGCTGTTGGCGACCTTGAGAGCGAGCGACAAAGGGGGGGCGGCCTGGCATCTGAAGGTCTCACCGGATGCCAGCGTCACAGAATCATATATGGGGGGTAGGAGGGGGGAGAAGTGACAGCTGTAGGTCGCGACTGTGGCAGAATTTGTTCTATGGATGGTGCTGGAGAGGCGACACTGTGTTCGCCGAAGTGGATCATCAGCTGGGTTCCGGGTTGTGTTGCCCCGACGTCACTTGCTCCCCGAATATAAGCGATGCTTTCCCCCCCAAGAGCCCCCCGGTTGCAACTTTTTGTGGCGCGTACTGTGACCTTGGCGTTCAGATATTTTCGAATGTCGGATGAGAACGGAGGAGGAGAGAGGGGGGGTCCTCGGTGCTTGGAAACTGTTATATACAAGCAGCTACAAAGCCGTGGACCTGTATGACTTCTTCCTGCTCATTCAGCTTCTTCCCGTCTCACTGAGTACTCTCGCTTGAAAGTATATCCATTGCAGTAGCAATCCCGCTGCACTTCGCCCACTCACCGTTATCTTATCACATACCTCGTCGTCCCTCAAATCTCACACGACACTAGCTATTGAGCTCTATCGGAACTCTTTGTGCCCTCCTCCTCCTCAATCACCACACTCAGCAGTATGGCCGTCACTCAGCAAGTCATTACGCCTCCTCTCACACCTCCTCTTGGGGCCAAGAAGGACCTAGCCGGTAAGTGGCACAATGTCTCTCCTCATTGGACCTCGTTCTCATATCTTCGCTCTAGGCTCCCTTTTGCCCCATACATCGCACGAGCAGAACCTCATACGACTCCAACGTCATCTCCTCAGCTTGCCGAATGACTTGCTCAGACATTCGCACCTCGCCAAGATCAGACAGAAAGATCCAAGGCTATTTTTCGCTGCTCTTCGAGATGACCTGACCGGACTGTGGGTTGACCCCGAAGAAAACATACCCTTCCGGTTTTTTCCACTGACAGGCTCCAGCGCGCCAATTGTATACACACCCACAGTCGGAGAAGCATGCCAAAAATACTCTGAAGTCTTCCAAGGACCAGAAGGACTGTATCTTTCGATCGATGACAAGGTAGGTCGAGCCCTCCCGATTCAGATCGCGCACAAATGACCCTCGAACAGGACAAACTACCCGAATTGCTTACCGCCTACCGCGACACTTTGGACAATGTTCCTCGCATCATCGTTGTTACCGATGGATCCAGGATCCTCGGTTTAGGTGATCTCGGCATTGGTGGTATGGGAATCTCGGTCGGCAAGTTGAACCTGTATGTCGCCGGTGGTGGAGTCGACCCCCATGGCTGTCTCCCGATTGTTCTCGAGTGAGTGGGAGCTCGATCAGATGATGGGATTGCTAATCGCGACTTCTATAGTATGGGCACAGACAACCAGAAGATAAGAGATGACCCTGTTTACATCGGTCTTCGTCGTCCGCGAGCCACACTGGAGCAAGTAAGTGATCGTGGTCTTGTAGAGGAATGACGGCTGAGCTCACCAGGCAACGGAATTCATGGACGCCTTCATGGAAGCTGCCTCGGAGGCATTCCCAAAGGTCGTCATCCAACACGAAGACTTCTACTCTGAAGCTGCATTCGCATTTCTCGAAAGGTATCAAAACCAGTATAGAATGTTCAACGATGACATCCAGGGGTGAGCTCCGTTGGGCTACATCATCCTCCAGAGAGCTCATTCGCCCCCCACACAGCACCGGTTCTGTCATCCTGGGAGGCTTCTTTGCGGCTGCCAGACAGGCCAGCAAGGCCTCTGGCCTTCCGTTGAAGGACCACAAGGTCGTCTTCCTCGGTGGAGGAAGTGCTGCCGTGGGGTGAGTCGATAGGCTGTTTGAAGATGGCGTTGTGCTGACAAGCCCGCAGTGTCGCCAAGGAGATGATGAACTTTTTCATGATGGAGGGATTGACGGAACAAGAAGCGAAAGAAAGATTCTGGCTGATCGATACCAAGGTGTGTTTTGTCGATCCCAATTTTTTACCGAAGCTCACCCCATTCGGACAGGGCCTCATCACTCACACCCGACACGATGTCATCTCTGGCAAGATTGCGTCTCACAAGAAGTACTTCATCCGAGAAGACACCGAAGGCAAAGAATATGCCAATTTAGCCGAAGTGGTCGACTACGTCCAGCCTACTGCTCTTGTCGGCCTCTCGACCGTCTTTGGAGCTTTCCCAGAACCTGTGGTCCGCAAGATGGCTCAACTCAACAAAGCACCCATCATTTTCCCTTTGTCGAACCCCACGTCTAAGTGCGAACTGGCATTCTCAGACGCACTTGAATGGACAGACGGGCGGGTCCTTTTCGCTTCCGGCAGCCCGTACCCTGCTCAACAGTATGAGGGTAGGACGCGAGTCGCCGGTCAAGGCAACAATTTTTACGGTGGGTCCCCGGCCTGGATTGACGGCGAAGGCAGGAAGAGTAGCTCACCAAGGAGTCAGTGTTCCCTGGTATCGGATTTGGTGCGCTTGCATGTGGGGCCACCACCATTACCGACAGAATGATCACTGCTGCTGCTATTGGATTGAGCGAATCCCGAACACAGGAGGAGATCGCTGCGGGCTTGCTGTACCCTCGATTGGAAAGAATCCGACAGGTGTCTGCTGCTGTCTCAGCGGCACTGGTCAAGCAGGCGCAGAAAGAGGGGGTGGACACCAACGAGGAACTTCGAGGTCTTTGTGAGTCGAGAGACTGCAGGCAAAAGGATCCCAGCTGAAGCATACTCACTTCAGCGGATGAAGGCCTTCGCGAGGCAATGTTGGCGATGCAGTGGCACCCGTGAAGGATCTACCTTAGGTGACCCAGGAAATCTGGCTCGGCATTGTTCCTGGCTGCTCTTGTACATAGGCGTTGGTGACTCGGACATTCAAACAGGCTTGCAGCAATTGTTCATGCAAGCAGCTTCCTACGTGGCCTTCTCTTCGAGCCAATTGCCATCTTTTAGCATGTAATGGAGCCGTCAACCCGACACATGATCAAGATGCGAATCCTTCCTGAGCCCCAAGTGCGTCGGTGAGGTTTTTACCCTCAATCTCCCGTGCTTTCGACGGAATGACAACGGCGAATGTTCCTGAAGAATCGAGTGACCGTCAATTCAACAAGTACACTTTGTCGCCCTGAATGCGAAGTGCTTACGGGCAGTCTCCGAGGTCTCATTCGACCACTGATGCACATTTGCAGCTTGGACGACAAGCTCTCCAGCTTTTACAGTCTTGGCGGTACCGTCGTGCAAAGTCAGAGTGAGTTCACCGCTGATGACGAGCAAGTAGTCTGCGGAAGCATTTGTCAATACGGCCTGGATTGGTTCTCCGATGACTTACCTAGGGTTTTGGTGAAGTGCATCGGAGTCTTCTTGCCTGCTTCAAAGTCTGAAGTAGGAGGTCAGTGCAGGGCGCGAGTGGCTGATATAGCTAGCAAGGAGACAAGCTCGTACCTAGGAATGCCGCGACGGTGCCATCACTCTGGAAAGGTCCGTCAGGCATAGATCCGACACCTTCGATGGCCATCTTCGGGTCCGCAGGAAACCCCTTCTGAACATATGCGAGGCTCATGGTCATGCCATCCCCGACAGGAAAGCCTCGGAGGGCATCATCCTGGATCTCGACCTCTCCCGAAGAGGTGTGTGAGGTGAGGATGCGACGTGGAGCTTGAAGAGAGGACATGGTGAATCGAAGACAGATGCGCGAAAGGGGTTGTGGGTGAAGGGAGAAAAGAAGACACTTGCAAGCTTGAGTCTATTATATATACTCTCGCCAGCATCTCGGGCACGGATCGACACCGTCCTATACATAGACATTGACCGAGCAGGGACCTCCCTCGATAGAGCCACGTAACACGATTGTTCACAATAAAATGCATGACCTTCGGCTCGGGATCCAGGAATAGACACACAGACCGGTTCAGAGGTCTTGGGTGCAGGCGCTCATAGACGGGCATGTACTCCGACCAAATCACAGGGAAGCTATGGCCGGATGGCTGGGGTTCCTCCTCAGTCATAGCGGGCGTAGCATCTGTATGCATGCATAAGAAGGTCATCCTTGTAGACGCCAAGTCTACAAGGAATGTCCGCCTATTGCCACAGCACGCCTAACTCGATTGGGCACTTGAACATTGCGTCACGAATCTCGAGATCATCTTGGTACTGTACTCCTTCCTCAAACGTTGCCGTCATGTCAGGCAAGAGAACACCTCCTGAGGCTCAATCAGACCCTAGAGGTCATCCAGCTCTATCTACACCTCCTAAGGCCTTGGAAGACGCAGGGACACCTCACCCAGCTTCCGCCCCTGGGTCCAATGATTCTGCATCAAAGCCCTCCTCCTCCTCCCCGTCATCATCCTCCTCATCATCGTCTGGGCTCAAGATGCCTTCCCTTAGACCGAAGCCCAATGGCTCCGCAAATGGAGCAGGCACATCAAGCTACTCGAGTATAGCTGCAAATTTCTATCCCCGGCATGCTGGAGGTCCTCCGCCTACTGGGCCTCTCGCTCGTAAAGTCTCTGCTGCTGAAGCCGAGACGTACTTCAAGAACACACCACCTATGCTGGGCATGACGAAGTGGAGCAAGTGGATAGGCATGTTTGGATGGGCCACGATCTTTGGTAGGGGCGTCTTCCCCCCATGGACGCAGTGCTGAACATGAATCTTCAGGCGTTGCAACTTATGGTGTCCTGTTTTCGTACGAGGGCGGTAGAGAGCATGTCTTTTCGCCCGTACGTCGATATCCAGAAGAGTTTCATCTTAGACTGGAGCTGACTCGACTCTCTGCCTATAGATCCGTCGTCAAGTATTCGGTATTTGGCACAGACTCAACGGCACCTATGACCCTGTCGCAGCACAAGCAGAGCTCGACAAGAGAGACGAAGACCTGGCATGGTATGAACAGAAAAGGGTTGAACAGTTGGAAGACCGAAAGAAGAAGGGTGTGTACTTTGGCTAGACTGCATGATGAGTGAGAACTGTTTGAGTCTCTCCGATTCTGCGCTGCATGTACCGAGTATGCTTGCTCTTTCGGGCTATCCCACTGAAGACTCCGTTAACCTGTGTGAGCGGGATCATGCTGAGATATACAGGTTGCGCGGCAGGAAATCACACTCGTATGCACTGAACATATCATGTACAGAACTTTGAACCAGTCTTCATCTGATCTCTCTGATTCTCAGATCCTATCGCTCGCCCAGACCTTTTGCTTGGCCAGTCTGGAGCTCTTGGATACTTCCGAGGCCTTGAACTGACGGACACTTTCGGGCTTCGCTCCTTCTCGACTCATCTTTTGCCAAGTAGACGACCCGCCCGGTGACGAAGGCTCCACACAAGCTGATCTTGGACCGTTGGCTGCCGAATTCCAGCGAGTCCTGGAAAGCAGAGTCGACCCATTGCTCGGTTGTCGTTCAAGATTATCGAACTTGTAATCGTCATGGAGGTCATGATCTCCGACCACAGGTGTGATGTAAGGTGGAGGGATACTGGCAACTCGAGACGGGATACCAATGTGTTCAGGTGCACTGGCTGCTTGACGACCTGGCGTCTCCATCTGAACCAGTACTCGGCCAGTGTTGAAGGATGGTACTGGGGACCCTGGGCTGTCATTGGAAGAAGGAACAGTCGAAGCTTGACTCCTGCTGCCAGTGTTACTGCTTGCCAACAGAGTCCGACCAAGAGAAGGCTCTGGCCTCAGTGCAGAGGCATATTCGCCAGGCTTGATAAATGGATTCTCTTGAGCTCCACCCTGGGATGGCAGAGGGAAGAAGGCACCACTATACGCTTGGATCTCGGGGACATATCTCGGTCCACTGTCATCTGGGATGTACGTTCCAGGGGCATTGGTGGCGAGCCCTTGAGAGCGCCAAATCAATCTTCTACTATCAGTGGACGCCTGAGAATCTTGCCCTTCAAGGTTCACCGTGCGCGCTATGGGGTATGAGGTTGTCGAAGCCATGTTATCCGGGTGTGACGATAGCATGTTGAACTTGGGCTCCCACATTGTTGCTCTTGCCCCAGAAAAGAAGGAGGGTGTCAATTTTCGAGTCTTTCGCTTCCTGTTCCAACCCGACAAGCGGATGATGAAGAACCCAGCCGTGAGAAGGAAGAACAGCGCTGTATTGAGCGAGATTGCTCAGCTGATGCTCCTGACGGGGAACAAAGTCAACTCACAAGCGATGATCACGGCTATGATGGCTAAGGGGAAGAGCTTGTTGTGCGTATGAAAGATATTTTCATCATTTATTGCATTGTTGTTCTGAGCCAGACTGGCGCTGAAGACAGGCCCAACCGCGATCAAAGTGGAGACTTGAGGATAGGCGGTGTCAGTGACGGTCCATATCGCAGGGTAAACTTTATCGGCTGACGTGACCATGAATGTGGCTTCGCTGACATGACTCGATACTGTGCGGGACTGAGCCACAGTGATGGATCTCTTGGATGATTGGATGGCTTGCCGTCCGGTGGCAGAGCCAGAGCCAGAGCCAGAGATTATTCCAGTACGTGATATGGTATTAGATGTGGAAGAGACCTCTGACTTGACTTCCTCAGCCTGTGTTACGTCCTCGTCATTGTCATCGTCGCTATCTGCTCCATCTTCATCATCGCTGTCACTATCAGAGTCATCCGAGACATCGGGCTCTTCAGGCTTCACGTTGACGACTCGCGAAGCAGTTGTTGTCGCTCTCGAGAGAGGAAGAGACGTAGTGACCAGAACGGCTCGTTCTTTCGAAGCGATCTGAGAGGTCGCGACAGTCGAAGCTGTCGAAATCGTTCTAGAGGAAGAAGACGACTCCACATCTACCCTCCTGCTGGTGTTGGTGGTGGTGGTGGTCGCTGTAGCCACTTCGCTCGACGATCTGGGCACGGTAGGTTCGGGACTGCTCAGCAGTCCTCTTGGTCCAGCTTCGCTCCATGGTCCATATTCTGAGAGAGGAGGCATGGGAAGATGGGAAGAAAGCTTTCCTCGCAGAGGGGACGCTGAAACTGGTAATGGAAAGAAAAAATGGATGAACTAGTAGAGCATGGCCAGCACGCTCTGAATGGCCTGGAAGACAGTGAGAACAAAGTAGATGTCTCATGAGGTCAGCTCATTGGATTCTGAGGTACTGGATCGTCTCCTCAGAACACTCTAGCGAGGTTGGTCTCCAGGACACTTCTAGCTCTCGTATCTTGGCTCCCTGGCTGCTGCTATTCGACCACAATGTCTGTCGTCAGGGTAGATTCGTACGGTCTCGGAGACAGACGGAAAGCGTCAGACTGGTGGATGACATAATGTCTGAAGCAGAATAGGTCGCCTGTTGGATCACTTGTCCCCTGACGCCTTCTAGACAGATAGCAAGCGAGTCTCTATCTGAGGGCATGCGTCCACAGTACCTCAAAATGCACAACTCTTCCCTACGCCACTTTCCCACGGTCCCCTCGCAATGCACACGCGCGTGCTGTCCTATAAAAATTTTGGACTGCACTCCTCTTTTTCTTCTTTCTACCATGGGTCCGGCTGCCAGGTTCACCTCGATGCATTGGCATTGACCAGGACCTGGTAGCATCACTCGACAGATTGGAAGCGTCCGCTTTTCACGCTTGTGGAAGGCATTCGATTGACGTATATTTCCTGTCGACGGAATGAAGAACGGCTTCGTCCCTAGAGAGATTCTTCACATCATTCTAGGTTCATTGATCGGCTGGGCGTCGTCAAACACCCTGGATACCTGCTTCTTCGCTCCTCTTTCTTTAGAGTCGATGTGTTGAGGTTGGGGAATGGTCTTTGGATCCTGTTTGAGATCGGAGAGCTTCCGTTATTTCATATCCTTGCCTAAGGGCGATTCGCCATTGAGGAGTTTGGAAAAACCAACGGAATGACATGTATGTAGAAAGGCAAGGAGTAGACAGTATGACATTGCATCTAGATGATTATGAACATGATTGTCACATCGAGTCCATGTAGCTGCCCTCCAATCACTGAGGCGGGCCTCAATGGTCTTCGGCACAACCGATCTGATCCAGGTCAAATTGTCCGAATCTTCAGATGTCTCAACACCGTTTGACCATGACTTTGCTACCTTGACCACGACCATCCCTACAACTCATATCCGCAGATGAAACAAGCACTGAGCTCACCACAGTATTTCAAGGCTCGTGTCAGTTTACAATTCGTCCCGGATTACCCTGCATACCTAGCCAAGGCTCCCAAATCTATTTCGTTACCCGCCAATCCTCCTCCTGCTCTTCCATTCCACAAGGATACAGCGCATACCATGTAGGCCGGACGCAGGCTGCCGGTGGAGTGAGAGCTAACGCTCGCATCAGACCTACAAAATGGGGACTGTACAGATCTCTGCTGCGTGACTGCCGTCAACATGACCAACCTGCCAAAAGCTCTGAACCCTCTTTGGTCCCTGCACAACTGGATCAAACTCCCGGAGCCGGACCTTCAAGATCTCACAAGCCATTACGTTGGCCTCATATCCATGAGATGGTCCAGACCGACTGGAGGAACTCAAGGCATGTCTTATCCATTGCCCAAGCCCGACAATTCCTCACATACTACTATCAGATATTGTCCGATTTGCGTTCGTCTTCACCTGAGTCTCTGGCTCGACTCGCGGCTATCGAGGAATCGGCCCAGCGCACCATGATCATGCATCGTCTGGACGTCAAAGATGCTGAAGCTGAACGTGAAGCACTCAAGGCTAGTCGACGAAAGCAGTGGGGAAAGATGACGGGTGGATTTCTCTACCCAAATGCTTTCATGCCTCCCATGCCGAAATTACGACCTCAGCCTGAGTGGATCGCTGGAACCTATCGAAGTCGTATGAAAAAGAAGGAAAAGTCGATCAAAGCGATGCGAGATGCCGAGGAGGCAAGAGACGATATCTTGGAAGAGATCCAGTTCTTGTCCCGGCTGGAAAGGCTTGATTCAAAAGTGTGGAGACTGGAAGGATCAGGAGGATGGCTGGAATCGTATCGCAAGACGAAAGAAGCTGGAGAGGCCATGCAAAGAGCTGGAGCGGCCAGGGCCAACGCAACCTTCACGGAGGAGACTGTGAAGAAGGTGTTGGAGGCTAGGAAAGCGCGTCACAAGACGTACATGGCGTTTGCATGGCAGAGAAAGGAGGAGAAGGAGGCAAGGATCGAAGCACGAAAAGAAGAGAGGGCCAATTTCTATAATAACAAGCAGAGGGCGGAAGAAATGAAGATAGAGAGGTGGATGAGGGAGGACAAGAGTATAGGTCGAGGCAAGAATCTGTTCGAGGCGAGTGATCAGTACATCTATTGGGATGAGGCGAATGGAGGCGGATACGTGATGACGCGCAAGTGGAAGCCTACAACATCATACGGCATCAAGAAACAGACCCTCGCCGAGGCAAAAGAGGATCTCAAGCAGCGGCAAGAGAAGGAACTTCCAATCGGACTGGCGGGAAGCCCGGGTAGCGGTCGGACCGTAGCTGAAGCATCCTCATCTCAACTCGTGTAAGCATGTACGCCCCTGCATCATGTATCCTATAGTACAACAAGCGCTTCACTAGACATCGTCAATCCTCGTCATCCACTGCTCCCCGATCTCCTACCTCCGACTCCTCATTTGAGTCAGAATCATAACCTCCAAGCTCAGCTAGAGCGGTACTGGGCTGCGTCACGATGTCGGGCTTGCCATCTGCGGAAGTGGTCGTCGTATCCTCGTCACCTCGTTTCCTCTTGTAAGCATTGTCGTGAAAGCGAGTAGAAACCTGTAGCAAAGGTAAAACCTTCACCCTGCCATCCTGCACTTGAGCGTCCCAGCTTGAGCGGGACATGATTGTAATAGTGGGGTATTCGAGGAACACAATGCCCCTGAGAGCTTCCAGTATAGGTACAGAAGCGTCCAGGGTCGGAAAGTAGAGCTTTGATCCATGGTATGAGTCCGGGTCTTCATGTATGTACGAGGCTGGCACAGAGATAGCGAAGGCGAGGTCGCTTCTTGCAGCTAGATCTGGCGGAAGAAGTGCACTAAGCGATACAGGCAAGGTTTGCTCAAGCGATTTGTCCGATGGTGCTTCGATCAGCACTCGAGGTTTTAACGTGCTGTGGGATTCGCCGTCCCCTGTTAGACTGGCGTCCACGTTGAATTCGAGTGTCAAGTGCAGGATCTTGTTCCTGTCGGACCCTTGTCAATGCCGCGATATCTTTTCTGATCGATTCGGATGACTCACTTCGGATTCCAATTCGACTGGTTCCTCTTCCTGCGCTCCATAGCTTCAGGCATGAATTCTATCCGTATCCCTCTTTGCTCTAGTTCTCTAGAAAGACCCATCGTCCTCTTATCCGCGTGACTTGGTCGGGCTCGAAACATCCCTCGTCCTCTCAGACCACCTCTTCCTCGCCCTCTGTCCATCCCATTTGACTCCGATCTCAGCAAGTCTTTCGGCATTTCTTCACCCCACTTGGCGACTTTTCTCCGACCCTCTTCCAACCACTTATAATCATCTGCCCAGATCCCGTGATTGACATCTTTTAATGGGATGTATCCTGTCGGATCTCTCTCTCCGGAGCATTCAAACTTGGCCTTGTGAGCTTTCGAACATGTCAAAGAGCATGTTCTGTAGGAACATCGTGGGCAGGTGTACTTTGGCGGATCGCGGTTGCAGATTGAACACGAAGGTGAGAGGGTGGTATTAGCTGCAGAAGAGGTCGGTCGTGATGGTCCAGAGATAGATAGGTCGACAGGTAGCGGATGATTTCCCAATATAGAGGCTGGGACAGATGAGCCAGGCTTAGGTGGCAGCGGGTGATGCATCATTGGTCGTAGCAGCATACTTCGACCAGCAGCAGCGTCAACTCAGGAAATTTTGAGAGACTCGGACCAAGTTTGACCGAACAACTGAAAGGGGCAATTGTCTGAGCTGTCCCGATCGTGATGAGATCTTCGGGGAACAGCCGAAATGCTTCAGGTGGGGAGGTGGTGGGAGGATGATGATCCGCTGCTCGGTGCTGGTGCTGCTTTGGACGAGTAGAGCATCAGAGCTCGAATGCCGGGAAGCTATATACATTAGCTTGCGTGTTCATAGTCTTGGCTCACGTATTTATAGAGTCATTGATCATGAAGCAATATCATCTTACGATTGAATCTTCGCAGCCTCGCTGGCTTACTGAACATGATCAACTGGCTCTCTCTCGGGACCATCTTCGTATGGAGCTCCTCTATCCTGGCTCGGAACTCGACAAGTGGCAATAGTACAGAAAGCAATGAAGCTTCTTCCAACTTGGATTTTGGACCTATAAACTTTGCAGGGTACACAAACTATGTGTATAGGGACAATGTGACTTCGGTTCAGATCTTGTTGACTGAGTGGGTCTAGCAACTTCATCGATGATAGCTTGACTGACCCTCTTGTGATTCAGTACGTCCTCTTCATACATCCCTTCTAGGTTCATCACCGCCTTCCCACATGGAAATAATGGCGCTTTAGTCTACTTCGTTCCTCTTAATTCCACACACTCAAATTCACCCTCGAATGCCTCTGGCAATTCCACTCTGCATACCACTGCCCTCGGTGCAACTTTGAACTTTTCCTCCGTATCTTCTGTGAACCAAGAGTACAATCAGACCGGCGTGACAGGTGAAATCTCGGTCAGTGCAGATCTTCAGTTTGGGGTCACTTTGAGTGAGTTATCATGCAGGCGGTCGCATGATGCAGAAGCGGGTAGCTGCTGACGCCTCTCTCCAGTCGGCGGAGTAAGAACCCTTCGAGACTATGTCGAGAGCGGCGGGACTGTCTTCCATTCCATCTTCAACTACACTCTTGGACCATACAATGACTCGAGCGTCACCCTGATTAGACATTGGATCAATGGCTCGACCGTGCAGTACTTTCAATGGGATACCGTGTCAAATGCCAACATTTCCGTCATACCCAATTCGAACGCTACCATCCCCCCAAACATCACAATCACGCGACCTGATCAATCGTCCAATGCCACTATCCGCTTCACCTTCATCTACAACTTTACAGAGACCACACCCGTGACGCCATATGTCCCCTTAATTGGATTGGGCCGAGAGCAGCTGTTTCTGACTGAAGCGGCCAATGGCAGTGCACCGGCATTACAAAGCGTCTTGACCTCTATCCAGGAGAATGGGTCTGCCATTGCTGATCAGACTGCTTTCTTGGCTTATGAATCAAAGTTCTTAGCGGGAGGATGGAGGTTCCTAACCTACTTTGGACGAGATACAATGTTGGCCTTACGGCTCTTACTTCCCGTCATCTCCACCACTAGCGCCGAGTCGATCCTTGGAGCCGTACTCGAACGGGCCAACGAGACTGGAACACTGTGTCACGAAGAGACCGTGGGCGATTACGCTTCATTCATCAACATCGGAAACAATCAATCTTACCTTGGAAATACGCCCTACTACTCGTACATCATGCTCGATACGGACTTCCTACTCCTGCCCGTCTTGTCCGAATAATTTTTGTCGACACCTCAAGGCAAGAATAGATCGACGGCATTCCTTCAACGTAATTCGACCCTGAAGAACGGGACGTTTAGCGAGCTTCTGCTCCAGAATGTAAATCACGTACTCAACCTCTCCATGCCATTCGCTATCAATGCCACGAAGGAGAACCTTGTACCTATTCGGGATCCTACAGTTGGAGATTGGCGGGATTCGAGCACCGGTCTAGGATACGGCATCTATCCATTTGATGTGGAAGGTGAGTTGGATCAGGGTCCGCTCAGCGCTGATGTCCACCAGTCGCACTCATCCCGGCTGCTCTGCGAGCTATTGCTCAGCTGTCGGATGCTGGAATCATCCCTTCAAATTACAGTAGCAACGCAACGACCTTTGCAGAAGTCTGGGAAACTCAAGCGTCACCACTCTTCGAAGTGTCCATCTCTCCAGCTGCTGCCAACGCGTCACTACTCAACTATGTTCAGAAAGCGAATCTTTCGGATGCACTGCTGTACGGAACGGGTTCCTTAAATGCCACGGCGTCCTCTAATGGATCCAGCGGCACCAATACCTCGAGTTCATCTTTCAACTCGACCGCTGGGTACAATGCCTCTTCTGGCGGCTGGGACGCAGTGGGACAAACAATCGGTAAAGAGGTGGACGGCGTTAACTCTACGTTTTACGGCCTGTCTATAGATCGGAATGGCTCGGTGGTAGAGGTAAGCATTGTATATCCTTTCCGCGTGGATATTGACCACAGTATGGCCATCCAGGTGCTTCACTCTGATCTAGGCTTCGTATTGTTGTACGGCAACAATGTATCTCAGTCGATCATGCAAGCAACAGTGGAGGCTCTTCAGCCATATCCTCGAGGTGCGTGACCGTCTCACACGGTCACTGTATTCCGAACGGATGCTCATGATAGCAGGATTACTCACCAACGTCGGCATGGTCGTGGCAAACGCTGCCTACGATACCAATAAGACCAACATCGAGGTGTTCAACAACCTCCAGTATCACGGTGCAGTTTCGTGGTCCTGGCAACAGGGTCTCATGGCCGAGGGTCTATCTCGTCAACTTGGTTTGTGCAACCTCTCATCAAACACCCAACTTCAGTATGACCACCAAACTGCCACCCCGACCTGGTGCACCAATACGACGCTAACCGATGCACTTTTGGAGGCTCAAACGAGACTCTGGGACAGTATACAAGGTAGCGCCTCTGCACTTTTCACAGAGGTCCTCAGTCCCGTCTTTGACAACGCCACAAATACCTTTACTATCGGTGATCTTGGAGCTATCAGCCCGAGTGGGACCGAAGGTGACGCGATCCAGTTGTGGAGTTATGGCTTTTTAGCTCAGATCGATCCCAGATCGGGAAGGCCGGTGGCTGATGGATTCTGAAGGAGGCAATGTGATCTGCTGATATCTCGGAGGCATATGAGTAAGATCCGCTCTCAAGACTGTTCCTTCTTTGTCACCGGCCGTCAAGATACAATGCATCAGTGCAATATGACCGGGCCCTAATTCTGAATCCTAAGTGAAGGTACATTGCGGTCTGACCAATGATCTGAAGATTTGACGCCCTCGCCAACCTTCGTGTAGAGGTCGATGGGAATGTGACCGATGTAATGGGAGCTAAAGGGATCCTTAAGTCAGCCGGATCCCAACGACAGACGCAGCTTGCTCACTCTCCGAATCCACCGACATAATAAATGTCGGAAGGCTGAAACTTTGCCCAAAATGAATTGAACGGATGTTGAGACTGATATGGGATCCAGGACTTGGCATCGGGATGGTACCACGTGAAGCATTTTTCCATTATCTCAAGTTCATCTTCCGGGATGTTTTCGTACTTCATAACCGTAATGTTCTGAGAGAGGTGTGTCAGGATGATGGTTCGGAGGGAGACTTCAAGCTCGACTCACCCCGATGAAGGCTACTCGAGCTTGGCTCATGGGCGAAGGATCAAAAGGGACCTTTTCTGAGATTGTGTATGTTGCTGGATGTGAGCTATTGGCGAGGATGTTGCGAGTCGAAAGGGCAATAGGCATGAGGAGCATGGTGAGGGCCGGAGCAGGAAAGCACGGGGCATGATACTGAAGATCGTCAGGGGAGATAGTACGTCTGGATCTCTTCGTTGTGACCCCTCACCTCCATTAGCGCGAATGGATGCCCTAGGTCCATGTCAGTCATGAATAGTATGATCGACGGCAGTATACCCACCAGCATGCTCGCTATCGGGTGGAAATACACTGGCGATGGTACCAGTGGTCTGTCGATGTACCATCTCTTTGACGTGATATGCTGCCAATCATTGCATGAGCTCGGCACACTGAGCTAGCCCTGACCCACCTGCGGCCTCGATACTCTCGCGAGACTCTGTGGCGGGTGTGGCGACGGCTCCGCCCATGAGCAGGGTGAACACGAGGAATAGACTGCCCAGCATCTTGTCGTTAAACATTTGAGTCTCCCGCACTCAATCGCTTCTGTTGTCTACCACGATGCACCCCCCGATTAATGTATTCATACCGTAGATCTTCATGACCATTTGACGATGAGCAAGCGTGCTTGCTTTTATTTATGCTTATTCCGAATGCGGGTCTCCACAGTTCAACAAGTGTTTTGAGTTGATAAATGCCACATTGCTTGTGTTGGAAACGAAACGCCGCGAAACTCCGATTAGCTGTCCCGGCCCCACCTCTCTCTCTCTCCCTTGCAGCCCATTCCAATTTTCATAGACAGAGGGACGATATCGTTGTTGGTGTGATTCCCACTTTCTCTTGTTCATTCCTACGGACATACATCACTAGGTGATATCTGCCCATCATGGTGAGTACAAGAGGTCATGTCAGACTCTTGAACATCGACACGCGGATGAGGAACTGGATGGATGGCGAGATGGGAGAATATCGTGGGACTGCTTCGCCAGGGATATAATATCCCGCTATCGATGGGCACGGGGCTCGAAACTGCATAGAGTCGGGGCATCATGCTGACCCTTGTGCTCTTGTTATAGGATCCCAGCGGCCCCGTTACCCTGCGTACCTCCAAATTTATCACCAACCGTCTCCTGAACCGAAGACAATTTGTCATCACTGTCATCCACCCTACCCGTGCCAACCTTTCCCGATCTGAACTCAGTGAAAAGCTCGCCGCCTTGTACAAGACTGACAAGGAGCGTGTCGTCGTCTTTGGATTGAGGACAAGTTTCGGAGGTGGATCCAGCACAGGTTTCGGATTGGTTTACGATGATGAGGAATCCCAAAAGAAGTTTGAGCCTCAGTACAGATTGGTGCGAGTGAGTGGACCTGTTTCTCCTGAGGGTCAATCTGATTCTGATCTTGTTCACAGTCTGGCCTAGCCGAGAAGAAGGTCAAGCCTTCCCGAAAACTCCGCAAGGAGCGAAAGAACCGATCAAAGAAGGTCAGTCTGGGTGGATAGTGGAAGGGAGGGGGAGAAAATTCGTTTACTGACTTTTCCACTTCACAGGTTCGAGGAAAGGCCAAGGCCAAGGCTGGAGAGCCCGCCAAGAAGAAGTAGGCGGAGACTGGGTCGCTCTAGGACTCAGTGGAGATGGGATGTCAATGATGATGGACCTACAGTATTTTCGTCTTTGCATCATTCGACTACCTCGGGATGGATTTGTGCATCAGAATCACGATCACAGGCATAGTCTAATCTAACGTCCCCTAAGCAGCATAGGGCCTTCGCTGGTGAGACGATCTGGAGCACAGCAGTGCCCTGGCAATCGTGAAAGCCCGACGATTATACATGAGGCAAAACACAGCGAGAGACCCTAACTGTTTACGCAACCTAATTAACGGCTTGGTCCAACATCCTATCGCAGCCACCCGTGCTCTCTGGCCCATGTAACCAAAGCTGAAGCAGACTCAAAGGGCAGATCCGTCCTCTCGGCCTTTGACTTGACCTTCTTAACTTTGCAGCCCAGAGCGATCTCCAACTCCAACATCATTTCACAGGCAGTTTCGGTGGCATCCTTACCAGAGACTGGGATCTCGGTTGGCCTATGGCGTGCAGACACTGTCCTTGTCTTTGGTCCAGAGACGACTCTTCTCGATGGTCCAAGAGGTGCTCGCGGAGGTGGTCTCATGCTCTTAGGGCGTGGTTTACGCAGGCCTTTCGAGTGAAGAATGTAGGACAAAAGGTATCGAAGCCACTACCCATGCTCAGCCAGAACCGCCACTGGCGCACTCACCAAAACGTTCGTTGACGGATTGAATGCTTCCCAGTCCGTGACTTTGTCGCGCATCGCGCGATAGGTATCCCATTGCTCACCGACGCCTTCGTACACTTCTGGAGGCATCGCTGTCCAAATTGGTTCCTTGTTTGGTACGCTTAAGCGGGACAGACCAAAGTCAATGATTGTAGCCTGGATCCCGGTGCTTGGAGGATGCAGGTAGTCTACAGCTTGACTCTCGATAGACTCTACGGTTGTGATGAGGACTTGACCTTCGTGCAGGTCACGGTGCTGGATAGAATCAGCCTACCAGACAACACTGATCAGGCATGTTGGACCCACTTCGAACTCTGCCCATTTTTCTGCCCTGGCTAGCGCACTGGCGACTTGCCAGAACACTGCAGCGGCCTGGATCCAAGCATGCGCCTTATCGAACTTGAAGGCTTCAAGGTCTGGTCCGCCATTGCCAAGGACAATGATGGCGTACCGCTGGTTCGAGAGGAACGCGTCTGAACGGGAAAGTGTTAGCGTTACTTTTTGAAAAAGTTGTTGAGACTTACCCGGCCGTATCGACTCTGAGCCAATCTCTGCATCAAACCGGTCCCACTCTGCGAGCAGATCAGTGGGGTATACGCCCCGCACGACGTATGCTCTGTTCCGGTCTCAGCATGATCTCGACAAGGCACCCGCTGGCTCACCCTCTGTAGTCCACAAAGCCACCACCTGCCAGACCCTTCAGATGTTTCGTAGTCTCAATCTCCTTCAAAACGTCTCTGACGCTCGATAAATCCGGGAGGTCTTTCTCAGCAGAGGATACAGCCGAAGTCTTCTCGTGCTCCAACGGGATGATCTTGACCACAACCTCCTGTGCCCCGCTTCTGACTCCAAAAACTTCTGAATACGTGGCCTCTCCAATCTTTTGAACTTTCGAGCCTGCAGCTGCAGAGGTCAGAAGGTTCGCAAAGGCTGTTGATGACAGAAATCCTGAAAAGGGGCAGACTCTTGAAAAGGTGCAAATTGAGAGGAGATCCTCGATGGGTACACGTTCCACTGTCTCTGGTGCTGTTGTGAAGCTTTCATCGCTTTCTGTGAGATCGATGGTGATCTGAGAGAATTTTGCGATGAGTGACGATCCTGAGGTGACTCGTTTCTTCGTCTGGATTTCGACGCCTTCAAAAAGAGGTTTGGATGACCGAGGTGGCGTACCGACAGGTAATGCTCGAAGTTTGGCGGGAGAGACAGAGCTGGATGGGCTTCGAGTGATGATACGCCGAGCTCTTCTCACACGAACGGGTCGCACGATCTCCACAACGCTCTCTGGACTCGACGACACAGCTTTTATCGGTGACTTAGGAGGCGTGGAGAGTCTAGCGGGACGTTGAGGAGCTCGCTTGGCATTCCATCTTGGTGGTTTCGCAGGCGGCGAGACGTTCAGAAGTGGGATGTTCGGTTGTGTCTTGATAATTTCCTGAGAGTCTATCGATTGGAGAGGACGTCTGGAGGCTTTTGCGACCGGCTGAGGGGAGATGGGGGAAGGAGAGGGGATGTTGGTGGACCTTTTTGGCGGCGGTGTTTCGAGATCGCTGTGTATAGCGATGACTTGCTGCGGGGCTCGTGAGCTTCCGATGACATTTTTATATAACAGCACATAATCTCACAGTCTTCTTTCTGCCATAAGTCGTAACCTGTGGGTAAGATTAGCTTCAAAGGAGAGGTATGATCGGCTCAAGGATTTACTTTCTTGACCTGAATCAACGATACGATGTCAGCGAAGTCTTCGATATGACCCGCAGCATTTACTCACTCCTGATATAACTGTAGGCATCTTGAGGCTCGCTGTAGAGCGCGTAGCTGTCTTGATGTATGTGGATCAAGGTTGCAGCAGGAGATGATAATGACTTGCTACCTCGAATGATGTTGACAGAATAGACGCCGCCGCCGTGTATCCATCGACCACGTGGCTCTGAGATTGAAAGGAAAATCAGTCGCCTAATAATCAAACTTGTTTACGTTCATCCCCTCCAACATCATTCACATTACATGACAATCTTGGATACATTGTCGACCTTGAGAGTGCAGTACATATACACATAATAAGCTCAGGTCGGACCGATTACGGGTCAAGGCAGTTTGCCGTTCATCGTGATATCGATGGTGTCAACATCGACCATGGCCTCGTTCGACGAATACACGTTCGGGCTTCGTAATGGATTGCGCGAAGCCGCCGTGATGGGATTGTCACAGTTGGAAGAAATGATCACCGATGTTGGATATGGATGGCTGGATAGCTACATGGAGGGTGTGATGGAGAGCTCTTCGTCAAAGTGAGTCAAGAGCCTTTCCGTGTGTAGTATCCACCTTCAACCCCTTCTCGCGTGAATCCCACAACATGGATGGATATGTTGGACATTATGTGAAATTGACGTTGTTTGTGCCTTCTCCAGAGCGCCCATCTCCGACCTTATGAAGACTCCTGGACGGACCCAGAAATCACGCAAGACTCGAGTTCAGACTGAGAATGCCAAAACAAAGGGCAAAAAGGCAGCGGCACTTGCGAACAGTGACTTGGCGAAATCGACATCTGCAGTGAATCCATCGGTGAGCGTTGAGGCCATGCCGCTGGAGCATTCGAGCTTATCTCCCGTGGCAGATACGAAGAGCTCTGTCTCCTCTCAATCCATCCTCCATCAATACCCCTCCTGTTCTCGCTGCTTCACCCGTCAAAGGCAAAGGCTCCAAGCCTCCGAAAACAGTCAAGGAGAAAAAGACCAAAGCTAAGACTGTGGGGGCAGGCAAGAGAGGTCGACCCAAGAAGGTTCCAGATCCTGTGTTAGAGCCGGATGAAGGCTCGGAGGACGTCGACATGTCTAAACATGGGAGCTGGCAAGATGAGAACGATGCGAGTCCGTTAGACCCCATTGGCGAAACGGATGAGCTGTCGGAGCTCCTGAGTCCCGTCAAATCGACGTCCCAAAAGTCTTCTGGGTCACAGACATCCCAAAAGTCAAAGAAGGCACAGGCCAAACAGACCAGCCCAACAGTGACGATGCCGGATACAGCTGAGCCCGAAGAGCCTGAGCTAGCAGAGAGGCAAATCGACGATCCACACGAAGGTCGAGCCACCGATGTCGTCCTGCAATCAACATCTGAGCAGCACACCTCGCACAAAGCGGTGGATCCACATGCAGGAAGTGCCAGAAACGACGTCGGGGACAAAGAGATACAAATGGATGCCGTAAAACCCAATGATGTCATCTCCCAAGCTCAAGATCGGCCAATCGATACGACTGAAGCCGAGGACGATGGCGACCTTGAGCTGCCTGATACGGACGGTGATGTGCCTGCTCCTGCCTCAGTGCCGATCGACAACGGAACGCTACCATTCGAATTTCCTGATTTCAAGGTGGCACCTGCAACGGTTGTGCGAGACAAGTCTATTCCTGTCCGTCAAGTCCGATCGTCTTGGCTTTCCAAAGCCCTTGGCACGGCTACAGTCCCAGTGACCGCTCCGATCAGCTCTTCGGCGCAAGAACATTCCCATTTGCGACAGTCCATCTTACAGACCAAGCCTGGAACTGTTCAACCTGATCTGATCCGAAAATCTACGATTGCTCCCCTTCAGCAACGAGTTTCCACTCTTCCTTCGGTTCCTGTTGACTTCGCGGCTGCGAGAAAGAGTCTTGTACAGCCTGGTCAACTCGGGGCGAAGCGCAAGTCTGAGACATTGGATGATCCCGCCGGAACGATCTCGGAGCCTGTGGTCCGTCCCGACAAGCTGATCAAGTTGGACCCAACACAACACACGACTGCTCCCGTTGCGAAACCTCCAACCACTTCTCAATGGCGGCCGGAGAGTCTGTTCTCACCGCCAGATATCCAACCTCGACGCATCACGCCGTTTGGTCGCTCGAAGGTTTCCACGACGTCGTCTACGTTAGCCTTCACCGCACCTTCGACGACACCGGGACCGGCGGTATTCCCTCCCGCACCTCAAACTTCGGGTGGTCGCGGTACGACTGATAATGCGCGGTCTGATATTGACAAAGTCACCAAACGTCTCGACGAGCTTCGTGAAAGGGCCGCGGCGAAAACTCAGGCTCAGGCACTGGCAGTGTCTGGTACTAAGGTATCTTTCGACTCAAAGTCGTCCGCGACCACTCAATCGGTCTCGAGCGGTGGTGGCTTTTTCCGTGGTCTCGGAAGTCTCGGACGAAGCTTGGGCCTGGGAGGATCTTCTAAACATGCTGAAGAAGAGGCACTGAAACTCCAGCGAGAGCTTGAGAGAGAAGAGAAAGATCAGTTGGAAGCCGAGAAGGAACTAGAAAGGTTGATTGCGGAGACCCCAGCTCCTGTGGTTGCAAAGGGAGAAGAAGACTCAGCTGTGGCGCATGATGTGGCATCAAAGGCAGAAGATCGCATAGATCAGGAAGACGCCGATTCGGTCATGGCTGATCTCACTGCCGACATCGACGAGCAGACAGTTCAAATTCCCGCAAAGGAATCGACACCGCCGCCTCGATCGCTGATGGCCACCTTGACGTCGACAACACCTGTAGCAACACCTCCTAGAGCCTTTGGAGGGCTTTATCCCCGACTAGCAGAGACTACTGTCGCTGCTCACATTCGTGATGACGCCACGATGAACGACAAGCGCAGCACCAGTGCCCGTCCAAATAGTCCGAAGGCGGTGAGATCCCCCCGTTCACCCCGTGTCCCTGTCAAATATGCCCAATCGCCACCATCTCGGCCAGTTGCTAAGATGGATGAGACATCTGCTGCACCTCCCATTCCTCTCAAGTCCCCTGAACGGGCCAAGCGGGCATTGCCAGACGCTAGTCAGATCAATGCGAGCTCCCCGAAGCTGAGAGGTCAGGGTCCTCGACAGAGGGTCAAATCGCCTGTGCTCGACGCTCAGGACAGAGACAATGCTGCGGCGTCGCCAATCCGCATCCCTCAGTCATCCACAGCGGCGGTCCGCAAAGCACAAGTCGTTGACCATGGATATGCGGTTTCGGACGAGGAAGATGCCGACCTCCCAGACTTGCCACAGCCGTCAGAACGGGACGCGGACTCGGACATTGACATGGACGAGGAGATGCCGCAATCGAATCACGACTTGCCAGCCGGGAAAATGTTCACAGGCGTGAGTAGCGGCGGATGAGGGTCTGTGCCTCGACTGATGCCTTTGCAGGGTGCCACTGAGGGACAGATGAAGAAGTCTGCTTCTAATCAAAGCATCGCGCCTTCATTGGCTACCTCGACGGCCTCGACCAGCAATATGCTCAATCACGCTTCGACAATCGCTGGCAAGACTCTGGGCTTCAAGCCTACCACTGGACCTGTCAAGTCAATTGCGCTTGCAGCTGCGGCGGCGAAGAAGGCAAGTTGTTACGAGCGTCTTTTGAAAGCTGACTTCTTGTCACAGGAGCAAGCCACGATCGACCGTAAAGCTCAGATGAGGGAGCAGACAGACCAGCGAAAGGCCCAAGCCGCTCAACGCAAAGCTGAAGAGGATCGCCTCAAGGCTGAAGAGGAGAAGCGGGTACGAGCTGCCGAGCTCGAAGAAAAGCGCAAACACCGATTGGCATTGGAGAAACAGCGAAAGGAGCGCGAGAAGAAGGTTGCTGCTATGGCAAAGGAGAAGGCAGACAAGGAGGCAGAGGAAGCCGCTGCGGTCGCCAAGATCAAGGTCAGTGATGTGTCCTAGCGAGAGCAGAGCCTTTTCTGACCATCGGGCAGGCGGAACAAGAGGCCAATCGCAAACGAAAGCTCTTAGCGCTGGGTCAGAAAGCCCCGATTCAACCTGCAAAGAAGCTTATCCCATCGATCTCGGTACCGGCTTCTGCTTCCAACTCGTCCATTGCTCCAAAGACCCAAGAGCCTCTGCGCATCGTCAAGCCTGCTGTCGCGCTTCCCGCCAATGGTGTCTCGGTTCCGGCACAGAAGTCTGGGCCTACGCACTTCCGAAGCGTTTCAACTACCAACTTGGATCAGCACGCTCCCCAAGGTCACAATGCGGAACGCCCTGTGATTGGCCCACCAGCTCGACCGTCGACACAGACCGGTCACGTCCATGCCTTCTCCTCTCAACAAGCCGCACAGCGATCTTCGGTTCAAGCTCATCAGAGCAGTACTGTCGCGTCTGCTGTATTACAGCAGAGCCGTGTGGCGCTCCAGGTTCACATTGGCGAGAAGGCCTTGGAGATGCAGAGTGAGGACATCGAGCTGCCAGACATCGCATCTGAGTGAGTACATGGAATCCAGGATTTTTGGCCATGTTCTGACAATTCTACCAGGTATTCGGATTCAGATGATGAAGACAAATCCAAGGACTTTATCCGGCCAGCGTGGGCCGAATCCCCGGAGCTTCGTCATGCGTTACAGCAACAATCTACTCGAGACCCTGACGAATTGTTCGGACCCATCAAACCCGTCAACATGGAGGAGCTTTTCAAAGCTCGACCCGGTAAATTCCGAGCTAGGAGCAGTAGTGCCAACTGGATCTCGACAGGGGACAGGTTGACTCGAACGGAAGAGATCGAGTATGCGAGGCGAATGGGCTTCAGGCCTATCGGTACTGGTGGGCGAACTGGAGGCTCTACTAGTACGGGTGGTGCGTCGAGGTCCAGTCAAGCATGAGCTAGCGTTCCTTTGGCCTGGGAATAGTTCGTGGTTCTTCTTGGGCGTTCCGTGTACATTGCAGTTTACCTTCCTTTACGTTCCTTTGTGTTTTCGCATATTTAACGACGATCCTTCAATGCACGCTGTCAGTACGTGGAAAGGCTCCTGTGCGTATATGTGTGGCACAAAGCAATCTCATTGTGTCTGAAATTTTGTCCTCGTTCATGCTCTCATGCCCTGTCCTTTCCACCGTTCGACAGCCTTCAGGTCATGCGTTAAAGGAGACAAGTCACTGAGTGTCCTTCCTCGGGAGGACGACTTTCACGGGGTCACGAGTATGAGATTGGGTCCCTTCCTGCTCTCGCTTTGTCGAACAGGGTATGGAAGATTGAGAGGACGAGAGATTGATGAGAGCTGATCTTCTCCGTTGAGCAAACGTGTGATCGCTGTGGAGACTCGCATACTCACTCATCTGAGCGAGTCCAACCCCGCCAATCGACCCTACTCAGCCATAGTATCCTTGCTCAGGACTGAATCCTTCTACGCCGCAAAACGGACACCCTATCCCTGAGATGCATGCTCATACACGTCACACTGTGCCAGGGATCAGGCAGGACTCCGAATTATACGATCCCGGCCAGCACACCGACAGGAGCACTCCTCCACCGGGGAGAGACTGGATCACACAGCATCCGAGTGAGTTCGAGGGCTGCGCTGGTCCCAAAGCCACACATCTGATGAGTCCATATAGCCCAATTCTACGCTATCCTTGGAGGAGTTCTTGGCATGATCCTCGTTGTTTGCCTGTACATTCTGTGGCGAGGTCCACATCGGAACATGTTCATCTGCTGTCGGCGGCACAAGGCTGTAGAGGACGGAGGTGTCAATCAAGTGCTGTCTGTCGGGATATGGGGAGGGAAGGGTGCTGCCGCTGTGTTCCCTCGGCCCGGTGTCTACTTGACGGATTTGAAAAGACAAGCAGGAAGCTCCAGTGTCAAGGATCTCCATTCGAATATCCAGATTCATCCCGTTCTGTCGAGTTTCAATGTCGAAAAGGGTCTAGTCAAGGGCTCGGCCCAGATCAAGACTGGTCCGACTATCATTGATTGTGGTATGAGCGGTGTGCCTCTGCCTGGTCCAGAGATAAGTTCGAATCAGTCAGTCCCAGCCTCTCCACCGGCTTCGACTTATACGTTCCGAGCATTCACACCTGGTCGAGGCGATCCAATCAACACGACAGTACCCAACAGCCCGTCTCCGCAATCTCCCATCCCGCGTACCCCAGCATCCAAATTAGCAAAGGACTGGAAGAGGGATGACGAGAAGAAACGAAGGGATACGACAGTCACGAAGAAATCGTCGGGATCTTCATTTGGACAATCGTACCCTTTGAACGGGGCGGCAGGCTCGTACACTGGTTCGAGAACTTCGCTTGATTCGCTAAATCGGGATTCTGGTGGAGTAAGACTTGCCTCGCCCTTCCTCGCCTCTTCGAAACCTGTTATTCGACCCCTCGACTCTCCTCGATTGCCTCACAACCATCCGCCGCCACTTCCTCAGCAACGGGCAGATGCGTCTCTCGACTTCTACACTCCTCGAGATAGACTCGCTGATCAACGTGCTGTCCTCCCCCCACCGAAAAGCAGACGACCTCCGACCAACTTTTCGTTCGAAACTGGTTCCACTCCTTCAATGTATTCCACTTCCACCCCCGCGCAATCCATGTACATCCCAACCTCCAACAACAATCACATCAGCACTCAGAAGCATACCGGATCAATTGCAAGCTCCTACGCCGGCCAGTCCGCCGGATCTGTACCACTTCCACAGAGTGATAAGCAAGATCTGCAGATCAGTATTCCATTCCGACCAACTCCTGAATCCGCCAGGAACCAGGTCAGAAAAAGTCAATCTGCTTCATCTCTTCACTCGCCACTGCATGCTTCACCCTTGACTCATAGTCATGTCGCTGTAGACTGGTCGTCGCCGCAGTTTCATGCTGCTCCAGGGTCACAAGAAGGGGATTGGAGGGTCTCTGTGATTTCGACTCATGCGATGTAGAAATCAAAGAGAGTCGCGACTGTGGCGGGCAAACGAGAGGATCTTTGACGAAGGACTTGTGGCGATGGCTGAGGGGTAGAGGAAGGCTTTCTGTAGAGACCGAGGCATTGTGCATTGAGGATATACTGTGTTGTCAGGTTAGCTCATGTCCTCATTGTCTTCATAGTGCGTCCCACCACCACATGGGGTCCTTTAGGACCGTACAATAGGGGCACTATCAACCCTTCACCGCCTCGTCACTTCTTGAGCATTATCTCCATCACAACACATTCATCCGGTCTGCTGGCCACCCATATTACTGTAGCCCACCTTTAGTAGTATCAGTACATAAAAGCAGATCCATCGCAGCGACACTGCTTAGCTCCCTTTGATCAATTCATAACTCCTACAAGACGTCATCCTTCTACGCTTTCAACTGTCTTTTCCAACCTACACCTTTCGACTTCTACCTCAAATCATCTCGCCTGGCCGCTCTCGCCAATATGCAAGGGTACTATCAGCAGCCAATGGGAGGGGGAAGCATGATGCCAGGTATGATGCCAGGTGGCGGGGGCATGATGTCGGGGATGCAGGCGATGCCCGGGACTGGGGGCATGGGAGGAATGCCTGGTATGGGTGGCATGGGCGGCGGCGGCCCCATGATGGGACAGATGGGTATGATGGGACAGCCTGGACAATACTGGAGATCAGGGATAGTGAGTCCTAGTGTGTGTGATGCCAGACTGACACTTCTCGCTTAGCCTCAGGATTATCAGCTGCCTCAGCTGGGGTACAATCCTGATTCATCCTGGAGTGCTTGGGAGCTGGTATGTTATTCCAAGCCACGGATTAGAGTCGGTTGATACAGGGTCAGGCAAACGCTCGATACTCTGGCGATAGGCTGCAACGAGGCTTCTTTGATCAGATCGTGAGTGCAGCTCATTCCTTGACCAGCCCTATCCCGCCGTCCACTCACCCTGAGCAGCTTCACGCCAGTCTCTACGTGGTCTATTTGAGCTGATACCAGTCTGCAGCTGTCTGGACTCTCCGATTTCTTTGGCGCTCGTCACTTAAACCAGCAGGCAGCTCGTGACGCTCACTACAGAGTGTACTACTCAAACGAGGGCACAGACTCCGGCAACAAGACTCTGGGAGGAGCAGCTGCATACCAGGCATTCCTGTAAGTCGAACGCCATCGATTATCAGCTGACGAATATCTAGCTTCTGGGACAAGGAGCACCACTCTTTGTACCACTCATATCCATCCAACGAGAACAGAGAGCGCCTTGTGGGGCTTGCAGTAGCAGAGCGTAAATCCGAACGCACCGAATGATGTTCGTGAATTGATGACTTTTTCAGTGTTCTCCCTCTGGGATCGGGTACAGCCTCGCAGCTCGCGTGCCAATCCCAACACAGCCGCTGAGTATGCTGCCGCCACTGCCAAGCATCTTTACGACAGGGCAAGTAGTTTCGCGTCGTCTTTGCGCTAACATTGATGGCAGCATTATGATCTGTCTGGTGGGCATTATGGCCGCCACTCTGGATACGGTGCAGACGACGATTCTGATGACGAGAGTGAAGGACGAAGAATGAAGCGACGAAGTGGGTACTTCAGGGGTGGCGGCGGTGAGCCGGACTCGAAATGTCCCGCCGCGTGCCACAGACTAACAACTCTTCAGGATACGGTGGACCGATGGGGATGGGGAGCGGTGGTGGGATGATCCCTCCAGCGGGGATGGGTATGCCGAACCCTGGAATGGGAGGCTTCGGTATGCCTGGGTCTATGGGAAATGGGATGGGTGGACCTATGGGTATGGGTATGGGCAGTATGGGCGGACCTATGATGGGTGGAGGCATGGGAGGCGGCATGATGCCGGGATTGGGAACCATGGGTATGGGAGGCATGAGTGGGATGGGAGGTATGGGAGGTATGGGAGGTATGGGGATGGGTCAAGGAATGATGATACCTGGAGGTTACGCCAATCCAATGAACGAGTCTCAAGCTGCCCCAGTAAGTGGCCTCTGCATACATGCGCTGAACTTGTCAGGGGATGCACCCTTACACTTATGGTTCTCAATCTGGAGTGGCCTACGGGAACCAGCCAATCGACCAGATGGGTCAACCAACTTTCCCAGGAGGTCCCGGACGGAGCTTCTACGGATACGGCCAACCTAGATACTACTGATGCGCCGTGAGGCGGTACCTGTGCGAGTGGTGATGAGGAGAGATGCTGTCCATTGAGTCACTAGCTTCGAAGGCAAGGTGGAATGTCGTACATCATGTTATCAACGTCGTGTGAGGAGGTGGATGCACCTTATGCAGTACTCTGAGCTCGTTTGATTCCAGCACCTCTATACGAGTATCTCGATCAATATGGCATCGAAAGGACCTTAGGAGGTCTGTATTAGTGGAGATGACGATGATGAGTGCGCTCCTTTGTCCTGCAGAGAGTCTGTATCGTGACCGTTGAACCCTTGTGGTCGCCCTCTGTCTCATCTACCGCTTCCCAGCTTGACAGCAAGACAACAGCATAAACATACCGATCGTAACTTCCAACGCCAACTATCATGGCGTTCGCCATTCACCCTCTCATGTCGACATACCCTGGTGCTTCCTTCTTCCCCAATGGAAACCTGACAGGTCCACATCTTGCCATGCGTTCAGGAGGTGATTCGACAGGATACTGGGGCTATGTACCTTGGGAGGTCCCCTCTATGCCTGAATGGGGACTGCCACCTGCCATCGTGGCGGCTCAAGAGGGCCGAGGGACAGGTATCTGGGGTTTGACTCTCGAAGGACCAGGTGGACACATGTTCAATTACGGATGGCCAAAGTACGGTCCAGTAAGTCCACCTTCGCAGTAATCAAATCTACGTCGCTGAAATAGAGCGCTAGATGCCTCTCAAACCTGAGCTCGGGGGTTTCTGTGAGTCGCGAGAGGCAGGCAGATGACCGTGGCATGGCTTGAGATATAACTGACACTCACCAGATGGCAAGACGAATCCATATGGACGAAGCTGGCCCCACGGCTTCTACAAGAGTGTTCACTAGGTGGGGGGCGAATAAGTGTCCCAGATTCGAATCAGAGCGGTGGAGAGATCCTCCGGAGGAGCACGAGGAGGGAGGTCCATCGTGAAGAATTGGCATGTTTTCTACGATGAGGTCAATACCATTGTATGCTGCAGTTCAGTGGGCAGCTAATCGTCTGGGCATCGCTGAGCTGGGCTAAGAGGCAAGGTGATACATTCTCGCGCCAAGGGGTCCGCATTGTGTCCCAGTGATATCCGCCTCGGCGACCATCGTCAAACATATGTTACACTCCTCTGCGCGTTACGAGTACTGCTCGCACCTTCTTACCGCCTGGATAGTCTCACGATCGTCTTGCCTTTTGGCTGGATGATGCCCAGCCCGACTCTGGTCATGTCGACCTGCATGTTGTCCGACACCACCTGGACATCGAAGGTGTGAATGAATGAGATGAGGAATGTGAGGATCTCGATAGAGGCAAAATGTCGGCCTATGATGAGGGCGATCAGTGGCCGGAGGGGCCAAATAGGAGGTGGGACTGACCTTCACACTGTATGGAACGTGTGTCAGGAAGACAAGGACACATCAGTGAGCTGAGGCTTGGGTCCCTAGTTGATCTCAATCACCCACCATGGATGTTCCACCTCCAAACGGCCACATCTGAGCCGTCTTTGCGTTCGCGTTCAAGTGTCTCGTGTGATCCCAGATATCCGCTGTCACTCCCCATTCCATATCTGTTGAGACCTATACGGGGCAATTCAGCAATATGTCGTGGCACCCCACTCACATGACCATGTCTCGTGACGCAGACAATGTCGTCATCCTTGGCCACACTGTATCCCACGCCTTTTCCTGGGCCAGAAGTGATCAAGTTACCTGGAATAACGAGCGGTTCCATGACTTTTCGGATTGAGAAGGACGATGTATGTAGTCGGAGCGTCTCCTGGAACGCTGCATTGAGTCCGGGACACTTGGCAAGTAGTTCCGGTTGAGTCGAGTGGATAAGGGTCGAGAGATGAGAAGGAGAGAGCGAATGGATAGCTTGAGTGATCTCCTCGTACAAAAGATCGTACAGCGCTGGTCGTCGGACTATTTCAACAATGGTCCAGACCGCGGCTGAGTGCCATGTCAGTGGATGTATGTACATCACCTTTGATGGATATCTCACCATAAGGCGCATTCGCCTCGAGTGCCCAAAGCTCGGGAAGAGCACAAGATACCAGATCATCATCGCTCCATCCTTCCTCTTCACCTGTATCTAGCATTCCGATGAGACTCGGAGCCAGTGCCTCTCTGGCTTTTAAGTCCTCCCGAATGGTCTTCCACCAATCCATAATGATCTTGTTGAGATCCGTCCTTGTACGTCTGGCTGGGGACATGAGCAGTGAGGGTAGTGTCTCGAGGAGTAAGAGAGGAATCGATTGATCGAACGCTTTGAATGCGGGTATCGATTCTTTGGCCGGGAAGGAGGACGAAAAGAATGCCTTGGATGAGGCGATGTACTAAAGCGATGTCGGGAATCAGGCATTAGGAAGGGACTCACCATGATATCGAAGACAGAATCTGCCAAATCAACCAGAGTTCCCTGCCCGTTCCCCAAAGCCTCCACGTCCTTGGTCCAAGCCGACATCAACACCTCCAATTCATCGACATATCTCTCGCTCAGGGTCCCGATCATTCCGGGAGACATGGCCCGATGGTGCATTGCAAAGAGGTGCTCATCCCAGACGGGTGAGAAAGCAACATCTCGGCTCATACCATAGACGTGATTCGACATGTGCCTACGGTACCAAGGAAAGTCGCTATGAACGTCATGGATCAGTCTCTGTATGCGGCGCCCTTCCGATCAGACCCTTACCAGGTCTTGGAATTCCTATAAACCCATGAGATGATGCTCGGGTCTACCGTATAGATCTTCTCAGACCCCATGGCGTTGACTCGGAAAACTGGACCGTATGCGCTCCTGAGAGGGATTGTATCAGTCACCTTCGACAATTTTTCAGCTGCGGAAGGGTGACTCACATCCTCTCCCTCCAGAAATTGTCGCCTCTCGCAATATCAATAGCATTTCCGAGGAATGGGATCCAGTTGCCCACGAGAGGAGGTATCGGGAGACCATCTCGGTATTTCACTCTCGATTGGCTTAGCCGCCGGACCAAGAGATATGAGGCCAAGATCAAGATGACGGTCCAGGTCAATTGCGACGCCATGGACGATAAAGCGGGATAGAGGCTCATCGTAGCTATATCAGAAGACTCTGGGCACCATCTTTGCGAGGAGTCCAACTGATAATTCAAGGTCTAGGCGGAGATTGCATTTCAAGGGTTGTAAAAGACAAACTTCAGACGTTGATCGGTCATTCGGGGATGTCTTCGGAATTTTTGATTTCCAACGGAAAGGGCAGAAAGGGAGGACAGGGGGTTGCATAGTGACGAAGAGGCGCACATACAGCAATGACTTGGACTAACGTCGAAGCATATAGTCAAGATGCGTATAGGATCAGAAATCATCTCCTAATTGGATCACCACCGCCCAATAACTGCTTTGCTCGCTTGACATCCGTAGCGTCTACAAGGATATTGGCAGTGTGAAATGTGGATGAATAGAGCATTCGGATATTGGCGGCGTTGAGGAGATTGGAGAAGAGAGTGACGAGTCCAGATTTGTCTGAGTATTTCAAGTTAGCCCCGTGGCTGGACAAGAAGGGAACATCGCATGAGGCACACAGGACTCACCCATGTGGTACACGCCTTGGTCTTGTACGTCATCCGCATCTGCCACTCCTGTGAGATCGAGCTGTAGGCATCGTTTACGCCCTCTTCTCTTGACATTCGAGTCGGATGCCGGAGTAGCTCTATCGTCACCAGCCGCTGTATTTGCGGACAGGATGGATGATGTACCAGCAACAATAGAAGAATCGACCCAGCTCACTCGGTTCCCAGCTGATCGTCGTGGTCGGACTTTTGTCTCTTCGACATTGTCGGTGTCGCTCTCTCCATCAGGACGACCCCACTGTCTAACAGCATCATTCCCTATATCCGTTTCCAAATTTGGGGATTCGTCGGGAGTGAGTGGAAAAGAGATGGGTCTAGATCGGTCGGGAAGACGCCCTCCGACATCTTGCTCTCCGTCCGATGCTTCGCTCTCCGCTTCTGATCTCGCAGACACTTCACTACCGCTATCGAAGAGATCGCCATTGCCATAATATACTTGATCGTCAAGTTCAAGCACCTCTCCTTCTGTATGACTTCCAAACATGTCGCGAAGGACTTGAACACTTGAGATCAAGCTTGATCCATCCGTCGTCCGGGTATACGAGAGAAAAGGCCGAGTCTGTCGTTGAGCTTGATCATGAAAGCCGTGACCCGCTGCAGCGGACTGAGTCATGTCGGAATCTTCGAACTTGCCCGTTCGTGGGGTTGGAGGGAGACTTGAGAGCGGAGTAAGGAGATCAGAATATAATGTAAGTGACCGTCTCTTCCAGTTGATCTCTGCGCGTCTGGGCCAAACGATGAGCTGACGTATTTTCTCAAATGTGCTCTGTTCTGCCAGCCTCGAGAACCCAATGCAAGCTAGAGGAGAAGCAAGCACCGTGATCTCAGGCGGAGAAGCGACAGTCTGGTCCAAGACGTTGGCAGATGGGATTGACGGTGAGGGTGTATGGTCCAAAGAGGGGGAGGTTGGCGAGAGCAACTGCGATCGACGCCGAGAAGGAAGTGTCGTGTAATCTCCTCCATCTACATGCCCTGATGATTTAGAATCAGGGTGGTGCTGGCAGATACATCGTTGCGGACAGGTAACTCACATCCATGCCCTGCAAAGATTGCCGATGCCTTGTCAAAGTCAGCCTCTTTGACCAAGAGGAAATCGGTAAAGTAGCTGGATTGGTAAAGAATCGTGATACCAGCTTTAGCTAAAGGGGCGCTGACGTGACGAAGATGAGGCGAGTCTGAAGATGGTCAGCTATTGAACGGCGACATAGCTAGATAAGGAGGGGGGGGGGGGGGGGCACCCTACCGTAATTCCCGTTCTCATCTTGATCGCCTGAAAATATTTCAAACGCCCGCCATGTCGATTGACTGATCATGATCCCGTTGTCAAGGGATGAGTCGATCCAATGGGCGTTGACAAGGTCTACAGAGGCGAAGATCGCGATCTTACAAAGATTATCAGCGTTGATCCTGTGGATGTGGATAGGATGCGGGGTTCTCACCTCAAGACAGTTCGATGTAATGTTGAAAAACTCGCTGGATCCCTCTCCGGCATGTTCTAAGGTCCAATACAATCTCGTCGATTGAGTATCAGCATGTATGATAGGTATATGCACAATGGCGATAGGGTCTTGTAGGGCACTGCAGCGGAGTCGTGATGATCAGTTGTGGGAAGCAAAGGGGGGCTTGAAGAAGACTCACACTATTGTGATGGCGGGCATAGTGAATCCTCGGTAGGCTTTGACAAAATGGTTCAGGATAGGTGAGGTCTCTGAAGGCTGTTACGTTCCTCCTTTTATCGACATCTGGATGCTTGGTCGACGATCGATGATGGCGATGGCGATGGCGATGGGACGTTTGTCCGATCTGCCCAGAGATAAAGTGCTTATGTGGACATTTTTAGTGTTATGAAAGGGGTAGCTGAGTGTCGATGTCAGAGATATCAGAACGACGGTGATGGTGAGTAATGTAGGATGTGATGGTCTTGAACTTCAAGTAGGGGGGGCGGCACCCCTTTAGACGGTGATCAGTGGGTTTTGTGTGTCGATTCATATCCTTGTCAGAATCCCATGGTCATGCCCAAACAAATTAGGCTCCGAGCGATGCGGCCGAAGTAGAAGAACAGAAGGCGAGGGTGTATCTGTGTGTGTGTTCGTGTGTGCGGCTAAGGATGGTTGAGAGAAGCAACAGAGACAACAACAATGCAATGCGCCCTCGCCCCCACCCTCGCTTTGGGAACTGAGGGCCCAACCCTCCTTGGGCACATTGTCAAAAGGAGGGTGGGTGTCCGTCTTCATTCTCCGATAGGGGAGGTCGTTAGTAGGAAAAGGGTTATACCTTTGATAGAAGAGTAGGGCACACCCTCTTCGGCGAGGTACAACCGTAGCCGCGCCGGAGCTTGAGTCAGTGGTTGTCAGGCTATAAGTGATGCCGCAAGGAAACAAGGAGGACCTGGCGGATACGGCGTGTCGTAGCATTGTCGCATTGGTTGTGAGCATTTCGGATCCCTTTCGCCAATTCCTTCCTTGACCCCCCGCTCCGGCAAATCTCCGGGAAATTATCGGAATGTGGGCTTGGTGGCAAAAGGCCTAACGAGCTTGCATTCGCCTCGTAGCTCGTCGTCATCACATTTAATGCATGATTTCTCGCCTCTAGTAGATGCAAGACCACACAGTACAACGCAAAGAGTCAGACCTGCTCAGCAGACGGCTCTAGAAATGATGGCACATAGGGGCGAGGTTGGGACACACAAGAGGGAGAAATATATACAGCGGGTCCAAGATATAGACAGAATAATGCGATTGAGTAAATGTATCCCCACACTCGATGGAGATATGCCAAAAAAAGGGTGATATGATACTGTTGAATGTGATCGCATGGAGCAGAGTGTTCGTTCGATATCCAGGACAACAACGTGTGGTCCTTGAGATCGGGTCGAGTCGTAGCGCAGTATTAGCGTAGCATGGCCGTGAAGAGTCCTCGAATCCGGAGGACTGGGTTGAGTTTTCATCTATAGATGGCACGTGAGGGTTCATGATACAAAATGATAGGGTTGATCGCCGTCAAGGCGAAATCCAATTCCAAGATGAGAGTGAGAGAGACAGTCGTCGGAAATATGGGTGATTGTAGATATGAGATGCCAAGTATCGCTCCAATCACCATTCTCGACCTTGCGATCTAAAGCCTTCGGCCTCTAGAAATACAGGCAAGTAACCACGTTCGCCCCCATGTCCATGCGCAGTGGATGAGTCCTCCATATCGACGTCATCGTCGTCATCCTCTTCGTCAAGAAGCAGGTTACCCAATCGAAGGCCTGAACCCGGAACCCCGCCGACAGGCGCGATATGCTGAGGCGCGAAATCAGGCGTGGCGTTAGCCGGAGAGCAAGGGAACAATGCCGGAGCAAGGGGTGGAGGAGGGATGGGTAGACCTCCATTCGCTGGCCACAGGAGGACGGGTCCACCAGGCGTTTCGGCTCGTTCAGTTGGACTGCGACGAGTTCTCGAATGAGAAGGTGTGCAAAGACTGGGGTTGGGGACGTTGGTGTTGATCGGCGGAGGACGGGTGGGGGTGGCGGTATTTGAGCCTAGAGACATGTTTCCACTGGCGCTTCGAGCACGGCTAGACCCTACTGAACTTGGAAAACGCCATCCGTCCATTGAAGGGTGAAACGCGGAGGGGGAGATATTTCCTCTTCGTTTCGAAGGCGTCAATGCGTTGAAGGAATCTCGCATGGCGGGATGTGAGGGCAAAGTGGATATGCTGGGTCCATCGGCTTCAGGAGTGAATGTCAAGGATCGCCGGGCTTGAAGTTTTGGCGAGGCACTTCGACGGTCCGGAACCCCCGTCATCAATTCGAATGGATGGAGATTGTGTCGAGCAGGAGAAGCCGTGGCGAGGTACAAGGCGGTATGACTTTCAGATAAAGACGAATGATGACCTCCTACAAAGCTTGCGGGTCGAGAGGTTGTGGGTGGGAGAGGTGGCAGGCCGCGTATATCACTCGACATATCAAGAGGGACACCATGGTGCGAAGTGATTGATCGTCGGTGCACTTTGGGTGCCCCGGGTGCTTGACCCTTTCTGTCTACCATCATGGGACTGGGAGTCCGCGGTGGTCGATCGAAAGCGGCGGTGAAGAGTCCAGGAGGGGGACCTTCATTATCGACGGGGTCCAGCCGATCCACTTGATCAGGCAATGAAAAGCCCTTTTCCATCCGAATGATCTCTTCCAGGACATCCCGCATATCTTTGCCCATCCCCAATCCCTCCAAGCGTTTCTTTCGACTCTGTGACAAGGCCGAAGCGGATCCTTTACGACGGTGAGTCTTACGATGAGGCGTAGCATATGGTTTCGAACTGTCCATCGGCTTCATCCACACCTCTTCATCATCTTCCATGATGACGCTATCGACGTGAATGCCGGGGTGTCGTCGAGAGCTTGCAGTGGACGCAAGGGAGGGGTTACGAGAGAGTGAGGAAACGGTGTAAGCTGAAGAGGCTGTGCTGGCGACGGAATGATTGCGAGCGTGTCCACCACCAACGAGTTCAGGGACGTTGCGAGAAGCAGAGGATGACGTTGAGACGACAGTGCTTCGACTCGCACTCGAGGATGAGGATGTACTGAGACCATCTGCACGTCTCCGTTTCCTCTCTTCGCGCCTCTCATCTCGTCGTGATTCAGCGCGAGCCAGACGACGATAATGCGATGCTGTCCAGTCTTCGGAACTCGACGCGGTCGAATTGGCGGAGGGAGTGCGAGATAGAGGCTGCGAAGTGGGTTGCTGGGAGGATGATGACGTGCTGGTGTTAGATGACAGATTCCCGTTAGGCCCGTTGGATCGATAGCAGAGTGATGAAAAGGCATCTGAACGTGCACAAGCTGTAGGGCATCCCAACGTCAGCACCGAGCCAAGCTGATGAGAAGAATTGGATTTTTGGCCACCCACCGACACTGCAATAGATGCCCCCTTCGCTTCCTGTGACATCTCTGCCGCAGAAGCATCTCCCTTCACGCGTCGCCAGGCAAGGTGAAGGTGCACAGGAGGAGACTTCGGAATCACTCTCTTCCATCTTGAGTCCTATACTGCTGTATGCGCTGGCCATGTCCATCTCTTTGTCCATCCTGTAAGCGAAAGTGGATGAAGGGATATTGGGATGGTTGGAGGTAGGAACGAGTGCGCGACGTGGAGGGGTGTACATGGGTGGAGGACGTGTGCTTGGGTGGCAAAGGTTATGTGTGTGTGTGAGGACCAGTAAGCGAGGATGACAATGGGCGCTGCGTGAAGAAAGATTTTGCCAGATCTTTTCGAGATGATCCCACTACTTGCCCTGATCGACGGGGCAAAGAAGTAGTGAGATGATGATGATGATGATGATGTTCGATGGAAGCGGTTGAGATACAGCGAGCGAGGGAAGAGAGAAAAGAGAGAGAAAGAGATTTGTATTCAATTTGACACTACTACTGTGCCGACGTGTCTAGTTTGAGCCGCAGTCGCCTGGTCTAGGGGAAAAAGAGAACATGTATCAATGGATGGTGTTGATCCAAGAAAATGGGAGTCAAGATGAGTGGTGGCCAAGATATGGAGAGAGAGATGCCGAGTCAAGGTCGTTCGTTACAAGAGAATAATATCAACAGGCAGGCAAGGGCGGGCAGTCGTGGCTTGTTTTCGTTGCTCCGGGGGGAGGATGTCGTCGTCGTTCGTCGTCAAACTGCACTCGCTGCTGACGTTTTGCAAGTCAGACAGAGAGAGACAGAAGCGCAAGTGGTCTCTATAGATGGCCGACACAGTGGATGAGCTGGCCAAAAATATAAAATAATAATCACCCTCTGAATGTGACAGACGTGTTTTTTTTTTCTGTTTTGACCCTGAAGAGACACAGAGACGCGACGCGACGCGCGGTCTCGAGACGCGTCGAGGGTGTTGCTGGTTCACTACAAACGATGACTGACAGACAGCCTTGGCAATACATACCTTGGCAGCAGCGTGTTGGTCTCCGATGGAGGGGTAGCTAGCCTAGTGGTAGAGCATTCTGCGGAGCATACTCCATCGACAGTGTGACATCTCTGAGAGCTATAGCTACCTGTAAGATCTGCCCAGTTGGAAACACATGCACACACACCCCGCAGTCCAGACACGTAGGGACTGATGATTTGTGCCTCTGTGCCTCTTCCTGAGAGAGAGAGAGCCACAGGAAGGTCAACCTTTCTAGCTATCAAAACCCATTTGTCATTATTTGGCTGCTGGACTGACTGGACCTTGTTGTTGCGCAGTGTCAATGTTGCCTGGAATAGAATACCGGAGGTAATGCGGTTCAGAACAGAAAACATCATTGGAAAGCAACGTGTTTTTCCCGGCGAGCATGTGTGGGCCGGCCAGTTTGAAAGGACCTTTTCCATGGGCAGCGTGGCATATACGGCACCTGTCGTGGACATTCCATCATCATGCATCTAGGCTCATTCACCCTCTGTCGACATGTTCCATAAGACTGCCGCATGAATGATTCGTTGAATCGCTTTTGCATCATTTGGAGGGTGGCACAATGATAATGTAGCCCATACATACCGTTGACGCGTCCCATGGAAATGTCATTTTGCCACACACGCGACTTGCCTCCACATTCACTTTCTTCTCATTGAACAACTACCTACTGACCAGGTGGACGTCAAGGCGAGAGACAGACGGCGAATCGCATTTCTCATCCTACTATTCTACTGCAAGAAGAGGTTGCAAAGCATTGAACACCCACCGGCTCGCTCTCACGCTCGCTCTCACTCGCACTCACTCGCCATGCCTTCCACTCTGGCGAGAGAATCCATGTACCCTACCGCCTCGACGTCAACTCTCCCATCGTTTGATTTTCTCCATTCGTTGGACTCATGTGTGGAGATCACGAAGGAATGTACGACATCTTTAGGAAGAGGATTGGACATGTTCAAGGTCGGCGTGGAAGATATGCCGAGGTTGGCCAAGGTTTTGACGAATAGACAGGTGAGTGAGAAGGAGTGGGGCGGCCATGGAAGAAAAAAGGCGAAGGGAGGATAGCAGCGATGGCGAGATCGACGATGCGTGCGATGATGCGAGGAGGGCTATGCTGGGATTTAATTTGGTCTTTGGCGGATCGCTGACTTTTGACCTTCTTTCGCCCGCCCCATCTACGATCCTTTGCATCGTCCGTTCGCCAAACGACTCTTCCTTCGTGTCTGTCTGTGTTCTTCCTCGCTCGAACTTTCCGCTTTCATCTAATTCCTCGATACGTCCATGGCGCTGTGCCTGTTTCTCTGACCCTCGCTTCGCTTTGATTGCTTCCACTCGCCTTACCTCACTTCGCTTCGAACAATCTTACCTCCCCCCCCCCCCTTCTTCCCTCTCCCCCCCCCCCCCCCTCCCCCCCAACAGCACTTCCTCCTCCTTCCTCACCCCACGATCTCCTCGTACCAATCCACCATGTCAACTACCATGGCGCCTCACATCCAAGATCTCATCAGTCGAGCTGAACGAGCTCTCCAAGCTCAATCTGACGTATTGGCCAATATGGAACAAAAACTAGATATACTTTCTTCCGCAGAGGCATTGTCGGCTATACCGCCTGCTGCTCCTTCTCTTTCTCCAGGATCAACAGCAGCGGCTCCATCATCAGCCTATGACCGTACATCAGATAGCTCAGATCATGAGGATGGAACTCACGGACGCACCTTGGATTCACTCGAGATCAAAGAGTTGAATCCTGCTCAGCGACGCGCTGTGGTGGTATTGAAGAATAAGCGGAAGAGGTTGGAAGAGGAGAAGAAGAGATTGGAGAGGGGGATAGGGGCGTGAACATGAAGGTGCAATCCGCCTAGCGTGGACATGGAGGAGCAATCCGCCTAGCGTGAACATGAAGGAGCAATCCGAGTCCGCCTATGGCGCCTAGTGCCAGCCCGCCTGAGATGATAATCCGGATCTGTACAACATTTTCTCGATTTTCGTATAGTGTCTGTCCACATTGGTCAAACGATGTATCCACCGGTTTGACCGAGACACCGAGTGATCTTGATCACGGAAGAGTCATCATTGTCCCTTTCCAGCGGGCTCCGCTCGCTTTCACTACTTTTGCTGCATGACGGACAGACAATACAAATAAGACGACAACCCCAACCACCCTCTCCAAACAAATCTTGGACACCCTCTCCTATGCCTCTGCTGATGAATGAGGAGGAACAAAGCATTACTGATATCTGAGATTTCCGAGAAGAGACAAGAGAGTATTACTTTTTCCTCCTTCCACTGGGCTCAATCCTGCCCCCCACAAGGTCTTCAGATCCTGACCATCTACCATTGCGCCCACAGAGCCCTCGATACGTGCGACACTTCTTCCCTCGCTCATATATTCTCCTCCCATGAGAGAGATGTCGAACGCTCCACTCGCCTGCCTCGCTCGATTCGTCCTCAGCGAGAGCTCGACGCTCTCGCTCTCGCTCCTCGCTCCTCGCTCACGCCGCAACAGCCACATCGCCCCCTCCTCTCGTGGTCCTCATGCCTCCAGGTGTCCCTGGTGTCCCTCCACCACCCTGAGTATTTTGACTCTGAGCAGACTTTTGCCTCTGTCTCGTAGGGTTCATGATTTGTCTCGGGGGTCTCTGCCAGATCTTGAGCTGCGCAGCGCGTGAGACGGTGAATATGGCCGAGGGTGTAAACGCAATGACGGTGAGGAGATTTCCTTCGACCATTCGGGCCTGAGATGAAGAAGGGGGCATCGAGGATCAGCGCGATGTCCACGTCCACAGCGTGAGAGAGAGGGAGGGGGAGAGAGAAAGAGAGAAGTGAGCAGAAGAGGCGGAAAGAGAGTGTGATAATTACTCACCATGACGGGTTGTAAGTCCGCCACTTCGCTCCGTGGAGGCGCTTCGTGGTACCTTGTGCCTTGGATTTCTACGCCCATACCGTGCACTTGAGTATTCAGCGAAATAGTAGAACCAGGGATACGATGATGAGACAAGTTGGAATGATGAGTATGATGGCGTGGTCGATGAAGTTGAGCAGCAGTGAAATCCCACTATTTGCAAAGCAATGCGTCAGCGAGGTAGGTCTCTATAGTTTCAAAGTCGCGCGAGTTCGCTCCACTCACCAAGACCAACTTGCCATCCTCGCCTACACTTCCGAACCTGTATCCTCCACCGCGAGAATAATCAAATGCAATGTTGGTGACGAATGCCGAGTGACCCTGACATCGAGCGACCACCCGAGTCTCACGAGCAGAGTAGATGGTGATGAGGTCGTCTTGACCTCCAACGGCGATAAAGCGTGAGTCGGGAGACCAAGCCACCTAGAAAGGAGATCGTGTCAGAAAGTGCGTCTTGAACATCCCCCAGATTATAAAAAGCCTTACACAATTCAGAGCTCCAAAGTATCCTCCAAACACATCTGTCAACCTAGGGAGGCGAGGCGAAGAGTCAGTACAAGGACGGTGACCGAACCTGGATCACGCCGAGGACTCACTTCTCCTCCGCCACGTCGACGAGTCTCAGCATGCCATCCTCCGCGACCGCAGCGAGATATCTCCCATCCGGCGAGTAGGCCAAAGCTATGAATTCTGTTAGTCTCTCATCACTCGCGCGCATACTGCAAGCCGACGTTTACGCACAGCTCAGACCTTGCTTGACGACTTTGAAGGCCGCAATGGGATTTTTTCCGACCCATGTACCCCTCTCTTCTCCCTTTTTCATCTTGCTCAGTTCAGCCAACGAACCGAAATCTTCATTCTTCCAAGCCAGCAATTTTTCCACCCATTCAACATACACTTGTCGACTGTTCGTCATACCCGTTGGACCCGCCTGAGGTGCAGCAGTGCTTTGTGGCTCGTTGTCTGATGCTATTTTCTCGAGCTCCGGGTGCTCGTTGGCGAGCCTAGACCCAGGAAGAGGTGTACTCGTTCGCTCGCCTTGACTCTGTTGTTCTTCTTGGCGTTCAAATTGAGTGGTCCATGGCATGGGAGTCGTACTGTTTGCTGGAGGCAACACGGGGTCTTCGGCGAACATGTTGAATTGGAGGATGGTGGAATCTGCGAAAGATGCAATGAAATGATGGGGATGACGAGGGTCAAAGTGGACGGAGCTGACAGCGGTGTTGTTGAGAATTCCCTTGAGGAGGTCCGGGTCAGTAGAGTTTGATGATGATGAAGCAGAGCTCTTACTCACCCCCTTGTTAATTCGCGAGTATCTTCCCGCGATGAAATCCAACCACACCAAATCACCCGAGGCGAAGCCAACGATAATATCGAGACGGTCAGGACTGGCAGTGAATGGCGAGACAGTATGGCAAGTCGGGACTTGAGAGAATGTTACGCGGGAGAATGCTTCCTACGGTGTGAGGGATGTGTCAGTCAGTGGATATGCGATGATTTCGTGGAGAAATGCGCATCCGTCTCACTTTGTACTTTCCTCCTTCTTCTGCCCAACCAAACGTTCTACCCAGATTCCAGAACCCCCACCTGACCATTTCACCAGCACTTCCTCTCCCTCTTTCCGCCAAGACCTTTGGCAAGTTGTCCATGGTCTGCAATCTCGTGACGAAAGTGGAATTGGATGATCTCAGATTATTCTTTGGTCTAGGCAGTGTATTCGACACGTTGGCATTCTTTGCAAAGATGTTGATATTTCGTTTACCAGGTTGAGCCTGAGGTATAGCAGAGAGGGGAACTTCCATCGGTGTCGGAGGGACCACGACGTTATCTGAAGATGTTGGGTCGGATGAATCAGAGGAAACGGACGGTTCGTACATTCCAGCATGATTGACGCCATTAGTCGGAGATGTCACTTGGGTTCCACCACCACCACCAACTCCTCCTCCTCCTCCTATACCCCCACCACCTCCTCCTGCGCCGAATCCTTTGGGAGCAAAGTAGATTGGGATGAAGGTCATTTTGACCGGCCAAGCAGGTTGTGTTTGACCATTGACAACGGTTGATCCGAATGACATGGCCGTTTGACCAGCTTGAGGAGGCAGAGAATTTATACCGGGTGGAACCATGAATCCCCCAGCAGCACCTACGAAGGGGGGCCCTCCACCTAATGTCCGAGGATCATAGGCCATGGGCGCTGCCGGTGTTCCGATGGATGGGAACAACGAAGCATTCAGAGTGTAAGCTCCTTCTGGAGCGTGCACCTTTTCTGGGAGTTCCGGGACGGGGACCACAGGGACCGCTGGTACCACCGGACGCGGCGGTGGAAGACGAGGGAGGAACGAGGATGGGGGAGGGATGTACAGCTCCATAATGGATGATTATAGGGAGATGAAGATGGATCCCAAATACAGAGAGATGACGATGCGTAATGCTCGTAGTTTGGATTAAGCCGAGAAAGAAAGCGCAGGGCGGGGGACGAAGGTCCGAAGGTCGTTGATTATGACACGGCGAGAGTGCCGAATGGGGGCGGGGGGCCTTCGACAGCTGGCAAGGTGGGTCGGGTCGTTGATATACACAAGGTGGTGAAAGGCTGATTGAAGACGGGGGACCAAGATCTAGGTACTACTTGGGAAGTAATGATGCAAGTCTCGATGCCCGCCCCGGTTCTCCTTCGCTCACAACGGTCAAGGACGCTGTGTCTATATTTGGGTCTCTCTGCGGGGAGGCGTAGTAAAAGAAAGGGGCAGCTGCAGCAGCAACCCCTTGCGGGACCCGGGCCGGCGATTTACCAAGCAGCTGAGGGATACGATTTTGATTCCGTTAGGGCTGTTACACTTGTGCATTCACCCTAGCATAGAAGCTCATCTGGCTCTCGCACTCTCTCCCTCTCTCCCTCTCTTGGGGACGCCATGTCATGTCGATGCCGCTTGTCGAACCCCCTCAGATGCCTCCACTTAACAATTGTTGAGTCTCAGAAGTAGCAAATTCGCACTGTGAAAGTTGAACTTTCTCGTCAATCGATCCACCGCTTCCGGATCATTATGTAGGCCGTCGAAATACGTTTGACCGAGCTAAGGACGATCGGTGGGATATCCTTTAGCAAGCCGGGCGGTGAACGGGACAGGCTGCCTGAATGACTCACCAAGGCGTCAGATTTACGATACCCCTCCATCAGGTCGAAGAATCCCATCCGGCGTTTTTCAAAGCTGGCGGTAAATGAGATGAGGAAGAGGAGGATGATCAGGGCGGCGCGGCGCGTCGCCCGATTGACAAGAGCTCACTATTGTTGTTCCACTGCAAAATGGGGGTGAAGTCGTCGTGGTCAATGCTACGGACTCTCTTGTTAAATCGCTTGACTCACTTATACGAACGGCTCTCGGATCTGAACAGCATCAATATCCTATTGGGCAGAGAGTCAAGCTCTGAGCCTCAAGCTCACGCATTTCTCCCAATTCATCAACGTATACTGCGAGCTCATGTTAAGTATGCGGGTTGCGTCGTAGCGATGACATGCCAATGCAACTCACACGGCGAGGCGAAAAAGTCATATCTGCGCGAAGATCTCAAGAGTCAGCTATGATATCCTTGGACGACATCGAAAAAGGATTGAGGCAGACTCACATCGCAAACAAGACATCCTCGCTTGCGCGAGAGAGGTTCAGGGTGGGCGAAACTCATACGCTGAACTTCGGTAGACTCACCAAGTGATCCCCTAAAGACCATGTTAGCAAAATCAATCCTAGGCGTTACTAGTTGCGAACTGGCGCTCGCGACACTCACCATCCTGTTTCTCACTCTGACTGACCAACCCGTCTCTACGTGACCCAAGTTTAATTCTTCAACAATGGGAGATGTAGCCGGTTGGCCACGTTCTTTGATCCCTGCGCGGGTGGGAGAGCGTCAATGTCCCTGAAACCATCGAGCAATCGCAATCCACTGACATTCCTAAACAGATTTACATCAGATCAATCGGTCGAATGAAAAGAGGGTCTTTGCGAGACTCACCGTCTCGGTATCGTCATAGTCCACCCAGATGGCAGCAAACATTGGATGCTGTCGTCGCGGCGTCAACAGAGTTTCGGATCAAAGCAAGACATTATCGTCTCCTCCCCTGGGTAGCCTCACTTCGATACAGTTCCATGCGAGGTACTTTCCATATGGTTTTGGATCCCAAGTTCGAAGGTTCAGCAGAGGATGGATCTTGAGCGGTGTGTTGAGCTGAGCGGCTTGAAGATAGGATAGGACTGGTCCGTATCCTGGTCTGGAAGGTTTGAAGGGGCCAATGGTGATGGCTGAGAGGAGGGGGATGAGAGAGATTGAGTCAGCGAACGTCGTTCAACGGGGAGAGGGGGGTGTTTCAAGGCCGAATACCGTCGAAAGGCGACAAGCAAAGAGAGTCTTGGAATCACATCGACTCACCGGCATCACGAGGAGCACCGACGGGGATGAGAGCCATGGTGGGTTGGTGGGCGGTTGGTCTTCGTGAGCTTCAAGGATGCAGCAGGGCAAAAAAGGTGAGGGTAATAGGCCTCGTTGGAGGGGAAGTAGTCCTCCTGTTAGAGATCTAGACAAGATGAGGATGGCTGTACACTGATGGAGATTACCGCGTTGTTCCGCAGAGCAGAGCAGCGATGCGATTCCAGCACAAGATACTGCCGAAGACGTGAGCGCCCAGAAAGAGCTCTGACAGATTCGAGATATCAGAGCTCTGCGTTCCTGTAATCTTTGAGAGTCGTCCGAAGTGAGTGAGTGAGCGAGCTGAGAGGCGGTGAATGTCAGGATGGAGCAAGGTGGTCTACTTGTCGTTGTTGTTGATCGTCAGTCGTCAGCTAGCGGTCAGAGGGGGTTGAAAGGAAGGTCAGTGGACTCGACTGGTCCGGGGGGGGAAGTGTTATGCAATGATCATTCAACGCTGCTTAAGTGTGTGTGTGCCTTTGACTGTGTATACGAGATGCTCCCTTCTACGCCCTGAGAGAGCCGAGACCGAGTGACATCTCCCACCTTGATCACTTGGAAGATTGATCTGAGGATCCATTGGACAACGAAGCTGCTAGCTGGTCACCATGGCCGAGTCCGAAAAGCCTAGAGCCCCCAAGCGCCACTCCCCCTCTCCCCCCGCATCCTCCAGTTTTGTCGTCACTGGCGCACTAAGTCTCTCGGGTTTACCGGATGTAGTGAATTTTTTATGTATATTTTATTTTGACGATGATGACGAAATGATGCGGGGCTGCTGCTGCTGCTTCTGGAAGCCGCCAAGTAGATGAGTGCGCAGTCAAACGGCTACTTTTGGTCGCCTGACAACTAAATAATACTCAACCTGTCTAACGTTCATCTTGTCGCATACATCACCAACCCGTCCCCACAAACTCTCACCATGAAAGTCTCCAGTGTCGCTCTCCTCTCCGTCATCTCGGCTCTCGGCGGAGTCATGGCTGAACCCAGACCTGACCCTCGGATAACCATGGCTCCCAGGCAGAGTGAGTCGGGGGTGATGGTTGTGATGATGACATGATGTGTGCATGTTGAAGGTTGATCATCGTCTCTCTCTCTCTCTCTTTTCAGTCGGAAGCGCCATCAACTCTGTGGTCGGTGATATCACTTCTGGAGGTGCCAGCGTCCTCTCCGACATCACTTCTGGAGGTGCCAGCGTTCTATCTGACATTACCTCGGGAGGTGGCAGTGTCTTGTCTGACATCACGTCAGGAGGTGCAAGTGTCGTCAGTGCAGCTGCGTCTGGTGAGTGAAGTGCAACATATTCTGAAGGCCGAGCTGATTGCTTTTATCCTCCTGCGTAGGCTTCCAATCCGTCACTGGAGCTGCTGGATCCGTCTTTACCTCTATCACGGGAGCCGCCGCAAGTGGCGTTACCGGTGCATCGTCTTCCGCCGCTGGTGCCGCAGCGTCCGGTGCGAGCGCAGCTAGCAGTGCTCTCAGCTCGGGTGAGTGCTCCAGGGTTTCATACCGATAGGAAAGCACACTGAACACACACACCTCCTTCTTAGCCTCCTCGGCCGCTACCACCTCTGGTGCCGCTCAGCCCGGAGCCATGTTCTCTTCCGGATTGGCCTGGACAGCCATGGTTGGAGCTGCCGGCGTTGCTATCGGTGCCGGACGAGTCTGGATCTAGGGCGAGCAAGCCCTATGCCAAGGCATAGTGTCGTTCTTTTCCCTGAGCCACCTGTGGACTCTATATACTCTGTAGCGTCCTATGCATTGATCTGTATCGTGTCGCCGAGATGGAGGTCTGTCAACCCAGATTGGGCTCATCTCCTCACACCAGCCTCTGCTCAGCTATGTCAAAGCTCTCGCCTCCACACTGCATTCCATTACAGAACGCATAATGAAAATTGGTCACCGGAATAAATGAATAGTGATCGTCGTCCACCCACTCGCACCCGGAAGAGTTGATGACGTATGACTCGCTCGACCTCACACGACCAATTGACTCAACGTGAACGGAAGCAAAAAAGATATCTTGCCACGCGACTGACTTAATGGGTGAATTTTGAAACTGAACTCCTTCAGACAGACTTTGGGGGCGGGTGTGAATCAAGGGAAGGGGGGGGGGTGTCCAGTGATGGTAGCTGCTCCATGAAACTGTCATCACACGTCACATTCATGCTGTGCTGGTGGTGGTGCTGCTGCTGCTGCTGCTGCATCCTCGCAGCAGCTGTCCCTCCTTTCATCGCTCACACACACACACACACACACACACACACATACACACACACTCGCTTCCGAAAAAAAAAACGCCACCACCCTCTCGTTTCACGCTATAAAAGGTCTAGAACCTCTTGTTAGTTGAAGGAATGTTGGCTGCTGCGGTTGCGGCGAGTCTGTTATGTGTTGAGTCTTGGCACACGAGATATATATAGAGCGCGGGATGATGCCTTGTGGCGATTGAACGCCCACTCTACCTCGACTACACAACTACATCAGCACCACAACGATGAGATCCACCATCTTCACTGTCGTCCCATTGCTGCTCGCCATCGGTGTCATCGCTCAAGGTGAATCCCAAAAGGCATCTATCCCTTCCTTCCCGCTGACACTTTCCCTCAGACGCCTCGGAAGCTGCACCGAGTGACGCTGAACCCTCTGCAACACCCTCATCCGATACAGATGCTACCGATATCTTGCCTTCCGAAGCTGCTTCAGCGACTTCAGCATTGGAATCATCTATCGAATCATTGACGGACGAAACGAGTGCCAGTGCTACAGATGTCCTCTCTTCCCTTGCAGGTGTCACGAGTAGTGTCCGGGCGGAAATCACGAGTGCCGTCGCGAGCAGGTCCAGTGCGGTTGGATCGAGGTTGTCCTCAGTGGCCGGAGCGGCATCGAGGAGTGAGTGTCTCAGCGAGCGAAAGCGAGTGTGCGCGAGTGTGCGACGCGATGTCATGTGTTTCAGCCTTGAAGAAGAATGGCCCTGCTAATAGGTTCCTTTTTCCACCTGGCTTGGTCACCCTGCCTTTGACACAACTCCATGCTCTACCGGCTGTGATGCGAGACGTTTCCCCTTTTACTGACAAACGCCTCCCTTCTTTCCTCAGGCATCGCAACTTCACATTCCGGATCCATGGCTGCCTCCAGTGCAGCCGCTTCGACCTCTGGAGCCGCTCAACCAGGATTTATCGTCGATTATACCGGTACTTGGACGGCTGCCGTCGGAGTGGTCGGTATCGCCCTCGGTGCGGGTCAATTGCTCTTCTAGATGAGGCGCGATGCGGCTCTATCGACAAGACACGATTCATTCATCCTTCCATTGTTCCGTTTTTTAGACTCCATTGTTTACATGCCGATCGACACTCTTCGCCAAACGGTAATCTCGCCTCATGTAGGTAGACCCTTCGACACGTGTTCTTTCTTTCCTCTGACACGCGGGGGGAGGCGGCAGGACCGACATTGAGGAGAGATATACGCACACACATTCACCTGTAGCATATGACACCACCATGCATATTCCTCGCACGTAGACTCTGAAATTGTCCGAGCGTCCTGCATGGCAGCGGGTGACCAAAGTAACAACAGTCCCATGCTACAAGCCTTGATTGGGAACTCGGTGACTGCCACACTCACCTTTTGTGGCCCTCTCTGGGCGTCGTGGTCGTCTGAACACTGAAGCTCTTGTGGGGATTGGACAGACTCAAGCTGCTACTGCTCTTCATCCCAGAATTGCCTCCTGTTCGCTCAGTGACCCATCAATCTGAGCTCGCCTCGGGCTGACTGAGAACCATGATATTCCCCCCTGTGCGCAGTTTTCTTTTTTTGCCCGAAGTCAATGGCCTCCGACGTCACCTCCGCGCCCCCACCACGTGGTCGGTTGTCATTCGCAGACGAATGATTAGCAGCAAGTCACCATTCAGCATTCTTACTTCTTCTTCAGACTTGGGCAGTCCTTCGGTGAGGTTTAGGGGACAGGATCATTCTATCCTCTTGTTCGATCCATTTCGACTTGTTCCTAAATAGTGAAGCATCGGCACCACGAGATTCACAGAGCAAATCTTCGACATCTCCGCTGTCGGAGATCAACACTTTTCATTTCACCCCCTCCGGAATCATTAGCACCTTTGTCAGTACTTTTCCTATGGACTCATAGCGAAGCAGATCATTGGTCTTCCATATAAACTCTATTGTCTCTCTTGGATCCGCCTACCACCCTCCCCTTCGCAATGTTCAAGCTCCTGAAAGATCTCACTCGACCTCCCGAGCCTCTCTCACCACGTCTGCCATCTCATTCGGATCACTCGGCAGCCTCGCACCACCCTCATTCGTCGCCTGTCCCTCGACTGAGAGGTCGTGCGTCCCCTGCTCCGAGCCGTCAGGCGAGTCCGGTGACTCGGGTGATTGACCTGCCAGATGACAACCCGCCAACTCAAGAGCTGGAGGGCGATGGGAAGAAAGTCAGGGAACTCCTCGAGGCTTTGGACACTGTGAAAGATGGAGTCATGGGATATGTCGAGGTGAGTCAAAAGGTGTTCCGTCTAATCATGGACGAGAGAGATATCGCTGCTTCATACATCCCATCTGACTATTCTCCAGATCCTATCCCAGCTCAACTCTATACGTTGCAACCACACGGCTCTCCAAGCATTCAGGATACAGAAAGGGTTTCCAAGACTCTTTCGGACGCTCAAACATCTCGCCGCATCGTCCAGTGTTCCAGACGAGGGCGATGACGAGCGGCATGTGGAGCAAGTCCAGCGGATGGAGGGCTTGAGAATGTGGTTCGAGGTTCTGGGCTGGGCATTGAGAGAACGAGAAAGTACCAAGGCATTTGAAGCCCTGGGAGGCTACATGGCATTGTTGGATCCTCTTCGAGAGCTGTCTGCGCCTTTGTCATCATCGTCAACGGCTATATCGTCCATGGCCGGATCTTCCGCCTCTTCCTCGATGACCGTCACTGCTCCGCCGGTACCTGATCCGAAGATCCTGTCTCATCTCCTGGCCTACATATTCAACAACAATTACACGCTCTTATCGATATTCTCAAAGGGATATTCAGAGACCGTGGACATCCCGACATTGACCCAGCAGCTCGGAGATGTCAATCTTTCACGTCCTCGAGCTTTATCACTCCTCTGGTCATACATCTGGGGAACACCGAGTCACCTCCCATCCAAGACAAGAAAAGGCAAAGATAAAGCTGGTCAACCTCAATGGTCCACTGCTAATGGAAAGCTAGAATCTGAATCTGGGAGAGACAAGGCTCTAGAGATGACATTTGGGATCATGTACGCCGCTGCTCAATCTTCGATCGCAAATCTGTTCGCCCTCTGTTCAAGTCTGCCGTTCCTCCCCCGATTCCTGCTCGACAGACTGTACGGACCGGAGCAGGAACGCAAATACGAGATCACCTTCCCGGCTAGAGACGATTGGTATGTCCCAGAGACGAATGATGGCAATGCCAGCCTTTTGGAGGATGGTTTCGAGTGGACAGCTCCTCAAGGATCGCTTCGGACGATCTACCTCGATCTTCTTCGTCGACTATTAGATGGAGGTGTCGATCAGACTGTCGTGTGGAGACTGTTCACCCTCGTCAAGACTACCGCGGAAATCACCACCAGCCACAAGCCGACTGTGGTCCCAAAGGGCGAAGAATTCGACTCGTCACAGGACAAGGATTACCTGTCTCCACCTGTCGTCAGTCAAGACTTTGCAGGTAGCGATCGTACAATCGACGATTCGACCTCCTCCATAACATCGACCTCTGCAATCTCTGGATCGAACAGACACCTCGCTCCTGAATCACCTAGGTCACCCGGTTTGGTGGACACTTCCGCACCTACCACACCGACGCCCGACCCATCGTCTAGCAGAAAACCCAGAATACCACGGCTGACCATCGACCCTTCTCCACAGGTTCAGCGAGAATCGCTAAACACTGAAATTCTAGATCTGATACGACACGCTATGAAAGCCCGTTGGCCCGACTCATTCCTCTTCCGGGGACTTGGGACGTCTGATGAATGTGGCATAGAGCTGAGAGATATGGGACGATCCTGGCCTCACCCAGCAAAGGGTTTCAATTTTTCCGTGAGTTTGGCATCCGAAGCTTTTGTTCCTCTCAACGACAGTGACATCAGCTGATGCCTTTTGCAGTGCTGGATCTACATCTCCAAGTTGAATCGTCCCATCACTTTGCTTCATGTCTCCCAGGCGAATCAATCTCACCCACTTTTCCAACTTCGAATCTTGGAAAACTCTCAAGTCTCCGTTCTCGCTTCCGTGTATCGTCCAGAATCCACGCATCCGCCTCAACCTCAAGCGGCCGCCTCTCAAGCCGCCAATGGCTCAGTGTCCTCTGCACAGACTCCAGCTGCACCTTCTCCGGCGGAGAGCAGCGAGGAGACCCCAGTACCCGACGAGATCATTTGCTCGGCACCCGACGCGCTGATTGCTCACGGCCAATGGGTTCACTTTTCCGTCGGATGTCGAAAACCCAAAGGTCTCGAATTGGCCGAAGCGAGAATCTTTGTGAATGGTGTGCGGGTCGGCGCTATGCGACTGCATTATCCTGTTCCTGCCCCTCCTGGACCTGCGACGCAACATGTCTTGCATTCGAAGCCTGCTTCTTCAGCTGATGCTATACGGTTAAGCGTGGGCAAGCCTTGGAAGTTGGGAAAAGGGAAAGAAGAGGAGAAGTTGGGACTTGGAAGGGAAGAAGAGAATGAGTTCTTATTGGGTCGGACTCTGTTTGTCGAGGATGTCTTGCCGGAGGATATAGTTTTGCTGTTCTACCATTTGGTGAGTGCAGACAAAGCTGCGAAACGGTTCGCGTCTGACCAGATCGTCTGTCTCAGGGCCCACGCTATCACGGCAATTTTCACGACCCTCTCGGCAAGTTTTTGACCTGTGAGCGTGTCCGAAGACTGCATACCTGATTTCACACTCATTGTTTTCCACTCAGACGAGGCCGCTACATCTATAAACGTTTACTTGTCCGCACAAGCTGCAGCCGCAGATGACAAGTCACTCTTCACTTCAAAATCCAATTCAGATCTGGTCAAAGCTATCCGGCAAGGGTCTGTAGTCCCAGAGGAGCACATCCTACTCTCACTCATCTCCAAGGATGCTACACCAAGCGATGTCGCTGCAGGTCTAGGAGCGCAATACTGCATCAACGGTGCTGTTCCCCACCCCGTGCGAGCCGCCCAACTTCGACATGGTATCGCTTCGATTGTCGGACCATCAGAATCCATCTTGCCGTTTAGTAATCAATGTCTCGACGATAGCGTCACCTGTGTGGGAGGTGGAGCAGTGGTTCTCAAGATGATCGACATGGCGAAAACAAGTGAAGAGCTGGCGATCACATTGGGAATCCTGAGGGATATGCTCAAGCACAGTTGGGCAGCGAGTGAAGAGATGGAGCGGATTCGTGAGTAGTCGCTCCACCCACTCGAAAGCTGAACATGTCAGGTGGGTTTGATCTCCTCGCCGCGATTTTGCGACCTAAGATGGTCAACCTCGTGGACATCCCTTGTACCAAGATCATTCTCGCCATGTTGGGAATCAACATGGATCGACCAAAGTGCGTGAGACAAATCAACGATGCTTCAGGTTGCTGAAACAGATCCTCAGCGCCGCTACAGTACACAATTCGGCGGCGTATCGCGCCCTCGGACTCGAATTCGAACTATGGTCTCGAGCGAGTCTTGGCGTGGTCACGCTTTACCTGCAACACTTTGAGTATCTACTTGCCACGTCGAAGCACGCGCGTTACAACGTGTTGAGAACATTCCAAAAGGCAGCTATGGTGCGCAAGATGCTCTACGCCCTACGATCAAATCTTTTCGATCTTGCTGTCGTACCCGTCGTCGTGGATACTCTCAAGCTAGTCTTACTGGCCCGGTGGAGCGGCGCCGACGCCATCAAACCGACTTTCTCTTATCTCATCTCCGCGCTATGTCAATCTCCTTCATCGGTCTACCCCTCTGCAATCACGAGTGAACCTCCCGCATCTCAAGCGCCAGCTGCTCAGATTCTGTCCATGATCGCTGGCCTGACTCACAATGGTCCGAGACTCGTCAAACTCAATCGATCCATTGCACTTCATCGTCTACTTGTCATCTTCATCTCTAGCAACTCGGCTCCCTACGTCATCATCCCTTGCTTGGATATCCTCGAGCGATGTATCCTCACTTCGGGTCTGGAATCATTCCAACGATCCTTTGAGGCGGAAGGAGGATTCGCGCTATTGGCTCGGACGCTAGGACCGGTCTGGACTGGAGATATTCAAGCTAGGGTCTTGAGGATGTTGACTGGCCCCAGCTCATCTGATGGAAAAACTCTACTTTGTCCAACGTTGATTTCTGCGGTTCTCTCTGCTTTGGACTGTCTGTTGCAGACCGGAGATGACCCATTCAAGCCCAGTCGAAGGGGGTCCATGTCTTCCATCCGGTCAGTCAGCATGACGCCAATGGCCACGAGTGAGTGTTTCGATCGATTGATTGATCGATAGATCGATCGCAGTGGCATAATCGGCTGAACATTCTTTCCTTAGCTACTGACCTCAATGGTGTGCCTCCATCTGAGGACACTCGACTGGAAGATCTGCTTCGATCCCTCACCGCGTTGTATCGGTCCAACTCGCTCTTCCGCCGGACATTCACCAATCGTCGAGTCGAACAGATGTTACCTGCCCTTGTCGACTTTGCAGCTATGAGTTCAAGCTCTCCTCATCCAGAACGTACAAATGCACAGCGTTCGGCAGCTGCTGAATGGCTTCAAGCCATCATTGACAAGCACAAAATCTCACATTCGCTCATCAGTCAGATCAAATTGGTCATTGAACAGCTCAGATCTCCCATCATCACTACTTCCCCACCTGCCTCGTCATCTCAAGCGCCTTCCCCTCGACCCAGCTCTGTGCATCTCGCTCGATCATTTACAGGCCGTATGGGGACCACTCCACCCCCTACACCCTCGCCTTCGGGTCCTATCCCCCGCAGAAGACCCTCTACCGACGCTTCATTCTCCCCTTTCCCCGCTCAGCGATTCAGAGCTGGAGAACGAAAGGCACCATCGTTGAAACGGGTTTTGACAGGTGAATCCATACTCGAAGGTGGAAAAGATAAGAACGCAGCGTGGAAATTGATCATCATTCAGACGGTAAGTGACGGAATTCACAATGTATCCACTCATGCGTCCCCAGGATTCGCAAAGCCATTCCAAGATGATTCTAGAGAGGTGAGACAAGGACGACCCAGAAGAAAGTTTGCTAATGGCTTTTCATCTCAGAAAAGAACACTGGCGCAAGTTGTCCGAAGTCGATTGGCCACGTGTCGCTTCTGCTTTGCGAGCCGAGAATGGCCTGTGGCCTGAACAGGAAGGACCTGTGCATTGGAGGCTGGACGGCAGTGAAGGCCCCCTGAGGATGCGGTGAGTGTGCAGCGGATAGAGGGAGAAAGGTGTATTCTAACCCACTCTCAAGGAATCGCCTGGAACGGGTCCAAGCATCGACCGAGCCCGTTCAAGGTCGAATGCAGCGTAAGCTACGCGATGCCATTCCTTCCATGGACGAGCTCTCGTCAGCGGTCTCGAGAGTCAATCTGGCTCCGTGGGAGGATCCTTTCGCGCTAGCTCTCGGACAAGCCGCTCCGATCTCTGAGGAGGGTGCGTAGAATGCAGCGTATGATGAATATGCTAACGTCTCCACGGCAGCCGAGGCACCGCTCGTGGACCCGCACAACAATGTTTCACCACCGAGTCCAACAGAGTCTCGACTTGACGACGAATCAATCATCGATATCGAGGTCGACAAGGACGACAAGATGCGTCGAATAGCCAAGACGTTGGAGGCTGGCGATATAGTGGAAGAAGCTCATAATATCGTTCGGATCGTCGGTGTGGACGCTTGTCCCGGTCTGTTGATCCTAGGCAAGAAGAATTTGTACCTTGTCGATGGCCTAGTACAGACTGCAGGCGGGGAGGTCATCGATGCGAAAGATGCTCCAAGGGATGTTTTGACGATCCCGGGAACTATCATTGACATGTCGGGCTCGGAGCAAGAGAGCCTCAAGTGGTGAGCTGGACAATATTGTCAGAGGATGAAGTCAGCTCATAGACGCTCTTCAGGCCATACAGTGAAATCATCGAGACGAACAAGAGAGCATTCCTGTTCCGCGATGTCGCGTAAGTCATGGCTCATCATCCAAGTGGTATTACCTCTAATCGACCCTCTCACAGACTCGAGCTGTACTTTTCCGATAAGCGAAACTTTCTCGTCGTATTGAAAGACAAGCGAGAACGTTCAATCATTGTCTCAAAACTACAGTACAAGACGAATCAAGCAGGAGTCATCTCTCAATCGCTTATCGGCAGCTTTGTTTTGGACCAGGTGGTCCGAGTCATTGAAAAGCCGGAACAGCCTCTGGACGCCTTGACAAGAAAGTGGCAATCGAGAAGTATCAGCAATGTCCGTGCACAGTCCACCATATCCGTATCGTGGAAGCGCTAACATTCTGCGCAGTTTGCCTACTTGTCCCTCTTGAATCAGTACGCCAACCGGACGCCAAACGGTCAGTCCTTTCAAGTTCATGAACTGTGCGTCAACTAATTCCAAGCAGATGTCACGCAATACCCCGTCTTCCCATGGGTTCTGTCCGACTATACATCCTCCATTTTGGACTTGAGCAAACCATCCAGTTTCCGAGACTTGACGCTGCCAATGGGTGCCTTGACACCCGCTCGAAGAGAAGCTGCGGTGGAGCGATACACCGCGACAGAGGGAGTCGGCGAGAAGCCGTTGTGAGTGTTTGATTGACAACGCATTGCGACTTGCTTAGCAGAGCATATAGCCACTATGGAACTCATTACAGCTCGTCGATGATCGTCTGCGGTTTCTTGATTCGTCTGTCCCCTTTTACCGAGATCTTCCTCGCTCTTCAGGTGAGCTGCAGTGCCTGGTAGCGGATGAGACCAGCTGACAGTGGCTCAGGGCGGCAATTTTGACCTGGCTGATCGGCTTTTCTCGAGCATATCGCGAGCTTGGGACTCTGCATCAGCCGACAATCGCGGTGATGTGAGAGAATTGATACCGGAGTTCTTTTACTCCTCAGCCTATCTGAATAATCTGGTGCGTCGATGATCGAAGCTGGAGTGTCCCTACTTATCTAGCTCCAGAATCACCACGACTTTGGCCGCAAACAAGTTTCTGGTGATTCAGTCGACGATGTCGTCCTGCCTCCTTGGGCCTTGAATGACCCTCTCCTATTCACACACAAGCACCGTGAAGCTCTAGAATCAGATTATGTCTCTCGTCATCTTCCATCCTGGATCGACTTGACCTTTGGTTGTAAGCAAAGAGATCCATCGTCGTACAACTGCTATCATCCTCTCTCGTACCGTGGTGCAGTGGATCTGGAGCACATGGAAGACGAAAGTGAATTAGCGGCATCGACAGCGATCATCCACAACTTTGGTCAGACTCCACTCCAAATCTTTAAATCGCCTCATCCTTCTAGATTTTCCAGCGGTCGTTCGACCCTGCCTTACGGTCAATTGTTTGGAGTGGCGGAACAATGGCAGTTGCTGTTCAGGAGCAGGCTGCCAGTCATTGAGACTGTGCTCCCCATCGACGACATCTATATTTCAAGTGGATCAGAGTCAAAACCCTCAGCTTTACAGCGACATCGATTGGGCGTGCCTGGTTCGCCTCTCTTGTCCGTTCACTATGGCTTCGCCGATCAAAGTCTCCGTGTCCTGTACCAGGAAGTAGTCGGCTCAATCGGGACAAGAGTGAGTCAATTATATGTCCTGCTCATTTTGCTGATCCAATGGCAGCTGGTGCATGTTCTTGAAGGCGTTTCAGTGGTTCATGCTGTCTTTGCTAGCCCTAGCCTCCTCGTCACTGTCTCCTGGGATAGCGTCATTACCGTTTGGAGGATGAGCGTCAAGTCGTATGGTAGCAAGAAGGGTGATGTCTCTCTACAGCGGGAAGCAATCCTTCGAGGACACACGTCAAAGGTCACCACACTCGCTGCTAGTCAGGCTTGGTCCTTCCTCGTCAGCTGTTCCGAGGTGAGCAGGGAGAGTGCCAGCCTCGGATCTGAGCTGACTCCGTGCAAAGACTGGCAGTGCCATGGTGTGGGATATGAACCGTTGCAAATACACCCGGACGCTTCAGCTCCCAACCAAGGAACCCATCAAATTTTGTGAAATCAATGAGTCAGATGTAAGTGGACGTGGACGTTTGCCGGAGAAATGGCTCGCTGACCTGGACACCCAGGGTCAAACTGCCATCGCAACCGCTACACACCTGTTCCTCTTCTCATTGAATGGACATCCTATCGCCAGCACGCCGCTGGAGTCTGAGTTGGCTACAGATTTCACTTTCGGCGAAATGGAGAACCATGAGCCAGAGCAATTCACAGGAGGCATTTCGTTCCTCAAGCGCGAATTCTTGCCGTTCGGAGTCTTGTTCGTCATTGGGGTTGGGAGAGAACTTGCATTGTATCGATGTGTTCCCGGCGTCAGGTCCTATGAAGATGAAGAGGATGTTCTACCCTGGCAACTGGTCGAGCAAGGACGACTTGCACGATCGGACGATCATCCTGGTGGAAATTGCTGCATGGTCAAATTTGCAGGGTGAGCCATTTTTTCACTTCCGAAGCTCCACAATGGCCAAATCTGATACGATGCTCAGGGAGACTCTGTATGCCGCGTTTGAGCCCTCTGCGGACACGTCAAAATATACACTGTGGCAATGGTCGTTGCCTGAAGGTGGAGCGAGGCATGTCCCAGAAGCTGTGTCGCATTTGTGCATGGCAGAGCACTGTGGAAGGCACTTTGGCCTTTTGGGTAGGTAATCGGGCCGTGAGAGTTGGACCCAGCTCTGATCATATGTAGAGCCGAAACGTTTCTGCGGAGGTTGTGGTGGATCATTCTGCGGGTGAGCTGACATTTCATCTATTGTACCAAGGACCCTGGTTGACACGATCCGGTCCCGCAGTACACACGCCGTTCACGTCGAAAGCCTTGAACAGAGATACTGTTCCGATTGTCGATCTCAGCTCGCCCAGTCTCAGAACCTACTGAATCGACGTAGAGATTCGGCCATTGCGACTTCTCGTCGAGGCTCTTCTGCGGGCCTGGCGTCTGGCGCCAACTCCCGTCGTGCATCGATCAGTATTCCCCATGGTTCAGCCTCTCGACGCCCTTCCGTCTCTCACGTCTTGGCAAAAGCTGCCATCGCTGCACATGCTATATCCAACAGTAGTCCTCATGGCTCTGGGCCTGGAAGTCCCGCGTTGGGAAGTACGATCAAGTCGATGTCAGTCAGTCCGGTAGCGGAACGAAGGTCTAGAGAAGCATCACCTCGGCTGAACGTTCCTCCTTATTAATGAGGCGAGCGAGGTATTTCGACCGATTCAGTCCCACGTCGCTTCGCCAAACACCGAATGCATTTGTGTGGGATATATGTGATCCTTGCAAATGTGCGGCGCCCCGGTGATCTTACCCAGCTCTCAAGTATCCTTTGGACCGCCTTCTGAGGATGACAGATGAGATTGACGGTTCCACCACTGCCCAGCGGGATTCGTGATCAGGTCCACCTCATCATTGACCTTGTCAGGTCTTCCAAAGACATCTCTACCCTTCCGCGTCAATTTCCAGATCGCCCCGAGACGCTCGTTGAATGTCTTTCCATCGAGATCGTCACAAGCTTTCGTTAGGTCCTGAGAGGCGCAGAGTCAGATAACCATCCCATCTTGCTTCATTTCCAGCGCCAACGCAACGTTGCGCAAGACGGTCTTTGATCCTCGTCAAGACACACACACACACCCAGACTCACATTAGTTTGATCTAATAGTACTTTGAGTAGAGCGGTCTTGAGCGCCACTGTCCATTCTTGGCTATCCTCCCGGTCGGGACGGTTGGGAATCCCAGGTGGGAGAGGGAACGTTGATTTCAATGTCGGTCGAATGATGGTCATTTGGGGCGTATGCCAGAAAACTTCGATAGATGGGTCTGTATAGGTCGGGTGATCGTGATTGTGGTTGTGGTTGTGGTTGTGTGAGGGGGAACACATGTGCACAATAGATCAGCTTGGGTTTCCTCGAAGACAGAGAGAGTGTATCAGATCAAAGAGAACGTCAGCGACCACTTGCCTTTGTTTGACGCTACGAACCCAGCGAATATCGCTTGAATACCGGAAAACCATCTTTGCTTTTGATCATCAGAGACCTCTGATAGTAGTGTCATACTGTGGACGACGCAATTGCTGAGAAGACACAATGCATCAACACCGAGCTTGAGCTTGACGCACGCCGTTCCCCCCATCTTTAACAAAGGAGTGAGGATCCTTTCCCCGTCATTCCTTTATCAGGCCCTTGAACAAGTCTCAAGGCCGCCCTTCTCAGGACTCTACACAATACATGTGATGCATAGTTACTATATACAACGAGTGTGACTCATCCTGACGTATCGTAAAAGCAATACAGACCTTTCAAGCCCCGACAATCTACCCTCTGATTGCAGACTGAATCTTCGACTCGATCTCCCAAAGAGCCCTCTCAAGCAAGGTACGAACTTCATCATCGTCAGTATCGCCCAGTGCGCAGAGTACTGCCACTCACTAGCTATCTTTTTGACCTTCGTCTCTCTCTAGGTACTCCTTGTCAAGCAGGAGATCGATGGCCTTTTTGATCTCTGAGACTTTCGGCGTGAACTTGGTCGAGATTTGAGCGGTGACTTCTTGTATCAAAGCCTGATGTTTCATAGTCTGGAGAGAAGGTCAGCGCTCCTCGGTCTGAGTCTGATAGAAAGCAGGAGCACGCTCACCTTTCTTGCCTTCATCAAACGGACGATCGTAGCTTGGTAGACGAATTTCCGGTCTTCGTCAACCGCTGCGAGGACTTCAGTAGCCTCTGCCTTTTGCTCTGATTTGACGGGCTGGTTCAAGTTGACCTTTAGCTTCTTGGATTTGAAGTCTGAGATGTTTCACGTGAGCTTCGGCCGAAACCAACAGGGAGGAAGCTCACTCAGGTTCAGATCGTAATTGTTTCCATCCTGCAGCAAGATTTTGGCCTTGACTAAGAGTCCCAATTGAGCGTTGAGAACGCTCTCTTGCAACTGAGTTCCCGATAAGAGGTCCTGCAGTGATAGCGAGTCGTTCTCGTTGAATTGACACAGGATGGCCATCTGGTACGCGTTGGTCATAAAGATGTACTTTTGTGGCAAATAGGTAGTGCGCAGCTCGGCTTTCATGACATGCCACAGCCATGTGAGTTTTCGTCCACTAGTGAGGCAGGTGAGCAAGCTGACACCACTAATTAAATGACGAGAAAGCTCACGAATGTACCTCACTATGATACTTGGTGAACGCATCGTATGTACTCTGAATCTCCCGGGGCACAGCGTAGTTCGTCGGAGCAGGAACAATCGGCCAGAAGTTGGCGCCGAGAATCATAGCGGTGAAGTCGACTGCGGACATGAGCTGACTTCGATAATTTGCTAGCTCACTGTCGCTCGATGCAGCCCTGTTTCTCTCCTTTTCCTTGAACTTTTCGGTCAAGTCGCGGCTAAGGTTCATATCTGCCGGGTGTCAGCTCTTGTGCACGTCTATACCATGCGAGTGAATTGACCTGTGAACATTCGAGTGAGCTTGTTGGTGTACTCGAAACCGGATAACTCCTTCAATTTGGTGATCATGCTCGATTCGCTGTCGTCCGAGGCTGAGAGCTGGCCAATGAGACGAAGGGCCAGTTTTTTCTGGTAGAACTTCTGGAAGACGTCCTTGTCGTCAATATAGCGGAAAATAATCATCTGTTAGCGTGGTCAGCGAGAGCACCGTAGCGGCGGGGGCACCCACAGCTTGGTTGAGAGCGTTTTCCACGGATTCTCCGTCAAGATCCTTGTTGCTTTTTCGTAGCATTTGATCGCAGTATGAAGCCAAGAGTTCCGGTGATTTGGTAGGCGAGGTGCAGGCGGCATTGGTATTGCAGAAGTCCCGACAAGCCTACGGCTGTCAGCCAAAGAGGATCACTAATACTGACTTTGTCCAGGCTGGCGTTGAAACCAAGCTCGGCGCGGAAAGGTCCATCCACGACCTCTCCAAATTTGCCATGCACTTCAAGTAGAGCCTCGATATACGATTTCGGATCCTGATAGTGTGAGCTGGACGGTTTCCGAGACCGGTTAATGATTTAGCTCACCAGGACCTCTGCTTTGCCAGCCTCATTGACTGCTCCGGCAGCTGGGAGCACCCGTTGCACAGCAGCGAGACCCGCCCGTTTGACATGCTCTTCGAACTGCCTCCGGAGCGGCTCCAAGCCTGTTGGTATACGAGACAAGAGAGCGTACATCCTGGTGAGATCTGGGCAGAGTGTCAGCTAGTCCAATGACTGGAGATTCAGCATACCTTTCAACCTATCTGCATCTAATAAAGCCTGGAACTCATCCCACAGAAGCTCCGCGTGATCCGATACCAGAACCCTCTCACAAGTCTCCTTGAGCTGCGGAGATCGTAAGCTCCGGAACGGTGTAAGGAATGTCGTGCTCACATCTTTCCTCGTACTGTCGTTCAGGTACAACGTCACACGCTGAGCCTCTTCGTCCAGCCTATCCTCTGCCTTCTTCATGTAGTCTGAGACGGAATTGGCGACGACGTAGAGGCTCGATTCGTTCTTGTAGTATTGCCTCGTCGCCGCAAGGAAGGGCGTCTGGAAGTGCTCCTTGTAGACGTCCAAGTTCGCTCGCTGGTAATCGCCCTGATCGATACCAAGTGATACTGGACGTGTGTGAGTATGACGTCTGATTGATATCACACGGCGAACTCACCATAACTCTCAATGACCTGCTTCAGCAGTCCCGAGTCAACGACCTCTCCGTTCCTCTGATGCTCAATCTGCCGCAAGATCGCCTGGGTCAACCTGCTGACCCCTCCTTGGTTGGCGAAATGGTTGAAAAAATTGTTTTTCCACGCGACCAAGGCTAGCTGGATATCTATCAGCTATGAGTTTCTTTGGAGGTGTTAGCTGACTCACCGTGTACACCGTGTAGACCTCTTTTCTGCCCTCCTCCTTTTCTCTCTTGACCCAATGCTTGTTCAAGTAGTTGAACAGCTTGTTCACATACGTCGCTCCGGTCGTGTATCGGTCCCATTCTTTCGCGTAGAATTTGAGCAGCTCATGATCTGACAAGGTATCTGACTCCTGTAGAATGATACGTATAAGTCTAAGCCTGTCGTCCACTCGCCCGTCACTCACCTCGCGTAATCGCTTGCAATGATTTGAGAGGAAAACGTGCAGACTCTTGTACAGCTCTGATCCTTGCAGACTTGCACCTCCCCTTGTGGCACCGTGTCCTGCAGTAGGTCTACTGGCGGTACAGAAGTCGTATATGGCTGTATAGAGGAGAATGTAGTAGGAGTAGGACATGCCGAGGTGTAATCTATTGCAGTCCGAGCGAGAGCGGCATTAGCGACGGCGACGCGGGACCTCAAAACATGTAGCGCAGAGGTTTGCAGTCGGCCAGGGCCATCGAATTCGATGACTCTGAACGAGCCCGGAAGGCCAGCGCTTGCGCACTTCTCTCCTTCCACCCTTTGGCGGCGGCAAACGCATGCCAGCTCGTTTTCGGAATGAGCCCTCACCTCGTCATGATGTGCTCAACGCCGACTTTGAGAAACGCCCATGCTTCCTATAGACGGATCAGATCGGCTGTGTCACAGATCAGGCTTGATAGAACCTTACCGGCAGATCCGCATCCCTGTTTATCTAGATCAGCATCCAGGCCAATGGAAACACCGGGTCATTGAGCGGCCACGACTCACTTGGGCGGTTTGTCCTCCTTTGTCGGTTCTCGCCATGCCGCTTTACCGGATGAACTCGCAGACGTGGACATAGCTTAGGACTCTGAGATTTTCTCTGACGCCCCAAACTGCACTACTCAGAGACAGAGGCTGACACGACACTGAGTACGAGGTATGAAGAAATGTTCAACAGACAGGTGCGTCTCAATGATTGATCACCGGGCTTCAGGAGACGAGGGGTTGATATATTTGATTCCGGCCACGTCATGGTGTGTTTTCGAAGAAGTTGGGAAATGTCGAGTAGCTGATGCTGCATCTCCTACGCATTGCAAAGCAGCAAAGGACGAGGCGACAAAGGCAATAGATCACTCAGCAACATCCGCGTAGATCGAGATTGGCTCACCATGTCTCGCTCCAGTCTCATTCGAGACTTGAGCTCCCGAGTCGTTTCCTCTGGTCCGTCTCAGCTCCGACCCTGCCTAGCTGTAGCTTCTTCATCCGCTCGACCCCTCGCCAAACGTCGAATCTCCTCTACTGTGTCTTGTCAAGCTGCTCCTGTTGCCGATGAGATCGCTCGGGACACAAAGCGTGGGGTCGTTCAGATCCCTCATCCATCCCTAGACGCAATACACGGCTCGACTCGACTCTTGCTCAAACCCAGTTCTCTACCCTCTCTGGTCCACGCCTACGCCATCGTCAGAGCCGTCGAAGCGCATTTCCAAACCTCTGTCGTCTCTGTCGAAGTTGGCATGAGTCCAGATCTTTTTATGCCCAGTCATAGGATACACATCACGCTCTTGAAACCCGTCATTTTGGAGAAACCACTGCATCTCATTACCCCCTTGCCAGAGATGACCATGGAAGATGTAGATCTCTTCGGCCCGTCCTTAGAGGATATCCAACGGGTTTTGGATTCACCTGGACAAGTGGAAGATCGTGATGGTGATTCTGGACCCATTTCGCAACTTGCAGAGGATGCAAAATTGTCTTTCCGAGTCGAAACCCTTCCTGCCGAGTCGCGCGCACCGATACCGAACCCTCCCAAATTGCCTCCTGGGTTATATCGAGATCAGCTGAGGCGGCGTCAGGAAAAGGTCGCTGCGGATGTAAAGATCTATGCTGCTGTGGAAAAGCTGAAAGAAGTGTCGAATGGAGAATTCGATGAATTGCTGGAAAAGTTTTCACACTTCAAATCAGCTGCTTCATCCCCCGCTAGCCAGCAACAAGTCGGAGGACAGTCTCTTCTCAACCTGCCTGAAGAGGATCCTTCAGCTCCAGCATTCGATTTCGCACTGCGCAAAGAGTCGGCGAGATCTTCTAGTGTTCGCAGTAGCACTCACAGCCAACGCCCCGATGCAGAAGACCCGAACTCCGACGCCAGGAAGCGACAGTCTTTCAATCTCTCCGCGCTTCCCGGGCGGTCTGCTTCAAAACTTTCCGCACAACCGAGCAAAGAAGACGGTGCAATGGTTGAATGGAGCAGATCAGCCGTCGCTGAGAGCCAAAGCACGAAACGGTCGAAATCCTCAGCTTCCACACGAGCTGGAAAACAAGCCAAGCCAAAGCCAGCAGAAGAAGAGGACTTGTACGTTCGTCTAGAGCTTATGAGGAAACAAGAGGAAAAGAGAGCAGCTGCCGAAGCGGCTGAACGAAAGGCTGAAAAGAATCGAGAGGCAAAGGTACTTCAGGAACAAAGACGGGAAGCTGAGCTGGATCAACAACGACAAGAGGAGAAGGCCAATTCGACCATTGGGAGGATGGGTCGGATGTTGAACGACGCTGCGAAACGTTGGGGTATATAGCGCATCCCAGTGTGCAGCTGCGTTTTAGAAGCACAGCACAGCATCGCATGTCATGATTTTGTGCAGACTCAGTCACGTCGCATTGACGAACGATGCATTGCCCTTGATTCCTCGTGTGATGTCAAAACAACAAGTGATATTGCAGGTTGAAAGAATTATGATATGTACAAAACAAATTTATGACACCAAGACGAAGAAGATCTCCCTTTCCGGTTCATCACCTCCTTGCCATCTCTGGAGCTACCGCTGCTGTGGGCAAAGCGGCACTTGGTAGCTCTGCCAGATCATCGATATTCGGAGGCACAAACGGGAAGGTACCAAGGAACGAGTCGGCCACCGAAGCAGCTGTCAATGGTCGGCCCGAAGGGGCGTTCGGCGTCTGTCCTTCAACTCCAAGAGGAGGTTTGAACGACCCAGGCGGTGGTCTTGGAACAGTCGCATTTCCATCAAGGGTATTGCTGGAGGATGACTGAGGTACCCCGCTTGCAGAGGCCATGAAGGATCCAGATGATGATCCAGCCTGAGTCGGAGGAATCATTGGGAATCCAGAGAGGACTGAATCGGCATAGGATCGATTCGAGAATGTAGAATCTCGACCTGCTCCAGCATTCGCAGCAGCAAAAGGCGGATTCGGTCTCATAGTGGAGCCACCAGCAGCGGCGGCAGCAGCAGCAGCAGCAGCAGCAGTGACATTACGGAGGGCTCCTGGTCCAATTAAGCGCGGCGTCGCCGTCATTGGCATCTGATCGATAGCTTGGGGATCCGGTTGAGCCAGGTATCTGAAGGTGCCCATGGATGACATCGAGTCCCGATAGGCGAGTGAATCCATAGAGAACCGGAGATCATTGGATCCGCCGCCAGGAGAAGAGAGCACGTCTCGCCCTGAAGCATTGTCGGATCGCAAGCCTTCTTGTGTGCCATAGCCTGGAGATGTTGGCGTAGGGGGTGGTCTACCACCAAACGTAGCGGGTGTAGGGGTTCTATCCCATTCCTCCTTTTCGTCCAACTCATCTTCTAGTCCTCTGGAAGGTGACAACGTTCTCTGATTGCCCCTCCCCATGTGGACCACTTCGGCCTGTTGAACTCTCCCAACGTGGACTTGACGCGACGTGACAATTTTTGGTGCGTCATTGTGGACATCATACGATGCGCCCGATAGGAAACTAGGGGCAGCGCTGTTGTCAGACACGTAGGAATCGCGTATTCGAGGCACAGTGGAGAGACCTCCTGGAGATCTGGGATCTTTCCAACTTGAATCTCCAGATCTTGCCGGACGGGCAGGTGCCCCGGGTCGAAAGAGGTTTTGCCTCGCTTCGTCCAATGTTCGAGCGGCTTGAGCTGTCGACATTGCATCCTCGGAACGAGATGAAGGGATGTATTGAATAGGAATGATATTGGTCGAGTGGGTACTCGTAGCGGCTGTAGAAACACTCTGACGATCAGAAAACGGATCACCTCCGTTATCTGGATGTCGGGGATCCAAGTTGATAGTGCCATTGGGACCATACACCCTAACTTGGGCACCATGCTCATCTTGAAATTCAGCATTGACCGATGCGGGAGGTAAAGGCGAAGCCCTTCTCGATGCGGACGGAGGCGGGGCAGGGAGACGAGACCCGGTCGAGGGAGCCGGCGACCTGGACGATGTTGATCGATTGATTGAGCTAGCGATGTGAGGTGCGGGAGAGTTTGGATGCGAGAGCTGAAAGGTTGATTCGGCTTTCCGTGCCCGTTCTGCCAATTGCTCGAGTCGTCGCAGGTCTCGTCGCTGAATTTTGAGCGAAGCGTCAGCCGAGGTGACTCGATGCAATAGCCGACCTACCTTCTTTCTCCTCAGCCACCAAAACAATGCCAAGCTGACGATGACCAGCACCGCGACCACAGGACCAGCAATAACACCAGGGTTGATCCCTCCACTAGAGGAAGGAACAGGGAGACATTCGATCTGAGGGCATTGCGAGCATGTCCTGATTTACGGTCAGGAAGGATAGTTGTCTCCCCCGCAATCTGCTGCACAACACCGCACTCACCGGGACGTCAGGATGCACTGCTCGCCAGCGGCACAATTACATGTTGGGTTCTCATTGCATGAGATACATCCATCTCGGGCAAGGAGGTGATTGAGCGACATGGCGCAAGGAAAGAGTCGAGAGTGAGACTTGTGTGGGTTTCAAGGTATTAAGATCAAGTGGATCCGTACGACGGCGCTAGAGAGATAGGGGATACCTGCTCCACTGTCTGATCTGACCTAGCTTGATCGGTCGTGTCGAGCGCAAAATGAGTGTCGAGGGGAGTACACAGGCAGTGTAGCCAGGTCGATTGCGACGTGAGAGGCCTGATAATACCCAATGTCAATCGCCGTTTCAGTCCAGCAAACACCAAGCAGGGTCCGTTCAAAGGATCGTCCAGCGAATCCCTCTATTGCCCGCCTCCTGGTTGCCAACAAGGAGACGCGAGTATGTCCGGCGCACGTACGTAGGTCGTGTAAACGAAATGGGAGGAATGGGTCCAAACGCTGGGCCACTCGCCTATGAACCACCAAAGAGTGTACTCCCTCAAACGTCTCGAAAGTAAAGGGGGGGGGGGGGGGTCAAAGTCGAGAGGAGGCAGTTGGAGAAAGGACGATGGTGAGCTGTTTGGAGAGCCGGACGGACGGATTCAGTGTCAAAGGATCTGAGTCGACTGGCCGGATGTGTCGATGTCCAGGGGGCGGAGAGCGTCGAGAGAGAGGATGGAGGATTGGATCCTGTCTGAGTCGGGAAAGACTCCCAAACTATTTCTCTTTGATCAATGCGCGCGTCGAGGTTGTTGATCAGAGCGAACGATGAGATGTGCAAATGGGGGTCCAAGCGTTTTGATGAGAGAGGGGCTGAAGAGGTTGGATCATCCATTGATGACCATACATCGAACACGAACAAAAGGAATACCGCCTTCCAATTCCTCTGCGTAGCTTGTGTCCACCGGCTCCTGCCCTCCTCCCTGACAGGCTACAGCTGCTGCTGCTGCTGCTGCCTGCTCGACGCTCCGTGTGTCTGTCTACCTGGATTATTTTTGGTGTCGACTGTGTTCAGGTCCTGTGGCGTCCGCCCCTTCTTCTTTTTTTTTGGGCTTCACGCGACTGGGACGCGTCCTCTCGAAGGGTGGGGTGAGGCGACCGCTGCTGCTGCTGCTGCTGCTGCTGCAGAGGGACTCTACAGACCAACTTCTTTTGGGGGGGGCTATCCACTGCGAGAATGGGCTGGTCTCAAGAACCCGTCGAGGCTGACTTGTGAGATGCAGCTGTATCCAAGAGTCTAGACTCATCCTCGCTCCATATGAATTCCGCTGCCTCACGGGTCCAGAATTTCTTGTCTTAGGGCGTGTGGCGTTTTTGGTTGTCAGGCACCAGCCGTTTCATCTCACATACACCATGGATTTTGAATTCATTTCGATTCATCTTCTTCATATATATTGCAGGCAGAATGAACCTTTTCCCTCAGCTATACTTCCACTTCTAGCCGCGCATGTCCATATTGCAAACTCGCTGCTGAAGCCCCCACATCGTCGCTCGCTTTGTGAATCGGTAGCACAAATTTTACTGGTTAGACCAAATCAGCACATCATGTCAGGATCGCGCCTCGCTCCACCGACCCGGGCCCCCCGACTCACAGTGATCACATCTGGCTTGTCACGTCCAGTAAACTCTTGCAACTTGCTGACCTTGAGAGCGACCTCGATCAAAGGTTTCAATCCGTCCTGAGCATCCTTGCCGTATTCCGATTCGTCCTGAGAGTACTTTTCGACGTAGAGTCGGATGGTGGCGCCCGAAGAACCAGTTCCAGAAAGTCGGAAAATGATCCTTGATCCATCTTCAAACTTGATGTACAGACCTTGTTTACTCGACACGGATCCATCAATCGGATCAGTGTAAGAGAAATCGTCTGCTGAGGCGACTTTGAAGGACGCAGAAGAGGATGTAGCAGACAAGTCGGATCCAACGAATCCAGAGGATTCAAAGAGTTCACGCAAGTGCGCCATCATCTTTTCGGCACCGGCAGACTCGCATTCCTCGTAGTCATATCTGTGTGGCAGGCATCAGCGATGCTCGTTGCCTCGATGGCGGAATCTCACCTTGAGAAGAAGCTTCGGCCATATTTCTTCCAGTGCATCATGAGCACATCGTTGATGTCACTGCCAGGCTTTTCCTTGTTAGCGGCGGCGAGGATCTGAAGCCAAGCTAGGCACGTATGAGCTGAATCTCGCGCATACAGTTGAAAACTCACCGACAATAGCCCAGACACCGTCCTTCTCTCGGATGTGGTCGGATCCAGTTCCGAATGACTCCTCTCCACAAATGCTCAATCGTCCAGCATCCATCAAGTTGCCAAAGAATTTCCACCCAGTCGGAACTTCAAAGACTTCCAATCCTCTCTTCTTCGCCACAATGTCGATGGCTCCACTCGTCGGCATACTTCTGGCGAGACCCTTGACGCCAGACTTGAAGTATGGGATACACTTTTCAGCCCAATCGGCGATGATGGCGACCGAATCGGAGGGAGTAACGAATGCGCCCTTTCCATAGATCATGTTTCGGTCTCCATCTCCGTCAGATGCAGCTCCAAAGAGGATGTTGTTCTTTTCGACCGCCTCGACGAGGGTGTGGGCGTAAGTCAAGTTGGGGTCTGGGTGTCCACCTCCAAAGTCTGGTGAAGGGGTGCAGTTTTGGATCGACTTCTCGTCCAGTCCCAAAGTGTCGACGAAGATAGCTCGGCCGTATGGTCCAGTGACTCCGTTGAGAGCGTCGAACAGGACAGTAGGCTTGGGGTTGGTGTTGTGCAGCCACTCCTTGATGGCGTCAAAGTCGAAGATGGATTGAAGGAGAGACAGGTAGTTGGACACGGGGTCGACAATGGTGATCTTGAGAGGGCCATGAGTGAATTCACCAGTCTTGGAAAGGTCAAGCTGGCGTCGAGAGGATCAGCAGACGCCCAATCATGATTCATTTTCCGATCTCTCAACGTACGTCTGGTAGATCCACCTCGTGGTACTCTTTGATATCCTCCGTGATCTTGTAAATCTTGTTGGTGACTTCTTCAGGGGCAGGTCCACCGTTGGAAATGTTAAACTTGATTCCAAAGTCATTGTTGGGTCCACCAGGGTTGTGAGACGCGGTCAAGAGGATTCCACCGTCTGCTTTTTTGGATCGAATGAGGGCAGAGACAGCTGGAGTGGAGAGGATAGAGTCTTGACCGATGATGATGTGGGAAACGCCGTTACCAGCTGCGAGTCGGAGGATGATTTGGGTGGCTTCAGGAGACTGGAGTGACCATCAGCGAGTGATCTAAGTGTCGAGCAGGGAGAATGTGAGGTAGGTCACGGGAGGGTTAAACTTCCTTCACCAGCAGGCGCAAAGCAGGCACTGCTCCTTTAGCCTCGACACTCACGAAGAATCGTCCATCACCTCCCACAACCAATGTCTTTCCCTCGCATCCTCCAGGCATAGCACTCAATGTGGCCTGGATGAAGTTTTCGGTATAGTGTTTCTGTTGGAACACTTTGACCTTTTTTCGTAGACCAGAGGTACCCGGTTTTTGACCAGAATGAGGCGTGGTCTGGACAGTCGTCCGTTTGAATTCAGAATTGTTGGACCTGCATGAGGTGCGCACATTAGCGAGATTCAGTCCTGGAACATGAGGACACAGGGAGCCGGGACATGAGATGAAGTGAGACAGCAACCAAGCAACGATTGAGGATTGTCTCTTCGCTTTCGCGGCGTGCAGCTCGACGTCAAGGACCATGGATGGCACCACTCACATCTTTGAATGATGCTCTCTTTAACAGCTGCAAGGTGGGGTGGGTATGTGTGGAATGTGAAAGATGAAGAGAGATCCCAAGAATGGTTGGAGCGAGAGTTGAAGAATACATGGGGTGGGAATGACGCTCCGCGCCCCCGCGAAAGCAACCAACCCACGTGTTTGTGGCACCTTGGGCCGTTTTTTGTTTTTGAGAGCTGAAACCAAGTCGCTGCTGAATGTGGCGTGAGCTGAAATGTTTCAGCAGAATTGAACAGCACCAGCCATGTAAGGGCCTCGGGGATCCAGCACTCAAGCATTCCAGGCAGCGCTGTGGATCACGTATGTGACCGCCCTCGTCAACTCCTACACTGTCATCAGAATCAACTTCTGAACGGACCAAGAGAATCCTCTCCGCAGTCACACATGGGCTGTCCGAGTTGATCCGACCTCTTGATGTAAAGGTCCAGACACAAACTCCAAGCGAACTCACGCTCGAGGACAATGACATGTCAGCAATGTTCAAGAGTACAAAGACCAAGCCTCACCATACCCAACTCCTTAGCTTAGGTGCTGGACGGATCCACGCGTGCATCGTCTCTCGCCTTGGCAGACCCAGTCCAAGGCCCGAATGACCACTACACCCACCCTCGCCTCGAGGTCCACCATGCTTTGTATCGCTCTGGTGAATGTGTACAACAAGACTTAAGGCGACTCCTTCCGACGACAACGACGACTGAGCAATCCAAAAGAGGGGGTAAAACAGGAGCTGTGATTTCTTCATGGTGGTCTTCCTGCAGATATTTCTTCTCCTCCATTCATTCCTATTTCATCATCATCATCATCACAACTTGTTTGCATCCCAGTAGTCTTCCTGAAGAAACTTTCCAAAGGGGTTGAATGATTGAAGTGCTCATTCAGTGCATTCTGAGCTCAGCATACACTGTTCCACGAGATGATATGAACTGACTCCCTATACAGGGTGACGCCATACCGATCCATTGGGAAATTGGAACCCTCTGCTCAACCTTCACTGCGACCTTCCATACTTACTCTCTCGCAATACACAATTATTCAACGAATCGAGGACACTTCCCTTGCCCGTAGGTCAGAACACGGCCGTTATCGACGTGGCCTTCGTTCCCTGTCATCCAACCTACGCATCTTCATTCCACCTCCACACGAATCCCTTCCCTTCCCTCCCGTCATCCAAGCTGATATCTGCTTACATATGTATAGCTCTCCCATCCTTGACTGTCTCTCCACCTTCACCCGCACTCAAAACCCTACCTCGTAAGAGGTCCATCCCCATCATCTCCTTCATGGGCTTTGGTTCCAAGGGGACTGGCACGCCAGTGGCCGAGGACGGACTGTACATACAGTGTCGGAGACAATCGCCTCGTCAACGACAGTCGAGTCTGCCGAATCAGAACAGCCATATCGCAACCAAGGCCTTCGATATCAATCGTCCCTCTTCAATCCATGCCCTAGCTCACTCTTACGCTGCGGATGCTCCTCAGAACCAGAACGACTCCACTGCTCAAACGACATATACTCCTTCTCCTTGCCCTCAACATAACACCACCGCTCGTCGTGCAACACACACTCCTTGCCCTCAACACGTCCTCCCTGCTCCTCAAACCCCTAACACGGCTTATCCATCCGACACCAAGTTTGAAATCGAACACGATGATGGCCCGCATGTCACCGTAGCCGGGACACAGCGATTGGCGCGTCTCACGCAACCTCAGTCCGAGGCGTTCAGGCGAGGTTACTCAGATTTCGGCGGTCTGCCTACCGGTCCTCCGGCATGGGCGGCGGGATGGCAAGACGAGGTGCAGTGTTGAGATATGAGGAGTATTACGGCCGTTTCTACACAACATACTGCTGTGTGGCTGCCAGACAGAGCAGGATGGGAGCGAGGCTAGACAGACACGAGAAGCGGGATTGCAATAGATACACGGGCTTCCTTGGAGGTACAGTGAGGGAGACCACCTATTGTGGACAAATGAGGGAACGAGAAGACTTCTACGACGGTAAACGAATATGACACAATGGCGATCCTGTTTTGTATGTACTGCACCGCACCTTACGCATTTTTGGCGTCGATTCTCTGACAAGAGAAACTCCCACACACGACAGGCGAGATGTTGTAAATGATATGTATAATGCACAAGGGTCTTCTGAACTAGAACCAGTCTATCTCTAGGGCCTCACTTCAACCCAGACCACAGTAAGATACTCCTTCCCGTTGAGACACACACTCCTCTACACACTCCAAGTATCCATGCCGACGTATTGGACCCCAGACTTGTCCGTCACTTTACCCATCACGAATGCCCTTTCACCACCTTCTGTGAGACTCTGCAACGCCGCATCAACCTCGTTTGCTCCGACGACAATGACCATTCCGACTCCACAGTTGAACGTTCTGGCCATTTCGAGCGGCGCGACATTGCCAGCGCTCATCAACCACTTCCAAACGGGGTCCAATGTCCACGTCCTGAGATCTATCTCCACACCTAGACCTTGAAGTGCAGGGTCCGAGAAGATTCTAGGGATATTCTCCGTGAATCCTCCTCCTGTGATATGAGACATGCCCTTGAACAGACCAGATTTGATTCCTGGCAATAACGGCTTGATGTATAATCTAGTAGGTCTCAATAACGACTCGCCGAGCGGGACGTCCTCGGACCAAGGTGTAGGTGAATCATATGTCAATCCAGCGAGAGAGACAATCTTTCGGACGAGGGAGAATCCATTCGAGTGAAGACCATCGGACGGCAGACCAATCAAGTAATCTCCAGCGACGATATCCGTCCTCGGCAATAGTTGACTCCGTTCAACAGCTCCGACGGCGAATCCAGCGAGATCATAGTCGTCGCCATGGTACATTCCTGGCATCTCCGCCGTTTCTCCCCCGATCAAAGCACAGCCAGATTCAAGACACCCAGTGGCAATACCGGTAATGACATCCTGAGCGACTTGAATATCCAACGCAGAGCACGCAAAGTAGTCCAAGAAATAGAGCGGCTCAGCACCTTGAACGATGAGGTCATTCACAGACATGGCGACGAGATCGATGCCAACAGTATCGTGTTTGCCGTATTCTAGCGCGACACGAAGCTTGGTACCGACTCCGTCGGTTCCACTGACGAGGATGGGGTCAGAGTACCCGGCAGCAGAGAGATCGAACGCCCCTCCGAATCCTCCGATGGAAGCATCAGCTCCGGGTCGGCGAGTCGCTTTGACAATGGGTTTGATGTTGTCCACGAGAGAATTTCCATTCTCGACAGAAACCCCCGCTGAAGCGTAGGTGAGTCCAGTGACTGGTCGTTGAGGGATAGAAGAGGAGGATGCGGTGGAAGTCAAAGGGGCTGGTTCAGCTGCCAAGGCTCGGTACGCGATGTCACGTCGGAAAGTTTTGCCTTCGAATTCGACGAGTTCGACCCCGCTGTACGCCATGTCGACAGCTTGGCGAAGAGAAGGAGCAAAAGCACACACGGCGAGAACACGACCACCATCTGTGACTCCGGTGTCGCCCTTGATAGCGGTACCGGCGTGGAAGACCTGAACACCTAGACACGGGATTCAGCATGGACTCTGTAGACCTCAGTGAAAATTCACCTTCTGGCATGGGAGGGATCGACATAGGAATGCCTTTGGGATATTTACCAGGGTACCCCTGGGATGCAAGGACGACGGACACGGCATGTCCATCTCTGTAAGCGAGTTTGACAGAGTCGAGTCGTCTCTCGACACAGGCCTGACGAGTTGGATCAGCAACGAATCTTCCGGTGAAGATCCCTCACTCACAAGCATGACCTCGGCGAGATCCGTTTCGTCGCTTAATAGCAGCATCAATGCCTGTGTCTCCGGGTCTCCGAATCGAACATTGTATTCCAAGACTTTCGGACCATCTGAAGTCAATATGAAACCAGTGAAAAGCATTCCGACGAATGGGTGACCTGAGAGCGTATCAGTAATAATGGCGCAGAGCGAACGAGACACTCACCCTCTTCACGCATTCCCTTGAGAGTCGGCTCCAAGCTCTCCTTCATGACTCTCTCCATGATATCCGGAGTAGCCACTGGCGCCGGAGCATAAGCTCCCATTCCACCAGTGTTAGGTCCGACATCTCCATCGCCAATCCGTTTATGGTCTTGCGCAGCGGGTAAAGGTACGACCGAGTAACCATCACAGAATGCCAGGACGGAAATTTCCGGTCCCGTCAAATACTCCTCAACGACGACTTCATCACCCGCATCTCCAAACTCGCGATCAAGCATGACGCTTTTGAGAGCTTCTATAGCTTCATCCGTCGATTCAGGGATCAAAACCCCTTTTCCAGCTGCCAGTCCCGAAGCTTTGATCACACACCGACCAGAGGTAAACGGGTTGGATTGAATGTATTCGCTCGCCTGGGTGTATTGATCAGACGTGAAGGATCGGAACGAGGCGGTCGGAATGGAGTTCCGAGCCATGAAAGCCTTGGAGAGGGACTTGGACCCTTCCAATAAGGCTGCAGCGGGTGAAGGTCCAAAGACGGGAATTCCGGCTGTACAGGGCGAGTGTCAGCGAGCGAAGCTATTGCTCAGAAGAGAGACAATGGATGGCCGGTTGAGACGATATCATTCTTGCTCTCATTCCTCTCCTGGATCTTGACTCACCTTTTCTAAAGACGACCTCTGCACCATCGACCAAAGGCTGCTCAGGCCCAGGGACGACCAGATCTACACCTTGCTCTCTGGCCCATTGAGCTATACTCTCGTAGCCTGTCGAGCCGCCCCACTTCTCGAGGACATTGGTGACTTTACCACCCATTATGGCTGTCCCTCCATTGCCAGGGGCCACGAGCACCTTGCTCACTCGTTTACTCTGAGCAAGCTTGTACGCCAAGGCATGTTCTCGACCTCCTGAACCCAGGATAAGGATAGTCAGGGAGGTCTGAGAGGCGGGGAAGGTGCTGATTGAAGAGGAAGCCATGATTATCCTCAGTGTGATGTTGACTGACTGGTCAATCTCGCCGATAGCAACTATGCCAGCAGTGCTATGTGCACATTTGGGAACAGGACTCTAGCATTTCAATTGAAAAAAAATTCAAGTCCGGAAAAGCGGAAGCAAATCACAAGAACCCCAAGCGGTTGGAAAACTCAAAGCATTCGACCTATACAACATCAATTCGTTGCTCCTTGGATCGTTGTCAATCGTCCCACCTCTTCATCCAGCCATTGGACTGTCTATCGAACCTTCGTCGCCGCCCGCCTCACCATGTCCGACGCACATCGTCCCCAATGGAACCCTACTATGGGTCGAGAGACCAAGGCAGGTTCTCAACAAATCTCCAAACTATCTCTCGCAAGTCATACAAAGCTCAAGTTTCGTCAACCGGGTCAAGGAGGAGCAGGCGATATTCAGAAGAGGGACTTGAAGGCTGAGCTATTAGCAGCGGAACGAGTAGCATTGGATAAGAAGAGGAAAGCCCAGGGATTACCGCCTCTCCCACCGCTCTTTAACGAAAGTGCCAAAGCTATCGAAGCGGCGACTACACCAGGCGCAGGAGAGAACAGTGAAGAGGCATCTGAGAGAGCCAAGAGGAGAAAGATCTTGGAAGAGGCGGCCGAGCTGGACAAGGATGACTCGGATGAGGACGAGGATGACGAGGGGGGTGCGCTGAAAACGAATGGCGCGGATAAAGGAAAGGGCAAAGCGGTGGAGACGAATGGTGGTGAGGACGAGGATGAAGATGACGATGAGGAGGAGGATGAGGATGAGTGTGTTGATTGCCACCTAGTCAAAAAGCGCAAGCTGACCGATGATTTTCCCCAGCGACAGTGATGATGAGGATGACACTGCTGCGTTAATGGCGGAATTAGCCAAGATTAAGCAAGAGAGAGCGGAAGAAAAGGCCAGGCAGGTGAGAGTGATGGTCTCTCGATCTGATTCACGCTCTCCTCTTTCCCTCTTGCCCTCTCTTGACAAAGACAGCGCTGACGGATTCACCCGGGCAGGAAGCAGAAGCAGCGGTCGCAGGCAAACAGACACGTGATGAAGAAATAGCAACTGGTAATCCGTTACTCAACCTTCAAGCTGCTCTTGGTCAACGCGAACCCGGTACACCAGGATCTACCATGTCTGGAAGTACAGGGACATTCGCAGTCAAGAGGAGGTGGGACGACGATTTGATCTTCAAGAATCAAGCTGTGGGAGTGGACGATAAGCCGAAAAAGGGAGAGTTTGTCAATGACTTGTTGAGAAGTGAATTTCATAAGAAGTTCATGCTCAAGTGAGTAACGAATCGGGCTCGAGCCTTGGTTCTATGACTGACACTCAATCTGAAGATTCATCAAATAGGAATTTGGGATACATTCGGGGCTTTGTATGATTGAGGAAATAGAGGGACCAACCTGCTCTCCGTATTCTCCATGAATGTATGATGACTTTCAAGCCCGACGCACTACAGGGTGTCCACTATGTGTACAGCGTTGAGGCCTCGTGTTGAATCTCCTACGCAAGCCCTTTGTCCGCTCGTGGCAGGGGATGATCAGACCTTGCATCTCCGAAGCAACCGCTGTACCCTCCCACGTGGAGGAGGCTCGGCAATCGGCTCGGCAATCAACGAGATGAAGAAATTCAGCCGGGACGTCTCAAAATGCATCGTTTATCATCGGGACGTAGGTCTATATCATCTCCAGGGGTCTGCTCGATGCGTAGGAAAGCTCTACTTGGGTACTTTGCTAATTTCGACTCCTCCTGTAGCATTCAGCATCCTCTTGATATCTCCATAGATGAAGACTGGGGAGTATTAGCGTGACTCTACACCTCGAAGAGATCCCCTGAGGGCGAACTCACATTGTCCGGCGGTCAAAGTGGAGATCATGACGAGACGGGCACCCATTCCAGTGAAGAGACCAGCTGCACCAAGCTTTCCGGCCATCTCAATGAGTCGAGAGGTGGTGCTTTGTCCAGGAGCTCCCTTGGTCTTGTTGATCTTTGACAAGAGAGTGTCGGCAGGTTGAGAGATGACGGCGGCGGCACAACCGGCAATGACACCGGCAGACAAGTTGAGAGCCTGAGTCTGGGCACCAGTGAGAGAGTCCTTGGACTTTCCAGTGGCGGACAGAATCTGCTCGACGGCAACCTCAAAGACTCCAAACTTGGCCATGGTGTATGGGACTTGCTTGAAGAGAATGGGTCCGAATCTGAAGAGGCGAGATCAGGACTGGGTCTCTCTCTGGTCAGTCTCCGGATGGACTCACCCAGCGTAGAAGGCTCCGGGTCCCTCTTCTCTCAAGATACGTCCGAATCCACCGACGAGACCAGAGGCAAAGTCAGGTTGAGAAACAAGACGAATTCGGGTGGCTTCAAGGGGGCAAAGCGCGACGTCGGCGAAGAATTCAGCAATGGCAGCGGCTCCGAGGTAAACGGCAGTTCGGTGTTCTCGAGCAGAGTCGACTCCGAGGTAGTCGATGGCCTGCTTCTTCCAGAACTCGTAACTGGTGCGGTGTCAGCCTGGAAAGTCCGCAGCGGCACAAGTCGGACGAATAACTGACCCTCCGAATTTGAAAGCTCCCTGAATGGCGTATCCAACGACGGTAGGTCCCAAACCGGTCAAAAGAGCACCAGTTCCCTCCTTGGCTGTGACCTGTCGGAAAGCAGTGATCATACCCTGTCGAGTCCGAGCGTGAGAAACGTTGTCTATCGGTTTCATGCCCAATGTCCTCCCTCACCTTGTTGTAGACCTCGGGTTCAAGTTGGATTCGAGTCTTGACGACATCGACGGGTGTCAAAGCACCGTGAGTGACGGCACATCCAAGAGCTCCAGCGAGGGCGAATCTAGCAAGAATCAGTCAGTCAGGCGAACATGAGGTATGCCATCGCTCAAACGCTTAGGGTGAATCAACCCACCTCGCATAGAGATCAGCTCCGGTGGGGGTGTTAGGGTTCAAGTCCTTGACAGTGTCCTTGACGGCTTCTTTGGCATCTTGGACTTTGAGATCTGCCTTGTTGTATAATTCTTGACCTTTTGATTTGGCATCTTTTCCAAATTGTTTGGTCTGATCGATGGCTTGATCGACCTTGTCTCCGACAGATGGCAGGAAGAATTTGTTGGTGGTAGCGAAGAATGGGTTGGCTCGGTAGTTGGACATGGTGGTGAAGATATCCTTTTTGAGAGCTTGGAGGTTATTGGATGAGGAGGAGGATGTGAAGAAGGAAGCAGGATGATGATTATAAAAAAGGAGGAAGGGAGAAAAAACGAAAAGAAAGAGAAAATGACGGAGTTGGCGGAGGAGAATCCACACTCAAACGTTAAGGTATCAATCGGAAATAACTCCGTATTTTACCGAACGAGGCACTCAGCAGCCAGCGCGGGGGGGCGAGGGGCGAGGGGGCGTGGTGGTGAACGCAGGGGCAGGGGCAACGCTGTAGAGGGGGAGCAATGGGGGCAACGACGAGGCGAAGGGTCTCGATTGCATTGGACTGTGGACGAAGACTCTTAAGAGAGGAGGCATATGCAGACCTGTTCGACCTAGAGCTAGTTTCATCACTTCCATCCGGGAAGCCCGTACCAAGGACCAACTACTACCGCTTCTTGGAAATTGAATCTTTGCTGGTTATATCCAATACCTGACTACTATCGTTTCGTGGAACAACGCCTCCTTGAGGTCGCACGAAATTTATTCTTCTTCTTCTTCTTCTTCTTCTTCTCGTTGCACCGAACCACTGTCCCACCTGTCAATCAGAAAAGGCACATCATGTTTGGCGCAGCTCTCCGACCCCTCCTTACACCCTCTTCCAACCTTTATCGAACAGCCGTCCGAAATAACCTCGTCAAGCCTACTTGTCTGCCTGTGGCTCAGAGGTTCACCTCTGTCAGGTTCGCGTCATGTAAGCTTAGTCAGAAACTCGCTTTTGCTAGACCTCTGTGTTGATTCTGTCGATTCATTCAGCCGGTCCTCGATTCTCGGATGACCACGAGTGGATCACGGTCGATGAAAACAATATCGGAACTGTAGGCATCACAGACTACGCTCAAAAGGCATTAGGCGATGTCGTTTACGTCGAAGTCGCTGCGCCAGGAGACACCCTCGAGCAAGGAGGTGAGTGCATCGAGGGGAGGGAAGCCGGGGTGTCCGGGGACGAGGCCGCGGTCTTGCGGCGCTGCTCCTTGTTTCCAATCGCTGTTGCTCATTCGCTACGCGGTCTCACCGCTTCACCCGCCTTGTATCACCCATCTCATCACACCGTGCTGACTCATGTTCCTCTGTGCAGGCTTTATGGGCTCCGTTGAATCCGTCAAGGCAGCATCAGACATCTATAGCCCAGTTTCTGGAACTCTCGCTTCAGTCAACGAAGCTCTGAAGGACCAGCCAAGTCTGTTGAACAAGGATCCTATGGGAAAGGGTGAGTTGGGGTAGAAAGTTCAAGTTCAGTGGGAACACCCAGACTTTGTGCCGTCCCTTCCTGGGCAAACAACGACCCAACAGACCATGCTGACGCGTTTGTAATACAGGATGGGTCTGCAAAATTCAGCTATCTGACCCAGCTCAAGTCGAGACACTCATGGACGATGCGGGCTACAAGGCTTTCTGCGAGTCGGATCCCGGCAAGGACGAGTAAAGAAGGAATAAAATCAGAGTCTCAGAACAGGCGATTCAACAGGATGTACAGTTGTCTGCTGCAGCGGATTCAAGCTTTGACATCGGCTGATGCGGGAGACTGACTGAAGTCTTTGAGTCTCCCTCGTCAGCGTCGCGCCAATCCTCGAGGTCTCGCCTTTGGTACTTGAAAGCTTCCGCGCTATCTCATAATTTAACTCGGACAAAGCTCGCCTTCATGCTTGCGTCCGCGAATCGCGTCATGCCCTTGCTTTGTCCCGGCAGGACTCCAGAACGTCACCGACCTCCTTTCATCATTTTATATCGACCTTCAACTCGCTAAGCGTATGCGTGAGGATGAGGGATGGATTGATTTGCTCTCACTCCCTGCCCCCCCTTCTTTCTCGTTCTCTCTCTCTCTCTTCTCTCTCTTTTACTTACGTTCTTACTGCTACAACACGTCCAAACTTTCACGCACTCTTATAACGCCAGAAACCCGTATCTACGAGAAGCAAGGACAACGCAGACATGTCAACAATTTCGAACAAAGAACTTGATGCGCGCCTCGCTGATATCAATAGTTTCAGTAATGCGAGTAGGGAGATGTCTGATGGACCTATGAAAGAGGCAGTATTGAGGATGGCAACGAAGGCAATGTACTCGAACACGAGTACCACAGAGGCGCCATCACGTTCGTCCACCCAAACTCATGGTGATGGCCAGACTTCGAACGGTGGCACGTCGAAATAAGACGAGCTTTCATCGTGCGATCGGCACACATAGTATGCTGATAGATTGAGAATGCATGGGGAAATGTCGGAGATCACACTGTGCAGGACCAGTCATCGATCTCTTCCGAAGTTCTCGCACGATAACCGAGAAGAGGCTGACTGAGGCACCTGGTCGCTCGAAGGATGCGTGCTGGGTGGCGGGCGAGCGTAGGACTGAATCTCTCTCTAGACTATGGTGTATTTGGCTGCTAGAGCTTGCCTTTCGCCGGACCAAACGACAAGGGCACCGAACCCGGACTTGGTCGACAAGTTGACAATGATCGATCGGTGCAATCTTCATTCCAGCGAAGCTTGTGAGCGCCACTTGTACCCATGTTGAGTTATCGTTCTAGTATCTTCAATTTGCCTCGCCAAGGCCTGGACCGAGAAGTCCTCCAATCGCGGCTCACCGGCGCGCAGCTCGCCCGGATAGTTTCGATGAAACGCGTCGTTATCTCCCTGCAGGATGAATGGATGTTCTGTCAACTGCATCTTCTTTTGATGTCTCCTCCTTTCGATCAGTCCAGAGGCAGAGTTACCCCGGAAGATGGAAGGAATCAAAAGATTGTCAACGGAGCGAACTGTGAAGAGTTTCAACTGCCCTGGGATACATAAGGAGAGGGTATGTTAAGCACTGTAGTGCTTTTCTAGAGACATCAGTCGACCGCCACCGAGACATTTCCTTCCCATATCATACGCACGCACATTTCACGCAGTTGACCGTTGAAGCCCACAGCATGACGATCACAAAATCCGAAGCACAGGAGACCGTCTCCAACATGAGCGCGGAAGAGCGCTGGCAGGTCATCAAGGAGCTACCAAATGGTGATGACCGTGATGCAGCGGCTAACGCTTGGAACGATTGGTCCGCCCGAGAGTGGCCCAACAAAGATAGATTGTTCGCGGAGCTCGGACAATCACTCGCCTTGACGATTTCCGAATCAGGCAGAACCTGGGAGCAGCTCGGGTATACTCCCAAGGCATCACAAGCCACTGGTCAGACGACAGCAAGCAGGACTGATACCGCAACTCAGTAGCATTCTGCATGCCTTACCAATGATCTGAATGATAGTAGCCATGAAGCGGGAGGTGTTGGAACAGGAGTGTGGTCGTAGCCGTCACCGTCGCATAAACACGATAGGAATAGCTAGACACATGAACACACTTGCTGAACTTGCGTGATACAGTACCGCACAACCGATGACGAAGTCAATTACCGAGTGCAAGGCTTCACTCCGCGATATTGTTTCTGAGTCAAGGTAAGTATTTAGATTCAGAAAGGTCCACGAGTTCCTTCTCGGGGGGCGGTAAGTGGTCTCAAAAGGTCAGCCTCGGACCGTGAAGACCACCCTGGGGATCACTCAGCCTATAAATCGTGCATCCAAGCCATCGTCACAAGCCAAAATACGAATCCCTCTAAAATCTGTCAATCAAGAGCCACCCGACCACGAGTCCGTCCCCGAACCTATACCGGTTTAGTACTGCCAGGCTGATGATCCGCCGAGTCGAAAACAGTCTGAGAGCCGGTCGACCCTGGTTGAGTTCCGATCGTATAGCCTTGCGAGGCGGAGGGAACCGGTACATGTGTACCGCTTTCAGTTGGGACGTAGCCTTCAGCCGGGAGACCAGTTTCATCCAGACCTTCAGCGGCTGATTGGGAGAGTATCAGCATCGTGCTTCAGGAGTATCGTATCTATCCAGCTGCACTCACCCTCAATGATGTCGTACATCGCAGAAGCGATCTCCGGAGCGGGTACTCGGCCACTGACAAGTCGTGGAGTTGTCAGTTAGACTCTCACCATCGAATAAGTAAGAGGGTTCAGACACTCACGCCAGAATGTCCACAGCTGATATATCGCTTCCGTAGAAATCTCTGTTCGCGTCTTTTCTCTCGACGAGGATCGTACCGTCCAGAGTGAGTCCCGCAAAGAGACCCTTGGAACGCGAGTATGAGAACATCGGAGCAGGATTGACAAGTGAGGCTGCGATATTCCCTCCGGTCCCGATAGGTCCAGCAGCGGCTGAAAGGCCACCTTTCAGAAGGCCTCAATGTCAGCCCGAAGGGTTCTCCTCTGTCTAAGATAGACATGAGACGCACCTCCAATCGTAACATTGCCACCTTGTGAAAAGGCTTTGACGGCGTTTTCAGAGTTCAACACGATGACGACCTCGGTGATATCTGATGTGCCAGATGTCAGTCGATCCTAATCAATTGAAACTGAGTCGCACTGCAGCTCACCCGCCCCGATCTGCAATCCCCACCCTACACCAGCAGTGGCGATACAGCTTGGAGCTGACCAACTTCCATCAGGCAGTCGAGCAATGACCAGTCCAGAACCGGCTTTACCGGAAAACACGAATCCAGCTTTGAGTATAGTGAAGACGGCGAGACCTGTGTAGCCGACTATCAGCTCAGGTCCAATCATGGTGGGGAGGGAAGATTATGCGGGAGGGATAAACAACTGGCTCATTCACCTTTGGCTCGTTGAAGGACAGCTTTAGGGACCGAGTTCAAAGCCGTTTGAGGGTGTGTAGCGTCCGCTAAGTGTGCCTATATCAGTGCAGTTCTAGCACAAAGGCAGAGATAGAGAGGCTCTCTCTCTCTCTCCCTCTTTCTCACCTAAGAAATGCCCTAAGATCTTGGCTGCTTTGTCCGCTTCTCCAGGTAAAGTGAACCCTTGCATCAAGCTCGCTCCGCCGGTACCAGCGCGAGCTGATCCATCCTGGGTTTACAAGAAAGCGTCAGCTCGGAGGCTTCTTCTTGCAGTCCGAAAGGCATAAAGAACCGGCCTCGCCAGACCTATGGCAACGCCTTTGATCCACTCAACCGCTGTGGAGCATACACTCACCTTGATCATAGTGGATGCTTGGGCTCCAGCAGCTTGAGCTCCATCCCTCACTTTACCCCATATGGACCCGAGCTTGCCACTTCCTCCTTGCATCGTGGCGTATACGTGTGTCTGTGGTAAATGGGTATATAGAGATACAGTGGATGGTGATCAACGACTAGATGGGATGTCTTCGCTCGGCAATGACATCTCCGCGTCATGGACTCGAACCCCTGCTGACGTAAGATCCAAGCTCGTGTTGGCAAGCTGAAGCTGAAGCCCAAGCCTGATCCCGCGGGGGTGACCGGGAGCAAGGCTGCGTGTGCAAGGTATAGGAGGGACTTTTGCGCGCCCGATCTGAACGGTATGACATGTTGCTCGACTAGCTGGGCAGTAGGCGCCGCCGCCGCCGTCGTTGCCTGATAATATGCGATCGAAGGTATTGGATAGATCCGAGCCGTGGAGTCCGCCACGAGTCGAAAAATCAATCCCGGTTTCATATCCCATCGCGTTGTCCACCATTCCAATCTTCAAGGACTGGACCTGTACCAAGTGTTGTCAACGAGCAATCAGGCATTGTCAAAAGTGGATCAGTTTAGCAAAAGATGCCTTCTCTCCGCTCATGGAGGCTACCTGCCTCTTCCCTCTCATCCTCTACTCGCTTATCGACCTCTCGAACTCTGCCTCGACTTCGACCTCTAGCGAATTTACATGTCCGAGGGTACAAGGCGTCAAGTGGGAGACAACCGCAACCTCCCAGGGATATCATGACGGGAGAGATCGTAGCTCTCCCAGATATCGATGTGAGTAGCTGATCATGGCCGTGTGACTGTCAAGGCGTGCTTTGGGAGGTGTTGTTTCATCTGATAGTCTTCGTGTTGGAAGAGGGAGGCGGACGAGACTAGGGTCCAGCGACTTGGAAACGCTTGCCTAAGACAATAGATGCGATCTCCAATCTTACCCCAGGCCCGACCTCAGATGAAAGAGAATGCGCTGACGCTTGGCATCCGCGCTCTCTCAGCCCTCTCTCGTAAAGATTCAAGACAATCCCAAACGCAAGACCCCACCCCCATCTTCAAAATTGGTCTTTGGAAGGACATTTACAGATCACATGTTGACGATCCCATGGAGCAGTGCGAGTGGATGGGGAACACCCGAGATCAAGCCGTGTGAGTCGAGTTCAGCAGCCGAGGTTATCTGGCGATAGCGATAGCAGTGCGAGCCTCATCCCCTCTTCGGACGACACTCTTCATCGCTTTCCCCTTTGGCAGACGCTGAACGATTCGCTAATGCGGAACTCCTTTGCCAGATGGACCTCTGGTCCTTGACCCGTCGTGTACCGTCTTTCACTACGCTTTCACCACATTTGAAGGTATGAAAGCATACAGGAATGAAGATGGCACGGTACGCCTGTTTCGACCGGACAAAAACATGGCTCGATTGAACAGGGTGAGCGCGAGACCCAAGTTGGCTACTGGACCCCGACGATCGATGTCAAACTGACACATGAGGTTCCACAGAGTGCCTCGCGTATCGCTTTACCAGTGAGCCTGAGGAAGAGCCTCCCAGGTCTGACTTGTATCCTAGGCCTTTGACGGCGAAGCTCTCTCTCAATTGATTCAGAAACTCGTCTTGATGGACAGTGAATGGATTCCGAAAGAAAAGGGATACTCGTTGTACATCCGTCAGTCCTGTGTATCATCTCCACCCCACATCATCCTACTGACTATGAACCCACAGGACCTACCATGATCGGCACGCAGAATGCTCTTGGCGTCGGACCGTCTTCTGATGCCCTGCTCTTCGTCATCTGCTCTCCTGTGAGTCATAATGCCTGCGAAAGGCCTCCAAGACAGCAGCTAGCTAATCTCAAGCCTAGGTCGGACCTTACTACGCCAGTACGTCTCGTCTAACCTTGGACCTACTTGTCTCTGACGATTCTTCAGGCGGCTTTAAACCTGTCCAACTCCTTGCATCCACGAAATACGTTCGCGCTGCTCCCGGCGGTACAGGGTCATACAAGATTGGTGCCAAGTGAGTTCCGTCGTGCTTGTAAGGGGTCAGCTCATACGTCTCAGTTATGCCCCCGGAGTTGTCCCTCAATCCGAAGCTGCAAAAGAGGGATACAGTCAGAATCTGTGGTTGTATGGCGATGAGCATGAGATCACCGAAGTAAGCAACATAGGACCAATTGCACACACAGCTGACCACTAGCAGGTCGGAACCATGAACCTCTTCGTATCGTTCAAGAAGCCCGATGGCACTGTCGAACTCGCCACACCTCCCCTGGACGACATTGTACTGCCAGGAGTGACAAGACTGAGGTGAGTCAATCCATTTTTTTCAGTGTTGCACATACTGATTGACATGCCCTCTTCCCAGTGTCCTCGAGCTAGCACGTGAGCACGTCAAAGGGAACAAGATCCCTGGTCTGCCTGAGAAACTCGAGGTCAACGAACGGAGAATGGTTATGGCGGAGATTGTTGAAGCGCAGAAGAACGGTACATTGTTGGAAATCTTTGGAACTGGAACAGCTGCGATCGTTTCGGCGGTTGACAGGTGGGTCGTGGCGAGCCAGCCTACATATGCAAAGAGGTCGTTGCTGATGTTCTGGGACTCATAGAATCGGCTTCCAAGGCAAGGATATCCCCATTCCTGTTGGACCAGACGGCATGGGGCCTATCGCCAAGGCCGTCTTGGATCGAGTAGTAGGCATTCAGACCGGCGAATTTGAGCATGAGTGGAGTGTTATTGCAAAAGACACTGTAGGGAAGAAGTAGGTAGTAGACCTAGAGCAGTCCAAATACAGATGGAAGCAAGGCAACCAAGGCCAGACGAGAGACTGCATCAGCGAGTAGCGGTTGTCATCATGGCAAATATGCATGATTGGACGACGTCGCGGTTGAAAAGGGTGTTGTGGCATCAGTGCAGTGTGGACTGAGAACAAGCCCACCGGCCGGATCCGAGGATGGTGAGTCGAAAGCCGAAACACCGGTAGCCGTAGACTTGTGCCCGAGGTGCGCATGATGTTCGGGGGATGTACAGCATATCTCTTGAGCTTTGAGTTTCAGTCTCTCCACCGATCTTGTCCTTGTCACTCGCCATCATGTCTAAGATCGACGTTCAGATCCTCCCTATGGAGCTCTCTGACATTCCCACCGTTGGAGAATTGACCAAAAGGGCATTCGAGCAAGATGCCCATACGGTATTCAAAGTCCATGAAAAGGGTGGACAGATGGAAGATGAGTTACCGACGCCAGCGATAGAAGGATGGATAGGGTATGGACCTGATCGATGTAGAGTGATCAAAGCGATGGTGGATGGTGAAATCAAAGGTTGGGCAGCTTGGGGACTGTATAATCTGAAAGGGGACAAGGTGTTGGTGAGTAGTGCGAATGCGGAGCGGAGCAGGACCAGTTGAGCTATGCACAAAAAAACGGCCCGTGTGGCTAATATGGCATGATCCTGTTGTCTGACTGAGTCATTCAGCCCTTTGGCGGACTCAATGGGCTTGTTCTTGTCTCCTCCCAGCCTCCCTCCCGGCATTCCCATGCGCTGACATTGTTCTTCTTGCCCCCGCTTAGGACCCCGCTGAACCCTCTCCTGAGCCATTGGACGCACCTATCAACCACCCTGATTTCCCAGCCGACAAGTCCCTTCCCAAGATAAAACAACTCGACCATCTGACTTCTGGCCACCTGTATACCATGTCTGATCGACTTTGTGTTCCTCCCAACAAGGTCGTGTACTGTATGAGTATCGCTGTGGAGCCTTCTGCTCAAGGGCAAGGTGTGGGTAGTCAACTGGTCAAGTACGCTGTGGACATTGCGGATAGCCACGGTGCGAGTATGTGGGTTCATTTAAGTGAAGATGGAGCCAAGACGAGTGCCTTTACAAAGTATGGATTTGAGAGTGTCAACGAATTGGAATTCGATTTGGATGAGTATAGGGAGAAGGAGGTCCCAGAAGGAAGGGATAGGTGGGGCAAGTACAAGTTCACATTCGCCCGGCGGCCCGCGAAGAAGTGAGAAGAGCGACTGAGTTAGGAAGCAGGAAATGCGGCGCAGCGACGCAGGCGGGATCTTGGAATGATGTATAGATGCATGTATATGCTGGCTTGTCCGCACAAGAGCCACATGGGACTGTTCGAGCGTTATCAACGAGACTCATGCTCATTCTGAAGCCTTGTGTGCCAGCTTTCGAGCGATCACCATCATCCAATCACTGCATTGCCAAACTTCCCCTCGCTGATCGCCACAGATCTGTTTCATCACACTTCTCAACCCTCGGTGTGAATGAACCACATAGCCGACGTCTAAAAGGAAATTGGTAAGGGTTACTTACTTTATCGGAATCTTGCCGATTCCGTGCCGATGCTGCGACCGGCTATATGCGAAGAATGGGTCAAAAGGTTTCATTGAGTGATGAGCAACGAGAGCACTATCTATCCATATGCAATATATTTGATGTTGTGACTGACCAAGCCAGCCAAGCCCATGTCTAGTCGCAGTATGTTTGTTGTTGTATCCCCTTTAGTGCACAGGTCTTACCGTGCTAGCCTCCCAAAAAGATTCTCATCCCGTATTGACATGGAGAGTGTTTTGTTTTCATCGTCTGGGTATTTGTTACAGGTATCACTGAGGGGACTAATAATAAGGGGTGAGTTGCTATGCACGACAGGGGCTGACGCAGGGCCAGCAACGAATTGCAATGGGATTTGAATACCAGACGACAGGAGCAGCGGCAACCGGCAGAATGGGAAAAGACACAACGGCCGTAAATGCTCGGCACCAAAAAAAAAGAGAAAGAAAGAAAATCCCTCGTTGACACCGGACCGAGATGATAATTTGGAAAGAGACAGAAAAGAAGAAAACGACGAATGATTATGGCCCCCCAACATATTCCAGATCCAGCGTGCTCGGTGTGCGGTGGAGCCAAGGGAGATAAGTTAGATAGGCCGGTAGATAGGTCAATCATCTGCGACGGATCTCCCGGAGTGGGAATGGGGAACCCGGTCGACATGGTGACGAATGCATTGTATAGACCCAGCAGCTACATCTCACTGCCACTAATAATGAGCCATTTTGGTTCCGCACTGGGAGTCCACTCAGTCGCCAAGTCGACGGAGCAACAACAGCTAAACAGACCAATTGGGTTCCGCTTGGCATTTTTCTCCCTCTCTGTTGTCGCATCCAGCCGCCTAGGTCGGTTGGGTCGCAGACACTACATACATCTCAAGATCCACATATATAAAGTGTAACAACTGGCTGTGTCGCTTTATTCGCCAGCTGGTCCACACAGCCACTGCGGTAGCCATCATCCCCGATCGAGCACGCGATATTAATTATCACTTGCGAACCCATTTATAGACACACCTCTTTCCTATTGAGTGAGTTTGCGTTTGGTAATGGCCCATTAGTATTTCCATTACAAAACCAACTGTGCCCGGTCTAAATCAAGCATCGGCACCGTGTTATTATTAGATATACAGATCCGCCGCTGATACGCCGCTCAGCTATCCTATCCACCGATCATCCCATTGGACAGGACCCCGCTCCCATCCATCCACAAAGTCATCTCAGGCCGATCAAGATAGTCGATCCCTGACGCTTGTGTTCATCCGGTTGACTCACTGAGGGTTGGTGGTTTCCTTAAGGAAAGTCTCTCTCAAAAACAAACAAACACACACACAGTCACACCAATCGCCTCACCAACTCCACCCAATCCAATCGATCTTTGAATCTCTGGCCGAGCATTCCAATCCAAAACACAGGCCGGCCGGTTGCCGAGTGTTATCAGCGACTGAGTGAGTGAGTGAAGTGATCCCCCCAACGACAGCTCTCTATCACCGCGCTACGCTCTCTCTTTTCGTTTTTGAAATAATCTTTTGGAATCATTTTCGAATATGCCACGTTTTTTAATCCCGCCCCCCTACGGCCTCTCCTCTCCCGCCCCTTTTTTTTCTTCCCCCTCGGCCGGTAATAGCAACTAAATAGGATAGACTGGGCTGCTGCTCTGGCTGCTGCTGCACTGGCTGGCTACTGCTGCACCCATTGGGTTGGCTTCTGGCGGCGCTCGCTGCGCTGCTCTGCTCTGCTCTCTGCTCTGCTTCATTCAGGTCGTCATCATCTCTATCAAACCACCACCACCACCACAAAAATCCCCTCTCTTACCCCCTCTTTTTTTTTTCCCATCCTCGGTCTTCGCTCAATTTATATTTCTATCATCAATCTCGTTTCTTTCCTCTCTCTTTTTCTCATCCATCATCATCCCATCCACCTTCCACCACCACCCCCCCTCCGCCAACCACCTCTTCTTTGGACGACGATTGCTGACATCTCCCCCCATCTCAGCAATATAGCCTAGAGACATCCAAAAGGATTGTCTTGTCGCTTGTCTCATTCCCCGTCCAGCCACCCTTCTCTCACCCTTTTTCGCCAGAAGGGCTCCCTTTTTCGAAGAAAACACAACACAACAACCCCCCCGGACTTCATCGTTCAACTTCCAACTCTCTGACCACCACCACCACCACCACCACCATGTCCGAGAACGAAAAGGTGGGACAACCACCCGCCGAAGAGGTCCCTACCAAGTGAGTGTGGTTTCCTCCCCCTTGCTCCTCTCTTCTTCTCTTGGCGACGGAGTGATCCGGCCCCCAAAACGTCTCATCAAAATCCCCCAGCTCCCAAGCGCTGACAAACATTGTTTTTGCCTCTTCTCAGGGAGACCTCTGGAACCGCTCCTGGTGAGTCGTCGCCCGTCACTCTCACTGGGTCCACCAAGCTGACTCCACCATCTCAGTCGCTGATGCCGCTCCCGAGAAGAAGAAGCGAGAGTACAAGGAGATGGAGGAGAAAAAACAGGGTGATCTCCACGCCATCGTGGATCTGAACACTGTGAGCCACTCTCGACTGTCGCTGGCCCGAAATCCCTTTCACTCACACATCTGATTCCCAGATTCAATTCACCGCCGCCGATCTCTATGACAAAGACAAGGTCGATATCGAACACATTGTCATGGAGGAGGTCTTCCAACTCCTTCAAGCCACCGAAGGAGGTCTCACCGAAGCCGAGGCCCAGAACCGTATCGGTATCTTTGGACCTAACAAGCTTGAGGAGAAGAAGGAGAAGTGAGTTCACACAGAGTCCCTCTGTTTGGAGCCTCAGAGCTGACCGAGAACCCTTTTCTCTCAGCGTCTTCCTCCAATTCCTCTCCTTCATGTGGAACCCTCTGTCCTGGGTCATGGAGGGTGCCGCCCTCGTCGCTATTGCCCTTTCCAACGGTGAGGGTGAACCTCCTGATTGGCAAGACTTTGTCGGTATCATCCTCCTTCTCTTGGTCAACTCTACTATCGGTTTCGTCGAGGAACGAAACGCCGGAAACGCCGTCAAGGCGCTCATGGACTCGCTCGCTCCCAAAGCCAAGGTTAAGCGTGACGGCAACTGGAAAGAAGTCGAATCTGCTGAACTCGTTCCTGGTGACATTGTCTCCTTCAAACACGGAGACATTTGCCCTGCTGATTGTCGTTTGATCGAGGCCGTTGATGTCTCCATGGACCAGGCCGCTCTTACCGGAGAATCTCTTCCTCAAGGTAAAAAGGTCGGTGACGAATGCTTCTCCGGTTCCACCTGTAAGCAAGGTGAAGCCGAGGGTATGGTTATCTCCACCGGTCCCAACACCTTCTTCGGACGTGCCGCTACCCTCGTCGGACAGGACAATGACCAGACCGGTCACTTGCAAATGGTCTTGGCCAAGATTGGATCCTTCTGTCTCGTCTCCATCGGTACCTTTGTCTTGCTGGAAATCCTCGTTCTCTACGCCGCTTACCACTACTCTTACCGACGTGGTCTCGACAACCTGTTGGTGCTCTTGATCGGTGGTATTCCCATCGCCATGCCTACCGTCTTGTCCGTCACGCTCGCTGTCGGAGCTCAGCAACTCGCCAAGCACAAGGCCATCGTCACTCGAATCACTGCCATCGAAGAACTTGCGGGTGTCACCATTCTCTGTTCCGACAAGACTGGTACCCTCACGACCAACAAACTCACTATTGACAAGGGCACCGTCAAGTGCTACTCTCACTGGGATGTCGAGGGGGTCTGTCTTCTCGCTGCCTACGCCTCGCGAACGGAAAACCAGGACGCCATCGACGGTTGTGTTGTCGGCACTCTCCCCGACCCCAAGCAGGCCCGTGAAGGTATTAAACTCCTCGACTTCCGACCTTTCAACCCTGTCGACAAGCGAACTGAAATCACCTACCGAGACGACCGAGACGGTGGCAAGCTCAAGCGAGCTACCAAGGGTATGACTGGTATCATCATCGAACTCTGCACCCGAAACAAGACTTCTGAACTTGAGGACCGACTTGAAGCCGATGTCGAAGACTTTGCCCGACGTGGTCTCCGTGCTCTCGCCGTCGCTTACGAAGACGTCATGGGTGACCAGCCAGACTCTGAGGGTAACGGTTTCGAACTCGTCGGTCTCCTGTCTATCTTTGACCCTCCCCGTTCCGACACCAAGAAGACTATTGACGATGCCATGGCCCTCGGTGTCAAGGTCAAGATGGTTACTGGAGATCAACTCGCTATTGCCAAGGAAACCGGTCGACGTCTCGGTCTCGGTGACCACATGTACCCCGCGAAGGTTCTCAAGGACGGTCCTGAAGCCGGTGGAAAGCACGCTACTCTCGATGAAATGATCATGGACGCTGATGGTTTCGCCGGAGTCTTCCCCGAACACAAGTTTGAAATCGTCAAACGTATCCAAGGTCTCGGACACTTGTGCGCCATGACTGGTGACGGTGCCAACGATGCTCCTGCCTTGTCTCGTGCCAACGTCGGTATCGCCGTCGAAGGTGCTACCGATGCCGCTCGAGGTGCCGCTGATATCGTCTTGACTGAACCCGGTCTCTCCACCATTGTCCACGCCATTTACGGATCCCGAGTCATCTTCCAACGTATGAGAAACTATGCCGTCTACGCTTGTGCCGTTACCATCCGTATCGTTGTCTGCTTCGCCATCATGGCTTTCGGCTGGAAATTCGACTTCCCCTCGTTCATGGTCCTTATCATTGCCGTCTTGAACGATGGAACCATCATGACCTTGTCTTTGGACCGAGTATTGCCTTCTACCACCCCTGACGAGTGGAACTTGACCGAAGTCTTCGCCTACGGTATCGGATACGGTCTCTACCTTACTGGATCTACCCTCGCTCTGTACGCTGTCATGCACCACACCGACTTCTTCGAGCGCAGATTCCACGTCAACCCAGTTACCAAGGGCGATGTCAACGATCCTCAAGGCCACATGATCATCTACCTCCAGGTCGCCATCATCTCCCAAGCCTTGATCTTTGTCACTCGATCTCACGGACCTTCATGGACTGAGCGACCTTCCGTTGCCCTCATGTTGGCTTTCTGTCTCGCTCAATTCATCTCCTCCATCATTGCCGGATTCGGAAACTGGGGCTTCACCGATGTCCACTCGATCTCTGGAGGATGGATCGGTATTGTTTGGGTCTGGAAGTGAGTTCACCTCATTCCGTGCCTTGGTGAACAAATCAACTAACCTGCCCGTAGCATCGTCTGGTACTTCCCTCTCGATCTCGTCAAGTTCATCCTCAAGAGGACCATCATTGCCTACATCCAGAAGCGAAGGAGAGCTGGACAAGCCCCTGCCCTCGTCGACGAGCACGGAGAGCGACTCCAGCGAACTGCCTCCCGACACGAGTCTCTCTACTCGAACCGAACCAACTTCCTTGCCCGAGCTGCCAACAGACTCAAGGGAGGACAAAAGGTCTCCATGTCGAGAAACGAGCTCTCCAGGTGGGTTGATCGATTGCTGTCTCCTGTGTTGTTCGTCCACTGACATCGTCCCCCAGATTCTCCTCCATTCAAGCTCAACAATCCGGTGCTGCTCTCCAACGAGCCAGCTCCAGAGCTGCTTAGAGTGGTTTCTCTTCACGCTTCTCCATACATTTTTATTTGCAAGCCTTGCATTTCATCCATGTCATTCTCTTTCCGCATACCCCACCACATCTCTCGATACCGCATAATCCTCTCGACACTCCCGATGGGAAAGTAATCCGTGTGATACCTCATCATCCTATTCTATAATCCTATTCTCACCGGATCGTCCCCGTCATAAACTCTCTCATTGTCTCAACTATATACAAATCTATAAAGACCGTTTTCCTCCATTCCATTCTCGTTATCCCCTTGAAATCCTTTTTCCCTTAGGTATCAAGTCGAAAGCATGTGAATGCAGGATCGTAGTGACGTATCATTATCGGGGTTGCCCAGTCCAGTCCTTCTGTCCATCGAAGCAGGTCTCGAGCCAGTCACCCTGAGCTCTGGAGTAGACTCCATAATATCGGAAATGACCCGCTTTTTTGCCGAAGTGCCGGAGTTCACGTCCTTATCTCTTGAACCGTTTTATCTACGAATCTCGATACACGATCAAGTTGCTCACTCAGCGATCAGATCTGACGAATCAGCTGTGGAACTTCTTGCTCATCGTTCTCTCCGCTGCATCCTGCATTGCCAGTGGGCACTCAGCACATATTCCATTCCCAATCATCCCCTTGGCCGGACAGATACTCGGAACGACCGCGATAAGCGAGTTAGAACTTTGTAAGGCTACATTTCTCGAGGTCACAGAGCTCTGACCTCGTTCATTTCAGAACAGTCGATTTACGAGCATCTTTGTGTCAATATTCAAGCGTAGTAGTGAAGATCGCTTGCTTGCTTCATACCCGCCCTTTTTGCCATGCAAGCCTTCGTTGGGACTTTAGTCGATACGCCCGAGTTGGGTCAAGTGAGAATTCGAAGGGATCACGTACTTGGTGAGGTCGAGGATTTTGAACATTCTTCTGTGTGTCCTCTCTCATATATGCTGACTTTCCGACACAGTGGTCAATGAACAAGGCTACATCACTTCCATCTTTCCTTCATCCACCGATGACGACGCAGCGACTAAAGCGTTGGCTTCTATCCCGGAAGATAGGATCACCCGGTTAAACGGAGCTGGTGAAAGCTTCCTCTTACCTACCTTTGTGGATTTACATCAACATGCGCCTCAGTACTTGTTCTGTGGAACCGGATTGGATTTGCCCTTATTGGAATGGTTGGATCGGTGAGTCATGAGCGAGCGAGCGAGCGGCTTCCGAGTGATTTGAGTGATTCGAGTGGAAGCGGATTGAGGCAGGTATGGAGAGTGAGCCAAGCGCAGCGAGTGAGCTGGGATTCAGAGATTGTGAGAGGAACGCAGAAAGGTTCAATGAATTGGGAGCATGGAGACGATCTCCGGGGGGATTCCACTGTCTCTTAGTCCCTTTACCCCTTCACTGCCTCTGTTTAGACTCTTGAGCCATGATTCTTCGATTCTTCGTTTTGAAAATTGCGGAAGGGTCAAAGAAACTGCACGATTGACTGTGCTGAAAATCGTCCTCGCTGCTTCTTAGATACGCCTACCGAGCCGAGGAGAGTATCGATGCGGATCCCGCTCTAGCGAAGCAAGTTTACACACGACTCGCTCAGCGATACAAAGAAGTAGGAACGGGATGTACGGTTCTATTTGGGACCATCAAAGTGGAAAGCAAGTGAGTGTCTCGGGCTACAACCAAGCCGGGCTAGGAGGTTCGGAAGGTTGACCCTAACATACGTCGTCACAGTATGATTCTTGCAAAGGCTTTTCAGGAGGCTGGTGTGAGAGCGTTCGTCGGGAAGTTGTCGATGGATCAGTCTCCAGTGAGTCGGTACGAGAAGAGGCGGTTCTTCAAGTCTGAACAAGAGAGCGAATATGGCGCTGACGCGATGCCCCAGCGGCCGACCTACAATGAAGCATCTACGGCTGCATCGCTCGAATCCGTCACGTCCTTCCTCGATCAGTTTGATGCCTTTGTGTCGCCATTGCCCTCTCACCATCGTTTGGTGCAGCCCATCATTACGCCACGGTTCGTTCCAACTTGTTCGGATGCCCTGCTCTGTGGCTTGGCAAAGATTGCGGATGAGCGCAATGTCAGAGTTCAGAGCCATCTCTGTGAAGGAAGAGATCAGATGGATTGGGTAGAGAGGACGAGGGGGAAGAAAGATGAAGAAGTGTTTGATGAGGTGAGTCGCCGGCTGAGCCGGGTGGCCGAGCTGGGCGAGTTGCAATCACGGACAGAATACTCATCTTGTGGGGCACAGGCCGGCTTATTACGCCCTGGGAGTATTCAAGCTCACGTCACGTACCTCTCGCCAAGTCTCATGGAGCTTTGCAAAGCTCGCGGCGTGACTGTGGCACATTGCCCATTGTGAGTAGCATTTTAACCGTACGAGACTGGCGACTGGAGACCATCTGCTGACCTCGTCAGGTCCAATGTGTATTTTTCTGAAGCTCAGTTCCCATTGAGAGAGTGCGTGTTCGAGACGCACAGACCTTCTTGTCCTTCGCTCACCTACTCTCCGTCTTTAGAGCACTCGACGCTCAAGTGTCCGTCGGACTTGGCTCAGACGTGGCAGGGGGATACAGTCTGAGTATTGAGACGAACATGCGATCTGCAGTCTACACCTCTCGAATGAGAGAAGGAGCCAGACAGGAAGAACATCATCAGCGTCGAGCGATAGAGAGCACAGCAAATACTACAGAGAAGAGCACTGTCAGCCTCTCGAGGACGGCTGGAAAAGGGTTGAGCGTGAGTTGGGTGGAGAGTTTGTACATCGGTACGAGGGGTGGGAAGAAAGCACTAGGGATGGGAGGTGCATTTGAAGAGGGTATGGAGTTTGACGCGCAATTGAGTGAGTTTCTCGGAAAGGCACGCAAATGTCGGAGGGGACGGACCCAAGTTGACAATTCTTCGTACCTATAGTCACACTTCGAGACGAAACCAGTCCCCTAGGTGTCGATCAGCTCGACTTTTTCCTACCGCCCTCTGAAGGAAGTGAAGATGCCTGGTGGCTTGAAGCGGTTGAGAGATGGTGGTGTAATGGTACGCGGGTCAATAGGCGAGGAATGTGGATCCAGGGTGACAAAGTGTTGTAGAGTGTGTCTGTGTGTCTTTCGGAGCTCCGCAATGTTTGGTGTTAGTGGAACGAGTAGAGCAGCAAGTGGACATAGCAAATGAATCAGGATCATCTGTATAGAGCATACGACCTATGTATGCATGCATATTCACTGACCACATGGGCCATGGTATGATCATTGCGCACAGACCCCTCTTCCTTTTGATTGATTGGACCGACTTTATGAGCACCTTGACGACGACGAGGGGACACACTCTCTTGACGTTTGACTTGTTCTAATCTCGTCAGCTTACTGCGAGCCTGGTCAGAACTCAACCGTTCTCTCATCCGTTATCAGCTGACAGAGATACATCAACCTCAAACGTAGACAAGCACCCACTCTGACTCTGACTCTGGCGTTTTGAGTGGTCCAAAATGTCGTCAGGGTCTCTCACGCCTTCCCCTCCTCCCTCGACGACGCTTCAGACGCCTCACGCCCCCACCACCACCACGGCGCCCAGGACGATGACCTACACCTCCTCTCGATCAGGACGTCGGGTCTCGAAGCCCACTTCGTACGGTAACATGGTGGATTCCGATCACATCCCGGCATACCTTGAGAAGCAGAAGGATATGGGAGACTTTGAAGATGAAGATGAGGATGGGTATGACGAGATGGATCGAGACAGCCAAGATGACAGTAGTGATGAGTATGGTGTGGTCAAGAAAGGCAAAAGAGCAAGCGAGGAGAATGACGACGACGATGAGGGGGACCATGCGTTTAACGATGATCTCGATTCCATTGCAGAGGAAGTAGGACCCCACAAGGTCAGCCCATGCAATTGCTAGGATCCGTATGGCTATGGCTGACGCAGCCCAATCGTGGCAGAAATCAAGAGGCGGTCGAAAAGCCACGAGTGGTGCGAAATCGGCCAAGACGACGACGCACAAGGCGACGTCCGCGAAGACTGCAAAGACCAAGTCGCGTCCTGCCCAAGAGACCAAAAAGGGCAATACTACAGGTAAAGATAAAGGCAAGCAGGTGAGTGTGTTGATCCAGTCCCCAAGGAGGGACTTTTGGTATTGTATCGTGGTGACAGGCACCTCGCTGTAGGTCAGTGGCTGACCTGCGGATCCGTAGATTCCTGTGTCCACGAACGCCCTAAAGCAGACTTCGAAAGCGCTCGTCAGGCCTTTGGCTCGGGGTCAGGCGCCTTCGGAGGAGGAGAAGAGACCGATCGTGCTTGCGAAAGCGTCTGGCTCGAAGCCCACACAGGTGAAGGGGCTTCCCGTCATCATCGGGAAGGCGTCCGGCAAGGCACAGGTCGGCTCAGCGAGAGTGGGCGAGCATGAGAGAGGCGGTGTGAGTGATGACGAGAGACAGTCTCAAGATGGACGACAGGTGAGAATCGAGATTTGGCATTGACGATGTCGAGGATGTCAGATCCGCTGATACTGGCATGGCTCAGGACGTTGACGAAGTCGACGAAATTCATCCCAATGCCAAGGAGGATGAGGAGATCCCCTCATCTCACCCTCGACCCACTTCATGGGCTGGCACGTCGAGCCCCAAAGAAGCAACAGCGTCTTCAAAAGTCGTAAAACCCAAGTCACTCCCAAGACCCATATCACCATCTCCCATGAGGAACAGGCCTCCTTTGCTTGTTCCGGCCGCTTCCAAGCTTGGCAAAGCATCGGGAGGCGTGACTCCAAAGCCTGCGAGCAAAGGAGCGACGGTCAAACCCCAGACGAAGGGGAAAGCGGAAAGCTCCAAAGCTAAAGCTGGAGCTGAAGCTGGGAAGAAGATTGAGGTGAAGCGAGTCCAGAAAACGAAAGACCCGGTAGGGCCAGTGGTGCATGGAAAGCCTGTAGAGGCAATGACCCCGCACGATGAAACGGACGAAGCGAAGGATCGCCAAAAAGATCGAGGTCTTGACCAGGCGAAGGTACAGGATGCGAGAATGGAAACTGAGAAGGGTTCAAACCTTGACGAGTCCGAGAACGTTCATAAGCTTGAAGACGATGTTGACAAGGCGAGGGAACAGTCTAGAGACCGGAATGCCAACTTCCAGCCCGAGATTAAAGCGACCAAGTCAGGATCCGCTCCCAAGGCCAAGGTAAGCACCAGGCTATCGCGCGATAGCCCCTCTGAAGTGTCGACACAGGAGATACGAACGAAATCCGCTGGTAACGCCAAGACAAAGTCACGAACCACCTCTCTTTCCTCGGCTGGATCCAACGAGACTCGCAGCTCCAAAGGTCGATACACCGTCGAAGTCGTCATTCCCATCAAGAAAGCCAGATCTGGCAGTGATGCCAGCGACTCCCGGAAGTCTGAACCAAGAGGTGTCAAAGCTGCCAAAAGTGCCAAAGTCACCAAAAGGGCCGCCGAGGGAGATCGAGTCCCACAGAAACCTAGCAAGATGAAAGGCGCGAAGAAGGAGATAGCCAAGGCGGTGAAAAAGGGAACAACCAAGAGTTCGAAGAAAGCGGAAGACGAGGAGATGCTAGAAACTCAAGATCAACTAGACATCAACATGCAGGAGGTCAGCTGAGCCCTGCAATCCTTGAGACAAAGCTGACTCAGCGCTGTGGTACAGATCAGGTACGATGATTCGTCGGACCCTCTGGCACTCTGCCTGCCTCAGGATTCCAAATCGGATGCTGAGGAGGATCTTGGAGATTACGCGGAGCACTTTGTAGAGTCTGGACTGCCCCAGGTGAGCACACACGTATGCCTCTCTCGCCAAGCTGACATAGCTTCAGGCTCAACACTCGGCCAAGATGATGAGCAGAAAGGTGGGTTTGCGGCAGTCTCATAGGGCTGATCAGTGTTATAGTCGCCGGACAGTCAGCAGTCCATCCACCACTTGTCGCAAACAAATCAGAGGGATGGGTCTCCGGTGAGTGAAACAGTCTAGACACTGTTCCGAGAGTCGATGATTCACCTCAAATTCTACCTCAGGGCTCTTCCTCCAGTCCTAAGAAGCGCAAGATCGTTGAGGATGTATCCTCCCAGTCGACGATTTCCTCGCCAGCGAAGAAGAAGCCAGCGCCCGCTGAGAAGGTCGGGCTTGAGCATCGAGCTCTGATCATCAAGGCGATGGTCGACCCAAAGTTTCTCAAAAATGTCAAGATGCCTACAGTCGATGGAGCAGCAGGTAGCAAGCTCTTACGACACTGGCGCGAAGTATTGAGTAAAGAGCTTGCCAAGGTCTTTTCAGGACAGGAAGTCAAGTCTGGAGCTGGAGCCGCCAAGGGATCAGTGAGCAAGGCTCAACGATTCGAGATCTGGAGGATTGTCTGTGAAGCTTCGGACAAGGTGGATTGGGCGTCGGTGGAGGAGGAATCGGGGATCAATGCCACCAAACTCAAGAGGCATTTCAAGGAGGTGATGAAGAAGGATGGGGATAAGTACATTGGCAAGTAGATGGGGGAGACACCGGGCTGGCTGGCTGGTCGCCGATGCGCTGATCAGGCTAGTCATCAATGAGCAGAAGATGTTGAGGACGCCGGTTGTGTTCTGAGCGGCACAAGAGAAGTTTGACCTGGAAAAAAACGCGTCGATCCGGAAGGCGGAGTAAGGAGGGAGGTGACTGACTATCCGTGTGCCCGTGTTCCTAGATTCCGATGCTTCTACCCCCCATCGGCCTATACCCACTGTGGTCGATCGACTTCCCTGTGCCCCTCAACCTCGCCCTTTCTCCTGTACCTATGCCCACCCATGGGTGACAAGTATGTATACATGTACCTAAACCCCCTCCCATTCTCCCCACTCTCGACAGCAGGCCTCCTCTCCTTTCCCCCATTTCGGCAATGTCCTACTGCTTAGTTGCTGTTTTTTTTTTTGGGTGCAACGCTGAGTAATACTTTCGTCATTTTCAAACCCGGGACACGGGCCAAGAAGGGGGAAGAGGCGAAGAGGAAAAACATCTTTAAGCTGACCGTCATTCACTGAGCTGTTGTGTCGATACTTATATAACAGGAGGACTCGAGCAAGCTACAGATTGGACCAAGGCGAAAAGCTCACAACAGAGTGCGAGATCGAGATCGTCTGGCACAGGTGTCATCTTCAGCTTGGTGTCGCTCATTTCCTCCTCCGGAAGCTAGGTGGAGGTCCTATATTTTTTTTGGTCCACCTTTGTCATCCCTTGGCAACCCACCGTATTATTGCGATCACACATCGCTTCGACAGCTCGGATAACCCTCGGAGGACACTGGCGTCAACGGCTCGCTCCTCACCCAAACGACTCATCCTTATCGGTTCATACCACCCAGCGAGCTCGATAGACAACCCCATCGACGCTGACATCATTTGGGCACGTTTTATATCTCCCGATTTCAAGAGCGTCCACGACGATCCAGCTCGCCAAAGCGTGGAGTTCGTGTCTGTACAGCAAGTCCTGTTTGGTGTCCTCGAGGTTTCGGACGACAGGCTCTCACGATATCGTCACATCACGTTCTCAACGACACAGAGGGTTTCTATCGCTTTGCCGGTATAACTGAATCAAAGCGGATAGTCGGAAAGGAATATTGGATATTTGACCTCACAATAACAGAGCATTCCGCCCGCTCGACGTCCTGAGCGAGATCGACACACCATGGGTCTCTTGGCTCTAGGTACCCCTCTTTCATGGGACGAGACGAAACCTTTGGCTGAGCATATCCGATATCATGGAATCACTCAGTTCTTGAATACTTGGGATAGGTGGAAGGATAGGACAGGAAAGGGATTACTGTGGGGTGACGAGGCGAGTCCAGAATTGGCAACAGGATAGCTCCAGGTGCTGATGCTGCTGGATCAGATCGAATACATGATCGTCTCGTATGATGATGACAATCGCACTGCATTGTTATCTCTGCGTCAGACGGAGATTTTGAAAAAGCTGCAAAGCGTCACACTGGATCCAAAGCTCGAGCAGCTCAAGCCAAAGGACTGGTGGGTGCTGCAAAGCATTCTGAAGTTGTCCGAACGAGGAGGGCTAATGCTACATCCCTTCTTGATCTCGCTTTATCTCTCCCTCTTCTCATCCGGATTTCCGTCTTTAGCACCGCGATCCCCACATTCCATCCGGAATACGGCAGATACATGATCGAATCAACCCCCGGATGCCCATTCACAGGCAATCCCAAAGACCTTATCTCTGTCGAAGCCGATATGCGATTCCGACGAAAAATCATTCGATCCCATTTACTCCCTCATGAACTCCCTCTCACCGTTACGTCTTGGCCTAGATTGGGTGCTTTGGATGACGGAAAATTACCATTCACTGATCCGGAGACTTGGCCTGATACGCAGAAGAGCAGTTCAAGGAGTCAATATGTCGGTGAATTGTTGACGAACCCTCATGCGAGGTTCCCGTGAGTCGGAAACCCTCCTGTCCAGGAGAATGGAGCTGAATGGGGTCCCAGAACACTCACAGCCAATATCCGGGCGAGGAGAGGATCGCTCGTCGACATTCGTGTACCGCTGTTCATCGATCAAAACACCAATGTGCCCGATACGGAGCAAAAGCACTTGTCAAATGGTATTCCTAGTGAGTTCGATTCTGGATTTTTTCCGGACCGCAGAGCCGACTCGTTACTGTAGCTCCTGCCAAACCTCTGCCTGGGACACCTTCCATTCACATGGACGCCATGGCTTTCGGTATGGGATGTTGTTGCCTTCAAATTACGTTCCAAGCTTGGAACGTTGATGAAGCGAGAAGAGTCTACGATGCACTGGTTCCCGTCGCTCCGATCATGGTGAGATTGTCAGGCGAGAGCCCACGAGAGCTGCTGTTGACTTGACGTCGCCTCGACCACTAGCTCGCTCTGACTGCTGCGAGTCCCGCTTTCCGTGGATACCTTGCGGATGTCGACGCTCGGTGGAATGTCATTGCGGCCAGCGTGGATGATCGAACGGAGGAGGAGAGAGGTCTCAAGGTATGTAGCACAGCACATTGTTTCAGACAACTTTAGGCTAAGCGGATCATTCAGCCTCTTAAGAGCGACCGCTATTCCATTCCCAAGTCTCGCTACGACTCTGTCGACCTGTACATATCAAACGATCCTCGTAACAAGGAAAAATACCATGACACACATGTGCCGATGGACGAGGGAGTGAAGCAGCGATTGACGGAACATGGTGAGCCGGCTCACTTTGAAGACGAGGGGAATGTCAACTCATCCCACTCATTCAGGCGTCGACAATCACCTTGCTTCACATCTTGCTCACCTGTTCATCCGCGATCCTCTGGTTCAGTTCTCCGAGACCATCGATCAAGATGACCAAGCGTCCATGGATCATTTCGAGAACATTCAATCCACCAATTGGCAGACAATACGATTCAAGCCACCGCCAGTCAACTCGCCAATCGGCTGGCGGGTCGAGTTCAGAAGTATGGAAGTTCAAATGACAGATTACGAGAACGCTGCATTCTCCATCTTCATCGTCCTGTTGACAAGGGCCATTCTGAGCTTTGATCTCAACTTTTACATGCCGATTTCAGAGGTGAGCGGGCCATCGGTTTGGAAGGAAATAGGCTGACACTCCTGGGTCTCGTAGGTCGACGACAACATGCAGCGAGCGCAACAACGAGATGCTGCTGCGCGCAATTCATTCCATTTCCGGCGAAACGTGTTCCCTCACGACAAGCCGAGAGAGCGATTCGACCTGACATCACGACCTGTGTCACCACCTGCGGGACAATCGCCAACTTCTCCTACGTCCGCATCGATCCGATCCGAATCTATATCCCGAGTCAACGGGACAGCGAGTTCGAGTAGTAAGCCCACCACGCCGACGGGCAGTAGGCGAAACAGTGGCGATCATTTACGACCCTCTGGCTCGAGTCAATTGCGGTCGTCTGTCTCTGCGCCTCCCACACCGCGGCGTACGGGTTCATCTGCATCACGTTGCTCTTCCGAGGATGAGGATATCGGAGAGGAAGACGAGACTGCTCAGATGACTCTGGATGAAATTATCAATGGGAAAGGCGATCATTTCCCTGGACTGATGGGAGTCGTCAATGCCTATCTGAATTCGTTGAACGTGGATGTCGGGACGAAATGCGAATTGAGACGCTACCTGGACCTGATCAAGTGGAGATCAAAGGGTGAGCGAGCGGTATCCGCACTTCTGCAAGTGACACATTCGCTAACGGATCACCGCCAGGCCGCCTTGTCACACCTGCCAATTGGATCAGAAAGTTCATCACTACCCATCCAGACTACAAGCACGATTCAGTGGTCTCTCAGTCGATCACGTATGATCTGGCCAAGGCAGTGGACGAGATGTGAGTCTAGCTGCTGTGTATTATATCATTTTGCCATGCTAATGTTGGCGTCAGTGAACGAGGCGTGCGACCGTGTCCTGAACTATTAGGCCACAATTATGTTGGCTCGGGACCGACGGGATGTTTGTGATTTCACCAGTCGTAAGGGGTTCGAAGGCATTGTATATTGTGAGGCCAGTGGTACATCTGTTTTATACTCTATATCTGTATGCATATTTCACAGAGGGACCAGCCCAGCTATGATGTATGCACTATTCTATGGGTGCAGATGTCTTGAACGCAGAGTACCAGCTCGGCGTTTCTGGACAACCAGTCCTTGCCTTCTCATTCCTTGCTCGTCTTCGCCAGTCCCCATGCTCCGTTTAGCCTTGTCTGCGGCAGCAGGGCCATATAGATCGTGCATGCTGTGCATGATCTTTGAAGATATCCCTGCGATGGCTTCTGCGAGAGAGAGGTCACGCTTGGCCTTCGCCTTCTTCCCACCGACGTTTTCCCCCGTCGCAACGTTCGTACCCGCTCCACTGGCCGCTCGAAGGATATCCGAAACGACTTGATCGGCCCTCATGAAATCAGGCACAGGCATGCTTTTTGGACGGGGTTTCGTCATGTCGTCTCTTTCGTACAGCTTTGGTTCGTCAGGAGAAGCTGCGGGAGCTATACGAGGCAAGTATGAATCGAAAGAAGGATTTGACATGATCTCGTCGTGGTCGTCGTCGCGTTGAAAAATGGCGTGATGGTCGTCAAAGGCGTTGTTGGTTCGATCTGTCTCGGCCGCCGTCCAAGTCATTCGGGTGTTTCCTATCTGCATCATTTTTTGGTCGGTCTCTGGGTTCGGGGCTGGTACTGGTGCGGCCAAGACCAGAGGCAGGATAAACAATAGGGCGAGCATGATAAGGTGTGAAGCGAGCAAAGACGGGTGGTCCGGTGAAAGCTGGTGCGGCGCCTCGAGGTGGGGGGAAACCTGATTCGGGTTGGAGGCGTCTGCTGGGATGAAGGCAAGGTAGGTGATTCGGTCCAGCCGATTCGACAATCTGATCCCGGACTAGGTCGAGTCTATGTTAGTGGAGAGTTTCGGTGTGATGAGAAAACCTTGAGTATTCTTCTTCTCTGCCAGAGAGAGAAAGAAAGATAGAGAGAGAGAGAGTTGTGGACGTGGAAGGAGGATGCGAAATGAGGATGCGAGATGCCAGATGGCCTTTGATGAAATTGTCAGAAGCTCAGCTTAAGTATCATTTGAGTAAGGGATGTACATCAGTTGCGCGACGCATATTGCGATACGGATGCGTGCATACCGCTCGAGTCAGATGTAACCATACACGGTATCATCCGGAATCGAGTCGCGTCAGAGCGATGTGACGATTCTCATCAGCTGAAACTGTCTGGTCCAGTGAGACATCGCCCCGGGTCTCCGATTACGGCGTCCAGTCATGACATATGCGAGTACCGGGAGTCACTTCGCTTTTCGGCGTGTCGAATCTAAGATGGAGGAACCCTCAACTCTGCCCCATATCGTCGTGGTTACATGTCTCTATGGTTGTTCATCGACTTTTGCCCACAAAGTCATTCGCGTGTGCTTTAATAACGCCGCTACGGTGGGGATGAAGTGATACAATTTCCGAATGTGGCACTTTTGGTTCTGGCCCTCCACCCACCCACCGCCCGGTGCCATTTTACCCCGAGACTAAAGGTGATGCGCAGCTGATGGTGGAGGAGGATCCCATCTGGTGTGTGGGGCGGTCAGCGACCTAAACCTCAGGCAGCTCTGTCAGCGTCTGTACTACAGATCTATCGCCGTTTTACTGGTGCTCCAAATCCAACTCAAGGGCCAATCCCTCCGCGCCAAGCTCCGTCATTTGAGGCAAGAGAGAGAGAGAGAGAGACAGAGGCGCTTTGCCTTTCTCGGACGAATAGTCTCATCCCATCTCCGGAGCTTTCAATTACCAACCCACCCATCCCATTATCACTCATCTTGTAACGACCGTTTCTAGGTTGTGAAACATCCCACCTCACACGTCCGACCCGTAGCTGCTTTGGCTGCATCATGCTCAAGGGGGTCAAGGTGAGTCACACACCCTTCTGCTCTCAGGTTTGGCCCCACCCACGTTCCCCCCCTCCGATCCGGAAGGAGTAGTGGCAATCTATCGCATGAGAAAGCTGATTCCATGTTCGTTCGCCAGCAACTATGGCCCTCGTCGTCTTCATCTCAGAATCAGAGTGGTTCAACCGCCTTGACAGGAGGTGACAGAGATACTTCATCACCCACTCTCTCTCCTTCGACGTCATTCGCTCATCTAGGTGGACCGGCTGATCAATCGACTCCGAAAGCATCTTCTCAAGCGACTCCGAATCCCTTCGATGCCATCTCCACTCCCGGTGCGGGACTTGCCAGATCTACCGCTGGTCTGTCACTTGATCCCAGCAAGAGATCAAGTTCCCCAGCTGTCACGCCTCATCCTGGTCCCTCGGGCTTGAGAACACCTACTTCCCACTCGTTTATGCCCTTACCGCTCGGTACACCTGGAGCCGGTCAACCCACGACCGGCGTGACCGTTGGCGATGCGGTCGGATCTAACACCGGTATGGGATTCGGACTACATGAGCCCCCAAAGATGAGAAAGGCCATGAACAAAGCTCCCGACGGATCCAATGGGAATGGACATACCATTCCAGAGGAAGAACACACGGGAGGGACTACGAATGCTACCACCACCTCTGGTACATTGCCTGGTTCCGGAGGTTCTTCCCTCAGCATGTCTAAACCGCCCGGTGCTGGCGCGATGCAGGAACAAAGTCAACCTGGACACTCTCATTCCTCCAACTCGGCGCCAAGAGGTACACTCTCCGTCAAGCTTATCTCGGCTAGAGGACTGGCAGTCTCCCATTCCCAAGATGCCGATCCTCAGCCCTACGTCGTTATTCAATTCGAGCAGAATGAATTCGTTTCCCGTCCTCCACACCCTGTAGCTTCACCCGCTTCGGTTCCCTTCACCACATCTCAAGCTCAACCGATGAACAACTCCAATAGCGGTCCCGGTAATTTGACACGTAGCACCTCTGGCTTGGGGGTCGGAACGATTACCAGAGCGTTTGCAGAGGCCGTAGGGAGGTCTTCAAAGAAGAAGGATCTGGATGAGAGTGGAATGAGGACGCCGCGAGCCGAAGAACCAGTCGCAGGGATGAGCTGGTTGGGTAGGCCCGGTCCTGGGGATCCCGTCTGGAAGGAGGAAGTAGCCTTGTGAGTGTGATATCGGCTCGCAAATTGCACCCTTTGGTGCTTACATGACCCACCTAGCGACTTGACATCCTCCACATCCGCCTTGCATGTCTCGGTTTACGATCGTAATCGACCAGACGAAGGCTTCCTCGGTATGCTGGATATCAAACCGGTCCTCAAGGACAACTACACCTTGGACAGCTGGTACAAGCTAGGTACGAGAGGAGAGGAGAACGTCACTGGGGAGCTGTGGATCCAAGTCACATATAATGCGATCAGGGTGAGCACGCTTGCAATCCTCTCGACCATGTCCTGACCCCGTCTATAGAGCAAAGCGCATCTCAAACCATCCGACTTTGAATTCCTCAAACTGATCGGTCGAGGTACCTTCGGCCGAGTCTTTCAGGTCCGAAAGAAGGACACTCGTCGTATCTACGCGATGAAGGTTTTGTCAAAGAAGGAAATCGTCGCAAAAAAGGAAGTCGCACATACCATCGGAGAACGGAAGATCCTTCAGAGATCCCTGGAATGCCCGTTCCTCGTTGGCCTCAAATTCTCTTTCCAGACCGAGAAGGAGCTTTACTTTGTGACGGACTACAAGTGTGGTGGAGAGCTCTTCTGGCATCTGCAAAAGGAAGGGAGATTCAACGAGGATCGAGCGAGATTCTACATTGCCGAGCTAATCCTGGCTTTGGAGCATTTGCACAAGTACGACATCGTGTATCGGTGAGATTCGCTTCCATCCGCGAGCCGCAGCGGCGCTGAATCCCCCCGCCAGTGATTTGAAGCCTGAGAACATTCTGTTGGACGCGACAGGGCACGTCGCTCTCTGTGATTTCGGACTGTCGAAGCCTGATTTATCGAATGACCAGCTCACCAACACGTTCTGTGGGACGACTGAGTGGGCGGTTTTCTGAACACACGAGGAGGGTACTCGCTGACCACTCTCAGGTATCTCGCTCCAGAAGTGTTGCTGGACGAGAAGGGTTACGGCAAGCATGTCGACTTCTGGTCTCTCGGTGTGCTGCTTTTCGAAATGTGCTGCGGATGGAGTCCATTCTATGCAGAGCACACTCAGGAGATGTACCGATTGATCTGTAGGTGGTCGTCTTTGAGACAGCGGTGCCGATGCTCATCGTCATCTCAGGTTACGGCAAGATCCGGTTCCCAAAACATGGTACGCTCCGGTCTGCAGAAACAGTGGTGATATACTGACATGATACCAGTCATTGGCGACGACGGCAAGCAATTTGTCAAGGGCGTGAGTCTTTCAACTTGTTTGCGTCACTTCGGCGTTAATTTTACCTGTACAGCTTCTCAACCGGAACCCGCAGAACCGTCTCGGAGCGAAGCGCGGAGCCGCTGAACTCAAGGAGCATCCCTTCTTCTCGCAGATCGATTGGGATCTGTTGTACCGCAAACAAGTCACTCCACCTTTTAAACCTATCGTAGATTCAGACGAGTCCGTCGCCAATTTCGATCCGGAATTCACCAATTCGTCCTTACAAGATGCGGGCATACAACCATGGGATGAAGATGAGTCTGAATCCTCATCCAGTGTTCAACGTCACAACTACCTCGGACCTGGCGGCAGTCTCACTTCCCCTGCTGGGCAACACATGGCCAATCGGAATGCTGTGCCAATTCAAAAACCTGGACCTAAGCCTGTTCCGGGATCTGAGGGATCACCTTTGACCAGCAGTCTTCAGGAGAACTTTAGAGGCTTCACCTACACTGGCGAATCATCGTTGATGGTGAGCGTAGCTGAGCCTGAGTACTCTTTCCAATGCTTACATTTTGTGTCACGTTCAGCCTCAGTCACACCTCCACGATCATTCAATGGACGATCACGACGATATGGAAAACGCCGTGGACGACGATGAAGACGATGAAGGTGATGATGAAGATCTCGATGACGATTATGACGGTGATGGCGTGCGCACAAGAAGACAGAGTGACGTCGATATGGACTAGATCGCATCATCCCTGCGAATGTGCAGCTCAAGATAAACCTCACTGGATCTGGCCCCTGGCTCGCTTCCGAGCCGCAGCACCTCGAAAGGTCAATCCGGCTCTCAGTGCATCTTTCGCCATGTAACTCTCTGTCATTTTGGACCCGACATTCGTATTCCCATCGATCACGCTTGTATACTATGTGTATAGTAATTTTCGAGGAGCGTATCTCGAGTCAATCTACCTACTTTTCTTGACACTCTCCCCTTCCTCACTCATCAAGCCCACCATTATCACCACCCACCACCACCTGGCATTTTCCCCCACCTAGGGACCGACCGAACAAAGATCATGCATCGCAGATAAGGGAATGAAGACTGCAGACACGGAAAAGGAAACAAGCAAGACATATTATGTACCAACAGCAAAGCCGGACAAAGGGGACCGATGTCAGATGCTAGATAGAAGCAGTGTGATGAAAAGTGTCAGATAGTCCACTCGTGCTGATTCACCGCCAAATGAGATTTCAGAGACACGAAGATGATTCGCTCCAATATGTCGTGGGTGTCATGGACGCGCTGAGCAGCTTTCGGTCGCAAGAGGGGTGGCGAGGTTCTGTTAGACTCCGTATTGTTGGGAGCAGTGACGCCCATAAATTTGGCCTCGCTCGGAGACAGCCAAAGCCTTACACTCACGCCATCGTTGCGAGTGAGACCATCAAGAGGTGTTGAGGATGGTGGAAGAGAAATGTGTTGACAGGTGAAACAAGATTACGGCATCGGGGTGAAGGAGGAATCCGAACAGGTCTGTGGCAGCGCCGAAGATCAGAATCCCTGTGACTGATCGTGCATCAGTCGTCCAGGCACCTGCGATGATAGGCAGCCACATAGTCCTTGCTTTCAGCTCAATCTTGACACTTCACGTGTGGCCTGATAATGTCTTCCATGGGGCTGATGTGATGCAGAGGACTTCTCATCGAAACCGGCTTCATGTATGCGGTCCCACATCCCTGCGACTCCTCACGCACTACCACCATCTACAGGTCCGTTCGGGCGGGAATATCCAAGCTACTGCGGCCGTCTACAGTAGAGAATATTCTCTGCATCGCCTTGCCAGACGCCTCGTCAAGCAGAGTCGCCACTCTCAGGCAGCCTGCGCCGAAGCTCTGAGACGTCCTCCTGAGACCACCTAAGTTCCCTTCGTACTCTTCTCAATAACGTGTCCGAGGCTCGTGATTGAATGGATATGCCAGGGATTGTGGGCCATTCCAGCGTTCTCGGTTCCAGGCCTGCTGCCGCGAGCTCTTCGTTTGACCTTTTCACCTTTTCTTTCCATTCTTCACACCTTGCCTCTGCACTCTCAGCTTCCTCCAGCCATGATCGTGGGATATCTTCGACCTCCTCAATGACTTTTTTGGCACTGCTGATGGTTCCCAAGGCTTGTCTGATGGTCTTGTTGGGGAATGAGCCATCGGGCAAGGGTTGAAGAGACCTGATATCAGAGAATTTAGTCAAACCCAGGGCCTCAAAGTTGGCGGTGCGGATCCATTCGCGTGTGATTCGACTTTGCCTGTTTTTTTTCGAATCGGCATCAGCTGTCGAGGTACATACATACACGTGACAAACTGATATTGTAGGGAAAAAAAACCCACTCTGAAAAGAATTGAAGGACTGAACCCATTTCTGAGAGGTGAAGGCCATGCCGAGCGGCTTTGAATTGCGGACCACAGTAAGGTAGCACGTGTTTGCCAATGTCCAGGGGCCCACAGTCGGCAGGGAGCTGTGGAACATCCAGGTCGAAAGCGCAGAGCTTCATGTTCTCCGCTTGAGCAACAGCGGGGGTGGTAATCAGGCTTCGCACAGCTTTGTCGGCTCGCATGGGCAGCACCAGACCAGAAAGATTCTGCAAAGCTTGATCCAACAGTTGCATCATCTGTGGTAGGTCATACAGATGTATACCTCGGTCTGTGGAGCGATTTGGCCCGTCATCAGCTCGAAGGTCGAGCTTAGCGATCCCAGGGCATTCCTTCTTGAGCCAGCCGACGAATCTCTTCAATTGGGCCAGGTTCAGGTCCACCACCACCGCTGTGATACCTGTGAGTACCGTAGGCGTCTTCCACTTTTCATCGGCCCGCAGAACAGCCAGGACGACTTGTCGGATCTCTTCGAGGGTTTCACACACACTGCCCAGGTCGAATCAAGAGACCCCAACCCGACCCTTGTAATCGTGCTCGAGCCACTTGAAGAAGGTCTCCAGTGGCTGTCGTCTCCTTTTAAGACGATGAAGCGACCCGTTGAGCGTGACGTCGAACGAGCCAGTGATCTCCCATCCTGGCCAATTGGGTGGAGTCCATCTGTCTCCCGTGATTTTCCCGTTCCTCGTCGTTTGAACAGCTCGTCTCCATCGCAGCTTGTGCGGGCCGCAGTTTGACCAGGTGGCTGTGACTTTGTCGATGCAGGGTTTAGAAGCAGTCGTGGATTCATTTTCGAGACGATGGAGATTGGGGCACTTGGACTTCATTTGAGAGAGATTCCGCAAAGCAATGACTCCCTTGGGACTGACGAAGTCAATCTCGCGGACGAGACGTCTGCGTAGCTCTGGATCCAGCTTCATTATCCGTGTGAGCACCATGTATGTCACCTGGCCTGACTCACTCCGTCTCGCTCCAACTTTTCATAAGTTTCGTACTTGATGGTATGGAAGCGGTATTTCAATACCAGCTCATAAAAGGCCCGGGACACGAAAGCTAGTTTGCTGCGAGTGTCTGATGCTTCTTCAAATCCCCATGGACGAAGCGTCTTCAAACCAGAAAGAGTTCAACTTCATATCAATCTCTCCGCTGTAGTCTATGAAGTTGAAGATCCTTTCAAGGATATCATGCGTGTCATGGACCTTCTGACCGGCACCTCGGGGTCCAAGGGGTCTCGGATCGGGTCGCAGCGAAGCATCGCTCCAGAGGCGCATGAAGGATGATCGTGTGGAGTTTGTTGCGGGTCACAAAGTCCGACTTTGAAAGCGAGTGAGAGGTTGAATCGATTGTTGAGGGTATCAGGTAAGAAAATACTCGAAATTCGCGATTCTACGACGAAGATGAAACGACCGGTCGGGATTTGCATTACGGCATTCTTGGGGTAGAAGGTCCGATGGACCGGAGTGTGGCACACACATTTCGCTACGTGTCTCAGATGGGATGAAATAGACCCTAGCTTGGATGCTGCAGATCGTTGGAATATAGCCTGGCCTGTGCTTCAATAGATGGCTAGATATATCATGCCATTCGTATCATCACTATGAGACTCCAATTGACCCTATAAAATGCTGACAATGTCTCTACAACAGCTCCGACAGAACGCCAGCGAGACTTGACCCGTTGAAGTTGATCAAGTAGAGGGGCTGCTGGTACACGTTTCCGACGGTGGGGTCGTCTATGTTGTTGGTGAAGGAGCAGTAGAGCTGATCGGGATCGTGACCCATCTGGGGGTGAGCGGCGAAGCTGTAGGCAAAGTCGGTGGAGAGAGTGACGGGTTCAGCCATAGGAGACCAAGGACCCTCGGGGGTGTTGGCGACCGTGTAGGAGACGTTCATGAGTCCGTTTTGGGATTGACCGACAAAGAAGTAAGCCGAGTGTTTGCTGTTGTAGTAGAAAGTTCCCTGGCCGTAAATACCTCCCACGGTCATGTTCGCAGCCGAGTCGTAGATGGTAGGCTGGGTGCTGGACCAAGTGTTCGATGCGGGGTAATAGTAAGAGTAGGCGTCCGGATTTTCGATCGAGTCGATGGCGACGCGAGCCAATCCGATGGAGATGTTGTAAGCGGCGGGAGAGAAATCGTAAGTCTCTCCCCAGAGGTAAAGCAATCCGTCTGTGGGGGAGACGACACCACCAAAGGCACCGTAATTGAATCCGAATCGAGGGAAGAAGTGTTCGGCAATCATGGTGACTTCCGGGAGGGTGTCAATATCTGCGGTAGGCGTGTAGGTGATCTTGTACAGGGTGGTACCGGGAAAGTTGTCGGTAAGGTTTCCACCTCCAGCCGCAGCTGTGGTGTAGAGGTATCCGGTAGTGGTGCCATCGCTGGCCACATCGGTCACGTACATGCTCGCATCTGGCCATTCAATGTACCGACCTCCGTAACATCCACCCCCGGAGTCTGGACATTGATCGGCAGCGTAAGGAAGGTAAGGGCTGGGGAGAGGGAAGGGACCGCCATATTGGGTCAACTGTTGGAGGTACCCAGCAGTGACGAATTGTTGACCCTGAGTCAAGGGGACAAAGTCGAGTTTCGGTTGGTTGCCAGAACCACCGGAGGAAGTGGTCCCAGTGGTCTGATTGGACCAACTGGCACTGGAAGAGGTGAAGAATCCAGCGTATTGACCCAACGTCTCGTTCTTGAGTGACAACGAGTCTCGACAGATCCACAAGACTCGACCGTCAATCAAGGCGTTGGCGGTGACACAAGAGTCTCGTTGAAGGTTTGGGTCAATAGTGACGGCGATCTTGGAGCTACCAAAGGAGGCAGGGGCCAAAGGGTTCGCAATGGGAAGTGAAACTGCAGGCAGTCCTCGCTCCTGTCGAGGTACTGTCGCTGGCGCAGCAAAGGCCATCGCACTAGAGGTGAGGGCGACGAGAGTCTGTCCAAGCATCGTAGATTCAAAGAAAGAAGGAACGAAGATTTTTGGTAAGAGGGGGAGGTACGGGTTTCTCTGAGTTTGCAGAGTCAAGAGACAGATCTCCCTATTTATACATATGCTAGGCCCCGGATGGATAGGTGGCCCCGTACTTCGATCCCATGTGCCCCATCTATCACTGTCTATTCAAGAGGAACAAAGTGCCTATTTAATGGATCATTGACGGCAGTTCCGAGAGGGAAAAAAAGCAATCGACAGGCTGTAAATCTGCCTCAATATAGCACTCACTCCCCCTTTCTGTGCCTGCCTTTACCCAATCTTTTTGTCCGATCAAGGAGTCATGCTCTCATTCGAACCTAGATCCCACGAGGGGGTGTGGTCTCTCACCACTGAAGGCGACACACTGCGGCGCGTCTTCGTACATCTTACGCCACGCTCATAAGGGCGTTGGACGGCTCATTCGGGGGCACGCTTGTATCGGCATGCTTTCTGACATAGTACCTACCCAGTGGCAAGATCCCAGCCTCTGCCTTTGCCGCTGGGGCCACGGCGTAGTACCCACTCTCCCCCTTCCCTGTTCTGATCTCATGGCGTTTCAAAGAGTTTTTGGTCACTTTGAACGAAATCATGCACCTCGCGACATAAATCATCCGACATGTGCGAGTTGGCGTCCATGACAGACCTAACTCGCCTTGACCTGCTTGGAAAGGGAGGAATAACCGCTTGAGCAATTAAGCTAGCGTGAACTTTGAATCAGGCTGAGGGAAGAGATCGGGACCTTGATACAGCGACCACGTTGGTTGAAGTCCAGGACCCGGAAACCGCCTCTTATGCAGGTGCCCGATAGTGTTTAGAAAACAGGCAGGCTATCAAGCGGAAACAATGTAGCGGACATCCCGAGAGTCTCAGTATCGGCCTTTGTGGTCGCTCAAGCCGCCGGTGAGATGGCTGACGATGGTCACTCCAGGAGCTGGGACGTGATCATCTCGCAGCGTACAAGGTCAAGCTACAGTATCATGATACGGACTCCTTCCGATCCTATGTAAGTATGGTTCGCCACGAGGGCCCAGTGCACCATGGACTCAACATGATTAGACGGCGGGATCAAGCTGGATCAGGTGAGTTCTTATTTGTGTGCAAAGTCATCCCCGAAGAGGTGTGTCCGTCTGCTCCGAAGAGATTCAACGATGACAGAAGCATGGTTCCCCCCAGCCAACAAGGCGGTGCAGCTGCTTTTGCTGTAATGAATGAATGACCTAATGCCAAGACAGAGAGCCCCCACCCCGTCCACCCCAGCTCCACCAGCCGATTCGAATGATATGAATGCTGTTTCTTACTCACGAGAACTCCCTTGTATCCAATTTTGCAACGCACAGGCGAGATGGAGGAGGAATGACAAGCTGAGAGTCTGTTGGCCACCGCCCCCCCCCCCCCCCCCCCCCCCCCCCCGGGGCCCCTCTCTGTCCGCTCGAACAACGTGCTCCAAAGTCCACAATCCACCAATCCACATACCATATACCCGATGAGTTAACCGCATCTTTAGGGTTTTGCATCGCCATGTTCAACGGGGAATTTTGATGCCGTAAGTCGATCATCTCTGGGCTGCTGCTGCTGCTGCTGCTGCTGCTGCCTCTCTCTCCGTGTGTGTTACCCGTCATGGCCCTGCTCCACTGGTCCTTCGCTGCTGCCTGCTGCCGCCGCCCTGCTACTTGTCCGCCCGCCCGCTGCACATTACCGCTTGGAGCATGCATGACCAGCTTAGACCACGAGAACAAGACTCCGGAGTGCGGGTGGTGGCTATGTATAGATTGCTACCGAACATTATTTTTTTTTCGGGAGCGGCGGCGTTGAAAGGGTTGGTTGGTGGGAGGTGAGATGATCATCATCCTGTGTGGACCTGTACAGCTGTGTCCAGTCGTTCAACAACGACATCAGACACATAAGAGGGCTCTCCCCCCTCCCTTCTCTCTCTCTCTCGTTCCCGCTCCTTTCATATACCTCTCCACTCTACCGACCAGACTCACCTCGCCTCACTTCACCTTGACTGCCATTCGACAACAACCGTATAATATATAAAGGCTCGAGTGATCGCCTCCCCCCCCCCCCCCCCCCCCCCCCCCCCCCCCCAGCAGAGCATTCACGATGATCGTGACTATCCTCTCACCACTGCTTTCTCTACTAGTCCTCCTCCCTTCACTGACGCTCGCCGCCCCGCTCGATCGACGAGATACCACACCGATCACCTCTGGATCCACGATCAACGGAAGAACATATGACTATGTGATCGTCGGTGGTGGCCTCGCAGGAATGGTACTCGCTAGGCGATTATCAGAAGACGTCTCAAAGAGCATCTTGGTGATTGAAGCTGGGAGGGACGAAGAATCCAATGCGGATGTGTATAATGCCGGAAATTATCAGAATGCTTTCGGGGTGAGTTGAAAGCTTGAGCGAGCGAGCGAGCGACAGAGCGACAGCGAGCGGAGAGTTCACATAGAGCACGCACTCTGTCGGCGGTCAATCTCGGCCCGCGCCTGTCGCTCACTCCCTCCGCATCTTTTCTGATGTTGCGCTCTGCTCACGCTCGTACCAGTCTCGAGTTGATTGGGCGTACCAATCCACCTCACAGCAATACGGAGGTGTGCAAACCCTTCGATCCGGCAAAGGCTTGGGCGGTTCAACCCTGATCAACGGGATGGCCTGGTCTAAACCTCACGATTTCCAGATTGACGCCCTGGAGCAAGTCGGCAATACCGGTATCAACTGGGCGTCTCTCGAACCCTATATGCTCAAAGCTGAATCCTTCACACCTCCCTCGACGAACCAATTCGCCAACGGAGTCACGTTCCGATCCTCTTGTCACAGTACTGGCGGACCGCTCAGCATTCAATACGATCCCAACGCTTCGCCTGGGTCGTTCGAAAAGGCTTTCAACACCTCTGTCCAATCTATTGGTCTCCCATACGCTTACGACTTGACGTGTGGTAATCCTGCTGGTCGAGCTCCCATCGCCAACACGCGAAATGGAGGTACGAGATCTGACGCTTACCGAGCCTATGTCTACCAACGATCCATTCCCAATCTCACCCTTATGACGCAAGCCAATGTTGGAAAAGTCCTCTTGTCCAGCGACTCGACACCCAAAGCTACCGGTGTTGAGTTTCGAGATGCCTCAGGTGGGACGTACACTGTCAATGCTGGACTCGAAGTGCTCATGGCTGCGGGCTCGATCAAAACGCCAGTGATCCTACAGCAATCTGGTATTGGACCTTCCTCTGTGCTCTCCTCTGCTGGCGTGTCTCAAAAAGTCAATCTTCCCGTCGGACTCAACTTGATCGACCAAACGACCAGTACGACTAATTGGAAGATCGGTTCTGCGGGTGGAGGTGGACAACCCATCACTTTCCCCAGGTTTCAAGACCTGTTTTCCGGTACCACCGAGGTGAACAACTTCAAATCTCTCATCTCCAACGCCAGTATTCAATCCTACGTTCAATCGGCCGTCAATGCTGGAGCTTACGATTCCGCTTCATCCTCTGGTCTCGCCAAGATTTTGGGCATTCAAGCCGATTGGATCATCAACAAGGGAGTGGGAATGAGTGAGAATTTTGACTACTCCTATGGTCAGACCCTAGGCTATGACTCATGGTACCTCTTGCCGTTCGGTCGAGGCAGCATCAAGATCAATACCAATCAGCCATACGACAACAATTTTTCGATTGACCCAAGATACCTCAGTACGAATGCTGATCGAATCGCTCAAGGCGCTACTGTCCGATTCACTCGAAAAGTCTCTGGAACCTCTCCTCTATCGTCTTCTGTTCAGAGCGAATCGACACCGGGTACTTCGACCGTCCCTCAGAATTCCAACCTTGACGCATGGGCGACTTGGGCTCAGAATCATTATCGATCCAATTGGCACCCTATCGGTACGGCCGCCATGATGTCCCAGAACCTCGGTGGAGTCGTTGATTCTTCGCATAAAGTGTATGGCGTCTCTGGACTTCGAGTCATCGATGGTTCTGTCCTCCCTTTCCAAGTCTCTTCTCACCTCATGTCTGTCATCTATGGTCTCGCCGAACGAGCGGCAGACCTTATCAAGAAGGATCACCCGTCCTCTGGGTCCAGCACGAAGACGATTCGACCTCAAAACTTTAGCGGAAAATGCTTGACCGTCTCGGGTACTTTGGGAAACGGTACACCGGTCCAACTCCAAGATTGCAATGGTAGTTCTGGCCAACAATGGCAAGTGGCATCCGCAGGAGGATCAGGATCCATCAAGACTGTCAATGGTGATTGGTGTATCGATGCTGGAAACCCGCCCGTCAATGACGGAACCAAGTTGAAGATTTGGCAATGTTACAATGGACTCGCGGCTCAAACGTGGTCGACCACGACGGGAGGCACCATCCAATTGGGTAACGCTAATGAATGTTTCGACTTGACCAACGGAAGTGGATCCAACGGCAACGTCATCCAGACCTGGACTTGTTATTCAGGCAACACGAACCAGCAGTGGTCCATTCAGTAAGGACGCGGCGGCAAGTTCATTTTATTTTTGCTATAAGACCGGGCTTCCCTCTTCACTGTCCTCCACCCCTACACCCTTCAACCTCACACAATGGACATTTTCCCGGGCATTTCATTCTACACGCAAAACATGGACAATAAACACTCATAATCGCCTCGACGAGCGAGAAACAATGGACACTTGGAGTGTAGGCAAAGTCAGATCAATATAATGAAAGACACAAAGTACAAAGAGCGCTCATATGCATACTGTATAATGCAACCAACCCACTCTTGATATTTATCGTTCTCATGAGAAGGTGATCAATGCCTCTTCCTGATGCGTCATCTGTCATGTGCAGTCCTAGATTCAGAGTATGACCATGATAGACATTGTCCGCTTTCCCAGACCCCAGACGTGGTAATATTATTGCAAAGATGACCCCACGCAAACTTTTATATCTGGATGCACTTGATGTTTTCTGACGACTGTCCCATGCATAAGAGGCATGAGTACGAATCGACCACATGAGATGAAAAGCCCAGAAGACGGAAATATCACATGATAGAATGAGGATGAGACTCTGAAAACAACGATGAGGAGAAGGGAAGTCGTTACCGCTGACAAGGCAAGACAAGACGGGATGACCGTTCAACTTGGTATCCCTGAGTTGAAAAGCCGGCTGCAGCGCTCCATGACAAGTAGAGATTTGGAAGGCGGGAGCCGGAATGCAGTAGAAAACCGTGAGGGGCATCGTTACGAAGGTACTCGATGGTGAATGGGTCTGTGATTGTAACTGTGCTGTGCTGTAATGGTAGTTGTTTTCTTTCGCCAGATATGGCTTGGTGGCAAAGAGTAAAAAGTCGGTCGGTGCGGCGTTCTGTAGAGTAGATGGATACCGTCGTAACATTTGCCGTCGTCAGGCGTTGAAACGCTCCATGCCTCGGTTCCTTTTTCTCTGTTCGTTTTGGATCGATCACCTCCGCGTGTGGGTGATCCACTAAAGATCCGCATAACTCATCACGCCGGCGCCTCTGGGTCTAGGTGTCGGCATACCACACCTAACCTCCCAGTTGGACTTTCTCAACTGGTGCCCATTGCCCAATCCCGCTCCAGTCACCAGGTCGAACGATTCTGAAAATTCTGTCAATTTCATAATCTCTCTCGCTCGCGTCGGTCGTTCTTCATTTTTCCTTTCTTGACTCGATAATCTAGAATGAGTTTGAGGGTTGAGCGAACTGGGCGCTTCTTTCGACTGAGATGCTCTCCTCGGAGTGTCTTCGCTATCTGTGCCGAAGGCTCCTAGATGCATCGTCGATCCACCCGGATTGAACGTATTGGTAGAGCTTGACGGGTTGAGGTTGGTCCCTCGAAGCGACATGTCACCGAGTAATGCGTCGATGGCCCGCATTCGGCGATGCGAATCGTTGAAACTGGTTGAATAGGTGAACATGCTGCCTTTGAGGGAAGGTCGCGGAGCGTGTCCAAGGACAAATCGATCAGGGAGAGGAGACTGGCGTTCGGATGAGGTGGCAGGAAGAAGAGGTACCGCCTCGGCAAGCATCTGTGGAACCGGAGAGGAAGAGCGCTTGTGGAGCGATTCGCGAGACTTTTTGGTCTTGAGACGTCTGCGTTCTCGTTCAGATGACTTGGTCGAGGATGAAGTGGCGGTGGATTGAGCATCACAAATGACAGAAAAGGACAACTTGGATCGCTCGTGGACTGGTGTTTGAGGTACAGGTACCAGTGGAGAAGCCATCATCTGAGCGGTCGCCAGCGAAGGCGAAGGTGGCGTAGGGTCAATGTCGGGAATCGCCCGCTGAGCCGAAGTGTAAGCGGGTGTACAGAGGGGAGGGACAAGCACCCTTCATCCTACTCACATCTACGATATTGACCGCACTAGCCCACAGCCTCACTCGTCTGTTGAGATCAGCTTCGCGTCTTTTGAGCCGCTGCTCTCTCCTCGCATGATACTCTGTATCTGCCTCTTCTGCGTGATCCGCGATGTCCTTGAGACTATCAATCTTTTGCTGTTTGGACCGTTTTCCACCGTGACTCGTGGATGGCGAGAGCATTGCACGTTCTTTCGGGGTCGTTGCATCCGGGGTCAGGAGTTTTGATCTCGGTACGGAAAACGCAGGACCTAAGGTGACGACGGTCGGCCCAGAAGGTAGCGGTGGTGTGTTACCAGTCTTGTCAAGCATAGCCTTTCCAGTGCCAGAGCGCGGGACTTGCTTGGATGAACTTTCCAAGGGCAACTTGAGTCGTCCGTTGATGTCGGCCAAGACGTCCGGTTTCGTTACTGGGACAGGCTGAATATGCGATACAGTCTTTCCATAACTGTATTTCGGAGGTGACAGAGTCGTGGGCACTGGGGGCGTAGAGACTATCAGGCCCATCTTTGCGGCTAGATCCGGGTCATTGGTGATTCTGAATTCTGGGGTGGAGTGCAACTTGGCGCTATTCTGATGCGAATGAGGTGAGCTTATAAAGCTCTTTTGACCTGGAGAGATGCCGGGCGAGCTCTCCTGAGATAAGCTGGAAGGTGGTAAGGGAGATCGGGCAGAAGGTACGAGGCCGGATCTGTCATTTTTAATCCCTTCCCTCGACTCCCTCTCTGCTCCATCACGACTACCATCCGAACTCCTCCGAGACCGTTTGTCGAGACTGAGTTTGAAGCCTGTCGGTATAGATTTCCAGACTCTAGCTCCATCACTTTTCCAAGCTCGTCGATGCTCCTCCTCTCTGCTGTCGAACTGGTCCAATTCGACACCGTTCCCGCTCGATTCATTCGGAGTATCCTTAGACTTCTGTTCGACGGGTGAGTTGGAGGTGGGTGGACTGAGAGGATCCTGAGGTGATGGAATGGCTTCGGTTGTTCCTGATCGAGAAGACGAAAGTTGGTGGACCAGAGGTGGTGGGACAGAGGCTTCAGAGCTGTCTTCCTGGGGTGAATGGTCCGCAGATGAAGGGGCGAGGATGGGTGGATGTCTATCCGGTCTAGCGGTGAGTTCCGGATCAGAGGGTGGATCATCATGGACGTCGAGTGAAGCTGCGTCGGAGGATCTAGAGGGGTGAGAAGAGCGGCGTGAACGGGACGAAGCGGTATCACGACGATGCCGTGATCGTGGGGCAGAAGAGGACGCAATGGCATTGGTCGGGGTCGCAGCAGCAGCAGTGGGTGGAGTAGGGACTTTAGATGATGAAGCATGGACCGTTGTTGTATGACTTGAGCTGGCTTGAGTCATTGGTACTGGTCGATGTGTCTGAGCTCCTTTTGAAGAAGATGCGGAGGAAGCTGCTGAAGAGTGAGAAGACGATGGATCTGGAGGAGCAACCGTATCCGGTCTCGCTCCGGCGGTAGATGATAAAAGTGCGTTGAGGTGTTGAGATAGTCTCGCATGATACTGTTGTAACGGTGTCTGACGTGTCTCCTGAGACCGATCGGCGATGGTGGTCGCTGCATTCACAGAAGTGACCATAGCCACTGGAGGCAAGACGGAAGACATGGTCGGGACTGAATGGAATGGGATTGGAACCGACGGCGTCGTGTGAATTATTATAGTTGGGTGTTGGTGGTGTGTGGTCTGAACGGGAGAGGGGGGGTTTGATTCCGTTCTTCTCGGGCCCCCAGGGGTTTTGGTGTTCAGAGCGTCATTGTGTTGGTGGTCAATGAAGAAGAAGCCCGTAGTCGTGCCCTCTCTTTTTGTTTCCCAGCAGTGTGGAATGCCCTCCTTGCGCTGCTTTGTGATGGGTGGGTGAAAGGAACCTGACCGAGGGAGAGTGAGGGCGTGGGGGGAAAGGCGGCGATTGGCCAAAGAGTAGTGGATGATATTATCCAGGTCCAGCAGTGACAGTAGCGTTCCCCCCTATACCAGTCAAGTCCAGAGGAGGAATGCGAGGGATGGCCGTTGCAATGGGAGTTGAGATGAACTGGATTTGAATGAGAAGTGACTTGGTGACAAAGGGGAAGGAGGTGGGTTGGATTGGATTGATTTGGTAGTGCATACACCGCAGCCTCCAAAGTGGCGTGGCGTGAGAGAGAGAGGGGAGGGGGGGGGGAAAGGGAGTTGATTAGAGTTGATTAGTAGTATGTTCTAGTTTCTAATGCCAATTTACTAATGGGGACAGATGATATATACCCCGGTCATTAGGAACAGTCTAAATTGTCCATTTCACATTTCACATTTCTCCTGAACAAAAGAAAGAAGAAAAAGAAGCTCTCGGGTGTAGCGTCGGTTGATTTTTCTCTCTTGGCCCCCGCCCGTGCCTCATCTCCCGTTGGGATTCAATGCGTCATCACTCCTAAACTTTAATAACAAACAATCTTCTTCTTCTTCGCCCCCTTGCCCCTTGCGCCCCCTCTGTACCTCAAAGTAACGATCGTCATCATCGACGTCATCGTTCGTGATCCCAGCAACAAGCATAATTACAGTGGTTCTTCCCCCCCGCCCCCCTTGGCTCCTCGCCCTCCTCTTCCTGGCCCTGAGCCACACACATCATACACCGTTTGTATGTGTGTATCGGGTCCAGCCCTTTTCAACTCTCGGGTGGGTCTCCGGAAAGATAAAATGAAGACTCGGCATATCTATGCTCGATCTCAACCCCAGGGGCGACGATCAAATGTGGCGTAATGTTACAGCACGTCAAAAAGAAATAATGGCCCGGACAAAATGGCCGATAGACCGCGGCGTTATAGACAGTGTGGCACGTTGCCACGTGGACGAGATCGGTACCGCGCGTCTCCGTCGTCGGTTCATTCGACTTGACCTGATGATACTTCTCGTCCTTCCTCAGGTGGCACCATGTCTGACGCCAAAGCGACCGATTCCAAGGCAGATGCCACCACTGCTGGATCGTTAGTAGAGAAGAAGGAGGAAGATGGGAAGAAGAAATTGCCTCAGCTTGGAGCGTTGGAAGATGATGATGAGTTCGAGGTGGGTCCAGCTGTGGGCGCGGGGGGTTTTGCACACACACCAGATGTGGTAGGATGGCTGATGGATTGACCGTGTACAGGAGTTCCCAGCGTCAGGTGAGTTGCTACAGAGTCAAGCTAGAGGAGGATGGATGGCGCGGGGGGGGGAGGGAAGAGCTTTTGGGATGCTTGATCATCTTGCGCACATGAGAACGGCAATGAGAATTCATCACATGGATGTACCCCCTCCCTGTACATCATCATCAGTCTGGACGATGTCTCCCTCGCCGAGCGTTCAATCGGACATCCCTGCTGATGAAGGTTCCCCTCTTCCTCTTCAGCCGAACAGTCAGGCAACATCCTCGACGCAATGACGAAGAAAGACCCCAACGGACCTGGAGATCAGTTATGGGAGATGAACTGGGATGACGATGATGTAGATGATGAGTTCACAAAGCAATTGAGGTGAGCAGAGCGAGCAATGCGAGCCGAGCGACGCGCGGGCATCAAGGAGAGGAATACATGCAGTGGTGGGGCGTATCACCGTCATTGCGACCACTCTGACACATTCTGCCTCACCTGTCGGACGCCAGTCGATGCGAGCGAGAAAGGCTCAGCGATAGCGACATTCAGCTCCCACTCATCATCGCACTGCTTTGTCGTTCTTTCCGGGATCCACGGCGATCCATGCCCAACCTTTCTCCTTTCCCTATCTCGTCCACGTCACTCCCCTCCACCTTACACTCCCACCGTCCAGAGACCAATTGGCTGATGACCCTTTGTCTTCCCTCTCAGGACCGCCATCGCCGAACGTAATGGGGCATCAGACGAAGCGATGAAGGAATAGACGATGGTGTACGAGAAGGACCTCTAGTCCAACGAGGCTTGAGAGACGATGCACCTCACATTAATGCACGTCTGCCTGCATGTATAGATAATTGCGCATGATCAGGTATCGGCCGGTGTCATTCTGTGCAAGCAGCCCGCTAGGTTTAGGACATGTAGAAACCGTCTCAAGCCACAAAACCATGACATGCGTCTTGTTGGACGTATTCCTCGACACGGTACGGGCCTTATTATACTATTCTGTCAAACACAATCACGCCACACAATGTCGGTCAGCATTCACTTTGTGTCCTTCTGTGCGCTCCCATCTCCTGTATCGCCTCTCACTTCGCCGCCCTCCTCTGCCTATACGCTTCCATCTCCTTCCTCACACTCTCTTCGTCCTCCTGCTCTTCTGCCTCCCTCATTGCCCTCTCTTGCGCTTCACTTTCAACCTCTGCAGAGACCATCTTCTCCTTCAGGGCCTCCTTGATACCCACCGCTTGACCGTTTGGACCCTGCGCTTTGAGAACAGGATTTCGGTCGAGCCTGTCAAACAAGTCGAACAGTTTCGACGCTTCACGATCTTGGTCCTCCGGCGAGAGGTCCGCGAATGAGGATGTGGAAGCGCCCGGAGAGGGAGCATCTTCGAGGGAGGTAATGGGGTTGAGCGGAAGAATGGATGGTCTAGTCCCCAGGGAGGCTGGTGCAGATGCCGCTGGATTCTCGCCCGCGCGCTCGTCGTCAATCGTCTCAATCTTGCCTGGCGGCAGACCCGAGATACCTTTCCGGAACAACAGCCCCGCAGCGTTCCCATAACCTATCTCGGCGGAGAGCGTAGAGGCTGAGAGATAACATTAAGCAACGTATCGATTTGGATAGCTTGGACCACCAACCGTCGCCTTGGCAGATAGCCCACATCAATTCCCCGGCTGTATCTCGAGTTTGATGATGTGATGAAGACTGCATACAGCGTAAGATTGCGCCGAGTAGCCCGGGTCGCTTCTCAAGCGGGCCAGCTTGTGCCGATCGATCACTAGGCACAGGAATTAGCTCATGGTCTGAGGGCCAAACGTCACGCTCACAGGTCTCTCGGAAGCAGCTCTTCCTTTAATGACAGACGCATCTCGTCACTGGCCATGACTGCTCGAGCCAAGAGTAAGAAGACAGGAGGCAATGCCTCCTCAAGAACCAAGCCTTGAGGCAGAGCTTCATCCGGGTTCTTGGCGAGAGGGAGGTATGTGTCGAAAAAGTCTTTGAGCACCGCAAGGACGCGACGCGGCAACGCAGTTGGGTCATGCCTAGTAGGACTGAGAGGTACAGGTCTATCAGGAATTCGAAGAGGTGAAGCACGCAGCTTGACCCTAGGTGGGGTCTTTGGGGATCGTGACAAGGAGCCAAATCGCCTTGGAGGTGATAACCTTTGTTGAACTGGCGTCGTAGGTCGCCCCGTTGTAGCTTGGGATTGCGCCGCTCGATCTCGCGGTGGCGAAGGGCTCTTGTCACGTCTCGAGGAGGTCGCTCTGCGCTGAGGCGAGGCAATGGACATTTTGTTTAGGAGATTTTTAACGGTCGAAGTGGTACTAGTGGGTGAAGAGGAGTTGGAGTCGATGCTCCGGCTTTTAGGGACTGATTCCCATACTGACAACAGTCGAGGGAGGAATGGGACACCGAGAAGGACATGGAGAGTGGAAGAGAGGGGCGGAGCGAGAGAAATGAAGGGGAGGGAGTAGAGGAGACCAAGACAGGGTGCGAGAAGGCTATGGGGTCTGTTCAGCTTGATCCGATGGCCCACACCCTTTCCCGTGAAAAGCTCACATGTCAAACGCTTCTGACCACGGCTCGGCGTCCATAGAAGGTGTAGCGTGAGGATAGAATCGAATGACATTATTGACGAGCTTCAAGAGTTCTGTCAGAGCCATGAAATTGGCCTGAACAGGAGCCAAGATGGACAAATGCTGAGTCAAGGATAGGGTCAGTCCACGATGATCGCACATCATCAGAGATTTACGTACATAGGCAAGAGACTTGTTTAGGTCCTCTTCATCCACCATCATCTTGACCGCAGCACTCCTATCGATAGTGGCTAAGAATCCGAGTCGACCAAGTAAGAACAACCTTTCAGTACCGATCTCGTACAGTTCCTCCGGATCTTCTTCGTCCTCGCAACCTGGGATGACCTGCCCTTCTCCATCTAGCCCAGCGAGAGCTTGAGCGATGGCTCTCCCACCACCTAGCTCGGTGAATGACTCTCTTGCTTCTGGATGAAGGACCAAGAGGTTCGCTAGGATCCTCAGGGCCTCCAATGCATGAGGAGAGTCGGGTGATGGGCGTCGTGCGTGGGTCGATGAGCCTGAAGATCCTGAAGGGTTGGGGCCAGGAGATACAGGTGCGGGATCATCGGAAGGGGATGATGATAAGAGCTCAAGACTCAGAGGTAGGGAAGAGTGATACAGGATGGTCCGGATGTGCGGTATGAAGAGGAGAGGTTCGGAGCCAATTGGGTTTCTCCCCAGAGATTTGATAGCGGTTAGAGTGAGCAAGTGGACTGGGGATGACAGAGTCAGCCTAATGAGCCTATTCGCGTATGACCAGTCTGTATTTTGTCGACTCACTATTCTCTGGCCATAAGGTCCATGGTGCATCATGTCTGTCAGCCAAATCACCAAGAAGCGCGTCCAGGAATTTGGTACGATCGTCTGGATGGATCTGTGTCGGAAGAGCTTCGAGGGGTCAGTTGGTGAACTTCGCTCATGTTGGTGCTGCTCTAGAGACCCAAGGAAAATAGATAGAGATTGTCGTCGACCCCATACCTCCAGGTCCATCCTCCTCTAGCTACAATGTTCCGTCTCTGCGCACCCGTCACTTACCGCTGACGACGCTTTCCAATTCCTCCTTTACTTTGCTCAGCTGACTGGCCCTATCCCCGATGGCGAGGTACCCATCCACAGTGACCATCTGCATGTTGGATAGAGATTCGCAAAGTAATTGGGTCCTTCAGGAGGCTAAGAGCAGAGCAGAGTGTGATCCCCCAAGCTGCAAGCTGGACAGCCTCGTCTCTCAATGAGGCCGGTGGGAATGCAGGATTGAGGAGGGAGCTTTTGTCTCGTGTAGGCTCTTCTTAACGAGTGAGGAAAGGGGCCTTTCTCCTGGATACTGTCACTGATAGGTCTCTTCACCTCATGAGACAAATGTAGAAGAGCTAATCCTCATGAAGGGCAGCAAAGCGGTCTCATAGATCGCCTGTTCGACGACCATCGTGACTTTGACAATAAAACTCGACTGAAGATTCTGAAACCTTTGAGCTCGGGACAACATTATTTTTGAAACTCGCGCGGCGGCGGCGGCGTGGAGCCTATTGTTGCTGCGGTGCTTCAAGAGGATGTCAATGGGTCATCGGCGAGGCCTGAATGTCCATGCACAGTGATACCATGCTGATCATCGTACATGCAATGCATAGGCTCAGCGTCCGGTTCAGAGACAACCCATCCTATATTCTGTATAGATGTGGCAGATGGAGCAGGCCGGCGGTCCTCAAACAAGTCAGTGAAGACAGCTGGACGACGGGCGCCATAGTAGGTCGGAATTGTATACCGCTCGCCGTCATCGTCTGCAAGAATGGTGAGGCCATTAGTATGAGGCCTAGAACCATCCACGACGACGTCTGTGCCGCCGGTATATGTTATTATAACATGACCTGGACGGGACCCGGGGGGTTGCGGTGAAAATGATGTCACTGAATTCCATCCCACAAATCACCGGGTCAAAATGGGGACGATGGCCCGCTCGCTATATCTGACTGAGTCTTCAGCTACATTTGGATAAGACATCGGAGGACCCTCCCCAGGGAAGACAGCCAATCACACTGCCATGTCAGGTGCTCAATTCGTCGAGGGCCGATGTAATTGCGGTGCATACACGATAAAGACACGACTTCCTGAGAGAATGAACATCTGTCGTGCGTTGGACACATAGTGTTCAAGCCCAAAAAAGAAAACACAATCAAGCTGAAACCTCATGCTTAGACTGTATAGACTGTCGACGCTGGGCAGGTGCATTGTAGGTCTATTGTCTTCGCCGGGCCTAGCTCATCGTTGTTCTCGATTTCCTCAGCTACTCTGCGCATATCTTTACACAGGAAGGCGAATACACATTCACTGGACCGGAACCTCGTACGCACACGGTGAAAGGGCAAGATGGGATGGACATGCAGAGAGCATGGTGTGATACGTGTGGATGGTGAGTCTTGAGCGAGCTCCATCTCTCCCTGTCTACGTTTTTTTCTCCTTCTGAGGAGGAGGACATGGCTCTGATGATGCTCGCCCTTGCCCAGTGGTCTTTTCATTTCACCCGGAGGTGATCCTTCCAAACGATTCTTCAAAGCGGGCAAGTCGAGCGACTTAACGTAGTCGTACCCTAAATGACACTCCGTTCTGCAGGGCTCTTCGCGCCACGGACCTTCAATTCACCGACGTCCGAGGTGTTTGTCAAGCATAGGGAGAGTTGGGAGAAGCCGATCGAAGGGACAAAGCAGTATGAGAATAACCTTGAGCTGTAGGATCGATGACAGCAACAACGGTCAGCTCCTCTCAGTCAAGTTTAGCCCAGCCTGTCGAGCCATCCCAATGAGTCCAGGCAGTCTAGTCATGCAAAACACCATATAAGGCGAGATACTGTCGTCCCACATGCATGCTGGTTCCTCGTAGCAGGATGTCGTATTATTCGTAGCCGTGTATCGTCTTGATATGCAAACGAGTGCTCACGTCCCCTACTCAGTCCCATCAATGCCCCAGCCAGGTCCGGATCGAGCCTATGCCCGCCTCGTATTCTTCCATCGCCCGGAGTGTCGGCACCACAGGCGGAGGCTTATCAAAGCCATGTCTAGCCCCGGGGACCAGTCGCCAAGTCACTCTACCCTTGCCAAGCGAGGCGTCCGCTCGGTCTCTGAACCTCTCCGCTTCATCCAATAACATGTCAAGCTCGCAAGCGCACAAATGGACCGGAGGGAGAGCTCTGAGATCCTCCTCGGACATATAGATCGGAGACATGAGGGGATTCTTTGGATCGGCTCCAGGGTCACGGTAAGACCTATCGAATAATGTCGTCAGGAGCGGTGAGAGACCTTGACTAGGATCTGCCATCTTTGCCGTCTTGATCGCTCGGGATGTAGACCAATCGAGGAGAGGGTAGAACGCAACTATCCCTCGAATCGAGGGCGAGGGATTTGAGCCATGATGAGGTGAGTATCCGGTGGTATTAGGGTAGGAGTCACGCTGTCTCTGTCGGACCAGGAGCCAGCTTGCAAAGGCTAGATTTCCTCCTGCTGAAAAGCCTGACAGAATGATTTTGTTCTTATCGATCTGGTAGCTTTCTGCATTGTCCCAAATGTGTTGGACTGCATCGGCACAATCTTCTACGCCGATGGGAAATGGGAACTCTGGAGCCAGGCGATAATTCACAGCGATGACCACTGCTCCGATCTGACTACAGACGGCATTGGCCCATCTGGTATCGTCTGTACCTGCTCCAAGGGTGAATCCACCACCATGAAGTGAGATAACGCAGGGGGCTTGAGAAGAAGCGGAATCAATTGCATCAGGGTACCAGATATCGAGCTTGATTGAACCTTTGCTCGAGGATGGTTCGTCGCCAACGTCGATCCACTCCGTGATGGACGGATGAGTGGCCGGTGGATCAGCCCGATTGTGCAGGACAAATCCCAAGCTGGACAATTGACGCCAGGTTATCGCTTGGGCCCGGAGCCACAGTCGACCCGGGAGCCACCACCATGAAGCAGTGGCTGTGCTGGATGAACCGTGATCTGCGGAGATAACTGGCTCCATGATGAGGTATCAACCTGACCGGCTGTTTAGGATGAAGACGCTAAATCACAGGCATAGATCACATCGCCGATCCACCGATTCACCGACCTAGCGTGATTTCGTACTGGGTGTCTTGGCGGCACAACAGGTTAAAAATTTACCGCCGGCAGCTCTCTCGCTCCACAAACTTCCAATTGGTTCTATTCCAGGGCTCCACCTCTGCAGACAGGAAGAACGAGGTTTTGCAGATCATGTCATTAAGGGAAGAAAGGTGGATCCCTTCAAAGTCGGTCATCCCGGTCATTTTAATTATTCGGCGATCCCCGCTGATCCTTTCGACGCCTACAAAAAGGCTAAAAATAATCCTCAAACGTGGCGGCGAGCTGGGATGTTTCGTGGCGAATTGGCCCTCGCTCCAACGCCATCGTCGCAATGGGTCCCCGATGTCCTCTAACGGCCGGATAGATGGTGGGGAGGTAGATCCTGCCCTCAATTTTCACAAGATCTCCGCAGAAAGGCATCACACGACTGTCACACGATATGGGCGACCAATTGCTCCGCCGGGAACGACTGCTCGTGTGATCAGCTGTTGCGGTCACGCGAGGATCAGCTGTTGGAGTCACGCGAGCATCGTCCCCGAAGCCATGAAGTCATGCTAGAGAAACCTTGTTCGGTTGGTTCGGTCGACCAGATCCAAACCCGGGGCTCATCTGGGGTTATCTTGGACGACCCTCAGACTATAAGTAGGAAGGGTTCCCAAGCCTGGTGTACCCTCATCATCACAACGAGTCTCTCACACAAAGCAACACTTAAGACCATACAACACAACACACAACTTGAACGCTATCATCATGTTCTCTTACCTCCCCCTCGCCCTCGTTGCCACGTTGGCAGCTTCGAAACCGATCGTCTTACCAACCTACAACGCCTCTGATCTACCTCACCTCCAAGGTGTTCAACAGGGATCGTTCGGGCCCAAACCACCTCATCTCCAAGGCCTCGAACAAGGCGCCTTCTCCCGTCGAAGTGACCTTGAAGCGCGTCAGGGAGCATCAGGATGGGGATCGAACGGAGCTGGAGGTTGTTCAGTCTCTCGTGGTATGGCAACCAACCCTGGTGATGCTACTCCCGGTAATGGTGATCCTCATCAAAACTACTGGCACGTCCAACTCAGTCAACCCATCTCGTGTGGTGATGGAGGATGTTCCGTCGGTGAAACCAAAACGGAATCACTCACCGTCGGATTCACTGTTGGATTCGATACCGGAGAAGACAGCCAATGGTTCACTCCCTCTTTCTCAGTTCAGAAATCGTACATCACCGGTAACTCTTGGACTTGCGACGGGAACCCCAACGGTCGAGTCGCCATCTGGCAAAACGTGGCACACACAGCTGTAAGTCGACCTCAAGGACTTAAGGTCTACATCCGCTCACACTTGCCACAGTACAGTGTCTGGAACACGCCATCAGGTAACTGTGGAGAGTCCAACAGTGACTATGACACCTATGTCAACATCTACCGAGCTCCCAACACCGACAACGTTGGTGGTGGATTCTACTGTGTCAGAGATGACGGTAGCGGATACGTCCGAAACCAAGGCGATGGATACTGGGAGAACGGCTGTGCCGGAGGTCCTCAGTCATACTGTGGAAACGGCCAAGTCATGAACTCATAAGCCGTTCCTAACACCTGTAGCATATAGTTAGAACGTCAGAAGCAAAGCAAAGAGAAGCAGAAAGTATGAATTGGAAGTAGCGATACCTATATGAGTTGAATCGGGAGTAGCGAGACCTATTTGAGTTGAATCGGAAGTATCCAGACCTATTTGAGTTGAATTCGATATCTCTTCATTCGTTGACTGAGAGCATGAACATAGGACGAGTAGAACACTCGCACGCCTCTCTACTTAAGTCGAGCGTCAACCTGCGCTAGGCCGTTTTGAATAATGTACCCATGGCCCATGTCGCCCCCCGCCACGACGCCACAAAGCATCCCCAATATTGGTCATGTCATTCATTTATCTCCGCACACATAGGCATCCTTTCGAGTCGTCTCATGTCATCAAAAGCACTCCATGACGGTCATCATACATGGAGCCAAGGCTGACCACTCACTCGTCATGATGATGAATGGATGTATCAGAGAAAGCTGACCTGGTCCCTAAGAATGTCTCCTTCTGCTCCCCATCGTGCATCCTGCCCCACCCTCTATGACCTCGCTCACAGCAAGCCTCAAACATCTATTGAAGGCATCCCATCGGACACAATCACACAATGAAGCTACTTCCGGGACCTCGGACGAGACTTCTCCTGGCAATCTTGAACATCGTCAGGAAGAAAGCGAAAAGCAACCGAAGGTAAGGCATGACGCTGGGAAGACAGAATCAGAGGAGAACGGTGCGAGAGTGCGCGAGGAGAACGATGGAGAGATGAAAAGCGGATATGGAGAAATGAGTCTGCCGGGCGACAATGGGGAAGAAACGTCTGGACAGGCTCACCAATTGATCGAGCTGCACACAATCGATCAACTCGAGGAACTAACTACGAATCAGCACGTCCATTTCCGAGCCCGGCTTCACGGCACACGATCCATATCCGCCTTCTTGACATTCGTGATCCTGCGATGGGACGAGACTACAGTTCAAGGTGTCCTGCATGACGATGAAACCTCTGAAAGCATGATGAAGTGGGTTCAAAAGATCCCTTTGGAATCCTTGGTCCAGGTCGGAGGAATCATTTCGAACCCTCTTGAACCTGTCCAATCGACTTCCATCCATACGTTCGAGATCAAGGTCGACTCCCTGTATCTCCTGCAGCGAGCTACAGGTGTACCATTTCCCGTGGCCCGAGAAGATTCCGAACCGATGCACAAGAGGCTCGAAAACCGGGTCATGGATCTTCGACATCCATCCAATCATGCCATTTTCAAGATTCGTTCCAGATTTCTCAACTCGTTCAGAAAGAGTATGGAGAAGCATCACTTTTTGGAGATTCAAACGCCAAAGCTTCAGGCTGCGGCGACTGAAAGCGGGGCCCAGGTCTTCAAAGTCGATTACTTTGGAAGAGATGCCTTTTTGGCTCAGAGTCCACAGCTGGCGAAGCAGATGGCCATTTCTGCAGACTTTGATCGGGTATACGAGGTGAGGTTGAGGCTGGGCAGTGTGACTGGGCAGAGGATGCTCATTCCATGCGCAGATCGGTCCTGTCTTCCGGGCTGAGGACTCAAACACTCATCGACATTTGACCGAGTACACTGGCCTAGATCTCGAGATGATGATCAAGCAAGAGTATCACGAAATCGTCGACATCGTCCTAGATACGCTCAGATCAGGCCTAGAAGCTATCTCAGCGATGCGACACGAGATTCAAGTTGTCCGACAGCTCTGGCCTGGGGATGATCTTGAGATCAGCGACTCTATTCCCGTGATATCATTCGAGCAGGGTATACAGATGCTGAGGGACGCTGGAGAGCCCGACATCCCTGTCGAGGACCTGTCAACCCCGCACGAGATTAAACTTGGAGAATTAGTCAAGGGGAAATATCATACCGATCTATTTGTCCTTGACAAATTCCCTACTTCTGCCAGGCCGTTTTATACCCATCTGGACCCCTCAAACCCTAGCAAGACAAACAGCTTTGATATCTTTCTACGGGGTCAAGAGATATGTACCGGTGGACAGAGGATATCCGATCCATCTCAACTTCGGAAAGCGATGTCGAAAGCAGGAATCGACGAGCGAAGTATGAAGGAGTACCTGCATGCTTTCGACTGGGGTATCGCACCGCATGCCGGCGTTGGTCTCGGTCTAGAAAGAATCATCTTCCTGGCATTAAATCTTGGAGACGTTCGCTATGCTTCGTTGTTTCCAAGAGACCCCAAATCACTTCCGGAACCTGAGATGTTGTTGACCCATCCAGACGCATCGACACGTCTGTCTTACTCCCCTAGCCACCTTCCGGTGATTGAGGACCTGATCGCGAATTATGGCGACGCCACCAACACGTCCTGGTTGGACGACAAGTTCCTGGTTTGGAGACACGAGACGAACGGTGCCGCAGTGGGATATTCAGCTCGGAAAAAGATGGTGATCATGGCTGGTGATCCTCTGTGCGAAAAAGATCAGTACGAGAGTGTGATCAACAACTTTCTGGAATTTCTCAGTAAGCACATCAACTTAAGTCCCGCGTGGCTCTTGGTCTCGGATCAAGTTCAAGAGATCTTATCGACAAAGCATGGATGGCGGAGTCTAGCATGCACGGAGGAACAGCGGTTAGATGAGAACCAGCGACACACTCATGCCGATGATCAACGCGACAGGAAACACGAGGCTCGACGGTTGGATCGACAAGGCGTTTCGATCCATTCGTTTGACCCCACCGATGACGAAGATTGCATCTCGAGAATCAACAATAGGATTCGAGAATGGCAAGACGCTCGAGCTTCAGGAGCGAAACAAGTCCACCTGACAGATATCGCTCCGTGGCAGGATCAAAAGCATCGTCGGTATTTCCTCGCTGAATCCACAGATCAGCGTCGTCCGGAAGCACTGGTCGTCTTGACACAATTATCGAGAACCCATGGATGGCAAGTCAAGTGGGCTTTGGATTTCCCAAACGCCCCTCATGGCGCCATTGACGCTCTGATCCATCTGGCATTATCGACCGTGGCGGGTCAACCGGTCACCTTTGGAGCTGGCGTCTCGGATCACTTGATACCTGTTCATCATATCCACGGTCTGCGATCGAAAATTCTCAGCAAGACCTACAAAGCGATCGTGTCTGCGCTCAAACTTCGAGGCAAAGCTCAATTCAGGGAAAAGTTTGGTACGATTGGAGAGACGCTATACATTTGTTATCCAAAACACGCGATAACTCCTTTCAATGTGGATGAGATCGTAGAATTCTTTGAGGAATAGATGTGGCGCCGACGAGGTGCACTGCTGATCATATTCCGAAATGTACTGTGCATGTCTAAACTGTTTGGAATATACAACAACGCTGTTGGCTACGTCAACAAATCTCATATATGCTACACGAGGTCTAAGATTACTTCATTCACGCCACTGGCTGAAGAATGCTCATTCATCAAGCGTCCAGATCCGAGTCGACCGTCTCTCTGCTCTTAATCCTTGATTTGGTAGGTTGCGCTGGGCTCTTGGGGACCTTGGGCATCACCTTGTGCTTCTTCACTTTATGTTCCCTTGCCGATGCGTCGGCTCCTTGGGCCTGAGAGACGCCTGAAGCGGATGCCGTCTCCTTCCGCTTTTTACGCTTGACACGAGCGGGGGGTTTGGGCAATTGAGCTGCGGTGAAACGCAATTCGGCTTGCCTATTGTGAGAGCGAGTCAGCGTATTCACGCCGTGCAAACCAAGACATGAGACTCGCCATTTCTTCCGACATTGCGTCCTGGTCCTTTGACCGTTCATCTTCTCCACCACCAAGTCCCAGGGCGCTTCGGACCCATGTGGGTCTTGCCCCAGCGAGGTGTTCAGTTCCATGACGATCTCAATTAGCCGAGTACTTTCATCCTGGGTCCAGTGACCTGATTTGAAAGATCAGACTGCGGATCATCATAAGTAGGTCGCCTCAAACTCACCCTCCTGCTTCGTATCAACATGTTGCAGCTCATCACGCCAACGACATCGACAATCTAATTCAGGTCTCTCGACAATCTGGGAAATCTTGGCCCATTGATTCGGATGACTCTGCTGAGCCCTGGGAGAGGACATGAGCGAGAAAGCCTCTTATACCAGCAGAGCTTGCCTAGTCAAAAGTTCATCTTCTTTCGGTGTCCATGGACCTTTGCGAGCCAGCGGATCAAATACTCGCTTCACATGATCTTTAACGTATTTGACTGGACGGCCTGGGACGACAGCGGCTGGTTGGAGTTAGCGACCCACCTTTCTCTCGTCAAAGCACACATGCTTGTATCTCGACTCACCAACTTCAGGCCAAAACTTTGGGAACTCTTTTCTCTCGCTAAACCGGCCTTTGGCGTGTATCAATTCGACGAGCTCGGCTTGGTCTACCCGATTGACCTGGGGAAGATTGTGAGCTCAATGAGATCAATGAGATGCTCTTTTTGAGCTGACCTGTTTGAATGTCGTGAGGTATTCTCGAATGGCAGCTTTCTCTGCATCGCTGAATTTGCCCTTCTTGTACTGGATGACTGTGACACTGATCAGTTCATTTCCTGATTTGCCAAGCTAGACTCTACTCACTGCCTCTCTCCTCAAGCCTCTTGAGCTCCCCCAGATTGACCCATTTACTCGCCAGCCATTGGTGCATCGCCGCGGGTTTCCTAAATTCCTTCCTGAGCTCCTCATACGTCTCTGTCTCGCCGATCTTCTTCCTTCGCTTTCTGGGAGGTAAACCGGTGGCTGCACCTTTAGAAGAAGAGACGATGTCATCTGGAACTTTGGCAGTGCCAACATCCATAAGTCTATCAGGCTTCCCACTCCGACTGTCCTTCTTGGACTTCTTGCTTGCCGCTCCTGCTGGTGGCTTCTCACCGGGATGAGGTACAGACGACTGGGACTTGTGATTCTTCGTCTTGTGCTCTGCTGGATGTCCCTCTGAGATTGGCTGACAGGTCCCCTGCTCATCGGCGAAGAGCAATTTGGCGAATGGATCCTTCCCATTGACTTCGGGATGCTTGGCACTGAAGATTCTTCCCGACCTTCCGGGGAACCGTAATGGTGGCGAACTCGGAGGGAAGTCGAGTCGAGGATCGATTCGGTTGTCGGGGCTGGAGGGGAGCGATGAAGGAGGTAGCTTGTCAGGCGAAGAGGTGAAAGGGTCTTCAGGGTCTGAAGAAGGTACGGGAGGTTGGGGAGGTCGTTTGGCTTTCTTCCATCCAGATTGAGATTTCGACTTCCTACCTCTAGGCGGCATTTCGTCACCGTGGATGGCTCCGACGTTCTCTAGATCGCGACGCTCAACTCTCCGCTTCTTCTCGATTACGCTTTCCTTTGGCTTGCGATCCCTCTCGTCCGTTGCCGACACATCAAAATCCCCTGCCTCATTCTCATGGACCAAAGCCGTCCTAGCGTCCTTGGCAGCTCTCATGGCTTTCGCTTGCGCTCTCTCGAGCTTTCTGAGCCGTTTGATCTCTTTCGAAGACCTCCCTGAGTCCTCGGCTCGCTCGTCTACATTGATCGCACCCTCGTTTAACGCGCCATGACTATTTGGTGTGCTTGATCGTCGACGATATGTGGATGGTCCAGCATGAGGTAAGAATAGGCCATAATTTTCGCCTAGCGCCAGACCTTCCATTGTGAGACCTGGGGGGTTGACTCCAAGCAGGAGCCGAGTGTGTCCCCAACACGTCAAATGTCAATAGTAGACAGTCAAACAACTACAGCATAAAATTTATAGAAATGACAGAGACCGATCGGCAGCATGTTTCATGATAAAGTCACGTGACTGAGCGGAATTTTGTAGCTGCACCAATTGCAGGATTCTTTCCCGTTCCAACATTTAGAAGGCCGTTCTGAAGCATAGCATGAGGTCAGCTTCGGGTACAGGCAGGTCAATCAGCTAGTATAATGTCTTGTGGAGGTATAAGCTCTGCGCTCAGGCGATTACCACCGTCGACCATCGCCCATATCCAGTCTTTCGTCCCTCCATCGGCATGGCTCATAAATCGAAACTACGCTACTTCCGCTGACATCCCAGGTCCATCGGCATGGCAGCACCAAGAGCACAGCCAGAGGACTGGGCGAAGACCGAGGGGACAGCCTCGTCCCGATTTGATTAATCTCGACACGTTCTTGGGTAGCCAAGGAGCTAGGACGGTGAGGCAACCAAGAAGCTCGGATCAACTCCGGAGTATCGGTGATGCTCTCAACGCAGGAGCTATTGACGAGGCGATTCGAATGGGTAGGCGTCGTGCAGAGGCCCTGAACGCGATTGCGAAGCAGCAGGAAAGCTCTTCCACCGCGCGGGATCAAAGAGAAGGTGGACAACCATTACCCCTACCTCCCGAATCGTCTGCAGGCACGAGATCTTTGGCCACAAGCTCAATCGTTCCAGAGGTGTTCATCTTGCTCCAGTCATTCCTGGAGGCGGAGAATCATCCCGAAGCCTATGCGGAAATTTTTCAATACTGTCAACGTCTTGGATTGGTTCGCAAGGGACAAATGATGGCAGATCACACCCTACGATTGGCCAGAGTCGCCGTACGGAATCCAAATTCAGCATGGATTGAAAACCTCGAGAATTTTATCAAGCTGCCTGAAACTATGAATATGCCCGAGCGACCTTTGCAGCTCCCTCTAGAACCACGCTCAAGGATCATTTTCGGTTTGATGAGAGCCCGGAAACAGAGGATCTCGATACCAGGAGTCATCCAAATGTTCATGGACGAAGTAGCTCATGGAGATATCAATGCTCATCGACCAGGCTCTCTTGTATCTTGGGTGATCATTGCGAGCCATCAGCGCGGTATCGGACAGACGCTCAAGTTTCAGAAGCAATTCATGGACCATGTTGAACGCATAGCCGAAAGGAGGAGCAATCATGTATGGTCTGGAGACGATATCACCGCCATGATCAAATTCCACGAGATCATCCTATCGGCTATTGTGACTGCACGAGCACAGGACGCACAGCAGAGCCTACCGCCCTGGATAGTTGGTTCGAGAATTCCCTCTCGGATCGCAGATCAGCTGCTCAACCTGATAGGAGGTGCGGATCAACTCACGACGTCATTCATTACGATCTGGATGCAGGCTGAATTGGCAGCCAAACGGTACGATCAGGCGAAAGCTGTTTGGGACATTTTCGATCTCTCGGCCCAGCCGGATGAACTACACCAGTCTCTCGCGTCATCATATCTCGATGTTGAAAGCTTTTCATCTCGACCTCGGCCTGACATGAAAGCTTGGAGCGTATACTTCCGACTTAGAAAGGCTCTTCCTGCAGCGAACGAAACGGAACCGAGCCTGCAAGTCATGCTGAGGAGAATGTACGATACTGTCCCTATCGCAAACTTCACCACCCCGGCTTTGAATGACATCCTCGCACTTATCGCACACCCGACTCAGTATCAAGGAGGCGCGGTAAACCCCAACGAAAATCTACCGATGCTACTTCTACTGCTCAAACACTACGATTGGGATCCAGCTGGAGAATTTGGACCTAGACCTGATAGCAGGACGATCCGTCTGGCCGTTTCAGCGTTAGTGAACCTGTGGCGATGCTTCGGTGCCTATTTTGATCCGTTGTTTGGATCCTATGCTGCACATTTAGCCAGGACTTCCAGACAAATCAGGAAGACGGATTGTCTGCTGCGAGCCGAATGGAGAATGGTGGAGGGTGCCCTGAGGGGTGTTCTCGGTGATGCAGAGACAGAATACGTAACCAGTGATATCCTGGAGCGGATCTGCTCATCCGCCGAAATGGACACCCTGCAGGTATCAAGAGGTGGTGTCCATGTCATGCCGGATGGCTCAACACTGCCTGATATCCTGATTCGACCTGTCAGTCTTCTCGTTGAGAACGCCATCAACTTGGTTCTCTCTGAACGATGCGAGACGCAATTGGAAGTAGAGACTGCTCTCGAACGATTGATGGAGAGAACATACGAGCGGATCGTGCCGCAACAACCGATCGCGTGGCATGCTGTGGAAGGCGACAGGACATGGCATGCTGTCCGGGATGAACCTGAAGTAAAGGATGAGGTATCTGATCGACGAGAGTATCTTGTCAATCGACCAGAAGAGATAGACTAGCGTACTTTCAAAGCAAAGCTCGATGCAGGTCTTATCACTACACGTTGGAGATCTCACAATGCTCGACTGATCACTACTACTCTCCCCCTGTGTCGATGAATGAATGGATGATGGCCCGCGAATGATTTTTTGTGTGTAAAAATAGAATTGTGCCGTCGCCTCGGAACTCGCGCAAATTTGGGCGTCGTTTGCCTCCTCCTGCCCCCCCTTGTTGCTGTGCACAGCGGGAATGAGAACGTTAGATTATAGATGAGCTGCTGCTGCCTATAGAATCGCACAGTTGGCAACTGTGTTCCACAAGTGTTTAAATCACAGTCCTATACAAGGCATCAACCTGCTATACATTGCTACGACCTTGGGCGAAAAGACTACCAAGCGTACGCCGTGACGTGAACCTCTCTCTCTCTTGCACAGCCACTTGGATCTTTACCCCGCTTGGCGCATATCGACGATATTTCTCAACCTCTCAGGGGACAGCAAGCAGGGATCATCTTGTGATACCCTGGGGTATCGTATCGCCGGCGTATCAACGATTTGTGTTTGTGCTTGATCTCCACCACCCTTGCTAGCCCTTCTCGGCATCCCTGTTGTACTATCCCTTGGCACAACTGGCTAGCAGTGTCCATTCATTCCTTCAACTTTTCGCCATGCCTGTTCAACAACGATACACACCTGTCCCGGGGATGGGTCGTTCCGATTCTCAAGGATACTTTGGAGGCAGCATGTCTCAATCCGGATCTCAAGGAGTGACGATGGGCAATGGAAGTGGATACGGTGAGTGGTAGTTCCGAGACATGTTGTGACATGCTGGTTGTCTTGGAGACTGCGAGCACGGCAGTGAGGGAGGTCGAAAGACGGTCCTTCCCTTGCCACCAAGACGTTCGTCTTACCTGGTATTATCGAGCAGCCTCGGCGGCTTTGATCGTTTTCCTAAACGGAAGCTGACCATCCAATAGGCAACCACGATCCCTTCGAGACGCCTGTCAATGTGAGTTTGAAGCTGCAGTAACCCCAACCATCTAGCTGACGATCTCGCAGAGTCTCTCTGGACAGTATCCCACTTCGCCCACCCACAACGGGCCTCTTCCCGCTTCGTCTCGAGGTCCGAGGGACGACTCGGTCCCGCAATACGATCCTTCCCTACCCACAAACAGCTATCGAGGAGGTCCTCCCAGCCCTACAAGCAGGATGAGGAATTCTCCAACGACCAATACGTTCGCTTACGAAAATGTACCGTCAGATCAATACTGGAAGGAAGGCAACGTTGCCCCAGTAGCTGGGTATTCGACGGATGTCACGCCTCTGAGGAAGAACAATCGATGGTGGAAATGGGCTATAGGCGCTCTCTTTGCAGCCATCATCGTTGGTGTTGTCGTCGGTGTTGCGATCACACAGATCGACAAGAGTCACAAGAGTGGACAAGGATCCAGTGCGGATGACTCGAGCTCTAGCAGCTCTAGCGGGAACGCTACCAGTCCCAATATGAATGATCCAAGCAATTTCCAAAAAGATTCGAGACTCCATCAGTCCTTTTGGGGTTTCGCGTATTCTCCCATTGTGAGCTTGTCGCTTGACTCTTACACCGTCAGCTGATCACAGTCCTAAGGGAACACAACCGCCATACTGTGGCGCCACGCTGGCAAACGTCACAGAGGACATTCAAGTGAGTTGCGCGATTGAACCACATCCATTCGACGCTCAATCATGTTTCAGTTGCTCTCGCAACTCACCACACGACTACGATTGTACGGAGCCAATTGCAACACCACCGCCCTCGTCCTCCAGGCTATCCAAGACACCAAGGTCAACATGACCATTTGGCCAGCTATTTGTGAGCTTGAGCGGAATGGCAGTGGCAATGGACGCGCAGCTAATACTCTATCAGACGTTGACTCAAACGAGACAGCGTACGAAGCTCAAGTTCAAGCCATATCATCTGCCTTGACGACGTACGGAGTGGCAAATGTCGAGGGTGTAAGCTCCCGAGTCCCCTGTCCAGCGGAAACGCCTGCTGACGCGCTCACGACAGGTGACTGTCGGTAATGAGTACATTCTCGATACTGCCGGATCCAACTCCAATACCTCTGCCGCCTACGACGCTGCTGTCGAAACCATTCTCAGCAAGGTCACAGAGGTCAAAGGTGTGCTACAAGGCTTAAATCTCGGCAAGACTCTTCCCGTTGGAACGAGTGATGCTGGGAGTCTAATGTCAACGACTCTCGGTGCGGGTATCGACTACTTCATGGCAAACGTGCACCCGTGCGTCTGATACACATCTCTCTCTCATGGAGGAAAGGGCATGCTGATGACGTTGACTCAGATGGTTCGGCTCTGTGCCTATCGATCAGGCGGCAGCGTGGACCGGAGAATTCTTTGACAATTTTGATGTGGTGAGTGGCGCAGGAGGTACATGCACGACATTCATCGCTGACGCGGGACTGTAGTCTGTCGCAGACATTTCTTCGGGAACGCCAGAATCGTACATTGCCGAGACGGGCTGGCCGACCGCTTCGATGGATGCCAAAGATGCAAATGACGGTGCTGGTGGCACCGCTGGAGAAGCGAGCGTGGCGAACCTGCAGAGTGAGTAGTCTTAGCCCATGCCGAAGCCCACCTATTAATGCGTGAGCAGTCTTCCTCGACACTTTCGTCTGCGCTGCCAACCAGAATGGCACAAAGTACTTCTAGTGAGTTGTCAACTTTCCGATGTCTTTGCTCGAGCCTGATTCCCGTTCTAGCTTTGAGGCATTTGATGAGGAGTGGAAAGCGTGAGTCTAGGGACAGATGATCAATCTCTTGGCCTTCGCTGACATCACGTAGCGCTGTGTACGGTGGGGTCGAGCCATACTGGGGCATCTTCGACCAATATAGGAATCTCAAGGATATCACGATCCCTGTCTGTCCACAATGAGCAAGGGCTTGATATGTTTTGTACACCTTGCGCGCGAAGGTGAAGTTCCGCCTATGAAAGGTTTTCGTACCGTTCTGTGCCCCCCCATTGAATGTCTTTTTGTGTCGTAGGATCTATCATGGACAATGCAGCATCTAGTGTCAGAGCGATGCATATGGTTGTACAGCAGTCGTAGGATCTAAGGCTGACGGATGGATGACGAAGCTGAGTCCTTCGATCCAACGGTGCAATGACAATAGGAGCAGATGGAACAGCCACCATCCCCATCACTCAACAGCGGGCATCGATTGAAGTTTGTGACGATGGCTGTGTGAAACTTCCAACTGCACATCCTGTTTAGGGTGTTCCTGACGACGAATGAGAACATAATGCTGCATACATGACATGACTGGGAGGCTATGTTGTGCTCGACGACTGGGCATGTCCTAATAGGCTGCGATACCGGCGAGCTGTTGAGCTCGATGCGAGAGCACCGGAGGTTTTGAAGGAACCGTTCTTTCGTCGTCTGACAGCTTGCCTGCGATTCGAGATCCGGTCTGCTTGACATCAGCGGCATCGTGCGTCTTCACGGGGTCAGCCAGAATGACAGCGAGAGGTATCAACGAGATGATCGGCTCACCGTGTTGTCAAAGTTCTCCATTGCTTCTTTTCTGATCGCTTGCTTATCCGGTGCGACATCACGGTTCGGCTTATAACAGACGTCTGCGACCGGGGTCCGAGGATCAGTGGGGCGTGATCGATGATATTTATGGATGGAACGACTCACAGGTCGCGACACGCGGTTGATCACCTTCTGCCGCGGCGCCGTAATGAACGCAGCGACTGTCCCATAGGATCACGTCACCTGGTCCAGCTTCAACCTTGTGCCAAGTGCATCCTCGATCGTAGAACCATTGAAGTTGAGCTTGCGTGTGATGGTATCCATTCCGTTTTGACCATCCACCAGGAGGCGCTTCGTGATCATGAGCTTCCCAGAACTCGTTATATCGGGAGAAAGAGCCTTGAAGGACCATCAATCCCCCATCTTTAGGTCCGTTCGGGGCCTGAGGGAAGGCCATCAAATTTGATCAGCTTTGCGAGAAGAGATTGAGACGCTTTGTGTACGAACGAGATTCATGATCCCTTGAACGCAGTATTTGAATCTCCTGAGTGGACTTTGGTCCACATGAGCCCAAGGCTTTCGATCGACGGGCGCATCCGCTTTGAATGGAAGAGAGACGTTGACTCCATCGAAAGAGACTGCCAATTCGTCTGTTCCCCAAATCTTGGCGAAGACGTCAATGAGTCCTGGCTCGGCTCGGATATCCCATGCAAACTGCTCGTGACCGGAGGCATGACGATTGAACAGACCGCCCCTGGGCAGCACGGCACGTCAGTAAGCATTCATCATGGAGGGGGGCCTTGATTTCCAAAGCACAAAGTCGAACAACACAAGAGAATCGCAATGGCAGCCATAAGATGACCGACTCCATCCCCCAAGTCACACGTATGATGAATCGGATCTTTTGACTCACTTGGCGAATGCGGGCAGATTCTCAGGCTTCCATGTCTCCCTATCATTCTTGTCGAAGCCTTTACCAAAACCCTCAAGCCAAGAATACGCCTGGTCCACATAGTACGCTGCCTTCTCGGGAGAGATGACATTCTTCACGACGCACCACTAGATAGAGGGAGATGTGGTCAGTGCACACAGACTTGAAGGACCGTTCTAGATATTGCATTGACAGCTCACCCCGTTCTTATCTAAGTCCTCATAGTAGGAAGTCTCTGGAGTGGTGGCGGATCCCCGCAGCAACAGAACGCCGGCGGGGCTAATGGTCGTCTCGGTGCTCGAGTTCGTGTTCATGGTCAATGATATGAGGTCTCCTCGATGATAGTGAGGACGGCAGTGCGCAAACAAGAGACAAGATATGAGTTGGATAGCCGGTTCAAGCTATGCAAATCCTTGTCAAAGCGGGGTATGGGATGGAGATGCCCGACGCCACCAGCCAGGGTGGGGGGTTAGAGGCGGTAATCGACGGCGAATCCACCGCGCGGGGATTCGGCCGAAGATCACCTCGATCCGAAGTCTGGCTGATCCATCGACAAAGGGGCAAGTGATACAATACAATGCTTATATATCCTCATCTACTCGTTGGAATGGTATCTTTCCTATCCCAGTCATAGTCTGGGAGAGGAAACTTCTTACTGTCGGAGAAGCCCGCTGCAAAGTATGTCCCTAAGAACTCTGCCACTCCTGTCCATGCGATCAGTGCAAACAGATGATTGCGCAACCATATACCCCAGGCGGTCTGTGGAGCCATGATAGTATTGACGAAAGGAGGTATCTTTTGCAGTTCCGTGATGATAGGCCTCATGACTTGTTCGTATTCCGCCAAGGCTGCATCAATGTCTCCAGGATATTTGAACAATGATCCAGCGAGGACGTATGCGCCAGTCAGCGCTAAACTAGTACCGCCGCCTGTTGGACCAGCTGCGTACCCGGCATCTCCAACAAGGACCACTCGACGATCGAAGATCGAAGGGGCCTTGACTTGAACGATCTCGGAGGCGTAAAAGTCTTTCGAGTCCATCATGCCTTGTAAGAGCTCGTCGGTGATCCAACCCATACCTCTGAACCGGTTCGCGATGTGGAGCTTGACATGGTCCTGACCTTCAGACAAAGCTTCACGGAAAGCTCGCATGGGATCTTGTGCCGAGGAGGATGAAGATGAGGGCGAAGAAGGGGGATTAGCGAAGAGGGCGACTCGAGTCGATTCGGTGAACCTATCAGACCCAATGCTGATTGTCCTGCCACCAACGGCGCTGATTCCGACTCCAATTTTGCTACCGTTGCAAAGGTCTTTGGGAATGGAATAGTAGGCTGCCCAACTCCTAGTAGGGATGACGTGATCTCGCACTCCACAGCCCAAAGCCATCGCTCTGGTTCTAGAGAACGATCCATCGCATCCAATGACGAGGTCAAATTCTGAGCGAGCAGTTCCATTCTTGAACTCTACAGTGACTGGAGCTTTGTCCCCTTCGTATCGGATGCTAGCAACTTCCTCTCCAAAGATGTAGTCAATACTTGACTTTTGTTCGGGCAGATCGACCAGAATCTTCGACAAGTCTCCCCGATAAATCTCGTACTCTGATATGAGTGACTGTCGATCCGGATTCCCAGTCATTCGAATCACTCCATAGGGTCTTCCGTCAGGCCTGATAAAGGATACGCCTTCTTCTTGGGTAGATTGAGCCCTGACTCGCTCCTCCATACCATGCATTTTGCGCATGACTGAAACCCCACAGACTCGTATATCAATAGCCTGTCCACCCTCTCGTAGAGACGGGAAACGCTCGATGATGGTTATTCGAGCACCAGCTTTGGATAGCCAGTATGCAGTAGCTGGTCCAGCAATGGAAGCGCCGACGATGAGAACTCGGAGACCAGCCATGATGTGCTCTGAAGGTCCAGTGGTTCCGATTGGTCCTATGACTCCAGTCGCAGTACGATCATCCCAAGTAGATCGACCCGATCAGTTATCCTATTTGTATCGAGATCCCATTTGACATTGTCGTCCAGAGATCCCAAAACAGTCGACGCATCATCCACTCGGCAAAGCGTCAACAAAAGTCCGATGCCACGGAATTTCCTCCCCATCGGAGGAGTCAGGCAACAGAATCTCGGTCTGTCTCGGTCTCTCTCTCTCTGTCGAAAGAGAGATGCGCCTGGGCGAAGCTTGAGAGCTGGGAAGACACAGATGTCCGTCCGAGCTCGACTGTTCACTCGAGAGACGACATCTTGCATGCTGTCCCGCGACCAGGCTGTTCTCTACAATGAATCCTAGGTGTGACGTTGGTGGCGCGAAAGAGCACTAGTTACAGTGACCAAGGGCTGATGGTGCAGCCGCTGATAGTGCCAATGTGATCTCGCTACGAGCCTACAAGATTCCTCTGAGTCACTGACAGTCAAGGCCCTTCCTTGCCCCCCCTCCGAGGTACCAAGCTACCCTCACTCTACTCAAAGTGCCACATTGTCGCGGAAGGGTTACAAGGACTGGTGTCTCTTTCCGGAAAATACGGAATTTTTTCGAGTCTCATTATTAGTCAGATGGTCGTCATCCACTCGAATCCCACAACGACATTTGTAGCAGAGTCTATGGCTTCCTAGCTGCCCATTCATCTGCTGGTGTGCAGCTCCTTCTAGCCGACTCTTCACCTCGCTCGTTCGGCTTGGCGCACTTGATCGTGTGTGCAACCAATCGACGGAAATTTCCGTACTGTCGACCGCGACTTTGGCGGAGCAATATTGCGAGGATCTCGGGGGCAATATACACTCAACCTTTTCGGGGCCAACTTTCACAGCTGGTCGCCGCTTCGTCGTCGATATCTCGAGCTCGTCTCCCATATCCGGCAGGCAGGCAGGCTAGCGACAGCGCTGTGGAGCTAGTGCATATTGCCAACGGCGGCAAAAACCAAAGGTGCTTGGACCGGGTATTGAGTCATGGCGAGTGTTTTATCCATCATGGATTCGGAAGATGCAAGGGGAGTTCCAGAGAGCAGTCAAGGAGAAGGACTCAGCAGAGAGGAGCTAAGTGGAGGCGGTGAACGCGTTGTGAGTCCAAGGTTACAGTCGTTTGTTTCCCATCTATCGGGACGGTGGCCAAAAGTGTGTTTGTTTTCCCATCACTTCGGTGATCCTATCGGCGAGTTTTCCCCTGCCAGTAGCCCGCTGCCTCTCTCTCTCACACACACATACATCCCTTCCAATTCCCTATTGCTTCGGGGATGTCATCGATTCACGAGGACGCTCTTGTGCTCCCTCGTGTTAGCATCGGGAGCCCATTCGGTCGCAGCCCAAAAAACTCCGGTCTTCTCGGCATCAATTTGGACCTTTCACGGGCAGTGCATTGTCATTGTTACATGCCCGTCCTCCTGAATAGTTCTTGACATTCTACTCCATCCATCTCCCCGGATCACCATGAGTGTTTACGATCATTGCTAGCTGTCCTTGTTGCGAGCTTTCTGGTTTATTCTGAAACAACGTTCCCGACATCGACGCTTACTGACATTGGGTTCGCCCCTGTTTAGCCCAACTCTGGAGGCTTCCTGGCATCTTCTCACCACCTCTCGCAATCATATTCTTTCCAAGGCGACCCGTTCGCCCCTCCCTCGGCCCCGTCGACGTTGAACCCCTCAGTCTTCAACAACACAATCAACAACATGGTCTATCCTCCCCCTCCCCCCCTTCCTGGCCATTCACCGACAAGCCGCCACTCCGGTACCTTTGCAAGCGAGAAGACTACCACGCCCATCCCATTGGACTTTGTGCAACCTTTCGAAGAACATCCTCGTCGAGGCTCAGGTGCAGTCTACTGGACCCCAAAGACGGACAAACGGGACCTAGGCCGCACAGAATCTGCTCAAAGCAGCCAAATATCCAATGTCGGTCTCAAAAGGAGGCCGAGCGTCGTCGACGAAGAGATAGCCGGACTAGCTTTGGCAGATTTGAGCGCGGGTCTCAGCATCGATGAGGTCAAGGCCAGGAGAGACAACTTGGCTGGTGCAAAGAGCAAAAAGAAGCCTAGGAAAGAGTCTAACGTCAAGACTGAGAACGTTGCCAAGAAGAGCTGTTCGGAATGTCGAAGATTAAAGGCAAAATGCGACCGTGTCTTCCCGTGTAGCAACTGTGGGTGCAGCTAAGGCTTTGGTTCAGCACTTACATTTGGCAGGTCGACGCCGTGGTTGTGCTCTGGTTTGTCCGGACGGAGATCTCAGCTGCATGCAGGGTAAACGATTGGTTCTTGCCTCCACCGAGGAGCTACACGACAGGGTAAGGCATCTATCGTCTGCACCAATTGTTTTTTCTGACTGCATATGACAGATTGCTCAACTTGAAACGGCCCTCGCCCACTCACACTCCCAGACTGCAGACACGACACATCCTCTGCTCGCTCCCCAATTTCTCGACGGAGGTTTCGTGAATGCCACCCCACCGCCTGATCTAGAAAGCCCAAAGCGGAATTCATTGCCGCTGACAGCCCGGCTTCCAGTCAGCGGAGAACATTCTCCATTGACTCGGGGTTCCGATGCTAGCTTCACAATACAAACACCTCAACCCGAGAATGATCGAGGCGCTTCTCAAGGTCGAATGGCTGTTCAGTCTTTGCTATCGGATGATACTGCGGCCTCAGAGGGCAAGAAAGAGCTCGAATGGGTCGGAGCTAATGCAGCGCCGGCCTTGATGGTGAGCTCCGCAGTCCGTTGATGTGATCATCAGCTCACTCCATGTCTAGATGGGAGCGGAGGCCAATCATGGCCTCGAGGACAAAGCCGAGCATCACCGACTAGTTGAGCGACTCCAAAAGCTGCTGCGCATACTGCCTCCTCGTGTAGAGACAAGAAGGCGAGCCGACCATTTCTTCCAGAACTGCCAATGGTACCAGACCATGCTTGAGAGCGAAGAATTCGACCGTGTCTACGAGCCAGCGGTATACGAGCCCACCACCGCCAATCCTCTCTCCCCGCACAAATTGGCGTGCGTACTCATGGTCTTGACGCTGGACACGTACTTTGATCTCACGGAAGAGGAGGACAATCCGGCGGTAGGCAGATACTGGGAGGGTGTCCAAAAGTGCTTCGACACGCGATTCGGCTGGGCTGCCAGCGTCGCCGGAGTTCAGGCATTGGCTCTCGCTTCCATGTTCGTCGCTCTTGGCTGGAGAGGTGCCAAAGCCAGTAACTTTTACTGGCTGAGACAGATGACGTCCGCTGTTCAACAGGTGAGCAAGCTTCACCTGATGTTCGCTGACAGGTCCTAGCTCGGTCTGCACAAGGATCCTCATCCCTCATTACCGGAGAGCGAACGCAACTTCCGACGTCGCGTCTTTCACGAGTCTTTTCTTATCGACTGTCTCATGAGTATCAACCATGGCCAACGTAATGGGATTGCCCTGGAAGGCGTGGAAACTCGAATGCCGGAAAATGTCAGCTTCATGCGGACCACCAAGTACAACTATATGCGGTTGGTCAAAGCAGCCGTCATCGATATTGGCTGTCGATCCGCGGAAAATCCAGCCTCATGGGAAGATATACAACGGGTCGCATCAATCATCCGGCAATACGATGCTAGTTGTCGAGGGGAGTTCCACTGTCCTTTACTCCGCGGAGAACCTCTGCCGCCAAAGAGTGAGAATCCGACTCATATGGACATCAGGTGTCTCACGAGTACCACCATGTCCATGTGCCACTACAAAGCCATGCTGTTCCTCTATCGACCGTCCCTACGTAGACTGATCGAGAGACTTCGCTACAAGCCCAGCCAAGATCCCACATTCTTCGACGAGCGGGATAAGGAGGTAGTCTCCATGACTTATGCGGCGTGTCGGGCTATCATCTCCTGCTCGCGATATCTTATTCGAACTCATCCTCTACTTTCCGCTCGATTCTGGTCGGTCTGGGTTCAAGCGTTGTCTGCAGCCGTCTCACTCGCAGCTCTCGCCATCTGGTGTGGGCCACATCTGGAACCGACGTTTATCGCTTCAGCTTATTTAGAGCTCACTGAAGCCGTCAATGCGGTCGAGGAGAGCAATTCTAAGAGGAGTCGGGGTGTTCTAGTGAGTCCTGCAGAGCCTGACAGGTGTGCAGGTACTGACATGTCGCCTTCAGGCATTGTTTCCAGTCATACAGACCACAGTTCACCAGCGATACCCTCAGTTGATTGGCAAGGACTCAAACACCTCGACTATCTGTCAGCAGAATGAAGACATGCTCTTTGCTTTGTTAGGAGGACATGTCATTCAGCAAGGTGTTTCTCCAACTCAAGGGCCGTTAATGAATCCTCCCTTCTCTGAGAGGCAGAGAACCCCGACCGCGGCTGTTTCACACATCCCAAGTCAAAGTCAAAGCCAGTCCGAATCGACCGAGCTGTCATCTAGTAACCAATCGTCGACTGGCTACCCATCTACCACGAGCTATCCCCCACCGTATCTGAATGGCGAATCACAAATGGTCGTTCCTTTCGTTGGATATCAACCTCTAGCCAACCCATTCGAAGTGTATCAACAACCACCGCCAATGATTTACAGCTTACCTCCAGACCAGGCTACCCACCAAGCCGAGACGACGCAAGCACACCCTCCCATGTCGACTCATTCTTCCTCGGAGATGCTAGAGGGAATGCCATTAACCCAAGATATTCGCGGCACCAGCGTTGCGGTAGATCCCTCCTCAGGAGAAGACCTGGCCAAACTGGATGTTTCGGAGCTCTGGGCTAGACTGCAGACCTTTTATGAGCCTTCTCCGGCATACTGGGGTCAGAGTGTGGGCACTGGCGACTTTCGTCTGGGAACAGCGCAGCAGCACCCAGTGGCTTCGGGAAATTAGGGCAGGCGTGAATTCCGAGCCGGCGGGTCTGGCTCGATCATCTCTCTCTGCGTCTGGTCATCGCCGGAGTCTGTGCATGAGATCTGTGTGTATCTGAGTTTAGGAATGTAGCCGTTGTAGAGCTCCCGCACGTTATGAAGAGTAATGAACCATGTAGCTTGCATCTCATCCAGCTCGGCGTATTTCGAACACGGAGTTGACCGACTCGGCCGATCGGTCCGGGTGACTACCTCCACCGAATTGATGCTGTACCAGACAGACTCCCTTTCGCCTTGTTCTCGCGAATCGACAGCACTTCTACCCATCATGTCGCTCCCCATGCCCCATCTGAAAGCTGAAGGCAAAGCTACGCTGGACAAGCTAATGCAGGAGAAGCTGGCGGAAAAGACCGTTCCATTCATGTTCTGGGCAGCTACCAATGCTTCGGAAACGATATATGAGAATCAGGCCGGGTACAACAAGTGGGATGATCCTAGCTCCGGAGAAGTCAACAGAGACTCCAGTGGGCATGCCTTCAGTTCTATGACCGGTTCGTTGGCTGATGAGCACAGCTCTGGAAATGTTTTCGATGACCAAGTTTGTGGTCTCGGTGAGCAGACTGTGATCTGGATACGAGGGCTCGCTATTGACGCGCGGTTTGGATCTCAGCTCGCAACCCTTCAATTCGTCGAGAATGGGACCGTAGCACTTGATGACCCGGATCAAATGTACAAGCATCTTCCAGAGCTTTCGGAATTGCAAGTCCTGGAGGGCTACGACAAGGACGGAAATGCGATTTTGGTACCTCAGAAGAACCGGATAACGTTGAGAATGCTTTTGGATCATACCTCTGGTTGGTTCGATTTTGAATAGATCATGAGACTAGCTGATCATTTCAGGCGCCGTTCATGCTGGACGACACCCTCGTCTAGGTCAATGGTTTGAATCATTGGAGAAACCCCTAGCGTGGATATTCTCGCCTGACGCATCCATCAAATCCATCATGGCTCCTCTGGTCTTCCAGCCCGGAACATCGTGGGCCTATTCCTGCGGTACAGACTGGTGTGGCGTTCTAGTCTCTCGATTGTCAGGCATGTCGCTTGAAGATTATTTCCAGAAGAATATCTTTGCCAGAGTCGAGGGAGGAATGCCCGACACCTCTTTCTACCCTCGACCTGACATGGCGAGGCGTAAGACAGAGGTATACGATCAGCAGAAAGATGGAAGCAAAACGGGCTATCGATTCTATATGGGTCGAGCGGAGACACCTGAACAAGTCAGTAAAGATTTCTTGTCGGGTGCAGGGGGATTATTTGGGACAACCAAGGATTATCTGGCCCTGTGTCGATCGGTCCTTCAGTGCGATCCAAGAAATTCTCGCAAACCTTCCAATCCCATCATCAACCATAACACATACGAGCTGCTATTTAAACCGTCTCTGACATTGGACAAGGCGAAGAAGGAAGCGAGCATCTTCTTCGGCAATGAACATTACTTGTTCTTGGACGCCTCTGAGACCAATGTCAATCATTCAGTGGCTCTTGCACTGAGCTTGGAAGATGCTCCTCATGGCCGAAGAGCTGGCTCGGGCTGGTGGAGTGGACTGGCGCATACCCAGTTCTGGCTGGACCCCAAAACTGGCCTCGCGGTGAGTCATGAAAGAGAGCAAGTTCTTCAAAACAAGAACGCAGCTCATGCATTGAATGCTTCTTCAGGGCGTCTGCAATACTCAAGTCGTCGCGCCGAACCCTCATCCTTGGAACAAGATCTACCAAGCTTTTGAGAGGACTCTATACGAGAACATTGAGCAGTAGACCATCCCATCCCATCCCATGCCCATGATATGCATCCAATGAAAATGCCACGGCCGAAAGAAAACCCAACTCGCCGGATATCCGGGGCACCAGTGTTTACGTAATATTGATCTCGGTCCCTGACTTGAGCCGAGGGTGTGTGTTCCCCCCCTGGCTCCCTGCCCCTCCCCGTCCATTCTCGTCACCATTACACCATCCTCCTTCACCACATCTTGTCCCATATCTTCCTGTATCTTGATTGCTGCACTCTCTGTCCCCCTCCCTCCTTCGTGACGAGCAGAGATGCCAGTCTCTCGCCGCGTCTCCTACATCCTCCCCTCCCCCACGGAGCCCGCCCCGTTATTACAGCTTCCCGGAATAGGAGAGAGACGACGAGGCGTCACGCAGCCATTCTTGGTCCATAAAGATGTCAACAGTGATGGATTCAATGGACATGCTCTGAACGATAATCCATTCGAATCGCCCGAGGACCATAGTAGATCATCATCTCATCCTAGGCATTGCCTAGGTATCAATGCGCTGGCATTAGACACTTCGACCACCTTATCAGATAGTTCGGCACCGGCCGGTATCCTCTATTCTGGAGGAAGAGATGGTCTCGTAGCTTCTTGGGAGCTTGGCGTCCCTCACAAACGTCGACGTGGTGGACGATATGAGACATTACCGGGAAGGACCACTCGAACGAAGTGGGAGCGTGTAGGAGATGGTGCTGAAATGTGGGACGACGATGAGGACGAGGATGCGCAAGGGGAAAATGATTCGCCTGAGGATCTAGGCGCAGACGAAGAGGCCATCTGGAGCAGCGATGATGATCTCGGTGATGGATGGGTGGGAGTAGATGGCGAAGGCAGAAAGAGGAGAGGTCCCCGAGGCGAGATCCCCTATGAAGAGAGATGGGAGGTGGATTATGACCAAATCCCTAGCAAGGTGAGCAAGCTTCTGCCCGAACTTTGTGTGCAAACAGTCGTACTGATCAGCGTGTAGGTCCAACCCACGAGGTACAGACAGTCGGCTCAAACGCACACCGATTGGGTCAACGCCATGTTGCTGTGCAATCTCAATCAAACGGTTATCACCGGATCGTCAGATCGAACCATCAGAGCCTGGTCACCTCATGTTCAGGACTCTGCGCCCGCACTGATAGGTAGGATCTGCTCTTGTCATGCTATGTACGTCGCTAATCCTGGTTCAGGACGTCACCGCGATTATGTTCGTTGCCTGGCATGGGCCAAACAGCCCGCGCTTCTGTTTTCAGGCGCTTTGGACAGATACATTTGTCTGTGGGATGTCGCCCAACCCGATCCGGAGAAACCATTGCTCCAGCTGGACCTGAGCAAATCGGACGACTGGGGTGGTGTTGGTATGGAAGGCGAGAGAGGTAGTGTCTATGCCTTAGGAACAGGTGAGTCACCCACGTCTCTGACAAGTATCCCAAGTTGATCACGATCCTCCCAACAGATCCCGCTGGAAAATTCTTGGCTGCGGGTACTCCTGAGCAGGTAGTACGATTGTGGGATCCTCGAGTGGGTGATCAGTCTATCGGCAAGCTGGTCGGACATTCGGACTGCGTCAGAAGCATCATCGTTAGCGATGACGGCCGCTATGTAAGTACGGGTCCATATGATGCCTGAGGGCTGCTACTGACGCTCGGAGCAGATGCTCACTGGAAGCTCGGACACGACTATCAAGTGAGTTACGATCGGCTTTTTTTTGGGTTACGATGACGCTGAACCAAACACAGACTTTGGTCGCTTGCCGCTCACCGCTGCCTGCACACTTTCAGCCATCACACGTCATCAGTGTGGGCTCTTCATTCCACTCACCCTAATCTGGAGCGCTTCTACTCTGGCTCCAGAGACGGTCACCTCTGCGCTGTTGATGTTGAGTCTGTTGGAGATATCTCCGATGGAGAATGTGTCGTATTAGCCAGAGAAGGGGCAAACGCACACAACCTTCCAGGCGACTACGAGAGCAAGACCGGAGACGAGGGAATCCGAAGCATCGTAGCAATGGATGATTCGTTCGTCTGGACGGCGACGGGCAGCGCCGAAATCAAGCGATGGAAGGATGTCGGTCGTCGCATTCATCGACTCGCTGCGGATGACGAAGATGATGGCGTATCTTACACCGTTCCTCAGGGAATCAGCTCGTCCCCTCCACCAGAGCAGAAGCCGGCGCCGATTCTCGATCCAATCGCTCATGCTCAAGATCTCGCGGCTTCAGCGCCTTTGCTAAGAACGGATTCGCATGACTCTCGTGCCGTCGCGTTCGCACCTGCTCCCACGCCTCGATCAGGCGGGGTCGGCGCAGGATCCGGGATCGGAAGTCAGCTGCGACGAGCTCATCTATCGGGAACATCTCTCCAATCCAACTCGTCCATTGGGATTGATGACGGCGCTATTCCAGCACACGCATCCTCCCTCCACGGCATTCCTTACGAATCTCTTGTCTGTCTTGGTCTGCCCGACTCGCCCTATTCTCTTGGATTCTCTCATGCCCATCGTTCGCAGGATCTCACGGATGGTCAGAGCGACCAGAAGGGGGTCAAGGGCGATGTTGGAGGTGACGCGGGCTACACCTCTCGCCGTAATTCGATACAGGTCGACAGAGTGCAGAGTGCTGGCCTTCGTGCCAGGCAAGACTTTGAAGATCGAGATATCGCTTCAGAGGCCAAACCATTGCGGAAGACCCCAGACGACGTCATTGCTGGCCGACCAGGTCTGGTGCGATCCATCATCCTGAATGACCGACAGCACGTCCTCTCTATCGATACAGATGGAGAGATTGCAGCTTGGAACATCCTCTCCGGAAAGTGCGTCGGGCGATTCTCTGCGGAAGAAGTTGCCGCCGCTATGCTTCTGGAGCGAGGCGTCAAGACGGATTCTGAGATGCGCAAACATTCGATCGAAGCTTTGGAGCTGGTCAGGGATAGGATCGAGGGTGAAACGATGATCATCACCTGGTGCAGCGTGGATACCAAGATCGGAAGTCTGGTCGTTCACCTTGAGGAAGGACGAGTCTTCGACGCAGAGGTTTACGCGGATGAGCTGGGGTTGAAGTTCAATTCGAAGGAGGATATAAGGTGTAAGTTTGGGCGGGGCCCATCATGAACTTGTCTGATGGATCGTGCAGTGAACCTTGGCAAATGGGCCCTGGGTAATCTTTTCAAAGGTGTGTAGCAGACCTGTTGCCCTCTAGCTCGGGGCACTGACCCATACTCTACAGGCCTTATCAAGGCCGAAGAAGAATCGGTTGTCTCCATGTCCCCAAAGAACCCAACAACGAATCTTCCCGCAGTACAACGCAGTCCGGAAGCGCGACCAATCCCACTCGATCGCCCTCAAGCCGCACCTCGTCACCGGCAACGTGCACTCACAGGATCTTTCTCTGGCGGCGCGCCTTCGCTTGACATTCCAGGGTTAGCTACTGCCGCAGCTACTCCTGCTATTTTGCCAGACTTTGAATTCTCGAAATCTGCTCCGACACCTGGAGGTGCATGGCAAGCCTTCTCCATTCGGGACAGCAATAGTCTTTCGGCCATCGCTGGCAGCCCCGCTAGTGTAGCTGCTAGCCCGCTAGATACGACGATGCGCGGTGACTACTTCTCATTGAGGAAGCAACAATCTGCCATTACCGAGGAGAAGACACCCCAGAGCCCGGCTACGGCATCACCTGTTGCAGCCACGCCAGTACCTTCTACACCTGGTGGTACAAAACTCAAGTTCAAGCCGTTCGGCAAGAAAAAGAAGCCTGAAGCGCCGATGTCGACGGTGGTTGAGAACAAGGAGACTCCGCCGGCGGAGCCAGAGGAGAAGGTGGGTCATTTTACATCTCATAACGGTCTGCTTACAGGCCAATCTTGCCAGAAACCTCAGCTCTCTGAACGAGAAACTGAGCAGCTCACGATCCTGGATACCGTCCGAGCTCACGCCTTCCATCCTCCTTCGGCTGTCGATGCACCGCCTTTAGAATTCCCGCCTACCACTGCTTTGCTCATCTCGGAAGAGTCAAAAGACGCTGGAGCTTGGGTTGTCACTTATCGATCACAAGTAGCGTCCACTCACAGGGATATGGAGGCATTGGAGATGAACTCGCCATTGTGGCTCCTCGATTATCTCTTCACGAGCCGAATCAGGATCAAAGAACCAGTCAAGTTGACTTTCATCCTCGAACCGCTTGCCGATTCCGGGATGAAGGAAATGCCAGAGGGGTGAGTCGTGTAGTCCCTCGGTCAGAGTTGCGCATTTTAACGCTATTCAGCTCGACCCGTCTCTCTGCTAGTCGGATTCTGCGTGCCAAGAAAATCATGGCGTTCATCTATGATAAACTGGATCTTGGCGCTCAACGACGAGCAAGCTTATCCTCCGTCACAGGCAAGCTTGCGGGACTGTCAGTCAAGCGAGGATCAGTCGGTGATGCTGGGGATCAAGTGAAACCCGATGAAGCATTGCCCGAAGATATCTTGGAACTCTTGTGTGGCACCCACGTCGTTGATCCGAAAATGACGCTGGCGACTTTGAAACAATACTATGGCAGTGGAGGCGACATGCTATTGCACTATCGCTTCAAGGCATCCGCCCAGGAGGATGCACCTGCGGCTGCGTAGGATTCGCGCCTCAAAGAGTGTAGAGGCTAGCTAAATTAATATCTGTCGGGTGTTCGTGCGGAAGTCGCTTGGTTGCTTGAAGATCAAAACCTGGAGCGTGTTGGCCCAGAAGATTGGAGCACGAGTTGTATACCCTAATCTAGTTATCGAGAGGGATAGTGATTCACATCTGAGTAGTAGTGCAGGATGCAAAATCGATTTTTCTTGAGGTGATCCCCCCCCCCCACTTTTTTCCCCCACGCGGACTTGCCGGGAGGTGTCCCGATAGATCTCTCTATTTCGTCTCTGTATTCTCTTTCCCTAAGACTACATCACTTCCTCGAGATGTACCGCAAACCTGTCATAGCCATCGCGGGCCTAGCCTGTGAGACTTCGACGTTCAGTCCCGCCAGGACGCAAGCTTCGTTCTTTCATCCACAGCGAGGAGATGAGATATTCGATTATCGTGCAAATCCGTTTCTTAGAGCTGGCCAGCCCCTGAGGGAAGCGGCGGAATGGAAGCCTGCTCTGACGGGTCATGCTCTGCCAGGAGGGATCGTCACTCGGAAAGGGTACGAGGAACTCGCCGAAGAGATCGTGACCCGACTCAAGGACATGGGACCGCTCGATGGATTATGGTTTGATATTCACGGAGCGATGGTCGTGGAAGAGCTGGAGGATGCTGAGTATGACCTCTTACGGCGTATCCGGCAAGTGGTCGGGTCAAAGACAATCATCAGTGCTAGTATGGATCTCCACGGTAACGTCAGTCAAGATCTTGTTCATCAATTGGATCTTATCACGTGTTATCGGATGGCCCCTCATGAAGATACCATTGAAACCCGAGAACGAGCTGTCAAAAACCTGGTCGATCAGCTAGTGGAAGATCGACCATTGCCGTATAAAGCTTGGCTACCTATTCCTATTTTGTTGCCTGGAGAACAGACCAGCACGCGGATGGAACCTGCCAAGAGAATCTATGCTGCCGTTTCCGATGTAGAGGCAAGGGAGAACATCCTCGATGCTGCCATTTGGGTCGGATACGCCTGGGCAGATGAAGTACGGAATCAAGCCGTCGTGGTCGTCACCGGATGGAACGAGAATGATTGTGTACGTGGAGCTGAAGATCTAGCCAGGCCATTCTGGGCCGCAAGGGAAGAATTTGAATTCGTGGCTCCTACTGGATCATTGGACGAATGTCTGGACGCGGCATTGGAGACGAGAGGGCCTTACATGATCTCCGATTCTGGAGATAATCCTACCGCTGGAGGAGCTGGAGATGTCACTTGGGGTTTGACGAAGATTCTCAGTCGACCAGAATTCAAAGATGAATCTGGACCTTCCCTCATCTATGCTTTTGTCCCTGGTCCCGAGGCGGTTGAGACGGCAGTCAAAGCTGGAGTTGGGGCCACCGTCACTGTCACTGCGGGAGCGGTCATTGACAATCTACATGCGCCTCCAGTGACTTTCACTGGCAAAGTCCACAGCATCAAACATGGAGATCGACATGCAGAGATCGAGGTCGTCTTCCAGGTTGGATCAGTCTACGCTATCATCACCAAGCTCAGGAAACCGTACCATAAGGAACATGACTTTACCGAGCTCAATCTCGAACCTCGCAAAGCAGGGATCGTCGTGGTCAAAATCGGATACCTTGAGCCTGAATTGTACGCGATCGCTCAAAGTGGGACGGGATGGATGCTGGCCTTGACACCTGGTGGTGTGGATCAGGATCTCCCGCGATTGGGACACAAAAAGATCATTCGACCCATGTGGCCTTACGACAAGGTGTTTGATGATGACCCGGATCTCACTGCAAAATTGATACCAATGTCGAATCGTCCACTATCATAGTAGGATACATGCAGATGGTGCGAGCATGATAGTTAGTCAGAGACTGACTGGAGTCTGTAACGTCGCCTTCCTTTATTCAGGCAATCCCCTTTTCGGGGTACCGTTTCGAGGGGAGAACAAAGGGAAGGACTGCGGTGGAGAGATCATTGAGCTCACAAAGACTAGCTTATCCATCTGTGCGGACCATCGAGATCAGCTTTCAAATACAGCTGCTCGCCAAACTCCCTATGGGTACTACTCCTTGTCCTGCATTTGCTTTCATTTCATCTTGACTCCTCCATGTTCCGGGGGAACCGTCCGATGTGGCTCATTTTACCCTCTCATTTCTTCTAGGATGATCTGACTCCGGTTTCCGAAGGATATCATGAACTTCACTGCCTCACAGTTGGCGGCTTTGTGTGAGCGATCCGGTACCAAGACGGACTTGTTGATCTTGTTCCCCAGGTCTCGGCATAGTCTTCCTCATCATTATCATCCTTGGACTCCTGTTCTGGCTGTACGCCTCCAAAAGAGCCAGGCGAGAAGATCACGAAGCATCAGCAGCGAATGTCGGACGGTGGAAAGAAGTCGCCGAAATCGCTGTTCCTTCAGTGCCAACAGCTCCGAAGCTGAGAAGCCAATTCAGTATGCAAGGCATCAGGAATCCCCATGAATCTGTCCCGGCGACATTCATCCTGCCGTCGAAGCGCTTGTCAAGGTCGGTCGATGCCTCCGATCGCCAGTCACAGGAGTCTCGTCGTAAAGCTGCTGGGTCCAGGGAGCTGCGGTCCGATAAGGGCATTACGTTGGTGGAGATGGGCGGCGAGGCAGAGCATCCCGGTCTGCAGAAAAGCCGGACGAAGCTCTCGACACTGAAACGAGAGGGAGAGAAGCCAAAGTATCCGCACGAAAGCGCTGAGAGACAAAAATGGGGAGTACGGAGAGCGAGAGGAACACCCAAGTCGAGTGCTGCAAGCTCTCCTCGTAAGCATGGTCGAAGGCAGCGCCTGGCGGCGAACGGCAGTGCAGTGGTAGGTCTAGGGGCAAGGAACGAGCGGTCTCATAAAGACAGACGATAGCATACAGGTCAGGGTGCAGCCGATCCATCCGAGTGATGGCTTATGCGGCCTCTTGTCTCATCACTGTTCTGGATCCCATTGCCTGGGCAAGACTCCTTCTCTTTGCCAACATCAGACATAGGCTTCCTGGTTCGCCACACTCTGAACGACCAAGCTGCTGCCACAAGGGTTGTGTGTGTTTCATCGCCTCATTTTTCGTTTCGCGCGTCGGACAAGCAACTGTTATTGTTTCATCGTCGACGTCCCATCCTCATCGAGTCGTTTGATACATTGATACCTTGCTTTGAACGATACGTTATCGGTACAGAGAGCAGCTTGACTATCGCTCCTCTGATATCGACCATGCTCATGGCGGTGTAGTATCGTCGATTGCCTACGATTGATTGGACTCGCATTCCAGGATTGTCTTGGCATTCGCCTCTCTCCCTTCAAAGTTGGGCTCCGTGAATGATCTTTCGACATTGAACGACCTTGACAGGCAGAGAGGGACGTTGTCGTGCATCGGAACCTACCGCAAGGGACGAATCTCGCCCTCGCCCTCAGGGCTGTCTGTAGACCGCGCGCTGAGTGTAGACTCGGACGTCCACTAAGCGTCAACATGGACCGAGGTGATGCTTCAACGCCTAACCGGACTCCTATCTCTCATCCGTATCCTCCTTCCTATCGATCTCGAATATCAACACCGGAGTCATATCATCATTCGACTTTTGGGTCATCACCTGCATCATCATCATCTAGACCTGTGCTGCCTGCTCCAGCAGATTACCATCCAGATGCTCGTGGATACCAAGAGGATTCGCGAGGCGGTGCTGTAGGAGATTCATACAATTCTCCGCTCAGGCAACCAAGCACTCCAAACTACTCCCGACCACAACGCCAGACGATGCAACAGACCCAATACAGCGTTTATTCTTCTCCATTCCCAGATGAGACTGCCAGGATGGCCCCGTCTCCTGATCCGGGAGCCATGGCAACTCAACCGGCGGAACCGTTGGCAGGAGGACACAAACGATCTAATTCTGTCCGCTCGATGCATTCCGTCAACTCTATTGCTTCGACTCATCCGGCCCTCAAGTGGCTTATCGGGAATCGCAAGGCGATGAAGAACAGGGGTTATCCGAAAGGCTGGACCAAAGAGGATGAAGATGCTGAACAGGAGTATCTCAAGACGGGACTGTTTGACTGGAACGAGCTGAAGAGATGGAGATTCTGGATCAGAAAAGAGTGGTGGTGTGAGTATGGATCGGCAGCACGGGCGTAAGACTGACTCTCTGTGCAGTCTACTACCTTTTATGTATACTGTTAGCGGTGCTCGTTGCTCTCATGGCAATTTATCACGACGAGGTGAGCCCAACCTGTGCCTGCGGGGTCAAGGTTGATTTGACTTCGCAGATCGTGGAATGGTTGCGACCCGTCGCAAATTGGATGAAGGAGTGGGCAATATAGCTTACTGCGTATGATGAGCTGACTTCACGTTAGTTTACCTGCCGGCTGGGTAATCCCAATCGCAGTCCTTTTCGTTCTTTCCTTCCCTCCCCTGTTCGGGCACGAGGTGAGCGCTTCCTGCGGCTTGATCCCTTCTTGCTAAGGCTACCGAAGATCGTGGGTATCCTCATTGGAGTGGTGTGGGGCTTGTGGTTCGGGTTCGCTATCATGTCAGCCGGCACTCTCCTCGGTGAAATTGGCAACTTTTACGCATTCAAGTACTTGTTGCGGAAACGAGCAGAAAAATACGAGAGAGACAATGTCAATTATGCCTGTATGGCTTATGTCGTTCGAGAAGGCGGTTTCTTCTTCATCTTCATGGCTCGTCTGTCGGCTATACCTGGGTGAGCCGACGCTAAACCAAGCTCTTCGAGAGTTCCGCTGAGCTTGATCGCAGCCACTTTACCACCGCAGTGTTCGCCACGTGTGGCATGAACATCTTGGTCTTCACTCTTGCTTGTATCTTATCTATGCCTAAGCAGGTAGGTCACACTGCCTCTTTGGATCGGCAACAGTGTCGCTGATTCCACTCCAGCTGATCGTGGTGTACCTAGGTGTACTCTTTGAGCAGTCTGACGCTGGTACAAGAAGTCGGGTCATCTCTGATGTTGTCCTCGCCATCGGCTTCGGTGAGAGAACGGCTCTTAACCCTCTTTTCAAGTAATCTGATTTGCCGGCCTTCAGTCCTGACCATATGGTCCGCTTGGTACATTTACAAGAAAATGAATGCGGCGAGAGTCTTTGTGTGGCGGAAGCAACGGTGCGTGCTCCATGGACTCTGCGTAGATCTCCTAACCGCTGACATTGGATCAGGATGGAGATGAAACGCAAAGCAGCCGCTGGACAGCTGGCCAGTGACGGGGATCTCCCGTCTGCGGCAGGAGAGCAGGTGAAACGAAACTTGTTCCCGATGACGGCCAGTCCACCTCGAGACGAAGAGGAGGCAGAAATGAGATTCCCAATGATCGACAGGCATCAGTCGTATCAGAGTCCTTATAACATCAAGTGAGTCTAGAAGATTAGATCATCGGGAAGGGCTGACTGACCCATGCGGCAGGTACCACCCGACAGACAACATGTCCGTGTACGACGTCGATGGTCCGTTGCAAATCAAGCCGGAGTACGAACGCGACGTAGGATATGCGAGGGGTACACCGCCGTACGCCTCAACCGAGACGTTCCCCGAAGCTAGGCCTGTGGCTGCTCCTTCCAATCTGAACAGACAACCGACAACCACGTCCGTGTATCCATCCGATAGGCAGTCACTTCCACCGCCGACGAGTTTTCCAGTCGCGCAACCTCACGAAAGTCAATATTATAGATGAGCGGAACTCTGTATCAAGGCCCCAGGTGGGCTCAGAGTGATTTGTGGGGCTGCATCTTGTATACAGCGCTTCTCTGTAGATGCAAGAGTCTCTACTGTACAGATATGTGCGCCTACTCTATTGGCAGCAGTTGGGCACGGACGCTGAGACTGAATGGTCGGGACGCACACTGACTTCCTTCCTCACCTCAATGATAAACTTACTGTGACTGAATCATATTCAATGTCACCAACGTCCTCTGAGCAGACAATCACTGGGCTTGACCTGACAATGGGAAGCAGACGATTGAGGGTGGCACTGGTGAGCTTGCGTATCATTGACGAACACTCACATTCCCAAGGCGTTCGCGGTTGCGTGCAGCAAAGCCAAAGACCAGGATATTGAAGGTTTTTGTCGTTCTGTGTGATCGTCACTCTGATATGAGCTTATGAAGTCTTGCAGAGTACCTCGATCAGCTAGCGAGACGACTCTCTTCCACTCGCAGACCTCCTCAGGTGATCTTACTGGATAGGACTTCGGCTCCGCCACACGACAGACCGGAATCATGTTCCCAGGCCGCAAGTATCTTGAACCTCAAGATGGCAGTCTTGAACCTCGAGGAACGAGTCAAGGCTCTTGAGGATAGGGGTGCAGTTTGATGATCTGGTGAATGGCGAAGCAGCTACATATCTACAGTACTCATTTGACAGCGATGTGATACTGAATGTACGTAGAGCGAACTCATTTCCTCGATTTACAGAGATCCTAACTCTGGACTGTCATCATGAACCTTTGAGTCTATTCGTGTGGGATAATCTGCCCCGCTCCAGACTTTATCGTCGACATTGGACAAGTGCTTCAAGCCAGTAGTCAGCTAGTGGCGGATGAACTCAACATTGCGATAGAGCATACCTTGCTTCCTTTCCTCCGCCGGACATGGTCAGCAATGGGAACGGGTTTTCGAGCTTAATTACGTAATGACATGCATCCACTGAAATTTTGGAAGAACCTCGAGCGCATCCTACACATCCTCATCAACCCCCTCGACGGCCACGAGACATTGGTGAGTAGCAAGAGCATTCACTCTATCGCGCATTAGGCAACCAGGATCTTCTATGATGATACCGATGACGAGACCTAGACTCGCTGAGTCTGCTCCAGAGTTGCTGAGCTTCTTTCTCCGTCGTCAGCTGTTCCAGACCTCGTTTTGAGGTCTAAGCAGTTGATATTGGAGATACCATGAAGCTCTGTCAGCGAAGGTTGTGGAACTTGAGACGTCGGTGCCGATCTCAATCTAGTTTGGCGACATTTTATCTGATCAGATCTTGCCTCATCGCTTCTTCTTTGCTGGCGTTCTGGTACAATTTCAAGCTGACATCTCTATAAAGAATCGTTTCAGCCGCCATGTCGCCCTCCTCTCCCGCTTCCTCATCCTCCTCCCTTCCTTCATCCAACGTCCTCCTCGCCTTACCCGATGGTGCCATCCCGTCAGGTCACGAAGATGCGAAGTCTCACACCATTTCGACCATCGGAGGATACCCAACGTTTCCTCCACTGTCCTCACAGGATAAAGCACCGGAAGAAATTCGATGCGGAATCTGTCATCAGGCAATACCTCTTCTGGCGCAGGTCTACTGTCCACCGGAGGATGGAGAAAATGATCGAACAGTCTACGTGTGGGCTTGTGCCAGATCCAGCTGTCAACGGAGGGATGGAAGGTGAGTCAGTGATGCCAAAAATCAAATCTCGTCGTTGACTGCTTACTTGCTTTCAGTGTTCGTGCCTATAGAGCATCTTTAAGGAACGACGAGTATGCTATTGATGCCGCTGCGAAACGGGCAGCCGCTGCGAAAGCAGCCGAGGCAGAAAGAGAGCGGGCTCGAAAAAACCCATTCTCGGTGCGTATGAAAATGACTAGATCTCTACATTGTGCTAATTCCCATTGAAGATGCCTGCAAGCGGTGACGGCAAATCTCTATTCGGCTCAGCTCAACCGCTCTTTGGTGCTCCTCCTTCAGCAGACCTATCCAATCCGCCGGATATATCCTCTCTATCCCTTCAACCGAATGCTAGCACATCCCACGCTCCCCCACTGCCCGCTTATCAGCCTCCGCAATATCTGACGACAATCGATGAATACCTCGCTCCACCGGAAGATGTTGACATGGACGATGACGAGGAGGATCAGATGGACTTGCGCAACGAGAGATGGGAGCAACTTCTCCCAAAACACATGGATGAGGTCTTTGAACGCTATGTCAAGCGTCTTAAAGATGCCGATGGTGGAGCGGGCCAGGTGCTGAGGTGAGTCTGGGACTGCTGACAATCGATTGGCCGTGCTAACGCTCCGCTCAGATATGAGCTCGGCGGTGTCCCAGTGCCATACTCTTCCAAATCACCCCTTTACAGTCGCCTGTTCCCCGGGGCGCCGATCACTCGCACACCGGACGCAGAGGAAGAGCCAGACTTCGCCGATTTCTACAATCCTGAAAGCCTACCGCCATGTTCACGTTGTGGAGCCAAACGCGTCTTCGAACTTCAGCTCGTCCCGTCTCTCATATCAATACTCTCTCCAGATAAATTGACTACGACCGGCAAGGCGCCGTCCAAGAAGGAGCGCAAGCAGAGTGAAGAGGAGAGAAAGAAGGACCTGGCAAGGATAGCTGCAGGCCTTAAGGGTCAGGGTGACGAGCAAGAGATCGGAGACATGAACTGGGGAAGTATTCTGGTTTTTGGATGCGAGGCGGATTGTGTAGGTGTAGGAGAGGAATTTGTGGCAGTCGAATGGGAGTCATTTTTGTCAGAGACCTCCGAGTAATAGCAGGTCCTCATCGTATCGTGGCATTGATTTCGGATGAAATCTCAGTATCGACTCTTGGTTCTGTCCGCTCAGAGGAAGATCTATGTCTCGACAGCCAACTTATCGCTTCGTCGATGTCGAGATATCTGTTGATTCCCACTGGCAAAGGATCAAAAACATCAGCGAATGAATCGCTTCTCCAAACACTCCGAAGCACTCACTGATCTGCTTCGCGGGTGTTTGAATAGACAGCGAGGGTGTAATGTTGCTGGCCTTGTCGACCATCTTCCGAAACTCTGGACCTACTGCATCAGCAGTCTCTGTGTCTTGCTCGGCAAACCAGTCGAGGAGACTGGAAAGACTTTAGCATATTATTTCTCTTTGCCCAGTTCTCGACTACTGCTCACCCGTCGACACTGTCTTCATCGACAGAAGCCACATCGGAGAAGATACCGAGAATGTCCGACTCATTACGCGCCCCTTTAAACACGACTGGTAGGGTGTTTTTCATAGTGGAGGCTCTCTGTGTACGCCAAGCTTTGACCAGGCTGGAGGCATTCTCTGTTTGTGCTTCAGAATTGAGAGCGAGCTTGCTATCATACTCCTTTCTGAGGTTATCGTGCTCTGTCTCGGTGGAACTGAGAGCGAGCTTGCTCGTGTATTCCTCTTTCAGGGTATCATGTTCTGTCTCCAGGCGGAATGCTTCATATAGGAGCGAAGCGGCAGATCCTGCCATTGAGATCTGCTGCTCGTTTGCGCCAAGCAGCGTCATCGGATCGTTGAACGTGTCTCCTGATTCCGATGGAATTCGGCGGATCGTCGACGACGAGGAAGACAAAGTGTTGTCCCAGTCGGGAATCAAGCCTGTGAGCGGAGAACCGGATGCAGCAGTATGCGGGCACCATGTCATGAGGTCGGCGGAGAGGATATCGCCCGAGCTGACCATGTTCGAGCTGGCCATGTTCGAACTGGCTATGCCCGAGTCGATTGCAGTGGTCCAGGAGTATGGGGGAGACAGTGAAGACAGGGTGCTCATTGTTGTAAATCTGGTTGTGACAGGATTGATAACGTCGACGTGGCAATCATCCAATGCAAGTTGTAATACATTTCGTGCGATGGGCAGAGTTTGGACCCCTCATGAATGGAGCGCAGTTCGTCTCTTGTTTCGGACGTATTGCGATCCTCATTGAAAGCTCTCTCAGGGACTGCAAAGTAAGGAAGGCATGGATAGCTATTCCGAGACGCCGCCAGCAAGGGGGTCAAGGGATCTAGACAAAGGTAGCTGGGAATTTACAGATCGATAGTGTAAGGCTTGAAAGATCTCAATCCTTTCTAGTGCTCTCACTGTGATCGAAAACAAAATTGCAGGTTCGCTGTGAGCCATGTTCGCTAGAGCGGCCGGTAGACATTGTTTGCCGGTGCCTGCGGCTGAGAAGAAAGGTCAGGACTCGAGGAACATCGATTGGCTGTCGAGGTGTTGTGCATCCATTATGTGACTGCAAAGTCTTTCAAGAGCCATAGAGCTATACGCGTGTCCTTTCCTCCACTCGCCAGATACCGACCCCGGAGCAGCTGCTCGCGTGTCTCTTCTTCTTCATCGCTATCTTCAGCTTCTAAATCCAGTGTCGACGCCGTATCCCCCGGTGCAATAGTGTCGTTCGTGACAGGTACACAATTTGCAAATGCTAGGGTGTGAACTGTCTCACGGTGAAACGCGAGCGTTCCGAGCGGTTTCAAGCTGGCCGCTGAAAACAGGCGGATTCTGGAAAATTGTTAGTGATTTTCAACAGTTCAGAGCCGGACCTGACGCACTTGCCGTCCCAGCCACCGACAGCTACTACCTTGTCATCAGCCGAAATGGCTATGGAGGCATTCCCAATTTGGCCAGTGTTCTGCTTTTTGATACAGCCATCTTCGGACTCTGCGCTCAGATCATAGCGGCAAAGCTGATGATCGGCAGATACGGTGTAAGCACGAGAGAGTGTTGAGTTGACCGTCATCGCCATGACTTGTTGAGTGTCAGCATCAACATCATGATGACTGGCTTGATCCAGCTCACCTGCTTCATTGTGCCCTTTGAACTCGCGGACTTTGATCCATGCTCGGTCATCTGCTTCGTTCAGACGAGCATCCGAAGCTTGACGCCAGTCCTTCTCATCATCTGCTAGCTTCCACATCTCTACTCGTCCGTCTTCGTAGGCCAGGACAACGCGCAGCTTTTCTGCTTCATTGTAAGCGATGTGAATTGCCATGATCAACCCTGAACGTGTAGATGCCGGTATAATGGTTTTGGCAGGCTTGATCGACTTGTCGGCATGCTGCGGAGGCATATTGAAAGCTGCATGCAGTCTCGACATCGAAGGTAAGAGGTAGATATCGGCAAGCTCAGAATCCACCAAGTTGGGTAGAGCGAGGACAGCGACATCGTCGTCAAAGGCCTTGCCTTTGCCCTTCTTGGCCGAAGACATGCGAAGCGACGACCTGGGTATCGAGCACATCGAGAAGCGACAAAAATTCAAAGCGTTGATATCCAAACTGGCAGCAATACTTGGAGGTGGATGAGAAGGTCCTGGACCAGAAGTGAACAAATTTCCGACATGTGTGTCATACAGATGGAGCTTGTTGTCGCGGCCTTGACTGCGTAGAGATGAGCAGCGCATCGACGTCTGTCTAGCCTTTCACCTACCTGATGAGGCATGCATTCACCTCATTCACTCCCAATACTCCCCCTTCATGAGCTTTCCAATGACTCAACGGTCGTCTCGCCTTGAGATCAATGATGGAGATGAATCCATCTTGATCCCCTGCGTAGAGCTTTGCATTCGTTGGATCAAATCTCAGGGCTGCGATCGGTGCATGATGGGTCCTGATGATATGATGAGGATCTGGAGCAGCTGTCATGTTGCTGGCTGCTGCGATGTGTGGTTAAATGACATCTCATGCCTGCCTGAATCTTGTTCCAAGATGACAATGGAGGGACCTATGATGGGCATTTCAGCTGGTCCACGATACGAAGGGGAGGGATCAAAGGGGGGATGGATCATTAGGAAAGTCATTAGTAAATGGGATTCCTAATGGGAACCTCGTGATCATTAGTAAATGCCCCTTCGCATCACCAGTCAGGCCACGTGCTCACTCCACGTGAACTGTCGATCACCCACGTTATTACCTCATTGCTCGCTCGCTCACTCGCTCACTCACAGAACACACACAAGTCATCTATCCCACTGGGCACCTCGTCAGACCATGGGGTCTCGATACTTTGAATCGGGCTCATACAAAGAGTCTGGGTCATTCCCAGGATCATTCAGCGAGAGAGGATCGATACCACGTTCCCCAAAGACAAAGACACCCATCAACCAGCGACCCGAGATCCGTCCCACTATATCGTCATCTTCTGCAGGATCCTCGGCAAGCTCATACTTTGGACTCGCTTCGTCACCTAAACCATGGTCAATGCCACCTCCAACCTCAGTCATGGACAGTCCTCAGAGCAGGAAAGTCTCTTCCAGCGGAGTAGCCGCTCCGTCTACGGCTCTCAAGGATAGATTCCGACGGATGCAGCGCGGAATGACTATGGAGGAGGTGCAGCAATACGGGGTATTGAACGATGAAGAAGCAACCGAGCTGTTCAAAGGCATTGATCTGGATGAGAAGACTATCAAGAAACTTCCCAAGAAGGTACGTCGTCTGTCTTGCTTTGTCGACATGAGAAATGTCCTGACGGGCTTCACAGCAACGGCCTTACTACGAACACCTGGCCCAACTCAAGGAGCATTACGAGGAGGTCGATCAACTCCTAGCGGGAGAAATACCCAAGAACATTGCTAGCTCGTTCAAGCGCCCACAGGTCCGAGCCACCATGTCCCGCGGCGGCTACCATACCATGCCAGAGGATGGTATGCCGGATGCACCTGGTCCATGGTTGCACGGTTCGAAGAGACGACAGGACAGCAGTCTCACCACAAGCCAGAAAGGATTAGCTAGGTCGCTAAGGAGAAGTAGCTCGAGGACAATCAAGCCCGCGCGGGAGAATGGTGACGCAGAGGCGGGAGAGGAGGATGGGCTATTGAGCGGAGCTCAAAAGGAAGAAAAGAGGGAACGGACAGCCAAGATTGCTTTGAACGGTACGTCGGCTGCAGACAAGGTTGACGTACTCGACTCACATTCGAAAAAGTCAATACAGGGGTGAATGTAGTCCTGGTAGTTGCGAAGCTGGTCGCAGTACTGTATTCGTCGTCGATATCCCTTCTGGCATCACTGGTCGACTCGGCTCTGGATCTTCTGAGCACATTCATTATCCTTGGAACAAGCTATGCGATTGGAATAAAATCGGACAAGCATCTTGTGAGACAGCGAACAGGCGTTCGTGTGTGTTCGCTGACACCTCTCTCAGTATCCTGCCGGAAAGCGCAGATTCGAGCCGCTTGGTGTGGTGAGTGACAGTGATTCCTCACATACCCCGTAGACTGACAGACTCAGCTCATCTTCTCCGTCGCGATGATCGCATCCTTTGTTCAAGTCTTTATTGAAGCATTCCAGCGAGCTCGAGACACTTCCGACAATGCTCCGGTGGAGCTGAGCACCATCGGTCTGGTGTGCGTGGCATTTTGCAGAGTAATGTAATCCAGAAGCTGATGCGCGGACCACTCTTCAGAACGATGATTGTCACGATCGCAGTCAAGCTGGTACTGTGAGTACCTTTCGTTTGCAAATCTAGAGCCGATCTCGTTATTGATATTGCTTTCCAGGTGGATCTGGTGCTCCCGAATCCCTAGCTCTGGTGTGCAGGCCCTGGCTCAGGATGCCGAAAATGATGTGTGGCTCAATTCAATGTCGCTCGCATTCCCGGTAAGCTATTCTGCGGGGTATATCGGGGACTGGCTGAATCTTGAGCCTCGCAGTGGATCGGTCACCGGATTGGATGGCGATTGCTTGACCCAATAGGCGGTATGGTCCTCTCCGCTTACATCATCTTCGAGTGGATCAAGACATTATTGCAGAACTTTGCAAAGCGTGAGTCATGCAAGACCTCCTGCTATCCTGGTCGACATCTGATTCCCAAGGCAGTATCAGGCAAGACCGCTTCCCGTGATCAGATCACGCGTGTACTGTATCTCGTCACTCGCTTTAATCCAGTTTTGGAGATTAAGGAAGTCGAATGTTATCACATCGGGTACGTATCAGATCTCACAATCAATCCTGTTCCGGCTGAATGACATTGCCCCAGAGACGAGCTTATCGTCGAAGTCGACGTAATCTTCCCTCAAGCAAGTTCACTTCATTTCGCTCACGATGTCAGTGAGACTATCCAGTGTACTCTCGAAAGGTGAGCATACCGGCAACCGGCAACCGGCAACACTCCTGCTTATCGCTCTCTCGCAGCTTGGATGGTGTGATACGAGCATATGTCCAGTAAGCTGCATCCCGCCATTCGTGAGCTTTGATCTCACATCTCACCGCAGTGCCGATTATTCGTCCGAAAACCCACAACAGCACACCTCACGGTACCCTGCTTCAAATGCGATCAATTTGCCGTACCGGGACGATGGATCAGATTCCGCTGTGGGGTCCATCACCCCGACAAACAAGAACATCTTCTCTCATCGTCAAACGATGTTTGGAGACAACCCAATTGTCTCCCCCGCTAGCGTCAGAACGGTTGGATTGATGGACAGGGTCGTTGAATAGGGCTGATGCTGTGAATCAGACGGCGAAATATGTAAATAGTACGACAGAATCCCAACCGACGTCCGTTGATAATGCTTCGGATGCATGACATGCCATGATGTGATCTATCATTATCTGTAAATGAATCCGTACAAAGGGTCCTGCTGTTGAGAATGTCCTTGATCCACGTTACTAAGCAACAGCGAGGGGTCAAATGTGAATGAGGGGTCTATCATCGGTCCATCACCGAAAGAACTGTAAAGAAGATCCTTCAGCACAGGCGCTTGACTTTCGGATGGGACTTCCACTGACCTTATGATGGCGCTGAGATCCATTCCACCATCCCAGACACTCGCGTTCGAAGTGGATCCGACCAACTCAGTGTTTCCAGTACCTGCCAGGTGGACATTCAATTTGTCCATCAATGACAAGATGGTTGCGTGCATCTTCTTCACACCTGGATTGGTCGCTGAGTTTTCTTGTAGACTTTCGAGGCAGATGCCTAAGAGACGAGCAGCTTCGCATGATGGACCGCGTTGAGAAGCTATACGGACATGTATCGTCGCAGCCACGAAGGTGCAGTACGACTGTGATGCGGCATCAGCTGGCGTATGTCAAAGCTCTTTTCATACGTACGATGAGAAATGGGGCACGGGCAAGCGTAAAAGTTTGTCTGTACCGAGTCAAGACGCCAGTGGCGCTGGCTGCTGCTTGCTCGCATCGGACCCAGGAGATCTCAACGATAGTAGGATCTGATAGTCGACCGGTCTGAGAACCACATTACACGAGATTGCGGACACAATTTGGCAGACTCACCTCTACGAATGGCCTGTGCAACAGGGTGACCAACGTGTAGTACACAGAACTGTTGCGGGTCAGCATGAGAATCTTGTCTGAAATTGAGAGCCTACTGGAGCGAAAGCACGTGGGGTGGCGGGACAAGGCTGTCCTTATCATCGGCATCGAACAGGATCGGAGGAGGGAGAGCCTCTTTCCACCTCTCTAGACTCGTTGATAGTTGCTGGAGCCTGTCTGCAGGTCGATCAAGGTGAATTTTCTCGGCGTAAATCTGGGTGATGATCCGGCCCTGAAGGGCAGGGTCAGTTCGAGCCCACCACTCGTGTAGTACTGCATACCATGATGACCGACAAAGAGCAGAGCGATGTGAATGTGCTGATGGCTCTCGCCGGAGCCCCAGGGTAAGCCTGCATGGTGGGAAACGCGTACGGGGTCCAAAGCTCGTACTCTTCATACATGTCGAGGAATCGATGGGGTACGTGCATACGGTCTTCGGCGAATGAAGGTGGCCGACCTTGATACAGTGAAAGAACCTTGTCATAGACTATGGGACGTCAACGCCTTGAATGACTGCTCTGAACTCACTGAATGCCGCCCAAACGACTCTCCGTCTGATCTCCGTCTCTTCAGCGGTCAACCCGCCAGGCACGTTGGTACTGGCAAGGCTGTCATAATTCAACCCTGCATGCAATCAGTATACTGAATTCTGGCCCTGTTGACACAAACCCATATCGAAGATCATCTGCACGGCAATACCGTGATAGTGCCAAGCGGCGCTTTGAGATCCCAAAGCGAATAGCGAACTCGACATGAGAAGCATTGCTTGAATGGAGGGAATGGACGATTGGTCCAGTGCCTCGCCCAGAAGCTCCTTAACGCGCTTTAAAAACCTCTTGCCTGCCGTCTTTTGGTCACTCGGTTCATCGTAAACTTCGGATCGAGTCGAAAACTTCGAGACGGAAAAGAACATGGCATTGAGGAGGAGTTTAGAAAAGTAGGGTCCTGCACAGGCCATATCGCGAGTGAATACTAGGCGAGCGTCAGCTGATACGAGCGAGTATGAGTGATGTCTGCCAAAAGCCCACGAGGACGATAGGAGATGAGAAAGGCGAAATGTTGCCTGTTCCAATGAAGGGCTAGAAGATGCATCGCGAGATCTGGACTGACGCCATCGACTTTTGGTAAGATCAGCTCCATGTTGGACCTTGACCCGCTTGACTCACAGTCGAGCTTTCCCGATGCCACGTTGAGGATCTCATTATGCCTCTCTTCGGCGCATCGAGCGCTCGCAAACCGACTGAGTTCATCTTCGGACACCGAGACGTGCGATGTTTGCAGTCCAAATTCCCGCTCATCCCGCTCATCAAACAGCGCTGAAGTAGGGCCATGGGCAGATATACGTCTGATTCAAACACCTTCAGCTGGCAAACGCTTGATTCTTGAAGACCTACCCGCCTGCTCTTACGCCATAGGAGAAGCGACTTGTCGATGGCCCCTGATCCACCAGATTCGAATCTGCTTGTTCGTCGACTGTGTCTGACCCGACTACGCTGACAGATCCTGTCCGAGCGTACTCTTCAACAGCACTTGACAGCGCATCAGTGGGAAGAGATGCGAGCCTCCCCAGAAATGAATGCATTCGATTCAGCTGGGATTCGAGCTCCTTGATTTTGTCGTGTGTCGGCCTGCGAGGGACAGTTTAGCTACGCCCAAGCGACTTCGTTGACTTCGCTGACCGTGGCCTCGTCGCACCGATTGACGGCAGACATTGCTTGCCAGATCTCTCACAGTTGCTACATACTGGCAGCTTCATGTCGCATTTCATCTGGTCCAGTCAGCAGACGGGAGTCCCAGACCCTCACCTTCCGCTTGGCACAGGCCTGACATGCTTTCCTCTTTCTAGTTGAGCTGGGCGAAGCTGATCTAGTAGGCGACGCTGTAGCCTCTGGTGAGCTCATGTTCTTATTAAGCTGGTGTAGAGGCTGGGATGCAACATGATCGGGATATCTGAAGCCGTGATTACAAGAATAAAATCTAATGCTCGACCTGCATTAGCAGTGAGATTTCTAATATCCTCTCCTACGGTATGTATTCCTAGACAACTCAGCACCCGACACAGCATACTGAGCCCTCCATCAAGCGCCTAGCAGTCCTATACACGCTTCCACTTTTGACCACGACATGACCAGCTATAGTCTCAGACTCTCCATTGATTGCCATGGTCCCACTAGCGTGACCCACAATGACTGCCTCATCACCGTTCGCTCGAGGCATTCTGGATGCCCGACTGCCACTGATGATCTCGTGGACAATGGTGCCCGGCACTGCGGAGGCTGAACCGACACAGACAGCTCCCGTCATTTGAATACTAGGATGAGGCCTGCCCATTGAGAATGGACGAATCCAGATATCTACATCTGTCGATCGAATGATGCGCTTGCCACCATCCACCGCTGGGACCGAATAGTCCATCGGAGGCGCTACGATGGCGATCTTCGGAGTGCCCATGACCTGTCGCGCCGTTTCATGCGAGGATGCGAGACCCATATGAACAGCACAGACGGCTCGAATGTCCATAAGCGTCTCCGTTGTCGACGAGGCGATCTCAGCGGGCGATTCCAGGCCCGTCAGGCCCAGCTGTCGAGCGTCAACGAAAACAAACGGGTTGGCGGCATCGACACAGCTGACGGTGAATGTGCGGGCGGGTTGTGAGGATGTGTTGGAAGGTAGCGTCACAGTGTCGAGCGGAGAGCCGGTAGGCAGCAGCTTGCCAGTCATACTTCCCGCTGGGTCCACAAAGTCCAACCGGATAGGCGAGCCGGTTGCTCCAACACCATCCAATTGCATTTCGCCGATCTCTACGGGGACACCATCCTGTACTTCGAAGGTGGAATGGATTATACGGTCCGTGTTCACGCTGCGGAGAGTCAGTGCTCCGTTAACGTTCCCCATGCAAGACGCTCACTTTCGAATACGGACAGTAACATCAGATTTGCCACTTTCAGGAACCTTGATGAAGCCCTCACTGGGATGTGTCAGCTTGCAGCCGAGGCGTAAGAGATCGAACTGACTCTACAGCAAAGGGTCCCACACCACTGGCGATGTTGCCACAATTTCCCGAAAAGTCGAGCCTGCTCCCGTCCACAGGGACTGACATTCTGATATTCAGCTTCTCCAACCTCTGGATTCTTTGTGGCACCCACCTTGCACAAACAGATAGTCTACATCGGCTCTGGGATCCTTACTGGGACCCACGACCGCCACTTTACTCGTCGTACTTGTTCCGCCTCCGACACCGTCCAATTGCCTCAGGTATGGATCTGGGGATCCCATTGCGGCCAGCAATATGGGACCCCAAAGGCTTTGATCCTCTGGTAAATCGGCCGTCCGGAAGAAGAGGCCACGAGAGGTTCCGGCTCTCATGAGTACTGATCGTATACATCGCCGACGGTGCGCAGGCGAAGGAAGTTCAAGCGCAATCGAGGATGGAGAGGTATGTGGCGATGATTGTGGCGAGTGCGTCGAGGAGGATGAAGCGGTTGATGAATTGGAAGACATTGTCAACAAGGGAGATTCAGGGCAGTACAAAGTGTAGGGCATCTCATAACATTCATGCAGTCCGCTCCGCTTATGTCGTCTTGTGCTGTCGACCATAACGGACAGTCTTGTCGATAATCACAGTGAATGGACACTCACAGACCGAGCTAAAAATTGGCCAGTGACTGACCGGACGTTGATTTCCCGTGCGCCACCGGGGAACCCCGGTTAGTCACAAAAGTCTTGCCCTACCCAGCCTCCAGATCCATGGGAAAATCTCATCCTGAGACTTCTTTCTGACCACTTGACATCCCAATTCCCCGCATAATGATACTCCGCGAGGAGTTTTCACGCCGTGGGACCTCGGATACCCCGACCAGCAGCTTCCTATAAAGTCCTTACCATCTGATTTCTCCAACACCCGTTTCTCCATCTCCCCACATTCTCCAGTCTCACCACGCCAGGAGCCCCGTGGAACAGCTATCGCATATCCGACTGAAGCATTGAATATTCTAGCAGCGCTAGAGCCACCGTCTCCCTCATCATGGTCAACCTTCTCGAAGCTTTCCGACCCACACTCATCCCTGGTGCACCTGTCCCTCCGAAGGAGGTTGTCAATTATCGCATCGTTCTCCTGGGTCTCTTCGGTGCATTCTGTGCTATTCTCTTCGGATACGAGTAAGTCCACACGCCTCTCCGCACTGAATCGCCACGTCTGACATTGAGCTTCAGCCTCGGGTTCATAGGTGGTATCGTGGTCCTGCCATCGTTCAACAAAGACTTCAATCTGGCCGACGCGTCCGCAGCTACGAAGACAGCAGTTCAATCCAACGTCGTCTCTGTTTTCCAAGCAGGAGCAGTGTTCGGTGCCCTGTTCAGCTCATGGGCAGCCAATGTCATTGGACGTCGACTTTCTCTCCTGGCCAATCTTGTGCTCTATCTCGTTGGAGCGGCCTTCATGACTGGAGCGTCGGGTCATGCAGGTGTCGCGTTGCTCTATCTCGGTCGTGTCCTCACTGGCTGGGGAGTCGGAGCGAGTACGATGCTCGTTCCGGTGTATGTGGCGGAATCAGCTCCAGCTCATGTGAGAGGCAGACTTGTTGGTCTATACGAAGTTGGCGTTCAATTCGGTACAATGGTCGGTTTCTGGATTCCATATGGTGTCCTTACTACCCAGAAAGGGACCATTCAATGGAGATTGCCGTTTGGCCTCCAACTTCTGATTGCCGCTGGTGCCTTTGTGTGGCTCCTGTTCCTCTCTGAAACGCCACGTTACGTCGCGTCTCGAGATGGTGAAGCCAAGGCCCTTGCTGCCCTCGCCAAACTTCGAGGGCTTCCCGAGGACAACGACTACGTACAGCACGAGCTGATCGGAATCATGGAACAAGTTCAAATGGAGGCCCTCGCTCGATCAAACTACGGCAGTTTCAGTATCGTGAAAGAATCCTTCGGGAGACACAACATTCGACCTCTCTACACGGGAGTACTTATCATGATCTTCTTCCAGATGGCTGGAACAAATGCCGTCAACTACTACTCTCCACGCATTTTTGCATCTCTAGGACTCTCTGCGACATCATCCAAGCTCTTTGCAACTGGAGTTTACGGTGTCATTCGATTCGTGGCGACTACAATTACGATGTTGACTTTGACCGACCGATTCGGCCGAAAATCGATGATTATCGCCGGTGGCTCCATGATGGCCTTGTGCATGTGGATCGTGGGAGCTCTGACCAAGGCATACCCACCCGTTGCTGGTCACGGAATGAACGGCGGTCAACTTGGAGCGATTATTCTCATTTATATCTGGGCTGTGGCGTTTTGTGTCTCGTACGCCGGAATTCCTTGGATTTACGTCTCCGAGATCTTCCCTCTGCGCATCAGAGGTTTCTGTGTCGCCATCTGTACAGCTACACACTGGAGCTTCAACCTGATGTTGGCCAAGACGACCCCGTACATGCTTGAAAATCTTGATGGATATGGCATTTACTTTGTGTTCGCTGCTTGCGTGAGTCGGCTGGTCTATACATAAAGCACCCAACTGACATTACGTTCTCTAGACAACCATCGGTGCGATTTGGCAATTCTTCTGCATGCCCGAGACCAAAGGAAAGACGTTGGAGGAGATCACCGAATCATTTGGCGGCGCTCCTGTCCCACGCGAACAATGGCATCGAGATGAGGAGAAGGAGGAGAAGACTCAGATTGAAATGGCCGACTCGTCTCAAATGGCATAAAGGGGATCAAAGGGCATTCGACATTCGCATATTCTTGTACACTTAGATTAGACGCCATGCATACTTTTCAAGGACGGATAGAGGATATCAGGTGTTTCTCGGAGTTACTGCGTTATGTCCATGCTGCTAAACTAGCACATGCCCCTCTTCCACAGCTCGCATCCTCTCTCTCTCTTTCTCTAGAGCTCGATGAAGCAGTCACGATTGAGATACATTGCAGCACAAGTCATGGCAGAGAGAAGAAAATGAATTGTCAGATCTGCCACAATGACAGAAAAGTGGCAAAGGACAAATTGCTACTGTATGTACATAACTCTTCTTTACGAACCGACTCGAAAGCTCTGGCGCGGAGGAAGGTACAGAGAGACCTCGGTAGCCGCCTTTCTATTTGTCATCGCTCGGATGATCATTGGGATCACCCAGGCTCTCAAAACTTCAGCTTGAGATCGTGCAAGGAAACACAGGTGCACCGCCGGGAGAGACTTGCACAAAAAGCGTACAAAGGTATCCCGACCGCTGAGACCGGAATGCATATGCTACAACGATCCTCCAGTTACTCTACAAGGACGTCATCACCCCAATCAACCTCTCATACACGGCAAAGACGATACCTCCGCTCATCTAAGTGCTCGATCAGCTGATAGCCATCGTAGCTGTTGGACACTCACCATCAGCCGTGCCAACCTCGGTGTAGTGCCTCCCCAGAGTCTCTGCACGCCCTCTTCGCGGATAATCTGGGGATGTGATCAGCTTCAGGCGATGTCAAACGTATCTCAATTCAGCTCACCTTCGTCAAGCAGTCAAGACTATTGCGGTACTTCAACGAGGCTCCGGTAGACTGCATTCGAGTCTTGATATTGTCCAGAGGCATCGTCGTATCTTGATTGTCTCAGTGCTGTGATTTCTTTGACCCGTACTCACAGACTGTGATCAGCCCGGCCATGGCTCCCGCTCCAAAAGTCATGGTAGATGAAAGCTTCCCCGAGGGTGGTTGCGTAAAATTGATCATGAGACCTTGTATCCAAGCATACGAGGTGAATCGAACAGCAGAGTTGGCTCCCTGTTTCATGATCTGAAAATTGGTCAGCGTCAGATCCCTTCGCGGCAGTGAGTGACTTACGGTGGGCCATAGGCCTCGATATATACCCATGACACCCTCTGTCCGACAGATACCGATCGTGCCGTTCACCATGTTCGTGTATTGGGGCTGGAGGGAAGAGGCATCTTGTATCAGTTTTGTCCTGGGTTATCTCATTAGCGCTGCGTCTACATGCTCATTCTTTTGAGCCGCTCACTTGATCGTCTCGGACGGAGTGACTGCAATCGTAGCTTCCACCACGCCGGCCGCTAGACCCGCAAGAACCGTGCGACCCGGCGTCATCTTTCCCTGATGGGGAACATCAGCCATCCGCCAGGCTGAAGTCGCGACGTTGAACTCACGTTTGAATCCCTCAAAAGCTCCTTGATCGAGTCATATGTCAAGAACCGCACGCCCGCTTTCAAACCATTCCCAGCGATCATTGCACCACTGCCAGAATACAGACCGCTTATCCCGCGAGTCTTTATCGTGTCTGTCAATATCGACATGACCCCTCGTTTCTGCATTGTCCATCAGCTCTGGCTTGTGGATGAGATGTCTGCTCACCCCGCCTGCATCTGCTGAAAATTGCGCCCGTGTCTTGACAAATTCGGTAGGATAGGTGATAGCTCCTTCGATGGCCCCGGCAGCTACACCAGCCATGAGGGACTCATAGGATGTAGGCTTGCGATTCGCTGAGGGTTTGGATGAAGATGCGAGAGTCATGATATTGGGTGTTCAACAGAGTAGGAGTTCTTGGAAGAGAGGTGCGCGAGCTGCTGCTCGACCAACCCGTCTACATATCTATGATTTCACCCTGCATTCTCAGGTGCTTTTCCTCTTTCCGATTGCTCTTGCCTCTGACATGCTGCCTACACCGCGTTGAGTGAGGGAATGGTGGACACCCGGTCGTTGATGGTCCGCTGTCAGTGATCAGGCACGACCATACACACGTGATTTTCACGCGACGGAAAATTATGGTCCGTGCGATGGTTCGAGAAGCGGAGTGTGTGCCCGGTGGCTTTTTCCGAAAAAATAATAAAATACGGCCGTTATGATGTTCGCTCTCGCTGCCTAAGTCTGGACTACAAACGCCGTGTTCACCTTGCCTGCCTCTCGCTGCTCCTCAATTCTCGCCTCCTTCGTCCGCCATACCATACCGGCATGCATGTCTAGGCCGCCTAGATTCGAGTCCCAGCAGAGGGGGTGACTGGGATCCGATCGACACCATCCAAATCTAAGCCGGGGGCGATGATCGTAACGACCAATGCGCAGCTCTTGCGCGCTTTCACGCCGTTTGACATGATTGACGGGTCCGAATGAAGGATTCACAACAGGCGAGAGAGCCAGCACCGGTGCTTGAGCGATGGGATCGGAATAATGCTTGATATGGGCGCTGACTGGAATCGATTCGTCATTCGCCCGAACAACATCCAAAGGTACGCTGGCCCGGTGCCGATACGTCTGCCTGAAGCTGTCAGAGGTGTCTTCGTCCTGTGAAGTGAGCGGCGGCAGCTCGTACTGGAGCCAATCGTCGTCTAAATCCGATAGCGCTTGATTCTCATGGGGCGGCCAGTTGGGATTCTTCATCGCACTCGTCTCTTGGTCTTCACATCCGAAGCGGGTGGTGAGTGTGATGGCAAGCATCGATCGCAAATTATCAAATGTCCGACTAAAAGTCGGCATGGTATCGTGTGGTCTGAAAAGAGAGGTGGGAAAAAGAGTCGTCAACATTGGCCTTGTTCTAGCGTCAAAGACGCGTTCTCACATTGGAAATTGGAGTTCGAATCGCCAGGCACCCTCGTCTGACTGACTGATGTTCTCCAAGCTGTGGCTCGCCAGAGCTGCAGGTGTAGGACCGAAACTCCAAGGACAGGCCCGGCGGTCCTGTCGTTTACGGCGTTCCTCTTCAAGCACCCAATCAGGTTTGACCATCAACATTTTCGCATTCCAGGAACGGGGTTCTCTGACATTAAGTCCATCTCCGTCACCAGCCAAAAAAGCTCGATAGTGATCTTCATCCTCGAACTGACCTCCTAGCCATTCCATCTGATGGTCTATGGCAGGCTGCACATCCAAAGAGATCGGGTATTCGGAACCATTTCCGACTTTGACGACAGATATGGCCAAGGTCACATTGCGGCCTACAAGTCGCGTAAAGTATGAGTCTCTGACACAGGGAGAGCTGAGCCACAACCCACCTTGAACAGGAACGGTTTGAGCCGAAATTGAGACTTCGAAGTGCGAGATATTGCCTGCATCCTGATTTCTTCGTCAACAAACAAGTGCGTGATCGACTTTGTCCGGTGACTCACACAGGCAGGTCGAGGTCGACCGTATTCCATCCTTCCGAAGTCAATGGCGCGTTCTGAAACTTCTCCGAAGGGAGACCGCAGTATGACAGACTCGCTGTCTGATGCGCTCCGCATGTTTTCGGCCACATGCGAGGCAGGCATCGAAACAGGCGCGGGAGCCGGCAAGAACGCAGTGATACCGGCAGGAATCATCAACGATGAGCCGTTGGTTAATGTCAGATTGTGGTAGTAGATGAATTCAGATTCTGAGGCGTAGACCTAGGGAGCAGGGCCGAGCATAAGCAAGGAGCAAGGACGACTCCGGATGAAGACGTGGCCTACCTGCTGATCATATCCTCGGTGCTCAAAAATCCTCTCATATCGTTGAGAAGGAGGAAACTACAAGGATGAGCCGATAATTGCCACAAGACTTACTTACATTGGTATATGGAACATGAACTACGAACGGCTGCACGACGTCGAGGTTGACATCACCAGACACTTAAAGATGGATCAGCCATCTTCAATCCGTTCGATATGAAGACACTTACATTCATGTTCGAAAGGCAGGGCAAGATGAAGGTCAAAGATCTCCCTCTCAAGACCCGTGACGTTCCACAGACTCTGATTCCTCAGGTTCTTTTCTGCAAGGGCAGTCAGCAGTTGACGAATTGTCAGGCATCGGTACTCGCCATACTCCATGACCGCACTATAGTAGACTGGATCGTGGAATTCCGGTTGCCAGAGGAGTTCGGAATCAGCTGACCGGAAGATGTCATTCCAATCTTGTTCAGCATGGATGCATTGGAATCCGTCGCACGACGTCGATGGTTTGGTTGGCAGTTCTGCAGACCCGGCAGCTCTGGATGGAATTCATGACGATTCAGTACGTGGATCTAGTCGTCCCAAAAAGTCATCCCTTGGACCCACCGCCTTTTCAGTATGACTCTTTCGGCCATGCGAAGTCCAAGAGTCCAACTTTCCACTTGATAACACTCAGTCCCGTTGAGAGTCAATCTCGCTTCGCCGGGGACTGTCCCTCCAGGATATAAATCTGGAGCTCTGGTCCATGCTCTCACATCGCATTGCCACCCGTGCTGGTCTTGTGCGGAGATTGGCTGTACCAAATAGGCCAGTAGAGCCAGTGGTGCCAGCATGACGATTCGATTGGCTTTTGAGCACAGAAGTCACGATGCAAGATGGGATGAATCAACCTGGTTCAGCAAGAACTGCCCCCCCCCTTCTTCGCGTCCCCATGAGTAGACGGGGATCATGTCATGGAGGCGCTGTCACCGCTTTTTAGAGTTGTGAGGACTGGCCGTGGATCGCTATTTTGGTCCAAGCCCCGTAATTGTACCGAACTACTGTCCTGCCTGTGGTCATCTCGTGTCTCGAGTAGAATGAAGATGCAATCAGCTACTACCTGACTTAGCATTGACATGCATATTGCCAGCTTGGCTCGCACAGAGATGGACCCGTTGAGTACGACAGCCAAAATGCTGGTATTCCATATCTCAGTTCAGACCCCGTCCAAATTTGTTGATTTTATACCACTAATACTCTGACATCCCGTCGTCCCGTATGCCAGTGCCCATACGTCAAGTTGAGCACGAGCCAGAGGTGTTCCCTTTGTTGACTAGATCAGAAGTAGATGCGACGAGGACATCAGCTTGGTACGAGACATTCGAGGATTTGACGATTCCTTCTCGGATCATCGATTTGGAGACATTGGGAGAAGAAGAGGCGTTTCGAGATGTGAGCGGCGTGATCCAAATGATTGCGACGAGCCTGACAATGTGCTTTGCCATGTAGTGGCTCAATGGTGATTCTATCTTCCTCCCCCAAGATAGCGAGAATGTCAGCTCGATCTCGTCATCGAGTTTTGATGCGACAGGGTCTAATTCCGACTCTGCCCCAGTGTACCATCTACCCAAGCTCAACACGGCCATTCGAACAGCTATCCAAGCGTTTGGAGGCTCAGTCTTTCCCAAACTAAACTGGACAGCACCAAGAGTGAGTCAGAAGCTGTTCAAGATACAGATGTGTGGGCTGAACGTGAACTCAGGACGCAGCATTCATCATCCCCCAAACCGAAGGAGGTCCATTATACTGCAAGACACCAGCGGACGTCTATCTCGTCCTGAAATCTAGCGATTTCATTTCTCACGGCCTTGACTACGCTCGAGCATACGCTAGCGGCTCGTCAGATCTGGTGGAGTATGCAGTTGAGGACCAACAAAATGAAACCGAGGAAGTCCCTGTAGAAATCGTTCTGAAGAAATACATCCAAATGATCCCATCGCGCGAGTGGAGATGCTTCGTAAGGGATGACGTGCTGCTAGGTGAGATCCAGTGTGTCTTCTGTCACGAGATGTATCAATACTAATACGCTGAAAAGGTGTATCGCAGCGAGATACAAACTTTTACGACTTTCTGCAAGACTCTGACGCGAAACGACAAGTCATAGACGCTATCAGAGACTTTTGGGAAGATGAAGTCCGTCTGAACTTCACTACAGGCGGAGGAAGTTGTAAGATCACAACTCTGACCCTTGGTGCGTCTCCTCCTGACGCTTCTCACCAGATATATTTGATGTCTACTTATCTGCGGATATGACCCGAGTGACATTGATCGACTTCAATCCCTATCGAAATTCGACAGACCCACTCTTATTCACATATGAGGAGCTCTTGTCTATCCTTTTAGCTCATCGAAGACGATCTCGACAATCATCGCCCCTACCATACGGCCTGGCCGAGCTTTCTTCAGATGCAGCTGGCCTCCACGTCAGGCTGCCCATCTTGAAAATTGTGGAATCTGCATCGGATCCCGAAGCGAACCGGACGACACCTGCTTTCGCTGGTAACATGATGCCCTTAGATGTGATGGCTCTCAGTCAAGGACGGAACATGGGAGAGTTCAAAGATGCTTGGGAAGAAGCCCTTGCAAGGGGGATGGATGATGTTTCGAGCGATGACGACGAGTGAGCCGGACCGATTGCGGCTCGGCCGAGAGACCAGGTGGTCATACTTAGTTGGACGGGAGCAGAGCGCCAGCATCTTCTGGTTCCTTGCTGGGCGTAGCCAGTGACTCAATCCGATAACCGCTCGCTGTAACTGTCGGCCGGGTACGACCGATACATACATTCGTCGGCGGCGCATCTACAACAAGGCGGACGGATCACAACTACACGTTATCGCCTATTCTTATCTCGATTGTCGACCGCTTTCACTCGACAATCTCACGATCACTCTCCCATATGCATGGCGCCTGTGCTCCTAGACGAGGCCTAATCAGTGCACTTCACCCCGCTGTCTGGTTCGAGACCAAAGACAACCACTCACTCGCTTTCCATCTCTCGCGCCGAAGGTCTTCGATACCGAGGCAGGAAAGCAGGATCACGATCAGAAGCGTGGAGACCTGCGTACGAAGCGCCAGAAGGAGCAGACGACGTCACCGCAGAGCCACGTCTGCGTCGTTGACCGACACTCAGCAATTGTCAGTTGGTCTGGCCCTCCATGCCGACCCACCGCTGCTCGACACTCTTGCTATTGAAAAATGAGAAACCACCAAGGGATCCTCGTCGTTCTCCTTGATTGCCAGAATTATTCGTTGGAATCATCTTGCTCTGGTCCTGGGCTCGATCTAACGCCGGCACATCAGCGACTGGCCCTTCATGCGCAAGTCCTTGGTATGCCTCACCAGGACGAGAGAGGATCTTCTTCAGGCCTAAAACGTCTTTCATACTATCGGGCGATAATGACAGCGTGCAGCGTCGTCGGTTCCTATCGATTGAGATTGGTGCGACTGTATATATTTCTACCAGCTTGCCACGCTATGTACTCAAAAGTGTCTGGTGGCGAGGGAGGAAGAGTATCTTTGGACTCCAGAATCGGATTACTTAGATGGAGCATGGCGATCCTTCGGTCATCATCGCCTTGGGCCAAGGGATAGTTTCATGGAGCGGGACGACAAAGGAGTGACGACGAGGCGCGTTGCACCAAGGAAGATGTAATTGGACATGAGGCATCTCAGCACTCCCATTCTGGGCAAATGAAGCGATGCATTGCTCATCCCGCCCTCGTGTGATGTACATGCACCGGTGGGTATGCAAGTATGACGTCGCATCCAAATGGCTTGATGTCAAGCTCGTACAGCGAGCCTCGGCTCCATTACAACGTCGGTTCACACCTCGCAGATTAGATCTGTAACGGATACGGCCTCACAAAGTCGTACATTAACGAGGAGATGTCTTTCGATCTATAGGTGCCATCTTTAGTGCGCTTACTGGACGAATGACGTTCGACGTCTGGCATGAATAGAATAGCAGCTCATAAAGCACAATCCTGTCCACACTCATTGTTACACACTTGCATAGATCATTCGACAGACACAGGGTAATCGCAGTCTGCGCGGAACTCCAAACCATTCGTGGCGCCACAATAAAAGGAGTTAAGTGGCATCGCCAATCTACATCTACTGTCGAGTAGTAGCCTATTGATGAACACGACATCAGCCGCCTACAGTTCCTCATGCCTCGTGACACTGACCGGAGAATCATGTCCAGGTCCCATGATACTCTCCTTGACAGAGTTCATAGCGCCCGCAGCTCGGTCCATGAGTCCAGGACCTTGGTTGGGTTGTTCACCAATTCCAGCGTTTCCAGGAGTCATAGTGTCTCGAAGTTGTTGCGTCGCAGACTTGTCAGTTTGAACGTTGGATGCACCTCTGAAACATCGTGGTAGAGGATGTCAGCAATCGGGGTTTCATGCGGGATCGAGTGCACACTCACTGATCCATCTTGGTCTTGAGGTAGTCAATGGGACCTTGATTGCCCGAGGTCTTGAATGCGTCGAGACCCCCTTGTCGACCGGTATCGTGCGTCATGTTGGGGCTCGCGGCATCGTCGTTGAGGGCGTCTCCAGGTTTCGACTGCCCAGGTAGGTACGAGGCGGCGCTGAGAGAGGGACAAGAGTCAGCTGTCTGCGTGGTGGCGTCGAAAAGCCAGGGAGGCAAGGCGAGGCGAGGCAAGGTTAGGCTCGGCAAGGCGAGACCGCCAAGAGGGTGACGCAGGCGACTTGACTGATATGCTACTGTATCGGGAGTTCAGAGCCACTCACGTATCGAGGACGCCTTGAGCGTGTTCGCCGGTAGATTGCATGCCACCAGGTTTGACATTGTTAGCGACTACGAGAAAAGGCGTCAGCCCTGGGATGGACCAAGGTGGCGACGAGGTACAAATGTGGGCATGGGCATCACTCACGCTTATCACTGTCGTCCATTCGGAGAGCCATGATGATTGTGTTGATTGGGTCAAATGAGATCGAATATAGGGATTGTTGCTACTTCGAGTCTGGGATGAGGTAGAACAATGAAAGGTCTGTATAGTCCAACGGTGGTTTATATAGGTGGTTAGACTCATCGAAGGTCAGTGACGTAGGACAAAGGATGCTCTGAGCTGTATGACGAGCGTTGAACGAGACAGCGTGTCTATCCAGTGGACAGGTCTCAAAGGACAATCCTTAAAAGTGTCTTTGATAATGGATCAGCTGAGTGCTCTTAACACTCATGTCATTCCAGTGCATGCGGGATCATCTCCAGTCATAAAGATTCCAGACGTTAAATAGCGTGATGAGCGAAGGGCATGATAGAGCGTGGATTCGTAAGGGGGGTATACGGGGTATCCGAAGTGATCGACAAAGGGAATCAGAAAGGTCTACGTGTAACGAGAATGGCAAGACGTATAAAGAGGGAGAGATGAGCTAAAGGGGTATCAATGTATTACAACGGGGGTATGATCAGGGTAAACGGAGATTGTCCACAGCAGCGAGAGTCGCGTCCACGTAAAATGTCGTCTTTGAGCGATGAGTCGCAGAGGAAAAGGACGCCATGGCTGACACTTAGACGACCTCTTCCCTCTCCTTCTTGCCAGCGCCAAACTTGCCCTTGAACCGTCCAAAGATGCCGCCTCCACGTTTACCATCGCCTCCGTTGGCTCGCAATCCAAGAATACTTTGTCCGCCCGGTGTACCAGGTCGCTTCACCTCACCACCTCGTGATTGACGTCTCTCCACTTCTTGAGCGAGGTCCACAATATTCCTCTCTCGAGTGGATCCAGAGGCATTGGTTTCAACTTTGTCGTCACGAAGGAAAGCGAGGGCTCGTTCGCGCAGGCTGACCATGGAGCTAGGCTGCTTCATACGGTTGGTAGTCGTGAGTCCGCTGGACCAAGAAGACCAACCGTCACCTTGTCTTACTACACCAGGTTCAGACTCGAGCAAATCTTCGTATACGACCCGGCGGGGTGAGAGCTCGTCCGGGGACAGAGGTCGCAGTGCTTCGGCAAATGAGAGTTGAGGCATGGTGCGGAAGTTGCGTAGGTTGGACTCGGATTTGCGAGTGAGAGGCTTGGACGACTGTCGGGTGGTCTGAGGGGATCGAAGAGCCGGCGTGGACGGAGCACCGCGAAGGACGTGGCCATGGCCAGAGGATTTCAGGGGGACGGACGCGATCAAGTCGGCTGAAGAGCAAGGCGTCAGTCGTCATTGTTCAGATCAGATCTCAATCAGACGTACGCGTGTTGGTCCCGGAAGAAGCCTTGTCATTCCTATCGGTGCCGAACAGCTTAAGCACGTGAGAGACTGAGTCGTAAATCAGCATCGCTCCAATTAGCACGCTACTGAGCGGCTCACCCGATGGTCTCTCCTTCTTTGGCCCTCGCTTGAGTCCTGGAGCCGCAATGTTGACCATGGGCTGATCGTTCTGCCCACTCGCCGTTTTGGCTCGCTCTTCAGCCTCTTCATAGGTCATCCACTTTGGCGGAGTAGCAGGTTCCACCTGAGTCGAGCAAGTGCGTAAATGAGCAGGCAGAGGATCCGGCTTGTCAGGTGTGATTCCGAAACGATGTTCTTGAGCGTTGTTAGTAGTTGGAGCAGCGTTCGGGTTCAGATGCGAATCCGCTGTGGGCATCGGCATAGCCAAGAATGGTAACGAAATTGGCGGCTCGCGACCTTCTGCCAGAGCTTTTCGTGCATCTTCGACCATTTCTAGATAGTGTCAGCTTGATACTCGGAATGAGCGAAACGAAACTCACTCTCGACATCCTTCACCCATAGGGCCAGTTGATCCAATCGACCTCCAAGAGCCTGAGCGTCGGGTGCAGCGGGACTCAAGGGACGATGAGGGTCGGAAGCGTTTATGACCGGATCCTCACTCGGTCTTGGCACTGCACCTGCGACGAGATCGCCTGAAAGTTGTCGAATTCGGCTTTGTTGCATGACTGAACCAACTGGGAGTGTCAGCGTGAGCTTTAGACGATTCCATGGCAAAGGACGCTCACGATCATCAGACAATATGCGTTCCCTCAACTCCGTCATTGGACTCTGACGTCCGTCGTCCACTGGCATAGGCAGCACAGGGAACGGTAGAGAGTCGATAGGACCCGTTGTTCCTGCTGGGAACGGTCGTCCATCTGCCAAGACCTCGGTTGGTCGAGTAGCCATCCGCGGTCGAGGAGGTGAAGCGACAGATATGTCTCGCTTAGTTTTGGGACTGACCTGACTCGACTTGACTCCATCGCGTAGTGGCGAAGAGAGAATTCGCTTCGTAGGGGTGCCATCACCAGGGAACGGGGTCGGTTTTCGGAACCCAGACGGCCTTGTAGGCGTCAATGGCTTCGCTGGAGATGCCGTCTGAGACGTATCGGCGCGCGCAGGCGATTGAGGTAGAACCTCAGCGGGAGAAGACTTAGTTACTTGATGGATTGTCAGCTCGGAAGGCGTATCATAGTTAGCATCAGCTCACGAGTCTCAGCCACGATCTCAGAGACAATCTTGACAGGAGACTCTTCCAAGACATCGAGAAGGCGCTTCTCGATCCCAAGACTCCGTCTGTGATCGTCCTTCTTGCTCTCGGTGACAGCCTCAAGTTGACTGTCGAGACTTCTTGGTCGAGGTGGTGAAGGAGCAGGCCGAGAGATACTGCCTAGGACATCTCGCTTGGCGCCGAACTCTGAAACGTCGGCCTTCTTCTTGCCCTCCAATCGGCGCATGGTTTTCTGGACGGCATCTTCCTTGGTGTACACCGCAGTGGAGGTCGAAGTGGCCAAGGACAAATCAGAATCACGAGACTTGAGCGTTCGGCGAGAATCGTGGTGCGTTAAGATCGGTGCGGCCTTCGACTTGGAGGCAGTAGCAGCGGGAGCTGTTGCCTTGGTGGTCGTGGTGGATGCTCGAGCGGGACCAGCAGGTTGGTTTCCAACGGAGGACTCTCGTGAGACATTTCTGTCTGACGAGTCGGACGAACGCAGACCGGCATGTGCTTCCTCCTCTGTGTGATGTCAGCCCGACTCATGAATCAAGTCTTCCACTCACTCTGATAGGAAAGTTCTTGTACACGTTGAGCTTGAGCTGGCTTCGACTTCCGGGTAGCTGTTTTTTCATAATGAGTCTCGCCGATGCAGTTGTCTCCCAGCTTACGAGTTGGATCCTGTTCCTTTACATGATCGACATCCAAAGCTTCTCGACTTTGTTTCAGAACCACCTTTCTGGGGCTCAGTGTATGACCATCCGCTGGCAATCCCTTTCCAGCCTTTGCTCGAGGAACGGACGTGTGTTGTCTGATACTTTCTCCAAGGGCAGGCGTGACTGCTCGAGGCTGTTGGGGCTCTCTTGCATGACCAGCTTCTCGTTTTTTGGCTTTGCGTTTCGTTTCCTTGCCTTTGTCTTGTGCTCGGGGCATGGGTTCGGTGAACTCGTATGAGGCGGCTGCACGAACGAAATGAGGCGTGATGATGACTTCTGCAGCTCGAGGTTGGAGAGATGGGTGGTGATACGCCTGCATTGCTGACATTCGATAGGCGGGGTCGGGACAGATCATCCCACGCAGGAGATGCTCCAGGTCTGACTCTGGGCTCAGTATGATTGCATACGACTGTGACAACGGGACGGGCTCACCCTGCGGAATCCTCGTGTAATCGCCAATCCACTCGCCTCGGCGAGAAAGCTCGTAGTACACAACCAGATCTTCAGGCGTAAGAAAGTCTTCATTGATATCTTCTTCGCTCTCGAAAGGAGTGCGACCGACCAAGATCTCAAACATGGTGATCTGTCACGTATGTTCAGTGCGAATATCCGCGATGATCTTTCGGAACGACTCACACCCAAAGACCAGACATCAGAAGCTCGCTCATCATGTGGCATGCCCATGGCGCGTTGAGGATCGAGATACTAGGAACGGTTTCAGCACCGACAGCCATACATGGTGCCACGCTCACCTCTGGCGTGCCCCAGCTGATGCTGGACAAGAAAGATCCTCTTTCTCTCAAGTCCCACTTTTGAGCGAAACCAAAGTCGACCAGGACAGGAATATCATTGTAAGACAATAGCACATTGGCAGGCTTGATATCGTTGTGGGTGATCCCTCTTTCGTGAAGATAACCGACAGCTGATGCGAGTTGCCGAAAGTATGGTATCGCTCGAGCGGGCATCAGAGAAACAGGCATGAGATCCGAGAGGCACGGCATGAGTACCCTTAGAAGCGCAAAATTCAGCAACAAACCAAGAAGCGCGAGAGGACCACTCACATGGCGTAGGAAGGTGTGATGATGAACGCTTCAAATTGGATTATACTTGGATGAGGTTCATGTCTGAGTGATCGAATGATCTTCATTTCTCCCCAGAGAGCTTTGACGCGGGCAGCCGTCGTCTGCGGAGGTATCAGTCAAATGTTCGCGCTCATGTTGAGAAGTTGGACTCACTGGATCCGGTGCCCTATGGACCAATTTGGCCGCCAACATTCCACCATTGCGGCCTCCCCCTGCAGCAGCGGCGCCTAGGCCCAGTCGCGCGAGAGGGCCATCACCTTTTGGTCGTTTGCGCCTTGTGCGACACAGCCAGACGCTTCCCCAATTACCGAATCCAATCTCATCCGCAAAGTGAATTCGTTCGGATAGTTGCTCGTCAGTGAGACGAAAGACCATGTCGGACGCGGCGGCTTCTTCGGCAAGATGAGGATGGTTCAAATCTGTGGAATCTCGAATCTGAACACCGGGTTGGAGGAGCGGGTTGTACGTTTGATCATCATCGATCGAGGTGTCCCGCGAAGTGGGTACGGGAGACGATGAAGGGGACGGAGTGGGGTAAGCATGTTGAGCTGTTTCGAGATTGGTCCGAGATTGGTTTCCGAGATGATTGAATGATACGCTCACGGGCGATTGAATGGTATAAGAGATGGTATCAAAGTTGACAGCGGCAGGGCTGTGGGTCGATTGAGTTGAAGGTGAGATTTCGAGCGCAAATGCGTCTCGAGAATCGGGTCGAGAATGCGAGGACGCGTAGGTGATTTGAGATGCAGCCAGCGTGGTACCGTCGACGTTGGATGGCGACGTGTGAGCCGATAGAGAAGTGTCGAAAGACCGTGCATTGGATGTGGAAGTAGAGGATGATGGAGATTCGAGTGATGTGACGAGATACGTTTTGGATGGTGCCGAGGGGATCGCACTGGCGCCTGTCTTGTTGGTAGTCGTGGGAGCTACTGGATGAGGAGGTGTGAGACCGAGTCGAAGACGAATCTTTGACTTTGGTTTGTACAGTGATGGCGCTTTGGCCGTCATGACGGGCATGGTGAGAGGGAGAGCAGAGGATGAACAAGAGGATAGCTGACGGGACAAGAAGATGGGGTTACAGATGCTTGTCGATGGTGTCGAGCTGATCGAGATTCAGTACAAGATATGGTCGATGTTGATGAAAGAGAGAGATAAAGAGTGAGTGTCACGTCAATCGTAGAGTGAAAGGTGTTGTTGACCTTGACGACATGGGGTTGAATGAGTGTGTCTATGTGAGGGGGTGGTGTCGGTGGAGTCGGTGGGCAAGTCCAAGAGCGAGTAGTTGGGCTATAACGAGCGTGATGATTGGAGGAGGATATCAGTGATGATGGGTGTACCTGCTGTGGTGAGAAGGCAAGGTGGAAAGAGATGAAGAAGGTAAATGATCAGTTCCATACATGTTAGAAGGTCGTCAACACCATTGGTACTTTGTTGACACTGAACCTCTCTCCCGGGGGCGCGTGCACGTAGAACCATCATCCTTCAACGCTGCTTGTTGTCAGTGTCAACACAGGTCCAAGTCTAAAGGAGAAGGGAAGGGTGTGGTGTCCAGTCGCGGTTGGGCGAGATGGACACACAGCTGTTGATTCATTTCAGAGCCGTGCACGTCCTACAGACAGCCCACACACACACACAGAGCTGCCCTCCTGGCATTTCCACCAGATGAAAGACGTGAGCAGCAGCGAGCATGAAGGTGGATTGAATGCTCTGCCGTCTGTTGTTGACAGTCTCATCGACGAAAGGCACCATGGCTCCTCAGATGTTGGGGCCGAGCGAGTCCCTTTGATCACTTTCCCTTCAACCCCTCCCCTGAAGCGTTCAACATTTTTTGGAGTAACGCGTTGAAAGATGGGTTGTATGGCCAACAGTCACTCATAGCAAGGGCTCTATATCCCATGATAGTGGGACAGCTGATGATTGGCAGCAAGGTTCGAGTTCGAGAGTCCATTGCAAGACACAGGCATAAATGGCAACATGGGGTTCGAGCTGGCGCCGAAGCTTCGGGATGAGAGCCACGTGGCGACCGCCGCACCATTCCTCGCCTTGTCTAATGGTCTTCTGCCGAGACACTGAGTGGAATGATAGTAGAGCTGGAGAGGCGACTCCTGTAGTCAAACATAGCTCTTCAGCGCCGGATGAGCGTCGCTACAGGACCACAGAGCATCAGAATGCTTGACTGAACCAAAGATGACTGCCATGCGCCTATCCTTTGGAATCAGGCACGCCTATGACTCGACCCGCTTACGGCATGGAGCGTGATGCGTCGCGGGGCGTAAACAAAATTCCAATTGGGTGAGAGCTGTTCAACCGGTCATTTCAACAGCGCAATCTCAGATTCATTGACAGGGCAAGCAGGTCCGACAACAGCAGAGGTTCAGGATAGCAGTGGGGTAGGATCATTTGAAGCTGTACGTTCATTGTCTGGGTCATTGAGCAGTGAAAGATCTATAAAACGGAGTGAGTTGATTGCGGTCCATGCGTATCAAAGGAATCTTTTGATGGGTCGGCCCTTTCTATCGATCCTCGCCCCCACACACACACACCATTGATCACCTTCTGTTCTTTACATCCTCGACGACTATCTCTCTATATGACTGCCCATCTGACTCCACTACTGACGCTTCATCATGCAGACACCTCCCACGCCCAGTCGATCGACTCGCGTGACTTCCCAGTCCAATCTTCTGTATCAAACGCCTCCAGCTCGCATCATGTCCCGCTTACCGACCATCTCAACGCCCAGTCGGGCTTCGACGTCCACAACAAGTCTGCCGACTCCCACATCTCGACGCCCCAGGTCATCGCTGGGCGTATCACAACATCGCCCTTCCAGTCGAGAGATGGATGATCCAGCTGCAGAACTGGCACTTCAAGAAGCGTTAAAACATCGACCACCGAGCAGTCTACGCAATGTCGTGCATTCTACGAACGCTTTGGAGGCGAACGATCCCGATACGCCCACTGGACTAGGCGCGTCCACGCTCAAGACGCCAGCTTCCATGCTCAGGGCGAAAACGCCCCTAGGACTAGGCCACGGGCAACACCCCACGACCCCATCCGCATCTCGAGCTGTATCACGCGCTCGACCCAGTATAGGTTCAGCGACCCCGCTGACGAATCGAAGGACATCTATGGCTTCTTCCACCACGACATCGACTACACCATACGGTGCACGCAGACCCGAGTCAAGGCTGGCAGGAGGGTCAGGTGCAGAACACTGGTCGCCTGCCATCGGTGAACGGGTTAGGATGCAGGCGATGGGAATGGAGGGGACTTTACGGTATCTTGGAGAAACAGAGTTCAAAGCTGGAGTCTGGGCCGGTGTGGAACTCGAAGGGGGATTTGCAGGCAAGGGAAAGAATGATGGGAGTGTCAATGGGTAAGTCAAAGCGGAGCTGTTCCCTCGTCACCCATATCTTGACCTTCCATCTTCAGGGTCACCTACTTCGCCTGCCCCCCTCTATGCGGTGTCTTCATCCTCGCTGTCAAGCTTTCCCCTCCTACATCTGGTGTCTCACGCCCAGCATCCGCAGCTTCCTCACATCTCTCCTTCGCCTCATCCGCTTCTTACATTTCAGGTCGGGCGACACCTTCCATCGACCGAGCCATGCGATCCAGCACAGCTGCCACAACTCCTTCCCGAGTTAATCGAGCCGTCTCGTCCGCTCGTCCATCTCTTGCTCCAGACGATGATTCCAGACCAGTCAAGACGCTTCTGGGTACCAGCTCGAGCTCAAATGCTGCCATTGCAGAAAGCAAGATCACAGCTGGATCTCGAGCCAGCAAGTATATCGGAATGACCGCGAAGCAATTGGAGACAGCTAGGAGTGGAACTCTAAGCGCATCAGTGCGGAGCACGACAGCTACCCCGAGACCATCACGGGTCTCCATCGGCGGTCCGGGAACCGGTCGACCTCGGGCGAGTCTCGGGGCCAGTCTAGCCACTCCCCGACCGAGAGCGCCTCGGGCTAGCCATGCCGCGGATGTTATGCCTCCTCCGCCCAGTCCGGGTAACGTCGACCGGGCTGTCTACGGCCAACAAGCAAAGCTCGAAGAGGAATTGCGTCAACTGCGAGAGAGAAATGCAAATCTCGAGGATCAGCTGTTCAGCCTAAATTCAGCGGCCAGTCAACATTCACCAGATGACACAGAAGCTCTGAGAGAGCAGGCAGACATGTTACGTCGAGAATTGGATGCCTCGCATGGCGAAGTCGACGAAGCTACCAAGCTCGCTGAGGAGCTCAAACTGGCTCAGGAGGGTTTACAAAGTATCGTCGATGAGAAGGATAAACAGTTGGGCGAGTTGAGAAGGGACATGCAAGTGGCCGCTGAGAGGGCTCAAGGAGAACTCGACGCAGGTATGGAAGCGAAGACGGCGGAGATCAGGAGGCTACAGGACAGGGCCGATTTGGCGGAACAAGACGGTGCCGAGATGCGCGCGCTGGTGGAGGAATTGACTCAGGCCGGCCAGGTGAGTGAAAAGGTCCCTCCCGGGAATCGAGCTGAAAGATGACTAGGCCACCATATCCCTGTACGAGAACAAGCAGTATGATCTTGAAGATAAGATTCGATCGCTCGAGGAGAAGTCTCGTCTACTTGAAGAACGCCTTGTCAAGGCTCGGGAAGAATCCGAAGCTGCCGCATCGACGCAATCGACTTCCAAAAGAGAAGCCATCTCCGCTGCGGAGATCGACAATGAGACGTTGAATGCACAACTGAAGCATTTCCAAAATCGAGTATCCATCCTCGAAGAGGAGCTTGAAGAGGCTCAAAGTCGAGCAGAGGCAGATGCGGAATCTTGGAAAGCCAGGATCAATAAGGCCAAGTTGGCTGAAAAGGCCCATGTTGACAAGGAAAGGGAAGCAAGGGAGGAGATTAAAAGGTTGGAAAGAGGTGCCAATGGTGCCAAGACGAGGATACAAGAAATCGAAAACGCGTTGAAGGAAAACAGAGGTCTGCTGGAAATCGCTCGCGCAGAGATAGAGAGCATGCGAGGAGAGGTTGCGGTGAGTCTCCAGTGCCTTCCCGGTGGAATCAAAGCTGATGACGCTCAGGAGGTCGCCAGTCTGCGAACAGCCTTGCAGAACGCCGCAGACAAGGATAAGATGTTGAGCGACGCGCAGGATGAGATCCAAGCTCTCAAGACAAAGTTGGATCAAGCAGCCGGTGCCGAATCTCAAGTCGCCGAGCTACAAGTCAAGATTGGCGCTCTCGAGAGTCAGATTGCAAAGGTATCTACCCCTTGTCGCTCCTCGTCCTGTACTAATACTCTCAGCTCAACACCAACGCGCAGACCAACTCACCAGCCATGCAACGTGGTCGTTTATCATCTGGGTCCAGCGACGATGCCGAAAAGCGAATGCGCGGATTTCAACACATCATCTCGGATCTCTCAGCAGAGAATGCAGAGCTCAAAGACAAGTACCAGAACCTTGTGGAAGAGGTGGATCTTCTCAAAGAGGTGAGTTTGAAGATGCATGCGGCCGAACCATGCTGATCTTCTCTTCTACAGGAGAATAAATTGTTAGAAGAAACGAGAGAACTCTCCGGTGGTGTCGGATCAGAGGCGGAATCTTCGGTGAGTCGGCTGCGCTGGTCTCAGTAATCATTCTCGCTGATGACGACGCAGAAGGAGACAGACGCCGCGCAAGCCACGATCAAACGTCAAGAGCAAACCATCCAGGAGGTGAGACTTGCGCTTGTCCCGCCTGATGTGATACTCACCTTTTCTTTCCTTAGCTCAACCGCGAAATGGCCGAATTAGAATCCCTCATAGAATCTAAGATTTACCGGGAAGACGAGCTGGAGAATCGACTCCAAGATCTCGAACGACAATTGGACAAACAACGGGCCATGTCAGCACCCCATCGAGATGGGAGTCCGGTCCCAAGCGGTCATTCTCGTACCGCGTCCACAGCGACTGCTGCCTCGGGTCGATCGGGCATATCAGCCGTCTCCTCTGCGATGTCCGGCTCACACTCTAATGAACAGTGTGAGCTGTGTGAAGGCCCTCACGACCTCGATGCGTGCCCTGTGTTTGCGGGAAACATGATGCCTGATACGGGAAAGAAGGTCAATGGAGCACAGAGAACGGGTGGGAAATGGTGTGCAGATTGCGAGGTGAGTCATTAGGAGCAGGCGATTGGCGGCGCGTGCTGATATGCTCTTCCAGTCTACCGCTCACGATACAGTCCAGTGTCCGATGGCGGAAGATGTTTTTTGACGAGCGTGTCATTTGTCACTTTTGGATGGATACTTGCGTCCAGCTCGATGCATCACATAATCGGTGCGATTCACTAATGCTGATGGGGGGCAGCGATAGGAATGAATGATCACGGAGCGCGACGAGCTACTGTGTGAAGAGATAATCAGAGCTCCCCGCGGTCTGCATAGCCTCTGGTACCTCTCCCTGATCTCCAATGTCTTCTACTGAAGCCTGTTGGGCTCGAGCTGGAGGCGCATCTGCAATCTGACTTTGTAGGCTCGGGTCCAGAGTCATTCGGGCCAATGGCAAGTTCCCTTCGGATTTCTCTCGGCCTTGTCGGATCCTGTACATTGCTTGGGCAACTTTCCATTTGAGGTCAAGATCGGTGTCAAAGTCTGCGTCCATGTACATCATCTCAGTATCGTCTGACGTGAAAGGTTTTCCTCCTGGGCCAAGCAGATGGCCACTTGCGTCTTTATTGACGGTTGGCTTTCCAAGGCGATAGGGTTGGGCAGGCACGGCGGGCTCGTCATCCATCAAGGTGTCGTTCTCATCGAGGAATCGGAAATCATCAGAGCCGGCTATCGAAGCCAGATCATCCTCCTCTGCGTCGCCGTCTTCAAACGTGGCAAGAAGAGGACCCTGTAGAGGCGGAAACTCAGTATCAAACGTAGATTGCCCAGGCGTCGCCAAAGCTGGATTGAAAGTGGCAGCTGTAGGAGCTGCCGCCACATCCGATATTTGATCCTTGCTGAGGTCCTCCTTCACACTGCCCAATGACAAGGGGCCATAACGTCTACGCTCTTTCCACTGCCATGGTTTTAGAGGTCTTGTCTCTCCGAACAGCTTTTTCAGTGTAGCCATTGACATCAACCCAACCAGTGATCGCTCGGTCGAAGGTGCTTCACGACGACTAGGCTGCTTGCCTTTGCTGTCACTCGCGGAATACGTGAGACCAAGGTGCGGCTTTGACGTATTGACCACCGTGGTATCGGTCGGTGCATCTTCAGCACGGCGACTAGACCAGCCTGTGTATCATCAGTCGGTCTCATCTTCATGTCTCATAGACCGCAAAAAGACACTCGCCTCTGCCCACTTGACGCCGGTGCCGATGTCCTTTCAGCTCAGACTTGTCAGAGGGCTTAGCTCCCTTCTTGGTCGACCTTTTAGTTCGAACCTTTGCACTAGAGTCGAAGAAAGATTGGGTGAGCTCTGAGATTGCTTTTTTCTTGTCCATCTGAGCAAGAGCGTTGAAGCGATTTTCAGGATCAGTGAAATCTGCCTCTTCCGAGTCGGACTTGTCTCCCTCATCATCAAGACGTGCGCTGTCTCCCATCAATCCCTCCAAAAATGTAATGTAAGCCTTCGTTTGGAAACTCGGTTCGATTTTAGACCCTTCAGCATTCATCTTATCCAGCTCAGCTTCAGTAAATGCCTTAGCAGAGATCGGTGCCATGGCATTGATCAGACTTGTCACATCGGGGTATGCTTCGCTACCCTTTCCAATCAGCCCTACTAGCTGTTCAAGTTGTTGAAAATCCTTGTAAATTGTCGGAGGGATCTCCAAGCTATCCAAATGTGATTCGAGGACATTCATTATGTCCCGATGTTGGCTCTGCATTGTCTTTTCATTCTCGAGATATTCCTTATTCTGCTTCACCATTTCATGTAGTGAAGTAGACCCGCGATTTGTGGATTTGAAAAGACAGAGCATCCGTTGATGATTCAGAGTCTGACTGGCGCTCCTGTTCTCAACCATGTATTTGATACTGAGGAGTTCTCTCGATACAACATCCAGAAAATCTCGATCCATCGACTTATCAGCTGTGGCGTCCCATTTGGTGTAGGTCTGATTCAAGTGATCTCGAGGAGGTCGATCCAGGTGGTCTCCACATTTTTCCATGAAAGGTGTCAGCCTATCCATGTAGATACCCAAGGATTTCGAGTATGTCTTCAGAACCTTTTTCTGAGCTTGATGCAATGGAGATTGCGAGTCGAAGATCCCAGAGTCCAGCGAATCTTGCAATTTCTGGGAGAAAGAAACGGCTGCATTGGTGAATTTTGGAAGCCACGCCGTACTCGTGTACATTCGACCTCTGTCAGATTGCGTACGAAGCTTGAACATTCTTCGTCCTGGTTTCCTGCTTTCAACCTCGAATCGCGTGAAAAGCTTGGTCCACTCGTCAAATTGTTGCTGATAGGTAGGCTGATTCGTGCTGACAGCGCCTGGTGCTTCGTTCACTGTCAGAGAGATTCCAGCCGTCATGGAGAAATTCCCCGTCGAATCTCGAAGCGGGAAAAACTCGATCAAGTCGTAGTTCTGTAGACCGCTTCCCATGACGGGGCCAAGTGAGGAGGAGGCCGTGGCGATAATATCCTCAAGGTCCTTGCGAGCTTTGTTCGCTCGCTTACTCTGGTTTGTCTTTGGCATTCTGATCGATGGGAAAACCTGATCCCCCCTGCGTGAATAAGGCTTTGTGTAGTATCTTACTGTCGCTTTAGAGTGTGGACTGTGGAGGTTGTGTTAGGAGGGAAACGGAAGACTGGGCAGTCCTCCCTCACAGGTATACTAAATCCAGAGTTGGACTTTCTCATTCTCCACCGAATTGGCGGGGATTTCTCCTTGTGAATGGAAACCTACTGGTCTTCTGGTGGTGCGTTGTCGAGTGCAGCAAGTAGGCATTTTAGGTGGGAAACGTTGCTGGAATGTGGATATGAAACGCTGGACTCATCCAGTCTGTTCGAAGGGGTATTGCCCACAAAGGAGGGCAACACTACACACTCAAAGGAGCATGCAGTAGTTCTAGACGACTGTTTCGAATTCCTACCTACAGGGAGGTCGTCTCATATCTTCTGGCTATACAGGCCAACTCAGGAATGGAAATGCGCAAGATCAAGATTGATACCCAATGCCGCGCAGGATTCTTTGAAGTCTCTCCAAGTCACCAAGTCACGATGATCTGACGCTCAGAGGTGGCAGAGGGTAGGTGGGATTCAAATCTAGTGCTCAGTTGCAGCTTAGTGGGGAAGTGGCCGCCACAGGAGATCAGCAGACCAAGTCTCATTTCCTGTTGTCAACAGAGCAACGATGATGTTGTCAATCAGTCTCGCTCATTGCCTGGACACTTGGTCACGTTGAATGACGGTTCACGTTGCCGGGGAACCAAAGGTTACTTGGTCCAGTGCTGATTGAGGATTGGTCTCCGATTCCTTCTCTCTTCTCCTCTCTACAATGGAAATCAAAGCGTTTTCGACCATTGTCAAAAGATCTCCATCGGCAATAGGAGGATTGTATACTATGTCGATATCGTCCGAGGCGAATCGTTTTCCTCCTCGATCCAGAAGAAAGCCTTCGTCATCCGTCTCTAATGTCGGGAGTAGCAAGTCGGAAGATCGGCCAGTTCCTGGCGACTGGTTTGCGTGTTCTCCTTGGGGCATTACGCTCTCCGCCCAGTATCGTTCTGAGCCTGCCACGGAGAGGATTTCGGCGTCATCGTTAATACCTTCCTCGTCGGTTTGCGTGCGATCCACAGCGAAGGCATCGTATTGCAACGGGGGGAATTCAGCGTCGAAGTTGCCGCCTCCTGGTGCCAAAGCGGGATTCCAAGTAGACGTGGCAATGGAATTTGCTGCTTCCCCAAGCGCCACATCGGAAGCTTTACCGACCTTGGACATTGAGTATGGTCCGTAGAGTCTACGCTGTCGCCATTTCCATGAAGGTAGAAGAGGAGGTCTTTTCTCTCCAAACAGCTTATGCAGCGTCTCCATCGACATCAGCCCCATGAGCGAACGATCCGTCGAGGGAGCTTCCAGTTGACTACGCGTCTTGCCGTTGTAGCTAGCCTCAACAGAGCCAGTACCCGAAGGTCCCCCTGACTCTCGATGAGAAGCAGCAGCCGTGGACGTGCCCGCTCGACGGGCCACCTGCCTGAGTTGTGTGAGTCACATTCCCGGAATTCTGATGGGACACATTCCGACTCACCCTGGTCCGCCAGGCCGCTGTTCCAAGCCCTCTCCGCAGAGATTCCAACTGCTCTCTGAGCCACAGTGTCCTGCGGATTCCTCCTTCTAGCCCTCGCGCTCGCCTCAAAGAATCTTTGCGTTAGGCTTGAGATGGCATCGGGCTTTTCCATCCGGCTCAATTCGAAGAATGGGTTATTGACAGCGTGGTATTCCTGTCCTTCAGGATCTGATTCATCTGCGGCAACGGTACTTTTGGAGATCTCTTCGCCTAAGAGATCTTTCAGGAAGCTTGTATAGACTTCGCCTTGGAAGTCTTGTTTCTGAGTTGTCTCTCGACTCATCCTGTCCAACTCCTGTTTCGTGAAGGCTGTGGCGGAAACCGGGACCATCGCGACTGCGACGCTTGCCACATCGGAAAAGTCGTGTGCACCATGTCGTAGTAACTTGACAAGTCCGCGCAATTGGTTGAAATCCTTGTAAGAAGATGAGGGAATCGACAGCAATTCTAGCTCTCTCTCGAGTAGATCGACCTTTTTGTGAAAGGCGGTTGTCATCTTCTCTTTGCTGTCGAGGTACCTCCTGTTAACCTGGATCACATTGCGCAGGGAATCCCGGTCCATCGATCTGATCGCGCAACGCATTCGCACGTCGTTCAAACGATCTCTTGCCTCTCGGATCTTGCTCTCGTATCTGATGCTGAAAAGCTCTCGAGAGCACACATCGAGAAACTCGAGTTGCGCGGAGTCATCAGTGCCGGGCGGCGCCTTGCCCCATCTGTCGAAAGCAGCATTCCGAGACTCGTCGTCAGGTTTCCCCAAGCTGATACCGCACTGTTCCGCGGACAGAGTGAGCTCGTCTTGAAAATCGGACAGCCTTTTCGCATACTGCGCCATGACCTGCTTCTGAAATGTATGTATCAAGGTCTCAGCTTTGAAGTCCGTATCATGGAGAGAATTTAACAATCGTTCACCAAATGATCCAGCCTCATTGACGAAAGCGTCTAGCCATTTTGTGCTCGCATCTCGACTCGCACATTCACCTTCTTCCCTTAGGTCGACTTGGCGTCTCCCGACTTTCTTAGACTCCTGCTCAAATCTCTTGAATTGCTTGCTCCACTGGTCGAAGTTGTCCTGGTCGATATCCGGGGATCTGTCTCGAATGCTTCTGTCCTTGTTCAGAACGACACCGATGATGCTGGTCATGGTGTAATTCCCAGCATGATCACGAACTGGAATGAAATCGATCAGGTCAGGTTTCAAGGACCCAACGCTTATGTCGGACTCTGTTGTGACGAGCCCCAGCAGACTATGTACGGCATTGGCTACTGCTCTATTAGCCGTCTTCCTCTGCCTGTTCCGAGGCATGGTGATAAGCTTGGTCAAAACTCTACGTCCGAGATCGTGTGCAAAGTACCTTGAGAGCGCTGAGAGGCTTCGCGCGATGTGACAAGTGAAGCGTTGAAGGTCTATGAGTCCGCAAGTCGGTGAAAAGTCCAAACTGAAGGAGGATCTTCTTGAGAGGAGAAATATCGTCAATAAATAAAGTGTACCCGTCAAAGGGTGAACTTTTGGCCCATTGCAGGCTCAAAGGATGCGTGGGGCACAAAGGGTGCGGCAACCATCTAGAACCCTTGGAAACTGAGCAGTATTCTGGTGAGCTCGAAACGATACAGCGAATGCCAACCGTCTCAGACGGCATTAGCGATCTAGCAAGCTTTAGCCGAATACTAGCCATGTCATCGCCGACCAGGCCTGTCGAAGGCATGCTGAGTCTTTTGATCGAGCTATTCCCAGCCAATATCCCACCACCAGTATCCCAAGACCTCATCCGTCCTGCCTTCGCCGCGTTTTCCCCTGACTGAACGCTTGCCAGATCCTCTCGTTCCAAGGCGCAGCCCTCTGCTCCTGCCTAGACCGAGAGAGGGTGGGACGTCCTTCTGATCACTGCTATCACGATATGATCGATGCGTTGGGAAATGAACATCGATGGATTCGATCTCTGGTGTGAACGTCGGCCGTAGAGGAGAAAGAATGTGCTGTAAAGCATTAGCTCATGAGAGTATCTGTGGATACCATGACATGACTCACGAATGTCCCGCCTGCGTCTCCAGGAATGGAGGGATCGGGGAGGCGTAGAACCCAACTGGCGACTTGATATAAGAGCTCCGAGTGTGTTGGATCGTATACGCAATCTGAAGCTAATACGAGATCGAAAGGCTCGTCGTACATGGCTCCTGTACCGCTGTCAAGCGACGAGTCCTTAACCACTGCTTCATGACTCAACCTCTTCTCCATCGCGGCCGGAAACTCGCGCCAGTCTAATTGAGCAATGTCGACGCCATGAGCCGGTGGATTGTCGACCAATCCAGTCTGAGGTGGGAAATTGAGATCCACACAGACTTTGAGATTGTTCAAGACGTCCGGATGAAAGTCGGTGGCGAGGACTAAATGTTCAGGCGGCGGTGACACCTCTACAGTCGAGTCGTGCAGTGTCAAGAGCTTGCGACACAGGATCGATAAGAGACCTGTTCCAGCTCCAAGTTCGAGGATCCTCTTACCTCGACAGCCAGCTTTCGGGAACAACTCAAATTCATCGGGATGGAGTGAGATCTCTCGACCGAGCAGGATCGCACTGCCCCAAGTTTGTACGCCTACACTGAGGTGATCCGCCATTGGGGCATCGTGCAGGAGAACAGGGATCAATGCCCGCCGTCTTGAAGTCTTCCGATATCGGCGTCCGGAGCTCGTACTGACAAACGTTCGGACTGTTTCTGGTGAAGTCGATAGGGCATTCTGGGATCGCGTGGATCGAGCCACGGAGCTTGCGCGTCTCCGAATGGTCTTTGGCGATGAGGACATCTCTCGAGCAGAGAGAAAAGGGACGAGAGGAGACGTAGGGGATGTAGCGAGAGAAGTGAGAAAGTTTGATGTCTCCGGTGACATCGCAGGAGTTGGAGCGAGCGAAGCATTGAGGGCTCTGATATGAGGCGCTAGAGAAGGATGAACAGGGAAGACGAGATGGCGAGTGAGAGAGCCAGCGGCTGGACACGGGATGATCAGCTGGAATACTGACCTCCTCTTGGTCAAGTACCTTCATGACTCACCACTTGTCCCAGCCATCATAGCCATGACGGCCGTAGCGTCCCTCAACACCGCCTCTATATCCCTGTACTCTGTACCATGCTCGTCCACGATCGACTCTTCCGATTCTCTCTCCTCCATCCATGATTGTGCACGTCGAAGTAATCCGCTCAACCATTTCGTGGCCCAATCTCTCTCGAACGGGTCAAGATGCGCCGCTTCGGCACCGTCATCGACATCATTCTCGTCCATTGATACTGCTCCTTCAGATCCATCGTCATCGCTTTCGTCGTTCCCTTTGCCAAGACCATCGGACCCAGTATCGAGGTGAAGACCTCCAAGCTTCTTAACCGTCACTCTGAGCCCATTCTTCGAGCTCCCGCTATCATCTTCCTCGTCGTCGTCGTCGTCCTCCTCCTCCGCCGCCAAATCTCTCAGATCCGAAGCATTAAAGCCTCCGTGTATAGGCGGGAGGTAGAGTTCTCGCAAGATCGCAATGTGTCCAAGTAGATCTTGAGGTGAAAGAGGATAGAGGGAGGTGGTGGATTTTGGTAGGTATGGCAAAAAGCTGCTAGGAATGAAAGAAGGGATCGACATGGTCGTTTTCGCCAGCAGAGGCTAGGAAGTGTCACTAGAGCCCCACTTACTGTGCCGTGAAATGTCATATGATCATAGTCATCGATAGCTCTGTGCAGGTACAAGCGTGCTCGTCCACCAGAGATCTAATAAATGGCAGCATTTCGGTCGGAAATTTTGCTAAAAAGATCTGCGGCAACGAGATGATCGACGAAGCGGCAAGAAGGAGCCGGGTTCAGACAACGATCCTACTGATATTGGGCGTCTACGGGGATTCCGGTATACTTCATACGGGTCAAAGCCCTCTCATACATCCAACAAATTCTACGTCTGTGTTTCCTTGTCTCGTTTACGCTTCTTCTTCTCCTTCTTCTCCTTCTCGCTGCCGCCAAACTCCTCCACCTCTTCTGAGACGCCAGCGATTGGTTCTGCTTCTCGCTGCTCAACTTTCCGCTTCCTCTTCAGCTCCTTCTCCGCTTTTCTCATGGCTCTCTCTTCTCTCCGAGCCTTCCTGTCTTCCTTGCTTTCCACCTCTGGAAGTTCCGTCTCCTCTCTGACAGTCTCATCTCTTCTCTTCTTCTTCTTCTTCCGCTTCTTCCCTTCCACTGCTGTATCATTTGGAATTTCTTCAGGTACTATGTCTGAAGTCACGCCAGGTACCAGCTCATCGAATGTGACTTTCTCCGGTGCCAGCGTCTTGCCTTTGAGGAATTTGGAGTAGAGCCCTCTCCGTGCCGCCTCTTTGCCTTTACGGGCCGAGATGCTGAGGCTGGAACCGGCCGTAGACGATGAAGAGGGATTGACAGAGGGAGGAGCTGGCGAGGTAGATGTCGAAGCGGCGGGTGATGAAGCGATAGAACTTTGAAGTGAAGCAGCTGTCGCTGCGAAGATACTACAGGGTATGTTCAGTATTCCTGGGTTAGATAGAAGCGATCATGGACCCACTGATCCCAGAACGGAATAGCCTCGTCTCGATCCTTCCCTATGCCAGACAACGTCTTCTTCTTGACCACGGCCAGCGGTCGAGTCGAATGACCTTGCTTCAGGGCTGACAGACATCTACATTAACTTTCGCCAGTCATGTGGGGACTCTCGACCCACCACTGCCCTTCCCTTTCCAGCCTTGTTTACTGAGATGAGCAGCTGGATCAAATCTCCTTTTGGCGTCTGCCATGTTGACCATGCCTCCACCAAGAACGTAGCGGTGGTCTTCCCTTTCAAACCGTCAAGCAATGAGCTCAACGACGATGGAGACCTACAAACTTCGTACAGCTAGCCAGCTAAGACTTCGGATCCGAGCGAAATTTGTGAGATCACGTGACATTGTTGCCAACTTGGCTGCTGCGACCGACCGTCATGATCATGTATGTATCTCCTTTCTCGCTCTGCTCAGACCATTTGCACGTCAAGCCAAAGACAGCATGACGGCGAACGGAGAGCATACAGCTGGAATGGAGGATGAGCCGAGAGGTTCCGGATCCGCCCAACATATCACCGAAGGTTAGCGACTTGCGCCTGGCGTTGAGCGAGTCGACGTCCCAGTCGTCAACCTGCGGAGCCGACGTGCTGACTCGATACCGCCAGATGAAGCGTCCTTATACGATAGGCAGATTAGATTATGGGGTCTAGAAGCTCAGAATCGGTCAGTATCTTTCTTACGTTCTGCACCCCTCGGATCAAGCTGATATACCTATCAGTATGCGATCCTCCACTGTCCTCCTGTTATCGCTTCGATCATTGGCGCATGAGACCATCAAGAACCTGGTCTTAGCGGGTATAGGACGTCTGATAGTGATGGATGATGGGGCCGTGACTGTCGACGATCTCGGAACGGGATTCCTCTTCCGAGAGGAAGAAGGGGCAGTGGGCCAGGAAGTAGGTCTGGTCCTCTCGTCATCACTTCAAATAGCGAGTCTGTGGCTAATCCTTCCCGGTAGCGTGTCCGAGCTGCCGCTGCTCAGATCGAGTCATTGAATCCACTGGTATCTCTCACTGTCCGACCGACGCTTTCGCCCTTTGTCCGGGATCCCAGTACAGCGTCCTCGTCGGTGGACACGGAGAGGGAAATGGTCGATTTCTTACGAAAGGAGCGAGTCGACGTGGTGGTCGCCTGTGATCTGAAGCGCGACCAATTGGCAAGTCGCTCTGACACTTAGTAGGTTTCATTACCTGACATCTCCTAGATCGCCATCGATGGTGCTGCCCGCAAAGCTGGCTCCATGTTCTACGGCGCCGGGTCATATGGCTTTTACGGCTATGTTTTTGCAGACCTCGGAGCAGACTACGAATACGTATACAGGTGAGCTTAGCTCAAGCCTGATGAGCAAATTTTGACTCAGGCTTCTAGCCCTCTTTCAACTTCTACGAATCCTTCACCTTCTCTGTTCAAGAAAAAGCTTTCGTTTCCAAGCTTCTCTCAGGCTTTGGAAACATCCAACTGGTATCTGGGCCACAAATCAACTACATTGGGAGCCAGCCCATTCAGGGACCTCACACGACAGGCTACGAGAGACAGTGATCCTTTGACAGTCATTGCGATGCTAGGTGAGATACCATGCCTGAACAGATGGGACTGCACTGATGTTCCTTCAGCTCTGTGGGAGTACGAGAAGCGGTTCGGCAGTCTACCTTCTAGCTCGAGCCGGAAAAGACGGCGTGCCATCCGAGACGAAGGGGAACAGAGGAGTGGGACCTCGCACGATGCCGATGAAGCTCCATCTGACGATCCTCCCCACATCGACGATCATGAAGGGGTGACCGCATCCGACTCGCATGAGGCATTTAATCAAATCTACTCAGATTTCAAGTCTCAACTCGGTCTGAATCCGAAGTTCCGAGCACCAGGCGACCAGCATGGACTGGATATGGAATCGATCATGCTATCGTAAGCTGGCGAAGTCAAGGCGTCTGGGAGATCAGCTCACTTTCCTCAGGCATCTTGTGACCCATGCCGAACATTCTTTTGCGCCAACTTTGGCGATCCTCGGCGGACTCTTGGCTCAGGATGTCCTCCGTGCATTAAGCAAGAAAGACAAGCCATTCGTCAATCTGCTCGCTGTGGACTCGATGGGAGGTACCGGGGCTGTCAGTCGATGGGCCATGTTGGATGCGGTTGATGCCTGATCGCGGGCGACGGGCACTCATCGCGCCGATGTCTGGCACACCGTTCTGTATGCACCTCCACGAGCTTGACGTTTTATGAGCTTACGCTCTCTCAGACTTGTATATTTTGATGCATGCCGAGCTACATCGATGTTTTCCCGATCGTCTACCCAAGTCTATCGTCGTCTCAGTCATCATGCCTTCTCTAACTTGTCTGTACAACCCAGGGTCATTGTCCGTCTTCGAATGTCTCCTCGACTTGCTCCTCTACAGTGTGTCCGTTGGCCTGTTTGCCCTCTGACGTGACTCGCCTGACAGTCGTCCCTCAGCAGAGTTCCCAATTCTGAGGACCCGCTGCAACTCACCAAGTCTCGTGATGCCTCGTTCCCAGTCTTCTCAATTCTTCTATGAAAGCCGGATCCCCTAATCTCGATCTGAAAGTCTCTTGCTGTATCAGAGTCAGGTACACGAGACATGTTGGATACCTAATCCATACCGAAAGATATCAGGATCGGGACTGGGCCATAAGCCTGTTTCAACTCACACGATGAACCGAACATACTCTGGCTCTCTCCAGTAATCCAGATACTTTAGATAATTCAACATTTCTGCATTATCCAACAGTCCTTGAGTATACAGTTCCTTGAGATACAGTGGATTCGCGAGACATTGTACAAACTGAATTCCCCAGATCGAGGTCAGGTCTCCGTTTCATGGAAAGGGGATAACCTCACCTCTAGCTCTGATTGAAATCTGACTATATTCCCATATCGCTCCGGGGATCTAGCACTGCCGTCTGCCCCAGGAAGAGGTAGAATAACCCCCTCATGAGCTTGCATCATGTTGCATGGAAGGGGGTGTTGAGCAACAGCACCAAGTAGTAGTGGAGATAATCGTGCCGCTATCCCATTTCTTGAGGGCAAAAACTTTCCCACGGTCGCACCGTATCATTCGCTTTGAAAAGTTCAAAAATTTCAAGTCCACCTTCCACTCATTGACCTTTATCAAGTCACAATGTCTGCTCAGAGCAACAGCGCTGGTCAAACGAGCAATGAAGCCGGACCATCAGCCTCTGGGGCTAATGGAAGCGGACCCCGGCAGCTGGCCATCAGTCTCATCACTCGTTCACCTACCGATGCCATCCCATCTTCGACCTATTTCATCCCTGCATCATGGAAACGGTATCAGCTCTCAGAGCTGATCAACAAGGTCCTCAAGTATCCTACGCCAGTCCCATTCGATTTCCTGATCAATGGTCAAGTCCTAAGAGGCAGTCTGGAGGCTTGGGTGCAGCGGAATCGAGGAGGTGATGAAGAAGGCACTATCGATGTGGAATATGTGAGGAGTTTGATGCCACCGGAGGAGGTTGGAAGGGTCGAGATGGAAGATTGGGTGTCGGGACTGAGTTTAGCTCGGTCAGGGTGAGCTATCATCCATTCATGGGTCTGGGGCAAGCTGACTGTCTTTCCAGGCACATTCTCGTGTCCTCCTATCTGTCGCATGTGCAGATTCTGCCATTGACACTGGACGCCGGATCCGCCTTCGATGCCGCGACACATACTCTCCCCCTTCCGACCACGCTTGGTGCGACGTGCTGTACCTGGCTCTCGCCACCTTCAGCGACCACCAACCTTCGCCTTGCAGCTGGAGGCGTAGACCGTGCAGTGCACGTTTTCACTCTGCCTTCCTTGGATCCCTCATCCTCTACTTCGGGCCGAGAATTGTTCACCCTGATGGGACACACTGGTCCCATCTCCAGTATATCCAGTAGCTCGTCAGGTCGAGAACTCGTATCTGCATCTTGGGATGGCAATCTTCACCTATACATCATGCCTGAGGATGAGCCGACAGAGCATCAACTGCCGTCCGACCCCACGACCTATCTGCCGGGACAGAAACGTAGAAAAAAGATGAAAGAGGAGCGAGGACCTATTGAAGGGCTCACAGATGGTGATATCGGAACCGAGGGCTGGAGGAGAGCACCAGAGCTCATCATGCGAGGTCATAAGGGAAGGATAGGGAGTGTGGCATGGGACAAGCAGGACACGAATAAGACATGGTCTGGTGGCTGGGATGGTAGTGTTAGAGGGTGGGATATGGAGACCGGCGCGTGTACCGTAGTCAGGGTGAGCTATATTTATCTCGAAAGCTCGGGTCCTTCTTACTGAGCATTCTCGCAGCAAGGATCAGCCGATAAGAGTATACTCGCGATGGATCAATGGGCGTCAAATGGAACAATCGCGACAGGCAGCATGGATCGGACAATTTGTCTATGGGACACACGAGAGGGTGGGATCATTCTCCTTACCTGGGGGAAACATACATACTAATCTAGTTCATCTAGCATCGTCCCTTATATCATTGACCATGCCTACCACTTCACCCGTCGCTTCCCTCACGTGTCATCCAACCTCTCAATATACACTGTGTACGGCCACGTATTCCGGAGCGGTTCAAATCTGGGACGTTCGATCGCCCAAGAATGCCTTGTTCAGTTTCAGAAAGCAGCGGAAAAATGCTGGAAGTGCAGAGAAGGAGCGCAAATTCAACGAAAAGGGAAAAGTGTTCGGAGAGAGATTGTTGGCCTGTGATTGGGATGGCAAGGTCGTAGTGGCTGGTGGGGAAGACGGAGAAGTCGGCATATGGCGAGCGAGCGGCTGAGACTTGATGTATGGATTGTGACCAATGACTTATGCGTCTTCGTCGTTAACTACGAGATCAGGATAGTAATCTGTGCGATTGCTTTTTTCAGTCTGGCTCGGCATTCTTCCGTGCGGCAGAGACACTTACTGGGGTATCGCCCTGGCTTCTGCTCGTTCCAGATTAAGATCGCATCCTCCAACATGTCCTTGAAACTCCCTCCATCTTCCATCCATTCTCGAGCTGCTCTGCCGAGACACCAGACGTACAATCTAGGTAAGCACTGAAAATAGCCTGGTGGCATGTAGATCGGGTCCAAGACATGTTTATCAATGACGATACCTCCATCCTGATCACTAGACCAAGTGCATTTTTCAAGCTGAGGTAGAAGCTTCATGGCCAGATCTTTCGCGTCGTGTTTGAGAGCGAGGACGAAAGCAAAGACCATGTCGCCTAGGTCTTCGAATGCCAAGAGCTTCCCAAGAGCAGCTTGACGGATGGTATTTGAGACTATCCACTTGCGGCAGAATTCAAGCAGGTTGGAAATCTCGTAGGGGTCGTCGTAAGACTTCGTTTCATCCGTACCCGTCGCAAGGTCCAGGAAGAAATAGATGATACTGGAATGTTCGATCTGACTATCGACGAATTCGATTCTGTGTTACCTGAGATGTTGACTCGGCTCCATAGTGGGTATAGGAGGAGTTGTAAGAGAAGCAGCCGATTGAATGCTGCTTCGCGTTCGTGGACGCTTCGCTGGTGGGGTTGAAACGATAGGCGATATGAGAAGATCACGAAAAGTCTCACTGCGAGAAAGCCCATTAGCTTCAAGCGATGCTGTCGTTGCGCTGGACCTACATACCTCGCACTGAGAACGAAGTGAGAAGCGACAAAGAATATATAGCCATCCGAGCTAATCAAGACGCAATCAGCCGTCTGATCATTGTACTTTGGGTGTATCAAGAGGTTTGTGCCTTCCAACTTGACTGGAGGGTTGGACTTTCGTGCTGTCTTTTTGTGGCGAGTCATCCTTATGGAGCTTCCAGAGCTGTTGAGATATGTGTGATGTGGATAGATAGCAGGTGTGTGGAGGAACGGATACGAAGAGGATGTGTCGACAGATCAACAGTCTCTAACCGAACCAGCGCACTGACCTCCTCCTCCTGGTGAAATGTGGCACTTTCCTTCATGATGACTCCCCGACAATGTGCCACACCCTCTCTAGCGGAATTCATCTGGAGACAGGGAGGGAGGCATGGTGAGGGAGAGCGTGAGTCACTGATGGAACCGACACACGCTGCCAGTGGCTAATATGACGTGAATTCTCAGATACTGTCTTTGTATTCTACCTCCCTGTAGAGCTTTGTACATACTGCAGATACAGTATGTCCAATTCGATGCCTAAAACCCGGCCCTCCACCAGAAGTCAGACTTTAAGACGTTTGGCGCTCATGGCGACCACTTCGTATCGATTGTAAGGCCATCAGAAGCGAGACCCTGTAGTATTGCACCTGGACTGCGTCTGTTGTTGATCTGTATGGGCAGATTGGGGATCAGACTCTCGCTGCACGCGGAGGGCATGCGAAAGAAAGGTTGGCTAAAGCCCTTCCACAATGTGAGACACATAGCACCAGATGTCACCTCAGAGTAGTCGTCCTGTTGCGCTCCTCTGGACCCCCCATATACTCGTCACACATAAACTTGGACGAAAAAGCTACTGCCTTTGCTCACCACCATCACCCTGCTCGTCGCCACCTCAGTGTGTACCGTTTATTATACCTCGTGCCACGTGTCCAATTTTTTGATTCCGGAAAATGACGCACACTTTCAACAATAGGATCTCGTCGTCGAACATTGAACATTCCTTCCATCGACGTCGACAACGAGCAACGAGCAGCGAGCAGCATCGACAGGGATCTCATACTCCTGGACAGTGGACATTGACCTGCTTCACTGCTCAGAAAGCTCGGTCATCCCTCCCATTTGCACCAACCCCCATCACACACCAGCTAGCTGACGAGACTGGACGAGCGTTGAATAATCATTCCATCCCCCCCTTCAGCCGCTCGTCTCGAGCTCAGTGATTCGAACCTACAAGTCAGAACTCCTCTACTATCTCGCTCTGAGATAGAGTATGAGTGACGACGAGATGTTCGAAGATGGATCTTCAGGCTGGTCGTCCTACTCCTCAGGCTATTACCCCTATTACCGACCTAGATCACCGTCCAATCCACCTGTCCCTCCTGATCCCATCGATTCGTACAATGTGAAGTTCATCGAGGGCAGTGGATCCAGAGGCAAATGCATGTGAGTTATTGGTCCTGCAAAGTTGCCGCTTGCGTAGAAGCTCACGCATCCACCAGCGACCTCGCGTTCGTCCTTGATTGCACGGGGTCCATGCAAAAATACATCAACTCCGTCCGAGATCACATTATTGGAATTTGTGACCTCATCAGAGGGGAAGAAGGTCTCAATGGACCAGAAGATCTACGTATAGCGGTGGGTTGCTACTCGCTTCTGGTCTGGAGCCAAAACCTGCTGACATGCCTCGGCACAGGTCGTCAACTACCGTGATCACCCACCTCAGGACGCAACTTACGTGTACAAATTCAATCCCTTCACGGCCGATGTATCGTCTGTACAAGACTATCTGCGAGGTCTGACAGGTGAGATAAATCATACTCATGCGTTTCGGTCAGCTCACTTTCGTGCCAGCTGGAGGTGGTGGCGACGGGCCTGAAGCAGTCACGGCTGGGCTGGCGGCAACGCTGACGGAGCTAGAATGGAGACAGTCCGCGTCAAAGATGGTCGTGCTCATTGCGGATGCTCCACCTCATGGTGAGTGGACAACATGCCGAGGGTGGCCAATTGACCTTCGATGGCAGGGATCGGAGAGTATGGCGATCGTGAGCTTGAATCTCTTCAAAACGACGACAGAATGGCTCACTAGACTCGAGAAATCAAGATCGGAGATCCTGACGGTCATGACCCTTTGGTCATTGCGAGGACGATGGCTCAGAACGGTATTACTTTGGTTCGCTTGGCCTTTTCCTCGTCTGAGCCAAGCTGACCTTCTGCAGTTCATGGTAGCGTGCGAGGAGACCTTGTCAGGCTATGGTGTAGGTGGTCTCTGTCTCAAACTCGACCTGGTGCTCAATGAACCTCTTCAGCGCGCCGTGGATTTCTTCACTGCCATTTGCAACATGACGTCAGGTGTCATGCTACCTCTGACGACCGCGGACCTGCTGGCTATGACGATCGTGGGCAGTGTTCTGGAGAATATGGACATGGAACGGTTGATCCAAGGTCAGCTACACCAATACCTTGTCTGGTTCGAGAGCTGACATAATTCACAGAGATCGGCCAGGAAGTTGCTCAGCGAGTGAGGCAGAAGGGCGAAACTATGCAGAGTGTGGAGGAGGTTGCCCAGTGAGCTCGGATGTGCACCATGTCAGAACGTGCTGATAGCATTCAGGGAGCTACACGAGCGTCTCCTTCTGCGCAATGAGCAAACCAAGCAAATTCAACTACCCGACGTCTATATCCAGACCGATGACTCAAAGAAGAACGTTTCGACATGGATGAATGGCAAATACATCAGAGATGTGGCGAAAGACATCATCGAGGTGGGCGAGTTGTCCCTTGTGTAATGCCAAGCTCACCAGTATTAGATCAAGGGAAAGCGACTCACCGATGGCTTCAGAAAGACCAACGCAGATTCCGGCTACAAATACGTGCCCGGCGGTCGATTACCTCCCCGTCGGACCTCTGCATCCGCCGCGACCTTTGGCGCTCCTCCCACCCCGTCGTCACCGGGTGATCGCGCTGGCCTCGCTACTCCTCCCGCCCCGGGCTCCCCACCTCAAGCGTCCTCCCCTTCTCGTAGGGTCGTGAGCGATTTCAAGCCGTTTGGTGCATCGTCGTTTGGTTCTGGGACTTCACCCCTCAGCGTTTTTGGAGCTCCCATGCTGGCGACTGGACCTGGTGGAGGCATGTTTGGATCGGCTGGGAGAGCTCCGGCAATGAATAGTGGCAGGACCACCTTCAGAGGATCTAGGGACGAAGAGGACGATGATGATGACGATGATGACGGACCATCCTTCAAGCGTGATGCCATCTCTTTAGACCAGGTGAGCTTGGCGAAGGAGCATTGAACGTGACTGACGAGCTATACCTTTCAGGCTCGACGAATCGCAACTCAATCAGTGTTCCGAGCTGGACGACTGGGCTAGGAACATAAGATAATTCTCCGTCACGCTCTAGATTTACGACCTACGCACTCCAAGCTACGATCTTGTCACGCCAAAAGGCAACAACACCACATTCTAAAGACCCATTTTGCATAGGTTTTCAACCCTGTACATACTTTTTGTCGATACAGCATGTTATGCATGAAATGTGCATCTTGTCACACATCACTCCGGTGAGGTGAGAGGGTCGAGCTCCTGAACATGTGCTCAGCCACAGCGGCTCTCAACGTTGCATGACTGCCATCCATCCACTCTTCGTTGCTGTCGTTTGGGATTAAATGATTGTTAATTCATTGAGAGATAAATATTCACATCGGTATTCCTTGGTCCACCACTTCATATTGATGGTCTTTGGCTATCACTATACGACCACCACACCATGTCTGCCGAGCCATCAACGTCAAAACTAGCAGCTCGAGTAGCGGATGAGGAGGATGAGATGGCCGCAGAGGCAGGAACGAGTACCAGTATAGCAGCGAGGGTCGGGCAAGCGTCAGATGGAGGTACGTCCAACTTGTAGTTGGCACCCAAAGGTTTGAAAAGCTTATGGGTTTCACTCCAAGTAGATCTCAAGCAAGAAGGAGGGTCAGAAGTCAATCACGCGAATGGGGGAGACGGAAGGGCGGAGCAAGAAACAGAGGAAGAGGAGAAAGACCCGAATCGTATACCGGATAACGCCTGCGAGACGTTGTACCTTCAGAACTTGAACGAAAAAGTCCGGATACCAGGTGAGTGTTTTTGCAAACAGCGCCAATGGCTGCAGTATCGTCCTTCGAACCCTCGTCGAGTCCGATTCAAGACTTCAGAGTGAGTGCTCACGACTGTTTCTCTCGTAGTCATGAAGGACACCCTATCACTGTTGTTCAAACCATATCATCCGCTCTTACCAGTCATTGCGCATCGGAATTTACGGATGAGAGGTCAAGCATTTGTAACGTTTTCCAACATTGAAGAGGCGAATCAAGCTAGGAAAGATGTAGCTGAATTCCCATTGTACGGCAAACCCATCGTGAGTCGCTCGCTCTCAGATGTTGGAAATGTGCCAGGACGAGTTTTCGCTTGTATACTGACGGATCTCGCGCCAGCAAATATCATTCGCTAGAGGGAGATCGGATTCAGCCGTTCAGAAGTTTGAAGGGGATGAAGCCTTTGAGGAGCACAAGAAAAAGCGGTTAGAAGAGAAGAGTGAGTTTTAACACACACTCTCGGGCTTCTAAATCAAAAAGGCTCCAAAGAGAATAGGACATGAGCGGATCAAACTGACACCAGCGTACAGAGAAGAAGAGACGAGACAATCCTTTAAGACGCAAGGCGGCGGAAAAGATGAAAGCGGGTGGGTCGCTGGTCTCCATACCTACCTCCCAACCTGTACTGACGGAAACGACGAGCAGAGGAGAGCGGTGCCCCAGCAGCAAAGAAACAAAGACTTCAAATGCCAGACGAATACCTACCTCCGAATTCAGTCCTGTTCATCCAAAATCTCCCGGAAGGAACTACATCAGACGACCTTCGCGAAGTCTTCGAATTGTAAGTCTGACCCAGTTGAAGCTTTGTCTGCAGCTGACATGATGCATTAGACACGCTGGATTGGTGGAGATCCGTACTATCCCCGCTAAGAAGGATATTGCCTTTGTCGAGTTCTCAGATGAAGGCGCTGCGACGGTCGCGAAAGAGGCACTGCACAACTTCAAGATTGATGGCGAGACAAAGATGAAGGTGTGTAGCGCGTTGAAGGAGAACAATCTCTTGCGAAATAAAACGCTAATTCTGTCGGCAGGTCACATATGCGAGAAAGTGAGATGTACGAGTGTATTTGCATGCAGTCAACCCCATGGATCAGCGCAGAGCTGGCAGCAGCTTGTGCGACGATCTACGAAGATCGAACATCTGCTATTGGATGCTCACAAAGGTGATACTATCCTTGACGCAAGCTCGCACGAATTACCTGTAAACTAGAGGAGAACACAAGACTCTTCCAGCACCCCCTTTTCCTTTACTCCCCATTTCCTCCAAGCCTCATCAACCATTTCTCTACTAATGACAACTTCGACATCTTTCCATTCGCCAAGATGCTCGGGATCCTGCCCGTCTTCCTCGTCCTGGGCGCAGTCCTCATCCCCCGATGTCGTCGTTCTCGGAGCTAGGCGCTTCCGCTTTGAGCGTCCGTCCGTCTGATTAGACGGACGACGATGTTTCAAGAATCCTAATTCTGCAAGCGTAAATGCCGCGTCGTCTATGCGGATATGACAGACAGAAGCGATCTCCGCAAGAGTTGTCGAGATGGAATATTGACCCGAGTGAGGCTCTTTGACTTTAAGGAATTCTGCAAAGTGGCGTGAGCCCAACTTTCTCTGCTCAGATGGACGAAAGACTTACTTTTGTCATCGATTCTGATCGTATTCCTCTCCGATTCCTTTACTGGCGTCACTGCGGATACTTTGCTCCGTTCCCGGAGGGATCGTTCAGATGCTTGAGGCTTGATTTTCATCGGGGTCTTGACCTTGACCGGGGACTGAGGATCCATAAGCGGTGCGGCACTCAGGAGCTTTCGACAAAATCGTAGGATGAGGGACGTCCAATAGGCCAGATACCCTTTGAGACCCAGATCGGATAATGGTCGTTCGGGAGTCCCTGGTGAACCGTCGAATGAGCTTGTGTTTGGGTGTTTTGTGAGGACATAGCCTGTGGATTGGGTCAATCCTTGACAAGTAATGAAGCAGGGAAGTCTCACTGAATTCTATCAGGAGTTTTCCGAATCCGTTATTCTGGAAAGGCGGGAATGTAATGATGCAGGCCAGGTTGTAGTCGTCGTACGATTGTCTTTCCTGGAATGACACGTCTATCAGCATTGGACGATGAAAGCAAGCATGCCCGCACACGCATGCCTCACTTTTGAGAAGAACGCCATGACTTGATCTCTGCGAGATGTCGCTGCATCGCACAGTACGTAGAATAAGAACCCTTCGACATGGTAGAAGACCGACTGGAAAGCCTGTCAGTTCAAGCCGTTGGAATTGATAATGCAGCTGACCTTGTGATCGATGAAGAGCTTCCCGAAAAGGCTTAAATTTTGACAGTAAAGCTAGAGCCGGGCCATTAGGGCCTTACGACCTTTTTCCAATCAGACTGACTCACAGGTGCTACCGCTCCATCTACTTCCCATATCGTATAGCTTCCACGTTGGTACACTCTTTTCCCTGGCGGCTGGAGCATTTGACAGTCCGCCTGGCGAATATGTGGTGTCAGCGAGATCGGCAAGGGGTCCGTTTGAGGTAGAACACACCGTGTGCCTTTCCCACCCATCTCTCGTCTTCATGTACTTGAAACACAGATCACATACCCAAAGCCTAGGTCTCGCCCCTTCTCCTCCTCGACCTACGCCGAAGCCAAAGATTTCCGTAGCTGTCCTAGCCGCACGACCTTTGAGCTCATGTGGTTGTCCTTGGTCTCCGCCACCGTTCGTGGTCGCCCCATTGGCCATTGGCGCTTTACCTTTCTTCGTACTGCTGCTGGACTTGGGAAGAGCTGCGCGACCGTGATCGTGGTCGACATGCCGAGTACCGGAAGAGGAGCCTGATCCTTCGCCATGTAAGTGCGGGTGACTCCGATTGGGATCGTCCGGAGATAGAGGGTACGGTGAATAGTACCTTATCTCAGAGGGTTAGGGTCTGTATTGTACAATTCGGGACTGACTAAATGAATGGACGTTGTCCACTTACCATGTATTGATCAGGTATTCTCCAAAGCGTACGTCTTCGAAATTTCTCACCCTCGTTGCGTTCGCATGCTCTCGCTCCGGTGTAGATGCCTCAGAACGCGGGACGTCCGGGAATCGATCCGATCCAGTCTCAGGATCCTAAGGACAACCGATCAGTCAAAACTCTGCTCTCGATTGACAGGCGTTCGAAATAGGCTCACACCCAGTTCGGAGTGGGCTCGCTTGAGGTTGGAAGCAGAATTTCGGCTAGGTCCCGCAAGACCAACACCATTCGACCCGTTCAGATGGACATTGTTCACTTCTGCTCCGATGTCGGAATCTGGGACCCATGTATCGAGTCGTTTATCTGTGCCGGCGAACGATACATAGACCTCACGTCTCCCAGATTTGGTGATTCGTACATCGAGAACGTTTGCGGCACCTAGAGAGGCTTGTTAGCTTTGAGTAGTTTCCTATGAAGCGGTGGGACTTGCGTGCTTGTCCACCAGGTCGATTGACCAAGTACTGCCTGTTCACTTCGATGTGGCTCGACGTTTCCGATCCCGGGAGTCGGCTTAAGATGAGCTTGGAACCAGAACTTGACATGACGCGTCTTGATCAAGTAGCTGTTCTATAGCGACCTCTGTAATTTGCCCCAGAGATCATCACTCGTTCGCTGCTTCCTCCTCCTTGAATCAATCACCAATGAATGACCTTTTCAGCAACAACAACAACAGCTCACGCTTCGAATGACGAGACGGAGATCAGGTGACATGTCCGTCAAAGTCCGGTGCCCCAGGCTCTGGTGGTCATTCCAGGTGCAGTGACGAGGAGTAGCTTGATGACGAGCAAGGGCGTGTTTCGTCACTGTACGTGAGTCTGAGAGCAGCGACGAGATCCTGCGCTGGACTGATAGATGGGGACCTCCTCACAGGGCCCTCGTGAACGAGCATTAAGAATTATGTGCGGGCGGTATGCCCTTGCGTTATCCAACGAAGAACTTTACGATGGATTACAGAATCAACTACCCCAACTATTCCAACGTGGTCGACCACGCTGGGAACGAGAGCAGGACTACAGACCAAAGTGAGATATATCAAAGTCTTCGAACCTGTCTATCAGCTCATCAATGGGATCAACGCAGCTATAATGTAGCTCCACGTCAACGTCAACCTATCATTCATCGGGATCGCGATTCTGGTGAGGCAGTAATCGAGACCATGTAAGTGCTGCTGCGAGCGGTGAGGATTGACTGAGGATCTCTCGCTCACGTTGCGCCGCAGGCAATGGGGTTTAATTCCTCATTGGACGAAACATCCTCCTAGTGGACCTATGAACACGATCAATGCCAGATCGGAGTCACTCCTGTACGTGCTCTGTTGATATACTGTATATACACTAGCTGACTCGTCCTTGTAGTGACCCTGCGTCAGGAGGAATGTGGCACGCTCTAAAAGGGTACAAACGATGTATTATCCCTGCTCAAGGGTGAGCGTCCCTTCAAGAGTCCTGTACATCATTATCAATCCTGACTTGGTCTCATTCAAGCTATTACGAATGGCAAAAGAAGGCCAGCAGCAAAGTTGCCCACTTTACTCGTCTACCCCTTGGGAAGCAAGACACCAACGCATCTCCGCCGCTCATGTTCTTTGCCGGTTTATACGATACGGTCGAATATGTATCGCCGGTCGAATCTCGATTTCAACCTCGCGAAGGGGACGATCGTGAACCTTATCCGACTGGTAATCCTATCCCTCTATCAACCTATACGATCCTGACGACTGTACCTGCCAAGGACATTTCTTGGCTACATGATCGGATGCCATGTATCTTGAAAGATTGGGAGGACATTGAGAGGTGGTTGGACCTTGGAAAGGTTAAAGGTTGGGAGGATGGTAAGGGCGGCACGGGATCGTTGCTGAAGGGTACACAAGGACTCGATTGGTGGGTCCTCAACTTTTGTCTACTGGCATTTGTCTTGTTTTTTGGGCCTGCTGGCTGAATCCAGGCCAGTTTTCCAGTCCCACCGGAAGTCGGCAAGATTGGTACCAATTCGCCCACGTACATCCAGCCTGTATCTGAGCGATCAGACGGTATCAAGTCTTTCTTCCAAAAGCAAACGTCATCACCCGCCAAAAAGACAGGTACCGGCAAGTCGGCAGAGGTAGTGAAGAAGGAGGATCCGGACCAGGACGTCAAACCAACATCCCAATCGAATACACCGGATGCTTCTCCCATGTCCGACGATGTCAAACCAAAGGTTGAGAGCAAATTAGATCCAGAGATAGGAGATGATTCGAACGCACCGAACGAAGCCCCTCCGGACGGGGTAGTCAAGAAAGAAGCGCAGACTCCGGGTAAGCGGAAACGGGGAAAGAGCGAGGATCCCGTAGACGAGGACGCGGAGACAACTCAGGGTCTCGCCAGGGAACGCAAAGGAGGCCATCAGACCAAAGTTACCAGAAAAAGCGAATCCGAGGGCTCAAAGGAGGTAAGCCGTTTGGATAAGGTCCTCGAGAAGATCTGCTGAACGGGTGACAGCAACCTTCCATTACTGCGTTCTTCAAATGACCAAGTAAGGTCAAGCCCGAGCCAGTCCCGAAGTCCAAACCCAAATCTACAAAGAAGCGTTGAATACATTCAAGCACTCATGGCTTTGGTCTGTTTTGGGCGCTGAACCTGCGACAATTAAACCTTCGTCAATAATTGTCGCCTCGCCAAAAGGACGTCGGGAGCAAGGGAGAGTCGCCCCGACTATAGGTAAGATTTCTCGAGCCGATCTCTGCAGGACTGCTCGCATCTCCTGGAAGACCAGATCCGAAGGGTAACAGGAGCACCCAAGGTCCCCTTGTGGTCTCTGTATCGTATCCCGCCATCAATGTCTGTAGTTGTACGAGACGACGTTGTTATGTACATGACCTCAATTTCAGTGCCACGGACGATAGTTTGATGCAAAATGAAAATGTTCGAAAGCACATGTTTTGGACTGTCTATCCGTACATACCATCCTGCCTGGGTCCAAAAGTGTCGAGCAGACCCGCATCCTCCATCATGGACATGGAGTCCGAAGCTCCAAATGCTCCTACGGCGGAATCATCGAAACGAGCCAGATCCCGTTCGCCAGGTCCTTCCGAGTCCATTAACGATTCAGCGCCTCCAGCTAAGAAGATCGCAGTGGACCAAAAAGCGGCGGATGTCAGCGGAGACGTGACCGCAGACGCTGCCGATTCAGTCCAGTTGGCCTCTAAAGATGATCTCAAGGCTGAACAAGAGCCCAAAGTCAAGGCTGAATCTTCGTCTGGCTCAGTTCGACCCCGTCACGAGGAGGACCTAGTAGGACAAGGAAGAAGAGGATACAAAGGTCAAGGGGTTGGCGATCGTAGGGGTCAATTTGGACGGGATGACAAGAGAGATTGGCATAGAGGCGACAAGCAGAGTGCAAGGGACCAGAAGAAGGAGTCATCAGATGCTGTCGGGGGGAAAGACAGTGGAGCTGTGGACGAGGACGAAGCTGGAATCGATGAGAACGGAGACAAGGTCAAACGATTGCCGAAGAAAAAGGTTGCCATTCTGCTCGGGTGAGTGGGGCTCATGGTGCTCCAAACTACAGATGAGGATGATCTCACGATTTGCAGGTACTGCGGAACAGGCTACTCTGGTATGCAGATGTGGGTCTTTCGTATTGTCCACCCTTTGACATTTTCCTTCGCTGACCGCCGTTCGTTCAGCCAGACACACCATGGAGCAAAGACTATTGAAGGCGATTTCTTCGACGCACTCATCAAAGCCGGTGCAGTCTCCCCCGAGAACGCAGTAGATCATCGGAAAGTCGATGTACAACGAGCAGCGAGGACAGACGCGGGAGTACACGCTGCTGGAAATTGGTACGTCAGAGTGCGACAAGTCTCATAGCGCATGGAACTTACTCATCGGTGGTCCCTCAGCATTTCCATGAAAATGATCATCGGGTCTCCATTACCTCCTGAACATGAGACTCTCGAGAGCTACGTCAATTCGTTCTTACCTGAACAAATCCGAATGTGGGGTTACGTGAGGACCTTGAAGTCTTTCCAAGCGAGATTGTGAGGTGTCCCTCCCCTTGAGCAGTACATGTCAAACGGTGCTAGACTGACGCGCGATGCTTCCCAGATCATGTGATTCTCGAGTCTACGAATACGTTCTTCCTTCGTATTGCCTTCTTCCACCTCGAGCAGGGGAGCCTCTCACGATCAACCTCGATCAATCCAGTCCAGGGTGGAAAGCTGGTCTTGGAGTGGCAGCGGAATTTGCAGATGCCGGCGTGGACTTGGCGCCCGGCGCGGAGGCGATTGAGGGTAGTACAGGGGCGGAGAAGTCGGGAGACGAGACGAAGAGGGAAGAGAGGGAGAAACTCGATAACCGGTCCAGAGGGGAATACGAGCGTCGAAGAGGTTGGCGAGTCGATAAGGACACTTTGGCGAAATTCAGAGCTTTGATCAAGGAGTTTGAAGGGACGCAGTGAGTCGTGATACGGGTTTTAGACCGCTGACACGCTTCATAGCAACTTTCATAATTACACCGTCGGAAAACCTTTCAGAGACCGTACCGTCAAGCGATTCATGATGAATCTCAAGGTCAGAGATCCACAAGTCGTAGGAGATATCGAGTGGATCTCGGTCCGAATCCACGGCCAGAGCTTTATGCTGCATCAAATTGTAAGCGACATCCTGCTCCGCTTCACTCTCGTGACGCTGAATCGTGGCCGGTTTCTTAGCGCAAAATGATCTCTATGGCCATGTTGGCGTGCAGAACCAACAGTCCGGCGTCACTCATCCCAGAGACGTTCGGTCAGTCACGACGAATCTTTCGCAATCATGTGGTCTTTACTGACTTTCCACCTCACAGGTCCCAAAACTATCCACATTCCCAAAGCACCCCCTCTTGGTCTTCTGCTTGAAGCTCCTCAATTCGGTTCTTACAACTCTCGGGTCAAGGAACAAAAAGACCCTCAAGCTGAACGTGATCCTATCGATTGGGCGCTATACGGCGACAAAATGCAAGAATTCAAGCTCAAGTTTATTTACGAAAAGCTAAGACAGGATGAATTGGAATCGCATATGTAGGTCGTTGCTCAGTACATCTCCATCGAAGCGAGTGAAGGTAGTTGACCTGGACTGAATAGCTTTCATAAGTGGATAAGGCAGATTGACTGCACGTCTTCCGCTTCGCTCTCCTTTCTCAAGTAAGTAGTCGAGTTCACCGGTGTCATTCGGGTGTTAATGGTGCTGCTCAGCTCAAAGGGCGTCATACCGCCCGAAGCGCAGGTCCAACCAGGACGTGACATGCCAGGTGAAAAGAAGGGATCTGGCAAGACGGATGGAGGGGATGAATTAAACAGTGATGATGAGGAGAAGATTGATCCCGAGCTGTTGAAGCGGGGCGAGCTGGAAGGGTAGAGAGGCCCTTTCGGCAGGACATTACCGCTCATGCTGTTGCGTGCATGGTTCGTTACAAGTGCTTGACCTGTCCTGTACGCGTTGTGCATAAGACAAAACAGCCCAGATGTTAGCATGTAGATGTCACCTGCAGACGACATGACCGATTTCATTCCAACTGAGTCGCTCGATTTGCCGCTCTCATAATGATCTCGGCAACATTGATTGATTGTGTTGTCAGTCTTCTCGATCTTCACATCTGTCTCGCGCGCTGCACCGCACCCGACTTGCCGTCACAATGTCCATCACTCCCGCTATGAAGCGTTTTCTTGGTGCGAACAAGTACATTGTCATTGGCAGTGTGCTGACGGATCGCTCTAGATGGGATAACAAGGTGAGATGAATTATCGAGGGGCTACGGCCGCCCGCAAATCATTGAACTGATCGTTCTCTTAAGGTGCTGAGATGGTGAGGGCAGGCGAGATACAGACCGAGTATTGTAAGTGTAAAAGCTGAAGCGGAACCCCACAAGGTACATCAACCATGGCCTGCCCGTCCAACCCATGAAACCCGGGTCGAACGGGGGAGAAGCAGAGGATCTGCCCATGCTTCCGAACCTCGTGAGTCATGCATGACAGATAGATCCCATCACAAGCTACATTTCTTGACCACTCAGAACCAGAACGAGGATCTGTCCGAAACCTCCATCTCCATCATCATCAACCCCGTCAAGGGTTATCCGATTCTTGAACAGCTGTTTAAAGACAAATCACGATCCCCTCATGGAGTCTGGTTTCAACCGGGAGCAGGAGACAGTGGAGAGATCAAACAGTTTGTCAAGGACAATAGCCTAGAGGATAGAATCATCCTCGGTGGACCTTGTATCCTAGTCAGCGGCGAGAGTGTACTGGAAACTCTCCGGACATGATATGATCTAGTTTCGTCAATCGGGTTCCCCAAGCCTTACAACTTTGCTGAGGATGCATCCGGCCCTCGTAATGGTCCATCGCCACGACCTCGACTCGATATCGGCCAGCCTTTCTCCAATCGCTACATGCTTTTGAGTTACAGGTTCAACCCAAATTCCAGCTAGAACAAACATGGACCTTCTCGGACGAGTCTACTCCTTCCTCCGCCCTCTCCCGCAAGCTGGCGACTCTGGGGTTACAGGAAGTTTTATACTATGGAGATGAACCCGTGTCCCGCCATGGGGGCTGTCTTAGTTGAATTTATGCATCCTCATTGTCCATCTGACGAGGTATATCACTTTTCATGTCCGACCTCTGACATCAAAATATGAGACGAGAGGGACGAGGTGAGTACAGTATATATCATCAATGGATGAACATGGGTTGATCTCGAGAGGAGGCGAGTCAAGATTGTCTTGAAGACAGACAGAGAGAGAGAGAGCAGGAAGACAGGATGATGATTCCATGGCGTCCTTTTCTGTCTTTTTTTTTCTTGTCTCTCGTGTCGTAAACGGATATGAGCAGAGCGACCCGGCACCTACGACGACATTGAGAATTCTAGTGCAGCTCGAGAAGCTAGAGAGAGTGAGAGAGCTGCTTGAGGAGAAAGGGCGCTTTCTTGGGGGCAAAAGGCGTTCATCCCACCAGCATGGCCACAAAATAATAATTCAAAGTGACTGTATCGTCTCATTCAACTCATTCACTCGAAGACCTTTCGAATCGGCAGCAGCCTCGAGGACACGAGACCGACCACCTTGCTGGACCGTTGATGAGTGACAGCTCAAGAAACCCCCATCCCCAGCTAAACGGTCGATCACTCCGAGCACACCAACATCGACACGACTACCTCTCGCGACTGATTTCTTCTTTTCGGATTGTCATTTGCAGCACCAAACAAATCTTTCTGGACGAGGACTGTCTTGGAGAAGGACCGACCATCCCACAGAGCAAGACATCAAGTCCATCGACTGTCCACTGCTCGAGGACTGCATTATTCACCCAAGTGGGCCCTCTCGCTATCCCCTCAACCCTTCACGAGACTAGAGAGGGTTGATTCAACCCACGACACAGCCCTGCCTTTTTGGATCCTCTTGAAGTCCATCCGGTATCTCGTCTCTCAACTACTCGTACTGCATTGAGCAGCATCACCAGTCCTCACTAGAGTCTTCTAGAACCCTCCATCACATCTCTATCCAGCCTCTCTGGCTGTCCGCAATCCTTTGTATACGAGCCATACACATACTCTGCCTAGCTGTACAGCCTCACAGAGCGATGTGTCGGAGAGGTGAGCATCCTTTCAATCACCTCATCCTCATCGGTCTCCTCATTCTGGGCGACGTTCACTGCAGACCTCGTTTGAGCGTCTCTTAGTGAAGTGCGCTGGCATATGGTCCTTCCCTCCCACACTTTTATCGTTACTCATGCTGACGAATTACAGATCGTTGAATCAACCGTACTGCCAAAGTCAGCTTTCTACCTGAACAGCCATCTATCGACCTGACGACCTCTTGTGTCCTTGATTGGAGCGACTTTCATTCATCATGGCCCCATTCGCTCTCCCTGCCTTGCCCTCTTTGCCATCCGTCAAATCCCTCATCAACGTCTCCCCGCCTCTTATCTACCCATCTCCGGACGAGAAGAATAGACCGGCTCGAAGTAGAACAGCTTCGGCGTCTAGTAACGTCTCACACCAGCTGGATGCAGCATCAGAGTACGGATCTCCTCGACGAGTTGGGCGAGTTCGTCTACCATTATCTCATGAATCGGATGATCATACACCCACGCGACGACCTAGACCGATGCACCATCATTCTGCTTCCCTGCTCGCCAGTCCAAAGCACGATGAACAGGACGAAAGGCGATGGGAACCGATTCCTCGCTTACTGAATGACTCTGACCTCACCCCTCATGCCTCACCTTGTCGCCCTCGACCTGTCAGTCATCGACGATCACATTCTGCCATGCCTCAACGACACTCTCTACTCCATCTGAATCAATCTTACACGTCCTCGGCGCCAATGGGACGATTACATGAAATATCACGAAATCCCCTTGCTTCAACGTCTGCCATCTCTCTGCCAACTCTACTGGAAGGTGGGGATGCCATGACAGAACAATTATCCGACGAGAACCATGTGTCGTCACTGGGTTTGTTCTTGACAAGCCCGGAGGAACACGGCTCAACATCATCATCATCCCGATCCATCTGCTCGCCTCGATTCTCTCTGTCCTCACTGGCATCTTCCAGGACGTCTTCTCCGATCATTCAAGCCCGTGCTCGAAAAGGATCTCGATCGACAATAGACGAACAAGCATCTTCACCCATCTCACCGGTCTCTCTTCCGCTCAGTATGCCTCCCCCAATGATTCCCTTCAAGCCGTCCACCTCGTCGTCTGCCACACGCGCCGAACACAAACGATCATTTTCGTCCGTCCCACCTCCTCAGAATATGCGCCCTCCTCCCTTGCCGCTCATGGCTCACAGCTCGGGCACCGACTCTCCAGGTGCATTGGCGGCTCGCAGTCGCCGGGGGTCAGAATCTCACGCGATTCAACAGCGCCAGTCTTTCCCTCATCGGCATACCTCTGTCAGTTCAACATCATCCATCTCTGACGTCGCTGTACTTGCAACCTGGTCGTTTCCAAACTCGCCTCGGGATGAGAATGTAGCCCTGGATGGCCATGGCCAAGAGAACAGGGCCCCTGCCATGTCGCAGCCGTCTGACAGGCTTCGAGAACGGCTTCAATCCTTATCCGCGCTTGATACTGCGATACGAAATGGAAAAGCTATCAATGGATCTCCTCAGCAATGGTCAAGTAGCCATGAGGATCACCGGGTCGATGTTACGTCCCCACGGACACCCAAACCTGGCTTGACCAGAGCCTCGACAACTGTACGGCCTACGCCTCCGCGAGCTTTTCCTGCACATCTGACGCATCGCCATTCCCACTCATCGCCCTCAGATATAGTCCCAAACTTGCCTATTGGACCATCTATCTCGGGATCATATCATCCCTCGTGCGGATCTGGTCTGAATCCGACGGTCTCTACTATGCTTCATTCCAACCTGAATCCTCTTCTCCCTCCTCCACCTGTGCATCCTCTTCCACGACATCTTCGGCGACCTACGACAACCCGCTTACGACAGCCCAACCCACTGTGCATGCCTATGGCCATTCAACCTCAATCGTACAACAACAGTCAACAGCATGAGACGCCTGCGAGCAGTCCTGGCAGCATGATTTCCGATCTTCATTCCATCATCTCCGAGGACAAGATATCCCTGAACGAAGTAGATGCAGATGGAATCTCTTTCAAGTCGCATTCCGAGGATGACATGCACGTTGGCTCGAGCGACAACGGACATGAGACCATGGTACCTGGAGATCAGCCCCCAAAGCTGTTCGTTACTGTGGATGGGCAAGGCATCAGCGGGAAAGGAACTCATCCTCCCAAGGTCAAAGGACTGATACCCCAATTGAGGTCAATGACCAGTACACCGTTATTGAGCCAATACCGCTCGAGGACTGCACCATCCCTCAAACCTAACAGAAGTACCCTCTCCCTTCGAGCGGCTTTCGGACAATCCCAGTCGACTACAGGTTCAACGAACAACTTCAACAGGCCCATCGAAAAAGAGAACAGATGGTCATTCTTTGGTGGTCTGGGTATCCTTGGACTGGGCACAAGGAGCCGCAAAAGCAGCGTGTCAGATCTCAGAACACGATCTAGGAATACGAGCATCAGCGCTGGGTCCGTCATCTCTGGTGCAGGTCAAGATGGTGGTCGAGGTCGATCCCGAGCGCACAGTATGCTTCATTCGATGCGATCTTCAGTCAAGACTCCAACGATTCCCTCACCTATGGACAGTTCGGGAAGCATGGTCAATTCTTATGGCGCCCGTGGAAGGACCATGACTGTTAATGTGAATGGGGTTTCGAGGTACGAAATATCCGATACCGATGATTATTTCTCGAGTCGGTTCAGTGGACGACAGATGGGTCTTGAACACGAAGGACATGCGGAAGAAGAGGAGGAGGAGCATGAGGCATATATCGATCTGGAGGATGTGTATTAGGTTATGCGGTGCGCGGATGTGAAGAAAGATTGTTCCCCTCGGGCACGACCCGGTTGATGAACCGTCAACTGTTGGCCGTCGAGCGTCCTCACGTTTCAATATATCTCTTGTTCGTGCTCAAACTCAAGCATAATCTGTATTATATCATGTGTGATGTAACGAAGCAGTGAAAGAGGTCATGTGGACCCCGCACAGACTGGTAACAATATACAGCTACATGAGCACACTGGTGACAGTCATACAGGCAACGTCGATACAGTATTATTATATATTTAAGCTGCTCTCTTGCAAGTCCGCGCACCACAAGAGACCCAGCCAATGTCCACTTCTCCTCAAATGTCAATCCCAAACGTATCTCGGCTGACACAAATTGTCCTTGCGGTCTCTTAACGGCGCCTAGCAATACCACGAGCCATCGGGCGTTCCAGGTTCACCGACCCATTCATATGGCCATTCGCCAGATGACCCGAGGCAGGTATCGACAGCTACGAGCTGATACCCTGCCCCTTGAAGTCGAGGTACAGCGTAAGGGAGGACCTCGAAAGCGGCTGTGAGCAACGGTCGTCAGCATAGATCATCACCAGTCTTTGATGATGACCTCGCTCGATGAGGGCGAAGCCGCATTGATTTCCGCCACAAGCCTCTCTCTCTCTCTGTGTGTGTGTGTGTTACTCACTCGTTGGGATCGTCGAATGATCCAGGACCAACCGAGGGCTAGGTACATTATTGATTATGTTGTCGTATACCCCTTTGGAGTAATCTACAGATTCTCCGCTTGCATCGCCAGTATCGTCTGACCAGAGGAAGACCTCTGAAGGGAACGAGTATCCGTCAGCGGTCAGCCAAGAAAGGGGTGGGGGCGGAAACAGACAGTCGCACACTCACTCTTGTACCCTCTGTCTCCTAGGACTTTCAACGCGAGATCGTTGATGTTGCCGTAAGGTGGGCGAAAGTACAAAGGCTTGAGTCCTAGAATTCTGATGAATGCAGTCTCCAGTCGTTCGAGTTCTGCGGTTGGGTAGAGTTAGCTCCACGAGGAACGTCACCATGAGAAAAGGAAATGTAAAGCTCACCATCGTTGATACCAGCTTCGTCCAGAGTGGTGATGTCTGCATGAGACCAGGTATGCGACCCAATCGTGTGGCCTCTGAGGGTAGGGGTCAGCGAGGGTGCACTTGTGTCTCGCAATGGACCTTCGGTCGAACCCTTCATCCGCCACAAATGACCTGACAGGCTTGAAAGGACCTGACTCACTGTGCATGTAGAGATCGGATCTGATCCACCTTGTCATAGATACACTCATAGTTGTTTCCCTGGTCCCGCATCAGTCTCATTTCCGGGGCCAGCTATGGAACTCACATTCAGGAAGAACGTCCCCTTGCCGCCATTCAAGGCATTGGCGATATCTTGTTCATAATTCCATGGCCCATCTAAGCGAAAGGCAGGTCGTTAGATGAGTGAAGCCTGGCGGAGTTAAATACCAGCTCACCATCAAAGGTCAGTGCAATCTGACCCGATTGGTAGCAGTTGTTGATGACTTCGACTCCGTTTTGCTTCTTCTCCAGTGGGGCGGCGAAAGTCATGGACAGGAGCAAAGCCAGGCTCGTAACGAGGGAAAGAGACAGCATGGTCGAGGCGAGATCTTTTGGGCTGATGAAATTAGGATGAGGCAAATGGCTATGAAGAAGAGTCGATAACTCAGTCAGTCAGTTATAAGATCGAGATAGATATATGACCTCGAAGCTGGTATGTTACGGGTCAAGACAGGCTCGCTAGCTCGGCTTCTTTATATCCCTTCTTAGGGAGGTCAGGGTCACCATTAGCTCCAACGAGAATCTGACACCGCCATATATGACGAAGGAGGGCATCATGTACGTTCTCATCGGACTCTTCGGACTCCACTTTGGCAAGCTGTACCCATCACTTCGCCTCAGAAAGACACCTTGACAGACGACCTGCAGTGTGAGGTCCAAGGGTCTTTCTCCGATAACACTGCTATCCTTGCGGTGTTCCGTTTCTGTCCTGGAAAAAGTCTTGGTGCAAATGGACCTGAGGATCATTCCGTGTAGGATTTTGCATCTCATTTGCTTCTTGGCCTGTACCACAAAGTCTGCGCGAGAGCTGAGTGCCAGGACACCTTTGCACTAACACAACTTTCATTTCGGGACGAGGCGGTGAAGGGGCCAATGGTGGCTGCCATTTTGGGATACAGGTACAAGTCTCTTTGTCTTGGCAAGGTGGGGCGGCGAGGGGGCATCCGGTTGGGGGATGATGATACTGATGATGATGATGTATGCAAGCGATGCAGTCAGAGCAGTCAAAGCAGTCAGAGCAGTCAGAGGAGTGTGATGAGGTAGTGACGTGAGGATGGCGTCAAAGAAGAGGCGAAAGTCCAAGGCCTGCGACTAAAGCGTAGCACATAAGTGTATGCATGGTCGCCGGCGGCAACTTGACAGGGCGGGCCGGTCGACGTCGGACGCGTCGGAATTGCGCTGAGCAACTGGACCGACCACAGTATCGCTTGGAATGGTAGCTTGAATCTCTCCTGCTGTACGAGTCGAACGTCTGAGGAGCTGTCAACGGCGGCGGCTCATCACGGCCACCATGACTGAGATCTCGGGCCCTTTATGGTCGCTGCCGCTATCGCTACCGACGAATCAGCCGCTGCTGGACGCCGCTTGGCCGAAATGGGATTGGATCATTCACTCATTCATTTGCATCATCACCGTATCTGGCAGAACTTGTTCATGGACTTGCACTCAAGTCATGGTATAGAGTTGTGATATTGTCACTGTTCAGCCTTCACGATGGTCACAGAGAGCCAAAGCCCAGATAGTGAGCCAGTCGCCTGCAGCAGAATGACCTCAGGATTGAACAAGTTTTCCAGTTGGTGTTCACGGTCTAATCTCGACTGCTTTCACTGAATTGGGTCACCTTCGAGTCATAACTTTGCTCATTCAATATCCGTCCATTGACAAGATACCCTCGCCCACGAATCTCCGAGAACGTATCAGGCAATTGTCTGTCATCCACCCCATCCTCGGTGCGAAACAGAAGACGGGCAAAGATGGAAAGGCGTATTTGGAACCTTCGGACGAACAGCCAAAAGTTTATCGATGGGAGTACGAGCCAGATGGACTACCCGAGCACGACATCATCTCCCATACTATACTTGATAGAGCATTCAACAAGGCTCTGAGAGACATGAAGGATTTGAACAATCTTCGGATCCAAGTCGATCACATAATTCCGCCAGAGACCACCGACCCGTTCCCCAGTTTCATCGCCATCTCTGCTGATCACACCTTGGTTGATGCTGCTGGACTCAAGACGTTTGCCCAGCATATTCTAAACTCCAAGCTCGACATCTCCTCATCCTTGGAGAAAGAGCCATTCTATCCTCACCACGTAGAGGACTTGATGGATTTCGTGCCTGAAGGACCGCTCGACATGCCAGTACCGGATCATTGGCCCATGAACTGCTCGAATCCGATGAACGTACCTGGAGCTTTCTCTCACCACGACTATCCCTTGTCCATTCTTGAGAGAGTCAAATCTCAAGGAAAGCGACATGGGATCCCGACGCTAAATCCAGTTCTGGAACTGGCCTTTCTCACGGCTCTGACCAGTGTCGTCCCGGAGACAGAGAATCAGGTGCTCAATTGTTACACCATGACGGACGAGAGGCCAGGCCTTGGTTCAAAAGCGCCTAAATGGAGCCATAATTACTTTTCCGTCCCATCTTCGAAAAGGACCATCTTCCCCCTGGACAAGACTGATTTCTGGGCAGCGGTCAAGATCCAGGTGGAAACTACCAAAGACGAGGCTTATATCCGAGGTGGCAGATACGGAGCGGGTTTCGTGAAGGCCATGCCTTCACCCGTCAAGGACATCCTGGCCGGTAAAGTGATATCTGAATCACCTTACTTTGGAACCATATTCTTCTCCAACCTAACTCGAGTTGATCTACCCGAGGGAGCGAATGATATACGGTGGACGGCGGCTGCTACTCCATTCCTGGCACCTATGATCGTCAACTTGATTGGAAGTTCTGCGGGTTTAAGGGTGACCATAGCCTTCAGGGACGGAGCGGGTCTCACAGCAAACCAGGCGGATGCCATCGGAGTAACCTTTGGTCAGGTACTGGAACGTCTTGCAGAGGGAGAGACTGGGACGTTGGCCACCCTGGGACGGCAGTAGATTACTAGAGAATAGCGCGTCAGACCGCGTCATAAACATCATGCATATCATTGCAACTCGTTGTTTTATATGTACAGTCTCAAAGCATGAAATATAGTGTGTTACAACACGGCGAAGAGGTCGGTCGTGTATCGTGGCAGCGGTCATCGAATCAATCGTATTGTGTGGTCTGAATCCATCTACTGCCCCATTGGTATCCTTCCAACAAGAATTTGAAAGGTGGTCAATCTGTTTGTCGTCATCGCTCGAGTGTTCATTGTATTCTGGCCAATTATCGGAGTATCGCTCGGTGGTTACGAGGCCATTGCCTCGTTCGATCCGTTCGCGGCTCAGCCCAACCTCAACCTCTTTCCCCCTTCCGCTGCCTCGCGCCAAGCGGCCTCGAATTCCGCCTCTTCCCTTTCGTCGAAAAACTCCACATCTTCATCCAAGTCGTCGATATCATCAAGCTCCAAATCACTCCCTGCTCTTGCTGCAGCTCGTGATCTGAGACAAATTGAACATCTACACACTCGGAGTTCCGCTCTGACCTCCCACCAGAGCCGCTTGATGATCTCTACTGTCTTGTCTCCAAGAGCATGGGCAGGCAGAGGAGGGACGTATGGAATTCTATTGAGTGGTGCGCAGTATGCTGGTGAAGAGGCACGGCCTGAGGATTTGGGGTTCTTTAGAGGCGAGCTTCTGTCCAGAGGAGATTTATGATGGACAGTCGGACTTGAAGAGATTGGTTGTGGTGCTTTCGTAGCCGGAGCAAAAGTCGAACCGAAGGTCCCGTCTGTCAATTCTGCGATTGCTTTAAGATCCTCTTCGGAAGCATCACGTAAATGTTCTGGAAGCTGAGATCTGACGATGGGTTGTATCGACTCGGTAATATCCTCGCGGGGCGTCATGAGGGCGGGACCAGAAGTCACATCGCTGGATGGGTTCGAGGTCGTCGAAGCGGTAGAAGTGCTCGTGATAGATTCTGGAGATCGACGGGTTGGATTCGCGCTTGTCTGATCGTGACGAAAAGCGGTAGGAGACTCTGCGCCATGTCTCCCTTTGATGACTGCCGTGATAGCAGATGCTGTTGTATAGTGAGAAGGAACGACAGTGCCGGAATCAACCATCTTGAGGTCTCGCTGTGTCCCTTGGGAGGCCGCAGCAATACATTGTCCTGATCTCGCTTCGCCATATTCCCCACCACTGCCTCCCGGCGCCTCCTTCCGTTTGCCCAAGCTAACTGATCTGGAGTCTGGCCCTTCCCTTCCTCTCGGGTTCGAAGCCTCGGAAGCACGGCGGAGATTGCGTTGTTGAAATTCAAGGACATCATCGATAGACTTCATACGGCTGTGATCATGCTCATGTTGATCGTGGTGATCACGTTCCTTGATTTGACCTCGAAGAACAGGATCAACCATGTGCGATGCTGGCGATGTGGTCCTCGCGCTCGATCTAGGCGGCGACGAGTCTCCAGACGATGTGATGTCGTAAATACTCAATGTCGGCGGAGGAGTCGGAGCTATACCGGAAGGTGAGTCGGAGAGCTCTTGGATCATCATGACGGGGTCGAATGTCTCCTCATCATCATCCTCAAGTACGATCTCGATCCTTGGGGAAGACTCTCTGCCGGATGATTGAATGCCTCTACCACACGATGTTGTTTCTGCCGAGGTCACGCTCTCCCATTCTACATGATCGATCATGATGTGGTTCACGTCCACTTCAACTGTGATCCGCTCCCCGGCAAACTTGGGGTCTGCTTGGACGAGCTCGGTAGCGACCTGATGATCCAGATCGGGCTTGTCCGTCGTTTTCTTTGAATGTGTCTTGGGCAAACAAAGTGCAAGATCAAGCACCTTGCCCGCCCGAGCTATCCTCTGTGGCTCTTCGTCCAACAAGCCATCCTTCACCCAGGCTGCAGGCCTCCGCATGAGGCTCAACAGTGCCTCCACACTCCATTCCTCACACATTGTCTCTGCTTTCGCAATGTCCTTGCCACACCGATACACTGCCAACTTGACACATTGGACCAAAGCAGGTCGGATGACACATCGTAATTGTTCGGCGTACTCTTCCTCTAGCGCTCTGATGAGCTGGAGCGTTGGCCTGATGCTGGATGGTACAGACGTTTCGGTAGCATCACTGCGTGCAGGTAAGGCGCTCATCAATCCCGCTCGATCTTCAAGCGCGTCGACCGGCTCGTACGGATCTTCCAATCGAGAAGCGAATGGATGCTGAGCGCTCTTTGCCAGATCTGCAAACCGACGGATGTTGTCGATGACGCCTTCTTCCGTTCTCAGATTGACTGATTCTTCGAATGGAGATATCCAGAATCCATGTCGGACACGGTCCGTGATCCAATCCTTGACCAAGCTCTTGTACAACATGCTCCACCACTAGCATGACACATCAGCCGATTGCTCTAGGGTGCTGCTCGCAAAACAACTTGCCTTGTACTCCAAGTATCCATTGTCAGTCCACTTGTCTATATCATCCTGTGTCAATGTTTTGCCTGCTGCTTCTGCCTTCCACCTGCTATACTGGAGCATGTTCCTGACCGTTGAGTCCACTGCTCGGACCGCCTCGACGTCCGATCCAGCGTCAACGCCATTCAGCTCCCCAACAAGAAGACACCACCGTGTCTTATCCTTCAAGCTATGTCTCCTGTTGTGGACCAGATATTCCAAGCGGAGTTTTGCTTCCTCGTACTGGAGTTCCATCGCGACCAGATGGAGTTCGTCCCATCGTGTATGTTTTCGCAGCCACAATTCTTCAAGAGAGAGTCTCGCAACTAGCCTCAAATCGCCTTTGCTTTCATCAAGGTACCAATTTGCGGCGTCTGTCTGAGTGGCGTCAAGATTGAAATCGGAGTCATCGAGACCAGGCTGAATGATCTCAACCGCTTCTCGCATGTCGTCGATCCGACATCGTTCACAGATGATTCCGCCCTGTCGAGAGCGACCTTGGGGATCTGTATCGGATCTTTCGGTCCGCAAAAGGTACCTGATGATCCCAGTAGGAATTTGAACCGTCACGGTCTGACCGTTCCTACGCTGCTGATATGGCCTGGTCTCCTGCTCAATAAGGCAGGAGGAGCAGAAGCTACCATGGTGTTTGTCGCATGTAGGTGCGGAGCCGAAGAATCGAGTGAAGCAAAGACGACGCCGGTTGGCAGGGTAAAGTCCGAGTCGCTTGGGGTGATTTAGCCGACAAGCGATACATATCGATAGAGTCGTGTGTCGAGCCCGATGGAAGAGAGTGGGGAAAGAGGGGGTGGACGGTGTCAGAGAGGAAGCTTCGAGATCGCTCAAAGTAGAGTGGTGATGTTTCGATGGATCCAACAGGAGAGTGTATTCCGGCCAGAAGGAATGTGGATCCACTGCATTTCGCCAGCCAGTACATACGAGTCGTAAGCGGCAGAGCTCGGCTCGCTGGATCATCGCCAGACCAAGAATTTGAGCCTCGTCAGAGAGCCAATGGCCCAGCTGATCGGGCAAAGCTACTTCGGCGAGCATGTGACCGAAGATGTTGCTTTTAATGTCTCGTCAGCAGGATTCGATGAAGGTTCCATCTCAGAGACCCAGACTCACTGCATCACTCCAATCGGTAGATTTGCCCATCCTTGCTTATTTCGACTGCCCTTAGCCTTGAATGAGCCTGAGGACGAGGTAGATGGTACTGATCGGTTCGAAGAGGCCGTCAAGGGAGAGTATGTGAATGTGATACCGGCAGGAGTTTTAGCTGTGAACGGAACCGATCGGTGAGTCTGTGGGACGAGACTATCTTTGGGAGATGTAGATGCGGTCTGCCCATCCCAAGCCTTTGTCTGAGAGGGTTTGAGAGGATCTCCAAGGAGGTATGTGAGGCCAGGGACAAGGGTTGACTTGCTGACTGATGCTTGTGATGCGTGATCCGAGCCAGGGGAAAGGTGCAGCACGGAGTCGCTGATATCCGCCGGTGTGGGTGGAAGAGGGGGAAAAGGGGAAAGGACGATGGATGAGATCATCGAACCGCCCGATTTGATACTCAAATTGAGAGGTCTCGAACGAGGCGGATGATGAGGAGGATCCACCTCCATGGTCGTTGTCGTCGTCGGGTCCGGTCTCTTCTCGGTCATTATCTTCGGTCGGAGCGGCGTGTGACCCGCTTGTCGGTTTTCCGGGTCAGTCGTACTCATCGTCATGAACGGTGTCTGGTCATAGCGGTCGCCACTGAGCAGAGCTACCGCCACTAGCCGCTGCTCGTCATCTGCGTCGTCGCTGTCGCTGTCGTTGTCGTCGTCGTCGTCGTCGTCTGCTGTCAAATGAGTACTCGGTGAAGTGTGATGCCACCCAAAAAATTGTGAAACGTTGAAATTAGGCGTGCAGCTCTGATTTAAGCTTATTTACTGGACACTATCACGTGATTACATCATCCTATCAATACACTTCATCCTCATCACCTTCGTCCATCTGAGCAGTCTCCCTGTCCCAATCGAATACACCACCTCTGGACGCCATACTTGTACAAGCCTGAGGTTTTCGTGCACCAGTACCCAGGCTGCCGAACCTATCTTGGAGACCGGCCAGATCCATCATGCTGAGTTGCGCTCGAGTCATCTTGGAATTGGTCAATGTGATGGTACTTTGACGTTTGAGGCCAGAGTCAGCTGTGGGTGAGAAGTCGTCGACTCGGCGACTAGGGATATCCTGAGAGACGACGAGAGTCGGAAGATTGAGATTGGAAGAGGTGGATGAAGATGGAGATATGGACGGTCCATCTGACAAAGCAGAGTTGATCCATTCCATGATCTGGAAGACCTTTGCTTCGGCATCTTCGCATCTCTGCAGTTCATTAGTCATGGAATTCTGATCAGCTCAAGGGCAGCAAGCATGTTGAATGCCTCGTTTCCCTCCTGACAACTCACCGCTTGGAGCTCCTTGTTTTCCGCAGTCACCGCCCTGAAGTTCTCATCCAATCGATTCGCCCAGATCCTCTTGGACTCTAGCTGACTCTCGAGCTTGGTCACTTTTGCCGCAAATTCCCTCTCGACGTCTTCCCGCACCTTTCGTGTAGGCTCCCGCAGGTGGCGCTCGTAATCGGCTGATATCGCTCGTCAGCTATCCGCCACCAAGAAACTCCATTCACAGGGTATCACTCACCTGCAATCAGTTTCAGACCCGCCACTTCCTCTTGCAAATCAGCCACCCTTGAGTCCACATCCCTGGGCCTCAGCTCCAGTTCCCAGCCTAAACGAGCAATCTCATCTTCTTGATCTGCAATCTTGAGTTGGGCGGCATGAAGGTCTTCTTGCAGCTTGACGGCGATGTCAGCTCACTGAAGGACATGGCCCAAAAAAGCTCACCTCTGTGGTAGACTTGTCGAAGTCCAATTTCGGATACTTGAGCTTGGTCGGACTTAAAGGCCTCGCCATGCCCTGTTGCACGTGTCAGACTGGCTCGATCCCACATGTAGCTTGTGATCACCTCGGATCCGCTCGGCTCCATCGTGGAGACATTGTTTGACGTCAAGATCAAGCTTCGAAGCTCATTTAATCGCTTCTCCATAGCCTCATTTTTGGTTCGCTGTAGACATGACCGTAAATCACTCTGAGTAAATCATGCGATCACTCACATCCGATCTGGACCCATTGGGCGGCCCAACATTTGTCTCCTTCTCTCTCAGCAAGGCTCTCAGCTCCGCGATCTCGTTTTGATACTGCTGGATCAGCGCTTGAGGATCCACCACTTCTTTCTTCTCAGCCCTGAGCATCACGCGCTTGAGACCCTGCGCAAATGCCAGGGTAGACAGAGATTCAGCGAGGTTGACCGCGGAGGGTGAGACAGTGCAGATGACTGAAATGAGTGCATCACCCGATAAAGACGGCTGAAGGAGCCGAGTGCTACATCGGGTGGTTAGAAGCAGTTCCAAATGTCGCGAAGCTGGCTTACAGCTTCGAATCCCTGTATGGTATATGCGTGATGTTTCGCTTCGAAGCCAAGTCGGCAAGTTTCGAGATTACCAGCTTGAGTGTGAGAAGTCTGAAGCGAAAGTTCAGACGTTTGATATGCGGGCACGGATTCGGCACTACGTACGATTGATTGATGTGCTTCCCCTCGGCATTACGTTCCTTCGAGCTGGTGTGCTTTTCGGATCCAGCCAGATCTGCGCATCGTCTCAGCTCGGTGCCATGTCCCCATAAAGGCATGCTCACCAATTATAGATAGGGTCGAGATTCTAGTCATTTTGTCCCCCGCCGCCAGAAGGCCACCACCTGGGGTGCGCGATCCATCATCAGGTACGGAGGGTCTCGCAGCCCTTGATTCGATCACCTGAAAGCAGCTGGTCAGTACAGTCCAATGAGGCTCGAGGTCACTTACGATCCTAAAGACACAATGACTTCGTGAACTTCTCGTGTTCCAATCGGTTCCTCCAACTTTCCGTCTCTCCTCGCCAAGTCGCAAAAGTCTCTTGACTTCGTCTTCTGTCCTCACGGCACATTCGGTCAATCCATTGATGATGATATCGCCCTTTTTCTTCCCTTCACTCAAGCTGAGCTCTTTGCTCGTCCCTGGGCTGAGGAGATCCAAGATGGTCTCGTTATATAGCTCAAGGTATGAAGCTCGGAGCAGAAACTCTCGATCCGGTGTTGATCGAATGCCAGCAAAGAGGTCCGAAACGGATAGAGGTATGATACCGGGTGACGACGGGGAACCACTAAGGGTGAATGTTTTCCCTGGGGAGGCTCAGCACCGCCAACAACGGTAAAGACTCACCTGAGGCAGTCTGACCATAAGCGAAAATGACAGCGTTGTATCCGTCCATGGCGGCTAATCTCTTGTCAGGCTCAACAATTTCACTTGATGATCTCACGCACACCTGACATGCGCTCGTGCAGATGTCACATAGGCTCTGGCGTTGTCCGTTGAAGAGTCCAAGATCCGATCTAGAACTCGTGAGCTCATCCTTTCGATCGATTCCAGCTCACCAAAAACCCATTCTCGTTCATCGCGGCCTCCATCTCTGCCTTTGGCCAATTTAATCAAGTGGTCATCGTAGCCCGGTGTGTCCCAGACGGAAGTCCCATCTCTCGACAGCTCCGCTTGATTGGGTGGGCGCACCCTGTAGCATGATTCAGTATGTAGCTGGCTTGCCCTATGGATGATACTCACCTCACAGTCACCAGAACGGTCTCATTGGACTTCAACATTTCCCAAGGTTCGTCCAAGTTTTCTTCAACGGCAAGAGCGCCAACTTCCGCCCAAGACCCACCACTAACACTCGGGGTGATGGCTCGATGTAATCTCCTGGCAGCGGAGACGACAGCACCTCCAAGTCCGCTGCTAGCTCCTTGTGATCCATATGCTGATGTTCGGGGACCCAGGGGAGTCCTGTACCTTGATTCAGCAGACGGCGTAGATTTGATTTTCAACCTCGTCCCCACTCCCACTCCGCCTTCCTTTGGCAGAACATGCCCAGGTTCAGGACGCTGATTATCCCTCGAGGTTGAGGTCAATGGTGGAGAACGATGAGAAGATGCGACGTGCGATGGCAAGGAAGAGAGGGGAGGAGCAGGTGCGGGTCGCAGTGGATTGACGCTGATTTGAGGTCGACGAGATGACAATTTGGATGTTGGAATGCCTGGCGTTTGATGACCCCCAGGGGTAGCGGACCGATGATCCATAGCGATAGAGAGGATACAGACGCAGCTAGGCAGCAGGAATTAGCCCAGGATAGTCCTCTGATGGCTCGATTGCTCGCTCGCTGCTCACTTATGGATGGATAGATAACAATGAACTGAGGGATGATCATGATAAACAATTCCCAAAGAAATCAGCCGCCGCCAACATTTCAGCCGCCACCGTGGGAAAATTACGTAAATTCTGAAATTTTGAGATTGTGTGCAACTTGAGATTCGCTGCTGCTGCTGGTGGTGGGCATCTATTGACGCTCGAAGACAGCAGTGTGACTTCGTTGTTGGAGAAAGCCCTTGAGAGGAGATCAGCTCTCAACATCTGCCATGTCCGACGCCGTGCCTGCCGATAATGGCAGCGGCGAGTCGCTCTCCACCTCACTCGCCAAACTTCGCCGGCTAACTTCCTCCGCTCAAGCTCATCAAGCTAAACCAGCTCAACTTCTTGAAGCAATCGAGTCGACCCTCAACAGTACTGTCCTCTCGTCATCATCGTCTTCTTCTTCTTTGGTCTCCTCTGGACCGTCTCCTACAGCCTACTTTGTTGCCCTGCTCCAGTGTCTCGAAAAGGCATGTGCCGACGAAGTTCCGGCTCGTCCAGCTACGAGCAAACGAGGAGCGGACGAGGAGATGGCAGAAAGTGAAAACATGGGTCAAGGAGCATTGATACCTGCTACACTGTACCTTTTGGCGCTGGTTGTTCCCGAGGCACCCGCCAAAGTCGTAGCTTCAAAGATTGATCCTCTTATGAGCCACGTCCTGGAACTATTCGAGACGGCTATGCCTCATCCGCCGGCCTTGCGATCCTTGATTCAAATATCAACATCCACTATCCTGGCCTCAACATCCTCACAGCTCAATTCATCACCTTTGTTGAAAAAGGCTTGGTCATACATCCTTGAATTGAACCTTGACCCGAGGCCGAAAGTCCGTCATCTGGCACAGGAGGGCTTGAGAAAGGTCTTGACGACGCCGATCCCACCAAAGATGATTGCAGGAAACCATCCGTACACTGGTCGGGCGCGGGACTGGATGCTATCAGCCCTAGATGAGGAGAGCAGAGGCGAGGCCAAAGGCAAAAAGGCTAGATTCGATGGCGGCGATGAGGGCAAGAAGGTCATCTGGCTTGTTCAAGGTCTCAGAGGTTGGGTCTCTGTTTGGGGCGACGAGGTGAGTGAACCTCATTCCCTCGGACCATCTTTCTGACTCGCACTCTAAGCATCTCTCCACTTTATGTGACCGTCTTCTGAGCCTCCCTCCACTTCCGCATCTCACTCAACAGATCTACGATCTCCTCGCTCTTCTTCTTCGACCTCCACCGAACAATCCAGCTGCACAATCTTCCATCTCCAGTCTGCCTACCATCCTCGAATCACTGCTTGCTTCTCCACCGAACGTCAAGTTGAGCTCTACCGACGTCCCATCCTATCTCTCAGCCATCACCTCAGTTCTCATCAAATTGTCATTCCAGGACCCTCTCTCTCTCGCAGTATACCTCGTTCGAGCTCTCAATCTCTTCATGTCTATCCTCCTCGACCCGAAAGCCTCCAAAGAGATTACGAAAGCGGCTTCTGAAGCTATCGGGTCCCAAGGTCTAGCCCGATACTGCCTCACAGATGATGCAATACTCGCAGCTGTCACCTATCATCGGCAACATGGCGATGGATCGAGCGGACGGAAAAAGTCCAAGACTCCCTTCTTGGCCAAGATGATCGAGACCGTCGAGTCGGCTATGACGAGCCATCCTCTACATCTCGGAGATCTGTTGCCGATCATCACGGCGCTCGTATCGCGTTTGAGACTACGAATGGCAGCTGCAAGTCCAATGGTAGATCAAACAGGTACGGGTCGGACAGCCGCTGCTGAGCTACTCCTTCCGCTCGTGGTAACTGTCGCGGATCTCCGGGTCAATCCTGGTTTTGGGGACAAAGAAAAGCTGGATGATCTGCTAGGCATGTGTTTCGAAGTCATGGGTGTAGAAGAGGTTTTAGCGGTCCTACCGCTAAACATTGAGCCAGATGCGTGAGTTGAGCCTTCTTCGGTCTTGACATGGCTGAAACGTCACAGCTCCGGTTCAGCGCCTCAGCCTGGCCGAGCTCACCTATTGCCTCTGATCAAAGCTAGGACCACCAACGACTCACTGGCGTACTTCACTAGCTATTTCCGTCCGCTGTCCGAACGCTTGTTCTCACGCAAAGTCGCCGCAGAAGATGGCGACCGCTCAGGAGAAGCGAAAATCTGGGAGACCCTGGTAGTCCAGATCTGGAACTGCTTCCCAGGGTTCTGCGAAACGCCTAGGGATCTCAAGGAGGTGAGCTCCCGTGTCGTCCAGGTTTCAATCAGGCTCATCGGGCGTGTTTTCAGGGGCTTACAACTCCTTTCCTGACTTTGCTCACCAACCTGCTCTACACGCAACCGCTTCTTTTGACCCCGCTCATTCGAGCTCTGTCTCTCTTGATCAGTTCCACAGAGCGACTCGCCTCGTCGGCAACTCCTGCCGAAGAGCTTCGCAAGCAATTTGGGCTGGATCAGGCTGGAGCTCAAGGGAACTTGAATTATCTCAAGTCTCTTACGAAAGACATGGTCTCTGTCCTTTTGAACGTCTTCTCCAAACTGCCAAGAGACCAACGCGGCCCTGTTGGAGACGTCATTGGTCTTTGGGTAGGCATTATGGAAGAGGCCGACTTGGTCAATACCTTCAAAACCGTCACCTCCCACCTCTCTTCCAACCTCGACAATTCGTTCCCTCAGAGTGAAGGCGGATCGCCAGTCTCACATACCATGCTGGACCTCTTGATCGTGTTCACGCCTTTCCTGGCTTCCGCACAGAGCTCGACATTGTTCAACGCCAGCGCGTCGAAAGTCATGCTCGAGCACCAAGACGCGACAGTACAGAAGAAGACTTATCGCTTGTTGAACCGATTGATCGATTCTGGCAAGGTCGGGGAAGATCAGGATCTGGCAAAGCTCGTAGAGGCCATAAGAGAGACAGAGGGCAGCGTAGGACCAGGTACCCAGCGAGTGAGTAGTAAACGATACTGATATTTGATCTGAGACTGACCCAAGCTTGCAGGACCGACTGCAGCTCATCTCCACCATTGTTCATCATCTAGGTCCCTCGCAGCTCCACCTTGTTCCTGAGCTCCTGTCAGAGGCTGTTCTTGGGACCAAAGAGATTAACGAGCGAGCTCGAGATGCCGGATTCGACTTGCTCGTGGTGATGGCTCACAAGATGAGTCTTGGAGGCACGATCTCCCGACAAGCAGGTGTGGATTTGGAAGCCGACGATGAAATGGACGTGGCTGTGGAGACTCTGGCTCACGAAACTGTCCATGCTTCGGTTGAGGAATTCATTACAATGGTCGCTGCCGGTCTGACTAGCTCGACACCGCACATGATCAGTGCGAGTATCAATGCCCTGTCTCGTTTGGTTTTTGAGTATCATCGTGAGTGCTCTGCTGTTCCATTGTGACTATTGCTGATAGTCTTCTTCCGTCCAGCTCAAGTTTCCACTACGACGCTATCTGAACTCGTTTCCACCACGGCCGTCTTCCTGCAATCGAAGAACCGAGAGATTGTGAAATCCGCCTTGGGCTTTATCAAGCTCCTTACCATCACTCTTCCCCCCAATCTTATCGTCCCGCATCTGCCTACACTTGTACCTGCACTTCTTGGCTGGGTTCATGATCATAAGAATCACTTCAAGCAGAAGACCATACACATTTTCGAGCGAATGATACGCAAATTTGGATACGATGCAGTGTACAAGTGTGCTCCAGAAGGAGGTGAGAGGAAAGTACTTGAGGGGATCAAGAAACGGAAGGATAAGGCGAAGCGGAAGAAGGCAAAGGGCGCCGCAGAGGAGGGTGACGATGAGGCTGAGGTGAGTCAAAGTGTGGCAAAAGAAGAAGGGCGGTGCTGATGCAGTATCTCAGGCACCAAGAACGACTGCTGGAAATGCCTTTGAAGATGTGCTATATAACTCTGATTCAGAATCTGAATCCGCAGCGAGCGATGACGATGAACCTGTTCGAAAGCCTTCCGGCAAACAACAGCTCAAGTCAGCCATGAAGAAGAAGCCAGCTCCTGGTCAAGGCTACATCCGCGCAGAAGGTGATCAGCCCTTGGATTTGTTGTCCCGGTCCATCGCAGGAGGAGTATCTAGTGAGTTGTCTATCACCACGTACGAGTCGTCTACTCTTCCTGACGTTCTCAGAAAATATGGCCAAAGGTCAAAAGCGACAGCCTGGTCAGGATGCAAGCCATTTCAAAACTGACAAATCGGGTCGCCTCGTCATTCAAGATTCAGACTCAGACGGATCAAATGCTGGCGACGCAGATGAGGCAGGCGCTGGAAGAGCATTCCTCGCTGCTCAACGCGGGGTTGACGGACAGACCCGGACAGCGAGTGGAAGCATCAAGTTTGCCCGAGGTACCAAAAGGGCGAAAGGCGAAGATGCCATGGATATGGATGACGAGCGGCCGGCAGCGGGTGGACAAGCAGGGAGGAGAGAGCAAGTCATGGAGAAGAGGAAGAAGATGGCCAAGGTGAGGCTCGGTGATGAGTTCAGGGCCAAGGTGAGGCACTGTCAATTTCGGGATCGTCCGCGTACATCCAGCTGACGCTGTTTTCCGTAGCGTGGCGGAGGAGACATCAAGCGTCTTGGAGGTCCTGATCCATACTCTTATGTGTCTCTAGGGCAGGCGAACGCCCGCAAGGGTGGGAATAGGGTCAACCTCACTAATAAGAAGAAAGGATCTAGGCGGTAGATGTGTGCTTAGACGATAGATCCTTGACCGTTTGTGACGACATGTGACGCTCTGCATTGGATATACTACGATGCCGCACCTGGACTATTGTCCAGGGACCACCGTCTCCCTCAGCCTGCGATTTGCTTATTTATGAAACTGACCATCTTCGCCTTGTCCCGTTTGCCTTCGGACGAGGGCAACATCGGCCAGACATGGATCATATCTTTGCCTTCAACGAATGTGAAGCGCTCCGATTCGAATGAACCGGGTTCGCCTTTGGTGACCCCTTTGCCTTGGTACTTTGCACTCAATCTTCTAGCATCGGAGCAAAGAATGTCACGAGTTCCACCAAAGAGCAACAGTGGAGGGAGATTATCGATATCTCCAAAGAGAGGGCTGACAATCGGATCGTCTAGCGCCAGCTCTCCAGCGTAAATTTTGCCGAGGACTTTGGCCCCGGGTATACCGAGCCATGGATCGTCCTTATCGAGGACTTCGAGCTCGGGATGAGTTGCCGTTATGTCTAACCAGGGTGATAGGAGCACAACACATCGAAGGTCCCGCGCCAGTCGAGCGTATTTTGACTCATCTTTTCGTTTCAGACACTGCTGAGCCAGGGCGAGAGCAAGCGTTCCACCTGCTGAATCGCCAGCGATACATTGTATTGGGGATTCTTGTCCCACTGCGATATCCAGAGCATGGTCAATGACGGACTTTGCATCTGAGCCTGGGCGAGGTAGAAGAGGGTAGATAGGAACGATGATGTCCAGTCCAGTCTCTTGACACAGATGGGCGATGAGACTCCAATGAGGACCCAGAATTTCTCGAAAGAAAGCCCCACCATGAAGGTACATCATTGCCCCATTTGGTCCTGGCGAGGCTTTCCCGATGACACGCGGCTTCGAGACTCTGTAGACTGGCCAGCTCGCTTGATCCTCTCGAATGATGACAAGATTTGAACCTAATTTCTTTGGAGGTGCGAAACTCGTCGGTCGGAGGTATGTTTCCTGCATGACCTTTCTCAATCGGTCAGGATTTCTGAAGATCTCTTTGGATCGTCGGATCCAAACAACGTAGAGAGTCACGAGCCATGCTATGAAAGATGCCATTTTGGCCGTAAAGCGACGAACCTGATCACTCTTTGTAGGAAGGGGATGTCAAGTGAGTGCAGAAGACAGAGCAGATCCGATAATCTCGGAGACGTCCCAAATGTGATGGTCAGCTGGGATCTTCCATAACCGATCATAGCCGGAAGACACGCGGAGGCCTGGTGTATGGGAGGGGAGGCATCGCGGATGAACATGCGTATCTTGCAGGAAGTCTACGCAATCTGCATGCTTGTGAAGGCTTGAGAATAGAGACGCCTTGCTCATGATCAAAAGCCGATAAGCGGCGCAGCAGACTGATCCAGTCGATCCAATCACGCTTGGGAGTGTTGTCCTGAACGTGAGCTCAAATCCGCTCCTTTCGCAAGCTCTTCGGCGAAATCCGAGAGGATGTGTCTGGCAATTTCACTCTGTCCTCCGGATCCTCCTGGATTCCCAGCCCATACCCTATGCCCAGAGGCAGCTGCATCATAGGGAAGTTGAAGGCAGTTTTGGTAAAGCCTTGCGCTTGAGCGAATGTTGTCGACCTCTGGGCGTAGTAGTCGTGCCGTTGGTGGAGGTGCCGGTGTTGCTCGCTCGGGCGGAGGCGCCAGACCATCGATGTGCAAATTGACCAGATTGGCCCGTTGGAAGGCCATCCGCGGCATAGGAAGGGTACAAGACAGAGTCGTCCAGCTGGAGGATAGGCACAGGTGGTCCAGGTTCAGGAGTTGTACCAGGTGATGAGGCTCGACGAGGACCTGGTCGCTCGTTCTCTGATGGATCCACACTGGGTCTAGGAGATCGAAATCGCTCGGAGTGATCTTTGAATCGGATGGTCATTTCTCGTTGGGTCTGGGTCTGCAGTTGATGGTCAGCGAGGGAGGGGGAAGGAGCGGAAGCCGGCGACGCTTACCATGGTTCCCGGGAAGAACTGCTGCTCTACCTTTCTCTGTGCTTCTCGCCACTTCTTGTTCGTCTCCGTCATCTCTATACTCATCAAGCCCATGGCGGTCTCTGGCAATCTCAGATGGTCCGCCAGCATACTCCAAGCATATTGCTTGCCCGCAGCGTCTTCCCCGAAACCCTCTCGATGGGAACCTGCAGATGGCAACTCGCGACGAGACTCGTTGCCTTGAAACGGATTACGAAGAGCTTGAAGTGGAGAACCGAGTCGCGAGAAGGCCTCCTGAGTCGCACTTTGGTGCTCCCTGACCTGAGCCTGTTGGACCGGTCTTTTGGCGCGGATATAATCTTCCATCTGGTCTTTTTGATCTGCTTCCCAGGATTTTGCATCATAGGGAATGGGAGTCGCAGGCGGCGTGGCGAACGGAGCGACGATGCTCAGTTGTGATTTGATCTGTTCATTTTCCTTCTGTCTAGCATCCTCGATCTCTACCAACGATTTGGTGAAGTGGCTAGGTCCGAGCTTGACAGGTGACGAATGGATGAGAGTTATGGTCGTTGACCGTTCTGACGAACCGAAACGCTTCATCGGTGGGAATAGGATGAGGATAGACTGATCGAGTCGTCAGTCTCCCGACCTTGCACATTGGACACACCAAAATGCTGCGTGCGAAGAGGCCAAAGAAGCCCACCATGAGTAACAAGTCTGGAGTAAGTGGGTGAGTCTCTCGTCCCATCCGGCTGATCCTTGTCGCTTAAATGCTTTGCTCACCTGTAAGATACTCTCGATGTCCTATCTCGTGCTGTGACGTTAGACCGTCGATGCTAATGGCTAGGAAAGGTATGCAGAAGATCACTCTGCCGTAGATCTGAGAACGAAGAGCCGTCAGCCACTTTTAGCAGGTCATTGATCGCTCATTCGTGCCCACTCGGTACTTGGTCAATTGGCGATGATACGCCAATCTCAACATTACTTCCTGACTTCCGCCTTGCTCTCTCACTGACGAATGAGCTCGGGGAACTTGACAACGACGTAGACCGAAGCAATAGTAGCGCTAATACGTGATCAACATGGGCAATGTGATACAGTCCATGTACTTGTAATAACTCACACGACGGTCCAGATCGCGGCCGCGAAGAGGATGTTCTGTGGCCATAATCAGCATGACACTCATAACCAAAGACCCGCACCGTTTCCATCTGTTGCGGATCATCTCTGAACGGCACCGCTGCCGCAAAGATGCTCATCGCTCCGCCGATGGACCCTATGAACCAGACCATGAACCATTTTTGAAGAAAGCCACGATTTGATAGACCGGCCACGGATGGATTGAGCGAGGTGGATCCAGTAGCACGTCTCTGATAAGGTGGGATTGTCAGCGTTCTGTGCGCTGTTCGAGCTCTCTGCAAACCTTCGATCTGTGTCGAGCTCACAGGTATCAGCTTGAGCATGTTTCGGTACGCTGTCCAGACTTACACGTGCAGGACTAAAGCAGCCGCGAGAACGAAGTACAATGGCGCTACTAGGACTTGAAAATGGTGCGGCCATCGAAGGTACGGAGTGGGAATGGTCCCAACATTGGGAATTGTCCTACCAAGCAACGTGGCGCATCAGAAGACATGTGTCCTGGGACTGGAGTTTACACTCACATATACCCCACACTGTACTTTATACAGGTCAGAACCATGGCGAATGTGCCATACAACATGTGCGTCGCTAGATACAACCAAGTCATGATACATTTGAACGCTTGACGACGGGTCGGAAAGATGGATACGAAGCGGTCGTAGCTTGGAGAAGCATCTTCAGTGGGAGGGCTTCAAGCTCTAAGAACTGACTCACTACCACAGATGCCACCAGAAGTAGACATAGCTAATCACTATGGCCATGGAGAAGAACAGGAGACTGTTGAAAAGAATTGAATTCGGCCTCACTACACATTGCCTCCGAGGACTCACGATGTGGGGGTGAGATGGGTCATGCTCGCGTATTGAATGATCTGTAAGGTTTCAACGGACTGCCCAAGGTCAAAGTCGCTACAGCTAGGTAGGGTGATCCTCCAACATAACCTAAGCCCTCTCTCCCTCATGGACTCTGTGGAAAACGCTTTTGCCTAACGACGGGACACCAGAGCCAAGAGATAACCCTCCTCTCCCTCCCTGATCCATAAACTTCTTGATGACCGAGACCTTCTACCTTGTGAACAGGGCACGCTGCCAAGCTGGTTTTCGAAGCAGGCTAGTGCTTCGCTCATGCTCCTTTCGAGTAGACGTTGACAGGCGAAGATTGGCAGACCAAAGCCTCTGCCACAATATCGAAGGCCGCCACATATTTGATAGTCATCCATCAGGTGTCAGCCACGTGGTCGCTCGATTCGCTGCTGCTCTCATGTTGTCAATTCCTCATTTCTGATGTATACATACCTTGCTTGTAGCAGTTGGACCATTGGTGGTATCTCACAGGAGCTCGGGCTCATCCACTTGGATATGGCGTGTCAGGACCAATCAATTCAGGTTGTGCTGCAGGCTCTTCAAACGCTTTATCATGACCCACAAGGAGATGCAAAGAAACGAGCGAACGAGTGGTTGGAGGAATTTCAACATAGCGTGAGTAGTGAGGACAGTGCAGCAGGCAGTCGGTGCGCCGTCTAGAGCGCGCTGTGATTCTCTTCAACACCTCTTCTATATGGTTATCCGCTTCTACGCTCGCTCAGATGCTGATCTCAGCCCTTTACAGGTCGAAGCCTGGCAGACATGTCATTCTTTATTGACAGAATCGTCGACACCACTGGAGGGCCGACTTTTCTCCGCCCAGACTATCAGATCGAAGGTGAGTATCCGTCTGGCATTCTTCACCAGACTTGTAGCTCATCCTGTTGCCAAAACACAGATTCTCTATGACCTCTCGCAACTTCCCGTCGAACAACAACTACCTCTTCGCGATTCCTTACTCTCATCCCTAGTCACTACCGCCTCTCAACCCGGCTCGAGAGCAGTCATACGGCAACTGTGCCTCGCCTTATCTGATCTCGCTCTTCAGTCTTCACAATGGGCAGATCCGTGTGACGATATGATCAAACGGTATGGTCAAGACCCGAGCACGGTCCCGACATTGTTGGCGTTTCTCCAGAGCTTTGCCGAGGAATCGATGAATTCTAGAGTCGCCTTATCAGTAAGTCAGTATGTCAATGGGCGTGATGCTAACTATGTCAGTCGCAATATCTCGATGGTATTGGACCTGCGTTTCAACAAGTCTTGAACATTCTGACTTTATATATAAACGCACCGGGTGAGCCGCCTTGCTATCAAATAGGGCTGCTCAACTGACACAATCGCTCAGGAATCACTTCGGACATACAAGTCGCTGTGTTCGAGTCCTTCCGGAGTTGGATCATCACTGGAGAGATGGAGCAACACCTCATGATCGAGAATCCCCTCTTCAACGCATTATTCGAAGCTCTCCCTTCAGATCCTCTCTTTGACGCCGCCGTGGACGCACTATGCGACGTCATCCACGAAACTCGAGAACTCGTCTCAAATCCACAATTCGTCTCACTCATCATTCCACGTCTTGTCGCCCTGCGGCCACAATTAGAGGAGCACAAGGAAGATCCGGATCGGATAAGAGGATACTGCCGAATATTGTGCGAAGCGGGGGAATGCTACAATTCAGTCATTGTCAAGCATCCGACGGAGATGTTACCATTAGTCGAGGCCATAGCCCAATGTGCTGCTTACCCTGATCTGGATATCGTCCCAATCACCTTCAACTTTTGGTACGAGGTGGCCACTGCTCTTGGTCGACAGCCTATCGAACCGCAATTTAAACCTCTCCTCGACATTTTTGAATCCCTCCAGACCGTCATTATCAATCATCTGCATTTCCCGCCCGATAACGATTCCCAGACTGCACAGGAACGCGACGACTTTAGAACCTTTAGACATAGAATGGGGGACACATTGAAGGATTGCTGTCATGTGCTAGGAGCCCCGAGCTGTTTACGAAAATCTTACGACTTGGTCGTGGCGGCTTTAGGAAAGCCATCTCCTTCATGGCAAGAAATTGAAGCACCTTTATTCTCCATGAGATCCATGGGTGCTCAAGTGGATCCGAACGACGACGAGATATTGCCGCATATCATGGAGATGTTACCGAGATTGCCTGATCACCCGAGAATACGATACGCTGCCATATTGGTCATTTCACGGTACACAGCTTGGATCGATCGTCATCCCGAAAATATCACTTTCCAGTTACAATACATCTCAGCAGGCTTTGAAATGGCGAACGAAGAAGTTGCTGCCGCCGCGGCTCAAGCGATGAAATTCATGTGTCAAGACTGTCAACAGCATCTGGTCCCTTTCCTGCCGCAACTCTTCACCTTCACCACGACAGCCGGAGATAGGTTAGACCAGGCCGATATGGTGGAAGTCTGCGAAGCCATCGGCTACATCATATCTTCGATGCCGGTTGAGGACGGGGCTCGGGCTCTCCAGCAATTTTGCGAACCGCTAATACAGCGCGTTCAGAGTGTAGCAAGTGCATCGACGGAAGCGCCGAAAGCGGAATTGCAAAAGGTCGCTGACGCGTTGGAGCGTCTCGACGCTTTTCTCTCCGTTGTCGGTGAATTTGACCCACTACCGTCATCGTGTATGGCGACACCACAGACCGTTTACGCTGTTCTCGATCAATTGATCGCCAGATACTCTCACCTTTACTACATCTCGGAACGTGTAGGCTCGGTCCTCCGGCGCGGTCTAGCGTTCTTCCCCATCACAGCTCTTCAACCTGTCCTCCCGCCTGTACTCGAGCGTATGGCATCCACTTTTGCCACGACTCATTATGCCAGCTATCTGTGGATTATTGGAAAGATTGCTGGCAAACTTGGCGCTTCGACATCGGGCGCTGCGTTGGGAGCTGCAGAGACGAGATTGGTCATTGGAGCGTTCGAATCAGTCACGACTGAGCTTGAAAGACTATTGACGACGAAGCAGGCCATCGAGATTCCTGACGGTGAGTCCTAACAGATCCTGATCGTCTGCTGACACTCCCTCAGTCATGGACGATTATGCTCACACATTCATGTCCTACCTCACACACCTGTCCGATGCCACCGTCCCTTCGCCGTGCTTGTCTACCGCGACGCACATGACCATCAATGCCTTGGCTTGCCCTGCTCCGGAGACTATTATCATCGCTCTCGACACTCTCGCTACACTCTCGCAACGCCTGTCACATCCACAATTTCAACCCCTGATTCAACCCATCTTTGCACAATGGGGCAAACACTTGATGATCATTCTGTTATCCGGCATCACCCAAGGATTTCCAGAAGACGTCCTGGAGCAAGTCAGGGACATTTTGACTCGAGTCAGTCAATGTTCACCACCTGAAGCAGTGGAGGCCTGGACGGTAGAAGGATTGGAAAAGATCCCCGGAAACCTCTTGCCTCAGAATGAGAAGCAGGCATTTGTCTCTAAAATGCACGAGTAAGTGTGAATTTTTGATTCTCGAGGCCAAATTTTCTGACGGCAACGGTACCAGACATCTGCTGGCTCCAGAAGGGGATGCTCTTCGGAACGCAGTGAATGGTCTCGTTCGTGCTGCCAGACGCGCGAGAGATAGAGGAAGACAAAGCCGGAAGAGCCTTGGAGCCATGTGATTCTGGGAATTCACACGCAAGATATACATCTTCTCAACCACCTTGTGACCAGGGCAAAATGATGTTGCATGTATGTGATTAATCTCATGCGTGAATGAATGACGGAAGATGAGGAAAGCGCACGGGATGTTGCATGCGGCTTTTCCCTCACTCATCATTCTCGATCGAGCAGGCTCTTCAGGTCCACAGCTTGAGCCAAAGTATTGACACACAACTCGGGGTAGTCCCACCCAATCGCCTCTGCTGCGAGGGCCACCAAAGATGTCTGCTTCTCTCTCCCAGGTCTGCCAGTCCCCGTGGCATTCTGAGGTAATTACATGAGCAAATCTGAAGCCATTCATGAAAGTGGCAAGACTGACCGGTTTCATGTTAACGTCAAAGAGGATGATCTCTCCACCGTTTCCCTCTGATCGCCTTCGTCTTCGACAATCTATACGGATCGGCGCGGTGGCTTGACAAGCCTCCGCTACGAGCTCGCATTGACGTTGAGCGATACCGTACGCTGGGTCTGCGGCATGCTCCTCTGGAGTCAAAGCTCTGCTGTTGTCCATGACTGGCACTGTCCCGTTCCACGGCGCGACGTCTAGTGAGGGCGTCAGCATTGAGCGCAGTATCATAGATCGAGAAGGACTCGCCATCAACTTGGTCGAATCGAGTAACGACAGGAAGAGCCCAGTAGCCTTCCTTCCTTCCATTCTGTTATCACCAAGTCAGTATTAGTCGTAGAGACAGACACCCAAAGGTCCTCACGGTGTATTCTCCTGGAGGCATCACTGTGATAGTTGTTTCTTCCCCTTCTAAGAATTCCTGAGAAGTTTCCTCAGGACGACGGTTTGCCGAGGCATGCCTGGATCAAGCCCACCTCATAGATGATCGCATCTGATTCCTTCAACAACGCTTCGACACCCCTCTTCAATTGCTCTTTATCCCTCACGACTTTGACTCCGTGGGATCCTCGACCTCTTACAGGCTTGATGACAGCCGGCAAGTTGAGCTCGTCGAGTCGATCAACATCTTTCGCTGTGATCAATTGATTCTCTGCAAAACACCGCTGCAACCCCTCATGACTCTGAACAAGCCATCGATTCAACCACTCTTTATCGTCGTACTTCTCCGTATCCAATGGACTCTGTCCGACCATCTTGACTCGCTTTTCGATGAGGAAATCCGCCAATTCAACAATGGCATGCTTGGAATGTAAGATCGTATTAGCCCAAAAGACATTGACGCCATGCTCTGTTACGGCTTGGCGGATAGCAGAGGGTGTATCGGGGAATGACCAATCGAGATCTTTTCGAACATCTGGGTGTGAGGCTGGCGTGATCACGTTGATTCCTCGGGTCTTTAGCGCATAGGCGATATCGGCACTACTGTCAGAATAGCCTGCCGGTTTGGCGTGTCAATGGAAGCTAAGGTCGGAAGTTGATGCTGCTGGACTCACCACCAGGCTTCATGGGCTTGATGACACCTCCTACGTGAGGAACTGGAGCACCCTGGTGCAACAGAGCTACCCTCATGGATTGAAGAGCTCGAGATGTCATTCGGACGAGTTGGTCTTCAGATACAGAGCGGATGGGGATGGACTGCGTTTCAAGTCTTCAAAGTCCGGCTTATGAGAGACTCATATAACATAGCTAGCCCTTCCCAAATCAAGAATGCTTCTTATACACGAATGATATGGCTCACCATGGACCTTTGCCCGTCAATGGCCGATGAGATCTTCAAACTTGTATTGACGCAACAAGATTGTCCCGTAATATCGGTCCGGAGATAATCGGCCAAGTAGGACGAGCAGGCATATCATGGTGTTCACAGCTGACAACGACTTCCTTGACACCTCATGCACAAGCCACATATGCAAGACCGACATCTCCAGCACTACTGGGCATGCCCTGACCCAGCACTCGGATGACAGAGTTTCGCATCGGACCATAAGTCGCGTGTCACTTAAAGAGGTGCCTCGGCAGGGGATCCTCCCGAATCCCGAGGACTAATGGTGAAACCAGCTTGACCGATCGGGTGGTCTCATATCCTGCGAATCTCCTCATCTGCGGTGATCTCAAGAGGGGCATGTGGACCACAGCAATACGGCATGAGACCTAATAAGATCTATACGAACATGCCACAGAGATGATTCCCGGGAGTTTCCCTTCTGACATCGATCCTCATTTGCTTTCTGGCTAAGCCCGGTAAGCACACTGCACTGCTAATCGGATATGATCGGCATCATGCAAATCTCTTGATAAGCGAGCCACGATAAGAGTCTTTGCCAGTCGGACTGGCCAACATGTCAACTGGTGACGACTGAGGACTTTCCCGGCAGGAGAGTTACCGATTCACTTCTCGCATCGTCCCGACAGCCATCAGCGAGATGATATGCATTTGGAAGAGTCGGTATGCTCAGTGATGGCGATGCGCTTACAAAGCAGCTTCGACGTCGCTCTGAGAGTACAATATCAGTATTGCACGCTTTGAGAGAGACATCGCTCACGACTTTGGTGGATCTTGCTGGAAACCACTTGATATTTCCGTCTTTGACTAGGAACTTTGAAAAGTTCTAGGTGAAAATCGAGTCAGCAAGTGATTGCTCTCTATAATGGAAGCTGTTGCATAACAGAAGCCCGCACTGTGCTAGCGGGCCCCTGCATGGGTGACTCACCCAGTCAATTTCCTGAACAGGAGGATCGGCATGTTCTTTGAGGTACTTCCAGATGGGCTGAGTATCGCTACCGTTGACATCGGCCTTGTCGAAAGGTACGCCTTAGCCGTGCTCCGAACATAGAGTGCGATTCCACTCACCTTCTTGGCGATGGGGAAGGTTACTCCATAGTTGGCCTGACAGAACTGAAGGACATCATCATCTGTTCCTGGTTCTTGTCCCTTGAACTGGTAGATGTTGTCAGTACGACGCATACTGAAGATGGGCGTACCTGGTTGCATGGGAAACCAATGATGACTAAGCCTTTCTCTCCATACTTCTCGTGAAGGGCTTGGAGGTCTTTGTACTGAGGTGTGAGACCTGGGATATGAGTCAGCTCCTATCGGTCGGAGTGTTCAGAGGCGGTTCTGGCGGTTTCCACAGGAGGTGGGCAAGCCCGGACCGATGGGACGCGCTACATGGCTGTCTCAACTCACCACACTTGGAAGCGACATTGACGAAGAGCAGAGTCTTGTCTTTGAGGTCCGAGAGTGGGATCTGAGATTTTGGCAATTCGACCTGTGGAGCATGGAGGTGAGTAACTTGGTTCACGACTGAAGAAGGGTTTTCGGCTCACGGTGTGGGAGTAGATGTCAGACATAGTGCTATGTGATAGCTTTTGGAACGAGTGAGAGAGTCGTTGGAATAGAATGAGTTTACAGGTTCGATAGGTTTGATCCAAATATATGGGCTCTGGATATGGCGTCAATCAATCGCCGGGTCCGGGATTGCCGCGCCGGTGATCTCATCCTTAGCTACCTCATAACGGTCACGGCCAAAGCATCGGGAGTGCTCCTGTCCAAACACACTTCGCATCTTCGTTGGAACGTTGAGACCCTGTTTGGAGACTGAGTGGTGCGATTCACTCCTGACCCGGACCTCCATGGCTTCGCAGGACTGTCAGGGCGAAGGTGAGCTCATGGTGAAGACCTCCGCGATTTCGGCATCCACACTCTGCATATATCATTCGCAGCCAGCTGACATGGAACCCACTCAAGCCTGTGCCATCCAGACGTGCTTGTCCAAGAACAACTACAACGAGTCAAAATGCGCATCATACGTCGAAGCACTGTACAGATGCTGTGATACAATGTATAAGAAAGCAGAGAAGGAGGGCAAATCGGCCGATGAAGCAAAGAGTACAGCTTGTCCCATGAGAGAGGTCGTCAGTCGGCGGATGAAGAGTATAACGAAGTAATGAACAGGGGATCTATCCTCAGCAGGTGGTCACTCATTCAGCTTGACGGAGATATCTTCAGTGTGATAATCCCCCATGCATTGTATCCATAGCCCCCCCCTTAGGCCTCTCTCCAACGGCGCGGGCGTGCTGCTTATTTGTGGCTCGAATAAATTTCACCTGGATCCCCCCGGATCCGTCTTCCAAATCCACAGTGCAATGCACCACCGAATGAACGCCTTCCAACAAGACACTCTCATACCTCGTCTTGTGACACTCTTCGTTCCTCTTTATCCAGTATGGTGCGTATCTATTATCGCTGCGATGGTCCACTGAGGCGTTTCTCCTATGTGATTCATGGCTTGTCGCTGACTTTTCACGTTCCGTAGTCCGACATCAAACGACCTGCCTCTCCAGGCACACCAACACCCGGCACTGGATCTTCCTCTGCGTTTGCCGTATCCCGACCTCCAGGTGCCAATGCAGTGAGGTGAGTAGGATACGAACTGTGAGGGCGGTTCAGATGCATTGAAGGTCCTCGTCTGCCTGTCTTCTGAGCTGAATATCGCCCTTCAGACGGAGAGCACCCGCCGCACCTAGGCCCACATCGACACGAGCTGCTGGAGCCGGAGGATCTAGCAACACAATGTTGAAACTGTACACTGACAGTGGAGAGGCCGGTTTGAAAGTGTGAGTAGGGTGACGGCCGTACGGTCAGCGTCAAGCTTCGGAGAAATCCCAGCCCTTGAGATGTTAACCCGGAGCCGCTGCTCTGGCTCTGCATCCGCACACCTTGAGCAGACGATGCTGACACTTTCTCTTCTGCCCAGTGATCCCTTCGTCGTCATTGTCCTCTCCCTTTCCTTCATTGCCTCTATTTTCTTCCTCCACATTGCCGCCAAAATCGTCAGATCATTCTCTAGCTAAAAACAAACCGTACGGTTCTGGATGAATGATGTGGGAGTCCTCAACTTCTCGCAATGGGCTTCATGCTTGAAGAAAACAGCATGCAAGGACGGCGTATGCAATCGAAATCTTACGCTTCTAAGGCAACCAGTCACTACAGAGTATCTCAAAAACGTTCAATTCCTTAGTCTCTATCTGACTTGCTCATCGTTAACCCCCCAGGTCAATTTCTCCGCCCTACTCCTCCTCGGCTGTCACCCATTCCACCACTCCATCGTCAAACTTGTCAAGCATTCCCGCAGCAGTCCCTCTGACGACACTGTAGCAATTGCCCTTGAAGTATGCGACATCTCTATCGATCGTGGCCTTCGATGTCGTTGGGCTGGCCGCTACCCATCCTCTGGGTTTGACAAATTTGCCTTTCCAGCCGACGAGCTCAACACTCTTCTCCATTGAGCTGATTGAAGAGTCACTGGCATTGGTCGATCCCACGGAAAGTGAGGAGAGCTGCAACGAGGAACCCGATGTGGGAGTCGACGAAGATGATTCGGAGAGTTCTGAGGTATCGGGGGCGGCGTCGTAGCCAGGGTACAGCCGGTGATCTGCGATTCTGGCGACCAGTGTTTCACGCGGCACCCAATCGCAGATTGAGGACACCATCGAATCGGTATCTGAATCCCAGTCGGACTCGTCATCGGCAGCGGTCTCCTCTCGATTTTCCCGAGCCGAGGCCAAGCTGATACTTTCCGTCATGTGATTTTCCAATTGCTTTCCCTTCGCGGCCTTGTTGACTGTCGGCTCTACCATCTCATCGTCGGTGTCTGCCTGTCGAAAGGTCGTCTGTCCATGTGCTACTGACTCCGGCTTGCTGACCTCTTTGCTCGCTTTACAGATGTCTTCGGTCTTTCGAGTCGAATCTCCTCCAGTCCGATAGTTCTGGTCAATCAAACTCGAGTGGTCGGTGCTCTGACCTGAGAACGAGGCCTCTGGTATCGCGCCCTCGCCCGCGGTAGGAGCCTCGCGTTCTTCTCTCAGCTTCCTGTTGTATGCCTCTCCAGCGCCTGAAACTACCATCTCGTCAAGGGTAGGAGATCGCGAGCCGGGGCAAGGAGATATGTCCGATTCCAATGACGGGCAAGGTGATCTGAGATACTAACTTCAGCTCAATGTCACCCAATGGACGCTTTGGTTTAGGCTTACTCATAGAACAGTCGAGGATCTGGCATCTTCAGCTTCAAACCTCCCATAGCTGCAATCCGCTGAGCTACCTTATCCTCCGCATGTAGTTTGGCGCGGATGGCTCTGTATCGAGCGAGGGGATCGCCGTTGGCGGTGCGACGAGGGGGTCGGGCAAGTCTAGCGACGACGACAGGACCGTTCTCCATTATGGGCGAGGGAGATTGAGTGAGGGGTCTGGACGAGCCCAGTAGAGTCGCAGATTAGCTTGTGGACTGGCCGGACGGCCGGTGTGGTCAAATGTAAAGGGATGAAAGGAAGAGCAACGAGTGCTGAAAGAGATGCCAGTTGAAGACAGACTGCATCTTCCTTTTGAGCTTCTCAGTCTCACGCACAAGCCAAACTGTAGCCCGTGACATCTTCCTTGGAGCTCTTCCTCTTCACATTTGGACTGCCGCCCCCACTATGATGATGAATGGGATATGGCCACAATTCACGTGAATGCGATCGACGTTTTTTATTTTCTTTTCGCGTTTCAAAAGGCGAATTTGACTAATTGACAAAGTCCGAACTGATCACGAGGTCAATGGAGGCCGATAGACGTCATGCCTTGCATTGCGAATGTCATAGAGGGCATCGAGTCATCTGGAAGCTGAGTGTCCACCAGCATGTTACGGTGAGAGGAGGTGCGCCCTGACGGCCAAAAACAGAAGGAGATGTGGAAATGCATTAGACTGCACTTGAAAATGTGGATGATTGGCGTTGTACGGATACGGTTCTGCCTAAAATGAAATGTCATGCATACAGTGACTCAAATCCTTCTCTATATGAAGTTTCTCAGGCCGGCAAGGTGCGCAACGTGTATCTTTCCCATGCAGTGTGCCGTGGCAAGCGCCTTGTGTCCAAAGCCGGGCTTCATCGGCCAATAGTGGCGAGAAGCGCGTCCATGTCCCATTCCACCTTGACACCCCTCACTCGTCGAATCAGATCATGGTCAACATCGGGATGTCCATTACGTTCACTGTGTTCGACCATGACTTTTTCCGTCCGCCCTCCGTTGATCGAGACGAATCGAGGGACGAGATTGGTAGGAGTGAATTGGGTCGTCTCATCCTCGTAGTCTGTGCTGTCGCCGATGAAAAATTGTGGTTTAGGTCGAGACTGATGATGATTGACAGTGGGATATTCAGTGTTGGGGACCGCAAGAGTCCTGTTAAGGGCATTTGAGGTCAAAGGTGTGGCGAGGAGGCCAGTGGTAGCGATGACAAGGATGAAAATGGCAGTCCAGATGGGGTTCTGGGCGGTGTAGGCGGAGAATTGGTCAAAAGACTGTCCAAGGGTAGCGATGGATGAGGACATTCTGGTGGGTCTGGGGACGAGAGGACGGGAGTTGTCGGCGAGAGATCTCGCGAGAAGATGATGGACACCGGAGGCAAGACGATAGTTGTTCCCGAGGCGAAACGAACTCGTAGAAGTGTGAGGGTTGGTAGAGCGGTGAAGATTGGCGAGAAGAGAGATTCGAGTATCGAGGCGACAAGAACCTCAAGGTGTGTATGTGAGATGTATGTTGAAGTTCAGTAGTGAGATGTTGAAGTGCAGAAGTGAGGTGAGAAATCGAAACTGAACCTCGAACCATTCTGTCTTTGAATCTTGCAACTGTGTGCCACTCTGACCCGAAAGACAGTTCTTCGGATATGAAACCCGTCATCCTGTCACATGATACAGTATTAGTACCGCACCGATACTGATGTACATGCCCGTGAAAGTTAGATGACCGTGAGGATGAGTGGGAAACCCTAAGTGTGAGGAAACACGGAGATCGTGACGAAAGACGAAGGGACGATGAAAGACTACATTGGAGGGGAATGTGGCACAAAGTTCCGTTTGACGTTCCGTGAATGGGAACAATTGCCACTTTGGCCACAGAGATCTCTTTGGAAACCAACAGGACACAAGTACGAATCATGGGCCGCGAGCTGGATCACACTGCATGCATTTTGTACGGGGTATTGAGGGCATTGCGGAGCAGCTTCAATCTATGGAAGGATTCGGCACCCAATCATGATCATATCCCCATGGTGCGTCGGGAATCGGACCAATCTGCATTTCGATAGGCTCGAATCCATCCTCACTTGCCGTCTCCTCGAGATTCGCCAGCCAGATCCAAACGAAATCACTGATCTCAGAGTAGATCCTGGGTATTCTCTCGACATACGATACGTCCTCTTGAGTGACCAACTCCAATGGGCCCATAAACCGAGTTTTGGCGTAGATACTGCCGAATCTCCGAGTCAGCGAGCTTGTCATTGAGTGGCGGATGAGACCGGAGGACACGCACGTCATCCCTGTGTTCTCAACTAGCTCGAAGTAGAAGATGCCACGTATCATGCACTCGACTGATGGTCAAAGTTAGCTGTAAATTCGTGACAGACCATCATAGAACAGACGACTGACAGGAATCAATCATGGACCCGAAATACGCCTCCACGTAAGTAGCTGCGAAGACCAAAGGTGGACATTTCTCAGGGCAGTGTCGACTGATCCATTTGACACTGTAAAGACCAAGCGCTGTGACCAAAGTTGACGACATCACAAGGACCTGGCGCAGAGTGATCGTCATGATACCGGTGAAGAGATCTGCCACCAAGAACCAGGCCAGAAGGATGTAAGGGAGCGAGTACAGACCAAGATCAAAGGGCATGGTGTAGTGAGAGATGGTGATCATTGGCGAGAGGGTGGAAAGCGACAAGTGAGGTAGAGTAGAAGAAACAGGATGAGGAGGACATTCGAATCGAATCGCAGCTACTTAACCTCCTCTTCTGCTCTGAAGATCTCATGTAATCACATCCCTTTCATGCCGTCTCGTGATGGATTCGTCGGGTGCCAACTGCCACCTTAGTTTTCTGTACTGTACAATCTTGGATCCGTTACTTCCAAAACCAACTCTAATGTACTGTATTTTTCCATTCATGGCTGAAGCTTATCAACTCTCAGCTGATCTTCGATCAATGGGATTTTGCTACAGTAGCATGACCGGCGGAATGGCAGACAAGCCGAGATGCGTTGCCGCCCAAGGCAGGTCGGTCGTTTTGATGTGGCTACTGTGTGTCGTGAAAGTGCATTATGTATATCCTATACAAAAGGGCATGCTTGAGTCCAAGGGGGTATGAACAACGAGCCTGATTTATACGTATTACCATGTCGCTTCCTGACACTGTGTCAAAGCCGCCATTGAGCTTTCCCTGTAGAAAGATGTCCTCGTAGGCAGACTCTTGATAGCTCACGAGAGCCACTTCTATGCAATAGCATTCCGTCGCCTCAGTAAGCAGCCATGTTGGGATCTTCCATCATCACCTCTAATACGTCTTCTCCTGCCTCATTGTCCCTGGAGGGCAGAGCTTTCTCACATCTGACCATTGAATCATACCACAGAACAGGCGTAGCGTCTTCGTCCCATTCTCTTGTCTCAAGGAAAGCTTCACCTCCGTAGGCAAGATCGCCATCCTCGTCTCCTTCATCATCATCATCATCAATGATTTGCATTCCGCGGCCGTTCCCCAACCGATTGCCTCTCAACGGCACCACATGGGTCTCTGGATCGTCAATGACGAAAGGGGGCAGAGGGAAATAGTCACGCAGAGATAATTTAGAGGCTCGGGAAATGGCTTGCGGGAGATTGTACCATGATCCTTCGACGAGGGCTTGACCGTGGCTGAATTGACAGAGCAATTTGTCAAAATCGTCCTGACTAGACTAGGCTCTTTTGTATGTTCGAAGACCTACCAGTAATCTTGCAGCTTTTCAGCTGGTGATTTGAGATCATGTCGATCTAGATGGCCTTGCCTTGGCTCGTGATCAGCAACGTTACTCATCGGCCTGAATCAGAGACGGCTCACACCTCTGCCGAGGGGATCTCCTCCTTTACCGCATTCAGTGGAATGAGGTAACCAGCTTGTTTGACCGCCGTCGAGCCCCACGGTGGAGCGAACTGAGGGGCGAACAAGGTGTTGAAAGCGGGATCTCGGATCATAGCGGGGTGAGACGCCTTAGAGCTCAGAGGTCTGAATGGGCACGCAGTGGGCTGAATGGATAAGTCAAACTGTACAGCTCCTGAATACTGGGCAGAATAATGAGAAAGTATAATTAAATCGAGTGGTTGCAGGTTCTGTGGGTCAGCGCAGTGTGAGTGATGAATCGTTTGAGACGAGTCAGTTGTGATCAGAAATGCAGTCGTAGGTGGTGGCAAAGATGCCAAAGAATCGAAAACTTGACACGGAAAAGCCTCGCGGTCCTTTGAGTACAAGTCAGAAAGGAGAGCAAGACGGAGGCAAGTGAGGAGGTCAAAGGTCTCTCGCTAGGGTCTTGGAATAGCTCAAGATCGATAGCCCGAGGTGAGGCGAAGTGCCTCCTGTATCTTTCCTGGGAGATGTACTGCCCTCAGTATGGTAGATGTCATACTCTCTATCGCCTCATCACCTGCTGCAATAGGCCCATCATCCCCATGTCCTTCAAGAATGCTTCCTCGTCGCTATCCTCTCGTCCATCATCTCCTATCTCCTCGTCTCCGATGCGTTTATTCCAATCATCGACTTCGACACTGTTCCCTACAGGTTCCTCATCATCCATCTCGGCATTCTCCCGCATGGCTTCCAATCTCGGTTTAAGCATTTGACTTGATTTCGCCCATGCTCGGTCGTATGATCTGCTCCTTTCTCGAAGTCTCGCGTCGTCTCCCAAGGCCAAACCTAGGCCTCTTGCGCCGTTTGGTTGTCCTGAACCCATCATACCAGTCCCAATGTGTCTCCCAAGACCAGGCGGCGAATAAATGCTCCCGGCCTGTCTCGAATTGTACGGATCAGCCTTGAGGGACGCCTGGTGCATTCCAACTAAGCGATCGAGGAACACTGAAGACGCAGGATCGGACGGCTGCCAATCTGGGTGTGTGGCTTTGAAGTGCAGGAAAGACTTTTCCATCTTGTTCTCGTTCGCTCGCCAATCTCGACTTTTTGCTCGAGTATGTGGGCTGTTGATAGGAGGATATGCGAGACCTGAGTGGGGCCACGACTGTCCAGAAGACGGAGCAGGCACCGTGCCTGGCTTGGTGCTGTCTTGAGGGGATAGTGAGACATTCGGAGAAGCCGGAGCCCCGGGCTCAGGGACCTTGAGTGCGCCGTGTCGCCGGAAATCGAATACTGCGAACGAGCAGACGTAACCCACGCCATCGACGTGAACAGTGAATTCGCGAAAGAAGTCAATGATGGCACCGGCGCACGGTGGAAGCGAGAACCAGAGGATGAATGGTGTCAGAATGACGGACATGAGCTCTGTGAAAAAGACATTGATTTTGAGTGCGAAGAGGTTGCTGAATTCTGCGTGGACCATCTTGCTGTGCAATTTACCTCTCCATTCTCCAGGTAGGTAGTGAGTCCATCGAACCACTTCGCGAAGACTGACTTCGGGGTCAAACACCAGGTTCTCCGCTGGAATCATGCCTCGAGCAATGGCCAGGACTGAACCGAAGAGACCGAGATAGAAAAGGACGGTTCGATGAGGAGTGACCTCAAAGTGTAGAAAGAGGTCAGGATCGAGGAGAGATGCAACGAGGAGGACGGCAGCGAATGAACCGGCGACGAAGGCGACGAATCTGACCAGTGAGACCAGTAACGATGCCTCTCACTCACCTCATGACGAGCGCGGAGCGTTCATTAGGGAACTGATCGATATATTCTTTCGCGATAGGATAGCTACGATCCAGCCGTCTCTCAAATAGATGAGGCAGCTCATTGAACTCGCGAAATTTCCACTGAGCATAAGGCGTATATTGTCGACCACCGATGGAGGAGGGATTCTTGTGGTACTCCTGAGACGAGGTAAGTGAATCGTTGAAGAGTGTGGATGGCTCACCTCAAAGTACCGGAAGAACGAGTACATGAGGAGGTAGACTATAATGAACGGTGCGAAGATTGCGTTGAAGATGCCCATGAAGATGAATCGGCGTTTCAGTCTGGGGATCATCATGGTCATTTGAGGGGACGGACCGCGGGCTGCCACATCGCTCACCCCTCGACCAAGTCCTTCCTCCGCTTCTCGCGGACGAACTCTTTCCGGACTTGTCCCTGACGATCAAACAGGTACCCGAGCAGACAAAATCGTAAATTCCACTCCAGAGCTTTAGTGAGAGTGTTGGCGCCGAAAGAGATATACTTTCTCGATGGCCGATCGGCGTGCCTGGCCGGTAGAGTCAACTTGCTAGGTTGAGCCAGTAGGGAAGCAGGAACGAGATGAGCATAGTTGTGTGGCACTGGGAGGCGAACTCGGAGATCGAGGAGATCCTTATTGAACAGTGCGATGAGGTAATTCTCCTGTCGCAGGATCCGGCTGAGTCATGTTAGTCCAGCCGGAGTTGCCGAAGCGTCTGGCTCACTTGGCAACGTCGTGCGCATCTAGGGTTTTGACTTCGCCTTTGATATCTTCTCCTACCATGTCTGCCAGAGCTCCGGCTTGCCCATTGGACAGGGATGTCACTGGGTTGTGCTTTCTTATTTCACCAATAAGCCTTACAATCTCAGGCCAGGGTAGGGTTTGAATGTCCGCCTTGGCTCAGGTCAGTAAAGGCATTTGAATGAGAGTCGGCGGTCTTACATCGGGGATGCCAAGAAGGTAGGTATAGAAGCGGTACATTTCGAAAAGCCGCGGTAGAGAGAGGATGAATGAGAAGATTTGAAAGACGTAAAAGATGCAGACAATGAGAATGAAGAGCATGTGCGGGACAGAGCCACTGTACATAGTGAGCCTCGCAACGTGACCTGACGAGCTCACTGTGTCAAACATTGCTTCACCAGTACATCGTCAAGCCTGCCGACAGAGGTTGGTCCAGAGATGTGTGTAAGTTTGGAGTAATCTATACATTGGAGAAGGAACGTCGAGAATCCGATGACGAAAAAGGTGGTTCTGCCTTCGTCAGCTCTGCACGGTTGCCTCGAGACAAGGCTCACAAGAGGTTCAATACCCTTGCCAGGGCTATACAGTACACTCCTTTGCCTTTGTAGTAAGCATAGACCTGTACAGTTTGTCAGCCCTGGCGCTTGCTGACACTCACTTCTTGTAGAAACCCATCCAGATCGTCCACGTTCACCCATTTCCACAGTGCCTTCTCATACTCGTTCAATCCAGATCTCGGTAAGACACGGGTTCGTGGGAAACCTCCCATCTTTCGGCTCTTCTTACTGGATTTCCCGGCCTCAGGTCGCCCATCGACAGCTTCATCCTCTTGCTCTGCAGCCGGCAATGCGACATATCTCTTCCCTGATCGAGTCTTCTCCTTCGCTTTGCCTTTGCCCTTGGCTCCACTTGGCGGTGTAGACAGGTCTGGATCACCATAAGGCGTCAAAAGAATCGGATCGAAAGAACCTCGTCGCTGCTCGTTTATCGCCTGACCGTTTGAAGTTTTGTGCTTGTCGAAAGTATGAGATGGGGTACGCTTAGGTGTCGGTTTGTAACCTGGGACCTCCCGGAATGTAGGCACTTTAGTCTTTTCAGGGGACTTGCTGGGCTCTCTGGAAGAACTCGCGATTGTTCCTTCCAACACTGTACCTTCGAGGCCCGATGCATACACCGATATGGTCGACGGTCCAGGTGATGTTGACACACTGTGTCGTCCTTCAGATGCGGAAGATGATGCAGGTCCTCGTGATTTGAAAGGACCAGGTGACGTCGGCACAGCCATGGGACCACCTGATGCTATGGTATGTACCGGTTGACGCGTGCTGAAGTATGATCCTGCCATAGGACCAGGTGAACGGGCTCCGGGTGTCCGCTCGCCAGATAAACCGCTAGTGTTGACAGTGTCGAGGGGTCGTCGAGTGGCGCCCACTGAAGTCTTACCTACAGATCTAGATGTCCCAGCAGCGGCGTGATTTGACAGCGCATCATCATACATGATAGATGCTGGTGGACCATCGCCTTCGCCATCATCGTCTCCGCCATCATCATCCGTAATGACATGAGTAGGAGGTCGTCTTGTTGGAGGTTTTGGCGTGGGAGAGAGTCGCTTGCGCCGAGACTCTTGCTCATCTTCATTAACATCGTCATGGTCTTCCTCTTCATCTCCCTCTTCATCGCCAGCATCTCCTGATAGCTCTCGCAAGAGAAGAGCCGATGGACTGTCTGGTGCGGGTGGCGGATGGGACGATCTGGACATGGAGGCGTAGGGATTGAGCAGATTCAGCAGAGAATTGGACGGCGGCGGGGTGGAGGGCATTTCGAAGTTCGATGAGGTCGGACCACAGATGCCTCAGCTGCTCTCGGTCATCTCATTCCGTATATGTTGCTCGTCATGCACGACAATGACAACAGTATGACTCTGAAGAGCGGCACGCACGCGACGAAAAATAGGCGCCGGCTGATTGAAGCATAGGCGGTAGACCACGTGGCTCTTGATCGCGTCCTCGAGATCGGTCCTGCGCGAATGAACATGACTTTCAGAAGCCTGTATTGAAGCCCAAGAATACGACGCAATCAATGTCCAAAGACGATATGGAGGTGGATGAGCCCGCTTCAGCTTCGAGCAATGCCATGTCAATGCTCATGCCGAGCGCGAAGGGGAAAGCGAAGGAAGCCGCTAATGGGTCTGGAGATGGGGTGCTGACTGAGAAAGAATTGAGGGAGATGAACACGAGGGATGGGTTGCCATGGTGAGTGAGGTCGATATGAGCTTTCCCTCTTGTCTTCATGCTGAAATCGGTTCTGAAGGGTCGAGAAGTATCGTCCGAATACCCTTGACGAGGTGGTCGCTCACCAAGACATCACCGCAACTCGTGAGCTGCCGACAGATTAATCCTGCGAAGAAGGCTCATGTCATAATAGTGGAAAAGTTTATCGAGGCTGGAAGACTGCCCCACTTGCTATTGTACGGACCTCCAGGTGATAAGATCCCAGCCGCCGGTCTCACCTCGTTGCTGACGCGTAAGCTGTCAGGAACTGGAAAAACATCCACCGTCCTGGCTCTCGCTCGCAGGCTATACGGACCTCCATTTCGTAAACACGTTCTCGAGCTCAATGCTTCGGACGATCGAGGTATCGATGTGGTCAGAGATCAGATCAAGAGCTTTGCCATGACCAAGGTGTTATTCTCGTCAGTTGGCTTCCTTGATCATCTGAAGAGTGTGTCTGACCGTCCCCAAGAAAAGGTTTCAAGCTGGTTATTTTGGACGAAGCGGATATGATGACTCAAGCGGCTCAGTCAGCCCTGCGCCGAGGTGAGCACCTTCCATCCTGAACTCGACCTTGACGTATTACCACCCCCAGTGATCGAGATGCACACTAAAAATGTGCGATTCTGTATCCTTTGCAACTATGTCAACAAGATCGCACCGGCTATTCAGTCGCGATGTACGAGATTCCGATTCTCTCCCTTACCTGAAAAAGAGGTCCAGCGGAAAGTCGACGAGGTAGTGCAAAAGGAAGGGTGAGGGTTACCACAATGCGACGGTCTGACTTTGGCAGGGTGAATATCACAGAAGACGGTCGAGCTGCGCTTTTGAAGCTGTCCCGAGGGGATATGCGTCGAGCACTGAATGTTTTACAGGTCCGTTCATCGACTAAGCACTTACGCTTACATACTTAGGCATGCCACGCAGCTTATGATAGGATCGACGAGTCCGCGGTGTACAATTGTACAGGGAATCCAGATCCGAAAGACATAGAACGCGTCGTTCAGAGCATGATGTCTGACGAGTTTGGGACGAGCTTTAATCGTGAGCCCACCTCGCACGGGAAGTAAATTCTCATATAATCCCAGTGATTACTGCTCTGAAAACGGAGAAGGGCCTAGCGTTGCAAGATCTCATCACGGGAGCATATGATTTCCTGCAAACGGTGGATCTGCCGACGCAGAGTCGTGTGTACCTGCTTGATCATCTGGGATCATGCGAGTGAGTGTTCGCTCGAGACTACGCCCCGCCAATACTGACCAATGTGGTTTGACAGACATCGACTGTCGGTTGGCGGCTCGGAGAAGATGCAGCTTACTGCCCTGCTTGGGGCGTTCAAAATTGCTATTGAACTCTCACAGAAGCAGACAAATGGGAAACGCTGAGATGAGGACAACTGGACTGTATGTATTATATTCGGCAGATTTGCCAGCATGGATGGATTTCCATCAGTTCCTTCGGCAGACCCGTCCAGGTACCAGAAGTCGAGCGATTGAGGGGCATCGTGGTGGCACGTTATGAGACACTAACACCGGCGAGTCCTATACGACTCGCAGCCTCCTGCCGAATCGTGCAGCTATATTCTCTGCTCTCTATAACACTTCGACCCTCGAGGCAAACGAAGCCGAGCCACGTGATATCCAACTAAAACCGAGTTAAGCGGTCCGAGATCCCATTGAACATCTAAGTCATCTTGACAGCCAACGACACCGGCGAGCAGCAGCGGCAACGGCGTCCAAGCAGCAATATGTTGCCTTTTAGTGCTATCCTGCTTCGGGACTACTATCGGGCGATCGGATGGAACGAGGACAATTCGTACAGTCAACTGACGAGATCATCCTCAGGTAAGTGGAATGTTGACGGTATGCCCGGGATGCGGCAAGCTTGAACCCATCATGCCGTGGCAAGGCCGATAGGAGTCTGTTTCAATTGATGTCTATGTTATCGCTGACACCCTCCTTAGCCCTCTTGTGAGCTCCACTCCGATGCTAGCCTCCTACCTGTCGGTCAGCTGACGCATGGACATCGTTCAGAGATTTCCAGATCCCAGCTTCTCTGATCCTCCAACTTGCCAATTCGCCCACTCCCGTCTTCTTCACTTCCTATTCTCTTGACGCTTTGCCTCAACTCAATGGAGCAATATCGTATATAACTACTTCGTCACCTATAAACGAGGTGAGCTTCACATTCCCCCGACCAATCACTGAGACGACCTTTGATCGGTCCATCACGAAGCATCCCATTTCGGCATGTCGTAGAGCGTTTCCGTGTCTTTCCTCCACCTAGACGTCCGCTGCCCAAGGATGAAGTCTGGCTCCGTGGCAAGCGCATCGAGGGAAGAGGTGAGACTCCTGAAGCATTCAACTCGACTGTTGCTCACTCTTTCCGTCAGACTACCTACTCTATTCTCGTCTTCACCTGCCTTCTCTTCACCTCTCCGGTCTAGCAACCACTCGGATCACCCCAACACTCCAAGCACACCTTGCCTTCCTGTCGCAGCCTGCCCCACCAATGCCGAGGTCCAATGGCGCATACTCCTCTCACGCTCGTCAACCCTCCGAACCTCCATCTCCAGCGCCCTCCTCGTCGACACCCGGCAACGTCCTCCTCAGTCTACAACATGATACTGGTCGCTACAGTGGAGAATATACCTACTCAGCTCAAGACGGTATGTTCGGCTTGAGAGGTCTATACAACTTTGGCTGGCATGGTGACAATGAGACGCGCGAAAGAATAGGCAAAGTCGGAAAAGGCGATAGGAGAGTCGACGAAGAGGAGATGATGGAGGGCGGTCTGAGAGGTAGATTCTCAGCTGGTGGAGAAGTCTACTTCTCAGCGAAGCAAAGAAGCTTCGGGAGTGAGCTACAACAGATATCTAACATTGTTCACCGGCTCACTATCTGCAGTCTCGACTGGTCTTCGATTCACTACGCTTCCTCCACTACCTCCCTCTCCTGGTCCCCCGCCGCCCAGTCCACCAACCACGTTGACATTGTTGTATAACCCTCTCATCGGTTTCGTTTCCTCCGCCTATTCCGCTCAAGTCTCACCGACCGTAGCCCTATCCTCGCGATTTGGCGTCAATGTTTACAGCTACGAGAGTGATTTCAGCTTTGGAGGGGAATGGTGGATCGGTCGTAGGAGAGGCAAGAGGGATCTGACGGAGATGAAAAACGTTCTGGACATGCCGGATATGAAGATTCACGTGGATCCTGAAGCACCACCTCCGCGGGCTCAGCCAAGTTTGCGAGCTGAGGCGGAAGACCTCCAAGCGCATGAAGCGACCCTGGCAAGAGATCAATCTCGACCGATATCCGCTGTAGGGACTTCGACGCTACGTCCGCCTGAGCCCGTGATGCAGGCTGAGGAGCCAGGTATGGGAGCTGACCGAGATGGAGTCGTGAAGGCTCGAGTCTCAGGCAATTGGGTGAGTTACAGACTCGTAGGAAATAAGCGCTAGGCTGAACGCTTCTCAGTCCATCGCCTTGCTCTACGAGGCGAGGATTAGGAATTGTCTGGTGTCAGTCGGTGTGATCTCAGACGTCTTGTCGAGGCAACGACCCATACGATCGGTAGGACTCGAGCTGCAGTACTTCTCATGAGTCGAGGCGCGTGCATTATCGCTATCGTAGCATTGCATCGACTATTCACATGTATATGACACCCCGACTACTCCTACTTTACTATTCATCATACAGGCCAACAAAGCTAGAATCCCTTTTAATGCTCTTCTCCCTTTCCTCCTCTCGCCGTCTATCGCGTCCGTCTGTCCCGAAGCGTCCTCTATCTTCGAGCGATTTCTTCCTCTGTCGATCAACAGGAGACTTTGGAGGAGACCTGACCCCCGGCCTTGGTCCATACCATGCAGCTGCGACTTCACTATTCCACCACTCGTGCGCGAGATTTCGAACATCCTTGGAGAGTGGGTCCGTTTCATTCAAATATGGCAAGCGCGGGGGACGAGGCCGTAGAGAATTGCACGACGGCGAGCGATGCATAGGCAGGCGACTCGGAGCCGAGCGGACGGATTCGTGAAGGGATGACTTCTGAGCAGTATTGGCCGTGCCGAGTGATTCGTCGTGGTAGCCGAGGTCAGTATCTACCTCGCGTCCATGCGCCTCGGGCTGAGCCAGCGACGTTCGCGCAGGACCCTGACAGATATCTCTGTCAACAGGCACGGCTTTGAGCTCCAGAGCTCGGCGGTGAAAGTCCCTCAAGCTCGCAAAATAGGTTGGGGAGCGAGAGGGATACACAGCATAGCCTTTAAGAACGCCTTCGATGGATCCGATCAAGACATCGAGCTTTGATGTCACGTCCCCATCTTGAGAAGAAGATGATTCGATGATTGGAGATGCTGCTCTTGGGACGAGTTGACCGATCACTCGACGACGCGATACAATGGCTGACGGGACGCCTGTAGTTCCGCTTCGAGGTTGATAAGGTTCGAGAGAGGCGAGACGGGGCGCACGAGACGGTGGCGTGGATATGACGTTGAGCATGAGGCTCAATAAAGATATTGGGAATCGTCGATGATTTGACACGAGCTCGCTACTTGTGAGGCGTGATACACCTCAGTTCGGAACCTGAAATGTCTAGGCGACCGAAGTTCGTGCTCGAGCTGTGCGAGAGAGGAGCGCCATCGACAAGGTATGATGAGAAGGATCGATGACTAGGCTCAAAGCGGTGGGCGAAGGCGATAAGTAATTGAGCCAAAGTTATTGATGTCCCCATACGACTGGAAGAGGGGAGCACACGGGTCATGGAGAGACAGCGACATTGGCTTCACTTATATACGCCTGGTGCAGGCTATACTCCTGTCCGTGATCGGAAGAATGTCAACTCCAAACTGAAAAAGGATCGGCCGATGAAGACCCAGTCCAGCCTTGAGAGAAGAGGAAGGCCAGAGTCGGGACGGGGCTCGAGAAGGCCTCTTCACAAGACGGAGATAGGCCTTCAGTATGACCAACCCAGGCGGTGAAGCGGAAAGACGGTGATAGATCGTCGCATACTACAGGGATGAAATGAGTCTTGTTTATCGTTCCTGCTGAGAGTTCAGCACTGCCCAGTATGTCGGTAGACTTGGGGGTCAACGATGGAGAGGAAATGGCGGGTCGTGAGGTAGAGGTTCTCATCGTAGGAGCCATGACGTGAATTCAAGGGTTCAAGATGAAAGGACTTTGGATCGTCGCAAGGGGTTTATCGCATAGGAAGGGCATCTATGGCCGAGAACGCAGCAGCCACTCCCACATTGCTCGGATGCTAACCTTGGCCTGGCCTTCGACCAAGTCGACTTCCAGGGATCTGGATTGCGCCTTGTCGAGATGAACACGACTAGGCGGTGGAAATAACCTCGGGAGCAGTTCAGGAAGCCCAAACCTTCAGCACCAGTCTTCGTGAGCTTCGCTTCGGTGGGGTGACATCAAATCTACAGATCTTGACCGTTTGAAGGTAAAGCACCTTGGTACGCCGATGCGATGTGATCGTTCAATTGCAGGCCTTGACTGAGACCAGATCAGATCGTCTCCGTGTCTCACGAAACACTCACCACGAAGGGCTTGATGTGGGCAGTCTGCCGAGCACTATCGCCTTTCGCAGCTCCCTTGCGACATTTCCTCCCAACCAGCTCAAATCAGCCTCGCGTCCGACCCCAGCTTATCCATCACTTCCTCAGTACATTTCCACAGATCCCTCATGACGTTTTGACATTCTTGTACGACTTGATTCTCACTCGCATGGCCGTGTGTCTTGATGCACTCTGCGTAGGACTTGATATGCTCACCACAAGTCTGCTTGAGCGCCTTGAGCTGGGGTACTCTGAGGGATGAAACATGTAAGCACAGCTGATTTGACCCTCGAGCGTGTACAGCCATATTGGCACGGAGAGAGCAAGAGCGGTACTCACTTGTCTTCGGCACAAGCTGTGAGTGCATCAGACTCTTTTGAGCAAATTTCAGACCAAGCTTTGTCTTGATTGGCCAGAACGCACTGTGCTACATGTCAACATCCTCCCATGAAGAGAGGTATCTATTCAAACCTACATTCTGATATTGAGCCATTTGTTTGGCGCACTCTGCATTGTAGCGTCAGCACCTGTCTACGGGGAAGAAGAGCACGTCGCAGAGGTGAGACCACTCACTAGAAGCCACGAGATTATAGGATGCGTCCATGTTGCTTCCTGTTGAATTGGTCTACTGGGCAAATGGTTCTTTCAATTACCTCAGGCTGAGCCTTCTTCAACTTTGGCTTTCGTTGTCATCCGACTGACTGTGGCACTGGTTGAATGTGGCATTTCTAAAGCTTGTTCATGGTGTCTTTGCCTTTGGATCGACACCTAAGGAGGCGAGTATCAAAGGTGTGCAACGGAATGGCAAAGGCAAGGGTGTGTGACCGTCATGGCCATCGCTTTTTGAGGGTCAGTCTTATCTCTGCTGTCTAAAGTGAAGGACCGACCTCAGTTCACGACCAGCCATGTCAAGCCGGATTCCCGATGGACAGATCATCGCTGGCATTCTATGCATTATCGACGACAATCCCAGACCTAATGTCTTGTTTGGGGCACCAGTGAGCTAGCATGCCATACGGGATTCTCTGATGCATCTCAGGCTGTATCCTTATTTCAACTTGAGACGTCGCTCAACCTCCCTCTAGATACAATTAACCCGGAACAAGCTATCCGAGCCATTGGACCACTGTCTGAGAGTCTCTTTGCCAAACCATGTCAACCATCGTTGAGGCATCTAAACAGACAAGGGCAGTCGGAAAAATGGATCGTCTTCGAAGCTAGTGCGGATCTCTCAGCAGCTGAAGGACCTCGGCGAGTTCAACCATCTGTTAGTCAGCCTCACCAGTTTCGGAGCCTAGCTGCCGATACAATATCAACAATAAGTAGACAGGCAGACAGCAAGGAGCGCGAAAGTGATCGAAGCACAGCCGCCTCGCCTCGAGACCTGACCGGTATACGTCGAAGACCACAGCCCAATGTACCCAATTCATCCCAAGGCATCAAATCATACTTGCCCTGGGACAAAAGCAAAAATGTTCGCGAAGATTCAGACCTCTCCACAGTTACAGATCTGTATCCTCGAACACCACCTGAGCAGCTTTCCCTACCATCGTCATGCGGTCCATTCCCTGCAACAGCCCTCGATGCTCAGAGTTTCCCACGGCCTAGCATCAGTCGCAGCACATCTTCCCATGCAGGACACTCCGGCCACAAAGGTGAACTCGCAATTGCTCGAGATGCAGAGGACTTCTATCAAAGAGAGGCTCCTCGTCCCCTTGTCAATTTCCCCAAGCCAAGACCGACTCTGCCGATGCCAAAAGCTCGACCCTATCGCCTTCCAGAGACTGGCTATATACCCTTGAGGTCCGCACCGCTCGATTCACCAGGGCAAATCATGACTCTGGGACCAATCTCACCAGATACAGCGACATCTTACCCGTATGAGCCTCGTTCAGCCGGGATCTCGGGAAGCAAAGACAGGAAAAGGATCTTCGGAAGATTTCGTGCGCCGTGGAAGAGCCATCCCAAGCTGTCAACTCCAAATGACTGCGAAGATCCAAATCAAATTCCGACGGACCGGCGATTGCACCAAGAGCTCATGGGGCGGGGCGGGGATGTTATGCTAGCCAATGACTGGCTCTTATCCAGAGAAGCTCAAGCAGCGGCGCCCAAGTCCTATTCAGGACAGGCGCATACCGATCGTTCCGCTCCGAATCTCAAGCCGATATCGAAAGCTGATGAAGGCGAAACAACAGATCTGATTGAGTTTTACGTTGACACAAACGAGGAGCAACACACTCAGGCAGAATCTCGAGAGGAGGATCCATTGGCTTTTACTTCGGACTCACTGCCGAATAACTTCAATCAATACCATCATGACCGACAAGAATTTCCGTCTGAGTCTAGGACACTTAGCGGTTCAGATCGGAAATCTTTGACTGCGAATGCGTACGAAGCTCATGTTCTCCGTAAGGATGACGACTCTATACCACCCAGACCTAGTCTCCCAGCCTCAGAGTCGCTGTCCAGACACAGCAATGTTCCAGAAGAGGGTACAGTCGGAACGGATCACATCGAACAGCCTTTTACTCATCTTCAGTCTCATGGATTGAACTCCTCAGCCCTGAGATTCTCACCGAAGCAGAAGGAGACCAAAGATGACGAAGAGGATGAGCTCAGGGATGACGACCCACTCCCACTTTCTCCGGATACCGCACTGATTGAAGATCATTCGATATCAGAATCCGAGAGTGAAGCAGACTTTGAATATATGACGGTTGAAGGTGGTCCAACACCCCCTCCCACTCCGTACTTCCTTAAAGCCATCGAGGGATTGCCATTCGCTCCCGGACCTGTGCGCACCCAGGTGAGCCATTCCACGAGCATCACACCATGCTACAGGCTGATTGTGGTGGAACGACCAGTCTCTGAACTTCACCTGCATTCAAGATCGCTGGCCGACGCTCGCAGCCGAGGTAGTGGCTATCATGGGTTTGGCATATATCGTACAAGCTTCCGGCCTGTGAGCCGCGTCCGTGAAGGTGATGGACCATTACGGAGGCGGAGAAGGTCCAAACAGCAAGATCGTCCCAGGTTTTTCCGATGCCGGGTTGCATAGAGTACAGGCATGTATGCGCTCGTGTCTCCTGTGTCTTCCTTTTCTCATACTCACAGCATGACGACTCCTAACTGAGAGCCTTGCTTGAGCCCGACCGTCCGCACGCCACCGTCTATTTGCTTGCAGGACCAATTGTACAGGTAGACTAAGCATTAGATGTCAGCGCAACGTGATACTGCGCTGCTCGGACCTACAATTCTATGAGTTCATAGGGAGACATCGGACACGTGTCAGTGCTCGGAACCAGAGTGGATCTGTCAGTTCGACCGGCTCACCAAAAATCCATTCCCTCCTCCAAATTTCTGGTCATCGAGGAATGTGTTGTTATCCAAGATAGTCAGAGCATTGACAACATCAAAGCCGGCCTTGGACGAGTCAACACAAGAGTTCCTGCCATGCCAGGGCGCTTACATTCTTTGCCAGTATCAGCAGATCCCCCATCAGTGCATTCAACCTCTCCCCTAGTTTCTGCTTGGCTTTGACTTCATGCGTTGCTGCGTCGTCCGAGGATCCACACGGTGAGAAGATGGCGTCGGATGCGTAGTAGAACAGGTAGGCTGCTTCCAAGACGTCGTATTTCTTATGGTTCATGATAGAAGAAGGGAGGGAGTAGAAGGAGACTAGATCGGTAATGAGGTGGGTCGTAGGGTCCTGTTCCGAGTTCATTAGCTGTCAACTTCTGGGCATGATCACATGACGGATCGACTCGCCTCAATGACGTATGCCCAAGTGACTTGCTTGACTCGCATTCCGCTCTCATTCACGCCTTGACCAGACAGGAACCAATGTTCGATTTCTTCGTCCTTCGAGAACGTCTGATAGATGTCAAATCGTGCGAGATATTTTCTCAGCAAAGTTCCGACTTGAGGCACGTCCGCCTTGACCATTTCTCGGAGACCTGGTGTCTGAGTATGCGGGGGGACGGCACACTGCTTGACGAGACGAGTAATCGTTTGATTTCGACCAAGGGGTGAGAACCCAATGTCCACGAGTTTGACAGGGTTCAGGCTTCGATGATAGTATCTTGATGATTCCGAGATGTCAGCACGCGCACAAGCGAGGGCGGAAGGGATCATACCTTGCTGCAGAGAATGGAGTGGGAAGGACCACACCAGCCGTATAGATAGCTTGCCAGATGTCCACCAAGTTGCACCGCCTCGTGACTTCCTTGATGAGGACCGGCGCCAGACGTTTCGATCGTAACTTCTTGTGGACGCACAAGAAGTTGATCTCAGCAGCATCGAATGATCTGAGTTGATGTCAGTGAGCAGTCAGAAACGGTGGCTCACTTTGCCCTGACTCGGATCTCCACTTTGATGCCCGATATGAAAGCTACCAGTTTACCGGTCTTGGCTACTCGGACACCAATGTGCCAGTCGGGCACATAGCCTGGTGCAGTCAGACTCCTGCGGGCATTGTGAGCCACCAGACAATTGCCCGACAAATATCTACACCACTCACCAATGCAGGAACTCTGCTGAGTACCTGAACCGGAGTGACGCGTCATCATCCTCCACATAATTCTCCGAAAGCAGGACATAGACCTCCTTGCACTATCACCAGATCAGTGATAATCCTTCGCAGCATTTGGCACGGATCGTGTAGGCACTCACTTGCTCCTCGTTGGTTATGTCAATTTGAGTCCATTCAAATCCCGAGGGCAACGGTAACGGCTCTTGTCGGACTTCCTGTGGAGTCTTGATAGGATCGATAGGGCCTTCCTCCGTCACATCCTCCACAGGTGCATTTCCAGCTATCGAGGCAGACAATGTCTGCGGAACGGGTTGGGTATTCCAGAACTGACAATTGCTCAGCCTATTCTGGAGCGGCAGATGTCCAGTGAACGCACCTTATGCTCCCCCAATGCCTTGGTATTTGACTTATTGCCCAGTGCCACCTGCCCATCTAAGAGCTTCATCAGATCCACAGCTCTCAGAGCCTTCTTGATCTCCTCTGGAATGCGGTGAGCGATGCTCGATTGTAATAGCTTCCTCACCGTCCGTGACTTCCTTCCCGCCACCATCCATCTCATTCCTGACAGCATCGACGACCTGTTGAGGAGCACTGCCACTGGCAATTTCTCTGAAGGCCCAAACCCAATCAGCTCTCTACCGCCAAGCATGACCATTTGCAGCTTACTTGAGGCGGTCGACAGCTCGTCCAGCTTTGCCCTTCTTCTTTTTCTTCTTCTTCTTCTTCTTGTTGCTAGAGTCACCAGCAGCTCGTCCTAAGCCATTCTCATCCTCCTCATCGTCGTCTCCCGCCTCATCCTCAGCTCCAGCATCATCATCATCTTGCTCCTCTGCGGCCGCCTCCTCGCCTAGCTGTTGGAATTTATCGATGACATTTTGAGGTACACCAGCAGCAGCAGGGGTCTGCGAGGACGGACCGCTTGAAGTATCTACTGGATGACTCTCGTCAGGTGGGATGGGCATATCCCTTTGATCTCTGTACCACCTCCTCCGTCGTCAGCTCGTTGCCTGACTGACTATGAAGCTGAATCATAATGGCCGACATTCGCCATGAAATCTGAAACACACATTTAACAGGGGAACTTGAATAAATTTACGACATGGCAGCGGCAGCTGTCTTGCTGATGTTCGCGCGTATTCCTCATCAACATCTTTCATCTGTGAGGCAGCAGATAGAGGTTTGGAGGGGGAATCATATCTCGGGAGAATCAGGCGTTGTGACGCGCATACACAGCATGTCAGACGATCCGTCTTCCTCCTCATCATCGACAGCTGCCGCTCAACCAACGTCAAGCCTTCCCGGCCATTCGACATCTGATCCGACGACTGAAGAGATCCGCCGGCAAGTCGAGAACGAGCAAGCTCTGACGGACTCGCGACGGAGGATCACAGAGCTAAAGGAGGAGTTGAGGAAAGCTGTAGAGGAGAAGCAGGCTCTACAGGATGATCGACAAGGAGTCGGTGAGAGGCTTCACATCACCGATGGAGAGTATTCGCTTACATCAAACCATGACCAGCCTCGGAGAGTGCACAATTACGGACGCAGCTCGCAGCTCTCCAGTCGACGCATCACAAATCAGCATCCGAGCTGACCGTCCTCCAGACACGTGTCGAAGTGCGTGTTCTATTTAGTCCAATTGGCAAAGACTGACGATATACCAGGCGGTCGAGAGAGAAAAGCGGGAACTCATAGAAGAGACCGAGAGACTGCAGCAGCGATCCAATCGTATCACTCGTGAGCATGCCTTTCTGTCAAGCTGCTGCGGATGCTCATGAGTCCCGCAGAGGACCTCTTTACACTACGGTCACAGCGACAGGACAGCTCACAGAAGCTGGCGCACCTTGAAGTCGAGGTTTCCGAGCTACGCATGGCGGCGGAGTCCTCAAAAGTGGGTCGTCTATTTCCGTGCTTTTTCGCTGATCCTTTTCTTACAGTTCAACGAGCAACGTAGTGCGCAGGCCCTGCAGACGGCCCGCAACGAGATATTGCAGCTCAACAAATCTGTGGCTGATGTCGATGAGAGATTTGCAAAGTATCGGGCGGAGAAGGTCAGTCTCCGTGTGGCAGAAACTTTTCGACGCTGAATACCTGTCAGTCCTCTGAGCTATCTCAGCTCCAGCTCGAACATGACACCATCGTCTCCCGCCTGACATCCACTGACCATCTCTACCATGCCCTTCAACGAACCTACAACGACCAGTCTAAACGTCTTGCTGAGGCTCATGAGAACATACGTGCACTTACGGACGCTGCTGCCAATCGGAAGATTTCCACATCGAGCGAATTCGCTAGGTTGATGGAGGAGAACAGGATACTAAAAAAGAGGGCAGAGGAAGCTCGCTCGACAATCACAGAACGAGAGGCCGAATTAGAGCGTGTGGCGGATTCAGCAGGTGAAAAGACCCGAGTCTGGGAAGAAAAGTGGAAGAAGGAAGAGCGGCTGCGTAGGGAAGCCGAGAAGCGGGCAGAGGACCTCCAAATCGTCGTCGAGAGACTCGCTATGGCTGGAGGAGAGGGTTCCGATCTGAGTCCCGCTGCTGCTCTTGCGACTGGAATGAAGCAGAGTGGAAAGACGTACACTCAGTTCTACACCGACTATACCATTCAAGAGGGCAAGCTGAGGGCCGCGGAGAACGAGGTCTCCAGATTGACTCAGCTCTTAGACGAGATCAGTGCGGACATCAGCGAAAAGGTGAGCTGAAATTTATTCAAACTTCTCAGCTGACCGTCGTCTCAGAAACCGCTACTTGATGAACAAGCTGCCGAACACGCCCGTGCCATAGAACGGGCAAACGCTCTGGCTCTAGAGCTGGCTTCTGTCATGTCGGCCCGGGATGCCCGAGACGTGGAGCTCCGATCGCTGAACGCTTCTTCCTCGCTGCACAAGGACGAAGTTGCTTCGCTGACGTCTACGACTGAGGATCTCTCTCGACAAGTTCAGACCCTTTTGCGTCAAATTGCCATCCGAGATGATCCCTCTTTAGCATCTCAAACGATGGATGGCAATGCTACAGTCTCGGAGACTGGAGACCTGGTCACCGACTACTTCGTCGAATTCAAGTCGATCCGATCTCTGCAGCAGCAGAACCAGAAACTTTTGAAACTCACTCGAGGGCTGATGGCCAAACTGGATGCGCAAGAGATAGATAGAGCCGGAGCCGATGCTGAGGACCTCGAAACCGGAGCGACTTTAGAACAGGCCACAGAAACAATCACCAAACTCCACGCTCAACTTTTGGATGCTCAGAAGAAGATCAATGAGGCGACGAGGGAACGAGACTTTTTTTCAAAGCTCTTGGCTCGGGGTGATGGTCTCAAATGGTCTTCTCCGTCTGGCGGACCATTAGAGGACGGGTCAGCACCACATGAACAGGCTCTGACAACACTGCAAGTAGAGATCGAGTCGATACGTTTAAAGGCAGAGCAAGATATCAGTGATGCACGGGAGCAGCTACGGACGAAGAGCGAAGAAGCTGGTCAGGCGGAGATTGCCAAGGTCAGAGCAGAGGCACAGATCTCCATGTTGCAAGGTACGTGACATACCACGGTCTCGGAGCTAATGAGCATAGAACAACATCGTATGATGACCGATGCGAACGCCTTGCAGAAGCAAGAGCTGAGTGGTCTACATGACGAGATGAGAAAGTTACACGAGAGCATCGCTGTGGCAGGTGTGGAGAGGAGACTGGTCAGTCGTGACAATCGCCTCGGTTCATTATGAGGCTGATGCACTTCAGGCTTTGGAGCAGGTGGCGTCACGTCAAGGCGAAGCAGACAGGCTGCGCAATGATCTGGCGAACCTTCGAGCGGAGAAGGAGCAATTGGCGGTATGTCTCATTTGCAGCATCTCTGAAATTCCGCTCACTTTTTGCCCACAGAGCACCGAAGCTAGACTTCAATCCGATTTCCGATCGGTCCAATCGGAGCGAGCACGACTCCAGCAACTCATTGACAACCTACAGACTGTCAACAGCGAACATGAGAAGACTCGAGCGGAAGACCGGGCAAGGTTGGAGAGACGCGTAGAGGAGGTTGAGAGGAACATGTATGTTCAGCCTCAGAAAAGTTTCAGACTCGTACTCACACTCGTCAGGTCTACTCTTAGAAGTCAATTGGATGCTGCCAAGGAAGCCACGGCAGCTGCCGAAGTCAGTTAGCGTCTTTCAATAGAGGCTGACTTGCGCGCAGAAACGAGCGGACGATATTCAACCTAGGATCGACGCCGCTACAGCTTTCGTCCGAGCTGAGAAATCGGCTGCTGAAGCACAGGTCCAAGCGCTTACGAGCGAGATTGCGACCCTCAAGGAAGAGCTGGAGAAAGTTAAAGCCGAATCTGAGAAGCGAATGCGCATTGGTCTCAGCCATCAACGTCGTGCGAATGACATGATGGCTGAGAAGAAGCGGAACGAAGAAGCTCTGTCAAGCAAGGACACAGAGATTGCAGAGCTCACTGAGAAAGTGGGAGCCGCGACCAAGGAGCTGGACGAGGTCAAGGGCAAGGTTGCAGAGGCGGAGAAGAAATTGGTGGATGTAGAGCGAGGAAGTACGCTAAAAGACGCGACGGTGTCGAGGCTACAGAGCGAGCTGGCCAAGGCGCAGTCAGGGGCGAGTGTGGCATCTGGGGACAGCTCAACTATCGTGAGTGCAGTTCGGGTCTGAACAGAAGTCTTCGGCTCATCAGAAACTCGTAGACCGCACTCAGGACCGAGAAGGAGTCATTGCAGCAGAAGCTGGCTCAAGCGGAGAAAGATCTCGCTGAGGCCAAGGCGGTTGCGTCTGCGGCTGCTCCGACTGGGCAATCCACTAGCTCGGACCTTCAAGCGAGGGTCCAAGAACTTGAGAAGGATAAGGAGGCGTATGACCAGGTGAGTTTTATGTCTTGGACCAGAGGTCACTCGCTCATCGAGGTGGCTCGTAGAAATACGAAGAAAATATCACAAAGGTTAATCGGGTCAATGCCAGCCTTTCACAGCGCCTTCGGACGGTCGACGAGATTCGAGTCTCGTTGGAGGCGAAAATCGCCGATCTCGAGAAACAGATCTCCGAGCATCAAGCTGGAGCTACCGGTCAACCTGGAACCGCCAGCAGTGGACCACCCGATCAATCAGCCATTGATGCAGCTGTCAAATCTGCGGTTTCTGCCCGAGAGGCTGAACTGGAGGCTGAGCATTCCAAAGCTCTCGCAGCCGCGCGGTCCGAGAACATATCCATCAAAGCGGATCCCTCAGAGTCCATGGACGCTCAGCGCGCTCAACTCGAATCATCCTTTTCGAAACGCGTTGATGATGCTGTAGCGGCTCAAAAGGCCGAACTGGAGAAACAGGTCAATGATTTGAATGGACAAGTAGCGACTCTAGAGACCAAAGTCAAGACGCTGGAACGCCAGATCAAGACTGCCGAAATCTCTCGAAAGACGATCGAAAGGCAACGAGCGGATCTAGAGAGCAAATTGAAGAAATATGAAGGAGAGGGGTCATCGGCCTCTGCTACACCTGCATCATCTGGCGCCTCGGGGTTGTCGGCCGGTGCACCCGCGTTCCAACCTGGAGATTCGGCTCAGACTCCCACTTCTCAGCCCCCCACCGCTGCCGGTGCATCTGTTATGCCCGCTCCAGCTGGCTCGTCACCTGCTTCCATCCGTGGCAAAGGGCGTGCTACGCGAGGGACAGGAAGAGGGGGAAAAGCGAATACAGTGTTAAGTGGTAGGTTGGGTGGTATCCAGTGCGGAGACTTCGTACTGATCAATGCATCAGCTGTCAACGCTACACTGGCTCAGACTGGTACTCCTTCCACACCAGCAGCGACAGGGACCAAAAGGCCCGCTCCGGAAGACGGAGAGATTGCCGAGGACGCGAGCGGAGCAGCATCGGAATCAACAGCAGCCAGTAGCACAGGAGCATCCATCTTGCAACGGATAGCTCCTGCCGCTGTTGGAGGGGCTAGTGGAGCTGGACCACCTGCTGGTGCAGGAGGTGCTGGTGCCACGCCTGGCGGTACGAGACAGTTGAAGCGACCTCGAGGGCTTGGAGGCGGTCGAGGCGGTGCGCCCCCCGGTGCAGGAGGAGCTGGTGTCGCCGCTTCGGGGTCATCAGCGGCCACGACGGCGGCGACGAGCACAGAGACTAATACGGGTGGAAAGGATGAACAGAACGGCAATGGCAATGGCGCAAGTGGTAGCGGGGCAGGCGAAGGTACAGGAGGAGGAGGAGCTGGAGGTGAAGGGTCAGGGACAGGGACAGGGACAGGGATAGGATCGTCATGACGACAATGGGAGAATACTACCTGACATTGACTTTTGATGCATATGATTACTCTGAGCACTTTGTCCACCTCATGAGATATCGACATACATGTCATATTGTTACATACTAGGTCTCGGTCTAGAGCGAAAAAAACGACAAGAGCTCCGAAAAAGCTGATCACACTGCGCAATCGCAGGGGTAGCGCTATGTACAAAAAGATAAAAAGAGGGAAAAGGTGTGAAAGAAAAGAAGAGAAAGAGAGAGGAGGAGAGAGGAAAAGGAAGGTCAGGCCAGGCCCGCCTCCTATATACAATTTTTCGCTCGACACTCAGATTCCTCGAGATCCGACGGTCCAGCCACCAATTACTATGACTGATTCCCCCCCACAATTCGTCTAGATTGTCCACGGAATGTCTCGAAACCGGATCGACGGGTACCCAATCTAATTTGTAAGCGAGACCATCGGATGGCTTCGTTTGTTTTCTGCTACCGTACACTCCGCAATGACGGTACCAAGAAAGAGGCACAGGCGCAGCAACGGAAACCTTGATGCGTCGACTCGCAGCTCAATCTAATACGTCTCGACGTCCGCGTCGTTCCGGGCCGCCGCCGCTTACATGCCCATCCCTATTCCGCCCTGACCCTCCATCATCATTCTCGCCCTTTCCCGCTGTTGAACTTCGTACAAGTGTTGACTCTGCGCCACGTTCATGTATGGATGAGCTTGCGTTGGAGAAGCATAGTATCCCGGACCATAATCTCCAGGCGAGGGACCGGGACCTTGGGTGTATCCAAAGCTCGGGTTGGTAGGTGATGCCTGATGGTAATCTTGAGGCATGTGATATTGAGCTGATAATGGAGAAGCTAGAGGTTGCATCATGGAAGAAGGACCATGCGGTGAGGATTGACGATGCAGGTCAGGGAGCGAAGGTACAGGCGGTATGAGTTCTTGACCGCTTCCATCCATTTCCGAAGCGGCATTGGCGGCTGCTTTCTTGCCCCGACCGGATGGAAGTCGTTTCTTTGGACGTTGAGAGACGGGCGTCGATTGACCGATACCCAAGGCTGGATCCAGACCCGGATGTTGTTGTTGTTGAGCTTCTTCAGCTGCAGAGTGCTGTTGGGCAGCTTGAGCAGAAGCGGCCAAGGCAGCAGTAGCGGATGGAGTGAGTTTATGCGGACGGATAGCGAGCCCTCCACGTTTCGACGTCGTAGCGGGGACAGGGCCAGTCAGAGGTTGTCCATCAGGTCCATAGCCATCGGGCGCGCTGAGACAAGCCTGAGAACCGCGGACATCAGCGAAGGGACGATGCCGAGAAGCATATGGTATCAGACTCACCTGAATCAGGTTCTTTCCCTCTGCGTTCTGAACCAGCGGTTGAAGCTTTGTTGTCGTGAAAGTGTACACTAGTCCAGTTTCAGATACCACCAGGAGTAAGACCTGAGTTCCAGTCAAGATGGAGAGTTCGTACGCCTGAGACAATCGTCAGCCAACGGCGCCCATCCGCTCTGCCAAGCTGTCCCTTCACCTTCTTCATGATTCCCGCTTTCCGCTTGCTGAATGTGATGTGACGCCTGCTCTTGTCTGCAATGTATTCAATGCGAATTTTCCGTCTGCCCGATTCTCCATCCTTGTCCACGTAGGTGAATCCGCCGGGGACATCATTGTGTCTCATTCGTTTTCCGCCTGGTGTCGCTTCGGTATCTGAGCGAGCGTCAGCCACCTTGATTCGCCTCACGTGAGCGAGCACTCACCATCTCCGTCATCGTCGTCATCGTCTCCGTCCAACCCTGTCTCGGCATGAAACATGTCATCCATATCTGAGGTGGGAGGATCCTTGACGTAGCCATTACTGGTGGTCACCGATGTTGGAGGACGAGAATTCAGACGCATGGATGGAGGTGTCGCGATGCCGTGTTCTGGGTCAAAACAGTCAGCATCAGCATGGAGACTAACTCCTCTTGCGCCTAAGAGCTGGCTGCCCACCACACTCACCATGCTTGTGCAATCCATCGACGAGCACATCCACCCCTTCACCATCCTCATTGACCGTGAAATCCCTCATGTCCACACCTACACCTTCTCCAAAGTTATGCATCAACTCCATGTCCAAACCGCCTTCCGCATCCTGACCCTCATCAGGAGGTTGACCGTTCACACCGGAAGGTCCGGTCGAGTAATCCATGTTGACACTGGTTATACGTGACGTGGTGGGCAGGTATCTAGGTGTGAATGGCAGATGCGCCATTCAACGGAAAGAAAGTCGGGGATCAAGGGGATTTGTTTGTGCGTGTGTGTTGGTGTGATGAAAGAGTGTCTGTCGACTCGATGGAGTCAGATGGCTGATGAGGTCCGAACAGGTTCAGGTTTGGCCCACAAAGACTGTCTACTATCAGCCGAGGTCATCTCCGACGCAGGACAATGGGTGAGCAGCCAGTCACGAGGACATTCAAGCACAAGCATCAAATCGTACGAGTCCCTGATCGAGGCCATGACATGGGCGGCCTCTGTCGGGCTCCCATGTACTACTCATTTGAGCATCATTTCACCCATGACTGCCCATCTCCCGGGTCGGACCAACACTGATGAAACCCGTCCATGTTACCCAAAGGAGCATCCCCGGAGGATACCTCCCAAGATGGGATAAATAATGTTCCCTCCCCATCCCAGTAACAATGCGTGTAAACCATTTGCCTCTTTGGGAGATCGACATGATCGGTGGGAGTGGAGTGGAGTGGGAGCAAAGTGCCGAAGCTCTACTCACCTGATGGTCCCTTGTCTGAGCACTCGCTGTGGTTTTGGAATGTAGATGCTGTTGTTCCCCCCCGGCCGGCTTGGACGACGATCACCTGTGACTCAAAGTAATGTTGTTGTTGTTGTTGTTGTTGTTGTTGGATGAAAGAGGAAGGTAGGTGCTGTGTAGTGGGCGGGGAAATGAGAAGAAAGGACGGAGTCGTGAGAATCTTTGTTTATTCCCCAAAGTGGCAAAAAGGGTCGAAGGGGTGGCTGGCTGGCTGGCTGAAAGGGAATTTGAATCATTAGGAACAGTTGATTAGGGAATATATATTAATAGAAAAAGCAGGCTGTTGCATTAGGTCTCTCGCCATCGTGTGTGGCACTGCCTGAAGGGCAACCACACCTTTTTGGTTGCTACTTCGTTGTATATCCTATATGAGTACAATGTAGAATAACGACTGTAGAGTACAGAGGACACCAAACGCGATCACCTCCCGTACCACTTTGCCTTCTTTCTTCACTCTCAAACTCAGAACTTCATAGGGTAGTCGCCTGGAGCGGGACCAAAGTATCCGACATCCGGGATAGGTAACAAGGTCGAAGTCTGGTTGTAACTCTGGAAGTCCTGTCCGGCCGTTCCGACAGTGTTACCCCACCAGTTGAGTGTGATACCCTTCTGATGGTTGGTGAAGGCAAAGACGAATGTCTGGATGATACTGCGACACGGTTTGTTGAGTCAGCTTAGCAGCGGGCAGCGAACCGACTTGACTGAACTCGAACTCGACTCACCCTGAGATGGCGACTCCGACGTCGAAACCGGCCTCGAGCAGATAGTTGTACTTCTCCCACCAAGCGGGGAACCGCCTCTTGATGTGGTACATGAAAATGTACGAAATGTAGGTTCCGTTCGTCGCGTAAGACAAGTTGTTACCTCCTGTCCAGTTGAGGGCTCCGGACCAAGTGACAGCAGGATCGAACCATCCGAGAAGAGCGACGGGACCGAAGAAGTACTTGTTGACCTTGTAGAAAGTGACTTCGTTCATCGATCTGTAAGCTCTTTCTCTGATACGAGGACCAAACTTTTGAAGGAGTGCCCATCCGATGCCACCGACGGATCCCATGAGGAAACACCAAGGGAGAATGGGGTAAAGTTTGAACAGGTTGGGAATACCGAACGCTCCGTATTCGACCGCCGTCGCGTAAGTCAAGACCGCATCTGTGCAGACAAAGTGTTGAGCGTTTGACCAAGTACACAGCGAACCGTCCTCGTTAAAGTTGGTGACCATCCAATTGAGCATGCCGATGAAGATGAAGCAGTTGAGGAATGTGGCGATCATTTGAGCTCGGAAGACGGCACGCGGTGGAAGCTTGGCGTAATGAGCCATCTTTTGATCAGAGATATAGGTATCGGCTTGAGAGTTCAAGTTTCCAGCGATGGCATTGGAGATGATGTTGGCTTGAGGGTTTCCAGCGAACACTGTACCGGCCAACATTTGGAAGAACAGACCGATACCCAGACCGACATTGGCGGACGCCTGCATGATGGTACCGGGGATCAAGAACAACAGATTGAGGGCGATGGCGGCCAGTTGTACCCACCACGGTGTGTGAGTGGGGTAGGCTGCAAGCGCAGCGACACCGATACCGAAGGAAAGCATCAACGTGGCGAAGAACCACCATTCGGGAACTTCGTTGTAGACTGAAATCATTCGCGTGTGGGGATCGTTGTTACCTTCGTACATTCCTTTTCGATATCGGACACCTTCGTACATTTCGATTCCAGCTCGTTTGATAGCTGGCCAGTGTCGGATGGAATAGTAGAACAAAACCAGGGGATACCAAGCGAACCAAGCACCTTGACCGAAAACGTTGGCGCCGGAGAAGAAGGGAGGTCCATATTCTTTGTATGCGTCAATGTTGACGTATCCATCGTCACCCATGATGATGGACACATTGTAGATCTCTCCCTTGTTCGTGAATGACTCGTTACTGTTGATGGGGGTGTAAGCGGCCCAGGCATAGTTGCCCCAGTACATGCCAATGATGATGAGGCCAGAGAGTACACGAGCGAAATACTGTTGAATGGTACTCCACCAAGGTGTGATGAGGTATCCTGAACCAGAGACATTCCAATCAAACGTCGCCCATGGGTTGAACCCCATACCGCCATAAGAGCCCGTGATCATGCCGAGGTTGAAGTTGTTCGGTGCGATCCAAGTCATCCAGTTGAACAAGTGGAGCGCCTGGAACAGCGAGTTGGGGATCCAGAACCAGAAGAACATGGCCACGAAACAGATCATGAAGAATTGGTATCGAGTGTATCGCCATCCGTTGATCACTTCTTTTCGCTCAGGGTTCACCAAGGCTCTATTCAAAGCGAGCGTTGGAAGAACTTTGGGCCAAATGGCAGTGTAAGGGTAGACGACGAATCGTCGGAGAATGCCTGCGAATCCGAATCCCATGATTTGGACGTTGAGCGCAAGGAGGATTTCATACCCAAACGAGACCCAATCCTGATTGAGATACTGGGGCAGCTTTTGGACCAGGTAGACGTAGTAACTAAACAAAAAATCAAGTCAGCAGTCAATTCCCCTTCAACAATCTATGGCTGGCGAACAGTGTCACTCACGTCGCTCCGGCACCCGAGGCGACTGTGAACATGATCGTGGAGAAAGTTTGCTCCTTATAAGTCCACGGACCAGGGTTGATTGAAATTCGCTTGCCCATGATGTTGAATCCCCAGTCAGGGAACCATTTGGCCCAGAACAGTCCACAGGGCGCCAACAAGAGTTGCAAAACACTTGAACTCAAACTGATGGCAGGCTGTCTAGGCGAGAAGAAAGTGTTGAGAGCTGTAGAACCAGCCATGAAGATCATACCGAGGCAGTACGCCCTAAAGGTCTCGACAGGGACCGTTGGATCATCGAATGGGTCCGTGACGGATCGGACTTCGGGATAAGGCGAGTGGTAGTAGATCATACAAGCCTCAGTCTTGAGATCAAAGAGCCAATCGGATTCTTCCATATCAGCCGCTTTGTATCCCTGAATGAGGAGTCTAATCTTCTCCATTGTTGGACCGGGGAAGTTTGGGTCCTCTACGAAAGTGTGAAGGCGTGAGTCAGCTCGGAAGATGATTGGGACTTTTTAAGCAGCATCGGTCTGGCTCTCACCCTGGTGGAATTCTACGGCATGGACCAAAATGTCCATAGCTTCCTGCTCCGTCATGGCAAGGATATGATCAAGGATGATCGTCACATCTTCCTTTGGCGCCAAGTGATCTTCTTCAGCTTTTCGTCCGTAATAGGCGACGATCTTGGCCCGCATCTCAGGGTTCGCATGGCTGATATTCGTCCTCTCGGCTTTGAGGTCAAGATGACCATCATCCGCAGGGGCAATATCAAAGTCGGCGGCATCCCCCTTCTTCTCATCGACAACATCAGAAATGTTGGTATCGAGAGGAGCCACCGAATTGATCTCGTATTCTCGATGAGGACGAGACATGGTGTTCGACAGACAGACAAAGAGGTGAGGTGGGTGTTGTCGTAAAGATCGAGGAAAGGGGGGGAATCTTTATCATATATATAAATGTTCCTCCTCCCTCTTCGCCGCCTTTGCCCCTACTCCCTTCCCCATCCCGATTCCACCTCGAACCACCCTTCACTATCCGGGAGGAGCGGACAATCCGTGACATTTTGGTCCTCCCCCCTTCTGCCCCCTCTCACCCTAAATGGACTTACCTTATCTCGTCGGTTAGTTTTCGACTCCTCCACCCTCCTGTCCTCCTTCCTGTCTACTATAGATTCCTCGGTAAAAGGTAACCGTAAGTGCCTCCGCTCATCCCCGAATCGGAATTGGACTGTAAGTGTGGAGAGGCATTCATCCTTCCCAGCGCAAAAGCAAAGACTTCTGCCCCGCCGCTTTCTTGGTGCGGTGCGGTATCGACCAGAACCGAGGCTCCGCGTTTTTCCCCCCCTGTCAGCGCATCTAGAAGTGTTGGCTCGCGGCCGCCGGATCACCGGAGACTGTCCAGGTGGGGTATGGGAAAGAAGGCGGCAGAGGTGTGTGGTTCTGGGTCGAGGCGCAGCGCATGTGTGATCTAAGAATAGAACATCCCACACAATCCTCAATATTCCCATATCTTTTCTGCCCCACTCTGCGAACTTTAGAGATCCACCTTCGGTGTGAGAATTGTGACTTTCGGGTTAGACCGAAATGGGAGCATCCTCTGACGACGGGGTCTCGATACATTTGACCCGATGGGTGTGTGTGTGTGTGTGTGTGCACAAAGGTCAAAACAGAGGTGACAAGCCAGTAGATCTGACTGACCGATACGACCCAGGTGTATAGCTTGCATGTGATGATGCATCAGCTGGCATCTGTGAAGACCTCGATGACCCCGGTGAAAGCCTTATCTATAGTTGAAGACGGCGAGATCCATCCCAGATCCTATATCGTGTATCCCATGTTCCTCCCTCTGACCTTGTGCTTAGATCTCACTCCATGTATTCCAGATTTCGATGATAGGAGCCGAGCTCTCCCATTGGGATTTAGGCAGAAACCCATCGTACCCCATCGCTTCATTCGCCCTGAGGGGACAGCCTAAGTTGCCCCCCACCCGCCGCCACCATGGAGATGAGCGCTGTCACGAGCAATCGAAAATGGGCAGCGCGGCGAACCTTGCGGTACTTCCCAAGTTAGTTAAAATTAGAGTCCCAGATTCTCGTTCTGTGAAAGAGGGGGGTAAGGGCTCAGCGTATTCATCGACGACGGGGTTGCCGCGCCGTTGCGTCAGCAAAGATCGTGTAATTGGTAAGGGACTGCGCTCGCTCAGCTACGTGATTGGTCGCGCGCGTATAGCGGGCTCTAGCTTTCTTGGTGCTCGAAGTGGCACTTACCCAAGCATGCAAGCGATGGAGTTTTGGTTCGTATGTTCCTTAGGCACCGGCGGCTTCTTGTTACGTGAAGCCAGGTCTTGATCAGTATGGTAGCGCCAGAGTTGGAGAGTTGTTCAGGACTTGAACCTTGGCATCGTCGATACCAGATTCCGGCGGAAAAGGCCCCGCAGGATTAGCCCCGTATGACCACCCCCTGCCATCCATAGTCACGCTGAGGACTAGCGTTTTACATCCTTATATATGTGTATTTGAGATCCATGTCCCAGCATAGAAAGCTGAAGGTACTGACTGCTATGGAGACCTTTGAATGGCTTCACTTCACCTCTTCCAAGACAGCACAGCATCCTAATCCGAATACTTTTCATGCTTGATAAACTCCCTCACGACGCATTTCTCTTTATCCCAAACACCATCTGTATAGTATATATCCTCTTTGATCCGCTTCCAAGCATGGTCCAAAGATATCGCACGGAACACCATCAGACTGCCGTCCATCAATGGTGTCGAGCTCGGAACATCAGCCGGGAGAGTGGAAGAAGATTCAGGAGGAGGAAGGTACCCCAGGCCGAATTCTGCAAGGATAACGGGCGGGGGAGGGCGAGATGAACATCCCAATCAGCGTCCCTCCATGCATCGTGATGTGAACCCTTTGTTGTTGACCTACCATGCAGACCCTCCTCTGCTTCTTTTTGAACCCTTGCCCAGTGCTTGGGTCTCACCTCTAACCGCTTTGCTAGTACGCCAGCGTAATCGGGACAATAAGCGAAGAAGAGTGGGAGTCGACGAAGACTCGGTCCAGACGTGATGAATGGCATTTTGGGGGGCCAGCTATCAGAGAGGTGCAGAGAAGGCACTCCGGTGCTGGGTACAGGGATTGGGACGAGTCGGAAAGAGGTCAGAGGTCTATGGACATCATCTTGTTGGTCGGATGAACCGGAGCTCTGCATTTGCCGGTTACCGGCTGTCGGCCGCGGTGGCACTGGGCAGAATGCGTGCGGATGCCGCTTTGGCCTGGTATCGATACATACATGCTATACATGGGTCGGAATCATATCTATATACGAAGGAACCGGGACGAAGCCAGAAGACAAGAGCGGTGCAAACTCTTCCACAAGGTTGTCTGTATCCAGTAAAGTAGGGATAATGTCCGAGACTTTCAATTGAGAGCGGAGCATATACTTCAGGGATCCCCCGGGAACCTCTTCTGTGCACCCTTTTCAATCCACTCTCTACGCCTGACCATCCACTTCCATACCGACGAGTCTGTCAAGCACTGGACTGCTGCCCCTGCTCAAACTGGGCAACACCTTGATCCCGTCGCCTGCTCCTCCGAGACTCAACGGAGGGAGCTTGTGAGGTGGACTGGCGGGAGGTCCAAATCTAGGGGACACGCTCGACCCATTGGAAGAAGGATGCGATTGATGAGATGACGATCGAGAGATGGGTGTCATGCCGAATGCCGCTCGGACACCATGAGCCAAATGACTATGGTTGTGCACCGCGTGAGCGTGAGGTTGAGATCCATGATGACTGTTGCTCGAGTAATGGGTCGAATGAACGGGTGATGATGCTCTAGACGTCACAGGTGATACGTGAGTCGAGTTTGTTTGAGAAGAGAGCGAGTAGCTGACGGAAGGAACGGATGAAGAGAAGGGAGAGGAAGTCGTGGGGAGAGGAAGGTTTCGATTTGAGTCACGTCGGGGAGGTGGGAGTTTGGTCGAGTTGAGTATATCCTCCACGCTCTGTCTCGGTGTAGAGTGGTGGTGATGTGGATGGGAGTGAGAACCGCCAGCAGACGCAGACGATGGATGAGCACCGCCATGTCCGTGGGTATGAGCGTGTCCGCCGGATAACGTCCGATACAATTGCGGAGGTGACATTCGCGTCTTGGACGGTGGGAAATGAGGTGTGTTGGGTGTAGAAAAGTGAGAATAAGGGTGAGAAGCACGTTTAGCGTCCTTATTGTGGTGCGATCCATGTCCGTGTTTACCTGATGTCGCACTGTGTCCTTCGACAGGGGACGAAGCGCGACTGGGCCCACGCGAGTGCAGTGGAGTGTTGGAGATGGAGACAGGGGCTGTCTTGGCTCCTCGTCGTGTCGCGGAAGCAGTCGTCGATGCGGCACTATGCTGACCATGTAATAAGGTCATGGATCGCAGACCCGTCAAGACGGGTGAAGGGGGGGCGACGTGGTTGATATCAACCAATTCATCATCGCTCGAATCTTCAGAGCTCGGCGAAGCTTCACGAGACTGTTGAGCCGACATGGGCGTGTTGATCCCTCTATGTGAGTGCAAGTCGACGGTATAAGGTCGACTGTGTCGTCGAGAGGATTGAAGAGGGTACTGGAAAGAATTACCGTATCGCTGTTTGAGACGAGCTTGTTGTATGGCTGCAAGTTGATGTTGTTGTTGGAGCTTCGCGAGCTGAGTCGCGAGATTGTGGTGATGGAGATGATATCCACTGCCATTCGCAGCGGAACCGTTCATCATCCCTCCTCCTCCTCCTCCTCCTCCACTGAGCTTTGTCAAGTCGTCCGGTGATCCTACGTGAGATCGATCTTTCGGCGTACTTCCATCACTTGAATCGCCCCCGTGTCCTCCTCCTCCTCCTCCTCCTCCACCACCACCTCCACCAGATGGACCGCCTCCTCGTCCACCTGACGATCCGTTGGCTCCGCTCATCGAGCCCCTTTGACCATGTCCCGATGTCAGACACACTGGACAAGCCTGAGTTTCTCGAGCCGCCTTGAGTCGTTTTCGATAACTCTTGTGACAGTCCTCATGACAGCATGTCGGAGGGACGAGATATGTCGGGTCGGCAAGCGTTCCAGCGGGTACAGCAGGATGACCAGCCGAGGCGGGTTGAGCGGCCGATACGGGATAAACGATTTGACCACCTCCCTGGGCTGGAATACCATGAAGCAGTCGATCTCTCTCTGTCCCGAGACCGCTTCCCAAGGGCGGGGGTGCTGAAGCAATGGAACCTCCGCCTCCACCATTCGCATTGGGAGTGACTGCCTCACCGGGTGAATGATCACTTGACGAAGGATGATTGGCATTATTACGAGATCCAGCGATTTGACGATGTCTCAATTCGTACTCTGCTCGCCTGAAGGCTTCGTGTCGCTCCAATTCGTACAATTGATCCGAGGCCGCAGCGGCGAGCGCTGAGATATCGTTCATTCCGGCTGAACCACCCACACCGAACGGACCGAGGTTGTACGCTGACGATGCGTAATCGGGCCGATCAAAGTCCATACCGTAGGATGCCCCGAGATGAGAGAGATTGTGTCGGTCGTCGTGATGCTGTATGAGCAATGATGAGCTGCGATTGAAAGAGGCGAGCAGTGACAAACTGCACTCACCTCGGGCGAATGTCTCTTGCTCCTCGTTCCCCCATTTTCTGTACCCTGTGGAAGGTGGATTCTCGCGTGTCGAGTGAGTTCATCCGATCGAGAGAATCGCTTATCACATCCGGGATGAGTACATGCATGGGGTTTCTCGCCGGTATGAGTTCGAATGTGACGAGTCTTGACGAAGAATGGGACTCCCGGTCAGCATGTTTCAGCCAAGCAGAGAACGCGATCAAAACAAAACAACTGACCTGATGCTCCAGCCTATAGAATGCTCTATCGCACAATGGACACTTGTAAGGTCTTGGAATCTTGCTCTTGTCCACGTTCAATGCCGCTTCCAACTGAGCCTTGACGTGTGGATCATTGGGGTCGAGCCTCCCCGTCACGGGATCCAGCGCCGGTAGACCAGATGGGATGGCCGAGGATGTGTTTTCGGACGACATGGGTTGGTCGGACATGGGATGCAGGGAAGAGAGAGTAGGTCGGTGTGACAGTGATTGAGAGGATGATGACAGTCAACAAACGACTTGCAGTGCCTTGATGAGAAGAAGATGGTGAGTGGTGCGATGAGGATACAGGGGGTTGATTGATTCTTTGCCCCCTTATCGAGTGTTCCAAGCGATGATGTTCCAGAAACTCGACCCACGGTACTGTCCCTTTTCCCCAAAGGTATCGATGCCCCCCGCCTTTGAGATCGCTATGAGTCTCTGCTTGATCCTCTCCTCTCCACACTTGATGACTCGTTCGTCCCCTTTGACAACAGCTGCAGGTTGATGTTGCGTTCGTCGAATAATAATCCAAAATGTCTGCCGGATCAGGGAAAGATTTTTTTCCAAGATTGGCGGCGGATCACAGCGAGTGCAGTGACGATCGTTGGCTGCTGGATAGATGGGGATGGATGGATGGATGGATCGCTGCTCAACCCCTCAATCTCTCATCCTAAGAAGTCCCCCCTTGAGCTTCCCCTCAGAAAGTCAAAGCAGCTGCAGCCAGCTAGTGTGGGGCGAGTCCAGGTGCGCCGCGGGGGTTTGGTGGGATGTGGTGGTGGTGGGATGATGGATTTGATAGCGAATGGACTGCGAATTTTATTTTTTAATTTTTTTTTCTTTCCCCCCAACGTGAAAATTTTCCAAAGAACCAAAAGGACCAAACCCGGGTGGCGGGGAGGGACGATCGCATCTATCAACAGAAACGTGTGCTCTCTTGCTTGAACCCATGCGGACTCATCTCGGGTGATCACAGCCGGTGCTTAGGCTGTTGGCTGGGCTGGCTGGGCTGGCTGGGCTGGGCTGTGATCCTTCCGCTCAGACACCGGGGACGGGATCAGGGCGTGAGTGGGTGGCGCATTAGTATTTCATCATTAGCAACTAACCATTACCCTATCATTATCCATTATCATGCCATGACTGGTCTAGGCTGAAAGGGTTGCGGGTCCCTCAGACACGTGGCCTCCACGTGGGCCCCACGTGTCTGGCGCTGGATCGTTATGCATCTTCGCGTTGGAACATGAAATGTCGCGAAATGTCCTGGGTCTTATGGCCAGGGAGAAGCGTTACACCGGGGAGGAGGGAGGATTTGATCTGACAGTGAAAGTGTGGTCATCTTATAGAGTGCACAGAAGTATCCTGATTCGCAGCCATGTGGTGAGTCCCGCTTCTCGCAGTCACGTTGACTCACACCGCTCTTCCCCCTCACCAGCAAGCACATCCTCAACGCCCAGGTGTCCATCCGAGCACCCTGCTGCAAGAAATTCTTTGATGTGCGTGCATAGGACGTCGTCCGCAACCGCGGCCTTCGTCCTTCGGAGGGCCCTTAGCCAACTTCTTATAGTGTCCCGAATGTCACGCCGAGAAATCTGATCATCCTCTCGCCAAGACCACCGAGATGGCCTTTATATGTAAGAAGGTGAGCAGGGAGGGAACGGGCTGTTGCCGTCTAATGGACTCAACAGAAATTGGCTCACGCCACCTATGTCCCTATTCAGTGCCGTAAAGCGTTTAGAAAAGATATGGAGGTATTCGAAGAGTCAGACGAATTTTGTCCATGGTGCGATAATCACTTTGTGAGTGGTAACCAACCCCCTTACGTGTGTCCGAAAATGGGATGCTGATCCCCTTGGCAACGATCAGGTCATCGAAGCTAAAGAGGCAAAACCGATGATAGGCGTTGAAGGAGAAGATGCGAGGATAGATTCGAGGTGAGTGAATAGTTTTTCCCCACTTGCAGGAGCTCTCCTTGGCCCCCCGTCCCTTCTCTCCGGACCTCGTCTTGCTCGCTACGCCTAGCCTCATCGGCTCACACTCTCGCGTGCTCCTTCTCCCCATCTTCAGGATGATCAAAGACGACAGAGTCAAAGGCCAAGCAGAGAAGAGTCTATGGAACAGGACAGACGAGGCGGACAAACTGGATAGCAGGCAGCAATACCAAGAGCAATTCAGATAGATGCTCTCGGGCTTCCCTCCATTTGTCATGTATAATCGTGTTGCTCCCCCGGATGGAATGAACCACACCACGGCAAACTCTGAGCGCGACATGAATGCAGATCATCCCATGTCCCATCCTCAAGACGTCGCTAACACTCTAATCTCCCATAACCTCTTTTCCTCCCTCCGCCCTCGATCCCGCTTGTCGCTTTCGGCCCCACCTGGACCCGCACGAACCATCCATCCTCGCATTTCCTTCTTGTGTCTCTCTTCTGCTTCTCTGCACTCCTCTATCAGCCCCACTGGAATGTCCACCCGTTCACCCTGTAAACCTCCTCCTCTCTCATCCCACGACATGGCGGACATGCTGCTTTCCGACGCCATACGAGAGGACCAACCGGATTCATGGCTCAGAGCGGTGGAGCTCTGAGATGTCTTCATTCCACCTGTCGTGTAGGTCGAGCTGGGCATGTGAGCCCCACCGACAGCCACGAACCGTTTCGCAGTAGCCCGCGTGATCGTTCCTCCGACATCTTCGTCCTCATCATCCGCCATATTGGCGAATGGGTCAGGCTCATCGTCTTCCGGTGCAAGCGTTGAAACCCAACACATTTTCTCCGGATCAAACATCATGTTGCCCACGATTCGTACTGTGCCCCCACCTCCTCCTCCACCATATCCTGATCCGCCAGGACCTCCAGCACCATGTAGTGGTGACCTGACGCCTCCTACTGAAGAGCCAGTGTAGTGAGTGATCAGTGCTGGTCGGACTGATGGCGCAGTCGGAGGGTCGAAATCTCGTAGCATGGCTTCATTGCCTTCCCATCGTTGTGTTCGTGGATTAAACGTCATGTCACCGACGACTGGACACCTTCAGCAAATAGCACCTGGAAACAAAACTCGACTCACCTATGACCTTGTCATTCCTGCCCTTGTGACTGATCAACGCGGGCATTCGCCTACCTATCCGCGGCTTGTTCATACTGCGAGGTGCTAGTCTCCGACGCTCAGCGTCAGATACTTGCTCCGCAAATGGTTTCGAGCCCATCGCTTGCAGGTCGAGGGCTGAGGCATCAGTCACCATCGCTCAGCGTCTCTAGCTCACCCTTTCTCGACTTTGAACGGCCAAAGCTCCCACTCGACTTGCCATCCACTGGTATGTCCTCGATCCCATCGAGCTCATTGCCATCCCACCGACGACCTTTACGAGGCACACTCATCGTAGCGGGCGGCGCGATCAATTGATCTCGTCCCCAGCTGCCTTTGCCAGACTTTGATCTCGGAACAGATGCCATTTCTCTAGATCCCGAGGAGATGCTGCTGGCGGACGAGGACGCTGTAAACTCGGTCTTTGGGAAAATGTTGTTCAGCGGCGGTCTTGACTTGGCCAAGGATGATGATGTGGGCATGGTGAGTCGTGACGTCGAATGATGGTATCGTCCTGGGGTTTCAGCTGATCCCGAAGTCTTGGACAGGCTTGAGGGAGGAGTTGGGAGTGGATGGGAGCCGGAGGTCATGGCATCTTGGAGCGACGCCAGAGACTGCTTGCGAGCGAGGGAAGGTGATTGAGGAGGAATATGGTGAAACGACTTTTGGTGTCGTAAACGGGAAGACGACGAAGGCGTTGTGGGCGGCGGTGGAATCCCATCTCTCGATTCGGGTATTGGCGGAGGCAACATGGCCATCGAGTGCATTCGCGTTCTTGACAAGGTCGAGTCCTTGGCTGATGTATCGCGTTTCGAAGCAGAGGCGAGATTATTAAGCCCCACGGTCCCTGATGAATGGCTTCGACCAGTGAAGCCAAGTGCACTCTGAGCTCGACCAGTGGAACTGGATGGCAAAGGTTGAGAAGGGATATGCCTTCCCCAACCATGTTCTCTTTGTTTCTCCCAAGCTCTCTCTCTCGCTTCTCGAGCTGCTGAAGATCCCGTCGTTGCTCCTCCACCGCTCTTAGCATGCTTCTTCAACTGGGAATTAGGCGTGCGCGCTTTGACAGCTCGATCCAATCGTCTGCGGGATAACTCCGTTCGAGGATTCTCCAACACTAGACCATCTTCGATCGACTCGTCGCCTGTCCTAAACATATCATCTGTGCCTTGACGATGATGCGCGGCGGCGGTGGGCGCCTGGATGGGAGGTGGACCCCGTCGTTTTCGATCGAGAATCTTGTTCAATTCCTTCGCTTGACCGGATGAGAAGAATGTTCCGGACGGAATGATGATCCCATCTTCCATATCCTCTTCTTCTCCAAACAGATCGGCCTCCTGCCCTGTTCCTTTGTTGCCTGATCCTTGGATCACCTTGCTAGGTCCGTCCGTCAAGGAAGTGACACTCGTTTCGCTCCGGCGTTTCGGGCTATCTCCCCAGCTGAACGAGCCGGATTTCTTACCGCTCGTCGATGTAGACGGTGAATCGGGTAGTCCTACAGTCCGGTTTCCAGGTAGAACATGGGATGCCGTGGCGAGTGTGAGGTTCCTGACGTTGAGAGGAAGGACGAAATCGTTCTCCAACTCGTCTTCTTGAGGTTTCACGACTCGTTTGGGCGGTAACATGGCTTTGATCGTTGCACCAGCTTTCAGAGTGGCTTCGCCGTCTTCCAGGTCCAGATCGATATCATCGAGAGCATCGGGACCAGGCATGATCCTAGCTTTTGGAGGAGAGAGTGTCAATCGTCGAGCAAGCGTTGAAGGGAGTGGTTCATCCACATCGTCGTCATCTAGTGAATCGAAATCCACGTCGTTCTCCCATGCCCTTTCTATAGCTTTGGAATGAGCTGAGACCAAACCAGTAGGTTTACTTGGTCCTCTAGAGCTGCCTCCATTACCAGTCGAGCCTAAGCGAGTGACCGTACCGACACCTTTCGGACCTTGACCGATGATTTGAGCGGGGAGGTTGCGAATCGATTGGTGACTGGATGAAGGGTTGGATCGAAGACGAGGATTGACCTGTGGAGAGCCTTGAGCTGGGAACGAGTCTGGCAAATCGAGGTCGAAATCCACCTCGTCTTCGTCGTCGTCGTTGTCGTTACGTTGGGAAGATCCAGGGGCTTTGAAATTGAGATGGGACTGACGCAACGGCGACGAGATATGAGATTGAGAGATGGATGTCTTGGATCCGTGTCGATGGTGCTGGTGGTGCTGGTGAACATGATGTGGTGGATGGGTCTTGGGGGACGATGAGGATTCAGAGGGGCTGGAAGACGAAGCGAGGACGAGGTTGGACGAGTTCGGATCAAAGTCGAACGAATCGTCTTCGTCCCAGTTCTCCGAGGGAACAGAGACGCCGGCGGGTGGAGGTACGGGCGACATGTCAGAAAGTCTTGCTGAAAGAGTGACCAAGCGGAAGCGTAGATTGGACTGACGGTTCACGAGACGTGCGGCTTGGGGTTGATCACCTGATTCGGCGGCAATGTGTCGGTGTCATCATCCCGAGGAAGTTGAGTAGATGCAGTCAGAGTCGTGAGAATCTGCAAGGCCTGGTAATAAACTGCAGTCGTAAAGTAGCTCCTCGTCAAGAGTCGTTCAGATCGTCGTAAAAGGAGAGATAGAGAGAGAGAAAGATACAATGGACCGGTTGGTCCAACAACGCGTAGAACACGTTTCATATCCTTCCCACGTGGCGATGATTAGGAAATGCTATTAGCATCACCAGAGTGGCAGGAGCGGGAGGGTACTATGGTGTGATAGTGGAACCCACATTCTCACGTCAAGAAGCTGCTTGCTGGGTGGAAGCTGAGAGACCATGCGCAGGGCCAGTCCTGTGCATCGGTTCTGATCAAAAAATACAGATTCTATTCCAGTTGCTCCACCACACTGCCCCGTTGGTCAATCTCCAGGACTTGCCAATCCACCTCGATATCCTTGGTCTTGAATATTCGAGTGATCTCCGCTGCGATAGCATCGAAATGTGAGTGAGCGAGTGCGAGAATGGTAGGGCCTGCACCGCTGAGACAGATACCCAAGAGGCCAGGGTGAGTGTGAGGGGTGAGTGAGGAGAGAATCTCTGGCAGACCGGGGATCTAGAAGTGGCAAGTCGTGAGCGGGTGATACAGGATCCTAGGTTAGTGGTCTACGTACCAAGGTCTTCCGGTAAGGCTGATGAACTCTGTCTTTCATCGCTTCATAGATGAGATCAGGATCTGGCGGTGATCTCGACAAGGCAGTGGTCAACACGGCCAATCGCTGCAAGTTGAAGACCAAGTCTTTTCTCGAGTAGGACGTCGGTAGAACTGATCTAGCCTTGGCGGTGGGTAGCTCGAATTTCGGCATGACGGCGATCGCTTTGATCTCTTTCGCCCATCCAAATTGGACATAGTGACCGATATCATTAGGTGCTCGAGGGGGGTCCATACCCCATTCGGGGCCGGCGTCGGGAGGGTATTCAGGAAGTACTTCCGCAAGCGGGATCGAAGCGGCGGACGTATCTTCAGGGGATAATTCTTTGAGATATGATCCGACGAACCCGCCGATCAAAGCGGCAGTGACGTTGTCGGGATGTCGTTCGACCATGAGGGCAAAGTCCAGCAGACGCACTTTTGGAAGATTGAGATTGCCCAGCAGATCACCGAGCAAGACTCCAGCAATGACGGCTGCACCGGATGATCCTAGACCTCGACCAAAGGGGATCTCGTTATGAGCTGCGATATGTATGCCGGGTGGGAAGTGAGCAATATTGTGGCTTCGGAGGACATAGAGCGCGACTCGAGTCAACAGATTTTTGTAAGGTGAGAGAGGGACATTGTCACTATCGAGCCCAGAGTACGTGATGACGGGGAGAGGTTCGGATGGGGCTGAGGAGGAGGAGGAGGAGGAGGAGGAGGAGGAGAATGATGATAATGGAGCGGAAGAGCCAGATTCAGTATCCGGAATAGTCACGCGCAGTGACAACGAAAGCGACAGAGCGATACCGCATACGTCAAATCCCGGCCCAATGTTGGCTGATGTCGCCGGCACGCGGATCTGGTACACGCGAGACGGGGCCATGGCGAGTGGGAACGAGGGGTGCTTGAGATATAGTCAACTGTCCGTTGAGGCCATTCACCCAGCCTCACTGCTCCTCTGCGGGGTCTCGACTCGACGTCCAATGCGTTCCCTGCGACAATCTTATAGCAGCGACCTCGTTCCAACTTTTTTTCTTAGCGGAAGCAAATTTTCCCAAGGTCAATTTCGTTGGCTGATTCTCTCCCGAGGGCTTGCTTGCTTGCTCTCTCTCACTCTCCAACCACTTGGTTCAGACCCCTCCGTACGACTCACCATCCAGCCTAGCGGGCACTTGACACGGCTCATCAGAGGGTACCTCGAGGTTCAAGATGAGTGGAAGGAAAGTGATGGCTCAGGTGAGTTTGCATACACATCGTCTCAAAACTGACCTCGGTCCCCCTTCCTTACTTAGCCCATCAACATTCTTTTCACCTTCCTTCAAAAACAGACTCCTGTCACTATCTGGCTTTACGACAACACGGAATTCAGGATCACCGGGACAATCTCTGGTTTTGACGAGTTTATGAATGTACGTCTTGGGGCCCGCCTGCGCACAGAGAGCGATGAACGGCGTAGCTGATGCCAAACGATTATAGGTGGTGATTTCCGACGCGGTCATGGTGTATCAACCGAAGAAGGACGGATCAAAAGATGTCAAGCCATCAGAACAACTCGGGAGGATATTGTTGAAGGGTGAGTCCTGCTCGCCGTAGAGGCGCGGGGGGGGGGGGGGGGGGGGGGGGGGGGGGGAGTATAGAGGCGTGGATGAAGTGCTGATCTTGTCCGCAGGCGACAACATCACTTTGATTCAACCTGTTCAGAGCTGAATAAAAAAGATGAGAAAAAGGTCGATACAGGGCTAGCCTTGAAGATGTACAGTACTCCTTCCCTCGAGAGCATGAATCTCGCTACATGATCATCTGAAGCCATGGACGTTTTATGGTCTCCACTCGAATCCACTCGCTCTCCATCCCAGCATTCTCTCCGCCTTTGAACAATCGAAAAACCCTGTATTCCCTATCAACTCTTTCCGGACGTCTTTGATATCTGGATATTTCGTTTTTAAGAGCTCCAGGCTGTCACACTGCTGCGCGTGTGTTGGAGCGACAATAAAGAACGTCTCGTGACCAAGGGGAAACGTCGACGTCGGGGCAGTCAAACCTCGGAGACATGCTTCGGCCGTATCGTCCAATGATACCCAGCCCCACAGATCTTTCCATGCGCCTCCGTGTTTGTGCATCTTGTCAGCGTCTACGAGATCCATCGGAGCCACAAAGTGAAATCGCAGAGTGGCGATCCTCATGTGCGGAAACTTGCGAGCGTACGAGTCGGCCTGAACTTCGCAGATCCTAGCAGGAGATGTGAGGGGACCGAATCGCTTGAAAAGATGAGACCTACTGCTTCGAGACGGAGTACGCGTCTTCCGGTCTGAAAGCGTGACTCTCATCGATCGGGACAAAGTCGTACTTGGGTTCTTTACAGTACACTTGCGGGGAAGAACGTCAGCCAAAAGATTGGCGTCTAGGCCGAACGCTACTCACGCATTCCTATCGAATTGATGCTGGATGCCATGACCACTCGATCGATCCCAAGCACAGCGGCGATGCAAAGTGTGTTGTAGGACATGGCAACATTGGTATTGTGTACACGCTGACCGCCAGTCAGCATTTGAGTCGACCAGAGGTCCGCCTTCGAAGCTCACCGCTTGTTCCTCCTCTTCCAGATTGATGGTCATGCTTCCGTCTTCTCTTTTGACTTTCTTAAACAATGCAGCAGCCAGATGGATGATCGCATTGCAACCATCGACTGCCGCCTTGTAAGCTTGAAGATCCACTACATCGACCTGTTTGTACTCGTATCGCGCTTGTGGTTCCAATTTCCCTCGAGGTCCAATATCGATAGCCACGACGGAATGTCCCTGCGCCAAGGCAAGCTTGACGACACCAGTACCGACATGTCCTGCTCCTCCAGTCACTGCTATCTTGAGAGACTTATCGACCGTCATGATAGCCGTCTGGCGATATAGAGTGCGGAGTTGATTCACCAAAGGTGGAGGGAGGGTTGGTTTTCGGTTCGGTTGACTTGTAGAGAGTGGGGGTTCAATGAGGTCATTCTTGATTTTGATTCGACGAGTCAATACCTTCGAGCAGCGAGCCGGAGGCAGCAGACCTGATTCGGAGCCGCATACGATTCACCTCTCGTGACAGACTCCGGCATCCTGGCGACAACGATCATCGACCATTTAATTAGCCCCCGAGAAGTCACTCGTTCAGGGCTTCTTCTGGATCAATCCACCATGGTGTTTGAAGGTTTTGAGAGCTTTGACGTGAAAGTTGACAGCGCATGTCTGGGTGAGATGCTCAGCATACATGGCATCAGGAAGGGTCGAGGACCACCCCTTTTATTGCTACATGGATATCCGCAGACGCTCCGGTGAGAACGCCGATGAATGTCTCTGACTCTGAAAGTATATGGAACAAGATTGCCAACGTTCTTGCGGAGGCGTATACGGTCATAGCTACTGATCTGAGGGGTGGGTAATGTATGAGGAGTTGTCCCTGATCACAAGGCTACGGGCAGTCTGACAAGCCATCGGGATCGTCGACACACGTCGAGTACTCGAAACGCGAGATGGCCTCAGATCCAGTTCAAGTCATGTGAGTTTCGAGCTCGCTCTCAGAACAAGTACTCAATCATTCAGGTCTAGATTGGGCTACGAGACGTTTTACCTCGTTGCTCATGATCGTTGAGCGCGCGTCGCGCACCGGATGGCTTTAGATCATCCAGAGAGGGTGAAGAAGATGATGTTGCTCGATATCCACCCCACACTCTGGTTATACACCCACGTCGACATGACTTTTGTAGGTGTCCACTGAAACTGCCCCGGCTCATACAGCAGGCGGCAGGATACTGGCATTGGTTCTGGTTGATCCAGCCTGCTCCCGGGCCTGAAGACACCATTCTGTCCAGTCCTGACACCTATTGGCGAATGAAAATGGGGACACCAGAGTCCACGAGTTCTTACTGGTCAGAAGAGGACGTCGACGTGTACGGAGCACTCATGAGCGATCGCAGCGCGGTGCACGCTGTGAGATACCTGAAGGAGACACAGGCTGACGAAGGCAGGCTTGCGAAGACTATCGGGCGGCGGCGAGCATTGATCTGGACCATGATCAAGCTGACTATGACGAGGGAAAGCGGATCCACACACCATTGAGGATTCTGTGGGGTCGTCATGGCATGGTAGAGAAACTTGGCAAGGCCGTAGACATCTGGCAGGATTTCGCCTCGGCGGACGTCAAGGTCAGTGGCAGTGCCTTGGCATGTGGTCATGAAATCCCTGAGGAAGTACCCAAGGACCTTTTGGAAGAGATCCACAGCTTTATGAAGTGATGATATGTGTGCATTTATCGATACAGTGTAATCATACAGGTGGGTCGTGTCGTTATTCAGTCCTTCACATGCCATGCGATCCAGCCTCGCCAGACTTTGCCACCAACTGCTTGGCGATTTCCGCGACCTGATCCATGTCCTCCTCTGCACCTGTCTGAGAAGCATTGACCAGAGCATCTTTGATAGACATTCCCAAGTCTTGTTCGACAGTTCGAGTGATGAGGGATTCAGAGTGAGTGCTGATGTTGAGGGTGGACGAGAGGGAGGATGCAGGGTTTGCCGTTTCGAGGGACCTGGTAATGGACAAATGTTGAGCGAGAATGGAGGGTTCTGGGAATGATAGTTAGGCTTTGAAAAGGATTTTGTCCCGCTCACCTCCTGCTGCACCTTCCTGGACCGTCGTCTGGACAGCTCTCCGGATCGCCAAGGGATTCAACACCTCTCCTTCAGCTGCACGAATGGATTGAGCCGCCTCTGCCCTCGCTGTCGCAGCGATCTCTTGCGTCACGATGGCCGCCTCTTCCCTCACAGCGGACATCATTGTCCTGACTGCAGCCATGAGAGTCCCGGCGAGACTGGTCGTGCGAAAGGGGTTGGCTCGATGAGAGGTCGATGGCAAAAAGAAGGCAATACGCAGTGGTGGCGACGAAGTCCAGAGAAGAGCTCCATTCCGAAAATTTGCTTCCGTCGACAGCAGCACTCGCTCACTCTCATCTACAACACATCCCATACATACATTATTATTGACTCTCATGCGATCGCGTACAGGCTCACAGTGATGTCGTCGAACGCTTGGAGCCCAGAACTCAAGTGAGTGCTATCTCGAAGCAGTCTGCTGATCCTCCTCACCAGACTCTGGGTCCAAGAGTCACTGGCCAAAGCGACGCCGTCGAACAAGGCAGCCGTCAATACTGAATTAAAACAGGTGATTATCTTCCATCAGGATTTGGCTTGCTGAAGACCGGTAGATCCTGTTCAAAGCTCATCAAGATGGCAGTATAACCACCACCGACTGGTCTAAAGTCGAATTACAGTCGTGAGCCGGCGTTAGACACCAGCAAGCTTGTCTGACTCTGTCCAGTCTCAAAGCACAAGCTCTCCGTACCACTCACGTCCCCGTTCCTATCCCACCACGTCACACAGCTCCAGTCATCATCCCGCCGCCCAGTATCGTAAGCAACTATCCGGCACTTAATCTTTCAGCGAGACTCCCGCCACCTCTAGCGCTGAGCGAAAATGGATCATCGGCCTCAGGGAGTCAACCAAAGAAGAAGAAGCGGAAAAAGTGAGCAAATGCGACTACAGCCTGTGTGACTAATCTGACTTTTAGGAACAGTGACGCGCACGAGTTCTCGTTTCCTTCTCCCTATCAGTTCCCTAGCGCTGCCGATGCACAGGCCCTAGCTAAGCGTGCAGCTCGATTCCAGCAAGCCCCGGCATCCTCTTCTTCCGGACCCCACGCGACCGGTGGTCTGAATCACTGGTTCGGCGATGAGGAGGAGGATGGTGCAGAGACAATCTCGTTTGGATCACATCAAGTACAGGTAGGCAGGAAGAAGATGAAAGGCAAGGGAGGGCTAGGCTATGCGGCCACGGAAGTGATGGAAGTGGATCCCGTGGGTAGACACGCCCACTTTCAGCTGACCGCTTAGAACGTCATGGATTGGGATCGCTACACCATCAAGGGGACAAATACGAGATTGGAAAAGTCATATCTTAGACTGACATCGGTTCGTCGAGGCTCTCAAGCATCATCGCTGACATGTCGTAGGAGCCCTCTCCTGCTGATATACGCCCGCTACATGTATTGAAGCAAACCCTGCAGCTGTTGAAACGCAAATGGAAGGAGAATCACAATTACGCTTATGCCGTTGATCAATTCAAGAGTATGCGGCAGGATTTGACGGTGAGCGTTTCTTCGAGTCTCTTGCTAAAAGCAGGTCCAACGCATCAAGAATGATTTTACGGTCGAGGTTTACGAAATCCATGCGAGAATTGCATTGGAAGCAGTGAGACGCATCGCTGGAAGGCTTTGTTGACTCTCAGAACGATCTTGGAGAGTACAATCAGTGTCAAACTATGCTCCGGCAGCTCTACGAACTTGGACTTCCCGGTCACCCGCAAGAGTTCTTGTCATATCGCATTATCTACCTCTTGCACACTCGGAATCGGAGCGGTGAGTTATAGACGAGAGGTCTCGCTGATCCTCCCAGACATGGCATCGCTTTTGGCCCAGCTGACACCAGAGGAGAAGAGTGATCCAGGCGTTCACCACGCCCTCCAGGTTCACGCGGCTTTGACCACGTCCAACTATATCCGCTTCTTTCAGCTGTTCAACCGAGCGCCGAATATGAGTGGGTACATCATGGATCACTTTGTGGAGAGGGAGAGAATGACGGCCTTGGGGATCATGTCCAAGGCGTGAGTGATCGTGATGGGACGCGACTCATGCCTTCAAGCTATCTGACACTCCCGTTACCTCATCTCACGGCAAGATTGTCTTTTGAATCTGATCAAGAGACGGACAAGTTTCTGGTCGATCACGGCGTTGGTATATACGCCAACGTCTCGCAACCTGTCAGTCAGCCTGTCAACCCTTGGCGACCGATCAAACCTCCACCACCGACTCCCTTGGAGGATCGCCAGTGGGATTGCAAAAAGGTTCAGTCGGCTTGCATTGCTGCCATGTCCCGATATCGAGTGGTGGATCTCAAAGGTCAAGTGGATTGATGGATGCACAGCGTGGTGTCTGGCACAGGTAAGACTAACATTGTTTTACATACGGAGGAAGACACGGATCGAGCATCCTCATTCGTGACCATGTTCTGTTGTACCCACGTGGCTGTTATGCATCAGGTCATCCGGCCCGACGGTTATTACCTTACATCGCTGTCACCTTGACAATGTCGCCCCCGAATCACAAGTCACCTCGAGAATGGCACCCACTGGAGGCCTCCCCAGATGTGTTCACCAGAATGGCTCGAGTGAGCCGTTTCGACCCGGTGCAACTCCGGGTCTCGGTGGTCTGACGTGAACAGTCCTGGGGCTTGCCTGAACGGTACTTCTTTGTCGATATCTTGGGTTTTGACGATGAATCATTGGCCATGGTTGATCGGCCCGTCCACGCTGTGATCTTTCTTATCCCAGATACAGAGGCGATCGTCAAGATGAGGTCAAACGAAGGACCTCAAATGGACGTCTCGCCTGGATCTGAGGTCGTGTGGATACCTCAGGTGGACGTGGGTGAGTAAGCCCATCCTCAAATTTGCGCTTAGATCAAGGTCACAGCTGCGGGACGTTTGCCATCGTTCATGCTCTCGGAGTGACTGGTCTGGCCCCAGGTCTAGTCCCTTTCTTTGACAAGTGTCGAGGTGAGAAATGGACGTAGTCGCAGCTCATTGTGTGGCGGCCGAGCCCAGAGAGCGGACACATCTGTTCGCGACGGAGGCCCTGATCTACGACGCCCATCATTCTGCGATCGACGCTGGCCAATCTATTGTAAGGGACTCTGACTGGGATGATTGCGACCACTTTCTATCATTTGTACATGCAAATCTGCAAGGGGAGACACGAGTGCTCGAGATGGACGGCACCGAACTGAGGAGTGGGCCATTGGACAGGGGCAAGTCACAAAATGGAGATCTTCTCGACGTAGGTTTCCGTCTCTGATCTTCAGCTCATAGGCAGGACGTCGGTCGCATCGTTCGCGACCTGTATATACCCCGAGCTCAGGGCAATGTACACTTTTCAGCCATCGCGCTTGTGGGTTGAGCATCTTGTTATGCATCCTCTACTGGAACGTAAAGCTAAAGTTCATTTTTTGAGCGCTTAATCGGTGCTGAGGGAGAACGCCTGGTCCGCACGAGTTGGTGCCGATACCGTGGACTGCATGATCGAGATTTAGCCAGACGCGATCCCCAGGCTTTAGATCCGGCGTGTGCTTGGCGGCTTGAAGCTGGTTGGAATCCCAACGCCTGGCGGTAAAGTTGAATAATGGGTCCCCATGGACTTTGAGACGCGCGCTCTCCCCTTCAACTTCCAGCCATCTCACATCCGCTCGATTGCCGTTTTCCTGAGGGAAGACGTAAGGCGTTTGGAGATTGTCGATCGTCGAAGACCATTCGCTGACTCGGACAGCCTCGCGAGTGTCCGGGTACGCTTCGCCAGGTCCAAGTCCGAACCATTTGACGCTTTTCATCGTCTTGGGAAGTCCGAGTCGAAGGCCAACTCGGGGCAGATAGATACCTTCCCAGTCGTCCTTTGGTTCGACGCGGATATCCACTCTTACAGCGCCAGACTTGTCAGCTGTCCACGTGTAAGTGGTCACTAGACCTCGCATGTAGATGGCAGGCGCCACAAATGTGGTCACAGTGAGCGACCTGTCTTTGATGACGACACTGTCGACTCGGTGGTGGACACGGTCGAGTCCGACCCTCAACCAGGTCGCTCCTACACCATCAACGTCGCCTCCGTTGTCATTGTCGGTGGTTGCTCGCCAGATGTCCAGCTTGGCACTGTCAATGGGGATACCCTTGAGCTCCACCAACTGTCCGGTTGCTGCATTGAAGGACGCAGGGCCGAGGGTGATCGTATTCTTCGACACGGAGGGCTTGACAAGATTGCCAATGGAGAGCTGGGTGGCTTTGGCGCATTGAGCCTGGCCGAACGCAACAACGTGGCCTTTTTTGGCCCATGGCGAATCCGCCGCCAATGTTGCGGTCACAGTGAACCACGATTCAGCCTGATGCGACGAGCACTCGGGTAGCTTAATCACTTTAGTCTTTCCAGGAGCCGTCGATGGGACTTCAAGGGACCCCTTGTCGACTGCCTTGCCCTCAATCTCCTTCGTCCAATCGAAACTGAAGCTCGACAAGTCGGCAAAGCTCTGTAGATTGGTGATCGCCACACCTCCATCGACCTGTCGGATTCTGACCGGAGCGATGACATGCTTGAATTGCTCCAAGCCCGGACTTGGGTCTCGATTGGGGAAGACTAGCCCATCAATGCAAAAGTTGCCATCGTGGACCTCCTCGCCAAAGTCACCGCCATAGGCATAGTATGACTCGCCGTTTGCAGTCTTCTTTGGAATCCCGTGGTCGATCCATTCCCAGATGAAACCGCCTTGACATCGAGAGTATTTCTCGAACAGATCTTGATACTCGACGAGACCGCCAGGTCCGTTGCCCATGGCGTGACCATACTCGCACAGGACGAACGGCATGGCACGTCGTTTTGCATCGAGTGATTTGTCCTCCAAGGGATCCTCGGCACGTTGACCGATGAGGTCGACTTCGTGGTGCGAGGCGTACATCCGACTGTACATGTCTGTGTATTTTGATGTCCTGTCTCCCTCGTAGTGAATCGGTCGGCTAGGGTCGCGGCTTCTGACCCAGTCGGCCATGTCTCCGATGTTCCTACCCTCGGCAGCTTCGTTACCCATCGACCAGATGATGATACTGGGGTGATTCTTGTCACGCTCAACCATACGCTGAACACGATTGACCAATGCATCCCGCCAGAGATCCGAATCAGTCGGATTGTGTCTCCAACCGTTTTCGCCAAAGCCATGCGTCTCTAGATCGCACTCGTCCACGACCATCAGACCGTACTCGTCGCACAGTTCGAGGAAATGAGGATGAGGCGGATAATGACTGGTTCGCACTGCATTGACGTTGTGCTGCTTCATGAGCAGGACGTCTTTGAGCATGTGTTCCGCATCCATGGCCCTCCCTTTGTCAGGTTGGAACTCATGCCTGTTGACTCCCTTGAGCAGAAGACGCACACCGTTCAACTTGATGACGCCGTCCTCAATATGCACAGTGCGAAAGCCAATCTTCAGGGGTACGGTCTCCCCTTTGGTCTTTAGCGTTGCAGAATAGAGTTTTGGTGCTTCAGCATTCCATGGAATCACGCTAACGGTCGTGGACTGTCCTGTTGCACAGTCTATATCCAGCTCAGGGACAGTGATGCGACCCTCGGGCGAGCAGTCGACCTTCAAAGTGCCCTTGCCGGTGTGGTGATCGTACGAGGCGTGAACAAAGTAGTCCGAGACACAACCGTTGGGTCGGTGCAAAAGGGTTACGTCGCGAAAGATTCCAGGAAGCCACCATTCGTCCTGGTCCTCGCAGTAGGATCCTGCCGACCATTTATGGACGCGCACAGCGATCACGTTGTCCTTCGACTTGAGATACTTGGTGATGTCAAACTCGTTCGGAAGTCGGCTTCCCATGGTGGTACCGATCTCCTTGCCATTGACCCAAGTTTTGGACCACGACTCGATTCCGTCGTAGCGCAGAAGGGTCTAACGTTAAGCTCACGATCTGCGAGGATGCTCACCTGCCCGTTCTTCAATGACCACCCGTCCGGAAGATCAAACGATCGTCGGTAATCTCCAGTCGGATTCTCGCTTGGACAGAATGGTGCGTCAACTGGGAAAGGAAAGTTGACATTTTGATATTCAGGGTGGCCATAACCATGTAGGACCCAGTGCGACGGGACTGTAAGCATGTCCCACTTGCTGTCGTCAAACGTCTTGATGCGTGCAAAGTCATCGTCGAGATAGGCGGTGGGGGAGTACCGGAATCGCCAATCGCCGTTCAGAGAGAGCTTTGAACTATCCGAATAGACATTCCATGAGCGCGGTGGGATGGATCCTCTACCAGGCTGAGGATCCTCAAACTCCGCAGGGTGATACTGGACGTTCATGGTATGTTGTCGAAAGAGCAGGTCTGTGGAGGTGGGGGCTTGAATCATAAATCCGGAGATTCAGCCGGTCAAGACGGCGCCCCGGATCGTCGACCCGACCGGAACGACTTTGCGCCTGATTGCATGCTTTCAGACGCTCGAGCTCCCCTTCTTTGAACACGGCTCTGGTTCTGATCTTGCCTTAAGCCGCACCTAGCCCTCGGCTCAGGCCCGCCGTCTTCTTGTCTTTTAAGAATGCCCTGATCTCCTCCACACACCATCAACGTCGCTCAATCCTACAGCGATGGGACATGGGTAGTTCCTGGTTGATCGCAGCATCCTCAGACCCGCTAGCATTGCCTCTCGATTGTCGGGCATGAGGATGCATGTACGAATGTGGCTCCTTGACTATGACCGACTCAATTTCTTATGTTCTTCTGAAGATACCTGCGGCACTGACCATCTCGGTCTACATCTTTTCTTGACATCTCTCCGGCTCCTGCACTATCCAGCGAAAGGCGCCGCTGGTGGCAATTGGAGCTCATTGGCTTTGGCCTCCCGGGTAAGCTCATCCGTGCCGTACATCTCTGCTGCCTCTCGCTCGAGATCTTCTCGTTAGTCCCCATCACCAAGTCACTGCTCACATTTGGCGCACGCAATCTTTGCCTTCTCGATGTTTACAAGCGCGAGAAGGCCCACACCAGCGAGTCCTGAGAAAAAGAGGAACCAGAAAGCCGCGGAGGTATTGCCGTGGGCATCATCGATGATAGCAGAGGCGATGAAGGGGCCGATGAAGGCGCTTGTTTTCTAGAGGGGCGTTGAGACGGCGCTTTCACCTCATTAAACTCACTCCGACGATGTAGAAAAGGGCGAAAAACAGATACATCTTGGGGGCTGGGACCACCTCTGAGATGACCGTATTTTGGTAGGTGTTCCACGATGCGACACCAACGCCTTGAAAAGCCTGGTAGAAGTAGAACTTGACGGTGAACCATTGTTTCGTTGGTCACTTACCTCCCACACGTGATGATATCCGATTTTGTTGGTAAAGATCCCGATGAAGCCCCAAAGGCAGGTGAACGTCAAGCATGACGCACCAAAAATGCAGCCAGTCTTCGCGGAGAAGCCAAGGAACCTTTGTGCCACAGCTACACCATATGCTCCTATCCCCTGAGCGCCGAAAGCGAGAATGAATAGGTACGTAAATTGTTTGGTATTGAATGAGATCGCACTTAGAGTGAGTTTGGCGGTTTAAGGAGACTCACTCGTTCTGGAGCAGGTTCACGGCTGTTCCACTGACATTGTAGACGTCGTTGAGGAGGAAAAATGACAGCAGGTATAGGAAGGTCTGTCGTCAACAAGCCATTGGCGCCCGCTCACCCATTTCAACTGCCACACACTTTTGACCGCCTGCCACAATTGTCGAGGCCCGACCAGGAGATAGTTGGTACCCTTTGGGATGCGCTGACCGGGTCGGTATTGTTCAGTCAGGAACCAAGGCATAGAGAAGACTACCCAGACCGCTGTGAAGTAACCGATGAGCACGGAGTAGACTTTGGTGTTCTGGGCCAAGGTGTCGGTGCCTATACCAAAGCAGATTGCCAAGCCGAGCACGAGGATGGCGCAGGATCCAAAAGCCGACGTAGCGAGGGAGTAGTTGGAGAGCTTTGATCGTTCCCTCATGTCCAGCTCGGCATGCTGTTCAGCTCTGGCAATATCAGCCCTGACCCGCTCCAATGACATGCGATTTAGTGCCAGCCCGGACCTCTTGTTCTGACTCAATCATCTTCGGTAAATCTCGGACAAGGCCAGGGAATGCAGAGACTGTCATGAGAATCTTGTTCATCCGGATACGCTTACAGTAGAAGGTGTTTGCGAGATTGAAACAGACGGTCGCGACGACATATAGTCCAGCGGCAACTTGCCATTTGTCAGGCGTCTCCAGCCCCAGCCAGCCGAATCCAACGCCCCAGGAGACAATGGTGAAAACTGGGCGTTTAGCCTCCACCTTATACCGGGCTCACCGATCAAGATGTACGGTCGCCAGGTGCCGTAATCGGCGTATGGACCGATCACCAGGAGCAAAACTAACTGTACCGCAAATTGAATACCATTCAAGTCCAGAATGAGCGCACTGACTGGAAGCTCAGCTTCTGATCTCGCATCGGCGCTCACTCGATTTCTGCTGGCCACCCCATTCAACGAAGCCACTGGGGAATGCTTGAGTGAGCAGATTCTGAAGTTGTGCCGGCATATAATTGAACGGTCCTAGACCTGTAATTGCTATGTAGAACAAGCAGTACGACACAATCTCCGAACGCTTCGTCACCTTGCGTTCGCCGGTCATGGGGATGATTTGGGACTGTTCGACGACAGCTAGCCCGGTCGCGTGCGAATAATGCGCCGAATGGCCTCTCCCCGTGGCCTTTTCGACATCTTGACGTTTAGTGTCATCCATATGTTTCGACATGGCGGTTGCTGAACGCTGCGTGAATCGAACATCGTACGCCAGCCAGTATTTATGACAGCCCGAATGCAAGCTCCGAGACGATGGCTCATACGTCACATGGTTCGTATCATGTGGCCTAGTCACATGTTACCATGTCAGTGTGGCGACAATGTTTTTATTTTTGGGATTTTGTGGCTTGATTTATATTATGGCTAAAGCTGGATGACGAGAAGGTGGACCTGATTGATGACCGGCACTAGGAAGCTTCCGAATGTGGCATGGTCGACCCATGAGGTATGCAATTGCGAAGACTTGACCCCTTCCTTCCCTTCTCTTTCCCCTGCCGTTGCATTCAAAACCCCGCTGCAAGAGGGTCAGCCAGAGGTCAGTACCCTCCATCAAACGCGATGAATGCGCAATCGGAGTATCGGCTAAAGCGACCTCAGCTGAACCCAAGAGGACTTGGCTCGCGGAATTGAGAGCGGATCAGACCCTCTTTCAGACCGTCTTCTGACGGGTCCATCTGGGACGAAAGGCCAAATTCAGTTACCTCACGGTATTTTACAGCTCGCAAAACCTTCCTCTGTGTCTCCATTGAGGTCTCGTAACGACACCCCGCAAGCCGGCTACGGCCGGCCCGCCAGTGATTGTCTCCGTTAGCCGAAATTGCACCGAAATCTTGTTATCGCACCTGTGGGGCCCGAGCCAAGGTTAGCCTATCCTCGGGAGATAGGCTGGGGTAGCTGCTGACCCCACGCGCTGCATATAAAGGAATGCTGGCACCACAGCAGCGTTCGAACGCCGACGCACATACAGACGCACCAACACACTACAGCACCATGGAGACCATCGAAGGCAAAGACGTCGAAATTTCCCATCGAGAAGTCCTTACAACAAACCACGAGCCAAAGACCGATCAGCTCATTGATGAGGCCCTAGGTGGTAATGCTATTGAGCATGACTTGAGTACTCTCGAAGCCTTGCGCATCTATAAGCGAGGTGTGGCTCTTGTGGCGCTGATCACCCTGACGATCATCATGCGGGGATACGATGCCAGTGTGGCGCCCACTTTTTTCGCCTTGCCCGCCTTTCAGAATCGCTTCGGTCACCCCGTCCCTGGGCACGGTAATCAGGTTGCAGCAAGGTGGCAAAGCGCTCTCGGTGTCTCCACAACAGTGGGCCAGGTGTTCGGTTCGTTTGTCGCCACCTACCCTATGGAATGGTATGGCCGGAGGAAGACCTTGGCAGTCTATCTCCTTCTCACTTCTGCCGTCATTCCGATGCAAGTCTTCGCACCGTCGATACAGGTCCTGACAGCTGGCGAATATATCGGTGGCTTCTTCCTTGGAGCATACCAAGTTTTGATCCCCACGTATTCGTCGGAATTGTTGCCGATCATTTTGCGTCCCTACCTTGCAGGATTGATCAACACGGCGTACAATGCGGGCGGTCTTTTGATGGCCGGCATCTCCTACTCATTTTCCCACTGGAATTCGGAATGGGCCTACAAGATCCCTTTCGCACTTCAGTGGGTATGGCCAGTTATTATATTGCCGATCGTCTACTTGACGCCCGAGTCACCGTGGTGGCTGGTACGAAATGGCAAACTGGAGGAAGCTAGAGTTGCGCTGTCAAAGCTTGGGGATGAGAACGACCCTCGCATCAATTTCGACAGGACCGTAGCAATGATGCAAAAAACCGACTTGTTCGAGCAAAAGGTGGAGACTGGGGGTAGCCTGTTAGATTGCTTCAAGGGGCCTTCTCGTTACCGCACCGAGATTTTGATCATGATTTTCTTCTGTCAAGACTTTGCGGTCAGCCCTGTCAGCGCAGCGTACTTTTACGAGCAGCTGAACATTGATGTCACGAAATCTTTCCGGCTCAATATCGGCGGCACATCAATCGGACTCTTCTGTGCCATTGCGGCCGCCTTTTTCCTCCGCTACTTTGGACGTCGAAGTGTCTATACCTCCGGAATCGGGGTTCTTTGCGTGATACAAATGACAGTGGGTTTCCTTCAACTTCCTCCGAGCTATAATCAGAACGGCAATTTTGCCACAGCGCAGATAGTACTGCTATTTATCGCGAGCGCGGTGTACAACCTTACCATTGGTCCTCTCTGCTACAGCATCCTCACCGAAGTGCCGTCGATCCGTCTTCGATCCAAGTCGGTGGCTATCTCGATCGCGACGGATGCTGTCTGTGGTATCGTGACGAATTTCGTCACGCCGTACCTGATCAACCCCGGGGAGGCAAACGCTCGTGGCAAGGTCGACTTCCTTTGGGGAGGGATCTCTTTCTTCTCGTTCTGGTGGTGCTTCTTCAGACTTCCCGAGACCAAGCACCGAACTGTTGAGGAGATAGATTATCTCTTTGAAAATCGTGTGCCTGCCCGCCGTTTCAAAGGATACGTGATCGATGAAGAGCAGCTCAGACACAACTTGGAGGAGAATCACGATTCAAGAGCGTGATGAAGTTTCTCGTTAATTAGTTCTGTTTCAGTTCACGCATGCATCGTTCTCTCTGTATCTGCGCGGTAAAGCATATTCGAAGACGGTTTGAGCCAGCCCGCTGCCTGTTTGCGTATCAACGGGCGGATGCTGAACACCCTGGAGTCTTTTGGTTAGGGCATTACTGATCCACTTCACGCCGTGATAGTAGTCTCCCAAGCTGTCCAACGCTTGCTGCAAGACCGCGACCATCTTTTGAGCACACGGTTGTCTGAATGATTGCCAAAGGCATTGATCCATATCACCCATCACGTCGACACCACGGAGTTCCTCAATTTCTACGGTCAGCCGCGATGCTTATCTGCAACTCACGGTCAACAAGGATTGTCGCGGCTCGGTACAGGGGATGCGCGATGAAGGGAAGAGTCAGGAGAGTTGAAGCATCGACGGCATTTGCGAGCTCGATCATCTCCACTATCGCGGCAGCACAAGAGCGAGCTGTGTGCTTTGAATACGCACTGGAAGATGAAATGTCGGAGGACATTGTGAGCATCGCCATCGCCCATAAATGCATCTCCAGGAATGCTGATCCAGAATTGGCCGTATAATGGACGCGATACCTGAATATGGTTGTAGCATGCGCAGGACGCGGATGCACTCACTGCTTAGCATTCCACCTCATGCTCTGTGGAAGCTCATTATAGCAGTCCATCAGCTCTTGTTTTGCTCGTTGGATCTTTGAGCCTCTATTTCCCTCCGTTTCTCTCATATTGAGATGATTGACGAGTTTGGCGTGCGCCAGCATGAGGCTCACCGCGCATTCGAAGAGGCTCTCGCCCTCGTGGCGATATGTTCTCGTGATCTCCTCCAGCCTGAAGGCTGTTGGCCTGCCAACGCCGAGAGAGACGACAAGATCCCGCATGAGAACATTGCCAAATACTTGGCTGTCACTCAGACTTTCTGATGAGTCGGTTACCATTTCTTTGAGGTGGAGGCCAAGATCGCCTGCCATCCGCACGGCGATCCCCGTCGTCATCCAAGACTCTCCTGGCGGGACACCAGCCATGTTCACCGCCGCCAGTAGCACGAATCCCATGATAGTCTCTCGTAGAGGTATACCCATAACCATACCCATCATGGAGCGAGCGCGATTGTACCAAGGGAGACCGTTCTCATGCTTCGGACTGCCCTGAACGGCCACCCTGGGGTCGTCAGAGTGACTAGCCGCTAAGGCTGCAACACAGTTGAGTAGAAAGGACTCCTCCCCGTGGGCATCCAGCATCTGCCTCAGCAGATCGGCAGTCAGGAAAGGGTATTGACAGCCAAATTGCTCGACAAAGAGATCGATGAGGCGGCGGAAAGTGTCTATACCACCGTGCTGCGCATAAAGTTCCGTTGTACCCGTCCGTAAAGATGATGAGATCATCTGATTGGGAGCATGAGGCTGTATCTGGATGGACAAGGAGAGCGGTAAGATTCCTGCAACGTCAGCATATATTTCCCATTTCATGACTCACCCGAGGAAAACGCTGTTGGTCCGTGATGCCTGAGCCACCGAATGCGTCGAATTGCCTCGCTTCGCGACCCTTCAGGGAGATTCAGCGTGCCACGGCCATGACTCTCAGTCATCCAGAATGGTCGCTCTGGAATCTGGGAAGCGCCCTCATGATCAAAGGGTATCCCGAAGTCGAGATTGACCGTGTCCGGCTCCAATATATTCCACGGGACGATATCATGAATCTGGAAGACATTTTCCGCGGCCGAATCCTCGGTAAAAGTGACATCTTCTTGTAGATCTGAGGCATCATTTATTATAGATGTTCTGCTCTGATGTATGGCGTCTCGTGTCTCGTTTCCGATGGTGTTCCGGCTCCTGGATTTTCGCAGGTCCTCTGTTGGCCAGACACAAGTGAGATCATTGCGGGAACAGAACGAGCATGTTTCGCGGGGCACCCCTCCACATCTTGTCTTTCGATTCCGGCACTAAGGCTCAAATCAGATTGTGGACCGCCCGAGTATTTACATTGAGACAGGACGCCTTGGCTCGCTTGACCTTATGCATGGTAGAATGCTTGCAGAAAGGAACTGGATGCGATCGAGTATCGGCTTATCGGCTAATGCATTTGGATCACCCCACCCTCGGCTAAAGGCATGTGTTGCCGATGCATTCCTCCACCGAATATTTAGTAAAACGACGGTGTCTTGCTTCTCTACCCGTCGTCATCACCCATGTCCAAGCGTCTCTGGTACACATCCCCAGCGCTGGCATGGCTGGAAGCTTTGCCAGTGGGCAATGGAAAGCTCGGGGCCATGATATATGGCGGTTTGCGCAAGGAGCGCATTCAGCTTAATGAAGACACATTCTGGAGTGGAGGTTCATATGACGCCGACAATGAAAACAGTCTCAAGTATCGCTCCGAGGTCCAGAATATGGTATTTTCAGGACGCTTGAAAGAGGCCGATCAGATGTCTAGGCGTCATCTGCTTGGCACTCCGGACCGCCAATGCTCATATCAGCCCCTCGGCGACCTATGGATTGAAATGAATGGGTCGAGCGAGTTTGGAATCTCTGACTATCACAGAGATTTGGACATTGACACTGCGGAGGCGACTGTCAGATACAAAACTTATGGCATGCAGCATAATCGACGTATCATCTGCAGCCCAACCCGCTCCGTTCTGGCCATTCAGCTCACTGCGGATGAGCCGATCGATTGCAGCATCTACGCGTCAAGTCCCCAACCTCAATCAAATATTCGAGTCTGGGATAGCACCGTCTGCCTGTCTGGTACCAATGGACCGGAGAATGGAATCGAGGGTCGACTACGTTTCGAGGTAAGGCTCAATGTCCAGGTGGAGGGAGGAGTATTGCAGCCGTGCAAGGATCACCTCCGGATCCGAGGCGCCACACAGGTGGTCATCCTGTGCGCAGCGGCTACAAATTATCAATCTTATAATCAACTTGCCGGGGATCCTCGTCAGCTTACTAGCTCGTGGATCGACGATGCACTGCGACTTTCCTTCGATCAGCTGGCCGCGGAAGCGACGACTGCCCACCAGAATCTTTTTCGACGTGTCCACGTTGAGCTGCCGGAAACTTCAAACTCAATGCTTCCGACCAATGTGCGTCTCGATAAGTTTCGGACTGGCGCAGATGATCCGGCCCTGCTGGCGCTCAATTTCCAGTATGGGCGATACCTCTTGATTTGCTCTTCTCGGCCTGGATCTCAGGCGGCGAATCTGCAAGGAGTCTGGAACGATAGTATCGATCCACCCTGGGGGTCAAAGTTCACGATCAATATCAATACTGAGATGAACTACTGGTCTTCTGGTCCAGCAAACATGTCCGAGGTCATCGAACCACTTTTGCGGCTCGTGAAAGATTTGGCATTGACGGGCAAGGAGACTGCGCGTGTCATGTACAACGCTCGAGGTTGGGTGGCACATCACAACACTGATCTGTGGAGAGCTACTGCCCCGATAAATCTTCCAAGGTACGGTCTCTGGCCAATGGGAGGGGTGTGGCTTCTACAAAATCTTTGGGATCACTACGAATTCACTTTGGATCCTTCGTTTTTGGAGGAGCTGTATCCTCTCATGGCGGACGCGTGCTTGTTCTTCATTGACACGTTGGTGAAGGATCCCAATACAGGCTTCCTGGTAACTTGTCCAAGCATGTCTCCGGAGAATGTGCACGGTGTGGACGGGGATGATGTTGCAATATGCGCTGGACCCACCATGGACATGCAGCTGCTGAGGGATTTATTCACACGCACGTCAAAGGCAGCGAGCATGCTCGGTCGGGATGAATCCTTGCGGAAGACCGTGGTCACCCTGTGCGGGCAGCTCAGGCCAACCGAGATAGGATCAGACGGTTCTATCAAAGAGTGGCAGGATGACTGGAGTGCGCCAGAGACACATCACCGTCACATTTCTCATCTATATGGGCTTTACCCTTCCTTCCAAATCTCCGTGGACAAAACACCTGAGCTCGCTCGGGCGGCGGCCAGAACGCTCGAGATCCGCAAGGTTGGCGGCACTGGCTGGTCGACAGCGTGGCATATCAACTGTTGGGCCCGACTACATGACGCAGAAAAAGCGTACGAAGCATTGGAGCGGATCTTGCAGAGCGACTTGAGTTATCCAAACCTCTTCAGCGCCCATCCACCTCTCAGCAAAGAGATGACGGGCGTGTTTCAAATTGATGGAAATTTGGGCAGCTGCGCTGGTTTTGCAGAAATGTTGGTTCAAGGCAACTCTGAGGGTGACGTCTGGTTGCTTCCTGCGTTGCCAAAACAGTGGCCCCGGGGACGCTGTTCGGGTCTGTGCGTCCGAGGCGGCGTGACAGTGAGCCTGATGTGGGGCGAAGGGAGGCTCATCTCTGCCCAAATCGCCGCGGCGAGAGAGACAGGTTGTACAGTACATTATGCGGGGCTGACACAGTTCATCGGGCTCAGAGAGGGTCAGGTCGTGGAGCTGGACTCGAATCTCCACGTATGACTCTGGTACAACTGTCGATAAATGCATGCCGGTAGCTAAACATCTTCAGGGAGGTCAGGTACTGGGTAGTCTTTTGACATGTGGCCCGCCTTTAATCAGTATGGCTGATTCAGCGTTGGCGCTTACCCAGCCTTTGAAATGCACCTTACGCCCAGCTTGATCAATCTCGTCGATTTCGGCCTCCGTGAGATCCCGCAATCGGTCGATGGCAGCCATCTTGGCGATATTGACAGGATTCGATGATGTGGTAATAGCAGCGGCGCCTTTGCCAATAGTCCAGAGCAGAAGCACTGAAGCTTCATCGACATTTTGCCCGCTATCATTACTCAGTATACCCGCTATGCGCTTCAAAATCGGCTTGATAGGGCCTCCTGTCGGGTGAGCGATCAGAGGTTGTAGGGGTCCGTAAGCTTGTGTTGCTATGCCATATTTGCTGTGCGTCGCAAAGAGAGAATCCAGATGAGCCAAGGCGTACGGGTGGAACTCGATTTCTGTCGTCAGTGAGGACATGCAGAAGTCTTACGGTTGCAAACAGGTTTGATCCTTGCCGAGTGCATGAGGATCTCGATATCCTGCGGACGGAAGTTGGACACTCCCAGTGAGCAACCCTGTAAGGTTCCATCTTCTACCATGTTCTCTAGCTCTTGCCAAAATGCGAGGAGTCGTCCGTCCTCGGGAACGAATGGAGTATGAACGAGCAAGAGATCGGGTATGAAACCCAGCTTGGCCACACTCTCCTGCACGGCTGCGCGGACCTCGCCTACCTTACGATGTGGTTCTGAATGTCAGAGTCAAAAGACGTTTCTGTGCTTACGGCCACTTCCTTCGTAAACTGCACCATCAGCCGCGACCTTATCTGAGCTACTCACTCTTGGTAGTCACCCATACCTGTTCTCTCGGCACCTCTGCAAGTCGGATGGCTTCACCGGTCTCCCTTTCGGTACCATAGGCCTGTGCAGTATCTATGTGCAGGATACCTTCTCTGAGCGCAGCGGCCCCTACATCGACAGCAAATTTGCCTGAATGCTCGACTCCGCGCGTCCCATTTCCCCAGCCTAGAGCTGGCATGCGTTTGCCGTCAGGCAGTATGATCGACCTCACCATGTTGAGGAATCAGTGTTTGATCGCGAAGCTCATCATCAGACTTGACTTGCATTTTAGCTCTCGGCTCTCGGGCTATTCCCGGTAATTAAAAAGGGTATTAACGATGACTAACGAAATACTCCGGGCAGAACCGATGTTTCCTCCGCCCTGTATCCATCCAAATGGGCCAACGGAAGTCCCAATGCTTGCAGCAGGGTGACTGCAATTTGCTGGTTGAAGACGACTTGTGACAACGCAGTTCCGGCAGCTGGAAGCCGATTACCCGATACTGCCATCAAGTTGACGTGAAAATCATCTGCATACCTGCAAAAATCAGCGATGAGCGGTGGGTATCCTCACCATCCTCCGTGGTCTTCAAGTATCCCCGGGGACTCGTACAGTGTCCCGTAAACGGGCAAGATTGCCATATCCGGAGCTCGAACATCCATAGCCGGATTTCCCCAACCATACTGCCATATCCCGTCCCCTGCCAGGACCTCGACAACGGCTGTCAGGCTGTGATTGGCCGCAAGTAGATTTGCCTTAGCGGTGTACGCTTGCGAGGAATCGTTTAACCACAGGAGTGCCCAGTCTGCTGATGTGACGAAATTAACGTCTACACCGGTGGCATTGATCAAAACTTGGGGATCGACGAAACGTAGGGCCTTCTCATTGACAGGCGTCTGCCCCTGTTTTGAGCCGACGATCAACAAAGTGTCGTTCCACATGCCCGAAGTCTTCAGGGCCCCGACGAATTCCCCGAGCTTGGCGTCAAAGTGGCGGAGCACTGCAGTAATGTTGGGACTAGGTGTTGCGTAGCTGTAGTCACTGGTAGCGTTAGAAGCGAGGTAGCCGGTGGTCGATTGGGCATTAGTCAGTGCCTGAGGTATCAACATCGTCACCAGAAGAAGCCACTTGCTTGGAAATTCGCGCCCATCAGAGAAAATCTCCCAAACGGCGTCTCCGACCCGTTGACAAATTTGCCTACAATCCAATTGTTGAGGGCAGACCAATGTAGATCGTCCCAAGAGTCTACATTTCAGCCCTGCCAGGGTCAGAGTACCTACCCTGTACGCAATCAGTTGCAGCAACCGAAGTCACTTCGGGGAAGTAGCCTTCAACCAAACCGAGACCAGATGGGCCAGTCACGAATTCGTATGACAAGTGCTTATCGGCGTACGCGGTCGCCAGTCCGCTTCCCCTTGCAACTTCAAAAATTGTGTTGACTCGTATATGATTGTGCGGGAAAACTATATCGAGTGATTCAGCTCAATTTCGACAGGCCCGAGACCAACCCGGAGTACAGGATCCCCACTCTTGCGTCGAAGTGGGAGCATGGAGATGTTCAAACCCCCTCCTCCATTCAAAAGGGTGTTGTCGAGGTCTAAGCCCTCGGTATAGTCGACTTCACTGCCGATGGGGCCTTTGCAATCTGAGCCCGGCGGATAGAGATCTCGTGCGTACGAATCATCCCAGTACAGGCTGGGGTCAGCGGGTTCCATTACGGGACACACCCATGAGTCCGAGGGGAGCACCCAGCGACGAGTGCTGCAGTTGCCGGGTACGAGTCTGATGGATTTGAGGCTCGAGCTGAAGTATATACCACGCCGATCTTCGCGAGTTGTGCGAGTGTCGATTCAGGAAACTCGGCGACGTAATTGTCGTAGTCAAATTGATGCTACTGCTCAGCTTCTCCTTCTTGCCAATGCTCACCATTCCATCGTTGGACAGGAACACCGCATATTTGTACTGACCCGGTGCTTCGGCTCCTTGAAGCGGAATTTCAACCGTCGGTTGGCTGATTATATCTTCTCCACCAGCGTAGACGCCTGATGGGTATTGAGCAGCAGCTTGGCTCAGGAGCAGTATCGCCACCTGGAGCGGCAACATGTTTCGAGTTTACTGTAAGGACCACAGGCTGGACATTTCTTTTGATGGACCAGCAGGGGTCGTGCGCACGTTTCACATTCCGTGGATTTCAACACCGCTGGATCTCGCGAAGAATTGCCTCAATTGCGTTTGACCATATAAATAATCATTCTTTAAGCAATAATAGCAACACGCCGAGCCCGCAGGTTAAATCTGGGGTTCTCCGAAGGGCTTCCCGACAAGGAATCTCATGTTCACGTTTGTTGCTCGGACCAATCAGCTGCAAGTCTTTACACACGGTTCTCCGGTGCCGTTCGTTCATGGCAGTATATAATGGACTCGACAAGAAATCCAAAAAGTAGGTCGCATCAGAAGTGGGAAAGACCACAGTTGAATTGAGCCAAATAGAAGTAACCCTCTTCCTGCATGATGCTCGCTCTCCACCTACTCCTCGCTCAACCGGCCGCGGCCCGTGTGCTGCCTCGAGACATTGTGGACCCGGGTGCACCGGCCCTAACCTACCCTCTCACGGGAATGTCTCCCGTTGGTAATCCACCCTTCTACTCTCCTGAGAACGTCAACGCTGCCTATCAGCACGCGGTCTACCTGTCTATCGATGGCATGCATCAAAGCGATCTCGAGTGGTACGTTTCAACCTTTCCCCAGTCAACGATGGCCTCATTGCTGCAAAACGCAATCGAGTACACCAACGCGAGGTGTCCTTCGCCTTCAGACTCTGCACCTGGAACCGTCTCGCCAGCCACAGGCTGCAGTCCGAGAACCCACGGGGTCTACTACGATGATGCCTACGATGGCAGCCTGTACCCTCCGGGCTCGAATTGTACTGGACCAATCGGCACCCAGACGGGATGGGATGAAACATTAGACCTAAATAATACGGTTCTTAACGGCGGCGGAGGTTTCAACGAGTCCATGTTCCCTCTTCAACTCACTGCTTCTGGCTATTGCGCGGCCGTGAAGCCATGGGACTTTCTCCGGGTGAATACAATGTTTGAGTGAGTCCCTGACTTAGCATATTACGCTGATCAACAGGGTGATCCGTGAACAAGGCCTAGTCACGGCATACACCGACAAACATCCAGCATACAGTATGCTCAACGGCCCATCGGGGCTTGGTTTGACTGATGGATTCTTCCCCGAGATCAATGCCGTGTCAGGTCAGCAGGAGACCGAGGGTTACGACGATTTGCATTGGTCGGCATTGACAAATTGGACCATGGGCAATTACGCCAATGGCACATCAGGGCTTGGAGTACCCTCTGTGTACGGAGCCAATTTTCAAAGCGTCTCCGTCTCTCAGAAAGCGTGAGCAAGAATTTGGTGATCAAGGCTAATCAAAGAAGATACGGCTACAATTCAGAGCTGGTTCCGACTGCAAATCTGACCCAAGCCTTTAGGCAAGTGGACACGCGCCTCGGTCAACTTGTCGATACGATGAAGTCGGTTGGAACGTTTGACTCTACCCTGCTTATTATCTACGCTAAACATGGCCAGTCTCCGATCAACAGCACTCTGGTGCGCAAGATTCCTCATCCAACACTGCTCAATGTCATCGGAGTGCCCACCGTACAAGATGCGTCCGACGACGCGTCTTATATCTGGCTTCAAGACAAGAATGACGCTGCCCAGGCCAAAGCCAATATTCTTGCAAACGCTACCGCTGTGGGAGCTGCCGAGGTCTGGATAGGTGCGGATATTGTGGCCAACGGCTTTGGGAATCCCTGGTTTGACTCGAGAACTCCTGACGTGATCATCAAGACTGAACCTGGAGGTGAGACATCCTTGATCGGATGCACACTGACCTCTCAGTCATCTTCACTACTGGGAAGAAGATTGCTGAGCATGGAGGGCTGAATGCTGACGATCATGATGTGGTCTTGTTCGTGTCAAATCCGGTCATTTCTGCTAGCAAGTGCGACGAAGTCGTATACACGAGGCAGATCGCGCCTACATTCATCAAAGCGCTTGGGTTTGATCCGCTTCTCCTTGCTGGCGTCAGGGCTGAGGGCACATTACCGCTGCCCGGTGTGCCATTTTAGGTTCCTCCCTAATTGACAGTGAATGCAAAATTATAATGAATCGGATACCAACGTGTCAGACCCGCGAGACCCAGAAGTCCGGTAACAGAAGTCCGGTAGAGGCTGCGAGCAGATTTCGCCTATCTTTACAAAGCAACGCCCATGAGCGATTTGGACCCGTGACTGGGCAAGCTTATCGGGGCCAGAGTGGCCCATCCCTCAACAGTAGCACGCCGTGCCCCTCAACTCTCCCCTCCCCCTTCCACCCCCCCCCCCCCCCCCCCCCCAACACACACACACACACACACACACACACACACACACACTCTCTCTCTCTCTCTCTCTCTCTCTCTCTCTCTCTCTCTCTCTCTCTCTCTCTCTCTCTCTCTCTCTCTCTCTCTCTCTCTCTCTCTCACCTCGTCCCCCCGCTGGGGGATTGTCACAAGGGACGGATGAGAGCTCTGTCGCGGCCGTGGACTCTCTTGGCAAAGGTTGAGAGAACAATAAGGACTATCTTCAATGATAGAGACTATGGATCAGTCCATAATGGTGTAAAGAGGTACTTCATGGCAAGAGCGTCAAGCGAGATCGATGCATTTCTTTCCCTCTATCATGTGGGAGAGGTCAGCATTGTAGCGTTTAGGTTTAAGCATATACCGGCAGATTCTCCGCTTTTAACAATCCCCTGGACGTCAAACTTCGCTCACGATCGAGCACTCACCACATACTGAGAGCATCCAAATCCTCTTTGCCATTCTCTGTGACTTCGATCTTTTCGCCAGTAGCGTTCATCAGGGTCTTGATGCCAAGCGATAATTTGATCATAGGTTTTCCAGGGTGGTAGTTTTGGAGCTCTGGCACATCCCCAGTTTGCAAGCCTTTGACGAGGCCCAAGATGTTTTTCGCCGCCACTTCAGCCTGCCGATACGCTGTATTACCAGCTTGGATGGCTCCAGTATCCGCGCAGTCTCCAACGGCAAAGATGTGACTAAGGAGCTGCCCCCTCGGAGAAGCCAATTGCAGTGTTGGAAGAACAGCAATCCTACCGGTCTCTTGGTTGATACTGAGAGGACTCATTGCGGCAAGGATAGCGATTTGAGGCTTCTGCCCAGTACAGCAGAGCTGTGGGTGAGCTGAGTCAGCGATAATTCCCTTACGACGATGTCTGCTTCGTAAACAGCCCCTGTTTCGGTCTGCACCTTTTTCCGGCCCGGTTTGTTCACAGGCCAGGTATGAACACGCTGGCCAAAGACGGTCAGTATACCCATGTCCGCCATCCTCTTGACACACATGTCGTGCACGGCGACCGGATATTTGGGCAAGAGGCGGTAACGCGAGTGGAGCAAAGTCACATCCTTGTGCGGGAACAACTCTTTCAGATCCGTGGCGAATTCTAATTGATCAGTTCGTGACCGAACAACGTCTCACTCACGTATACCTAGCGCACCGCCGCCAACTATCAAGACGTCTCTGGCATTAACAAACATCTGAGACTGCTGCTCCATCCAGGTGATCCCGTGGCGTTTCGTGCCAGTACTTCCATTCCCTAGGCCGTGATCTGAAGTCCAGATATTGACCGGTCCCGGCATCCCGCTACCTAGAGCGTAGATGGCGTAGGTAAAGTCCATCTTCTCTGTTTCTGAGGCTCCATGCCGTTGAAAGCGTACCGAATGAGAGGTCATCCCTAGGACCGTGGCATGGATCAAAACTGCACGACATCTTTCCGGAGACAGTGCAGGAAAAAGATTATCGTAGGGTATGAAGGCTCGCGGAGCGTATTCCGCCATGAGGGCGCATCTTGGGAAGACATAGACGTCTATTATGAGTGAATGATCCCAAGAAGATGCTTACGATTCATGTGCGAGTTCCGTTCTAGAACTATCAAAGTCCATTCCGGAGGCAGGCTCTCTGCCAGGATCTGTGCCGCCCTGAATCCTCCGTAAGATGCTCCGAGCACCACAATTGTCCTTTCCTTTGAGGTTTCCATCCGGACATTGATGATGTTAGCGTTGCTACCCCACAGAGATATAACGGGCGGCTCGCGTATCGCATCAGGCGCCGTTGCAATTGATCGTTCCTCGGAAGATGCCGAAGGGATGATTATAGGCGCCGTGGCACCACTTCGCTGACCAATCGCATGTGCCGGATTTGTCATTGGGCCAATCATATAGCCACGGGACGTTGATGGTGACATGATACAGGGATCGACAATGGCTATACCAATCACACGTCCTCAGAGTGATATTACGCCCGTATGGACGTTTTCAGAAGGAGCTGGTACTCCAACAAGAGCGCAACAGCTGGAGAATCTACTACGCTCCGAGGTCGCACTGGAGGAGAAATGCGGTCTTGAAGAGAGAAAGACGTCCAATGTTTGCTGCAAAGAGCTGAAAGACGACGACGAGAGGCATTTGATCAGTCCAGAGATTGTCAGAGATATGTGGGTCTCGACACATTATCCCAGTCTTACCACACAGTGTCATTGGCTTATCTGACGGTCTCACCGTGCCCTTTGCCTTGACAGCTGGCCTGTCTTCCATTGGATCCTCGAGGCTGGTAGTTACTGCCGGCTTGGCCGAGCTGTGCGCAGGTGCTATCTCAATGGGTCTGGGGGGATTTCGTGAGTCTTCGACCAGACGGCCGATTGACAGCTCCAGTCGCGTCTCAAGCAGAGCTGGATCATTTCCACTATCTTCGACGCCAGACACACAACAGAGTCACGCGGTCTTGTGCAGGGCAGATGGAGAGGGAAGTTCATTCGATACTCGGCCCATTTGGTGTCACAGAGTCCGTCAGTCGTCTGGTAGCTGAGCAACTCTCGAATCTCGAGTCCTTGGAGGCAGTGGAGGGAATAGAGAAGGTGAAAGCTTCTTCTGCACTCCGTGAACAAGGCGGTGATGCGGCGTCAACATCGCTGGGTCTCACCGCGTTCTTATTGAAGATTGGAGAAGGCATGGGTACGTTGTTTCACCGTATGACTTTTTGACAAGCAGACGAGGTGCCAGTATCACGACTCTGGGTCTCAGCGTTCACGATCGGCATGTCATACTTCATCGGAGGGTTGATACCATTGATCCCTTACATGGCCCACGCCAATACCCGAGATGGGCTCATTGTATCAGCTGCCGTCACGGGAGCCGTTCTGTTTGTATTTGGAGCGTTCAAGACTTATTTCACCGGGGCGAAAGGAGGTTGGAGGGGATATCTCTACGGGGCTATGTCGACATTGATCGTCGGTGCCCTCGGCGCAGGAGCGGCGTATGGACTAGTGCGGGCAATGGACGTCAAAGAAGCTTGAAAAGAGTGACATGCATAGGAGATGCCCAAATGCCTCCAGCTCTGCCGTTATGCCTGTAGATGTGTGGGGGAGCGGAATCAAATATTCGGATCCGAGGCCTTCAGAGCTCGACTATATAAGACGGGACGCTGATCTTGTAGTTCATCATCAATATGTATATCCGTTGTCTATGAGCTACCCAGCTCGAGACTCTATTCAAGAAGGTTACTATTCCAAGTGGGACCCTCTAGCCGGATAGGTCTGTTCCTGACAAGATGGTGGATCGTCATGCAACTGGCACAACAATGTGCTGACAAACAGCCGTTCGTTGATTGGTCGATCTCTTTTGGCGCCATGTCTATTAATAAACTGCCCCCCATCTTGCAGGCGCCCTCCACTTTTGCGCATCTCCGATAGGGACCGCCACAAATTTCCCAAAATGGAATCCAGCCTGAATGGAAGCGCCTACTTGTTATCATAGTGACGGCTCTGACCATACATATACTTGTGAAGGGAAGCCGAGAATCAGGTGACCATCCGAAATGTCTCGATGTGGCGAGGAGAAGATCGTTGAGACCCCTGTGACCGAATTGGCTGCCAGAGCCCCATGGGAAGACGACAAAGTCTCTGCCGTGGAAGTCCGAGTCGATGGTGCTGCAAAGCTTGAGGCCGTCCATCAAGCGTGGGATAAGAAGCTGCAGTGGGCGGTCTTCATAGGGTGAGCCACTCATAGCGATCGGCTCTCAAAGATAGTATTGCGCTCTCAGCGTACATTTACTCCCTTGATGGGGTCACGACGTGGCAGTATTTGTCATATGCGTGAGCGTGACCGTCGCCCAGCAACTGAACCACAGTACGTCCACCGTCCTCAAGCAGTCCCTTTCAGGCACGATATCGACTGCTCAGGCCATCATAATTGCCATCGGTAAACCTTTGATGGCCAAGCTCGCCGATGTGTGGGTTCAAATTGTGGTCTGAGCTGACGCTCAGTATGGGTCGGGCGGAGACTATGCTTCTCGTTGCAGTCCTCTATGTCTTGGGATACGTGAGTAATAGCTGTGCATGCAGGGCTCATTCGCAGATCCTTATCGCTACTGCGCATTCCATTGGCCAGATCGCCGCGGGTGAAATCATCTATGCATTTGGCTATACTGGCCTGCAGATGCTCCAACAAATCATTATTGCGGATCTCACCTCGTTGCGATGGAGGCAAGCATTGGGTCCACTGCTTTGACTGACCGAGCTTCAGGGGTCTTGCGACTAGTCTGTTGACCGCTCCGTTCATCATCAACAACTTTGTCGCAGGTGCTATCGCTCAGGGGGTTCTCCCAAATTGGCGATTGGGCTACGGCATGGTGAGCAGCTCGACGATCATCGGGCTGAGCGTAGTTCGCTATTCTCGTGCCCGTCTGCCTTACTCCTATCATCGGGGTTCTTTTCTATTCACAATACTTTGCAAAAAAGACATCCCGGTCGCCTGCCGCTTCGAGCGTGGTCGATCATCGTGTGATACGCCTGGCGCTGGCAGACATGGACTTCATCGGATTAATACTCGTTGGAGCCTCGCTGGCCTTGATTCTCTTACCCCTTGGACTGGCTCCGGAAGCGAGCAAGGGGTGGAAGACCCCGAGTATGGTGAGCAAGTACATGAGTCATCCTGAAATACAGCCTGCTATGATTGCCGTGGGAGCACTTCTCTTCCCAGCTTTCCTGTTGTACGAGTGGAAAATCCCCAAAAAGCCTGTTCTTCCCATGCGATGGCTCAGACAATCGGCCATTTTGGGCGCTTGCCTCATTGGATTCTTCGATTTCATATCCTTCTACCTGCAGTACACGTACCTGTACTCATACATCTTCGTGACAGAAAATTGGTCTTTCCTCGATCTCAGCTACTTTTCTGCCACTCAATCACTGTCGCTGACGGCATTTGGCATTCTCGGGGGAATCATCATGTGGGCCTCACGCAGACTGAAGGTGAGCGTTCCAATCGTATTACACTGATGTACAGTGGCTACTTCTCGCCGGGGTCTGCCTTAGACTGCTCGGTGTTGGCCTGATGCTTTACGCCCGTGGTCCTCACGGCAATACCGCGTCTCTCGTTCTGTGCCAAGTAATTCAAGGCATGGGCGGCGGATTCGCCGCAACCTGCATTCAAGTCGCGGCCCAAGCTGCTGTCAGTCACGCCGACGTTGCCACTGTGACGGCTATCCTTCTCCTCCTGACAGAGGTCGGAAATTCCGTCGGCTCCGCCATTAGCACGGCTGTCTGGACGTCCACCATGCCTCGGGAAATTGCCAAGCATGTGCCCAGCACCAACAACACGTTGTTATATGAGCTATATGAGGACATGGAAGCGGTTGTACTCTACCCCCTGGGCAGTCCGGTCCGCGAGGGCGTCATATCGGCCTACCAAAGTGTTATGTGAGTCGTAGTCAGGACGAAGGCTGACGAAAGGCTCCGTCTCTGCCTTGCATCGGTCATCATCTCAATCCTCCCAATCGTTGCCTGCGTGTTCCTGATCAAGGATATTCGCTTGACACGCGCGCAGAATGACGTGGAGGGTACCGATCTGTCGGGCGAGGTCATTTGAGTGACATCCGTTCAGAGTGTTGCGAAGTCCCATTGTCAGTCTAGCATGTAATGAAGTTGTGCGCATCTCCGCCCGGGCCGGACTGTAGGGTCCGCCGGGACGAGCACCGGCTCGCCGGCTTGGCAATCTTGGTCATTTGCTTAATCTAGCGGGCCGCTGAAGCCGCGTGGGAACCCCGGGGAGTCCCCACTCCGGCCCGCATTGGGTTCTCAGAGGATATAAAGGGGGAACCCCTCCGAGGATTTCACCTTCAACGGCCCCACCATGTTCTTTCGACCCGTTGCTATGGCCCCTCAGCAGGCTACCGCAGAGACTCAACTCGACCAAGAGCTCGTCCAGATCGGTCATGAAGTCATAGCCCGTCAGAAACAAGAGACATTCAGCATGGCGTGGCGAAATCACTGGCGAGGCGCAGTCTGGTCATTGCTCATCTCCATGGCGCTTTGGATGGAGGGTTTCGACACCTCGCTCCTCGGTAATTTTATGGGTCATCCCGCCTTCAGGGCGCGATTTGGCACGGTCATTGATGGTGTCAAGAAGATTCCCAACCACACACAGGTTGGACTGAGTGAAACTACCATCTGCGGCCAGCTTGTTGGTCTTGTCATAACTGGTATCGCCCAAGAACGCTACGGCGCCAAAAGAACCTTCTTCTGGGGAATGACCGCCCTGACCGGAACAATTTTCCTTGCTGTCTTTGCTCAAAATCTTGCCATGCTGTTTGTCGCGGGCTTTCTGAACGGCGTGCCTTGGGGAATGTTTCGTAAGTGCCTCCCCCCTCGGCCGAGCTGACAGACCCAGAGACTCTAACGACAGCCTATGCGGCAGAGATCTGTCCTATCAACCTACGTGGTTATCTGGCCGCATGGGCCCAGATTGCTTGGAGCGGTGGCGGTGTGATAGCGACAGGTGTCTTGCGTGGCACGCTCACTATGGAGGGTGACTGGGCGTGGCGTTTGCCGTATGCCCTTCAGTGGCTGGTGAGCACATGTCAGAGATCTTGAGCTGACAACAGTGGCCCGTGCCACTAGCGCTGCTTGTTCTCATCGCACCTGAGTCGCCTTGGTGGCTTGTTCGAAAAGGGCGATACGACGATGCGAAAGCTGTGGTCCGCCGCAATGCTGACCGCAGTCTGTATGGACCGGGCGAGGTGGACGGATACGTTGAATACATGAAGCACACCGATGCACTGGACAGAGCGGAGCAGGCTCGTGGGTCGTTCCTCGACATGTTCAGAGGAACCAATCGTCGACGCACCGAGGTTCAGATTGGGACCTGGGTGACGCAAATCTTTTGCGGTAGCGCTATCACTGCGCTCAGCGTCTTGTTCTTCGAAAAGGCGGGCATGTCAACGACACTTGCCTTCAACTTTTCTCTCATTCTCACCGGAATCTCCATCTTCGGAGTGTTCCTCTCCTGGGTGCTGATCCGCTATTTCGGTCGGCGAACATTATATCTCTCGGGTCTGGTCATCATTGCCGTTTGCAACTTGATCATTGCCACCTTGGGGTTCACCACCGAGGGGACTGCCTCTCTCAATGCCATCGGAGCACTCATGGTGATCATCCAGTTCACATTCTGCGCTACGCTGGGACCCGTGTGCTACATCATCGTTGGCGAAATCCCCGCCTCTCGTCTTCGTGCACAGTCGATTGTGCTCGGTCGGTTTAGCTATGTCGTAATCGTAATTATTGTCGGCACCTTCAACCCGTATGTCACCAATGATTGGGGTCCAAAATCCGGGTACTTCTGGATGGGCACGGGACTGAGCTGTCTCGTGTGGTGTTATTTCAGGCTCCCGGAAACTAAAGGTCGATCATTCGCCGACATCGACATTCTCTTTGCCAACAAGATTCCTGCCAGGCAGTTTGCGACCACTTCGGTTGACGAGCAACGAGAGGCGATGGACAAGATTCAAGGTGGTGACGAAGATGTCAAGCTGGACGCCGTACACGCGGAGACGAAGTGAGGAATTGATCGTCGGCTTTGTTGTACGTGGACCCAGAAATGTTGAGTGTGAGACTGCGTTGGGGATGCACTTGGCGGTGCATATGGTTGTACATAGACCAGACCGCCAGTTATGTCACATGGGTTATGAGATTTAGCGAAGGTGATGATGTCGTTTTGTCCTGTCAGACTGACACTAGACAAGTTAGTCTCGCCCTTGTCAGACGGCCACGCGTCATGTCGATCGGGTGACGCCTGCAGACTGGTTTGCAGGTCCTGGTTTGAAGGTGAAAACAGTCGCCGGCGGTACTTGAATTCGTGTGATTGTCTTCTCAACAAAGGATTGAGGTGAGCCGGCGGTCGACAAATGTCAGCGGAGAGGCCTGTGGGGCTGTGCAGAAATCGACAATATGAAGTCCTTGGCTGGGACCCGATACCCTGATTCCTTCGCTTACCAACGAAGAGAGACCTCGCCCACCCGATGACGTAGCTACCGGCGGCCATAGCGCAAAGTAAGCCAGAATCGACACGCGCCGCATGACTCTGTGTCCATGTGCCATCATCACCCACAGCGATCCCCGAGGACGACAGTGCGACGGCAATATTGGCGCAAATGATTCGGCCGCGGCGTTGTCCGCACAGTCCACTTGGCCTGCGCACCGGCAACTCCTTCAGCTATATAGATCCGGAGTTCTTAACATATCACTAAACGATTTCGGAGCCGTGCACATTGCTGTGGAAGTCTTGAAGCGCGGCTGGCATGTTTGGTTCACCATTTTCGCGAAAATAGGTTTTTTAGGAGGTCGACTGTACGCTTCGAAGCGATCTCTCGTGCATCATTCACGTATATAACCGTTTCAAAAGACCCCACCCTGGCTTGTCGGTGCGCGAGGCCCAGGCACGATCACTGCTGCAAGAAGCTAATCTTGGTTAGTCCGGGGCATCAAATATCAACCCTGGACACTGATACCACAAGTGCAAACCACAGAGCGTCCCAGATAGAAAAGGCCTTTGTCCCGCGCGGGCCCGGGCGCCGGGACGATATTGTCGACTTGCAGTAGGGTCAAAGCGAAAAGGGCTCTCCTCTGCCAACGGGCAGAGAATGCGCACCGAGCATTCAAGCTTACGTCCGCACTCGCGCGTAAGTTTCGGAACGCCTCGCTTGCCCTGTGCACTCGCGTGCTGGTTGCATGGCAAAGCCGAGAATATACCCCAGTGACGCAGCGGCGTCCAAGAATGAAAGGCGGGATCCTGTTAAGAAGCCATTATGGGAATCAGATTCACAGGTGACGGACATCCCGACTGGTCCCCCCGCGTGTGGCGTCTGAGCAGACTCGTATAAGCGTCGCCAAAAGCCTCTTCTCCTGCAATTTTAGACAATTTTATTATTCGAT